GATACATCACATCCCTCCACACCAACAGCAGAGCAGCGCACCGCATCCCACCGCATCCCAATCCCAATCCCAATTCCAATCCCAATAACCAATAATCCCCTTGGCACTACTTAAGTAGGTACATCCATCCATCCACCCTCTGCACTCCGCATTCCGCCCTCCTCTGGGCCGTAGAAGCAGCAAATTCCTGCACCCAACCCGCATCGCCCGCCCCGGTCTATCGTCATTCCACTGTTTATATTCCCCGACATCGAACTCTACCCACGCCCACGACGTCATTCCCACGCCCCCTCCCATCTCCCATCTCCCCGTCGCAGGTTGTCGCAGGGTTGGGAAGAAAGCCCGTGATCACAGGCTGCGCGAGCCCAATGTATATAGTAGGTAAGTACTGTACAGATGCAGCGTCCGTCGCCCTGCAGGGGCTGCTGGTTCCTGGTGGGACGGGTCAGTGGTTGGGCGCATTGGGAATCGGACGAGGTTGGGTGGGTGGGCGGGCGGTCGGTCGCGTTGCGTTGCGTTGCGTTGTATGGTGTCTCCTTTTTTTGAGAGAAATGTTGTTTGCGTGGCTGGGACGGGGGAGGTCTGGTCTGGTCCGGTCGGACTCGTTTCCTGGGGGATTGGGGGTTGGGGGTTGGTTTTCGCGGGGAGGAGAGAATGGGGATGTTGTTTGATTTCCATGGATGGGTGTGCCTAAAAGGGAAGAGGTCTTGATTCGCTCCGCTTGGCAATCAGGCCACCCGCGTTTGTTGCCTGAGGGGTGGTGTTGGTTCGTTCCTCTTGGTTCCTCGCCTCGCCTGTCTCTTCCGTCTGTCCTACCGTATGCCGGTTTGCTTTGTCGGTTATGCGATCGATCGGGGGCGATGTCCTGTCCCGCAGAGATGGATCCCCTCTGTTCAATAGGAGACTTCTAGACTTCTGGTTCGACAAGCTGAGATGCCTGTCAGAGTGCAATGCTCTTCCTGAGATGGAGGGGAGTTGTTTAGAGAAGCCGAGAATTCGCGGAAACTCACCGTCACTGATCTGCCCATTGGAATTCTTTGTGGTACAGCCCTCGGTGTCAGGACTACATGTTCAATCCGATATATAGCTTCAATTTAATAGCTATAAGGACCAGGACCTGCTAGTTTCGGATACGATCGTGCAAATGAGTCTCAAAGGGAAAGGTGCCTCCCGTTTTGAACAGCGGTTGGCAGTCAGCTTCACGAAGATCCATCGAAAGCGGTCCGCAACTTCTAGTTGGAACGGAATTGATCTGACGGATGCGGAATCCGGGGATAACTACAAGGGTGAGTTATCTATTTGACTAAGCAGATACCTGTTTTATGACCTGTACGGTCTATTATACTAGAAACATTCTGATCCATATCAGATCCTTCTATCCCACTGAACGGGTCTCTGACTAACTATCTGTCAGAATGACATGGAGAGCCGAAGGGCTGTTTGGATATATGCATGGCCGTTTCTGGTACTATGGTACAATATTCTGCAACCTCAGGCTCAATAATGGAAACGTCAGTTAGGTAGTACCCTGAGCATGCTCATGGACAGGGCTACCGTCCGATTAGCTGCTTCTTTGTGGTGACTTTGGGTAGGCCCAGGAGAGACGTGGCAGATTAAGGGATTATTGGCCTATATTGTCCTCAACCATACAGGGTAGATCGGATTGTCAATATTATTATCAGTCAATGATACAAACTCGGTTACATGCAACTCGCTAAGACCAACAAAATAACATCACAGCATGGCAAATTACAGCGAAACCACCAACTTCTTCGCCGACACACCCTTCTTCAACACCTCCAGTCCATCCTGCAACGCCTCGAGCCCCTTCCCCACAACCTCAACCTGGGGCGCGCTGACAAACGTCCCCTCCGCCAACGCCTTCGGAAGAAAGTCCACAAAAATCGCCGGACCGACCTCGTTCTCCGCAAGGTCACTCCCGAAGACAAACTTGGAGCCGACGCCGTTCGGCAACGGCCCCGAGGGCGGATTGACCAGCGCGACGAACTTCTTCCCCTCAATCCGGGACACGATCTCCCCGCACTTCTCCACCGAATCGCGTCCAATTGCCAAAGTCCCGGCACTCGGCTTTCCCTTGAACGCGGCGACTATGTCGTCGATGACGGTCTCGCTCTTGTAGTCAAAGGCCTGGCTGGCACCGAGGGACTTGACGAAGTCGAAATTCCGGGGCGACGCGGTTGTGAACACTTCATAGCCTGCCGCCACGGCAAGTTGGATGGCGTTGCTGCCTACACATGATGAGCCGCTCCAGATGAGGAGAGTCTGGCCAGTTGACGCAGCTCTGGGAGTGGTGGGGTGCTGCAGTGCGAGATAGTCCTTCTGGAAGAGACCACACGCAGCCGTTGAGATGCCGAGAGGAATGCCGGCGGCCTCCTCGTAGGAGAGGCTGGCTGGAATGGGTGCCGTCATATGCGCCTTGAGCACGACGTAGTTCTGGAAGGCTCCCTCTGCAGAACGGCTGATCTTCAGCCCCCCGGTGAGGCCAACGACTCGGTCTCCGAGCTTGAATTGCGAGGCGCGGGAACCGGCTCCGATGTCTACCACTTCCCCGGCAACGTCGCTGCCCATGATAGTTGGGTAGGTGGTCCAGGGGATCAGAGCAGCTCCCAAGCTTTGACGGGCATAGTCGATGAGGTTGAGTCCGATGGCGTGGTTTTTGATGACGATTTCATTTTCACCAGGTTGGGTGTATGGTGCGGAGTCGACCTCGAGAGGGAAGGCCTTTTCCGACTTGATCCATGCGGCGGCGTTGGTGGGAGACATTGTGAGTGGAACTTGAATGATTGATTCGTTCGAGAGTTGGAACAGCACATACCCATGCATCGGTCTATTTATATAGTTGGTATAGTATAAGCCCGGCCGGCGCTTAACCCCGCAATGTCCGGTGGCAGCCTATTAACCCCGACGGCGTCGGACGGCGCGCCTGAATTGCCTTTATCTCCTACGGGATTCCCCCGGTTCTCTGACGGAATCCCGACTCCCTCTCTCTGCTCTCATCAGTTCTCACATCTTTCAAATGACATGGACCCCTCCCCCCAGTATGACCTCGCCCCGGCCCCCTACGGCCACGCCTGCATGAACTGCTCGCAGTCCAAATGCAAATGCATCCTGCCCAAGGGAGGAGGACGATGCCAGAGGTGCTGCCAATGACATCCCGTACCAAGCCGTTTCCTTCCGTCTAATGGTCGTGGCAGGTGTCAGCGCTTGAACAAAGAATGCCGACCGTCGGCATTCCACCGACGGCAGACGTCGCGCCGATCTTCCAAGACAGGACGGCTGGAGAAGAAACTCGACGATCTTGTCACGCTGCTTCGTGCCAAGGAGCAGTCTGCTGATGGCCCGGTGGGGAAGTATGCGGGATTGATCGAGGAATTGAGGGGAGCGCCCGAGACTCAGACTCAGACTCAGACTCAGACTCAGGCTCAGTCTCATGCGCGTATCTCTCGCACCGTCTCGCCAGTCGAGAGAACCATGGGTGTTGGATACATGACCCCGGCAACTGGCAATTCGCAGGACAGGCATGGACTGGGGCGGTCATCCGTCGACCCGACACCAGCGCAAGCAGAGGAGTATCTGGATGTGTTTGCGACGCAAAAGCTGCCCTATTTTCCGCTGCTTTGCTTTCCCCCGAACACCACGGCGCAGCAGCTCCAGAATGAGCGCCCCTTCCTGTGGCTTTGCATCATGGCGGTCGTGTCAAAGAGCTCCCGTCAGCGAAGCGCTCTCTGCGATAAAGTCAGGGACACGGTCGCGCAGCGCATGGTGCATGAGTTCGTTGGTCGCGACCTGGATTTCCTGCTGGGCCTTCTGGTGTTCATGGCATGGTTCGTCAGTCCCGAGTTCATGTCTCAACACCGTGTCTCGACCCTAACCTAACTAGGTCCAACCAGCAAGTCTTCAGAAAACTGAACATGAGCGTTTTCGGCGAGTTCGCAAAAACCGTGGTGTTTGAACTGACACTCAACAAGCCTCCATTGTCGGACGGGGCATTGCTAATATGTAACCTCCAACCCACCCCCGAGGAAGTCCCTCCTGCACCACCCGTCCGCACAATGGAGGAGAGACGGGCAGTGCTCGCCTGTTTTCTGCTTACATCCATGTATGAACGCCACTATCCCCCTCATGCCCCACTCTAACGACGGCCAGGGTCTCTCTCTTCCTCCAGAAGATCGACCCCCTCCGCTGGACGCCCCACATGGACGAATGCCTGCACGTCCTCAGCGAACACCCCGAGTGTCTGAACGACGAAGTCCTCATCCACCAGGTCCGCCTCCAGCTGATCAACGAGAAGATCCACCTCAGCGACTGGCACGGCGGTCTCGCAGCCACGCACGAGCCCCTGAAGGCCCCCACGTCACTGTACCTCCACGCCATGGAATCCCAACTCGGCGCCGCCCAGAACAAGCTCTCCCTGCACTCGCAGCGCTACAGTACTTCCCCCGTCCCCCGTCCCCCCAGTACCCCTTTCCCCCTAAATTCTCAAATAATACTAACCCCCTGCACCAGAAATAATCCACCTCCACCACTTGAACACAGCCCTCACCCTCCACGAATCCTCCCTCCTCCCCCAAACCGCCAGTCTGCCCTTCCACCCCCCCAATCTAAACTTCCAAGCCCTCGAAAACCTCCACGCCAGCCTCAACGCCGTAAAAGCCTGGCTGGCCACGTTCCTCGCCCTCCCGCCCTCGGAATACACCAATTTCCCGTTCTCCATCTTCGTGCACCTGGCGCGCAACCTCGCCGCGCTGTACCGGCTCTCCACGCTGGACGACCCCGCCTGGGATAAGGCGTACGTGAGACGCGAGGTGGATATCATGTGGGCGATGGACCGGTTGATTGGGAATCTGGGGCTGGCGGCGGAGGAAGCGCGGTCGGTGGGTGGGGAGGATGTGGTCTTTTATTCGATTGAGAAGTATGATTCTCTGAGGAGGGCTTGGGGGGGGGAGGTGGGGGTAGGGGGTGGGAGTGGTGTTGCTGTTAACACTGCTACTACTGCTGCTGCTACTGCTGCTACTGCTACTGCCACTGCTACTGCTACTTCTACTGGTTGTGGTGTTGGCGATGGGCCGAGAATGGGGTTGATGGAGGCGGAGGTGCAGCCGGAGATCCAGGATCTGGGGAGTGTAGGCCTGGGGACGGGGTTCGATGATTGGTTTTCGGATTTTTTGAACTCCATGGTGCAGTAGACGCTTGGTTACCATCGCAGCCCCGGAAGACCGGGGCGTGGTGCGTGATGGCTCTCAAGCCGTACGCGGAAGCTCAAGCCTGTCTGGGGAGGGAGTTGGTCGATGCGGCGGATCCGAGGGAGTATAGTATATGTGGATTGGCGGATGCATAATGTTTTGGGGATGGGAAGAGGAGTGTGACTGGGGATGAGATTCGGGGGATGTTTCGAGATTGGCCGGCGCGGTTGCGTAGGGCTGTGGATGAGGTATGTATGCATTTACTTTATCCACCTTACTTTTTACTTTATACTACGTTATACTTTATATGTTATAGATACGGACGAGTGAAGACTAACCCCCCCCCCCCCCCCCCTCCCCAGCACGAACATACATCTCCTCCTCCGGCTCCGTCTGCGTCATGGGCGACGCCGCACACGCCACCACGCCCTGGTAGGGCTCCGGGATATACATATACTATAAATATATATATTAGATCTGGATTTAGAACAACACCCATGTGCATAGGATATGGAGAGTATATATATATATATATATATATATTAGATCTGGATTTAGAACAACACCCATGTGCATAGGATATGGAGAGTATATATATATATATACAACATACGACTGAAACAACCGACTGATAGGCGAAGAAGCGCACACATCAAAGGTCAATTGAAGTCTTTGAACAAGTGAACAATCTGGATCTGAAACAGCTGCTGCCAATGCCCCCCCCCCCCCCGGTCCCATTCCGGATAGTCGCAGGCGAAGAGGCGGTAGATATCGATGAAGGAGCGCGTCAAGTTGCCGCACATTAAGCTGGATAGCCCGACGTACTCCAGGGGCCGCAGCGAGAAGAGGGTGTCAAGCCAGGTCTTGGTGGTCTGTAAGCAGACCCAGAGGCACTCGACACGTTGGTTCGAATGAATGCCGTGGGAAGATGTCAGGGGCGGATGAGAAACCGATTTCGTTGGATGAACTAGTTCCGTGATTTCTGGGGCACGGGGATATTCCCCAGGCAGGCGACGTGAAGAAACCCCTAAAGCGAAAGGCATCCATTAGACACGCCCCCCTATTCAAACCACTCAACCTCCCGCATCAGGACAGATAACAGCGTCCATATCAAAGCTCTCCAAGCCCGGGATATCAACCATCAGATCACTCAACCACGAGAACCCCGGATAATCCGCGAGCGAATGATGCTGCCCCTGCCCCTGCCCCTGCCCCTGCCCCTGCCCTTGTCCCGTCTCCACCACGTTCTCCCTCTCCCCTCCCCCACGCACATTCTCCCCCTCAACACCCCCCACCACCACGCCCAAAACCCCCACATCTTCCACTCTCCTCCTCCAATGCCCCTTCACCAGAAGATACGCCATGCCATACGCCTCCCTCATCCCCTCGGTATCCCACGCCGCCACCACCTCCCGCACCGTCCGCATCGCCTCGCCCACCATCCCCAGCGACCCCCGACTGTCGATCGCCAACAGCGTGCAAACCACCTGGAAGGGTACGTTGGCGACCTGATGCCAGGGGCTGTTTGCGGACACCATCTCCCGCGCGGCGTGGAGGGCTTTCTTGGCCAGTGAGAGGATTTGGTCGTGTGTCGTGGGGGAGAGGGTGGTGTTGAGGGCGCGGAGGCGGCGGTAGATGAGGAGGGCTAGGTTGGTTTGCACGAGGAGGAGGGACGGTACGGGGGCAGGTTGGGTGGGGGAAGGGGTGAGGGTGAGGACTTGGTGGAGGGTTTGGGTTAGGGTGATGGATTGGGAGGGGTTTTGGGGTTGAGATTGAGATTGGACGGTGGCAGGGGAGGGGTGTTCGGGTCCAGGCTTTCGGTTATGGGGAGGAGAGTGAATATCTCTGCGTTGCTGGTGGTCTGTCGGGGAGTAGGCGGCAGGGTGGTCGCGCCGGGCAAGACGACGCGGGTGCGCGCGAGCTCGAATGATATCCACACGTTTAGATGCCGCGCCATGCCGAAGAGCCGTCGGCGGGTTTCGGGGTCACAGGCTACGGGCGGGCTCATTGTTGCCGATGCTGTGGTTGCTGCAGACTCTGTTGCTGTGGTGGTGTCATCAGATGGAGGCTCAAGATGCAACCCGGTCGATTCCATGAGATGCATCAGCGAGCAGCTCGCCATCCAGGCTGCGTTCGGGGAGGCGGTCATGCGCAGATACGCGACGCGGAGGACCATAGCGGTGACGATGTCGATGGACGGCGTAGCATCTGATAACAGCTCTTGGTCCAGGATCAGTCGCGCCGTCTCGGAGAGTTGGCGCTCTGTCTCGCACGCCTGTCGGCGCGAGAAGAGTAGACCAAAGGCTGCGACGCCGCAGAGGACAGCATCGTAGGGTCCGTAAGGGAGGACGGAAGAGGTGTTGGAGTTTGGATTGGCCCTGGCCTTGGACTCGGATGAGGATGTGAATGGGGTCGAACTCGAGGCTGAGGCTGAGACTGAGACTGAAGACGAAGAAGCGATCGAGCCCGCAAGCCATCGCCTGCTCACCTGCCGCAGCAGTCCATCGCGATCAATAAACCCGTAGCACGGATCGACCTTCTCAAAGAACACCGCCGCCAGCGCGCGCATCTCCTCCTGGGAGATGATATCCACGACAGGCACTACTGTAGACCCCGACGCCAACAAAGCACCTCCCTCCACCGGATACCGCATCCCGACATTCCACGCAACCAAATGCGGATGCAGCTTCGGCGCATTACCCGGGTCGACCTTCAGCCCCAGCCGTCTGGCGAATGCAGCGCCCGAGTTTGCGTCCAGAGAGCTGAGGCGCGCGGCTGTGTCCTCGGGGGAGGTCTTGGGGGGAGAGATGCCTCCCATTGCTATCGGCGAGGAGGTCATGATGCTGGTGGACGAGGAGGTGGTTGTGTGTGCTGTCTCCCCCGCCTGCAGCTGGAACAGCCGGGCATCGCGTTTCCGGCGCGATTGCAGGTCGTACTGGCAGGTCGAGCCGAATTGCGCGCATGTTGCGCAGGGCTGGTCCCCTGAACATTTGCGTTTGCGGGATTGGCAGAGGGTGCATGCAATGCGGGAGCGCTTTCGAGGTGGTTCGGGCATGTTGAATGGGGAGGGGATGTGAAGACATCCGCAGATGGTAAGTTATATGGCATCGGTCCGGTGGGTGGTGGTGGTGCGGAGGCGGGCCGCCTCCGAATCCACTGTTGCTGTGCGGGTGAGTCAGCAGGTGTGCAAGGTGTAACTTATAAGTTGGGGGCCTGGGGCAGCTACTCTTTCATGTTTATCGAAGGGATTTGAATAGTGGGCTATGCATGCTATGGAGGTATAGTATGGTATGGATGACTACCTACTGCGCCTTCTTCTCCCTCTCCCCCTCAGCTCTCCGCGTCCCCGCACCTGCAACCAACCTCCACAACACCCACAGAAACCCCAGCGAAATTGCCATGACAGTCCCCCACTCGACAGTCTTGCTACCAAAGAGCCCCCTTTCCTTCAACTGCAGCACCGGCACATCCAGCCCCTCAACCAGCCTGTCCCCGCTCGCGCTCGGGTTCACCTGATAGAACGTGGTGCGGGGACTGAACGGCGCATCCCAGCCGAGGTTGGTTCGATCGAACGGATTCACCCCCGGGTCGTCGGCCGAACAGGCCCAGAAGACCACGGGCCACGGCACGTCCACGCCGCGATACCCCGTCTCGGAGGGCCGCATGTAGCGCAGATGCAGCGGGATGGTGACGTTCCACTCCTCTGGGAATTGAGTCGGTTCTGGGGTGGCCAGCTCGAGCAGCCAGTTCGAGCCCCATTGCGATACGACCCAGTCGGGCGCTTCCAGGTCCGTTGCCCCGCTTACGGCCCGTAGGCCGGAGAGGTGGTGCGAGTCCAGGAATAGGTTGTCAGCTGTCATGAGTTGGAATTTATCTGCGAATATGTATGACGGCAGTGAGAGGTACGCGTGCAGGGCACACTCCGCGTATGCCGGGGCCGGGGGGGTCTCCAGCGCCGCGGCAGACAGCGAGATGGTCATGGTGGGATGCATGCCTGTGGGCGGGGCGAAGGAGACGGAGAAGTCGGCCTGCGGGTCGAGGACGTGATGTCTGGAGGGGAAGGAGAAGAGCGTCGGTTCTGGGAAGTTAGCACATCATCATCATCATCACTCACATGCATCCATCCACAGCAAATCAACGCCAGTAAAGAGAAACAAAACAGGAGGAGAAACATACTCAGCTCCCCATCCACCCCCACGACCCCCAACAACCCCCCCATCTTAATCTCCCCGGCCTCCACGGCCTTCTCAGTGCCAAGCAACCCCACCTCCACGCGATCGTGTTTCCCCCCCGGCGCAGCGATCTCCTCCGTCCAGCCATTTTCCGTCGGTGACCGTCCCCAGTATGCGGAGACTACTAGGGCCTGCGACTCGGCATCGTAATCGATATCGATCGAGTCGGCGGACTGCACGGCCTCGGCGCGGCGGCGACAGTCTGCACCTGCAACCTCTAGCGGACAAATGTGCTGCGTGATGAACTCGACGACATGGTGGGTTGGAAGGGGGGCGTAGTAGTTGTGTGTTGTTGTAGAGGGGGAGGAGGGGGAGGAGGCGGAGGACTCGGAGAGGGGGGTGGGGGGAGCGGTGAGGGATTTCTATGACCATTGTGAGGGTTAGTATTGTATCTCAAGAATCTTAGACATTCTTTCGGGACTGTACATCTCAATGGAGAGGAGGGGAGGGAAGGACAAACCAGAATACCCTCACAATACACCCCCCGATCAAACGCCTCTCTCAGTATATCGCAGAGCGGAGACACGGCATGACTTCACAATATAACTTGGTTAACTAACTGACTGACTCACTGACTCAACAAAAAGAACACCACCCCAACCAGACCAAAGATGAATAAGAGAATAATGCAATAAACTCACCTCTCTACCTCCTCATCAACCTCAACCAGCCTCACCCCCCCATGCAAACCCGGACTAACACGACTCCCCCACGGCTCGACAGCCTCGTATCTCTCCTCCGTAGCCCATCGGAGATGGAGCTCGTGGAATTGTTTGAGTGTGGTGCCTAACTATATCCATATCTATCGTCAGCCTCTGTTATATCATCTATACACCCCTCTTATATATGTCGACATATCCCATAACAGGAACAGGAAGAGCACAGCACAGCACAGCAAAGCACAGCAAAGCACAGCAAAGCAAGTAGCTAATCCCCCCTCCCCCTCCTCCCCCTGCAACCAAAAGACTCCCAAAAGTAAAAAGAAAAATATAAAAAAGAAAAAGACATACCAAAGCACTAACCTCCCCAACATCAACCGTGATCCGTTCCTCCTTCGCCGCATCAAGGCCATCGATGTGCAGGGCGTGGGGGGTGAGATGGGCCTGGGAGGAAACAAAAGACGAGGAGGGGGGTTGGAGGTAGGTTATTCTTGTTTTCATTGTCCTCGTATCCTGATGATCTGTATCATTAGTGGTGGAATTGGGTAGTAGGCGTTTGTGATCTGGGGATGTAGTTGAAATTGTGATGGTGGTGATGGTGACGATGATGTTTGGATCGGGGAAGCTCCAGCTCCAGCTCAATGCTGCGGAGTTGACAACACGCTAAACCAGACAGCGTTAGTCTGGATGCTACTATCGATAAGACCGATAAGGCCGATAAGCGTTGTGTTATTTGTGTAGTTCTTGCATTAGATTTAGTAATCATCATTATTAACTAGTTCACTATCACTGGTTGGTTGGTCTATTATGGTACAGTTACACACTATCCCAAATCAAAAGATATCATGGGTGAGTGAGTGATCACTGAATTCCAAGCTCACTACCACATCTTCCATCTGTCCATCCATCGCAGCATCACATCACATACATCATCAGCGATCCAGTCGCTCACGCCTAACGCCGCTATGCTAAAACCAGGTGTCCAGGCACCGAGACAACGACATGGGAATAGAATATAAAAAGCAGAAACAAAAGCAAAAGCACAGCAGCAGCAGCAGCAATAATAACAGTGGTAGTCGTAGGGTGGAGTCAGTCGAGGCAATCAAGGAAGCGTATCCTTCAGGATTTCCTTCTGCGACGCGCTCAAACTAGCCGGGAACCGCACGTTGACACGGACCAGCAGATCCCCCCGCTCACTGGGCTTGCGCGAGATGGTCATGCCCAGCCCCGGGAAGCGTTCTTCGTGGCCCGGATGGGTGGGCCCGGGCTTGGACACCCGGATCGATTTGCCGTCGATCGTGCGCACGATGCGTTCCCAGCCTGTCAGTGCCTCTTTCAGGCTGACCTCGACCGTCGTGACGAGGTTGTCGCCCTGGCGCTTGAAGTTTGGGTGTTCTTTCTGCGGACTGTTAGCTTATCTGCATCTCCAGCGTTCTTCGGAGGGAAAGGGAAACCTACCTCGGTCACAATCAAATGCACGTCCTGGCGACCGCCTTCCTCCTGGTCGCCCACCCCGCGGTACTTGATCTTCGAGCCCGTGCGCAGACCCGGCTTGATGTTCGCTTCCAGCGTCACGTCCTGCACGGTGCGCTTCCCGCTCGCGTCAAACGTCTTGCTCTTGACCGACACCTTCTTGGTCGTGCCGCGCATCAGCTCCTCCAGCGTCAGCGGCAGTTCTTTCTCCATGACCGTGGGCTCTGGCGTCGGCGCCCGCTGCGACGACTGTTTGAAACCGCTGGGCCGACTGCTCCGGAATCCGCGGCCACCACCGCCGCCCAGTCCGCCGCCCAGCATCGAGAACAGATCATCATCATCCATACCGCCCATGCCGCCCATGCCACCACCCCCACCAGCTTTGGCGAAGTTCCGGAAGATGTCATCCGCGTTGCTGAACCGGAACCCGCTGCCACCGCTGCCAGGGCCGGTCGAGAAGTGGAACGTCCGGGTGCCGCCGCCGCCGCTGCCGCCACCACCACCGGGCATGCCACCGAAAGAGAATCCGCCCGGCATCCCGCCATCGAAGGGACTGGCCCCGTCCGCACCGCCACTGGACGGGGGAGGACCGCCGCGAAGGAGGTATTCGAGGCCGAATTGGTCGTAGACCTTTCGCTTTTCGGGGTCGGAGAGAACTTCATATGCTTGGGAGACCTCTTGAGACACGTCAGCAGCTGGCAACTCTATCACCAATAACATAGCACGATGACATACCTTTAAACTTTTCCGACGCAGCCGGGTTATCCTTGTTCTTATCGGGGTGAAACTTCAGCGCAGCCTTGCGGTAAGCCTTTTTGATTTCATCCTGCGAGGCCTCAGGCCTGACCGAGAGGGCGTCGTATAGCTTTGTTTCAGCGACCATTGTGTCGTGGGTCGAGAGGATATGCGTTGTAGGTTGTGGGTAGTAGGTGATAGGTTGAGAGATACAAAAGACTTGGAACAGGTGGAAAGCTAATTGGAGAAACCAATCACTCTATAAAGACCGTCCAGCAAGGAGATCACACCACCAGGCAGAGCGACCGGGTGGGAAGGACGGACGGACGGACGGACGTCGAAGAAGGCGGGCGGGGAGCGAAGCAGAATCTCGAATGACGTAGAAGATTCACTCCGAGGCCAGCCAGCGATCCGCGGATCCGAGTCAAGGGGAGGGGAGGAGAGGAGGATACTGTTAGGGTCGAACGGGGTAATGCAGGGGGGAAGGGGGGGGGAGGTGAGGTTTTCAAGGGTGTTCAGGACATCGCACACAGGGAGCCAACGAAGCGAGGCCAGGTGGTGGTGGTGGTGGGTTGTCGCGGTTTATGCAGCAGCAGCGCCGGCGGGCTTTCAGGTGAGCCAGCGAGCCACCAGAGTGACGTGTGACGTTGACCGGCACGCCGGTCGGCCAATCGAAGGTTCGAGAAGGTTCGATCGTCGGGGGACAGTCGGGGGAGGAAGGGGGGGGGAGAGGGAGATGGAAATGATATAAGTGAGGAGGCTATTGCAGGCAAGCAGGAGGATAGAATGGAGGAGAATGGGAGGCGCAGAGGGAAGGCGATGGAAAAGGGTTCCTGCACGAGGAAGGCCGCATTGGACCGTCGGCATCCTGAGGCTGCCCAGTCACGCTCGTGCCTGAGTCGTCGGGCATCGGGAGGCTGCAGCATATGCATTCATAACATGGCTGAGTCATGTGTACTGCATAACTAGTTAACCAACTAACTAGCTACTGTTATACACTTTTTCCCCCGCCGCTAACTCTCCACATATCAATAATAATAATAATAATAATAATACCTTCTCTATCAATAATGCAGAATCCTACCCCACGACCACCCAATCCTTCACGACTGCCTCCCCACCCACCACCCTCTCGACCTGCTCTTGGGTACACCGAGCCTCCAAATCCAAAAGATAGCACGTCGGCGCCGGACTATCGGGCACGTCATTCTTCACCTGCCAAGTCGAGTCCGGCCCCTCACTCGTATACGACGCATTCCTGGCCGTGTTGACCCTCCCGGTCGCAATGTCCCGATTAAACAGCGCGCGATGGAAGATCTCATACGCCGTCTGAGGCTGATACGCGGGGACCTCATGGCCGGCCTGGAAGACACGGGTGAAGGAGAAGTTGCCGTGCTGGCGGACCAGGCCGCCGACATACGAGGAATTGGTGCGGACGGGGGCGTAGCCCGCAGCGCGGAACGCCTCGGCCTCGGTGTGGTCGACCTGCAGACTGACGTCCTCGCCGCCCATCCACGGGCACGCGTAGTCGCGGTCGCCGTAGACCAGAGCGACTTTGACGCCGGAGTCGAGGACGTACGCGAGGTCGTGGACGAAGCCGCGGGTGTCGGAGCGTGAGTAGTCGCCTGTTGAGTGGAAGGCTTGCTCTACGCTTTCGGCGGCTTGTGTCCAGTTGATGGGCACTCCGAGGGCGGATTGCACCCAGGGTTGGTTCAGGTAGCCCATGTAGTACGGCGGCGGGAACGGGTCCTTGCTGGAGTGTGTGATGTCGTAGTATCCCCGGCCGGAGAGCCGGGTGTACAGGCTTTTGATGCGCTCGCTGCAGTAGCTGTCTGCGTCGCGGCAGATCTGGTTGACCGTGGCGTTGTGGCCGTGCATGTTGGGGTCGCTGGCTGCGGCCACGGCGCGACAGTCCAGAATCCGGTCCTTGCAGCCGCCCGGCTTGCCCCAGGCGTCCATGGCCTGGTCGTAGACGGTCTGGTTGATGCCCTCGATGCCGTAGGTGTTGTTGTACGCCTGGTGCGGGAACGACGGGACCTGGATGAGCAGGTCCACGCAGCCGTTTATGATGCCCAGCGTGTCGAGATGGATGCGGCGGGCGTCGAGACTTCCATCCTCGATCTGCGCGTTCTGGTCCTGGAAGAAGGCCGCGTACGCCGGGCCATACTTCCCGCCGTAGGACTCCGTCCAGATGCTCACGCGGTCGTCGTGCGGGCGGTACTCGGGGAACTCGGTGAACCAAGTCTGCGCGAAGAGCCACAGAGCGCGGGCGCCGTTGACGGTGCCGTTGACGGTGGTGGCGCTGTTGAAGCTGGGGAAGGTGCCCACGTAGAAGGTGTTGTTCTGCTCGGGCACGGTGTCTTCTGGGAAGCCGGACACATCCACGACGCCCGTGAGCTGGTCCAGCGTACCGTTGGTGGGCACGTCGTAGCTGAACCCGGCGTGGCTGGGCTGGTCGATGTACAGCATGTTCACGTAGTTGTTCCAGGCCCAGGGATTCAGCTCGGTCGAGTTGGAGTCCGGATTCACCACGCATGGGCCGTTCTCCTGCAGCAGGCCGATCATCGAGGAGGCGCCGGGCCCGCCGGTCAGCCAGATGGACAGCGGGGCATTGATCGGGTTGTTGCGCGACTCGAAGAACCAGAAGAAGGTGTTGATCGGGTAGTGCTGGTCGACGCCCAGGTCGTTGAGCGTGCCAGGGGGGAGGTGGATGTAGCCCGAGTAGGAGTTGACTCCGGGCGTGGTCTCGCAGATCTCGGGCTGTCCAGTTGTTAGTGTCCTGATATAGGACCTGATTGAACGGGGACTTGCATTCTTGTAGGAGATCTTGACGCCGTCATGGTGCTTCGAATGCACGACCTTCACTCCCTCGGGGGTCGGGGGGAAATACTGCGCCGCGACAGCCCCGGCACTGGCCAGCCCGGCGATGACCACAGACACAAGAGACGGGGACGGCATGGCGAGGAGACGGAATCTCGCAAGCCTGGGCGGAAAGGAGGATGGATTCAACATGCAAGGCTCCGATGGGTGGAAGAGACACACACCATGGCACACTATACCCGGGAGGACTAGTGCTGTATACACTAAGCGACTTGATCGATAGCGCCAGGAAGGATCGAAGTGGCTCACCCCACTAGACTAGATAGATAGATAGACAGATAGATAGATTCACTACACAAACAATTAAGTTAGTCCTCCCTGACAGTCAAGAAGTCAAGATAAACAGCCGATATTCGGGTCAACTCTTGAAGGATGACTGTCGACAAGACCACGCGGGATATATATTTACTAAAACCAATTCCGTAGCCTTTCACGGCATGCATCATCCCAGTATCAGGATCTAAGAAAGAACCGAGACGCCCAGGTATCCCATGCCCATGTTCAAACCAGTAAAACACCACGCAACGCTAAGGATCACAAAACAAACAAAATACACAGAAGCCCCGCGCAGGAGACACCAACCCAAATATCGATCACAACCGACAAGAAAAGACAGAGACGAGCTGGAAACGCACCAAAGGGTCGGTCGGTCCTGAGAACAGGCCGAAAAAAAAAAAAAAAAAAAAAAAAAAAGGGAATCACACAGGGCATATGTAGCGGGACGGATCCCAAGGAATGTGCCAAAAAGGGGATATATATATACAAGAAGAAGCGGTCGCGAACCACAAGCGAGGTCCCATCTAGGCGGTTTGGGGTTGCACGGCAGTGTCGAGGTGGATGTCTGCGTCAGCAGTGATCGTCTTCGTGGCAGCCAGCTCGGGGCTGTCCGACTTGGCCTGCGACGCAATGGAGGGGGACGGGGACGTGCTCTCGTCGGAGGGGTCGACGTGGCTGTGGCCGTTGACCGCGACCTCTTTCTCCGACGCCACGTCCGAGTCATGCAGGCTGGACACCGAGTGGAACTCGTCCTTGTCGAGGGACAGCTTGTTGGACGACTCCGGGGCACCGATGGAGGAGACCTCGCTGGCCGAATCGTCGTTCCTCGGGTTCAGCGGCAGCTCCATCAGGCCCCAGGCGGCACGTCCGGGGCTCGAGGCCACGGAGCGGCGGCGGTTGGGCGACAGGGAGACGGAGGTGGGCGAGGTGGGCGTGGAGGTGGAGGCAGAGGCGGGCGTGCGATGGGGGTTGCGCGGAGGCAGAGCCGGGGGGATGCGCTTGGGATCGTCACCAGCTTGGCCCGCGTGAAGGTGGGCGACTGCCGCCGCAAATCCACCGGCATCGTCGAATCCTCGATCGACACCGGCGACGTCGGCGCACTGTCGCGCTTCGACACCGTGGCACTGATGACCTCATGCACCTCCACCTCCTCCTCCTCCTCCTCGTCCTCCTCCTCATCGGCCTCCGCGCGAGCGCGAGCCTCCTCGTGCTCGGGAATGACAGTGTCCCAGCGGGCATCCTCGCCATCCGTCCACGGGCTGATCTCCGCCCGGTCCGAAACGTCGCGATAGCTGCGCGACGAGGCCCGACTGATGGAGGTCGGCGCTGTCGGCGGAGCACAATCGGTCTGCGTGCCCCGGTCCATGCTGGCATAGCTCTGCACGCTGGCGCGCCAGCTGTTGCGCGTGGAGCTATCGACACTCCGGCGAAAAGTCGCATAGATGGGACTGTTGGGGCCCGGCTTGAACTCGAAGACCTCCTGCGACGGTCGGCTTCGGGACCCGGCCTCGCGGATGAACAGGCCCTCGGCCTCCAACGCCTTCACGCCGAACGGATCGGGGTCTTCGGGGTCGGGAACGCCAAAGGAGCCCGGGGACAGGGCCAGCTCGGCATCACCGGGGGCCTCGCCGGGCGGGGGCAGCAGGGCCTCGTCGACGCTGGCATCGCCCTCCGCCGCCTTGATGGTGGCGAGGAGAGTCTGGATGGAGGCGGGCGGGTGGTGGGCTTTGCCGGCGAGGATGTCGGACACGGAGATGCGCTCCCCGTAGAAGCGCTCGTTCTCATCGCTGCGCTCGATGATGATGGTGCCGTCCACCTGCACGCCCGCGTAGAGCCCGCGACTCTTCATGTAGGTCCAGATGGGCGCCTGTCGCTTGTGCACCTCGGAGTCGAGCACGCCGCCCATGCCCACGGGCCCAGCAGCGGCGCTGACCTCGCCCCCCAGGGTGCAGCGCACCTTCTTGAAGGCCTCCAGCGCCTCGTAGGTGTTGATGACCACCACGCAGTCGTAGATGTCCACGCCCGCCAGGAAACCGATGCCCGCCGTGTGCAGCATGATCCCCGACGGCGGGCTCCATTCGTCGGTCTCGGGGATGCGGGCCAGCAGCACGCCACTGCCCCCGGACCCACTGACCCAGAGCCCGGTGCGCATGGTGGTGAAGATGGCGATGCCCTTGGCCCGCTGGATCACCTTGGCGGGGATCTTCTTGATGACTCGTTGTTTGCCCTTGGGGCGGGTGAGTTTGCCAGTGTCCTTGCTGGCCGTGCTGTCGGTGCTCCGCCGGTCGGCATCGTCGTTCGCGTAGAATCCATCCTTGCAGAAACTGCGCAGGATGCGCGCGGCTTTGTCGCTTTCTTTATCGAGGCTCATGGGCCAGAAGGCCTCGGCGCCGACGCGGTAGGAGAGGCGGTTGACGGGGTCGCCCAGCTTGTCGAGGGTGTGCCAGGCCTTGTCGAAGCCTTTCTTGGACGTCCCCTTGGTCCTCTCCCAGAGCGTGGAGGAGGGCATGGTGACGACTGGGTGAGGGTGATGGTGAGGGTGACGGTGGTGCACTCACCACAGGGAATGTGATGACAGGACCAGGTCCCGGGGGACTAACGGGGGAGAAATGGAGGCTATAACTGGCGGGCGCAAAGACGAAGACGGCGGGAAACAGGGTATAAACAGCTGTCGCATCCACTCGTCCCAATGCGATGTGGAATGTGACACAGCCGAGGAATGCGGGTCCGAGGAATGCACGCAATTATACGGAGTACCTATACAGATAGTACAGCTCCGGAAATTAGTGGGCTGGGTTGGGGTTGGTTTGGTCTGGGCGAACGCCCGGAAATGCGTGGGATTATTAAACCCCCAAGGCCTCTTGAGGTTTTCTCCGTCCGAGTCGTTCCAGACCGGGAAGTGGCGAGCGTTTGGAGGGAAGGAGGGGGAACCATGGATCGGGCCTGAAGGGGGGGGGGGGAAAGAGAGGGAGAGAGGGAGAGAGGGAAGCCGGCTTACCTCCGCGTCAGCCTTGCAGTGTCGAGTCACCGGGGCAATAACAAGATGTGCAGTAGTAGTTGGCAGAAGAGGGGGGGGTTTGTTTATGTAGGGTTGATAGTAGTATGATGTAGTGAAGTTGACAGAAGGAGGGGAGGATCGACCCGAAGAGCGTCGAACAAGCAACAAACACCAGGCAGGCTAGGCTAGGCTAATGTCGGCGAGGAGAACTCCTGCAGTTGACCAGGAGCAGAAAAAAAAAAAAAAGCAAGCAGCGGGAAAGAAGGATCGCAGATGGGGGCGAGGGAGAGACTAAATGGAATAAGAATGCGCCGTGGAGGAGGATGAGGGCGAGGATGAGGGCGAGGGCGAGGGCGAGAGCCAGGCACGGATGGCAGCACGGCTGGGTCGGAAGGGCATGGTTGGCGAAGTGGCTGGCCGGAGATGGAGGAGATGGGGCCGATGTCAGCAGATTTTGGAGAATTATTTTACAGAAATACCCAGAAATGGGCAGGAAAAAGAAACAAGCCGGACAGATGCATGGCATCACAACATCCGCCGCATCAGCATCCATCAGCCAGCAGCAAAGCAGCAAAGCAGCAAGCATCAGCAGCGTCATCGTCATCGTCGCGTCGTTCGCCGAGCAGCCGATCGGATTAGATCATCATCTGCCGGCTATTCGGGATTAATCCTGGCTGCCTGCAAACCGAAAAGTTCTACCTGATGGATGGATCCAGCATCCCCGGAACCCAACCAACAATAGCGTCATCGACTACGTAGTCCACTCTTAGTCAGACTAAACAACTAGTTAGCTAGTTCTATGAAATTGAAAGGATATCTACCCGACGGAGGGTCCCGATGGAGCCCTCCAGAGCCCCTCCAAGACCCTCCGCTAGTCCTTGGGCACGCTAGCCTGATTGTTACTGTTTACTGTTAGACTTAGGGCATCGCAGTCTAGTTCTGGAGAAGAAAGAGAGCGAACGAAAGGAAAGAAAAATCAACGATAAACTTCCACTAGAGCCGTTTGAATCCGCTCTTCTCCTGACTTGCCCATCATCTTCCCCATCTAAGGTCTCAGGGGATGTATCAACTTTTTTTTTTTCTGGTTTCTGGATCTGGATATGACAGATCCAATCGCTTCTTCGCACTGCATCTTCAGCCCCAACAACTAACTACCTGCCAGCCATTCATCCATCCATCCAGTCCGCCCACCAGCCCCATCCCCCTTCTTTCCTTACCCCCTCGCTTCTTCACCCCGACCACTATCATTATCATTGTTCTACTAGATAGTACTTGTTGTTGTTGTTGTTTATTTACCTCTTGTCTTTCAAGATGCAGACAGACCCTCCCCTCCGCCCGTCGCCCCGGCAAACCCAACGCAAAGAAGCTTCCGTGCAGGAATCACTCCCCCCTTCCGACTCCTGCCTGCATCGCATCAAGTCGGTAAGTACGGAGTACCTAGGTAGGTAGCTACTAGGTAACTAGGAGATACAGTAGTCCTGCGGTAAATGCATCTGACACATCCGATCACCTTCCCTCCCCGGTTCAGGTAAGTCCAAGCCGGAGCTATCTCGGCCCATCGCATCGGCTGAGAGAGGAGAGGTTTAAGTTCGTGTTCCCAAAGTATAAAAATGAAAATTTTATGTCGGAGCATGAGGGCCATGGTTTTTCCCGCACCTGCGAGAGACAGGTCCATCTATCCATCCATCCATCCATCCATCCATACCTACCTATGGTTCATCTAAAAATTCTCGCTTTCGCCTTCCACATGGCACATAGTTTAGTTATTAGCATGAAGCTATCGCGAACTAGCTACTTACCCTACCCAGGTACAAGCCATTCATCGTTCGTATCGAGAAGACAGCAAAAAATGAACGATTGGACATATCATGATCCCCCCCCCCCCCCCAAAATGATGCATCCGTGGTTCGCAGCCCGGGCCAGGCCAGTCCACTCCAGCCCAGGCCACGAGGATGCGTTGGGTTTTGGTCGGGTGAGCGGGCGGGCGGGCGGTTATTGCGGTTGGTTGGGTTGGGAAGTTTACTGACTGGTAGATAACTAGACTAGGATGAGGGTTTGGATCTGGCTGGATCTGGCTGGATCTGGATGGGAAGCGAAAGGGAAGGGGAAGAAAAAGGGATGAATGGATGGATGGGGACGGAGATGTCCGTAAGGTACCTTACTTACCTTACCAGCTTACCAGCTTACCTACTTTCTCCCCCTCATTGGTAAGGTAGGTATGTGGTATGTAGAGATAGGATTCTCAGTTTCAGCTCCAGTTTCAGTTTCCACTGCCCTGACACACACAAGTATAGCAACACCTTAATCCAAACAAGGTAGGTGCTTAAGTTAGGTTCGTCAGGTACAGACGCTAATCTAAGATCAGTTCTAGACAGACAAGACGACAGCTGACAATCACAATCACACTTGCGACACTAATTAGATCGAAGCCCCAAACACGCCCTGACAGTGCCACTGCCATAAATCCAATCCCCTTCCCCCCCACTCCGCCTGGCAGGGGGAATTACAATCGGTGCAGTGTGCCCCCCTGTCCCTGTCCCTGTCCCTGTCCCTGTTCCTGTCTTCCTGTCTTCCTGTCTGTGCCTGTGCCCTGTCTAGTGTCTACTTAGTAGTGTGCCCCATCGCAAACAATGCCTTTCATCGAGAGTTCACTGGACGCTGGATAGACACTACTTCACACTAGGCGTTAGGAACCTTCTAGAGGATTTCTAGTGTCTCAACAAACAAAACCCACCCGTCCGTCCTGTGTCCACCACCTGCACTGACTCGCGATGCAGGCTGCAGCTAGGTAGGTAGGTAAACTCATTGGATTTAATTTTAATTCTCTTTTGATTTTTTTTTTTTTTTTTTTTTTTTTTTTTTGAATTTCGCGATCCAATTTCATTCTCGCATTTTCACCCCCTATGGATTGATTTTCTGTATAATTGGATGATGAGGATGGATAGTAGATAGACAACACTACCTATGGAGACTCAGGCAGCGTGCCCGATATGACATATCGAATATTCTCAAATCCCAATGCAGCTCACTACTTTATCTAGTCAGTCGCTGTTCATGTCACCTGTCGGCAGTCAGATGATACATGTTTTTTTTTTATTCCCCCTCTTTGCCGACTGTTCCTCCTGGTAGTTAGTGGTGGTCGTGGTCGTGGTGGCGGGCTCTCGTGCGGTCGTATCCATCTACCTTACCATCTACCATCTGCTATCTACTATCTGTATCCTGTGGAGGGAGGCAATCTTGAGTTTAACCTTACTGAAGTACTACCGACATACTTTTCCTGGGGTTGTTGTTGTTGATGTTACTAGACACATATGTTGATTATCTGTACTTACTACTTACTTACTTGACCCCAACTACACACCAACACACCAACACCCCTTGTTCACTCTACCCTACCCTACTCTACTCTACTCCCGAACCCACAACCCTAACACCCAAATCAATTCCAACCGTAGATACCTACCACCTACCACCTAGGGAACTAACAACCACCTCATCCCCAAACAGGAAGGAGTCTCCCAGCATTACCTGATACCTAGGCATACATTGCATTGGGCCGAGGAGATGCAGCAGCAGCAGCAACAGCAGGGAACTAAGACGTATCCTAGGACATAGCATCGACCTACCTAGGCAAGTACATCGGGGCTGGCTGCTAGCACGCATGAGCGAACGGATTCCGAGATCCCGATTGGAAGAGCGGATTAGTCTACCTAGGTAGATAAGTATGCCTCGGATATAGTCAGTATCTAGTGGGTTAGTAGATAATGGGTAGTGGGTAAGTACTTAGGTAGTGGCGATGCGCGTCTGACAGGGGTACCTGGGGTATGTCAGATGGGGATGCTGCATGTGGTATCTAACTATCTGGTAGCGTGTAGGTAAGTAAGGTAGTATCTATCTGCCGAGTGTGCGGCTGAATGCAGGCACTGTTCCTCTCAGAGGCCATATTGATTTGTCGCAGTCTACGGTCCGAGATGGTGCGTGCGGTCGATCCGTTCAGCCAGCCAGATCCAGTTAAGCTTAACAAGGATACCCAGCAAGACACGTCAGGTGGGATTGTACTGCTAGTAGGTAGAGGGACTAGAGAGAGAAAAGAGAGAAAAAAAAATAATAGAGTCCAGCTGATCCCGGACCAGGTCTAATCGTAAACATACACAAGTCCCAATAGAGGATGGATAAGATCTAGTCGGATCCACCCTCACAGAGCACCCAGCTCCTTCAGCTTGCCGATCAGCCCGTCGACATCCTCGACCTTGCCACCGCCCTGGCGCGCCGGGGGTTCTGATTGTCTGGGTTAGCCACGATGCAATCCCAACAGCAGCGGAGGGCAGCAGAAACTCACCGGTAACCTTGATCGTCTTCAAGCGCTTCTTATCCTCAACCCCAATGTCGGCCAACGTCTTCTTCTCGAGGGGCTTCTTCTTCGCCTTCATGATATTCGGCAGGGTGGCGTAGCGCGGCTCATTCAACCGCAGATCCGTCGTGATGACGAGGGGCAGCTTCGCGCGCAGCGTCTCAACGCCCCCGTCGACCTCATGCGTGACCTCCACGGCGCCCTCCGCATCCTTGATCTCGACCTTGCTGGCCTGCGTGGCCTGCGGCCACCCCAGCAAGCCCGCCAGCATCTGGCCCGTCTGACCCTGGTCGCCGTCAATGGCCTGCTTCCCCAGCAGCACCAGGTTGATGTTCTCGGACTTGACCACGCCCTGCAGCATCTTGGCGATGGTCAGGGGCTCGGGCCCGCCGTCGGGGCTGTCGCCCACGTCCACGTGGAACGCCCGGTCCGCGCCCATCGCCATCGCCGTGCGGAGCGTATCGGCGCACTTGGCTCCGCCAGCGGAGAGGGCCAGGATGTTTTCCACCTTCATCGGGCTCTGGTTCTTGGCGCCGCGCTCGCGCAGCCGGATGGCTTCCTCGACAGAGAGCTCATCGAACGGGTTCAGGGAGTGTTTGACGCCGGCGGTTTCGACGCCCGTGTTGGCCTTGTTGACGCGGGGTTTGACCTGGTTGGGTGGGGTGGGTTAGTGGGGGTGGTTTTCACGGTGTATTGAGCGATGGTATGTATGGAGATGAGAGCGGTTCCATGGAGATCGTTTCCATGTGAGACGGGGAGGGAGAAGGGGTGGGGGTTGGGGGTTGGGTGCGGACGAGACATCGCTCGTGGACGCAGCGCATGCGGGCGAGCGGCTTCGTCGCGGAGGTGTGGGTTCTTCACCGAAGACGGAGCACAGGACGACGACAGCTTCAACGACAAAAACTCACCGCGTAGTCGATCACCCGCTTGACGGGGACCAGGATCCGTAGGCCACTCATTCTGGATAGTGTGGATAGGGAAGAAGACTCGAGGAGAGGGATAAATCGAGGAGCAGATGGCTCGTGAGGGGGGGGGAGGGGAAGTTGAGACTTAAGGTCGGTCCAGCAGGAGCAACAAGCAGGCAGGCAGACGAAGAGATCCGACGGAGCGATGCGGCATTCCGGGGCAGAAAGCAGGTGACCAGGGCGGAGAAGCGCTGCTCTCGCCGAGGCGGGCCGACGACTCAACCGCCGCCAGCCGAGGTTAGCCTGCCTACAACTAACTACTAACTACCTTACTGATGACATGTGGAGTTGTCCAGCACTAACCACTTATCGAGAGGCCATGACCTCATACCTGTCCATTGTATCTATTGGGTATATCGGGGCGATTCCCTGCATCCCCCGTCCGGGTCCGGGCGGATGCAGAGCGCGATAAAATGTGCAATGCTAAGGGCCAAGCAAGGATGGCGCGTCCGATCACCAGGTCTCCTGCTTATACCGCCCCGTCTTCTCCATCCCCAGCAGATACTGCTCGGCGCCTTGCTCGTTGAACCGGTCCGTTTCCACCTCTGCCCCGTGCTGGAACGCGTCCGTCAGCGCCCCCCGCACGGCCTTCGGCATCTGCCCCGACGAGCCACAGATATACACCGACCCCGCCATGTCGTGCAACAGTTTGAAGAGGAGCCCGTAGTTCTGCCGGATGATGTCCTGTACGTAGACCTTTTGCTTCTGGTCGCGCGAGAACGCCGTGAGCACATTCAGCTTGATCAACTCGCCCAGCCGCTGCCACTCGTCCGCGAAGAAGAAGTCGGCGTCCTGGTTGCGACCTCCGTAGAGCAGCAGCGTTGGGCCGATGGAGAGCTCCACCCCCGGATTCTCTTCCTGATACGCCTTGACGATGGCTGCTTTCTCCCAAAGCATGGACCGCAGGGGTGCCACCCCGGTGCCGGGACCAATCAACACCGTCGGGCCCACGAGCTGGTTGGCGGATGAGTTGAGTCCTCCCTTCTGCAACTGGACCTTCAGGCTGCTGCCCAGGCGGAGGGCCGAGATGTACCGGGTACACACCCCTTGCCGCACCTTCTTGATGACGGTCTGGTACTTGACAATGGCAATTAGCAGTTCGAACGTGGTGCCTCCGCCGGGAGACCGCTTCAACTCGCCCCCACTGGCGATACTGAACTGTCTCCCTTTGAAGATCGGGAATACCGAGACCGCATGCTGCCATGGCACCTTGACTGAGTCGAATTCGTGCAGCACTTCTAATATACTTCGTCTCGGCCGGGTGGTGTAGTCCCAGAGCTCATCCAGGAACTCAGGGCCAGTGTATGTAAACTCAATGAGTCGCTCTTTATGCATTTCATCGCTGGTGTAGTGAGCAACAGATGCAAAGAAGGCCCGACGGGGGATGGCCTGGATGTCTATATAATCTGTAAGAAGGGCACGCAGGGTCAGCTGCGGGTATGAATCAAGGCCCTGAATTGGGGGAGAGGGGGCCTCTTCCTCCGGAGACGGAGTGCCATTATACACCAGGGAGACAAGCTGATCCGCTTGCTCCTCCCAGCCCATCATCTGGATCAGCGCGTCGACGTCGCTGGAGAAGTTCTTCGGGGTGATGCAAATCATGTCCCCGGGGACATAGGAGACATGGTCTGGGACCGTAAGGCAGACATGCCGCACATCTTGCCAATGCGTTGGCGGCGTCAAGCGTTTGTTCTGGGTCAGCGTTGCCGCCAGGGTGCCGGGAAGCGGTCTAATATCGTGGTTGAGTCGAGTCAACCGGGGAAGCTCATCGGACGGATTCTCGTTTTGCTGGGGTTCGGGAACTGCCTGTTCCGTGGATATTGATGTCGACTCCCCCTTGTCCTGCAGTGTCAAGACCCATTTGGGCGGCAGTTGAACATCGTCCGGTATCGGCTCTTGTCCTGGAGGCAGCGGATATGTCTCGAGAAGGTGCTTGCGCAGATCGGTCAACCAGGGAATGAAAGTTCCCTCCAGCCTAGCATCAATCAGCATGGAAAGATATCCCAACAGCCAGGAACTGAGTCTCACCCTTCCGGATGCTGTTGATCTGCCTCCCCACATCCGTATATCTCATTCGCCCCCAGCTGCACCAACCGCTTGTGCAATTTGCGCGCCGCCCAATTGAACCTATGCGAGTCAGAACTCCCCCCAAACACACAAGATAGAACCCAACGCACTTCGGATACGAGCTATCTCCCAGCCCAAATGACGCGAAATTGACCCCTTCCAGGAACGTAGGCGGAAGCCTCTTCAGCAACAACGACCTCCAAAACGACCTCGCGTTAGCCGGGAAGTCGCCCTGGCCCGTCGTCGACACCACGAGGATCACGAGGGTGTGGGATTTGAGCACTTCCTGCGCGGCCGGTCAGTGTGGGCGTGAGCATGAGGAGGGTAAGTGAATAGGCATACCGGCTTGTAGTGGTTTAGCTCGGCCACATGCGTCCGGAAATGGAGGCGCTCGGCCAACGTGCCCAGCTCCTCGGCGACCTCTTGGGAATTGCCGGTTTCTGAGCCATAGAGCACGAGGGCGGATCGTCGCTGCGGGGGCTGGCTGCCGTTCATGCTGCAATGCGTAATGCCTCTTGCGTCTGGTGGTGGGGATGCAGCGTCCTCGTAGCCGGAGAGCTTATCGCTCGCCGTCTTTTTTCGACCCCGTCGTTATTTACGAGCCCGTCACGGAACGGCATGACGTCATCCCGAGGCCGACTGCCGCTGCGTCTAGTACTTAGTCTAAGAACGAAAGGACTATAGAGGGCATTGCGTTGGCAATGCTGGAGTTTGGGACATCTAGTATTCCCAGATAGCGTGAAGACACACCATCATCATGCACGTATCACCGGTATCACCACTCAACCCGGCAATAGCAACCCTTCAACACCACTACACCACCGCCAGTCATCAAATATATAGCAATAGTATGCCATGCCATCCGTAAGATGGCCAAACCGCTGAGATTGATAAGATCACAAGAACAAGGGTATCTCAAAGCCACACGCCTAATACGTCTCCTCATCACCGCCGCCACCACCATCCCCGAATCCATCGTCCCCGTATTCGTCATCTCCACCATCGAAGTACTGCTCCGCGTTGTAGTCCCCGCCCATATCATCGTCGTCGTCTTCGAAGTCATCATCCTCCAACTGCTCCTCCTGCTCCTCATCCGGATCCAGCACATCCTTGTCGTCGTCCCCATCATCGCCCGCATCCTCGTCCTCCCCACCACCAGTCTTCCTCCGCTTCCCGGCCTCATCATCTTCCTCTTCCTCGTCATCCTCGAATCCTCTCTTGCCCGCGATCGCCGCCACCTGCGGTACATACCCGTCCATCGCCGCATCCGGCCGGAATGTCGGCTGAATCGTCTGCCACAGTTCGCGGGGGAAGAATTTCATCACTACATAGCACAAACACATCATCAGCCACACATCCCAACCTCCCAAGCCCCCAGGCAATCAAACAACACACTCGTCTGGAGAAGAAGAAAGCAGAAGAACGTACCGTACTGCCGTCCCAATATCCTCGGCAACGCCCGCTTCTTCTTCTGGTATTTTCCGGAATAAGACTGCATGCCATGGAAGGGGTCGAAGTTCGCCCGCGCGGCACTATCCTTTTTCGCGGCCGACGTCGCCCCATCGAGGATCGAGTAGTAGGGGCCATCGTGGATGCGTTCGCGGAGGGATCGGTACAGGTCGACCTGAAGTTGTTCTTGGGCAGTGAGGGGGCGGCCCCGGGGAACGGTGTATTTCTTTGGGTAAAGCATGAGTATATGATATGGCACGGTATGGTGTGAGGTGACAACTGGGAACAACACATTGTAGAGAGGGGGGAGAGGGGAGGGCGGGGTTAAGGTGGATTGGGGGGAGAGGCTATGGAAGAGGAGAAAAACAAAACAACAACAACAACAACAATGGAGCGGCGCCTTAGGCGTCACAAAGAAAAAGCAAATTAGGACCGAAAGAAGGCAGGAACGTACAGGGAACAAAGGCGTAGGGGCCGTGTCAGGCTCGCCGCCGGCGTCGCCAGTCTCCCAGGAGAACTCGGCCCCGGGGAGCTTTCTGCCTTTCTTTGCGCCGAATCGGGACATGATGGGGCGTGGGCGATATGAATGGGGTGAATGGGGTAAATGGAGTGAGAGAGCGTGGGAGGGCGAGCAATTCACTGCGAGGAAGGAAGTCGAGACAACAGCGTCAGTCAGCGCGGCCAGGCCGAGAAAAAAAGTTCCGCCGGAGCTGGCGCTGGCCTCCCCTCACCGCCTGCGGGGATCTCCCCGAAAGGGGTGCTTAGGGCTCGTGGGTGGGAGCCCTGGGCGACGTGGGGCTGGCCAATCAGGAGGGATTCTGGCATAGCCTCGGTACAACCTCCTCGAGGTAGGTCTACGACAGAGAGATAGTAGATGCTGCTTGATTCATTGCAGAGGAATTGCTGTACATAGAGAGGTATCTTCGTCGCATAATCATAATTCGTTCAGTCACGGAACAATCCTTACAAGCTGACGGTGGCAACCTGGTTGGCAGTCTGGGAAACAGGACCCAGTGGTCCCTCGTTCACCCTCTGCCGGAGCGTGCGCATGATGTCCTCGAACCCCTCCATCTGGCCACCCCCTTCCTGCAGGCACTCGTACAGCGCCGCCAGTACCTCGTGCTTCGCCGTTGCTACTTTCCAGACGGCGTGTTCAGAATCTCCGGCACCGCCGCCAACGAACTCCGCATATGAGCGAGGAGGCTTGAACAAATACGGTAGGAGGGTGGGCAAGGCCGGTGGCGTCAGAGCGGCCCAGGCACCGGACGATGGAAGAACCCCTTGGGCAGCCGGAGACAAACTCTCCAGGCCTTGCTCGGTCGGAAGTTGGTATCGAGAGGTGCCTGGGACGGCAGAGGTTACTTCACCCGTCAGCATCTGCCAATTCGCGGTGACGATGGCTTTCATGAGAGAGATCGACGACAACGAAACATCCTTCATGGCAAGGATATCGGCGGCTGCAACCACGTCCGTCCAGAAGTCCGTGTGTTCGTTTGTGTACATGAAGTAAAGAGCCCGGGCGGCGGCGGCTTCCTTGTGCCAGTCGGTTGGCGTCTGCCCAGAAGCATTCAGCTCCATCGAGTCAGCTAGATCTTGTTTGACCGGGCCGTGGAGGATCCTGGACAGCACGTCCAAAGCCGCTTTGTTGGGGGGACTGGTAGGCAAGGCCAAGACAGGATTCAATCCCTTCTTGCTAGCTTCGACAAGAAGCACTCGGGGTAGACAAGAGAGAACATTCAACTGCCCGCTGGGCACTGGCCCATGACCCCACTGGGAGGATGAAATCGCCACCGAGGATGCAATGCGTGACAGTACCCGGTCCAGAATGTGCTGCGGGCTTTGTAAGAAGTGGTTGGGATATAGCTCAGCATACTGCGCGACGTACGTCATGATCGGGCCGGACAGGTAGGCGAGATCCACAGCGTCCAGCTTCGATTCGTCCAAGTAGCTTTCCAACACCGTGGAGTGCAGATCATGCGAGATGAGGAAGTCCAGGGCAGGGGACGAGAAGGTGGACGCTGACTGCACGATAGTCCGTGCCATGAGACCGGGAGCGTCGATTTCCAGCAAATCATGGAAGAAGTTCACAAGGGTCATATGCATCAGCACATCACTCTTGTCCACCATTTGGCAAGCGGCAAAATGAAGAAGACTGTTGCTTTTGTACTTTTTCTCCACCTCCGGAACTTGCGAACTTGCGATTATATCCCAGCGTAGTTGACCTGCTTTCACCAGCAAGCCCATCAGCCGTCCCTGGGCCACTGTCTTATCACGCTTCGAAAGCCCCCCGGGCCCGTCCTCGGTGAGATTACAGAAAGCAAAGAGAAGCCCATAGACATCTTTGTCCGTGAATATCCTGCGCCAGACGAGCCCTTGTCCTCCAGTAGCTTCCTCACCTTCATGTCCTCCGTTTTCGAGCGGGCTGGACAAGTCGATCTCCAAGAGCGCCCAGATGGTATCGAACGCCGCCTGTGCGACAGCGGTGGAGGGCGTCGAAAGCCAGAGTTCAACCAGGGAAGCAACCAGCTCCGGGTCTCCGGCAACTATAGCGGCATCGCTGGGGACTTGTCCCGCCTTGCTTAGCAACGAGAGAACCAAGAGGTTGATCGGTTCCGAGGGAGCTTTGAAGCCCGCGATGAAATCGATCGGGGGTTCGACGGAGCGAAGATCGGTGAAGCTGAGGTAGGTTGTAGCTTTTATGGCAAGGGTGGTGACGGGAGTTGGGTCCTCCTGCAGGACGGCGAGAAGCTGCGAGATCTGAATCAAGAGGGTGGCGGGGACGCGGCGGTCCGTGGTCTCGGTCAGCTCCACCTTCAGCTTGTCGAGGGAAGACAGATCCAGCCGGGTGGAGGGGTCACGTTGGACTTCTTGGAGATGAAGCCGGACTTCATCGTAGGTCGAAGGAATGGCCATGGTTGTTTATGCGCCGTGAAGGGAAAGTGACGGCGGGAGGAAGATGCGGACGGAGGAGTAGATAGTAGTTAGTAGATGATCGATCAGTCAATCGCGGCGGGGGGAGGCAGCCTGCAAACCAGGCAAACACCCACAGCTCCGCCCGGACGTATCGTATCTACCGTACAGTCGAATAGTTACATCTCTCTCTCCTCCCCCCCCTCCAACATTATTCCCCCCATCATCGCATCTCTGGCGCCTTCCATAATGTCCGACCTGCCAGATTCCCTCCTCTCCCAGAAGACTTCCGACTCCGGTCTACACATCCAACTCCATCCGCTGATTCTCCTCACCATCTCCGACCACATCACCCGCCATGCCGCCCGGTCCCAACAAGGCCCTATCATCGGAGCGCTATTAGGCCAGCAAAACGGACGAGACATTACCCTTGAACATGGCTTCGAGTGCCTAGTGACAGAAGGATCAAATGGCGAAGCGCAGATTCCGCACGACTGGTTCGTGGAGAGAGTCAAGCAATGTAAGCCAGCCATGACCTACGGGAAACATATACATCACCCTCACTCATACTGACACACTCCCCTCCAGTCAAGGACGTCCACAAAGCGCCCCCCCTCGACCTCGTCGGCTGGTGGTCAACCGCACCACCCACCGGCCCCAACGCCGCCCACCTCTCCATCCACCGCCAAATCCTCCAGAACTACAATGAATCCGCCGTATTCCTCGCCTTCCACCCGTCGCAGGTGCAGGGGGCATCCTCCAACGGCGGCAAACTGCCCCTGACCATCTACGAGAGCGTTTACGAGGGCGAAACCGCCGCGGAAAGCGGCAAGACCATGCAGATCGACGGCGAGGAGCAGCAGCAATCCCTCACCATCCGATTCCGGGAACTGCCCTACTCCGTCGAAACCGGGGAGGCGGAGATGATCGGGATCGACTCCGTCGCTAGGACAGCCAGGAACGCCGCTGTGGATGCCCCCGCTTCTAGATCGCTGTCGAAGCAACCCAAAGATACCAAGGAGAAGCAGTCGGCGGAGTCGGCGTTGCTTTCGCCGGAGGAGGAAGAACGTATGTCGTCATTGTCATCACGCACATCCCCTTTCCATAAACTTCATTACTAACAAAGAGATCATGACTATAGTAATCACCAGCCTAACAACCCGCCTCAATGCCATCCGCACCCTCGAATCGCGCATCTCGCTCATAAAGTCCTACGTCACAAGCATCTCTACCTCCTCCGTCGAGGGCAACAACAACAACAACAATCCAACCCCAGCCACAGCCCCCACAGACCCCACAGACCCCGACACCACAACCACCCCCAGCCCATCCCCCTCTCGCACCCCATCCTCCGCAACATCAACGCCCTCATCTCGCACCTCTCCCTCCTCACCCCGCAAGAACATAGCGCCTTTACGGCCGAAACCCTCGCCCAGACCAACGATGTCCACCTCGTCGCGCTGCTGGGCCAACTGGGCCAGAGTATCAGCGCAATGCGCGAGCTGGGGAAACGTACGGCTATCATGAATAATATGCGGCGGAGTATGGTGTCGTCCCGGAAGGCTCAGTTGACGATGCAGGGGAGGTTTGGGGAAGAGTTTTTCTCGGGGAGGGATGGGGTGGCGCATGGGTAGATATAGATAGATACCGTGGTGGTGGCGGCTGTTTAGCTGGGAGGTAGAAGAGAAAAGGTAGGGTGGGTGGGGAGGGGGGGGGCGTTGAGCATGTTGATGGCGCTTACTTGATAACGAACTATGAATTTCATGATGGTCACATACACATACAGTACTTGACCATCAATATCTACGTACACACACGGCTTTAGTGCTACACAGTAAAGTATAGAACACAAGCCCAGTACAGACCTACTTAAATATCCAACCCCCAAAACCAGCTAGAACAATAACAAAAATTTCAATAAATCAATGATAATTCCCAACCCAGATCCCAGGTACCTAAAGTTAAAGTTAAGTTACATCAACACCACCTAGGTAGGCCCTATCCATCATGAAAACCATCCCAGTCCAAGCAATCGTACTTTACAAGAGAAGCGAAAAAAAAAAACACAACAATGCAATCTAACCCCCAAAGAAAAGAAATGTATGGACAGCGAAAAGCAGTGATCAAAAAATTGAAAGAAGAAAAGAGAAGAAAAAGGAGAAAAAGGGAGAGGAAACTGGAACAGTATTCCTAATCCAGTCATCAATCCGAATAGGAAGAGAAGAAGTGTAACCCGACTCAAAACACAAAGTCTAGGGTCTCATGAAGCCTCAATCTTTTATAACCGTGATCTCATATAGCGAAACGAAACACAAAGCAAGGAAGGCAGGCCCAAAAGGGGGGAAAAAAGTCAGAGGGTATTATACGACAAAAACCAACGCCGGGAGACAAAGACAGCAGCAGCTAGCATGGCACTGCCCACGGGAGGGGTGGGTGGTGCAGGACAAGTGGAACAGGCAACAACGATATCCGATGAAGTCTTCCCTGTATGGCAGTGCTCTCTATCGTCGTTGATGGTCACTGTCGTAGTGGGGTGGAGGGGGTTGGTAGGACTCCGGGAGAGGGATGGGGGGTTGCTCTTGTAGGGCCGTGTCTGGGTGGTAGAGATGGACCGGATGAGGATCCTCTGGGTACGGCGGATTGGGGTACGGCGGGTTGCCGGGGGTAGACTCGTAGTCATGGTCGTGTTCGAATTGCGAGTTGGCCAAATAAGGGTTATAGGCGTCATCGTAGGGGGAGTAGGGTCGGGGCGAGTGGGAAGGCGAGGGTTCCAGCAGTGACGAGGCGCTCAGGCGGTTGTGGTTGTAGAAACGGTTCGGGTCGTTGTCGTCCTCGATCGGAGGGGCCAGTCCAGCCGGGCTGGGCTGCGCATGCGACAAAAGCACCTGTCCTTCTTCACCCGGTGCCCCGTAACGCCCGCCGCCCATCATCGCGCCGGCGCCCCCATAGGCAGTGCCGTGTTCCGCTCCGGTCTCCGTGGCGTCTAATCCGATGGATTCGGGTCGAATGTGGTAGCTGGGATCCAGAGTGCGCCTCTTCCGGCCAACAAACAGCCAGCGGAAACTGCGCCCAATGGCCTTGATGAGGTCGAGCGGGTTCAGCGCATCCAGCAAGGCTTTCGTGCCAAACCGACCGCCGTCATAGGTGGCTTTTCCGTTCCCGTAGAAGTCCGTCACCTCAGCCGTCTGGGCGTTGAGGGTGTAGCGCTTCCAGGAGAACGCCCACAGGTGCAGGACAGCGAAGAAGGCCATTTCGATGTTGATCAAAAGATTGGGGAGTCCGACTTTGAGATCCGGGTCCTGCAGTTTACTGCTTGCCTTGATCGCACCCGCGGAGGTGAGGAAGGAGATCAGGGTCTGCGTCTGAGGTTAGGAGCCTGGGATGGACTATTGGAACCAGGTGCACTCACCGACTGCCAGAAGGACAAGAAAATCACGAGCTTGATGGAAAGGATTTTCAGGAATGGCGAATGCTGGCTGATATCGTCCTTGATCTGGATGTAGAATTGGATAAGGCAGTACATGGCGATCGTGACTGCGATACACTCGACGATCAAGACCTATTGCGCGGTTAGCTGACATCGACAAAAACCGATCGGGCCTGTATTTCATACCCAGATGTGCGAAAACGCAGGGTTGAGTGACTCCTCGCAGTACAAATTGAAGCTTTGCGTGATGACCGCGACAACGGTCATGAGGACTCGGAGAAGACAGTATTGGAACACGCCCACCCAGATGACCTATGCTCCTCGTTAGCGCCAGCCATTTTCACCCGCGCACAATCCCACTCACGTTGAACCATGTCAGACCACTGCGCGGAGTTCTCCAGATGCCATTCTCCCCTCCCGAACATTTCTGCATCCACGGGATCGGGAAGACCCATGGCTTTGGCTCGACTCCTCGGAAGTATTCCTTCTGGCTATGCAGGTCGGGGGCGACGTATGCGCACATCAGGGAGAAGAAAGCGGAAATCGCGAATGCCTCGTAGCAATTGCCAATCACGTCGTAGTAGACATCGTTCTTGTAGAAGTAGGTACCGAGCCATGCGACAATGGCGTAAACGGGGACCATGAGCAGGATTCGAATGATACTGCGACAGAAGAAGCAAGCGTCAGTCACCAGCGAACCAAATGCAGGGGACGGTTTCCCGAGGAGGATCCATACTGCCGCTGTTCTATCTTTTTGCTGTAATGCGTGGCGTGCATGAAAATCAAGTAGAAGGAGATCACTATCGATAAAAGCCCGAAAATGCCGCCCACAATCAGGCAGAGGTCATGGAAGGTGAGACCGCCATCCCAAAGTTCGACTTCGGTGACTGTAGAGAATAACCGCGTCAGCCCATGCAACGGGTCACCAGGTCGCAACCCAAGCGGAGGGAGGGGAGGGGAGGGGGGAGGAGACAGGCGTACTGGTCTCGTCTTCGACGGTGGAATTGCACGTTGGCCAGCCCATTCTTGCAGCGCGAGCGGAGGACTGCAGGGACGAACAGCCTCGAGGGAGAGTGTGTGAACGAGGAAAAGGGAGGAAAGGAGGTGATGCGAAGGCGAGGGAAGCGAGGGGAGAGGATCGTCGTAATGGCCGCCAACCCGCGTAATGTTTGTTTAAGATATCTTATCCGCACAGCCGGGCTTGGCCCCCATGAACCCCTGGAAGCCACCCAACTTTAAGCTTCGCTCCGCTTGCTGAGCCTTCGATGCGGATTGCCGTCGGGTCGCGGGTACTGTAAATAGATCTGGCAGGCCAACGGGGCCGATCGCCCTGGCAATGCTCCGGATGCGCTGGCAGAGGAGGCGACCGAGGCCAGCGTAAAAAGTGCAGCAGCAGACGGCGTCGACGGCGACCGGGGCGGAGTGGGACGGGAAAGCAAGTGGAGGGGGTCGGGTGGAGAGTGGGTAGGCGTTATATATAGTCATGTATTGTGATCAACGGCTTCAGTCGAATGCGACCGGTGTGAGGATTTTGTGGTGCAAACAATCCGCGAACCGGCATGGAATGACGAAGAGGAAAGAGGAAGCTAAGGACTTGGGAGTGAGTGGTACGTACGGCGTGTCTAAGTACTAGTAGTGAGGACGACGACGACGAGACCGCCAAGGCAAGGCAGCCACGTTTTGGCCGTTAAGGCATGACCGCAATTACGGCATCACATCATGCATAATTCCGATTATTCCTGTTCATTCCCGGTATAGCATCCCAGTGTATCCATGAACATGATTGTCATCCCTAATTTACATCGAATCCCGTGTTTTTCCCCCCAAGGCCTCCTAGACTCTTGGCCCTACTATACAGGAAATTGAAATGACAACAATACAGCGAGGGTACTTCCCCCAAGGGTCAGCGTCAGCCAACTCAATACCGACCACGACGGTCATTCCGCCACGAGTCGCCGCCAAACCCTCCCCGTCCGCGACCTCGTCCTCCCCCTCCGCGACCTCCCCGGCCTCCGCCTCGTCCGCGACCCCCGCCGAATTCCGGGCCGTTGTCCACAAAGTAATCCTCGTCCTCAAAGGTGATGCGTCGCATCTCGTCGCCTCCTCGCCGTGGGAATTCTCCCTTCCGTAGGAGATCGTCGAAGCGATCGAGACGCCGGTCGGCCACTTCGCGCGGGACGGGGAGATAGTAGAGCTTGGGCTTGGCGGTCGTAGACATGAACAGCTCGTCCAGCGGCTTGAATCCTTGCCCGGGTTGCGAGCCGGAGTCGGCGGGCACGGCGTCGCTGGGACGGCGAGCATGTCCGCCAGCCTCTGCCCGCGGTCCGGTGGGCGGCGGACGAGAGAACCCGCTGGGCTCAGGCCCGCGCGCGGGTTGATGAGATCCAGCGCTTCGAGGGTCGACCTCATCCAGAACCGCCTCGACACCATCCTCCGTCAGCTCGTATCGGACCTCCCAGCGGAGCGGAGGGGCTCCGCGCTGCCGAGAGCCCTCTTCCCTTTCGATCCACTGCGGCAGTCGGTCCTCCGGGATGAAGTCCACAAACAGGGTCTTGCGGTTGCGTTCGTTGGGCCAGACCGTCCCATGGAGTGCAGTGCGGACGCGAGACGCCGCAGAAACGCTCGTGAAACTGACAAAGCAATGCGTCTTGATGGGGTCCAAGTAGAAGTCCACGATCGCATCCGGGTTGGGCGATGCGCCCGGAGACGCCGCCAGACTGACCAGGTGATTCCTCAGCGCGACGGGCTGCAGCGGGCGCATCAAGCCACCGACGTAAAGAGCCGGGGTGGCGACATGCAGGGCCGGCTCGACGTCAGCATCTTCCATCACCACATCTGGCGGCGGGGATGCAGGACGGTTCTGCTCCGTCTCTTTGGCTGAAAAGAGACCCTTGAAACGGACATCGTGTTTCGGGGGAGCGTCCTTCTTGGTGGGTGTTTCACCTTGGATGGGCGGGGCGTCCTGGCCAGGCGCGGCATCAGGCCCCGCGTGTTCCTCGGCGGCTTCTTGTGGGCCGGGGGCAGCGCTGTTCTGTCGAGATTCGCGTTCCGTGTCCATCGCGTCCTGGTCCTCGGGCAAAACAACCCTGGGGGGCTCTTCTTGCGCCTTGGCTCTCTTGTTGGCCAGCGCTTCCGGGGTGGGCACCGGGCTCTGACTGCGACGCTTGCGCTTCCGCCTGTCCTCCATCACTTCCTCGGTGGGGAGAGGTGTGGAAAATGCCGTGTTCATCTCAGAGGTGACAGCGGGGGGTGCAGGTGTTTCGTTGGCTGCGGGCGGCTCGACGCCATTTTGATCAACAGACACGGACTGCTCTGCCTCTCCAGGAGCCTGCTCAACCGGCGCAGCTGTCTCAGTCTTGTTCTCGTCTTGCGCGACAGAGGTATCGGTGGGTTGATCGACCATCGTCACCTCAGTCGGCTGTGTTGTTTCCTCTGGCTTCGGCGATTCCGCGGGAGGCTCTTCGGCATGGTCTTGCTTGGCCTGTTCTTCGGCAGCCATTTCACCGTTGGGAGCTTCTTCCTCGGTTGTCTGCTGAGGTTGGGTCTCGTTCACAGCGTCGCTCGGTTCGGGTTGGGGTTCGGGTTCCTGTGTTGTCTGTTCTGGCTCCTTCTCTTTCACTTCAGGCTCGAGGGCCTCTGGTTCGGCAGCTGCAACTGCGGTCGGCTCTGGCTCTGGCTCTGGCTCTGGCATGGGCGGCTCCGACTCGACGGGCTGGGCTTCCTCTGGCGCAGCATCTTCTTCAGGTGCTGGCTCTCCATCCGCGACCGCGTCCTGTCCTTCGCGAGCATCCTCCTCGATCAGCCGGTCAATAAATTGTTGTTTGACGCGGAGCCCGGTCTGCGCGATGCCGCGCCGCTTCAGTTCCGCCTTGAGGTCGGTCACCTTCAATTTCGAATAATCGGTCATTGTGACGGGAGGCGCACACCGTCGGCGAGTCGATCAGGTATAGCGTAGGGGGGAGGGGGGGGATGAGCGGTTGAGTGAGAAGGGATCAGCCGAAACTGGTCATGGCTGGGAGGAGTTGGTATGCGATGCGATGCTCCTGCGGTGGTCGGGCCTTGAGCAAAGCCGGCAGATCGAGATGATGTCGCGCGCTAGTCTGCAAAGGGGGCGCCGCCTGGCGCGTCGCCTCTTCGGGTTTAGCCTATGCCTAAACCGGACGGGCTTAGTCATGTCCGCTTGTGGTTAACTAGCCGCCGACTAACTAACTAGAACTGGTAATTCTTCAACGCGAATCGAGTGGTCGTGGACATCAACACCTCCCTCTTTGTACTCCGTTCTCTGGAAGGATTTCCCTGCTGTCAACGGGTCAACGGTGGAATGTTCTGATCTCAAAAACAGGACTCTTTCCCTCAGGCTGTCTCATAGGCCTCCCGGCAACACAGCCATCACCATGATGAGCAACACCCGCGGCAAACAATCCCGAACTATTAAGTCATTATGAAGGAGTAGGAAGGGCTGCCCCTGACGGCTTATCTGATTATCCGATAACCCCGCATCTGCATCTGTCAGGTACTAAAGTACCAAGGACGTAAAAAGCAGGTCGAGGCTGTTGCTGATGATAAGCCGCGGTCGGATGAGACCGTGCCTCGCGAGGATGTGATAGCCCCGGTCCCGGTCTATACGGAATAATGAACGAATGGAGAAGCCACCGCAATAATCGGGGTTGATGCCTGGACTGGCGAGATAGTAGCAAATGCCATTCTGTAACTGCTCCCCCCTGCCTTATCATGAACATATCTTGAGCGCTCGGATAGAACTCCGTAAAGCCCAACTCCGAATCCCGTAGATAAACGTCCATCGGGATTCATCTATATAGTATATAAATAAGTATGATATATTCCCTGTCCACTGAGCTCAACTGCCCACCCCTCAATAGCTGAATAGCACACCACTCCGCCCATACAGACATCCATACACCTCCCACATCATGACCAACGCCACCACTGCCACCACCACCACAACCAACCCCCCAATCCTCCCCGCCAACAACCCTCTCCTCCCCTTCTGGCGCACCGACCTCGACCCCCTCGACAATCTCCGCACCACCCCATCCCTCCCCCAACAAAGCGACATCGTGATCATCGGCGCCGGCTACGCGGGCGTCACCCTAGCATACCACCTCCTCAAACAGCAGGACGAATCCCAACCCCAACCCCATCACCCCACCATCACCCTCCTCGAAGCCCGACAGGTCTGCTCCGGCGCAACAGGTCGAAATGGTCTGATCTCCTCCCAAAATATTACTTTACCCCCCTCAACCTTGAACCTAGTCTGCGGAACTAACATTCCGGCGCTGAATCTAGGCGGCCACCTCCGACCCGACATCTACGGCAACATCCCCACCTACATCGAGCGCCACGGGCTCGAAGCGGGCGTCGAAGTCGCGGATTTCGAATGGGATCATATCCAAGCGCTGAGGGATCTCCTCCGGGAAGAAGAGATCGATTGCGAGTTTAACCTCACCCGCAACATGAATGTGTATTTTGATGAGCAGGCCGGCGAGAAGGCAAAGAGCACGCTGGATATGCTGGTTGCGCAGGGAGTGAAGCTTGCGAAGGAGTTGCATTTTACGACGGGGGAGAGGGCCGAGAGGGTGCGTTTATCTGCTTATTTCCTTCATGCTATTGTTCCTTTTTTTTTTCCCGGTTTGGTTTAGGAGGGAGGAGTGGTACTAACCCGTCTGCAGATCTCAGGCGTCAAAGGCACTAAGGCCTGTATCTCGTATACTTCGGGAACCCTATGGCCGTATAAATTCATCCTGGGCTTATTGTCGAAAATTGCGGACTCCCCGGCGTTGAACGTGCAGACCCAGACGCCCGTCACGTCTGTAACCACAGCGGAAGAGACGACAGAAACACATACGATCCACACGCCCCGAGGTACTATCCGCGCCGGAAAGGTCATCTACGCGACAAACGCATACACCGCGGGCCTGCTGCCCGAGTACTCGGCCAACATTGTGCCCTGTCGCGGCATATGTTGCCACATTGCACTTCCGGAGGGCAAGACGGCGCCGTTTCTGCCGTACTCGTACGCGCTGGGCACGAAGAAGGGGCTTTCCGGGGGAAGTTACTTGATTTCTCGATCCGATGGGAGTATTATTGTGGGTGGGGCGTCGCATACGTTTAAGAGTGCCCGTGAGGAGTGGTATAATGTGGTTGATGATACGACGCTGATTGAGACCGCCAAGGATTATTATAATGATTATATGCAGCGGACTTTCATCGGCTGGGAGGATAGTGGGGCGTATGTGAAGGAGATTTGGACTGGGAGTGAGTTTTCTCCCCCATCTTTGATTTCTTTTTTTTTTTTTTGGTTTTTGGGTTTGGTTTTCTGGAGAATGTTGTGCTGACGGTGGATTGATCGTTTGTGGTAGTCATGGGGTATTCGTATGATACGAGCCCTCATATCGGCGATGTCCCCAATCGGCCCGGGCAGTATGTCTGCGCGGGCTTCAATGGCCACGGTATGCCGGTCATTCTTCTGGCCGCGAGGGAACTGGCGGATATGGTTCGGACTGGAAAGAGCTTCGAGGATACCAAGATGCCTCGCTTGTTTAAGACTTCGGCGGAGAGGATCCAGAGGGCCCGGAGTGGTCCGGAGGGGGGCGATATTTTTGCATAGACGATTTTAGCATTGGAGTTGCTGCAGGCATCGATTGAAGGGGACCTAACATACAGCATCGCTACTATGCTTCTCCGAAATGAAAAGCGTGTGTGAAAAACAGTATATCCAGAACGAACAAACGAACGAGCTATCTCTCTCTCTCTCATCACCATCCTTCACAACGGACTCCCCCTTTGCCTCCCCCCCTCAATAACCACACCATCCTTCCCCCCAGCCCCCCACCTTGTCCCCCACCACCAAATTCTCATAGCCCACCATATACGTCAACGGCAGCTTGACAAACCCCAACGAATCGTCGGCCAACACGCCCCGAAACTCGTCGCTCTCGGTAAACGCCACCCAGTCGTCCCACTTGCGCACCCACATCTCCGCGCACCCGTCGTAGTCGAGGACGTTTGCGCCGGGGAGGGTCTGCACGAGGGATCTCATGGAGGGGGTTTGGTGGTGCTGTCTATCGGGTTAGCTGGGTGCTACTTGAATGGTATATGTAGGGTAGGGTAGGTTGGGAGAAGAAGAGAAAAAGACGCAATATGGTATATAGATATAGATATAGATATAGATATAAGAAGGGGTTGGTGGTCATGGTACCTGCGTGTATCGAATAATATGAGACTGGAAAGCCCGAGTGGCGACTGTCAGATCCGCGTGGACGGTTTGCCAGTGGTGGTAGAATTGGTCGTGGGAGATGTCATCGCGCTTGTTGAAGAATATGGAGATTTTGATGGCGTGCTGGAAGTTGGCAGGACTGGAAGGGTGGAGGGCTGGGAAGGTGAATTGGTGGTTGGTTGGGTCTGGGATGGGCATGTTGGACGGTGAGGAAGAAGAAGAAGAAGATGATGATGATGATGGTTGTCTGTCTGGGAGATGAGATTCTTATGGGAACCTGGTTACTGGATTGGGACTTGAGGTTTTTGTCGACTTGTCATGTCTGTTAGCGTGGTCAGCGTGCGGGGGGGATGATGGAGAGTGGAGTTGACGGCGTAGTGCCAGTGCTAGCGCTGGTATGAATCTTGGCCCCTATACATGCAATGCATAGGTTAAGCCAGTCGATGTGCACATATAGATCTCTTAACAATCGGTCACTCATCAACATCTAACTCTCCAGAAAGCACCAGGGTGTGATAAAGTACGGCCATCGTGGTCGGTCTTGAGAGACTCGGTGAGTGGAAGAAGACGGGCCAAGTCTGGGGAGAAGATATTTTTCATTCACGGGTCAGCGTGGCAGGCGCCAGCATGTCCGGGCGACGAGGGTGCCCCAGGCATAACTATGACTTGTCCATCCCTCATTCGCATCGTCATTGACTCGGCATCATCCTTCTGGGACCAGGCGCTGTGAAACACCAGAACAGGCAGAAATTCGGCCCATACTCTGCGAGACGCGAGAGCCTTCGACAGCATCAATTCTGGATACACTCTCCTCAGCTCAGGGTCAACTCTTCTAAAAGCATGCCAGATATCTTTGATTCTCTGCTTCTCTGGCAGTGGAAGCACGCTCATCAGATCCTCAATCTTATCCACTTGGAGATACCCTTATAATAAAAACCCCCGTTTCTCGTCCGCTGATTGACATTGGCCCTTGTCCATTTGCTTTTTGTATGCCCAGCCGAATTGCATCAGTATGACCTCCACAAGCACAGCTCCGGTGGATTACTGGCAGTATGAGGCTGGGGGGCTTGCGTTGACCGTTTCAATGATGGTCATTGCTTCATTATCAGTCGTCCTTCGCTTTATTGCCGTCGCAAAGAAAAAGCGCAGCTACGGTGCGGATGATGGCATGATCGTTGCCTCCTTGTTGAGTTTCTATGGGTTTAGTATCGTGCAAATCTGGGGTGAGATCCATTGGCCCAGGTTGGCTTGTTCCAGTCATCTCTAATCCGACATAGCGATGAGGCAGGGGGGATTCCGGCTCCCTCTCAAATCATTGCCCCAATCCATGGCCGTTTCTTCATTGAAGGCCGGGGGACCCAATTCCCACATGCAAAGAGGCGATGACTGACATTAGAACCAGGCGTATTATATCGTCATCATCTTCTCGGTGCCCGCAATCTCATTCGCAAAGCTCAGCATCCTCTGTCTCTACTACAGGATCTTCGTCTCCGCCCAATTCCGGGTTTGGGTGATCATTGTAGGGCTCTCCGTTGTGATGTGGATGGTCGGGTCTTTGGTGGCTACCATATTACACTGCATCCCGCCAGATGCCATGTGGAATCTATCCAAAAAAGCCCATTGCACCGACTTCATCCTGCCCTTCGAGATCATCGAACCCATCAACTGCTTGCAAGATATTGTGATCGCGCTGATGCCAATTGGGATGATCAAGGGATTGCACCTGGATTTGAAGCAGAGGGTCTCCCTGTGTTTTATCTTCGTTCTTGGAGGCTTGTGAGCAGGCCGTTCATCGGCCGTCCAAACAACCGCCACCCCGCGCTTTTTGCTAACATGCAAATCCCAGAGTCGCTGTTATCAGCCTAATCCGGATCGTGCTGATCGCCAGCCCAAACTCCCCGCCTGGTATGTGAGACCCTGTAGATATTGCCGGTGGACGCGGCAGCCTGCTAACTGCACCACTGAAACAAGAGCGAATCTACGCCACCAACGACTGGCTGACAGCCCAGCTCTGTGTAGCCATTGTATGCGCCAATCTGCTGACGTACCGGCCGCTCCTTCCGCAACACCTTGTCCCGCGCCGTGTCCCGACATGGTTCTCCCGTCTGACTAGCAAGAGAAGGTCAAGCAGTCGGAGGTCGACGGATTTTGAACTTGCTGGCGGCCCATGCACGCCGCCCAGGCGGAACACCAGTCTTCACAGCATGAGAAGTGATGACACGACTAACCCGCTGTGTGCCGCCCGGTAAGCCATCGGTTGCACATGGACTGACGTGTCCCGGGGCATTTCTCGCGATGTTACTTTGGAGCGACGGTTACAACCCGCTCAGTAGATGTATTGACGACTCCTTTGACTCGGGACTGCGCATTTCTCACGTACTATATGTTGTCGACGTCGCACGGCTTAGAACTATAATCCGAAGAGCAGTAGCGAGGTTAATACTCGGAAATATCTCTGATATCTCATCCAAGCTTCTCAGCCTTGACCAGGTGAGAGTTGTTGACAACATACTACGTCCCACAAGCCCCCCTTTTCTGATACAGTAGGTGTGACCACTTACCATTTAGGCCTCCATTGGACATGGGGTTGGTGGCACCGGGCTGAGATTGCAGTCAGCCCTGGGGAGGGCAAACTCTGGGGAAGATGTCGCCGTAGGAACTGATGCCTGTTCGCTGAGGCACGCCAGGCGTCATCGATTCTTGCCTTCACTCACAACCCCGGCTTCAGCCAACCCTCCTGATGCCGACGCCAATGTCTACCCGAGCCAGTATTCCTGCCCCCTCATCATTGCTCCCCGTCGGGACCCCAATCAATCGGGGATGCCTACCTGTGTACGTCCGTCCTCCACCTCAACTCCTCCAATAATTCTCCAAGGAAACGAAGTTCCCAACCCCAGCACAGCTCTCTACATCGCCCTCCGACAACTCGTCTACACCTGCTATCACATGTGCGAATGCAGTCTCGACATTGCCAATGACTTGATGGGTCTCTGATACAAGGTGCTCGATTCCAAGTACGAGGGGAAGGCTGTTGATAGAATGCTTTGGCGGTATGATGTGCGCTTATTACCTGGGCGATGCAGATACACTACTACATTTCCAGGGCTCTGTTCATGCGGCTGGTTACCAGGTGTCTGAAGTGGATGACGTCCGTGGTGGTTTTGACTGTTGCTTGGTGGTGGTATCAGTGAACTGGGAGCGGTTAGAAATTTTATGGCGGGAGCAAGGTTGGATGTGTCTCTTTGGTGCATTGCCCTCTGGTTTATCTATCTCTTCCTTGTGTCTGCTGTCTTTAATATTCGTATCGCCATCAATAGCTGAAGGCAACATGACTTCTGGTTGGCCAATATAAAAGAATCTTATGAGGTGTTCTGATCACGACTACCTGGTCACTCAGAATCGGTAAGACATTAGATAGCTCTCCATGTACCGATGAAACCACCCTTCTCTTTATTGCAGTCGCATCTCAATCCTCAAGAGCCCAAAAGGGTACCACAAACTCCCATGTTCCTTATAGCAGCGATCCTGCACCGATTCTACCCAGCTAATTCTCATACTTGCTCCCATTGGGATACCCCAGAAGCCCCTCCAGCTCCCTCAGATCCGGCATTCCCGCCGGCCCAGGCATATACCGCCAGTTCTCCCGGAGCGTGGTCCCGTTCCACCAGATTTCGTTCTTATGAAGAGCGTCCATGATCTTGGGGGCATCTATATACGTCCGGATCTCGACCATCTGGTCGCGATACCACCTCGTGACCCATACATTGACGATATCGAACGGATCCCCTGCGCACAATCAGCCACATCGACGTAATATCCCAGTAATAACCCGCATGCAATAATTTACGAAAAGAAAAAAAAAGGGGGGGGAAGGGGAGCTGAATGAGACCAAAAAAAAAAAAAAAAAAAGACCAAACAACCCACCCGAATTCATCACCCCCTTGAACTGCACCTCCTGCACCGACCACCGACTGTCACAGCCCCCATGGATAGCCTGCGGATGGATCTCGAACTTCTCCGCATGCTCCATGAACAGCACGCTGACGCGCCGTAGCGCGTTCACGTAGAAATGCAACAGGTCGGTGTAGTGGCCCGCGATCGGGTGATGGCCCACCACGGTGAAGCTGACGTTCTTGTGGATGAGCGTGAAGAGCTTCGACATGTCTTTCTCCAGGTTCTTGAATGAGTCCCAGATGTGCATCTGCGTGACATATTGGCAGTCTGTCGAGGGGTTCTCGAATCGGAAGCCTTCGCGGTCCGGGTCCGGGGCCGGGAGGATCAGCCCGTCGCCGGTGCAGTGGTTGTTCGGGTCGTTGGGGTCGATGAGCCCCGTGCCGTCGCAGTCTGGGTCGTCGAAGGGGCTGGGAGGGGAGGTGAGGATTGATTGGGCGGGGGAATCATGGTTGGGGCTGGGGGAGAGGGTGAGGGTGAGGGAGAGGACGGCGGTGGTGAGTGTTAGGGCTGGGAGGAGGTGTTGGAGGAGCATCGATAATGGGGTTGGCGATGTTTATGGCCTGGTCAGGTTGGATATCCAATTCCTCAGCCAGGAGAGTAGTATTGGACTGGTATGCGGATCTCACTGCTCCTGCATATTTATTGTCTGGTGAAGTCTCCGAGCCTGCGCTGGAAATTTGCCGGGATTATTGTGTCTCCGTTTAGCATCGCAGCAAAAAAGACCCGACACTCCTACGATCTCAGGGCCTTCCTTGTGAGCAATATGCTGGGGGAGTTGTTACTCTGCGTCTGCTGGCGTTTAGGGGAGCAATTGGCTGTCGCAAGGGGGTGATGGATGTTGAAGAGGTATACTGTTTCCAGTTCGATGTTTGTTCGGCAAAACCCGCGCAGTGCGTCTGTTCCTCATATTCTGGGTTGTAGATAGATCAATAGATAGACAGATCATTGTCTTTCCCATGACGTTGAGCAGGATGCAATTACGTATGACGCGCCCATCGTCGGTGCTCATTATCGTGGATTCTGGGGATAACTAGGCTATTTATATTAGTCACAGGCATCCCAAGTTGAGTGGACGCACCGACCACTTAGGTAATGTTTACTCCGTCCTGGGAATGGAGTGGAGGACACCGGGATGATCTGCCCCGGTATCCCCCTGGGTTATCAAGTGGGGGGTTCCATGGATTGTGAGTCAAGGACAGCCATATTGCTGGGCTGGAGGGGAACGCGTTCCTGGACGTGTTCTAGCGAGTAAGTACTGAAGATAATGTGCGGTGTGCAGACTGCAGCTGAGATCTGGACTTCTGGAAGGCTGGAAGGCTGGACCCGTAGATAGAGAATTGTGAGCGATCCAAAAGTAAGACCAGGGAACCCTGCCGATTGACTGATCGAGGCAGTTGGCCAGATAGCGTCCGAGTCCGGCGGAGTGTATCGGTGGCGGGCGTGAGTCACCGCAATGAATAACCGCCCAAACCGGCAGTCCGATAGCGGGCGTGCAATGGCCGCCCTCCCATTGGCCGGGAGGCCTAGTCGGTGAGCCCGTGGCACGTGCCCTCCGACCGGCCCGGCGAGCGCACTTTTTCTCGCTCCCCTTCTTTTTAATCCCGCCTTTCCCCTTCTTCCCTCCGTGTCCCTTCCTCCCATCCATCCACTCCAGCCCCAGCTTCATTAATGTCTATCTAAACAAACATCCATTACCCCCCCCTAACCCTTTTTCAATTCAATTCTAGTGACTGGTAACAGCACAGTCGCGCTTATGCGTTTGGCACCTTCTGTCTTCACTTCTCAGGTACGTTCTCACATGGCTGAGCCCCCTCCTTCCCCTCCCCTCCCCGCCACTCTCGTCACCCCCGGGGCCTATCTGGGGGCCAGACGCTGGCCACCAGCATCCCCTGCATGAGCAATTGAATCAATACTGATGGATTCGTCTACAGGATTACATCTCGGACCACCTCTGGAAAGCTTCCGGAAACTTCTGAACATACACTACAACAACCGCTTCTTCTCCCGTATCTAAACATCAAAAACATCAACTACAATGTTTGCCCGACTCTTCAAGGCAATGCCCGCCCGGGCCTCCGCCTTCCCTTCCGTGAACGCTTCTGTCCAGTCCCGTTTCATGGCCACGGTTCGCCAGCAGCGTCCCGCCACTGAACGGGCCACCTTTACGATCCGAGACGGTCCTATCTTCCACGGCAAGTCCTTCGGAGCCCGCTCCACCATCTCGGGTGAAGCCGTCTTCACCACCTCCCTTGTGGGATACCCCGAGTCCTTGACCGACCCGTCCTACCGTGGTCAGATCCTGGTCTTCACCCAGCCTCTGATCGGTAACTACGGTGTGCCGTCCGCTGAGAGGGACCAGCACGGTCTGCTCAAGTACTTCGAGTCCCCCAACCTCCAGGCCGCCGGTGTCGTCGTCGCCGACGTGGCTGAGCAGTACAGCCACTGGACTGCTGTCCAGAGTCTCGGCGAGTGGTGTGCCCGCGAGGGTGTCCCCGCCATCTCCGGTGTCGATACCCGTGCGATCGTCACCTACCTCCGTGAGCAGGGTTCTTCCCTCGCTCGTATCACCGTCGGTGAGGAGTACGATGCCGACCAGGACGAGGCCTTCGTCGATCCTGAACAGATCCACTTGGTCCGCCAGGTCAGCACCAAGGCGCCTTTCCACGTCAGTGCGCCCAACCCCCAGTGTCACGTTGCCGTGCTCGACTGCGGTGTGAAGGAGAACATCCTGCGTAGCCTGGTCAGCCGCGGAGCCAGCATCACTGTGTTCCCCTTCGACTACCCCATCCACAAGGTCGCCCACCACTTCGATGGTGTTTTCATCTCCAACGGCCCTGGTGACCCGACTCACTGCCAGGACACCGTGTACCACCTCCGTCGCCTGATGGAGACCTCCCAGGTGCCCATCTTCGGTATCTGCCTGGGTCACCAGCTCCTGGCCCTGGCCAACGGTGCTCGCACCGTCAAGCTCAAGTATGGTAACCGCGCGCACAACATCCCCGCGCTGGACACCACTACTGGACGCTGCCACATCACCAGCCAGAACCACGGATATGCCGTTGATGCTTCGACCCTGCCTTCCGACTGGAAGCCCTACTTCGTCAACCTGAACGATTCTAGCAACGAGGGTGAGTTTTGTTGCCAAGCTAGTAATCTGAACAGCTGCTAATTCTGAATAATAGGCATGATCCACAAGACTCGCCCCATCTTCAGCACCCAGTTCCACCCCGAGGCTAAGGGCGGTCCCCTCGACTCGTCCTACCTCTTCGACATCTACCTTGACAGCGTGCGCAAGTACAAGGATAGCCAGCGGGCGTTCTACCCCAACCGGGAGAGCGCGCCCAGCCCTCTCTTGGTCGACCTGTTGGCCAAGGAGCGCGTTGGTGTCCAGCCCACCATCGGCATGCAGAACGTGGCCGCCGCGGCTGCTGCCGCCGCCGCTGCCGCTTAAAGGCATGTCACTTGGAACTGGAGTCTTGGTTTGGGCTTGGCTGGATTCCCTCGGTTTGTATATGAATTGGTTTGGTTTATGTTAATAGTTTGGGTACATTTTGCATCGGGAATATATTTATGACTTCTTCAACAAACACTTTCTCCATGTACTTTGTATTTCGTAGCAATTGGCAGTCCCTTTTGGATTAGTTCATCTATATCCATCCAACACCGCAGCACATCCTATTGCCCCCAAACACATGGTCATCTCATCGGATCGCAGTCTGTCTCCATCTCCGATCCCCTCAACTTTCCCCGTTGACCCATTACTCTCATCCCACCCCCGGCCCATCCCAGCTACTCCCTCCCTCCCCCCCCAAGCCAGGTGGCAGGTAGCAGTGCCCCCATCAGGTATAAATGAGCAATCAGTACCCCATGCTCACATACCATTCCCACTGTACGCTGTAGACTGGCTTGACCTGATCTGACCTGATCTGATAACCAGAGCCTGGTATATATATATATATATATATACTATATATAGAACAATCTCAGTCGGAGTCTAGGGAAAAGAACCACCAGGGCAGGAACAGGTAGAAAGAAATAGGGAAACAACAAAGAATGTAGAGAATTCCATCATCAGAGTTACAATGGCATGGTCATGGTCATGGGCTGAGTGCAGCCGACGAGCCTGGTCTTCTTTTTCTTTACTACGAATTTCGGCAATTAAATAATCTCCCTGGTTGGAGGATCTATCTATATACCTACTAGTGGTGGTACTGTGGTAGTATTACATGTACTTACTTGGAAAAGGTTAAGAGGGGAGCCTAAAGTACCTACTTCCATACATATATATACTACATAAGTACTACATACATAGATACAACTGCCACAGGACTAAAACCATCACAGCTAGTACTATTCATGTACAACACAACACAACGCAACTCTTAGATAACTTTTAGATAACTTTTAGATAACTCTTAGATAACATCCATTCATTGTTAAACTCATAGACCCAGTTGGTATCAATTGGAAGAAAAAGTCAATAAGTAAGTCCCCTATACTATACCGTCCGAAAACCTTTCATTTTTCAGGTTTACATCTATACTAGAAAGTAAAAAAATATAGTCTTTGTTCAAGTTAAGAATGTACTATACAAAGCACCTACACTCACATCACCACACTTCTCAGTATATTTAAATGAGTACGATGATTTCGACAGTGGAAACTCACCCTCTAATAATAAAGTCAAGTCAAGTCAAGTAAAGTATCTAGGTCAAGGTGGGTAGATAGAAGATTATGGAAAAACTGAAACGAAAGCAGGTTAGATCATAGAATTTATACTAGACACTGGTGAATAAACATAAGACGAAAAAAAAAAAAAAAAAAAAAAAAAAGAATGTGGATAATTACTCAACCGGCGATAATAGGTTTTGGGGGAAGAAGAGAAAATACACCCATTACCAAGCAATCGGGCACGTTAGGTAGTTAGGGCTGATTTAATTAATATTCATTAATCAATATAACCCGAAGCCTAAGCCTAAGTCTGAGCCTAAGCCTGTATCGGTATTTCCGGTTTCGGGTTAAGGTGTGCTATGGCGATCCTCATATTAACCAATTTATTATTATCATTGTTATTATTACTTAGTTACTATTACTTACCATTATTAAGGTAGGACGTGCCGCGGCGTCTGCGACGTAATTGTGCAAGGCTGCATTAGCTCAGGGCTAGGCTGATATGTATCATACCATGGCTATCTACCGAGTATCTACTATAGATACTGGCTACTTTGCTCGTTAGTGATCTTTTCATATAGCAGGCGGAAGACGCCCGCCTATCTATCTATCTATCTATCTATCAATCTATCAATCTATTAGACATCAATTTCCCGCTTCAGATTTCGAAGAGAGAGAGAGAGGATAAAAAATAAGGATAAGAATAAAAACAAGGCTAGTAGCCTTGCGGAGAGTGGTGGGATATATTATACTATACTATACCATACTATACTATCCCTAGGATGATTTTGGTGTGCAGTTAATTTATTCACAGGGTAGTGGCGCCAGCTAGCCGATTTTAGCCGAGTGTGGTTTGTCTAGATAGATAGTTATCTATTTACCTACTGGCGAAGTGGAAAAAAAGAAGGAAGCAATTTACAAAGAGAAAACAGGATCGAATTCAAGAAAGAAACGAGTTGGTTGGTTGATATTCACATCCGATACGATACTATAAACATTGTATGACTAAAGACACATATACATATGTACAAACAGAATAGCGCGCCAAGGAGAGTTGAGGAACCCATCCTGCACGACGCAATGTATCCACTCACAGCGGGAAGCCCAATTATGGACAGCTCCGCTTAGTACAGAGGGAGGTTGTAGGCGTCGAAGTCGTAGACCCAGGTCTGGTAGGACTCCTCATCGAAGACGCAGGTCAACTCGGTGCCGTTGTTGACGAAGAGGGGGCGGTGAGGCCAGGGGCAGAGCTTCTGCTGCTGGCCGATGTTGGAGCCCTCCTGGACGGTGGCGTTGAGGAGATCGGGCTTGTCGCCGTTCTCGACCCAGTCGATCAGGGTGAGCAGGGTGGTCTGGGGCCAGCCGCCGTTGGGCTGGTCGCTGCTGTAGGTGCAGTGGGCAGCGCCGGGGACGAGGTAGAGACGGTTCCAGTCGTTCAGGGCCTCGGACGACTCGTTGAATGAGAGAGAGGGGTACATCTGCTGGCGGACGGCTTCGTGGTAGTGCACCGAGGAGCCCGTGGGGATACTGGGATCGGATTCACCGTGGACATGGAGAACCTTGCCGCCGGCGCTGTAGAAGGGGGTCAGGTCGGGCCAGGTCGTCTGCAGGACGTCTTCGTAGCGTTGCCAGCCCAGCTCCATCCAGTCCTTCATCACATCGTAGGTGACGTTGTCCAAGGTGGAGAGGTTGTCGAGGTCGACCAGTTCAAGCCACTTGGTCACCCATTCTCCGCCAAGAGAGGTGATGTCGAGCTCCCAGGAGTCGGTCTCGGAGTTGTATTGGGTCGCGGCGTCGTCAAAGGTGGCGGAGGGCTGGTACCAGATGTAGGCGCGCTTGCCGTCCAGGGTGTGCAGGCCGTCGAGGATGGCGGCGGCAACGGCGGCACCGGCCTTGCTGACGGTGCCGTTCTGGGCCGGGGTGGTGTTGCTGGTGGACAGACGCTTCTTCAGGACGGTGGTGGTGGTCTCCGCGGCGCAGTAGTAGGGCTCGCCGATGGTGGAGTTGACGTCGAAGTGCAGCTTGCAGAGATCGGTACGGGAGACAACGCCGTCCTTCTTGCCGTCAAGCTCGTCACAGGCGGCAATGGTCAGGTTGTTGATCTTCTCGAGCTCGCAGGGAGGAGGGAAGTAGCCCATAGTCTGCTCGACCAGACCAGGGAACAGGTGATTGGGCTGCTGCTGGCCGTAGCGGATGGCAGGGGCGCCGATCACAGCACCATCCCACTCCTCGCCGTAGCGCTGGACCTGGGACCAGCCTTCACGGCCGCCTTCGGAGCAACCCTGGTAGTAGGCGTAGAGCTTGTCGCCAGAGCTGGTGAGGTTGAAGAAGCTCTTGGTGAAGGCCTTGCCGATAACGCTCAGCTCATGGTGGGCCTGGTATCCGAACATGTACAGGGCCTCACGGTCCGCGGTGCCGTTGGCCAGCAGGTAGACGTCGTCGAATTCGACGGAGAAACCGCCGAAACCACCATCGGTCTGGCCAGAGGCAGCACCGTACATGACACCACCGGGCAAGTCGGCACTGTTGCCGTTGATGGCGTAGCCGAAACCACCGGTGGACAACCAGCGGTTCTGGAAGTCGGACGGGGCGGGGAGCCAGAACTCCAGCAGGACGGTGTCATCCAGGCCATCGTGGGTGTAGGACAGGGTGACATTGCAGAAGTCGAAGGTGGCGGCGGTCCAGAAGGCCGTCTCGGAAGAGGTGTAGTTGTAGACAGCATTGGCCGTGACGGAGGACTGGTCGACAGTCACGCCCAGCAGAGGGCTGATGGGGGCCGCCGCGCTGGCATACGTCGAGGTACACACGTCGGCCAGGCTGGCGGCCTGAGCGAGAGACACAGTGGCCGTGGCGGCCAGGAGACTCATCTTGGAGCGCATGATGAACGAGAGGGATCAGGGATCCAAATGAGAGACTGTGGATATGAGAGGGAATGGTCTGGCTGCTGAGTAGAGAAGGAATCCGGGTGAATTCAGGGCTGCTTTTATACTCTTCCTCGCGCAGCGCTCTAGTTCATGTCGCCATCCGTCCTATCTCACTATCACCGCCATCGTCGTCATCCCACTGCACCTCTGCAACTCTTGGCCGGCCTCCTCTGCGACAATAGATTAAGGAGAACTGAATTGGATATCCACGGGCCGGAGACTGCGGGCCGTGAAGAAGACGGGAAGAAAAGAGGCGATTGGGTGAGTGACAATGGAGGTACGCGTTCAACGGACGCGGGATCAAGGTGCTCGCTGGGAAGTGCAGATCACATCATTCTGGAGTATAGTCCTGAAAGTTAGCAGCGGTTAGTTGGGGTTAGTCGAGAGGTTCGAGCTCAAGAGACCCCCTCAGGCCGAACCGAGTGATTTGGAGTAGAGGCCCATCAGGATAAAGTTATTCAGGATTAGGTGATTCGGAAAGTAAAGCGGATGGGACAGCAGGGTGGATCGATCAATGCGCATCTCCCCATCGTCCAGTCTAGCCTATTTAGCAGCGACTATATATCTATCACACACACAATGATATGTCGCTCAAGTGGGGGAGGACGTGCCGCTCCGACTAAGCCACCAGATGTGCTATATCAAAATATCAATCAGCCCAGATAGACAAACGGTGGTGGTGGTGATGGTGGTGGCTCTGACTCCCCGAATCCTGCAAATTTGCCAGAAATCGTCGGCAAATTGCGGAAAATAAGTCCATCCTGCGTAGCGAGGAGGAAGGAGTACTATACCAGGAAAGGCTGCAAGCTGCCAGGTACGACCTGCTGACCTGCATGATTCCGCAGTGCCTAGTAACAGACACAACGCAATCATTCCCCGACCACCCCACTGCCAAGTCAGTCACCTCCGTAAGTGGCTGACAGGCTCTCGCTCGCAGTCCTTGGCGGATTGGCAGGTCATCCAGATGGCAGGAGGGTGACGCGTTGGGGGTCGGAAATGCGTGGGGCAGTAAGACCTAGAGGGCCTAGGGCAGTTGGTGACCCTGTTATTCAATATCTTCAGGCCTGACCCTGGGGGGGGTGGGGGGGGATGGCCTATGAGAGCGATGAAAGAGGGAAGAACTGGGGACTGGGGGAGGGGAGGGAAGGAAGGAGGAAAGCATAAGGATGAGGTTTTTGCCGGCCAGGGCCGTTATTGCCGAGCCAAATAGGCAGGAGCTAGTTTGCTCGGGGCCTCGGGCGAATCTCCCTGGCCGCCTGCCCCGGACGGGTTTAGGCCTTGGCTAAGCTTTTTGGATGGTTCTTGACGCGTCATGCCTTCTTTCTGCACGGAGAATCCCGCCCCGTCCCTGCGTGGATTCTGGTATTACGCCGTCGGAGATTTATTTCGAGGGATTGATTACTCCTCCTCCTCCTCCTCCTCCTGGGAAATAATATCCTAATGGGCATACGGTGAATGGAGGAGAACCACACCACATCCTCTCGCTTCGTCTCCGCCAGTCAGACCAGGTGGCCGCATCCCGTGGGACAGCAGAGGCAGCAGGATATTCGGAACAGGAACAGGAACAGGAACAGGAACAGTAGGAGTTGGTTGGGCTATGAAACACGCGTCCGTCCATCTAGTTTATTTCGCAACAATCGAGACCACATCCTCGTCGGCCACAATATGTCCCAAGCCCACCCGCTGCGGAACGTGTCTCGCACTCGCCCCCCACACCATCGCGTACTTGAAGGTGTCCTTCAACGTCCGATGCACGTTGTCGCACACGTCCTCGATGCTCGAGTTGCTCCGACAGATCAGAGCCTCGGAGAAGTCTGGCTCTTCTCCCTTCCTGCACTACAGTTAGCACGCTCGCAGACCGGGTGATTTCTATTCCAGCCTCGGGGGGAAACTGACCGCTTGGTATACACCCGGATCAGCCGAAGTTCCTTCCAGATGCGCTCCACGACGTCCTCGACTCCCAGGTCCAGCTCGCAACTCATGACCGCGGTGTACGGCTCGCGAGCTAGTTGGTCGAGGAAGTCGAGACTGACGCCATCGATCTTGTTGTAGACGTACAGACTGGGATGTGGTCAGTGGTGGCTCAGACAAAGAATGTCGGGAGAGGGCGCTGACCATCTGATGTATTTCCGGTGGTCTTTCATGACCACGTCGATGAAGTCGTCGATCGTGGCTTGGTGTCTGTCAGTCGAACTCTTCATCGATAAGACGATCAGAAAGGATAGGCGTACCGTATTCGTCCCGAACCAGGACTTCACAGTTGAGCATCTTGTAATCACGGAGGACATTATAGATCATCTTCTCGTCGAGATACTTGGGCGGCGTTTGGAAAGTAATTTTCATACCACCAGCCTTCTTCTGCTTGAGGTAGATGTTGCTGCAACCCCGAGTTAGTTCGACGAGCATAAATCCGTCAAGCCAAGGAAGCTTACGGGGGGTCCCGATTCAGCCGGATGCCAACAGCATCCAATTCCGCCTCGAGAAGGGCTCGCTGCTCGGCTCGTTTCGTGGCATCCAGAATCATCAGAACGAGGTCACTTGTCTAGACGAGAGATCAACACCGAATCGAAAAACTTGGGATGGTGGAACAAACCTTCGCCGCAGAAATAACCTGTCGCCCTCGTCCCTTTCCTTCCGCGGCACCCTCAATGATACCCGGAAGATCAAGAATCTGGATCTCCGCACCCCCATACTCGAGCACACCCGGGATGGCCGTGAGAGTGGTGAAAGCGTAGGCGGCCGTCTCACTCTTCGTCTTGGTGATCTTGCTCAGGAAGGTCGATTTACCGACGGACGGGAAACCGACCAGAGCAACACGCGCATCACCGGCCTTGCTGACATCGAAACCCACACCTCCGCCACCAGAGGCGCCCGTGGGCTCAAGGAGCTGAGCTCGTAGTCGGGCGAGTTTTCTGCGGGGGTTAGTACTTGGACGCTCTTCTATATGGCGGGGTAGATAGAGGGGAGGTGAGGTCGAAGATTACTTACCCTTTCAGCAGACCAAGATGATACTCTGGAGAGAGTAAGATGCATCAGAAAGAATGATACTACAACACAATTAAAAAGAGGCAGCAGCTCGTACCTGTGGCCTTGTTCTCTGCGCACGGTTAGCATGGCGGGGTTATCAAAGACTTTATATGTGATGGAGGAATACATACTCTGCGTCCTGCGCATCTCATCCTCAATCCTATCACACGGAAAAATGCACGTAAGCCAGATGTTCTCGTCTTACAAAACAGATCAAGCCCAAGCCCAAGACCAAGACCTACTCTTTGATCTTCTCCGTGATGTTCACCATCTTGACGGTTAGGAGCCCCGCGGACTCGACCTCACAGACACAGGGAGCAACACAACCAAGCAACGGGTTCTAGACCTCCCCGCCGATTCAGAAATCTCCAGGCTTGAGCTCGAGACAAAAAGCACCGCCGAAACCGAGGTGATCGCCGGGCAGACGCAAGATCCGGTGCTGGGGGAGAATCGCCTCAAACTCGTTCGCGACGCCAAGCACCGCCCGCTTACCTAATCTCCGAGCCTGTCGCCGCCGACTTCGACTTCACCTTCACTTCCGCTTCAACGTTCTCACATCCCCATCTCTTCTCCCCTTCAAACCAGCCATGGCAGACACAACAGCTGTCAGCCCTCCCGCGGAGGCGTCCATCCCCACACAACCCTCCCCCACAATGCCAGAACAACAATCCCCTCCTCCCGACGACAACGACGCCTCCGCCTCCCCCCCAGCCGAACCCACCGAAACCGCCCTCACCACCACCACCGCCGACACCGACGGCGCCAACCCAGAAAAGAAAACCAAAAAGATCATCCGGCGCAAGCGCCGCCCAGCGCGACCCCAAGTCGACCCCGCAACGATCAAATCCGAACCGCCCCCCCAGACCGGCTCTATCTTCAACATCTGGTTCAACAAATGGGCCGGCGGCGACCGCGAGAACCAATACCTCAGCAAACAAGCGGCGGTATCACGCTGCAACATCGCCAAAGACACGGGCTACACGCGCGCCGACAAGGTCCCCGGATCCTACTTCTGCCTGTTCTTCGCGCGGGGGGTGTGTCCGCGCGGCTACGAGTGCGAGTACCTGCACCGGCTGCCCACACTGCACGACCTGTTTAATCCGAACGTGGACTGCTTCGGGCGGGACAAGTTCAGTGATTACCGCGATGATATGGGTGGTGTGGGCTCGTTTATGCGGCAGAATCGCACCCTCTATGTGGGGAGGATTCATGTTACGGATGATATCGAGGAGGTGGTGGCGAGGCATTTTGCCGAGTGGGGACAGGTGGATCGTACAAGGGTTTTGACGTCGAGGGGTGTTGCGTTCGTGACGTATAGTAATGAGGCGAATGCGCAGTTTGCGAAGGAGGCCATGGCGCATCAGAGTTTGGATCATCAGGAGATCCTCAATGTGAGGTGGGCAACCGTCGATCCGAATCCGTTGGCGCAGAAGCGCGAGGCGAGACGGTTGGAGGAGCAGGCCGCTGAGGCGGTGCGGAGGGCCTTGCCGGCGGAGTTTGTGGCCGAGCTGGAGGGCAGGGATCCCGAGGCGAGGAAGAGGAAGAAGATCGAGGGGACTTATGGACTGCAGGGCTATGAGCCGCCGGATGAGGTGTGGTTTTCCCGCACCAAGGAGTTGGAGGGTGCTGGTGGTGCGGCGGCGCAGCTTGAGGCTCCGGAGCAGCCGTTGATGATTGAGCCTGCGTCTGAGTCTGCTGTGGCTTCGCAGCAGTGGGGTGGCGGGGGGATCTTCTCGAGCTCTGCTGTCGCGGCGTTGCAGGGTCTGGCTGGGGGCAATGTCACCACGCAGCAGGCGCCGAAGGCTGCTGGGCCGCTGGTGGGTTATGGGAGTGATGATGATAGCGAGTGATTTGCATTTGTGCGTGTACAATAGCAGAGATACCTGAAAATGTTTCTTTAGATTTGGTCGGTTCGGTTTCATTATGTGATTGGTTTTTCTATTCATGGCTAATATTCACGCTCTGCATGGCATAGTTGTGGGTATACTTCGTTACATAAAAAAAAAAAAAAAAAGAGGAGATTTGTGACACCGCAAATACAACAATCAAAGGAAACACATCTCACGTCAAACATCTCTCGTAGATCACCTATCGTTTCCACATCCGAGATCGTAGTATATACATGATCCTGTGCGGTAGTTGTATATAAAGGCGTTCGTGATGCCCTCCATGCCATCGCCCGCACGGCCCTCGTTGGCAAGATCTAGGAGTAGTTCATGCACCTGAGTGAGGTACTTTCGCTCGGTGAGGGGGGCGTTTTGAATGACCGCGCGCCAGCTTTCCGGATCAGATAGACGGGTGTCCCTGATGGCCTCGAGCAGCTCATCCCGAGTATCGATGGCGGCGATCGGGCCATTCAGTGCGTCCTCGACCACCTCGCGGGATCGGAACAGTGCTGGCTGGGGTTAGCGACATACAAGTATATACGGGCAAAGGGATGAACATACCCGTCTCGACAATGTTCCTACGGTTGGACTTCTTGCTTCGATGCTGGGGCACCAGGATGCGTACATCGCTCAGCCGCTCGCCGAATCCAGGGCTTGGGTCCGCCTGGCTGGGTAGACGAGTCTGCCGCAGAGGATCCGCTCCGCCTTCCCTTTGGTTGCGCGCACGAACCTCGTTCCGAAGCCAGGAAACCAGTTCAGAGCTCCGAATGTCGAATTCTTCCCTCGGGAAGAGACTCTTGACTTTGAAACCTCTCTCCTGGCTGTCCGGCTTCGCAATGACAATCCAACTATGGCTGTCATCTCTATATTTGTTCAGGAGCTCTTCCAAGGACGACGCGTCCACAGCTAGCTCTGCACTGATATCATTCATCCACAGATCTTGAACAATCTTGATGCCCATCGTGCGCAGCACTGTGGGATCGAAACTCGCAACGAGCACGTCGCACTGCTAGTTGTTAGTGATCTGAATATGTCTGACCGCGCGGAGTCTGCTCACCCTTCTTGTCCTCCAGAAAGCTCCTGCCTCTATCTCTAAATGCTTTGTGGAGGGTTTAGCAGGGGTTCTAAGATACTCGAGCATGGACGAGCTCAGTCTGTCCCAGCTGAGATTGAATCCCACAGCATGGGTCTGCGAGCGATTCGCCAAGACCGTGGGGCGGAATTCCTGGACTAGCGAGTCATATCGGCCACCTGCTGCGAAGACATCGCGCCGCTTACTATCGAAGACGCATTGGAAAAGGACGCTGCCTCGGAAAAACTTGTCGTTCAAACTTCCCAGAGGGTTCATGTAAACCTTCCGTTTCACATCGAAGTTCTGGAGATACGCGACGAGTAGGTTGATGCGCGCAAAAATTGGCGCCAACCGCTCAGCAAACGGCGTGCCCTGCATAATGACCCGCAGGCGTTTCTGAACTTGCTTCGGGGAGTCTGGCCCTAATTAGTCAAATGCATCAACCCAGAAGACAGGTACAGACAAACCTCTGAAATCAAACCGGGCAAGGTCGTCCAACGAGGTTGAGGCAACACCAATTGCGGGAGAGCGAAGCTCGCTCCTGATTTTTTGCATCGTCCACTTTCCGACATTTAGTTTGCTGACAATCTCCTTGACGCGGGGGATCTGAGAGGGAGTAATCCGACAAAATTCCATGATAAGCTGAAGCAGATCGGAGTGATTGACCAGGAAACACATCGGGGACGACCTGAGAGGGGGGAACTCTTCAATAATTTCGTCGATAACCTTAATAACCTCGGCCTCCTTTAACGCCAGGTCCAAGGTATTATGGGATACAATATCGAAGTCCACCTCCTTATGAGTCCTGGGCTCGCCACCGTGCGGCACCTCTCGGTAGACGGTTCCAAAGGCAAAGGTTTTCTCCAACGAAGGATCCTGGCGTGGGATCGCACGTGCGTTTGGCATAGTGAGATCGAAGGGCAGCTGGAGCAGATTGCCAGAAGAGTCCAGTAACCTGACGGCGCCGTTATTGTAATGTTGTGATCTGGGAAACAGCATCTGCCTTGACGTTTCCACGGCTCCGTGTCGGCGGAAGATCGAGGTTAGTCTCTCTTTGACGAGCCCCTGGACTAGCAGTTCGTTCGCTCCTGGTGTTCCGCGAGAGTCCATGTCCCAGGCGATGTCTTCGAACTTTTTCGGTGACTGCGAGAAAATCCCGGACAGGATCTTCTTATAGTCTGGTGAGTTGGGATCGGAAAGTAGGTGCATGATGGCGCGCCTGAAGGTCTCTTCTTCGACCTGCAGAGGAATCTGGCCGCCGTGAAGAAGCTCCGAGGCGGAAGGGCGTTCGCTGGGGTTATGGCTCAGCAGTGACCCGATGATTCTGCCCTGGATCGCCTTTTCCGGATCCTGGAATGTCAGCGGCAGGATATGTTGCGGCTCTCTGATGGCTCGAAGAGTCTGGTCGCGCTCCATACCGGTGGGAAGGGCATGGCACATTTCGAAGAAGATTACTCCCAGGGAGTACATGTCGACTTTGTCGTTGTAGTTGCCTGTCAAGCCAGACTTCATTTCTGGTGCGACATAGTACGTGGTACCCAAACTCCGAGTAAAGTTGCCCTCAAAGTCTGCGGCAGAGGAAGAGCGCACGGCCGTCGTAAACTGGCCACTGGTGGCTAGGCCGAAGTCTCCGATGCGGGGGTTGTTGGCTACATCAATGAAGATGTTGTCGGGCTTGAGATCACGATGGATAATCCCGTGGCCGTGGATATGGCTCAACCCGTCCAGGATTTGCCGGAACAAGCGCCACGACCGATCCACATCGTCGTAGAGGCCATTCCTTATCAAGTCGCGAAGAGTGTGCTTCTCACAATACTCCATCTGGATGAAGAGCGTGGTCAGCACCGGCCTACCCTGCGAGCCCGACCGCATCCGAGTGAGCTCTCGGCCAGTGCCACTCTCCGACTCGTATGTCCCAGACGTATCGCCCTTGTCCCGGTTCGACACCGTGCCATCGTGATCCTCATCGCTGTCTGAGCCGAACTCAATCTTGGGGTAACCGCTGGAGCTAATGAAGTCAAGTCCTCCGGTGCTATAGTCATAGGCATGCGTGTCCCGGCTGGCGAAGATATCACTTTCGGTGGAGGAGATGGCTTCCTCGTCTACATAGTCATAATCCTCCTCAATCCACGCAGTATAGTAACGTACTACATACGGATGATTCAGACGGGACAGCAGCATAATCTCTGACAGTGTGTCTTTGAGGGCAGAAGCAGACTTCTGACAGATTTTCTTCACCGCGTAGAAGCGTCCATCAAGCTTATTCCTAGCCTTGACAACCTGACCAAACCCTCCTTTCCCCAATCGCCCTGCCTCATCAAAATCCTGGTTGTACCGCGAGAACGCGGGCAAGCCGCCCAGAGAATCGAGGCGCGGACGCCTCGGCAGGGAGATCGAGTTCGAGGCACTTGTGCGAGCGATCAAGGGCGAGTCCACACGGAAAAACTCCGATGGCTGCAGTTGAAACGCCGTGGGTCGCTTCTTCGGGTCTGGCCTAAAGAACTCATGCAGGAGGTCTTGCAGAGAGCTTGAGAGGCCGAGAGTGCTCATTAGCGCATTGGCAGACGTGTAGCGTTGCAGAACATCCGTGCCGAATCCCATCTGGAGGAAGACGATACCCAAGTCCCAAACGTCAGTCTTCATCGTCAGCGGTGCGGTGCCCTGGGTCAATTCTGGCGGCAACCAGAACGGTGATTTTGATGTCGTCAGCAGTCGTTTGCTGGCGGGAGAGTCGGGCAGTGCTTCTTCGATGCCTGCCCGAAGTTTGACAATGGTTCCGCCCGTGGGGGTTCTGAATAAGAGGATACGACCGCCATGGATGTTCCCATGGACAAACCCACTGCGGTGGTAAAACTCCAGGGCTTCCAGGAGTTGGATTGTCCAGCTACGCAGTATCTCGACAGGAACGGTTCCCACGATATCCAAGAATTCCGTCAGGGTTCCCTTGTTCGAATATTCGACCAGAGCATAAACTGTCCAGATGTTGTCCTGGGTATCATACATATTCAAGGGTCTGGAGATCTTGAACCCAACAAAGTCCACCAGATTCGGATGTCGGAGCCTTTTCAGGCCTTCCAGTCGGTCCTCACTGGAGCGCATCTTTTCTCGGAACTGGAGGGGCTCAACGCCCTTCTCGTCGAGGGAGATTTCTTTCAGGACCAGGAGAGGCGCATGGGATCGACTCTCCGAGACGACTGGTCTTACGGTGAACGTCTCCTTCGCTGGGCTACTCTGGAGTAGTGACTTCCCATAGACAGCCCGGAAGACCAATGTGCTCTGATCCGCGTCCGTCATGGCCAGGGGAGGGTCGAAGGTGATTGCACCGGGAATGTTATCCGCAGCATCGGGGTCGCCGTTCGCATCCAGGCCGGGAGTGCGACTCTTGCGTCGGGACAGGCGCGCCTTCGTCCGCTCCCTAGCCTTATCATCCAGGAGCTGCTGCAAAGCACGTTCCTCTTCCGCCGTAGCCGCCTCCTGTTTCCGAAGTTCCTCCTGTCGCTCCAGCTCTGCTCGTTGGTTGGCAGCGGCTTCCTGTTCCATGCGCTCCTCCTCGAGACTGGGAAGGTCCTTGTCCTGGGCCTGTGTCTCCGCGGCATCCTCGAGGACATCTTGGATCGACACGGCCAGCTCGTATATCATCTCGGAGCCCAGAAGGGTCTTCGGCTTGGTTCGCAGGATGTCTTGGATTCTCGATCTAGCGCCTTGGCGGAGGTCCTCAAGGTTTTCCACCGACAGGTTGGGGAAGGTCTTGGGGTAGGTGGTCGGCAACTCGACCAGCAATTCCAGGTGGACCTCTGGGTTGGAGGAAGCTCGTAGGTGAAGCTTGAAGGCCACCTCGGACGATTGCTAGATTGACAGCCGGTCAGTGAGACTCCGGGATTAGCTCCAATCCATCGACATACCTGCCAGGCAGATCGCCTGTGCTGCACCTCCTCGAAGTCATCGCCGTAGATGGAACGCAGGGCCTCGACCTCATTCTGGTGGATTTCCTGGTAATTGGTGGGGGCTAGGACTGGGGCGGCAAAGGGCGGCGAGTCAGGCACGAGCTGGTGCTGCTTCTTCTCCGCCCGGGGCGAGCCGATCTTTGGGGCATTGGTGAAATTCTTCTTCTGTTTGTGAGGCATAGCGGGGCGTGGTGGGTGGGCGGTGTGGAAAGAGTTGCGCCCAGATTGCGATGAGCTTTGTCACGGAGGATGGTGACAAAGATTGCAGCCGAAGCTGCAGCCCTCTATAGCTCTGACGGGGACATATTTGAGGTGGGTGGGTGGTGGGAAATAATAAGAAGTTGGAATGGGAGAGAGAGAAAGGGAAGGGAGGGAAGAAGAGAGTAGATCAAGATAGAGATAGTCCGGACGGAGTCGAACCGCAGTAAAAGAGCGGTCATGGAAACATGAATTGCCTGCCCAAAGATGGAGACGCTCGCCCGCCCCGTTGTTTTTCCGCCGACCGCCTTTGGGGCCGGGCGGCGCCTGGGGCGGCCGTAAACAAAGCACAGCGCTCCACGTCAACCCCCCCCCCCCATTCCCCCTCCACCACTCCCACTGCCAATGGTGTCGTTGCTGTGACCTGCTGCTGCTGGTGCCATGCACTTCTCGTCCACCTGGGTAATCTGAACGCAAATTTCTTCCCTCCCGTCGCGATGTTGGGGTGGATCACCGGGCAGGAAGACCAGGTCGCAGGTGCGTGTCTCACTCTAGTCCATTTGCCTACATTTCCGCGCGCGCGCCCTTCGTCCAGCGAGCGGCGGTCCAATGATGGCCTGACCTGATCCCTGGCCTGACCCCTGGCCACTGCGTGTGCTGGCGTGTTTTGCTCACTTGTTTATCCTTGATTTCCTTAGACAACTCCAGGGCAGCAGAACCGCCCGAGACGCCCGCGCCCGTGTTTGCGATCCGCGCCTTCAAGAGCGCCCTGTTCGGCACCCCGGGCCCCGATGACGACCAAACAAGCGACCGGCCACTCCAGACAAAGAACCCGAATCCCTTCGCCAATCAGCGCATGAGCGATAACCTTGTGTTGAAGCCGTCCGCCGGAACCGCGAGAGATGCTCCCAAGGCCATGAAACCCGACGACGCCGACCTGACCATGAACGCGATGGCCTCCCCCACAAAGAGCATCCTCGTGACCCCCGGCACCGCCTCCAACCGCCGCAAAACCGTATCTTTCGGCGACAGCGTCGTCGACAACGAACGCAAACGCGACCAACCATCCACGAAACCCGCCAACACCCCCACCTCCTCATCCAGCAACTTCAGCAGTCAGTGGTCCGCCAACTCATCTGACGGGAAATCCAAGCCTCGCAGCAAACTCACCCAGGCGTTGATGGATTCGCGCGACAGGTCCTCCAAGGGCCCCGAGCTCTTCTCGCTGCAGGATGCCGGGCATAACCCCCCGCCCGGACTCGCATCCAAGACCGCGTCAACGGAACCCGACGACAACGATGATACCATCAACTTGAACGAGCCGCGCTCTCAGTCCGGTAAGTACTGGAAGGCCGAGTTCGACAACTACAGGACAAAAACCACCTGGGAGATCAAGAAGCTCATCCAATACCGCTCTGCCGCGAAGACGTACGCCAAAAAGAAGGACGACGAGGCTTCGCGACTGGCCGACAAACTGAAGGATGAAGAGATCAAGGTCGCCGAGATGGAGCGCCATGTGACCCAGCTGGCCTCCACCATGGTCGGAGAGAGCGCCCACGCGGATAAAGAGAAGCTGGTGCAGGACCTCACCAAGCAGACCGCATTAGCCCTACAATACAAACACCGGGTCAGCACCCTGCGCAGACTACTGGAACGGCACGGCGTCGTGGGCAACGAAGTCGATGAGATCGCCGAGCACTCCGAAAGCGAACCCGCTTCTGAAAAGACAGCACCGGAGCTTCACAAGACCCAGCAGGCACTGGAACAGGCAGCCGCCAAGATCGAGGAGATGAAGCTCCAGCAGTCGGACTTCAACAAGCTCAAAGATCTCGCCCGCAGCTCCGAGCAGAAGGCCTCCGAGCTGCAGAAGGAGAACGCGTCTCTCAAACAAACCCTCGCTCGCGTGAAGCAGGAGATGAGCAAATATGAAGGGCGGCGCAAGGAAAAGGAAGCTAAGCTCAAGCAGAGAGAAGCCAAACTGGAGACGCGCATCCAGGAATACCGGGAACGGTTGAAAACCGCCTCCCAGCAGCACCGCGAGAATGAGGAGGACCTGAAAGAGTCTTTCAACGAAGAGCGCCATCGCATGCAGGAGCAGATCGACCAGCTCAAGATCAAACTCACGGCAATCGAAAGCCTCCCACACGTACAGGCTCGAACGCGCTATTCCGACAGCCCTCGCAAGCAATACACGGGAGTCCACGTCCACGACTTCGGACAAACGAGTCCTGGGAAAGATCTCGAAGACGAAAACACAGCCGACATCGATGAGCCTCCCAGCCCCAGCCCACGCGCCAAGGACCGCCGCTCCTACACCTCCAGATACAGCACTGGCACAGGGGACCTGGACCTGAAACGAGCCATGAAAGCCATGGGCATCACCGACGAACACCAGCTCGCCTATCTCGGCGAATCCCTGAGACCCCCTCAATCCCGGTACCTCGACCAGGACGAACCCACCATGCCTCCCTCCCCGCCTCCTGACAACCTCCCACCCACCACCACTACTACCACTCGCACGCGTCCCAAACAGAAATACGCCACAGAGAGCTACCGCAGCCTCTACACCTCAACCAACCCAACCGCCCCCGCCACAACCATGACCTCCCTCGCCCACCACCTCGCCAACAATCTCGACGACAGCCATCATGGCCATGTCCACGGCCACGGCCACCCCCGTCCCCGTCCCCGCCGCTCCCCCTCCAAATACACTCTCGACGCGGTCTCCACCCTCCCGGACTCGCACGCCCTCGACCGCGCCAAGCGAAAACAAAGTCTCGCCGCCGTCGTGCACCGAGACTCCCTCCCCATGGACCGGAAAATCCAGGCCCAGGCCCGTCTCAAGCAACGCAAAGATGACTCGCGCAAAGGCAAGGAGAATATAAAGTCGTATACGAGTCAACCGTTGACGGTTCTCGATTAACCACTCACCCCACTCGTCTTATTTCCCACCTATCGATTGGCCTTGATTTTTTTTTTCTCTTTTTATACGCAATGGATGTGATATGATATGATATTCGGTTTCAGGCCTCGTTCGTACTTTTCTTTTAGGCTCGGGCGTGGTGGTTGGTTGGTTGGTTAGGTACAGGGCGGGTCAGGTCCCTGCATCCATATAGTATCATTGACATGGCATGGCATGGATTATCTTTTATATGTTTCTCTTGTCGGTTCCTCGCTTGGTGGATTGGTCTGGTCAGTCTGGTCTGGGCATGTATTGTCTTGTCTTGTCTCGTCTCTTTTGTCTCTGTCTTTGTTACTGTCACCGCGCTACTTTAGCTTGTTGTGATTGCCGCTTGCTCATACGTAATCTTTAGTCTCTAGTTCTTAGTCTTAGTGTTGTGTTGTTTTGTGGTGTGCTGAGTATGTGTGGATGAATGGATGGATGGATGGATATGGATGAATGGATGCTGCTGATGGTAGTCCAGGTGGTCGTTGTGTCTACCTCCTACTACCGATTACCTATACCCTGAATGGATGATGTTACCGAAGTACTACTGCTATACTACCGCTAGCATTCTTTGAAGCTGTAATCTGATCAACTGCGTCGTCTCAATTACCCTAAATTAGAAAGTATCACCTCAGTCCTATCCATCTATGAACCCTTTTTATCCACACCAAATCTATATGATCGTCTATATCCCCTACTATGACCCGTCCACATCTACTCTACTCTGTCGGATTCAGGCCCGGCCATCGCAAAACGATACAACGGCCCACTTCCCACTCCACGCCCACTTCCGGGCCTCGTCACCTCCACCTCCAGGCAGCTGCCGGAGTTTCTCGTCCTCGCCGGCCGGAAGCCCAACCACGACATCGGCCTTGCAGGTCCGGAAGGCCATGACGCGGACGCCGGAGTTGGGGCCTAGGGGCCCGATGGCGGTTGTGAAGGGGGTAGTGGGGTCCCACATGGCCTAAACGGATACGGGTGTTATTACTATGGTTCATGGAACGAGAAGGGAGAGGGTTGGTTGAGGACTTACGTCGTTGGTCAACTTCCGGTAGTTCAGATCACCCTTGAACAGCACCAGCTCGCTCTCTTTCAGGTCATTGAAGAGGTCCGGTGCCTGATACGGCAGACGCCAGTAAGAGCCCGGGGTAGTCCAGAAGGTGTGGGGACGGATGATCAACTTTCCTTCCTGGTGGAGGTGGCTCCAGTGCTCGAAAAGGAAGCCTACTTCGGAGACTTCCTTCTCCGAGAGAGGGGCGTGTGTCTTGCCTGTGTCATCGGGGGCAGAGTAGAAGCCCTGGGCGTCGGAAAGGGCACTGATGAGGGCCGCGAAGTCGGGGGGTGTGACGTCCGAAACGAACCAGGGAATGAGCTTGGGGTGGAGCACGACGGTGGTGGCGAGGCCGGCGGAGAGAAGGTAGCCGGCGAGGATGAGGTCGACGAAGAGTTCGAAGCCGGAGTTGTCGAGGACGATGTCGACCCGGCGTTCCTCGGACTTGCGCTCGCGGCGGGCCTTGTGGAGCACGTCGAAGGCGGCGTTCAGGTCGTTGACCAGAATATTCTTCTCCGAGGCCTTGCGGGCCTCCGATCCCTGGAGTTTCTGGATGTCCTCATAGGTGAGGGAGGTGAGGAGGGAGAGGTCGGTAGCGTTACCCCAGAGGCAGATCTCGCACATCTCGGAAAACAGGATGCGGTCGCCCTGCTCGATCTGTTCCGGGCTCTTACCACCGCTGCCCTTCTCCGCCTCCTCGGCAAGCTCTTTGTATCGCGCAGCTAGTTCGAGGACGGCTGGACGGGAGGACTTGAAGGTGGACAGCTTCTGGCGCGCGAACACGTCATAGCCCTTCCAGTGCTTGGAGAGGGAAAAGAGGGTGCTGAGACGTCGGTCTGAGTGCTGTCAGCACTGGTGGTCCCATAGAGGGATCAGTTGCACGCACAGAGGTAGCATTCTGAGTAAAGCCATGAGACATCGTGCCATGAGGGGTTTCCTCGTTGCTCCAGTTCCTTGTTGTACTCCGCAATGTCTGGCTGGCCGTCTTCGGGGAGGGGACTAGTTGGGGAGAACGTCAATGACTGTTGGGTTTTATCGCAATATATATCCGGAAAGCGGGATGCTCACGTCAACTGTCTGTTGTGTTGCAGCTCATACTTGAACTTGGCGAGGTTCTCGATGATGGTTTTTCCTTCCTGGCGCTTGTCGTCATCGGTCACGTTGCCGACGGTCCGATGCAAGTCGTCAATCGCACCCGTCTGTGAGGGGTCACTGTGAGCTCGAGCTAACGATGGCTAAGCCTTGTCGGAATGAGGGTTCTCACCAGGATAACGGGCCAGCGCTCGTGGGCGGAGACGGAGGCGAAGCTGGACTTGTCGGAGGTGAGGAACTGCGCTGGCGGAGGGGAAGGTGGGGGGTTAGTCGCGGCGCCGGATGAGGGGGCGGAGGGGCTCACGGGTCTTGGGGTCGTATTCCATGGTGAGGGAGGTGGATGGAGATACTACTGTGGGAAAGGGGAGAAGAGAAGGGAGAAGAGAAGGGAGAAGAGAAGGGAGAAGAAAAGGGAGAAGAGAAGGGAGAAGAGGAAGTGAGGATTGCAAGGAAGAGAGAGAGAGAGAGAGAGAAGATGGAAGAGAAATCGCGGGGTCGTTCTCGCCGCGGTCGGAAATCGCCAGCTCGGCAGCCAAGATTCCTCGAATCGGGTCGTCTGTCTAATAATGCCTATGCTTCCACTATACTATGAGAATTTATAAAAAAAAAAAAAAAAACAAAACAAAACAAAACAGAAGCAAATCGGTCCTGAGAAAGCCCTAAGAATTCACAGCTGTCCTACAGCCAATCCAACGCCATAATACAAGGAAGGAGAAATGCAAGATTGGGGTGGAGAGATATTTGGCCATTCCGCTATGCAAAGAGTCCTCAAGATCGTCGTCGTCAATCAGTCAGTAGTCAGTCAATAGATACATCGCCCTCGTGCTGTATTTCCCAAGGTACCCCCAGCATCTCCCTCCCAAGCCAGAGAGGCTCTCTATTCCGGCAGATCGGCGAGGTTCGTCTCGCTCCCAATTCCCCCCAATTGAACGCCTCCAAAACAGACGAGATCATCTCACATCATAGACATCAAAGAGCTCTGCGCATAAGCCTACGAGGAGAGTTAGTCCTGTTTTCCGTGTTTCAATCTGTCGGGAGGAAGAGTGATCGGGCTTACCATCGGCTTAATGTCCGGGTGGGGAACGGCCTCAAAGACCTGGTACTCCAGCTTGAGCTCGGGACCGATCTTGATGAAGGCTCCCTTGTTCTCCGTCGTGTCGCAGTACTTGGGAGCAGAGAAGACGGTGATACACCGGCCATCGTGCTCGACTTCGTAACCATCCATGCGGACCTCGTGCGAGCGGATGATAGCCTCCAGGCCGTTCCTTTCACAGAAACGCTTGGTGACATCCGGGCCAAACTGGAGGCCAACACCGCGCTTGCTGGGTCCGCGACCGGGCTCGGTCTGCGGGTCAGTCCAGAGCATCTCCATCATCAAGCCCTGCTGGCCGGGCTGGCGCTGATTGTGGCGGTTCAACTTGCGGATGTCGGCCAGGGTGGTGTTGTCGTCCGAGAACAGACCGCCATGGAGGACCAGGAACTTGTTGCCGATCAAGGTAGCCAGCGGCAGAGCGGAGAAGGATTCGGAGAAGACCTTGAACACCGTCTCGTTGTACTTGGCCTTGCACTCGCCTTCGAACCCGTACACCTTGTTCATGTCGTCCGTCTCGTGGTTACCGCGGTTCAGGAAGATGCCGTTGGGCCGCAGCCACTTGTATGCGTAGAGGAGCAGGGCAATCTCCGTCGACCATGACCCACGGTCCACAAAGTCGCCGTTGAAGAGGTAGGCGTGGGTGTCGCTAGGGAATCCGTTCAAGCGGAAAATTTCCAGCAGATCGAAGAATTGACCTGAAAATCAAACATCAGCACCCGCCAAACGGATCAAGCAGAACGAGCCTCACCATGCGTGTCACCGCACACCGTCAGCCTGTGACCCTGATCCACGCCAATCTCCACCATCGTCGGCTCCGCATAGACGATGTCCTTGACAGCCTTGATTATTTGGAAGACGTACTTCCGCGGGATCTTCTTGCCGTTCTTGAACCGTTCGATCATGTCGTCGATAAACTCCTGCGTCATTTCCTTTTCCAGCGGCACACCATCATAGCTGGGTTCCACCGCCATCGAATCGATATCCAGGCTCTCAAACGCAGACGGGGGGTCGCTGACCTCGATGGCCTTCTCGAACTCCAGCCGACGGACGAGCTTCTCGCACTCGGTCAGCTTTAGCTTCGCGTCCCGGTTGTTGGGTTCTCTCCGGATCACAGCCCTGAAGTCCTTCAAGGCATCCTTGTAGTGAAGAATGGCGGAGTTCGCCAGGGCTCGTCGCCAGTAGGCCTATATGGTAATCATCCTTAGAGCATGATCGCATCGCGTCAGGAGCCTTGGCAGAGGGACGAACCTTGACATAGTTGGAGTCGAGGTCCAACGCCTTGGTGGCGTCGGCAATCGCAAAGCCATAGGCCTCAAGTTTGATGTGCGCCTACAGGGTCCCCTGCATCAGTATCCAAGCATCCAGACATCCATCCCCACCTCGACGGGTCGCCGCGACATACCTGGGCCCGGTTGCAGAAGAACGAGGGCTCCTGATCGTACTTCTCAATCGCGCTGGTGTAGAACTCTATGGCGGTAGGCCAGTCATGCTGGGCGAAGGCCTTGTTGCCCTGCACCTTGAGGGCAGTGGCGGCCTCAACATCGGAGGAAGCCATCGGCGGGGGAGGAAAGGCGAGGAGGCGAGGCGAGAGACGGGAGGGGGTTTTGGTAGGAGGGCACGAGAGCACGAGGGCACGAGGGCGCAAGGACCGACCACACCGGCGCACAGGGACGGGCAGAGGGACCAGAGTCGGAATGGAAGTGGAGGGAGGGGAGAGTTGCGGTAGAGAAAGAAGCCGAACGAGGCACACGAGTGATGCTGCTGGACTGCTGGATGCGGCGGCGGTTGTTCTGCTGGGTTGGTTTTCTCCGGGGCTTGGCATTTGTTCGAGAAGCCTCTCTTCCGTCTCAACTCCGCCTCTCCAACCACCCATCCATCTCTTCAGGCAAGAGACAAGAGATCCCCCGGACTCACCCTCTTCCTCTTCCTTCTCCCTTTCTTCTCTCTCCTCCCTCTCTCTATCCAGTGTGCCGATTCTCCCCCCCCCTCCTCCCCTCATGTCCTACTACGTCGCACCCAGCCAGCAGCGCACCCTCCGCGCCTGCATGGTCTGCTCCCTCGTCCAACTGCACAGCGTGAGTGTTGATCTCATTAGCTATGCCGTCGATGGCTTCCGACTCTGGATCTCCCGGCTAACTCTCATCTCCGACCCAGAAATTCATGCGCGAAGGCTGCCCCAACTGCGACAACGTCCTCCGCCTCCGCGGCAGCAACGACGCCATCCAAGAATGCACCTCCCAGGTCTTCGAGGGCCTGGTGACACTCCGGGATCCTGCCACTAGCTGGGTGGCTCGGTGGCAGCGACTGGATAGCTATGTCCCGGGGACGTATGCGGTGAAGGTGACGGGCTCGGTGAGCTTACCCATCTCCTCCCATTGGACCCGAGCCAGGGAACGTTTCGGCTGACGAATTGATCTTCTTTCTGGTGCAGCTTCCCGACGAGATCATTTCCGGTTTGGAAGATTCGGGGGTCAAGTATATCCCGTACGTGAAACACCTGCCACCCGGAGTATAGGATTATTGGTTGCGGATGCTGACAGATAACGTGTAGGAGGGACGGGAGTACAGGTGAAGAGGAGCATTAAGTGTGCTGAGGGGGTTCTTCCTCGTGTTATCAACTACACGCTTCCCAATGCGACATGGTGGATGACAATATTTCACTGTTGCAGCGGATTTTCGAGAGGAACCTGGAGGGGGGCTGCTTCCTGCTAGACTTGCACAATACTGGAGTTTGGGGTGTGTTTCTTTGTTTGTTTGCGAGAGCTGTACGGTACTGGGGCTTGGTTGATATGATCTGTTGCTGCATTGGAGTTCCTTCCCTCTTACTTGGAAAACTGTTTTATAATCCCCGATGGTGAACCAACTGCGTCACACTCGATACCCAGATAGATACATCAATATTGCCTTAGTGGCATCTGCTTATTGTTCAAGATGTCTTGGTGTTGAAGAAAGACCCTGTAGTGAAAGGTTGCTGACATTAGCTGTCGCCCTTGAATCTGGCTACAGAAGGGATTCGGGGCCGACGATCCACTCAGCGCCTTGCATGCCCTGTGGAGATCTATCAGCCGCGGCGAAACATGGCCAAATTTGAAGATATATGTCAATAACTAGATAAATAAATAACAATATGGAAGCATCGTACCTCCACCACAGAACAATAAACATTTTTACCACCTAAGTGTGACGGCCTGCGCGCAAAAACGCTGATTTAAATACATCCTTCAGCAACATGAAGAGTGCCATTCCCAATTGATGAGCAAGATGATATATATATATGTATCCAAAAGCAAAATTATTCTATGACATGAATATCGACGATCGCATCGACCAAAACAACCCAGCAGCGATCAACACTTTTATTATTTTTTATTCTTTATATGAATCTCCGCATGCATGCGAAGAAGATCAGAAGATCGATCAACTGCACCAATGACATCGAAAGTCAGGGTTCTGCCCTGAACATCAAAGAACCTTTGCAACATCCAAGTAAATAACAGCAGTCATATACCGAGACAAACCAGGACATCAATCCTGCAGTTAAGTAGCCAGCCAACCAACCAGCTTAACCCCCTCCCAAGGTCGACAACAATAATGCGCCAATGCATCATCCGCATACACAGTCACCCTAATTAATGGGTCTTAAAACCCTATCGTAACTCTATAAGTGATTCTAAGTATGGATTTGAAACCCAACTGGCCGGACACACCATCATCTACCTACGGTAAAGACCGTGCTATGTACTTACTTACTATGTAGAATCGATAGATAGATAGACAGATAGTGACTCCAAATCCAAACCAACATTCACATCCATAACTTGAAACAACGCACAGACACAACAGGACGTCTTAATCTCCGTCCTCGTCTGCGTCTGCATCTACGCCTACTTACACAGTTAGATAGATAGCACTAGGCACTAAACAGTAACCACCGTGTCTCTAGATTGCCGATACGGGACACAATATACATTATACTTATAGTAGATAGCATAAATGAAATTGGAGAAGCCTGGTACGACGACAGTACGTAAGATCATCCCCAACCGGATAAGCATTTAACGTCCCTCTCGTGTGGAAAACTTGGAAAGCGGATTCCATGCCGTGTTATTTTTTTTTTCAAGCTTATATCTAGACCACGGACTTAGCAGCAGGGCATCTAGGCTATGGCCCTAAACTATCTACTTAGGACTTACTTGAGTAGGTGGTTCCGCGCCCAATAGCCCTAACTACCAGCTAGTAAACCGGGATATATGCAGGGGCCCAGGGGGAGGGGGAAAGGGACGGAGACTAGGTAAGGACACAATTCCTCCGATACCTAGATACTACGTAGTCTCCAATCTTCAATCTCCATAGACTAGAATATAGATAGATAGAAATGACGGAGTCCTTCACATGCTCCAACTCCAAGGCTTACTTATTTATATTTATTAATCCCTAGTTCCCTCGTCGGCTGCATAAGCGGTTCCAACTAAGTTCAACCAGGGGTGCCCTATTAATAACAGCCTACATGGGGTATCTACCCCGTATCTTCCTTCCAGCACCCCCTTTCTCTCCTGCGAAGCATTTATCGCAGACAAACGATCGGCAATGCAAAGATGGAATTGGACGAGTTAGGCGGGCGAGCCGCGTTTGAAGTAACTAGCCCCGAGGAAGACTGGGAATTTGAGATAGATTATTGATTGATAATTCATATGCATGTCAGGCATCAAGATATTTAGTACGATGGCGGGACCCAGCATCAGGCCATACTGGCATACGAGCTGAGCGCTAGTCGCTTCGCGGTGTGGAGTCAAGCCCCGACCGTGGAGCCCAGAGGGCCAGAGCAGATCCCGAGACCCACTCGTTCACGATCGGAAGGAGTTGGTCGGCGCTCGATCTTGAGGGTCGGGGCTCTATCTACGGATACCGTGGACGCGGAAGTGGGCTTGGTAGATGAAAAGAACATGGCATTAGTAGTGGGTGGTGTATAGGTACATATTCCAGAGAATGCCTTATCCGTACAGGTACATGCTGGCGTAGGATCGTTAAGTATACAGGTTTAGGGATATACATGAATCATCATTAGTTGGCTTTCTATTCTGTGCAGAATAGAAGAGTAAAGAAAGTGACAGGGAAGGAGTGACGGGAACAGAGAGCGAGATCCTAGATGAAATTCCTGTGGTCGTGATATGAGGGTCCCACATTCGCCTCGCGTGTGAGTGACGTAGAGGACGCGTCGCTACCGGGCGACGTGTAAACCACCCCGTGGTTTTTGAGGTCGATGTTATGCGTGGGTGTTGCAACGCGCGCGTGGTTCGACACAACATTAGAGACGTTCCCGGCGACATTGCTCGGCCTTCTGGATTCGGAGAATGTTTCCATCTCAACGGTGCGCATGACCTCCAAACGGTCTTGGTTGGTGAGTCCTTCGCAGTCATACATCCGATCCTCGGCCTTGAAATTGGACTGCTTTGACGGCCCAGTCGAGGTCCACAGCTTCTGGTCCCGAGACCTCGGGCCATATGCCGACGAGTAGCGGCGAGTCGTCCGGAGCAGACGGGGCAGGAAGAACGCAACGAGAGGCCTCAATGCGGGCGCAGAAGCGCAGATCTAGCTGCGGTCAGCAAGGGTTTGAGTTCAATCACGCCAATCCACATACCAGTCCCAAACTGATCTCAATGGAGGCGGCCAAGAGAATTGGCCAGCCCTCCCAAGTAGCGTCATACGAAGCGATCATACTCTTCCACACATAGACCGTTCGGACAGAGCCTGCGACGTTGACCAGAATTCCCAAAGCAAAGATCGAAATAACGGCGATCCGCTGGCGAACAGGCAGTTTCAAGTTCCAAATCAAGGGCATTGGGACCACAGTCGAAAGAAAATCGGTGAATACATTGACAACACTGGCTGAGAACACAGCAGCGCCATCATTGAGACAGGTATGAGGGTACTGAGGGTCCAGGTCCCAGAATGCATGTATAGGCCTGGCAGAAGACGTGGTCAGCCCGCATTACCTCATTCAGAAGTTGGGAAAACTCACGTGCACTGGAAAATACTAATGAACACGAAAAGAAGACAGCATATGAGCACAATGACCATAGCGATGATCAGAACAATGTTGTAACCCCAGTAGAGACCTTTGCTCCCGGTTCCGACAAGGCGCTTGCAGAACCATAAAACCGAGAGCTTCGTGATCGAGGAGCATATCGAGAAGCAGAGCTGGAAGGCAAGATTGTACTTGCTGACATTTGGTAGCCAGGTCAAAGGCACATCCCATATGTGTCGAGTCCAGCCCCAGTTGATAGTCGCCATGGACGTGACAACACACATCCCGATGGCAAAAATCTAGACCATATTAGAGGGGATCCCACGAAGCAAGTGTACATGGTCTTTGTAACATACCAGGGCGCAAACGATCAGGAAGTCATCCAGACCGGGAGTGCACGTGATTCGAAAACGCGTGTATAGGCGAAGGACAGTCACGATAAATGCCAGACTAAGGAGGGTGACGTTCACGATGAGGACGGCATTTCCGCGGGTCACAGGGTCGACATAGTTGGGTGTGGGCCATGTCGCCAGGACACTGGCGGGTGGAAGTTGCATAGTGGCGGTGTCAAGAGGTAAGGTACAGGTAGAGAACAGACGGGCGGGGCGGTAACTATAGGCGATGGTCGAAGGAGCGTAGCAGGGCTGGTGTTCTTACGCGAGAGTCCAATTGAAGTCAAGCACAACCAATAGGAACCCCGGTCAAGTAGCCGACGGTCGCATTAGCCATCATAAAATGGGCAATCTGGGGGAAAGGTCAAGCGAGGGTGGTTGCAGCCAAGCTGGATGCGCTAGCCATTGACAGATTCTGACTGACTGACAGCACCAACGACGAGGGGAGCCGGGGGAGATGATATACCAGCGTCCACGATGGAGAGGCCCCCACTTGGGGCTGGAAAAGAGCTGCGACATTAATGGACTGGCCAGTGGCTCTCCCGCTAACCATGGACTGCATGGGCTTGTTTGCCTTTTGTCATTTTTTGACTTTAATGGTGTCTCCAAGCCTGTTGCAATTTCAGATTCAGTCTCCTGGCCGCACGGGAGAGAGCCCCTCCAATTAGACTGGCAGGGGACCTCCACTGTGGGCAAAGTCAGGCCAATCCAAATGGCGAGGGGAGGAGCCAAAACCGAGGCGAGCCGGGCATCCATGCCCAGGAGAGGAGAGTGATAGGCAGATCCAACGACCCGTCGTTCACGGTCTGGAGCCAGCTCCACATGCCAGGGAGACGGACGATCTGGGAATCTTGAGCCACTGGGTGGCGGGCATGTCACTTTGGCTCAGGAGCCGAATTGCCCGCCTGGATCAGGGCCGTCTGAAAATTGCGGGTAAGGGGGAGTCCTGGGTTGAGGCTCCCATTCGGGTCAATGGAGGGAAAGGATAGATTGAAGAGCTCGGGAGGCGGGGAGGGGAGGGAGGCGACGGGGGCCAAGCCGGAGACCCGGGAGAAGGATTCAGATCCATGATCCATGGGTTCGAGGGCACTCTCATTTTGTTCATCGATCGATCCCCTTTGCTTAGATTCCAGATGGTTGTTCTAGCCAGGAGAAGTAGATAGTAGTAGAGAGGGAAAGCTGTGTGTAGTCTAGATAACTACCAACAGGAAAAGGGAAGAGAGAAAGAGAAAAGGCGCGCACGGGAGTCGATACAATCCATCAATAATCAATCTGCCTCCCTCGTGGCCCCCACTCGCACTAAGCCCATCTCGGATTGCCCCGCACTGGCCCGGCAGTCCACCTTTCCACCTTTCATCCTTCCACTCCTTCCACTCCTTCCACCCCCATCTTCCTTTCTTTGGCGTTTGGCACTGGATATCTACTTGGGTCGCACTTGGGACTTTTTGAGACAATGGCAAGGTGCCTAGTCTATCTACTACCCAGAATTCTTTAGATCCCTCGACATCAATCAGAACCGATGCACCGAGTACAGACGCATTGAAATGCCGGCATGCTTATTCGGGGTGGTAACAGCCTTACGGGAAGCCGTCCAGACTCCAGCCTGCACCGGGGGGGAGATGTGCTGCCTGAAATAGGCCCCAGTATGATGGCCATTGACCACGAGTCAGAAGCGGCCCCATCCTTGGGGGTGATGGGTACTGTGCGCATTGCTTGTCCCAGGAACACCAAGAGTATAATTATCAGGACGGTCGCGGGATGATGCGCCGGAACCATCCGGACTTCTCGAGGAAGCACGGTGCAAGCAACGAACGTGCCTCCGTGCTTCACAACAATAACATGGAGTATAGGTGGAAACGAGTCGTGCGCAGTAACAGCCCGAGTTGGTATTTGCACATTCCTATTCCTGTGGGATCATCGGATCGCCTTGAGATGCTGATGTGATCTTCTTGTACCATTGAGCTAGATTCGAACCCCATTCCTTCAAAACACCCACGTTCTCGGTCACCCAATGGGCTGATCAGTCTTCCAGACATGGCGTTGAACACGAGAATTGTTTCTGCAGAAGAAATCATCGCTTTACCAAGAGATAATATCCACCCTTCCTGAATCAGCTAAAGCGGGGATTCCCTATTGAGTAAGGGACCGGGAAACGGATGATACACCATAAATAGTGGCGATCATCGCATGATCGCACAGGCTACAGCAGAGAGTCCTTCTGTCCGGCATGGGCCCGGAATTCAAAAAGCAAAAGACATCTGGTTCACACCAATGGTGATCCTTGCTAATCGGTGACACCAGTGCTGGCCAGGGTGCCCATTGTAGCCCGTTTTTGATGGATCCGATCATTTTGCCATCGGCCCATCACATTTCGACCATGGACTGAATCCGCCCTCCGGAAACTGATATGATCGACTGCATTCGGATCTAGGCGCCATGTCTCTCTGCTTCGACCCATGGTTCAGCATTTGAACCACGGAGAGCCCCCGGGGCGAATATGCGGCGCCTTCTGATCCGGCCTACTGGGCTTCTCTGCTCTTCGAATATTTCCGATATCTTCCTTTGGTACCTGGGGGAGGATCAATAGAATAGCCTTTTGCCTTCCTTCCAACCGTCCGGCAATAGTCCTGTCGATTAGCCGTTGCGCTCCCATTCGGACGGCGCCTGGCTCGTGGGTCCATCAATAGGACTAGCCGCAAAGTTAAATCCCCAATGGCGCTTCAGTTTCCAGCCTTCAGTGCAGATCCTCCATCCTGGGAATGCGAAATTGCTATCGTGCTGTCTTGCAGTCGGCATCTGCACCCAAGTCTCTATCCGATTGTCATCGGATCGTCCTTGTCACCGATAAATGGGTCGAACCTTCAATAAAAGGGTCCAAAGCAGAACTTGCAGAGCTATAGAGTATAGCCAACCTTTCCCGATGTTAGCATCGGAAAGAAAGGTTCCTTTTTGTTTTCGGCAGTGGCGATTGATTCGTGTGACGTAGATCAAATGCCAGCCGGTCCACCGTTCATGAAGCACCCTGTTGTTTCAGCTTCGCGCCTAGACTCGGTCCCAGACCGAGCATCAGCTACCATGGCAAGTAAAACAGATATAAAACCTAGCGCAATCGATCAAAATAGCACATACATAGCACTGAGTAGTAGTAGTCTTTTAAAAGCTGTCCCTGACCCCTGCGGGAACTCTCAGGGGAATACGAAATAAGCTCGCCGATCCCCTCGCCACCCCAACACACCAAGCACCACACCCGCAGCGTGCAGGAATATCATACAATAATATAGCCTGGTTAAGCGTCAACAGCCACTTCCGTCAGCCCGAGCGCAAAACCTACCTAGATACCACCTACATACCAGGTCCTACTCACTCACCATTGCCAGTGCCAGTGCCATGAAATCCTCCCCCCAACCGGGGTTTGCTTATGTATGTACTCTTGCCTAATGCGGTCTCTGATCCCAAATTTGGGTCCCTGGTGAACGGGGCCCCGTTTTTATCTTTCGGGTATCGGGTAGAAGTAGTATTGAAGTAGAATCACTAAGGTACTAGTTAGCTATCGGGCCAAGCTCAAGCTGTCTGCTACCCGCTGGGTCATCGTGGGAAAAAAAAAAAAAAAAAGATCACCGTTGCTCTACTGTGTATAGTAGGCAATAGTACGGAGTACTGGGGGATCATAATGTGGTGCGGTATGGTGTAATGCTAGATAGCAGGGGGATGGGCGATGGGATTTGATATACGATGAAGTCGATCGGCCTGGCGCTGCGGATTTGTTTCATTGATGGGACTGGGGAGTCCGAGTCGATCCCTGTCAAGGGAGGGAGGTGGTGTTTTGTCTGATTATTGTCTGTGTATACTAATCGCATCTGAAACGTTGAAGCGATATGGACAGGGATGATAGATATCGACCTGCAGAGGTCGGGCTATTCCGATTGATCCTGGATTTGTTTGTGTCATGTCGCTGATGGGATACGCCATGGTCCCAGAGAAATTCGATTTTCACCAAACGTGGGTTCTTGCAGTGTTGGGTAGTTGTCGGTTTTATGACAGATTGAGGTATGCCAAATGGTCATCTGTCTTTTAAGAAGCGTCAAACATTCTTCAGTGGGGGGTCTTTGACTGTACAACATAAGTTGTGTTAGCTTACACATCATCCCTGCAACGGTCAAATCATGCTGGTTTACTCTAGATCCGCATTTCCCCTGTCACACATAATCTCATTTTGCCTGCTATAATTTCTAGCCATCACATTTGTAAAAAAAAACTATCAGGGACATTGGCTGTCGCTGTGAATTCCGAGCTCGGTTGGTGGCCATCCCATAATATGGTTCTGCTACACCTCCAAACCTCCCTCAAATCTCCAACAACCTCCATTAAGCCCAGGGTACAAACACTCCAGTCTTCATAACATCCACACGTGCCATCAAACCACTCCCCACATTACCAACCATGTCCAGTCCCTCCCCCCTCCTCCGTCTAATCCAGACCGTGACCACCAAATCGCGAAACAACCCCGCCATGCACCCCAAGCGGTACAGCCTTCAGATCTCCTGCCATGTCAAGCCCAACGCCTCCAGTAACCGCGAAGGCATACTCGCCATAGGAGCCGACCGCGTGGACGTTTGCGTCGCCGCCGTGCCGCGAAAGGGCGAGGCGAATGCCGCCGTATCCCGCGTTTTGGCGCAGGTGAGTCCAGTCCCCACTGCCTATACTCCAGTCCATTCCATGTACTATAAAGACACAGCGGTGACTTGCTCCAGGTCTTCCAAGTCCCCAAATCCAACGTCGAAGTCATCCGCGGCCTGAAGTCTCGGGAGAAGACCCTCGCCATTACCGACCTGGATATTGGATCACAAAGCGAGGATGAATTCCTGGAACATGCGCATCGAAGGCTAGAGGAAGCATTGGTACAGAAATAGCTCACGAAAAGATAGATGTGCTGCTTGGATGGGAGGTAAACATCGGTTGGTTCTGCGGCGAAACGTGACGTGACATCACGGGGATCTTCCCGACCGACCGACCGACCGACTGCCGCCCGTTTTCTTTTCCGAATCAGCATCCATCCCGCAGCTTCAACTTTCGCATCGCATCGCATTGCATCGCATTACATCGCGTCGCATAACAACCAACTGTCATAAATAGCGAGCTAATCCTTCTCCGCGATCAATCGCAATTTCAACTGCCACCCAACAACCACAATGTCACCCCCTCTCCCCGAACCAACAGCAGCAACAGCAGCCACGAAACGCAAATCCCCATCGTCATCATCCTCAACACCCAAAACCATCCACTTCACCGCGCGCAATCCCCCATGGACCTATCTCAAACTCCAACTGTACGTCTCCCCCCAACAATCCCAGCCACAAACCCAACTAACAAAACCCACAACCCAGCACCCCCCAACCAACTCCCTTCTCCTCAACCTCCTCAACATCCACATCCACCACCCCCCTCGACCCCCTCACAGCACGAACCTACCTCTCCGCCGCCCTCACCCAATTCCTCGGCCTAACCGGCACCTCCATCCCCATCGACATTCTCAAAATCTCCTCATCCCCCGAAGTATCAGACCCGAAATCGAAATCAACAGCAACAGCAACAGCAGACAAAACCATCTGGGTCCGCGTTCCCCGCGACGACGCCTCCGCCGTCGTGGCCGCGCTGAGTTCCTGGATCGGAGGGGGTACGGGTGGCGGGGACTCGTCGGCGGCGGGGAATGTGGCGTGGAGGGTTTGCGCGAAGGGGAATTATCTCGGCGCTTTGGTGCAGGGGTCTGGGGGGGATTTGTTTGTGGCGTAGGTGGGATGGGATTGGGTGAGAGTTGCTTGAGATATCTATTTTGATTGGGTTTTGGTGGAGAGATGGATATTGGATTGCGGGTTGGGGTTGGATGCATCGGCGATGCGGATGTGGTCGGCCTGCTGCAGGGGGGAAATGATGTGAGATGCAGAGTAAGTCTCCGTCCGGGTTTGGAGATCTGCAGTCGAGTATCGTCACATCATCCCATCCTCGCGTCAGGGAAACGGAACGGCTTCTGCGGTGATCGCGATCGCGCTATATAAGTACGTAACTACTACCAGGGTCCGGCCGGGTAACCGTGCAGACAGACTATCCAGAGAGATGGCTCGTGCTTCCATTCCACATACGAGCCACGGCGGAATAGTGGAAAGGCCAGGACCGCATCGAACACGGGAACGGAAACAGAAACAGAAACAGAAACAGAAAGAAGACACATCCTTGCGACGAGATCTAGAGATATCCAGGATCTAGCCATCAATGGTCTAGATTGTATGTGCATGCAACATGGCATCACTGCAGATATACCCCTCCGCTACCAAAGCTTCTCCACCGACATATCAATCCACAGACCCAAATATTCACAGTAAAAGAATGCACCAGACCCGACACCCGACAAACCAGCGTCCAAGAAAAGAAAAGAACCCTTTTTATACGACAAACAAACAATCATAACACCGAACTCGCGTGCTCAACTTAGCAGTGGACGCCCAATTTCCATATAGTGACACCACCCAATAATATCATTCCCGTCCTGTTTTCCATGGTATTGCATTGCTTTTCCTCCCGACATGCTTTTTCCCTTTCCTTCTCTTTCATTCCTTTTTTCCTTGCTGGGTCATTCCAGAGTCTAAACAGACTGCTTACTGCTCGCGCTCCCAACCACTGTCGCCGCATCGGACATGGCCGCCATAGCCACAGGCGGGTTGTGGTTTGCGATGACCTTGGATCTCAGCGCGGCGCGGATCTCCTCGACACTGCGGTCCTTCCATTCCGGGTAGCCGGACGTGCTGAGGGGGTACAGGACATAGTTGTCGTCGCGGGTGCCGAAGTCGTCCAGCTTGGGCGCGGGCATGGCGGTAATGATGTCCAGTTCCACGGCAATCTGGCGGCAGTAGGTGTCCAGGGGCAGGTCGTTGACGTCGTGGCCGAAGGGGTTTTCGATTTCGCTGCCGATGAAGGCAAGGCCGAGGATGATGTAGGCGGCGACTGGAGATGGGTTAGATTAATGGACTTTTCTTTCTGGATGTAGATTTTGGAGTTGGGTCTGGATCAGGGGAGCATTTGGCTTACCGATTGAACCCGGGATGGTCACCCAGTGCAGGAAGTCGTAGAGCTGGAAGGGCAGCACCAGGACGTAGATCCAGGCGATCTGGGCGATGGAGATACTGTAGGCGGCGGGGAGAGGAGTGTCGAGGACACGCTCGGTGCCGGTGAGGATTTCGTTGAGGGTGGCAATTCCGGTGACTGCTCAGGGGTTAGTGAGTGTATTTGAGTCTCGGGATAGGCGGTACCTACTCGCTTGACTTTGGTGAAGACTGACGCTGAGGGTGCCGTTTGCGATACACCGATCGACATATGCGGAGAGGTGGTTGAGGATCTCCAGGGGGAGGTGACCCAACGGCTTCTTGGTGCGCTTGATGAGCTTTCGCGGGTTCGATTCGGCGAATGAGATACCGAGGTACTCGCCAAAGCTCTTCCACGGCGTATGGGGGGGAGGACGAACGACCTGGCGATCGTGGGCTTCTTTGGCAAACGTATCGAGGTATCCGACCAGACCGGCGAGGTCTTCGTAGCCGACGTCCGGTTCAAATCGTAGTTTGTGCTTGAGGGAGACCGCAAAACCGAGGATCAGGTTGATTGCCGTCCTAGATTAGTTAGTATACTCAATCGTGAACCGGGTTTCGGTAGCATCGAGGCGTACAGTTTTGCCAGCAGGTCGTCTTTTCCGAGCTCTCCTTCCCGCTCTGCAGTGCTGACCCAGAATGTACGCGCGAGGTTGCGGGCTGTTTGGTTCAGCAGTGCCCAGTACTTGCGTCCTTCTCCCCATCTGTGATACTATCTGTTAGTGTGTGCCATGTCGCCATCGAAGCTTGCACGGTTGATTATGGATTACCTCTCGTAAGCGGTCGAACTGCGGAAGGACAGTGCCAAACTGACCACGAAGCCAGTGACAGTGAGCAGGATATCGTTGATGCCGACTGATGGCGAGAAGGGCGCTGGGTTAGCGAAGCTCCGTCACCTACTATTAGATGGAGGACCTACTGTTATGCACCCATTTTGAAATGCAGGTGATTAAAGTAGCCCAGATTGCGACAAAGCCCAGGGGAAGGATCATTTTCGGCATGATACTGCCGTGCATACGCAGGAAGATGGGCCATTTGGAGTGCCTGTCGAGGTCTCGCGGGCCATGCTACACATTCCACACCCGTCAGTCCATGTCATGCACCTCCAGGTGATATCGGACGGGGGCTGACATACGAAATATCGGTTGATTTCGCTGGAATTGCGTCGGTCCAGGTGGAATTGGGTGTCTCGCGAGTTGGCCAGGTTTTCTAGAAAGCTGGGGCGGGGCGTCAGGCGTCCTCGCGGCGGCTCCTTCTCGATGGTGGGAGGCACCATCGGGGGTTCCTCGTCCATGAGGGGGGCCAGGTTGTCGTGCTCGTGACTCGATTCCTCAGCCATGGTTTTGTTTACAGGCGAGAGATGAGAGATGCTGGTTCCAGAGAAGGTCGATGGTCGTCCGGGGATTGAAAGAAAAAGAAGGGCCTGCCTCCGGAGAACGAGAGTGGGAGGATCGATCGAGCAACGAAGGATGGGTGGATCAACGCAGGACTAAAGACTAAGGAGAGACCAGCCGATTAAAACCCTGAGGAGACGAAGATCGATCGAAGCGACGCAGCGGACGGTGCGTCAGGGAGGATACGAAGCCAGTCTTAATAATCCGCGCAGCAGCTCCGCCATACGTCAAAAATCCCGCCGAGTGGCAGATACCTGCTGGGTCCCCATAAAACAGAGTTTCGAACGACTTTTTTTCCCTGGCAGAACACAGGACTATGGGCTACTCAGCGGAGAATGCGGTGAGGGTACAGCCACTTTGACTCCCCCGACTTGGTACAGGATAAATACGCGTCAGACTGCTATTTTTTTCCTTCTTTTTCTCTTCCTTTCCCTCACCACCAGGCCGAGCCAATGGCGATGGCGCGCAGCCACGAACGGCTTGGCGGGCCGCAGATTGAGCGCGCCTGGCCAATTGCCGCGGCGGTCCAGGCCTCCTGTTTGCTCCGGGTTCCTTCTGTTTCAGGAGTTGGCCCGCGTGGCGCGGGCCAAAACGTCAGACGGGTGCTTCCGCCCCATCGCGTACCGCGCGTTCATTCGCCCCCCTGCCCGTCCAGGCCTTCGTGGCACCGCACGAGTCGAATTCTCTCCCGTTGGTGAAACCGGAGGCGCTGCTATTCATTCGGGAGATGAAGACTGGCTGTTTTAGGTATCTACCTAGTACTGAGTACAGGACGAAGTGCTCGATCTAATGGACAATGTCACTCATTCCTTTGGACTGGTTAGACCTCCGTAGGGGTGATCAATCCATTCATTGTACGAGTACACAGCAAGGGTTCAAGGTCGAGGGTCCATACGAAACTCGACACGGCTCAGCTTCTGCGGCAGGATCACCATTTCTACAAAGTAGTACACACGCCCAGGATGCAGGAACCGAGCCAACGTTCCCCCATGTCCACCACCCCTGTCAACTCTTTTCCGCTTGCACCGAGACATGGCATCACCGCAATGGCCCAGATACCACAAAAGTGGTCGATCGTGTGTACCGTACAGTTCCAATCCCAAGTCAATAATTTATTGGAATGCCGACCAACAGACCACACACAGCCCCGGATGGTTTTCAACTTCTGACACGGTCGCTTGCGCGGGGACATTTCTTGGCAACCTCAGCTGAAAGCAATCCAGTCCTGATGGTGTTTCATTGTCTACGGCACTGTGCCCAGCAGCTGCAGGAAGTAAAAGCATACTTCGATACTCAGTCGCAATCAGAAACATCATCCCATCAAAGCCTTCAAGTCCAACCCCCGGACCCACTACTCCATCTTTCTAACTACTTACTAACTAGTCGCGTTTCCCTTAGGTAATCGGAAGCTAAAAATACCCCCTTTGACGATTCTAGCCTGGACGGAGATCGCTGGTAACTCTAAAATTTCAATAGTTCCTTCGCTGTCTGTACTGCTCATCGACTTTCTCTCGCCACCACCAAAAAAAAAGAAGGATTTCTTGGTCTCGCGGTTATGAGGAGGTTCCAAAGTCTTCGTGTATTGAATGAATGACTCGTCGACACCGCCGTCGCTGCCATGAACGGAAGTCCAGTCCACTATTAGCCGGACTTCGCCTCTTTGTCGGGTCTCTTCGTGCAAGCAAGTATAATCAGCCGATCATCTGTCGGTTCCCGGTAGGCGACCGTTGGGCTGAGTTGAGTCTCAACGCTTGTGGCGTCGGGGATTCGGCATTAGCGAAGGGAGGATCATTATGGTTTCACAACTCCCACACAGACGCAGAATATGTACGGAGAACTCCGATCCCCGGAATAGTGCAGTCAGGGTAGAGCTGTGTGGCTGGGCTGACTGCTTGGGGGTTTATTGAAGCGCCGCAGGGCTGACAAGGGAGAGGAGAGGACGTTCGGAGGCACGAGCCCTAGCGCGGGTTTCTCCATCAAAGTGTTATTTTATCTGATAGGTATTCATAGTATACGCAGCGATCAATGTCTGCAGAGGGGTTGGGAAGTTCCCATTTTGTCGCAGTGGTCTTTTGTCGACTCAGCGCTGGCTACAATCCACAGGTATACCTGAAGGCGCATCTTGATTATACAGCATTTTGCCGATCACTGTCGATTCTTCGGGGAAGACATGAATAGGGACAGGCGATGAGAAGATCATAGCTGCTTGCAAGATTTTCATGGATCTATACTCTAACCGTTAGCCCCAAGTCCCAAGTCGTGTCTGACTAGAAGAGACATTATCTGTTTACGGCGATACTGACTCGCTGAATATCCCTTGAGATGCCGGCAACCCAATTCCCATTTACAATTGATTGGACACTTACATTGAAACAATTTGCCAATCCTCACACTCCGCTACCCCAAGGAATATACGTTAAGTACCACTTTTCCTTTGCAGTTTGCATGCTGCTCTCGGGTAGGAGATTTGGTATGTAATCGGAGGTAGTATGAAGCTATGGATTGGTTGGTCTCGATGATCTACCAATGACACCAACGCGCACAGCCAGTTCCACGGTTCAAAAGACGAATTTGACAGTCACTTTGAAATACAGGAAGGGGAGCAGGTAAGTCTCCAGCAGTACACCAATGTACCAGCCAGAAATCAACAATTTGAATTTTGGAATTGCAGGATTCACCTCTGCGGGCGCAGATAGCAACGAGGGTACGTTGCAAATAGCCTACAGTCTTCCTCTAGTAAAATACATGTCGAAGATGCTATCTGCAACAACACCCTTTGTTTTACTCTTGGCGCAACTATATATGAAGTACTAGTAGGCAATTAGCAAATAGCTACATCCCGTACCGGCTCTAGTCCTATTTGCCCAATTGAGCCTGCTATTCATGCTAGCTGTGTTGGCTTCCAGTACGGAGTACAGTCATACAGTCTTTTCGTTCATAAATTCTCCTTTCCCACGTTTTGGCTGTCTGCTTGTTAACATCCCCATGCTGGATTCTCTTAGTTCATCCAGAATACCAGCATAATGCTCTGAGAAGCCAGGCGCTGTGCAAAGCCGCATTCACTGGATATTCACTGAACCCCAAATGGCCCACCAGAGTCCAGCGATCTACACCTGATGACTCCCTGACTTCCAGCCGCTCAAGCAGGCGAGACGCCTGGCCAAGACGGCACAAAGTGCCATGGGCCTGCTCTCGGCCAACGAGAGCGACAGCGGGTACGAGAGCCGTGACTCCCAGGTCCACGGTGACGTCCCGGTCGATCTGAATTGGCATCTCCCATCCTTCATCAACGCCTCAGATCTGACCGGGATGGAGGCCGCGGACCTGGGGCGCGAGGAGGAAGCGGCGGAGGAGGAGGAGGAGGCTGCTTTCCAGGTCATCTGGAAGGAGTGGATCGATGACTCGCAATGCGAGTCATAATCTTGTCTTTCTTTGGTTTTTTACTCCTTTCTTGTCTTCCTGCTTGATTAGTTTTGTTTGACGGCGGCCTCGGCGGGGCCTCACATCTTTCTTGTCGTTGTTTCTGATCGTTTCTTTCTTTTGTTCTATTGTTGTACTGTTCTGGCGTTCCGGGAAGAGAGGGTTCTATTGGACTGATGTTTCAATGTCTAATAGTTAATAATTAATAACGGGTTGTAATCATGTATCTTCAAAGCCGGGTTACCACTATGTAGGGTGTTGTAGACTCATACTATATACATAGTATTATAGTAGGGTGTTGCGATAAGGTTGGGTGCCAAGAAACAATCCGTTGGTCCCGACCGCTGCTGGTGGTAGTATCTTTGTAGGTATCGGATTGCATTTTACTAGGTAAAATTAATAAGTACTAGTATTAGTTGATATCCGAGAGAGTGAGACACCTGGAGAGGTATATGAAAGACTTGAATGAAGTATGTCTGCTTGATGTCATTAGAGAATAGAATGAACCTCTCCTGCATCGTACATGCATCCTACATGCATTTTACATGCATCGTACATGCATCGTACATATGAGGGTCTATTCATGTACTGTGTAGCTGGAATCTCTCACCACCCCAGTCGTACTACTGCCTGCGTAAGGGCAGTCTCCCGATTGCTGAGGCTGCCCGGCTGTCACTGCCACGTCAGGCTGTCAGGCCGCAAGGCAGGCACGGGCCAGGCATCCGGCGGGACAGCACACCGCCTGCCTTGCCGCCGGAGGCCGGCAGAACGAAGGCGGAATTTGTTGAATTATCGACGCGTTGGTCTCGCTTCATCTCGCGTGGATGCGGCCAACATTCTTATCCCCCACGTTTCGGCAGTACAAGGCCTGTCTCTGACGGGACTTCGGAGGGCATTCTCGTCCGTTGGCTTGGTGTAGCGTCCCCCCCCCCCCCCACCTCGATCTCTCCCCTCCTTCTGTCCCCGGATCGACCCGTTTCCGCCGTCTCCGAGTACTCACTTGTCCGAGCTATCGAGTCCGAAAAAATACTCTAAAATGCCATTTTCTTCACGTCATTTCAATATCCGTACTTGGGAAAGTAGTGTTCTCTTAGATGCTTGAATGACTTCGGATCCTGCAGCTCCATGTGAGTTTATGAAACGTCATTCCCTCCCCGTGCTCTCCGACGGAACAGTCTAACGCGATGAGTTCGGCTAGTTGAAATGCAATCGAGCGGCGATCCTCTTGACTGGACGGTCGACGAGGTGGTGCAGTTCCTGTGCCTGAATCCTCAGACACCATGGACTCTGTCTTCGTCGCGCGCCCCCCGACCGGACTCCGTCACCTTCGAGGCGGCTATTCGGGATAACATGATCACGGGGGAGGTGCTTTTGCACGATGTGGACAAGGAGGCGTTGCGGGATGATCTAGGCTTGAGAGCTCTCGGTCATCGTAGCTGTATGCTCATGGCCATAAGATACCTCCAACGGAAGTCGCCGAAGTTCCAGGGCTTCAAATCCCATCCAGGCGCTCATCTGGATGACCTGAGTTCCCCCAGCCAGTCAGCGCTGGCGACTCCGGTTCATCTCCCTCGGCCTTCCCCGCCAGCTTGCCATGCGTCTTCACGCCAAGTTGCGACACCCCAAAGAGCAGTCCCACACAGTCCACGTCTTCTGACCCCGTCCATGCCTCAGGCGAGATCTCCAGTCAAGCCACCGTTGAGCATCCGTGAGAGTGAGCAGACCCCTGTCACCCCTGATGGCCTCGGACCAAATGGAAACGTAAACCATCCTGATGCTTCGCACCAGGATGCTTGTCACGGCCGCCTCACGCCTAGTCCCCGACGACCCTCGGGAGACTCTGGCGCAGGGACCTTTTCTACGTCCTCAGTCACTGGTAGACGCACTCGCCCAGGCGAAGATATTGTTGTGGACAGTCAGGGTCATAAAAGACGAAGATTAAATCTCATCACCTCAAGTGAAGACCAGAACATTGAGGTTTCTCCAAAACAACCCGGTAGACAACGAGATAAAGAGTGGTATATGGGACCGGATGAACTCAGCACCTCTCAGCTGTTCTATTCTTCTGATCCAGATGAAGAAGACCCGACTTTCACTATTACTGGCTCGAAGCTCCCTCATGCACAACGCTCGTTTGTGAATAAGAGTCTCATTCATTTCTATAAGCAAAAGCCCGTTGTATTGAACCCCAGTCAATCGGCTCTAGTTCCCTACCGACAGTCGACCAAGCAAACAACCAAACCTTCCAAGACACCACTGGTCGTGAATGTTAGCGGTCCCAAGCTTTTTACCTTGTATACGGTTAAAGATGGCAAGGTCACTGTTACTAAGGATGAGTTGAATAAGTGGCCGCAGTTGGTCAAATCCGAGACTGCCGATACCGAGAAGGATGCCGACTCCTTTGCCTACCTCTTGCAGAAATACCCGGCCGAGCAAAATGATCAAGATGCGTATCCCTTGTATGGGGACTCGGGAGATGAAGGAGAGTATGACGAGGAGACCTGGCAGGAAATCGAGGACGAACGCCGAGCACCATTGCCCAAGCAGAAGACGCTTACACCTGCTGAAGTCGACTTGATCATTGAGAGTTGCATTTCGGAATATGAGAAGAACTGGCATGATAATGGAAAGATCAGAGAGGAACCAAAGGCACGAAGGATCTGGCTAGCAGCCAAGAAGGGCAAATGCACCAATGAACAGATCAAGGGTCTCATGCGCGATATCAGCCTATTGAACAGACGAATGGGAGCTTTCCTCAAAGCAATCCGGGAGGGCGAATACAATACGAAAAAGGAGTTGCAAACCCAATGCCAAAGCTTGGAAAATACCGTGGCCAACATCCAAAAGCAAAAGTGGCGCGTCTCGGTTCTTGAACAGGAGAAGTGCCCCCCGAAATTTTCTGCCCCTGCAAGGCCTGTGCCTCCCAAGAAAACTGACACGGTGGCCGAGGAAGGGGAGTCGCTTGACTCAGAAGAATCAGATGCTGCGTCTACGAATTCTCTGGATGACTTTGTTGACGACTCTGAGATTGTCCATGTCGTTGGTCAATCTGTTAGACACGGAAGTCCAACGGCCAGCGTATCGTCGGGTGAAGATGATATTATCAGCCCTTCTGGCAAGAGGCGGAATACCAGAGGTCGAGCTCTTCCTTTTCAGCAATCGAGCTCTCCCTCTCCTGCCCTGATCAACGACGACCCAGTGGAATGCATTGACCTCACCGCCGACTCTCCTCCTCCCGATGACGAGGATGAATACAGGATAGAGACTCCCCCTTTGAACCCGCGACAGCCTAGAACGCCACAGTCTGAAGGTCTAATGTCTAGAGAAATTTCCCCCGGGCCCGACCTCGGCCGTCAAGTATATGTTGAAATACCCGTCGTCAAGCGAGAGGATTTCCCAACATCTGAGAAGGGCAGAGCGCCGAGTCTGCCTGCGATCGATGACGTCGACAAGTTAAAGATGGTTTCCTGGAGGCTATTGGAGGAGCGCCCTGACCGTCGCAGGCTGTTGGCAAAGCTGATCATAGCCCTGCCAGAGGATGAGCGAAAAAACTTGACTAAACAGATTCCTAGATATGATGAGGATGACTTGGGAAAGCTTACGCGTAATGCTCTGAGGAGAATTATCAAAGGCAAAGACTCAATGCATGACATGGAAGCCTCTGAAAGTCAGTTGATCATGCGCACGGCGTCACTATACATCTCATGGGTAAACTGCGCCCACTATACCGGAAAGGGCTTCCCAAAAGACGATGTTAAGAAAGCGATAAATGACATTGCAGGGTTTCCTGATTTCAACGGAAACCTCCATTTACGCTTGTCTGCATATCGTGCCTGGGAAAAGGAGACGTGGGGAGATGAATCAGAAGCACAATCAGGTGTTGGCGATACGCCCCACAAGAAGCGGAAGAGGGAGGTGAAAGAGAGCCAGGATGCCAAGATGAACCAGGAAAGTGCGCAGCTTCGAGTCGCCCATCAAGAAAAGCTGAGGAAGAGGCTCGAACGGAAACTGGGGAAAATGGGGGTTAGCAACACCGATGCCACACATCAGGCGGTCACCTTTGGCAATCCGGTCATCTACTTGGACCCTCATATTGGACAGCGCGTCAAACCCCATCAACTGACAGGCGTCCAGTTCATGTGGCGAGAGCTGATAAAAGATGACATGCGACAGGGCTGTTTACTGGCTCACACAATGGGCTTGGGCAAAACAATGCAAGTGTAAGTGTTCCAGATGAACCTCATTCTCATGGCGCCTAGCTGATCCCTATAAGAATCTCTCTTCTGGTGACGATAGCGAATGCGGCTGCCTCGGACAGTCCGGCAATCAGACGGCAGGTCCCTAAAGCTCTCCATCGGTCCCAGACACTCATTCTTTGCCCGTCGTCACTAATTGAGAACTGGTACGAGGAGTTTCTCATGTGGACCCCTAAAGACTCAGCCATTGGGCCCGTGAACAAAGTCACAAGTTCCGATTGGGTTAAGGAGAGACTGGAGACCGTTTCTCGCTGGAACGACGAGGGCGGGGTGCTTCTTGTTAGCTATGACATGTTTCGAACATGGATACTAAATAAAGAAACCAGCAAAAGACCCAAGCCTCTATCGGATAGTGACCATGAGAACATGAAACGATGGCTTCTGGAAGGTGCTAACCTCATCATTGCCGATGAGGCTCATAAGATGAAAAACCCGAGCTCGGCAATCACTGCAGCAGCCATGCAGTTCCGTTCCCAGAGCCGCATTGCTCTAACGGGCTCCCCTCTCGCCAACAATCTTGTGGATTATTTTACCATGGTCAACTGGATTGCTCAGGGATATCTGGGAGAATTCACGTCATTCAAAGCTAACTTCGTCGAGCCTATCGAGGAGGGGCTGTATATCGACAGCAATTACACTGAGCGGAGACGGTCTCTTGTGAAGCTTCAGGTCCTGAAGTCTATCCTCGACCCCAAGATCAACCGCGCGGATATCTCTGTTCTCGAGGGGAGCTTGCCTCCCAAAGTCGAGTTTGTCCTCACTGTTCCCCTCACAAGCGTGCAGCAGGCGGCGTACAATCTTTATGTGGACTCGGTCCTGCAAGGACGAACTGATGTCAGCAAGGTGCAGCTACTGTCTTGGATCGCCATTCTGGGATTATGCTGCAATCACCCGGCATGCTTCAGGAACAAGCTGCTTAGCAAAGCTAACGATGCGCACAAACTGGACAAGGCGTTGGAAGGGATCGAGCCAAGTCTCTGGGACAAGCCCATTAGCCAGCTGGGTCTGGATATCGCAAATATCGTTCCCGAGCAAGAACAACTTTTTTCCGCCGTCCCTGACATGAATGCCCCTGCACTGTCGTGTCGAGCGCAGATTCTAGACAGGATTATCGCTGAGTCGATCCGCGCAGGAGACAAAGTGCTTGTGTTCTCTCACAGTTTACCTACCCTCGACTACGTGGAGCAGATGTTGAAAATGTCTGGATGGAAATACTGCCGTCTGGATGGCGCCACGCCGATCGCTGGGAGACAGGCCGCCACTAAGCGGTTCAACCGTGATTCCACGGAGAATGTGTATCTGATCTCGACCCGTGCAGGAGGTCTCGGCCTCAATATCTTCGGCGCCAACCGGGTTGTCATCTTCGATTTCACATTCAGTCCTGTCTGGGAAGAGCAGGCTGTCGGGCGTGCCTACCGTCTGGGCCAGCAGAAACCAGTCTTTGTCTACCGGTTCATCGCGGGCGGTACATTCGAAGAAATCATGTACAACAAGACCGTCTTCAAGACGCAACTCGCTTTCCGCGTCGTCGATAAGAAAAACCCGGTGCGCTCGGCGACAAAATCGCTCGGAGAATATCTCTTCCCAGCGAAGCAAACGCCGCAGGAAGATATCACGCAATTCCTTGGAAAAGACCCCGAAGTCCTAGACAAGATTATCCGCGAGGACGAATGCTTACCTGAGAGGTTGATTCGGAAGATCACCCTCACGGAGACGTTCCAAAAGGACGACAATGACAAGTTGACCGACGAAGAGAAAAAGGCAGCCCAGGAGCAACTCGATGATGAGCGACTTAAGCGTACCGACCCAGACCGTTATCAAAAGGTGATCATAGAAAGACAAAGGGCGACGATGGCTCAATCCTATCCGAACATCTCAACAACGCAGTACGCGACACCGTACCAGCCGCAGACGTTGCCGCCCCAGTCGCAGCCTCCGCATACTCACCCTCCACCACCAACTCCCCCAGTCCCACCCACCGTCCCATCCAATGTCCACAACTTTGGTCCTCCTGCTCTGGCCCCGGACATGAGCGTCATGCAGCCATCGACCCCGGCTTCCGACCCCATGTATATTCCAATCCCGGGTCTATCCACAACCCTCCATCGCCCTCTCGTCCACAGCGAGCCCGTATCCCCACATAATCATCATGGATTCCACCCGTCTCTACAAAGCGTCTCCAACGGTCTCCCTGGACAGCCATCCGGTCCAGCTACCCCCGCATCTGCATCCGCACAACCCAACACCACCGCCGAAGAGCAACGAGGGCAATCCGAACCCGTACCTTCTTCATCCCAAGAAGGGGCCAAAAATCGCTGCAGAACACAATGATAGATCCCAGAGGCCGTGGCTCTTAATCTTTCAATCGACTTTGGTCCATGGGCTTATTATTCTTTTCTTTATCTTCTTTCTTCCTATTACTTTCGGCCATTCTCATTATGTCTTCATTCTTTTTTTTTTTTTTTTTTTTTTTTAAGAAAAAGCAAAACTATTCAGCCCTGGTGGCTTAGAATTTTTTTTTCTACTTTCGGCTTTTCAGCTTTTCGGGCTTTTTTATTCTTTTCTTTCCTTTCCTCTCTTCTAAGAGCCCTTCTCTCTACATACTTCCCTCCCTTATCTTCCCAAGTACAAAATTCATTCTTCTTTCTTGTCCATGAGAACCACCTCACCACCCACTTGCACACAACACAACACATATCGCTGATATTTCGGGCAAGCCGTTTGATCCTATCAATAAACGACCCCCCGCTCTGCATGCAGTATGGGGCACGACCAAGATATGATTACGATTATGATTATGAATTGAGGATGAGGGTGAGAACTACTTCCTTCTCACATCCTGCACACAACCAGAAATCCATTCTCTATTTTTTTTTTCTTTCGGGAAACCTGAATAATTCAAAACGAGGAATCTGGGATTTCATTTCAATCGTCTTTCTAAGAGTCACTTCATCAGATAGATAGATGGGTGGAATCAATCCGGCCGGCCGGCTTTTGATCCAATCACATGACATCGGAACATACACCTAGTACCTAGTAGAGATGAATGAACCTCAATGACACCTGGTATTTGAGACAGATATGAAAATATGCACACCGAAATTAGGCGTACTAACCGTGTTAGATTAGGATCAGAAAGTTAGATTCCTGAATCCCGAGACGGAAGGTATTGCCATCGTCACCAAAAGGAACTAATAGTCACACAGAAACGAAAAAGAATCCCGATATGGAGTCAATCCTCTATCTCTCACTGTAGTGTTCCCCGGTGGAAAGTGAGAAACGTAGAGAGAAACACAATGCAAAAGCACACCGAAGGCACGTAGAACAATGAGTGGCAGAACAACTGACAGGGAGAAGACAAAGACATCTAATCTAACCCATCTACATAAGCAGATTCTCTAAATCCGCAACACGGGTCGCTCTATCATCAGGCTTCTTCTTCTTCGTGTTCGTCTCGCGGAACGCCTCCAGCATCAGCTTCCGCTTATTCTCCTGGACAGCAATAACCCGATCCTCAATACTATCTTCCATAACGAGGCGCCAGACGGTCGTCTCACGCTTCTGGCCAAGTCGATAGACGCGATCGACAGCCTGGTCCTCGATGGCGGGCGCCCACCAGCTATCAGCGAGGATGGCCTGGTTAGCAGCCACGAGGTTCAAGCCGACGCTGCAGACGCTCAGGCTGGCCAGGAGGACGCTGCAGGACGGGTCGGTGGAGAAGCGGTGGGTGGAGTTGTCGCGGTTGGTGGAGGACATTTTGCCGTCGATGCGGGCGTAGCCGATGCCGTGGCGCTGGAGGTGCGGTTCGATCAGGTTGAGGAAGGAGGTCCATTGGCTGAAGACGACGGTTTTGGTGCCGGGTGCTTGGCCTTGCGCGGTGAGGATCTTGATCAGCGCCTCGATCTTGCTGCTCGGGTTGTCGGGGTCTGCGGCAACGGTGTCGCTGTCGCTGCTTTCGCCCATCTCGACGGCCGGGGTGACTAGGGTGGTTGTGTCTTCGATGTGGGCGCGACACATGGGACATTTGTGCTGACGCTCGATGACCTGCTCGATACATTCGCGGTCGAACGCGTGAGCGCAGGCGGTGATGACGGGTTGGTCCAGGTTGTCGAGGCAGATGGGACAGGTGTCTTGGCTTTCGATCCGGATCTGCAACATGTCCTGGAGGGCTTTGACGTTTTCGGGGGTGAGTGGGACGACTTTGTTGCTTTCGAGCAGGCCGGCGAGTTTGTCGATCCGGTTCTTGCAGAGGGCCCAGTGGTTGCAGACTTGTCGCAGACGCAGGATGACCTCGAGAAGGTGGGAGTATGTGGCGCCGCCCTTTTCCTTAGTTTTGTCGTCCTTGTTTTTAAAATCCAGAAGCATGCCCTTTGCCTCGGACCTGGAGTTCGTCGGTCAGTATGTGAATTAAAGCGACGTGATTTGAGAATACATACTGGAACATGTCGTATTTTTCTTGCTCGTGAGCGTGGAACTTGATGCGGAGGATGCGAGACGTCAGGGGAGGCAGGCGCAGGTTCACAAAATTCATGTCCTTTCTGCGGCGCAAGCAGATGGTCCCCATCAGAGCTTGAAGGAGCAAACGGGCATCAGGATCGCCGGACATGAGAGGCCGAATCAGAGCACTGTTGAAGACGGCGAGATCTTCGAGGCCACCAGACAGTCTCAAGAAGCGAATCTGGGAGTAGAGGTCCTTGAGGGTGTTCACGATAGGCGTTCCCGTAAGCGTCCAGCGCGAATCGGCCCGCAGGTGACAAGCTGCCAGAGCGCCCTTGGACTGTGGGTTGCGGATTGTATGTCCTTCGTCCAGAACGACGCGGCGCCAATGAATGGAAAAGAGACCCTTTTTCGGGGGCGATTTAGCGGTAGGATTGTACTCCATGGCTAGAGCACCGTAGCTCGTGACAACCACATCGTACTGATCCAGGTTGCCCGCCGCCTTCTTCCCTGGGCCGTGGTAGATGAACACGTTCGGAGCCTTATCGCTATGGGTATGGTCCCGCGCTTGGTTTCTCCAGTTGCTCATCACCCCCACCGGGGCTATAATCAATGTGGTCTTGGAGGACTTCGGAGTCTTCGGCTGGGAATTGGCCAGAACCAACGAGATGACCTGGATGGTCTTGCCCAGTCCCATGTCATCCGCCAAGATACCACCACTCGCCAGAGGGGGCGCCTGAGACATGGAATAGTTGGTCGCGATATTCGTGTACTTGTTGTCCTTCCTCTTCCAGAGCTGGACGACCTCCGCGCCCCCATTCAGAGGCATAAGCGGGTTCTCCTGGGCAATCATCCAGGCGAGGCCCTGTCGCTGGTACGGAAGCAGCTCAGTGGCCAGAGCCGCCGGGGTCTCCGCCATAGGCATATTCTCCAGGTCGGATTCCTTCAGACCGAATTCCTCTGCGACCTGGCCAATGTCCCGGGGGTTGAAAGAGCTGCTCTGGTCAATCAGTTCCGCAAGACTCTCCTCACCCTCATGGAGCCCTTCCCCGGTGAAGAGGTTGGCATAGCCGAACTTGTTCTCCGCCTGCAGCTGCGCGCCTTTGCCCTTGGCCAGAGACCGAGCCAACTTGGCCGCTTCCTTCCGGGCCTTCTCCCGTTCCTTCTGCAGTTTACGCTCGTCGCGCTCGGTCTGCCGGAAGCCACCCAGCGGCAGCTTATCGAACTCCATTCTGCTCTTCAGCTCCTGCCGCGCTTCGATATTACTCGTGCCAAACAGCTTCAAGACAATGGGACAGTCATATGCGCCGATGACGCCCGTCAAGATGCCTTCCACCGTGAGGGACCGGTCATCCTACAGAGAAACACAGCCCGAGTTTAGAAACACACACACACATTAGTCCACCACGAGGTCGAAGCAGAACGACTTACCATATACTTAGCCAACTTCGCCGCCATAGTCCTTGGAATATGCCCAATCTGCGCGCCCATGACATTATCCACGCGGATCGCATTCGAGTCATACTGGTTCGTCGCCTCGCGCCTGACCCGGACGTGCTCGCCCAGCGTGGCGTGGCCTCTGTAGTACCGGACGCCCACGATCTTGGTCTGCAGGTCGCCATAGTGCATGGTAGAGCCGTCTGCCGAATCGCTGGCGTCCTGGCTACCTGGGATCACATCCGCCGCTTGCGCGTCATCCTCGTCATCCCCGTCATCCCCGTCATCCCCCGCATACACCTGGGAGGAGTGGCTCAGTGGCACGAAGGAGGTGTCCTGGCCGAACCGTTGTCCGTGGCTGGTGCGGGGTGACTTGGAGGGCGGTGCGGGGACATCGTCGGCGGTGAGGTCGACTTGGTCGATGGGTCTTTTTCGGGGGGTCCAGCCCATGATGGTGGTTGATTGAGGGATTGTTGGGATGGGGGGGGGGGGGGAGTCGGGAGGATAGTTTTGTAGTAGGGAATAGTGGTGGTTGACAGCTCCGACGCCAGAGGGAGAAGGAGAAGGAGAGAGCAATCGCGCTAAGACACGGCCTCATGTGACTTCCTATACATCCATTTGGATGATCGTGACATTCACTATGGTACGATGCTATCGAAGGAGCCCGACTATAACCTCCGCGGAATATACGCATCGGGTGCGGATGACCGGACCATTCTTTTTTGTATGTATGTATGTATGTATGTATCAGCCATGAGACTAACAGAGGCATAACGTTGGGTTGATTAATACGGGGGAAGCAGTGCATAGGCCTGTTGGTTGGAGTTACTCGTTGTGATGGGGAGACTTAGACTAGATCAGCATCGGCTTGAACTACTACCCCGGACTCGTTTTGAAGACTGGATAGTGTCCTGATCATCCTCATCCTTTCGACACCGGGAGTCAGTCTGGGGATCCCGATGGATCATCATGCTTTTTCCCTTTGCAGATCCGGGGATGACGATCGACTATATATATAAAATGCGACCGTGGCTTCCTTCAATACGACCTCTCCCTTCAGTTCTTCTTCTTCTTCTTCTTCTTCTTCCTCCCCCAACCTCCGGTTCCATTCCCCTCCATGGCCGCTCCCTCATATCGCCAATTCATCCGCGACAACCACGACCAATTCGAGTCACTGATCCAGAATGGCACCGTGCAACCCGTCTTGCTGTGGCATCTCGTCCTGCCCGTCCTGTTACCCATCGTCGCCCTGCTGATTCCGCGCCCGACGGGCCCGCGGCATCTGCGGCCGCTGGTGCTGGGATGCATCATCGCCCTGGCCATCGACTTCATCCGCCGCCGACGCATGCTGCTGGGGGGGAATGGCTACATGGGCGGTCTGGTGCCGGCCTGGTGGTGCATCTGGTCGGCCACTCTGCTGGTCTTCCACGACGCCGAGCGCGACTTCCGACGCCTCGAGCGTCGCCCCGGCCAGCAGCAGGAGGAGGTGGTGGGCTGGCAGACGTATCCATCGCGGCCCTTCTCGCATCGGCTCAACTGGGTGCTCGGCCTGCTCACCAACATGCGCGGCCCCGAATGGAACTGGCGCATCTCCTCGCTGGGCCCTTTGCCCGCCTCTGTTCAGTCCCAGCTTGACTCTCCCACTCCTAGATTCAGACCCGAACCCGACGATGCATCCAATCCCCCCCCCCCACCCCTCCGCCTCCATCTCCGCGCCGTCCTCGCCCTCTGCCTCCAATCCTACCTCGCCCTCGACCTAATCAAGCTCCTCATGATCCGCGACCACTACTTCATGGGTCTGGTCACCGACCCCCCGACCCCCCCCTTCCCCTTCACCCGGCTCTCCCCCTCCCCCTTCCTCGTCCAGGCCTACCGCAGCGCCCTCACCGGCCTGGGGGTCCTCTCCGCCCTGACATACGTAACGAGCTTCAACCCGCTCCTCTTCGGCGGCCTGTCACTCGCCTTCCCTCGCGCCGCACGCGCCATCACCTCCACCCCGCTGGACGTCGCCTGGCTCTATCCGCCCACCTTCGGCTCGTTCCTGCCCTCCATCCTCGACGCCGGCCTCGTCGGCGTCTGGAGCCACTGGTGGCACCAGATCTTCCGCTTCGGCTTCATCTCCACCGCACGAGCACTGACTCCCGCGCCGCATTCGACGCACCCGCTTCGGCCTCTTCGCCGGGTCATCACCCTCCTCGTTGCGTTTAGTCTCAGTGGCGCGTTGCATGCCTGTGGCAGCTACGCCCAATTCCGTCCCACACACCCTATATCAGGTACATACCGCTTCTTCATCCTGCAGGCCGTCGGCATCCTGCTCCAGGAATTCTGGTGTCGGACCTTCCTGCCTCGGGTCTTGGGTGGGGCGCCCCGGGCCGTGAAGCTCCCGGGGCCTGTGAGGCGCGCGGGCAATGCGGCGTTTGCGCTGGGCTGGTTGTTGTTCACGGGGAGGTTCATCGCGGATGATTTCTCGCGCGGGGGGTTGTGGCTCACCGAGCCGTTGCCTGTTAGTTTGTTGAGGGGCTTGGGGGTCGGTGTGGCGGAGGGGATCGCGGGTGGTGGTGCTGGGGGGGGACGTGGTTTGGGAGGTGGGATGATGGGTCGTTTTGGGGGAGGGGGGTCAGGGTTTATTGACCTTTTGGGGGGGAACATTACGATACACTGTTCTATAGATTTGTGATTTTTGGTTATTTCGAGTTAGAGCATCGGTGCATTGCTTGGCTGGTTGGTTTTGGATAGAGGTATGATATATCGGTTTCGGGGTTTTATATAATCATGGTTTTTTGTATCTAGATTCTGGAGTAGATAAACGGATTGGGGAGTCATTTCATCGGATAGAGTCGGCGGGTAAGATCTCAGAAGCCTTTGGGTATATTATATTGAATACATTGCATATCTGATACTATGGGTATAGCTGGCGGTGTCATTACCCTCCCCGGTGTTTACTGGTTGGAAGGTTGGTGGGTTCTATGTCGCTGCTTTACAATATTCGGATAGAAACAGGTCTATACAAATGTAGAACAGCTAACTCCGCATGCTCTCGGATGAACTTTTAGATTACAGGGCTATTGATATCATGGGATATATATGTATCGTGCAGATGCTCATTCGTCGTCCTCGTCATCCGTGTCCGGATCCATGTTCAACGTGGGCAGCTCCTCGTCGCTCTCGTCCTCCGCGGCCTCGGCAGACGGCAGCGCGGACGTCTTCTTTCCGCCAGCCAGGGTGGGCTTCGAGGTCACGGTGGCAGTGGTGGTCGTCTGCACAGGGGCCGGGCCGGCGATCGAGGACGTGGGGACAGAGATGGCGGCCGTGCCGGTGAACGCGGCAGGCGAGGCGGCCCCCAGCGTGGAAGCGGCGGCTTGCTCGGCCTCAAACCGGAGCTTCTTGCTCTGGGCACCGGCCAGGCTGTCGACAGTAGACGGCGCCGGCGCTTTCATCTCGACGTCTTCCGCGTAGCTTCGTTTGTTGGCGGGCGGGGACACCTCCACGTCCATCATGTCTTGGTGCAGACTGGGCGTGGCCATGGGCTTGAGGAAGCCGCTGGCTTCGGGGGCGGTGGAAGGCGCCGGGGCCGATTCGTCGTCCTCCTCCTCCTCCTCGTCCTCGTCCATGGCCGTGTACCCGTTGAGGGCCGAGCCGTTCATCAGCACGGGCATGCGCGGACGGATGAGGCTTTCCACTTCCGTCTCCGCGGGATAGCTGCGGGCCAGGAAGGGCATGATGCTGGTGCCCACGCCCCGACCCTGCATGGCCGGGAAGGGGTTGAGAACGCTGGCCAGCATGGCGTTCTTGTCGGATGTCATGATGATCGTGCGGTCGATCTCGGCACGGAGGGCCGGGGAGACGAACTCGGTGGGCGCATGCGTGAGGATCGCGACGAGGAGCTCCGACGCAGCGCGGGTGAGGTAAGGGAAGGAGGAAGACGTGCTCGTCTGACGGGTCTGCTTCAGTCCAGGGTTGAAGAACGAGTCCGCATTCGCCGTGATTTGGTTCGATTTGGTCTTGTTCTTCGGGTCAGATCGTTCCGCGGGCGCATTCTGGTTGCCGGCTGGCGGCAGGAGATCATGGCAGCAAGTCCGGAGGGTGCTGGTCAGAGAAGAAACACTCTGCTTGGTCATGGAGGGGCCCACTCGGGCAAGCAATGCGGAAATCAAATCATACACCCCGGCGCGGACCTCCCGGCTGAACTTCTCGGCGCGGAAAACCCACAAGGCCTGCTCCAGGATTGTCTGTGCGACCGAGACGACGCCGGTTTCGAGGGTCTTGACCAGGTGAAGCAGGAGCTTCATACAGGCAACGTGGATTCGAGGCAGCTCGGTGAGCATGTTCTCTCTCTCGGCACGGCCTATCTGCGGGTTCGCTTGGATATCGCTGCCGGAAGAGGGCACGGTGAGCATGTTCAAGCGGGCAGTCAGGTCCAGAATGGCTCCCACGGGCATGACCACAGTAGAGGAGGTAGCAGTGCCCAGGAAGCCGGAGAGCATCCGCAAGAGCACCACCAGTCGGTTCACACCCGCATCCAGCCCCCGCCAGCTACCGAGTCCCAGAGCGTCAGGCCCATTGCCCACCTCCTCTCCATAGTTTTGCGGGTGAGATATTTGGCGCACAGACGGATCCACGGACTCCCACTGCTCAACGGCGGCCCTGAACACGGAAGAAGAGGTCGCATGGATAGAGGTGATCGTCATCCGGCAAGCATTCTTCCATTCTTCGCCACCGCTGTTCTTCGGGGCACAGTTGTGGAGGGAGATAAAGAGTTGCTGAGTGATTTCCAAGATGGGCTCTGGGAACGTGGGCGCGGTAGAACCGATGATGGTCTGAAGGACGCTGTGGATTTGCGCCGTGAAGGGCCGGAAGATAGTCGGGTGCCTTGCGATGAGCTCGCTGAATGCCTGCAGGACAACCTCCACGAAGGGAGTACTGGGCTTGAGCTTCCGAAGGGGCTCGGAAGAGGGCTTGACGGAGATGAGGTTCAGGGCCGAGGTGATGAAGCCCGGTAGAGACGGGGTGGTGATCTCGCGGACGAGCGTTGGGTACTGGTAGGTCAAGTGGAAGATACGGGTCAAGGTGATGATGCACATTTTCTTGGTCGAGACGGGGTCGGATTTCTGTTTCGCACGCGCAGGTCAGTAAACACGCCACACACATACACACCCCTCGACATAACTCTTCCTGGGGCATCTTACCGCCAGGATACTGATCAGACCGCGAACGAAGGGTTCGCATCCCCGAAGAATCTCCCACTGGCCGGCTTCCACCAAAGCCTTGACCAGCACCACGGCGGTCCAGCGGCCTTCATATGTGCGGTCCTGCAGCAGACTGCCGAGACGAGTGACGAGCTTATGGATCTGAACGGCATTGTCCGAGTCCGACTTGGTCGACTTCTGGCTCTGGGGGGTGGACAGCAGCTCCCCGCAATTGCTGAGAGACGCGGCGAGGCAGGATGCGAGATGCGGTAGTTGCTTGACGGGGACGTTGGTCAGGCGGTGGTTGACCGCATGGAGGGACATGGACATATAGGCCATCTTGGCGAGCCGATCGGAATGGAGGGAGCGATCGGGGGGGAGGCAATTGAGGGGACTGGCGCAAGATTGAGCGAAACCCAAATTGCGGGCGATGATTTTTTGGCGGCGGAGACGCTCGGGCCACATGAAGCAGTACGGAGTAAAGTAAGTACTGTACAGTCGGTAAGGTACTACGGAGTAGATGGTGTAATAATACCGCCGTTACGTGACACAGGCGGGTCTCCCTCTCCGTCTCTCCCCTTAAACGGCCACCAGACGATCATCGCCGTCAATTACGGTGTATTCTTGGGATTCTCCGCTGCTGCTGCTGCTGCCGCTGCCTCCTCCGGCTGGCATCGTATAGATGCTGCCTCCTCCTCCTCCTCCTCTTCTTCCTCTCCCTTTCCTCTCCCTCTCGTTCCCCTCCGATCCTGTTGTTATAACCCCCCGTCTCTGTCTGACCTTCCCCAATCATGACTGCAAGTTCCACCCTTTCCTCTCTCTTGAAATTCCCCCAGGAACCACCCCCTCTCCCCTCTTCTCTTCCCCCCCTCCTCCCCTCACTGTGCCACAAAAGCCAATCCACTGACCGAGGTTCCCAACGGATAGGGTCGAGACTCTGATAAGGGGCATCGCTACATCACGGCCCTGGATAATGCCCGGTGCCAGAATAAGTGGGACGAGGTTCCCGAGCTCATTCGAAAGGTGACCAAACATGCTCCTCAGAAAACATGTAATCACCTCTCCCTCCTCAGGGATTGCCAGACCAGCAACAGACTGACGGGGTATGTTACAGGTCTCCTCGAGGTAGCCAGCGCCGAGTACCAGGTGGCCTCCCATCTTCACAAGCACCCGTTCACTTCCCGACCGTCCTCCGCTTCCTCCGGCCTCCACGATCTCATCCCGCCACTCCTATCCACTGTGAACCGCGCAGAGGGACCCAAACAAGATGTCTTCCAGGCACAGGTCTGCTTGGGATGGGTGCACTGGACTCTCAACGAGATGGGCTTGGCAGCAGCTCGCTTTCCCAGTGACTTCGGAGAGACCGTGAACGAGCTCGAGAATGTCGGCGATGTCATCTCCCCGTGGACTAAGACGTGCCTCGTCAAAGCCTGCTATCTCAAGGGTGCGCTTACCCGAGACGTTACCGTCAGTCGTTCCTCTGGTCTAATTTGTGGATAGGTTCCGCCCAGCGCAGTACTTCGGATTACAGTGGCGCTCTGGAAACGCTCCATTCCCTTACACCGTGGCTGAACACCCAGCTTCAAACCGCCACAAACCCCCCTCAGTTCCTGTACTGGTCGGAAAAACTCCTGGCAGAAGGTGCATCTCTTGCGGGCGAAGAAGCTTGCGACAACATCGTCACTGCCGACGCTCAAACTATAACCTCCGCCCTGGGGTTCTTCAGGCTGTGGGCTTCCCATCCTCTTGTCAAGCTGGTGACGTCGTCCCAACCACATATGGATGACTCCGCGGAGCCTGTGTCACGGTCACCCATATGGAAGTCCTATTACGACCTCTTAACATATATCCTACAACAGAGCTTACCATACAGCCCCTCCGCAGGTGGCCCGGTGCGCCCCCAGCTTGCCAGTGAAATACGGCGCGTCGAGTCGCTCTGTGAAGCCAATCTCCTCCGTGAAGCCAAGTTCCCCGCAGCTGATTCAGGCAACCCGGAGATCGAGGCTTGGGTTGAGCAAGTCATCCAAAACTGGGAGGTGCTTTGTGGTACTACATGGACGGATGAGGAGCTTGGAGAAGGAGGCCAAAATGCCGTGGGCAGAACTGTTCTTGAGGTAGGTGCTTTTTTGTAACAGTGGGAACTGGTAACCGAAGAGATCGCTGATGGTATTAGATTCTCTACCGCGCTGCCACCAAGGCTTACCACTCACACGTCATTCTCCGACGCCTGTTCCATGTACACTGCGCGCTTGCGGATTATGATCTTGCTTTGAAGGCCCTCGAGTCCTATATCGAGATCGTTACAAGCGCCAAAGAACGAGCGGAAAGCGGTGCGAAATATGGGGAATTGGAGAATGACGGGATCTTGCTGCGCACTATATCCGAGGGTGTCACAATGCTGTGCTGCTTTGGCTCGGAAAAGGAGGCCAAGAAAGCTGAGCATCTGACGCATCTCTTGAAGAAGCTTTCCAAGAAGCATGTGCAGGATGACGAGGAGGGAGAACAGGGCCCAATTGTAATTCTGTCGGAAACGAGCTCCACCGGTTCCCAGGCCGTGTCCCCCTTGGACATTGCCGCAGCTTACAAGGGAATCGGCATAGGGCTTGCTAATTGGGCGTACTGGACCCCGGTGAACGAGGACCGGGACGAAATTCGGGGTGAAGCCATTGACTACTTGGAGAGGAGCTTAGCCCCTGAGCTGGAGGACGAGTCCAACTGCTCCTCTCTCTATACCTTGGCACTCCTCCTGGCAGAGAACCGGGATCTAGATGGTGCCATTGACTACGTCAGGTCAGCCTTGACATCAGACCCGCAGCATAAAGCGGGCAAGGCCGATTTTGCCCGGGAACGGGATCTGGTCCCCTTGTGGCATCTCCTGGCTCTGCTGCTAAGTGCTAAGCACGAGTTTGACATCGCGGAACGCTCATGTGAAGCTGCATTCGAGCAATTCCCCGCCACTGTAACATCCCTTGCGCACAGTGACAGACGGCCGCAGAAACAGCACCCGACTGTCCAAGAACCCAACGTCGGTGGTATAACCCAGGCGCTGATTGAGAAACTGCGGAACCGCGAGAAGGAACGCATTCTTGAGACTCGGATGACTCAACTCGCCTTTATCGAGCTTCAGGAAGGCCCCGAGGTTGCGGTCAACCATAGCGACCAGCTCCTCAGCCTGTTCGCCACTCTTTTCCGCTCCGCGAACATTGAGGACGACGAGAAAAGGAATGACGAGAAGGTTCATATCAAGACGGATTACGACCACCTTGTCCCCCCGAAGAGCTCTGCTGGTACGGTGAAAAGCCTCCGCGGCAGTATCTTCGGACGGCATCGGGGGCCCCGCGCTACAGATCGGAGGGTGGAATACACCCACGACCTCAAGGGCGAAAGCGGTTATTCGACAGCTCAAAATGAATCAACGACCACCGCAGATTCTGCGCCGGCTATTCAGGTCACAGACGATGTCAACCAACCCGCCTCGCGGTCTAACTCGCGCAAGGTGCGTACAAGGAGCAATACTCTCAAGAAGGGAGAAGACGCCCAGGTGAACGGGGATATCCGGACGCAGGCTGGGCCTGGAACCGACGATGCCAGTGGGCCTGGTCCCTCTCTGAACTTGGTTGGGGCCGCCATGACCGATGCGGCAGGCCAACCACAGAGCGGAAAGCAGCCCTTGGTTTTGGCTCATAATGTAAACCCTACCCAAATGCCTCCCCCAGCAGGCAATTACAAGCAGCCAGTAGAGCAAGATGTCCGACTCCCCATATCCTATGCCTTTGACTCGCCCACACGCGCGGTGACCCAGGTTGCGCCTGCTCAGGCCCAAAAGCATGCTCTTTGCATTCTCGTTAAAGTCTGGCTGCTCATCGCCGGACTGTATCGTCGGGCCTCGTCCTTTGAAGATGCCAATGAAGCATGCGAGGAGGCTTCTAAGCAGGCGCTTCGTGTCGAGGCCCTCGTCGCATCCCAAGAATCTTCTGCTCGAGCGTTCAGGGAGCGTGGATGGGGCATCCCCAAGAGCACCGATGAGCTCTGGGCAGACATCTTTTCTGAACGCGGCATGCTGTCGAACGCGCAGGAGCGTCCCCATGAAGCGATGGAGCACTTCGAGAAGGCGCTTATGCACCATGCGGATCATCCGAAGGCTACCGTCGGCCTGTCGAATCTGCTGCTCGACATCTGGGACCAGAAGATCCCCTTGCATCCACCCGGACCCAGCCTTGATGCCGGCATATCAGCGTTACCCGTGTCCGCTTTGAACAACCCCAATGAGGCAGAAGATGATGCGAAGCAGACAGGCCCGGAGGCCACACCTGCGCCTGCGCCGGCGCCTCCCAAGGCTAAGTCCAGCCCGCTGGCGGATGACGAGGAGCCCAAGCTCTTGAACCGCATTTCTGCCCGGGAGCGGGCCTTCGGGCTGCTGTCCGGGCTAACCAAACGCGGTACCTCTTGGGACAACAGTGAGGCTTGGTATGCGCTCTCCCGAGCGTACGAGGCCGAGGAGCAGATCCCGAAACTGAAAGAGGTGCTGTGGTGGTGTGTCGAGCTCGAAGACCGGCGGCCCCTCCGGCACTGGTCCAACATCGGCTCCGGTATATACGTGCTGTGAAGATTTTGTATGTAGGCCACGGAACGAGCTTCCTTGTGAGATTTTGCATTTTGATTGACGTGATACCTCGGTGATATCCTCGTGTTCATAGACAACGGACTACTGTATAGAAATGGCAGGCCAAGGGGGGTGGTAATTGGGAACGGGTTTAATAATTTGAAACGGAAGTAGGACATCTTTATTTACACATCTTGGAACATGGTCTGATTGAAGCCATACCGACCTCGTAGTCCCGGATTCCACCTCCACGGCGGTGGATTTACCGGGGAGCCGCGACGGGGGTCCAAGCAGAGTACTTGGGGCGGACACTGGACTGGATCAGCACACATCCTCGAATCCTCCTGACGCAGATACTCACGTGGAATAGGTCTTGAAAGCGGCACGACTGAGGGTCTGGTTGGGCCTGTGCTCAGGCAACTCCCACTTGCGGATGCCAGTCTGCAGGATCTTGTCGGCGGTGGGGGGAGCATCGACCAGGTACGAGATCCAGGCATGCCTAGATGGGGGTCAGTAAACGAAACGCGTCTCCATTGCCGCGCAGGGTCTGCCTCACCAGCCGGGCTCAAGCTGCGAAGGGTCGTATTCTTGCTCCTTGTAGTCGACCCAGCGGGTCCGGACTAAACCACCATTAGCAGGGCTCATTGCCCACGGGTCGGCATCACCCACGAGGAAGCTCCTCCTCCATGTTCTCGAAGTACTTGTTGCCGTAGCGGTCCACGCCAATCAAGGTACCAGCTTTGGTATCACCTGGAATCGCAATTGCGTCAGTCTAGCCCCCTCGGTCGACGGAAGACGGATAACCACTCACCGATGTACTATCCGCAGCGCACCAGCCCCATCTCGTCAGTATTGGTCCCGCCTCACTGTCCCTGTCCTATGACCACCGCAGCATCCGGGGAGCATACCTGCATCTGATGGCCATATTCCTGTGAAGGGGATTCCAGGTTAACAAGTGGTTCTGACGGGGTTAACGAGGAGGAGGGGGGGGCAATGCCTACCTTGAAGCCAATGCGCTTCAGGTTACGCAGCGTGCGAAGTACGGTCGACATGATGGAGGGGAGTGCAGCAAGGAATGGCGCAGCAAAGGCTCGAGCAGGAAGCGAGTTCGAGGTCGGGATGGCAGCAGCGCAGCGACTCTGGCGGTGCTTCGCTTTCCGCCCGCCTGCCCCATCGGGACTAGCGCGGGTGTTCCGTGTTTGGCGGGTTTGCATTCGCGTCCTCGGCGGATTTCCCCATCGCTCGATTGTTCTTGACGCTCAAGTGCCTCTCAGTCCCCACGCGAAAAGAACAAAAAAAAAAAAGAAAAAAAAAAAACAACACCCAGACCATGTTCGGACGCATCGGGGGCAATGCCCTGCGATCTGCCGTGCGCAGGCCCGTCGCGCGGAGAAACCTCCTCTGTGAGCGCAAATTCTCGGCCTTTGCCCCCCAGGCCAGTCCCGCCTCGACTGTCCCCTCCGCGGCCTCGCCGTTGGGCAGTATCACCACCGAATTGGATCGCATCTCGCCCTGTTTCGAGGTGTCCGCGTCCAATATCACGATATTGGACTCGCCCGCGACTTTTTACTACATTCTGAAGGTACGGTGGTGCCCCGCTATTGAGATCGAGCGGCGGGCTTGCGACTGATTCGAGCATGGCATTTCCAGGACAAGATAAAGAACGCTCGGAAACGCATCTACCTATCCACCCTCTATATCGGCAAGACGGAGCATGACCTCATCGAGACCCTGGATCACGCTCTCCACGATAACCCCGAGCTGAAGGTGTCGATCCTCACCGACGCCCTCCGAGGGACACGCGAAACGCCAAACCCTTCCTGCGCATCGCTGTTGTCCTCGCTCGTTGCGACACATGGCACGGACAGAGTGGAAATTCGCATGTTTCATACCCCTAACCTCACCGGGCTGAAGAAGAACTGGGTGCCGAATCGGATCAACGAGGGCTGGGGTCTTCAGCACATGAAACTCTACGGCTTTGACGACGAGATCATCCTATCGGGGTCAGTGCGCATCACGGGCTGCAGAAGGGGCGTTCATTGACATGAAATTCTAGGGCCAACCTCTCGGATGACTACTTCACGAACCGTCTGGACCGGTACCACGTTTTCCACTCCAAGGAGCTGACCGATTACTACGCCCGCATCCACCAGGCCGTGTGCAGTCTCAGCTTCCAGGTCCTCGCAGACCCCGACAATGTCGCGGGCTATCTCTTGAACTGGCCAACTGAGAATGGCACTCCCTCCCCTCTGGACGACCCGGAGACCTTCATCGCATACTCGTCCACCGTCCTCAACCCGCTCATCCAACCGTCGGAAAAGCAGGCTGCGCTTCAGCCCAAGTCCTCCGACCAGACCTACGTATACCCAGTGGCCCAGTTCACCCCGCTGTTCAAGCCCGACACCTCCACCGAATTCCCCGCAGTCACGGCCATCCTTCGTCTCCTCTCCATATCGCCCGCTTTCTCCGGCGCCCGCTGGCTCTTCACGGCCGGGTACTTCAATATCCACCCGGTGCTCTCCTCCCTCCTGATCGCGAGCACGTCCACCTCGCACACAGAATCCACGACCCGCGGCACCGTGCTCACCGCTTCCCCCTGGGCCAACGGCTTCTACGGCTCCCCCGGCATCTCGGGCATGCTCCCGGCCGCCTACACGCTCCTGTCGACCCGGTTCCTCGATCGGGTGGCGGAAGCGCAGCGGACGAGTTCCATCCAGCTCAAGGAATGGCGGCGCGGGACCGTCGGCGAACCGGGCGGCTGGACCTACCACGCCAAGGGACTCTGGATCACGCTGCCCAAGGAGGAGCATCCCAGTCTGACGTTCGTCGGCAGCAGCAATTACACCAAGCGCAGCTACAGTCTGGATCTGGAGGTCGGGGCGCTCGTCGTCACGGGCGACCCGGAGCTGAAGCGGAAGCTGGGGGCCGAGACCGAGTGGCTGCAGAAGCACTCCAAGGCGATCGAGAGAGAGGACCTGAGAAGAACAGAGCGGCGAGTCGGGTGGAATGTCCGGCTGGCCATGTGGATTGTCGAGAAGGTGGGGGGCGCGCTATAGACAAAACAGCCGACCTGATATGTTTGTTTCTATGATGCCATAGAATCCGTATACCCCCTCTGTACTATTATTATTATTGTTGCTATTGTTCTTACTTTGTTGTTATATGATAGATAGAATGTACAGTCAGCTCCGAATACGACGGGTTTGTTTGGCCGCGAAGAATTACAAAGGAAGATTGATTCGTAGGGAGAAGAACCGAAACTTTTTCTAGGATCAAAGGTAGAGTAGCAGCAAGAGAGGTCTATCGCCATGCGAAAGAGTGCATATTCGCAAGCCAAAAAGAAGGAAATCTATCACACCGGACGCCTAAGCCATGTTTTTTTTCTCCGCCAGAATGAATAGAAGGAATAAAGGCAGGTGGTGCAGGAGGTGCAAGTGGTGGTGGTGATGGTATCGTTGCAATCGTTCAAACATTCAACTCAGGCCCGGCCGGGGACTTTCCCGGAGATTCTGGCGGGCCCCAAGCCCTGACGCACCTCATCCAGCATCTTGATGCCGATGGCCTCGTTGCCGTTCTTGCCGCGCTTGGCCTGGGCGCCCTTGCGCTTGGCCTGCGCGCCGGTCTTGCCGTCCCACCCCGCCAGGAAATCGTCCATAATGTTGTTGAAGTTGTGCGACGGCCGCACTTCGTCGCCGTTGGCGTTGACCAGACTGGGCGCCTGCGATGAAGCGGTCGAGAAGGCCGACACGCCCGACATCCCTGTCATCCCTGTCATGCCACTGACCATGGACATGCTGTCGTCGAACTCGTCCTCCTCGTCCAGCGCGTACAGCGCCTCCACGCGGTCGAACCGGTCATCCAGCAGGCGGTGACCCTCCGTCCGCGCCAGCGCCGACGAGGTCATCGAGTACGCGGACGGGTTGGTCAGGGCGCCCTTGCGCTTCTTCCTGCGGATCGGAGTGCCGCCCACCGTGAACACCGTCGACGCCAGGGTACTTTGCTGCTCGGAGGGGACGACGCTGGGGGGCGCGGCGGGCGCGGCCGCCGGGCTCTTACCGTCCTTCTTGAACTTGGCAAACTCGCGCATCCACCCCTGGTCCTCGGGGTGCAGATCCGGCGCAGGCTCATCGTGCTCCGGCATCTCGCCGGGCTCCACATCCAGATCCTTGAACGCCACGGACTTCTTCGCATCCGTGGTGTCCATCTGCACGGGCGCCTTCTCCGTCGCATCCGACTCCCACCCGTCGTCATCCTCCTCCTCGACATTATCAAACAGGGTATCCTCCCAGTCGCCCTGGTCCATCTCCTCGGCGCGCGTCGTCAACTGCCCAAACAAATCGTCTTCGTCCTCCCCATCCACGTACTCCTCGTCCTCCAGCGCCTCCAGCACCTCGCGCAGCCGTGGGTCCATGTCGGGCTGGAACCCGGCAATCGCATCGGGCACGTTCTGCTGATCTTGGTAGGTGGGGTTGCGCACGTACGACGAGGCGGTCGACCGCATGTCATAGCTGTACACGCTTTCCGGGCCACCCCCGACCTGGCTCTGACGATCCTCGTCGAGCGACACCTGGCGCAGCGCATCCTCCAGCCTCATGCCCTTGCCCGCCTTCTCCTTGCCTTTGGTCTTGGCCTCGATGAAGTGCGTGTCGCCGGCCCCCTGGCCGAGGTCGCGCATGTGCTGCATGTAGTCATACTTGGAGTCGTCGTAGTAGATTCCGTAGTTGGCGGCTTCGCCTTCGTTCTTGCGGACGGTGTTGCCCCCGAAGGCTTGCTGCAGGTCGGCCAAATGCTGGGCGCGCGAGTGGCTGGTGGAGGAGGCATCGCTGGGGGGGGGATCGGGCCGGAGACGGGGGCTAGGACGCGGTCATCGGCGGAGGGGTCGTGGATGAGAGGGTCATTTTGTGAGCGGTGGAATAGTTGGTAGGTGGTAGCGTTTTTCTTGTCGCTGTTGGAGAGGGGAGGATGTTAGTTTATGGATTCGATTGTGATTGTGGATTTGGAGGGGGGAGGGAACGTACATCCACTGCTTCCGGGGAGGCATTTTGGCGATAGAAAGAGACCTGGTAGGTCGAGAGGGAGGAGATATAAAAAGATGGGGGGGGGGGGGGGTGTTGTGGTGGTGATTGAAGTGGATTGGATTGATTCGATCGCTTGGGAAGAAAAATCGCCGTGTGGGAGGGTCACGTGCGGCTTATCGCGCAGGGTCCTCGACCACCACCAACGAGGCAGAACGGCTGCCAGAAAGAAACATTGGGATTGAAAGGCTTGTCCGAGGGAGTCTCCTGTGTCTGAAAGTACGCAAACTGTTCTCTTCCACCTTCATGGCAGCCTGATGGCGCCTGATTGCCGCCTGAGGGGGGGGGGTCTTGCTGAGTCAGCGTTATCTTATCCGCGCGGGGTTCCAAAATTCCCCCAAAAAAAATGAAAATTACCCGATTGGGAGTTGATCGAATCAAATCCTGCGGCTTTTCTTAGTCATAACTATTCTTCCCTTCACTCTCTTTCCATTGATCTTCTCTCTCTCTCTATCTCTCTCTCTTTCTCCCCCTCCCCCCCCCCCTCCTATCCCCTCCAATCTCTCCACAATCTTCCACATCACATCGCCACCATGGTGTTGGCAAAATCAAAAAACTCCGTGGGGCTGGGCAACAGCCTCATGAACGACCGCTTCGGTAAAGGCAAGGCCTCCGGCATGAAGAAGGCCTCCCACAACGCCTCCATTGCCCGCAAGAACGAACATGGCGAGACCTACATCACCAACGCCCCCACCGAGGCCGCTTGGGTCAAGATGCGCAGTATCACCGAGCAGGCCGCCCTCGACGAGTTCCTCAGCACCGCCGAGCTGGCCGGCACCGACTTCACCGCCGAGAAGATGAACAACGTCAAGATCATCCACACCGACCAGAAGAACCCCTTCCTGCTGTCTGCCTCCGAGGAGAAGTCCGCCGTCAAGAAGCACCAGAAGAACCGCGACCGTCTGACCGTGCCCCGTCGTCCCAAGTGGGACCAGTCCACCACCCGCCAGCAGCTCGAACTCATGGAGCGCGAGAGTTTCCTCAACTGGCGCCGCGGCCTCGCTGAGCTGCAGGAGAACCACGACCTGCTCATGACCCCCTTCGAGCGGAACCTCGAGGTCTGGCGCCAGCTGTGGCGTGTCATCGAACGCTCCGACCTGGTCGTGCAGATCGTCGACGCCCGAAACCCTCTGCTCTTCCGTTCCGAGGATCTGGAGGCCTACGTCAAGGAGATCAGCCCCAAGAAGCGCAACCTGCTACTCGTCAACAAGGCCGACATGTTGACCGACAAGCAGCGAGCTATGTGGGCCGACTACTTCGAGCGCCACAACATCGAGTTCCGTTTCTTCTCCGCCCACCTGGCCAAGGAGCACAACGAACGCCTCATGCAGGAAGAAGAGGAACGCAACTCGGACAGCGAGGAGAGTGATGAGGAAGACGTCGATGAGGCGGAGGAGCTGGCTGAGGGAGCCAAATCCCTGGACATTAAGGATGGCAAGAAGCCCCAGGAGCCCCAGGAGGAACACGATGGAGGTCTGGACCTGCAGCCCGGCGCCAGCTCGGATCCCCGGACGGATATCCTCGACGTCGAGCAACTCGAAGAACTCTTCCTCTTCAACTCCCCTGAAAACCTCCCCGACAGCGACACTCCCGAGGGTGCCGCCAAGCAGAAGACGGTCATCGGTCTGGTCGGTTACCCCAACGTCGGTAAGTCCAGCACTATCAACGCCCTGCTGGGCGCCAAGAAGGTGTCCGTCTCCGCGACCCCCGGTAAGACCAAGCACTTCCAGACCCTGTACCTCTCGCCCGAGATCATGCTCTGCGATTGTCCCGGTCTGGTCTTCGCCAACTTCGCCACCACCAAGGCGGAGCTGGTCGTCAACGGTGTCCTCCCCATCGACCAGCAGCGCGAGTTCACCGGTCCGGCTGGTCTCGTCGCCCACCGCATCCCCAAGCACTTCCTCGAGAACGTCTACGGCGTGACCATCCGCACCCGGCCCGTCGAAGAAGGCGGCACGGGCATCCCCAACGCCAGCGAGGTCCTCCGCGCCTACGCACGCGCCCGCGGCTTTGCCACGAGCGGTCTGGGTCAGCCCGACGAGTCGCGAGCCGCTCGTTACGTCCTGAAGGACTACGTCAACGGCAAGCTCCTCTTCTGCCACCCCCCGCCCCAGCCCGAGGGCCAGGACCCCATCGACCCCCACAAGTTCAACGAAGACCTCTACGACATGGCCCATCTCCCGCCCCGCCGCCAGGCCATGCTGGCCAAGCTCCTCGCCGACGAGGCCCTCGCCGCCGGCGTGACCGACCCGGAGATGCTCGCCCTGCTCAAGGGCCCCGTGCCGGGCCTGCGCTCGCGCAACCTGGACTCCGGCTTCTTCGGCCCCGAGAACTCCGCCTCCACCGGCCGTCTGACCCTCCCCTTCAACTCGCAGTACACCGAACAGGGCAAGGAGATGCGCCAGCACCTCACCGGCCGTAAGGAGCGCATGATGGTGGCGTTGGAGCGCGGCGTGGATGTGTCGGAGGTCCGCTCCGGCAGCTCCAAGAAGCACTTCAAGGCCAACAAGCGCCGCGCCAAGAAGGTGCGCAAGAACGCGCAGGATGAAGATTACTGATTTCGGGGCTCGCGGGCGAGTGTTTGTTTTCTTTTTTCTTTTTTTTCTTCTTCTTCTGGTCTGAAAAAGTTTCCCTGCGGAGTACTTTCCGTGTCATATACCGATACCTACTACCTCCCTCCTTGCCTCTCTCTACCTGCCTACCTGCCTACCTACCTACCCGACTTAGCCGAGCTACCCTACTTACTCCTTCTGCCTTCCTGAAGTATGCAATGAACCGGATGGGTTGAGTTTCTTCTCTCATGGACGGAATGGGTGTGATTGATGGACTGCCTTGTTTTCTTCCTTGCTTGCTTGCTTAAGTGATTGATCGTTTGATAGATATCTTGTTTGTTAGTTCCGTGACTATGTTTGCATGATGAATATGATTCCATGACATACATTCATTCAAATTTTCTTCCCTCATACGTAAACCCAGAACCCAACCAACATTCAAAAGCCCAGACAGAAAAAGACTCTCTACAGCCGACTCGTCTCCCTCACCCGACTAACGCTCAACAACCGCTCCCCCTCCTCCTTCTGCCACTTCAACCGGCCTACAATCTCCTCCTTACGCGCCCGGTTCTCCCTCTTGCCCAACTGCTGCAGATGCACCTCATCTGGCCCATCCGCGATTCTCAACGTCCGAATCAATGCCCACAGATACGCCAACGGCGTATCTTGACTCACTCCGGCGGCGCCATACGCCTGCACCGCGCGATCAATGACCGTCAACGCCGTACTGGGCACCAGGACCTTGGCCTGGGCGATCTCCTTGAGGGCAGACTTGGCATCGCCCTGATCGATCTTGATCGCGGCGTTGAGGACAATCAGCCGGGCGGCATCGATCTCGATCCGCGACCGCGCCACCCATTCCAGAATCACCCCGTGCGAGGACAGATTCTGCCCGAAGGTGCGCTTCCGGTCGTCGTTGATGCGGGCAATCAGCCACTCCAGCGCCTTCTCAGCCGCCCCGATCGTTCGCATAGCGTGGTGGATCCGGCCCGGCCCCAGCCGGCCTTGGATGATTTCGAACCCGCGGCCTTCGCCCAGCACCATGTTGCCGGCAGGGACCCGGACGTTGCTGAAGCTGATGTGTCCGTGTCCGTGGGGCGCGTCGTCGTAGCCGTACACCGACAGCATCCGATGCACGGTTATTCCGGGGGTGTTGGACGGGACGAGGATCACAGATTGTTGTTGGTAGGGGTTGGGGTGGTTGGATGCTGTCTTGCCCATTACGAAGTAGATAGCGCAGCGGGGGTCGCCGGCGCCGGAGGACCACCATTTCTGGGAAGGAGGTGTGGTGGTTAGTTCGGCGGGTTATGTGTTGAGGGAGGGAGGGCATACCGATCCGTTGAGGATGTATTCATCGCCCTCACGACGGATGTCCAGCTGGATGTTCGTGGCGTCGCTGGAGGCGACGTCAGGCTCCGTCATCAGGAACGCCGACCGAATCTTCCCGTCCAGCAGGGGAACCAGCCATTGTTGCTTCTGTGTATCGTTGCCGTATTTGGCCAGGACTTCCATGTTACCTGTGTCTGGGGCGGCATTGTTCGTGGCCTATATGATGCAAGAGGATGGTTAGCTGGTTAGGGGCGTGGTCCGAGCTCGTGGGTTGGAGGAATGGAGGAGGAAGTAGACAAGTACCTCTGATGCCAGCACGCTCTTCCCCAGATACTCGGCCATCAGACCATACTCCAGGTTGCTGAAGCCGGCCCCCTGTGCGAAGTGGTTCTTGGGCAGGAACATGTTCCACAGGCCCAGCTCGCGGGCCTTGTTCTTGAGGGTCTCCACAATGGCGGGGTTTGTGGTCCATCGTTGCTGGCCTTGGCCCAGCTGGGCCCGGAAAGTGGGTTCTGCAGGGATACAGTCTGTCTCGACGAATTGCTCGACCTATGGGGGTTAGCGGTGGTGGTGGTGGTGGTGGTTGGATGGTGGACGGTCTGGGGGATAGATCTATAGGGACTGGGAGTGGGGGGAGGAGAGTACCAGGTCGAGGGTCTTTTTAGCCCGATCGCTGACGAAGGGCTGAGCGATGACGGGGATACGAGTGGATGCGGACATGATGGAATGGCAGGTACAGAAGATGGGAGGATGGGAAGATGGGGGGGAGAGAGTCAAGTCAAGTTACTTTAAAGACGCAGTGAAATGCGGAGAAGGCGGAGATCCAACCGACGCGGACCTCGGCTGCTGACTCAGTACTGTCATTATTCTGGCGTAACTGGGCATAACCCGCGCATAACGGCGGTTGCCCGATTCGGCCTCAGGCAAGTGAGAAAAACAGAGAAGAAAAACAAACGAAGAACCTCAGGTTTTCATCCCCTGTCAACCCACCCCATTAAGCAAAGGAAAAGGAAAGGTAAAGAAATCGATAAACCCATACTGCCCATAGCCCATAACCCAAAACCCCAACCAAAAGCCCAGGTAAACAAAAGTGTCCCAAAGTAGTAAGAGAACAGAATGGCAATCCACCATGGCTCAAATGCCCTCCCCCCCTTGCGACCGGCGCAAAGAGAAAGGACACCGGACCACAGGCATGCAATTTACTTATCCAACGGCCTAATTCTCGGGGGAGATGCGACTGGCCTCGGCAGACGATTGCTCGAAGTTCTTCTTGCCCAGTTTCGCGAACAGTGATTGAGGCTTGCCAGCGCTGTCGACCGGTTAGTGGCCATGCGGGATACCAACATCGAAAGAAGGAGGATGGGAGGGAGGCATACTTCTTGAACCGCTTGCCCTTGATATCACTCAGCTTTTTCGAGCACGGACTCATGATATCATCCGATGGGGAGACGTAGCTGGCTTGGTTCCTGGGGAGAGGTCACGCCGTCAGTCCGGTTCAACAACAGACAACCCAGGTTGAAAAGAAAGAAAGGGGGCAAAAGAAAGAAAAAAGAAAAAGGGAAACCTACTTGTCACCGCTATCCAGCTTGCCCTGCAGCACCTGGCGATGGTAGTCCATCGAGTTGATCGTCGCGGGGGCCGCCTTGAGCTCGTTCAGCTTCTCCTTGTCCTGGGTGGCCAGGTGCGTGTTGGTCGAACGGTCGGTGAGCGGGTGAGCGTCCATTGTGGAGGAGAGAGACTTTGTTTGGTCTTGGTAGTGGATGATGGAGGTTGGAGGGAGAGAAGGAGATGGAGATGCTGGGAGGATGGGAGACAGACAGGATAAGAAGCAAAAGCCGCGAAGAAAAACCCCGTCGATTGTTGGCATGGCAACCACCAACCACACACTCCATGACATCAACTTCGGGCATCTCGTCAATCATGTCTCGTCGTAAACTAAATCGCTACATAATTATACACTACACAGTACACAGTCCGCTCTGCGCTCTCCATACACTCAATGGGTATAAAGAATCCTCCACAACGCCAACCCTCTCTCAACCCTCTCATCCCCTCGCGTCGTCCCCCGGTCTGGAACTTCGGTGTCAGGTATGTATGGACCGACCATGGACAATGGACACTGGATCCCCACGCCATTCGCCATCTGACGTGGCCGGTCGCTGGCCCCTGTTGGCCAGGAAACCCTGGGGGCTGAGGGCCTGCCTGCCGTCAGGCCGCAGGTGGCCAGCTGCTTCCATCCATGCCATGCCCCGATGTCATCGGCTCCACATGCCACGAATGCATCGCCCTGGGATGCTGCGAATGCGATCACACCCCCTCTTCCACCACCGTCGCATTCCGCATCTCCGCCGGTCCAGGTGATCCGCCATCCAGGCCCTCCTCTTCTACCACCACCATCTCCTTCTCCTCCTCTTCGGCAGTCTCCTCGTCGCCACCGCCACCCTTCAGGTCGGGCGGGCTGCTCCGCGATCGAAGCGGCGCGACCACCTCCGGCAGCCTCAGCGAGGCTCCCGTCGCGTGCTCCGCCTCCTCCGACGAGCTCATTACATCCGACACCGGGGTTGGCGGCGAGTACGCCAGGGTCGGGCTGATCAGGCCGTCCTGCGAATCGTCCGAGAGATTCCGCCGGTGACCAGCCGTGCGCCGGTTCGACGAAGTCGGTCGCGTCGAGCTCGGGCTCATGGACGGAGAAAATGGGGGCGACGACGACCGCAGGCTGTAAGACCGCGCCACCATGTTCTGCATGCTAGGCAGTTCAATATAACTGCTGACGGCGCCCCGCGAGAAGAGCACCAGTCCGAAACAGAAGAGGATCATGATACTCTGGATCACGGCCACCCGCTTCTGGAACACCAGCTCGTCCGCGAGGACCCCCAGCTGCGTGTTAAGCCCGTGCACTTCCTGGTGGTACTGGCTCCGCTGGTGCTCAAATTCCAGAGCCACGCTCTTCCACACCTGGTCATACTGCTCGCGGAACTGCTTTAGCTCACTGATCACCGTCACGTTCAGACTCTCCAAGAACGTCGATGTTTTCGCCAGCTGCCGTTTCTCCACCTTGTTAAACGCGTCCCGCAGGATCCGCGACTGCTCTTCGATGTATAATAGTGATAGGCTAGAGTTCGACTCCAGCATCTGTAGACGCTTGTTCACGGACTTGAAGAACGACTCCTGCGTAGTCGGGTTCGAGGAAGGAGGCTGGGTCGCCGTGGAGCGCGTGGACTCGGCCACGCCGGTTTGTTCGTCCTTCGCGAATGCGGTCGGCCGACTGTCTGTCTCCGAGATGACATGGGGGGTCGCGGTTTCTTGGATAGCCGTCGTAGCAGAGGAAGAAGACGACTCGACATGTGGGCTGAAAGGGGCCGGGGGCTTCTGCTCGCCTGGCTCCTTCGGCGGAACCTCGTTGCCAGAAACAGCCGGTGTAGCGTCCTCACCCCTAGCATCGCCTGCTTCACTTGAGAACGGTTTGGGTGGAGCTGACGAAGCCCTGTCAGGTCCCGTCGTGGCCGGTGAGTCGTGAACGCTACATGTCTCGCGAACATCCCAAAGAGCCATCACCACCGGCACATCATCTTCCAGCCCGGGACTGGGGCACGTCTCCTGCAGGCGATGGGTTGTCTCATGTGTACCTTGCTCGTCTGCTGTTCCTGCTGTTTCTTCCGCTGCCGCAGAATCTGAAGTCGCTACGGTTTTGGGCTCGGTGTCCACCGGTCCAGGCTCCGGCACCTCATCCGGCACCTCCTCATCCTCCACCCGAGTAGCCTCCCCGTCATGTTTGTATTCCTCCAACATAGTCGTGCCATGGACGCGGATCAAACTGAGCGGGCAATAGAACTCATGTCCGTAATGAGTCAGGAATTCCACCTTCACGTACCGAGCCCAAATGAGCGGGTTCTCGACCGCAAAGGCCTGTACCTCGCGTGTGTTCCTCGCCTCGTAGATGCCCAGCTCTCGCCACTGGTCCAGTTTGGCCGGGTACCGATCCGCCACGCTGACCCGGAAAGTGTGGAAGATGGAGCTGAAAAACTCGTAGTTGGCCAGAACCACCGTATCTACTAGGATATCATCGCACAGCTCCAGGATCAGGAACTTGTTCTTGGCCCGACACTCGTTCAGCATGTAGCTATCCTTGTTCTCGATCAAAACCGACGACGACCCCGTACATTCCGAGTTGGTCTTGAGCACCGTCGCGGCGCAATCAAACGACGCATAGTTGAACCGCTCTTTACAGGTCGTTCCCGCATCCTTGGAGCGCGACACCCCGGCCTGGGGAACACTCTGAGCCAGGGCGTCCATGTCCCGATCACCCACATCACGGACCCCGTCGCCCCTCGCTTCCGTGGGCACCTGCGCTCCCCAAGATGTAGGTTTCGCCGCCTCGGGTGTATCAGCGCCAAAGCCGCCAAAGTCCAGCTCGATCTCGACGTCTTCCCCCAGGGAGTCCAGCGCGTTATTGATTCCCGTGGGTCGTCGCCGGTCTTCCTTCTCCGCCCCGCCTCGTCGGTGTCCGCCCACGTTCTCCGCCGACTGGCCGACCTTGGCAAGGTTCTGCTTTTTCCAGTCCTCGAAGGAGAGGAACTTGGCGTTATCGAGCGGAGAATCGGTGTCCAGCTCCTGGTCTGGTGTCTCGTCGGAGGTAGGGGGTACAGATGCGGGGGGGCTTTCCTCAGCATCTCTGGGTATGTATGTAGGGTCTGGACGAGAACTCTGGGCGGATAGGTCCTCCCATCGCGTCTCTGGGCACATGGGCCATTGGAATAAGCCGGCCTCGGTCGCCCTCCAGCTCGGAGCGGGACAGATGGCGTGGCCCCCGTCTGCGACTGTCCCCTCAATCCAAGACGAGATCAGGACCAGGGCCATCCAGGGGATCCATTGTGTCGCTGTCCACCCAGTCATTGTGCACTGTCGCAGGGTGCACCGCACCGACGGGTGTCCGGATACGGAGGTGTGATACGGCGCAAAGTGAACGATATATCACTGGGTTGCGATAGGATTCATGGCGAAGACATCGTCTAGTCTCGCAAGTATCAGGTCTGGCAGAAAGGAGGGGCGCGAAAAGAAAAAAGAAAGAGGGAGGTCGTTAAAAATCGCGCATGGGCTCCGGGGATGGAGGGATGGAGGGATGGAGGGGGACTGATAGGGGGCTGGGAAGGGAAACCAGACAAGACTCCCAAGTCACCGCCTCTTTGGCAGATGGATGGATGGATGGATGACGGCCACGGCGTACGGAGTATAATAACTACTAGTAGTTAATTAATGGCTTCTCCGCAGGGCGGTCTGGAGCCCGCAGCCTCGCCGCTTTCCATTTGACGTGGACAGGATCACTACTCTTATCTACCGGTTGTCTACAGTCTACAGTGTCTACAGTCCCAAGGGAAACACCAGCTCAGTTCAAATCCACACTAGAACCACGTTGGATTCGTGCTATTCATCCCCAGTCCTCGTCACAACCCACCCAACCAGATCAGCTAAGTACAGTACAAAGAAGCCAGTCCAGGCACAGTAGCCTCAAGTCAAAGTGTGGATGCATAAAAGACAGAAGAAGGGTTGCTTTTCCATGACTTTTCCGGATTGGTGTCTTGCACTCAAGACCATCAAATCCCAGCATCGATCTCCACCCCCGTCGCCGTCGCCATCACCTCCGCCTCCGCCCTGCGTCGTCGTCGTCCAGCCCCGTCATGTTGAACCATTTTCTTTTCGGGAAAAAAAAAAAAAAAAAAAAAAGGTGGAGGAAGTAAACATTTTTTTTGGGGAATAGGTGAGAGAGAAGAGAAGAAGAACCAAGTCCTCGAGAATTGTCCCTCCAGTATTCAGCTGATGCGCCACTTTTGAGCCGCTCGTCTCCACTGCTTGCTCCTTGCGAACAGTGATATATTATACAGAATTGGGAAACAAAACACTAACATGTCCGATGTGCATGGATGCCGCATACAAACAATCTATAGAACGGAACAAGAAGAGAGGAAAATTGATAATTGAATATGAGTATAAGGCCGCCGCCCTGCCTCGCTGGCGGCGGGCAGGCGGGCCGAGTAAAAAGAGACGCTTCGAATCGAGTGTAAAAGGGAGAAAGGAAAACAAGCCGGTGGATCGGGTGTCGGACCAATGACGGTATATGGTTTGCCACTCATGCGAGTGATTAGTCGGTACAACAAACAGGGGGAACTTCCAGCACGGGAGAAGAATCGGAAGCCAAGAGTTTAAAGGTGAAGATCGTGCCAGCCACCCACAAGATCGAGGTCTTCGTCGACACTGCCATCGTAGCTGGTGGATATTTTCACATGGATAGCCTTCGGGGACTCCCAGGCATCGCGACGCCGACCCTTCTCCTGGAGGGGACGGCGGCGACGGTCTGGGAAGGTCGCGGCTTCCTTCTTAGCGGCCCAGGAGCCGTAGTCGAAGCCAGAGGATCCTAGGCCCCAGTCCTTCCGCCAGCTCATGTTGAGCGGGAACTTCTTGCGTCCGAGAGAGGCGTCTGGAGACTTGTAGTTCCTCCGCTTGTCGCCCAACGCGGCCCATTTGTCGACACTCGAGTTCTTGGGAGGGGTCTCGGGAGTGCGCGGAGGCGTCTTGACAGCAGGGGTGCCCATCCGGGCATCCCAGGTCTTCCCAGAGCCCTCCTCGGATTCGACAGGAGACTTGTCCTGTTGTTGGGCACGGACATTGAGGATCGAAGAGTGTCCGGCATCCCGAAGACCGCTGAGAGGGCTGCAGAGATCGGGGACGTTGGCCTCCACAGGACTGCTGCTCTCATGGCTCCAGCTACGGGAGTTCTGCTCCCGTCGCTGCCATAGGACCTGATCTTCGGGTTCAGACTCTTCCTCTTCGTCCCAAAGGTCGCTCCAGCTCTTTGAGATTTGTTCCTCCTTCTTCTTACCGAAAACCATAGAAAGGGAGGGCAATGGTTTAGTGGCGTGACTTGGCAAAGATCCGGTAATGGGAACCGGGTCCGAAGGAGGTGGGAACCGAGGCTCTCTGCGGTAGAATGCAGATGGCCGGAACGCAGATGAGCGGAACGAGTCTCCCAAAGCAGATTCCAGGACAGATGCCATCGACGGAGTTCCCTGGTGGACGGAGAACCACGAGGTACCAGCCGTCTCGGACGCCGGGAAGAGGTCCTCCGAGTAGCTCTCGTTGTCGGGAATTGCAGACAGTTGGCGGATAGCCTGAGGGGGGCTGGCCTGTAATGCTTTGGCCCATGGGAAAGAGTCGCCCTGGTTGATGTGAGGGCTCTGGATTGAAGGGGTCCGGAGGGGCTCCCGGTTGGCGCTGGCAGTAACGACCTCGCGGTCATCGGTGCAGAACTCATCCAGGGCGTCGTCATCTGTAGTGAAGGTGACGGCCCGCATGATGGAGTCACGGATGCCAGACAGCGAGCGCTTTTCCGGGTCAATCGCGAGGGCGAATCTGAGAATCTCGAAGGTGTCCTGGGACATGTTGGGGAAGATGTCGAAGAGCGACTGTCGGTCCCGAACATAATCGGCAAAGAGGATGTCGGACTCGGTTGGGGTGGCGAATGGGTTCCGCGCAAAGAGGACATTGAGCAAACAGATTCCAATGGCCCAAATGTCGGCTTTGGCAGGAGAATAGCCAACAGTTGAGGGGTCATATTGTTCGGGGGCCATATACCGGTCACTTCCAACACACGCTTCATGGCACCAAGTGTCACTGGACACCAAACCAAAATCGCCCAGCTTCATGGATCCGTCTTGCATCAAGAAAATGTTCTCAGGTTTGATATCACGGTGGTACAGGCCATTGGCCTGCACGAACTCGACGGCGCTGATGAGTTGCAACATAAAGTCACGCACGTGCTCGGTTTCCAACGGACCACGGTTGAGTCTGATCGCCTCGTAAAGATCGCCATTCGCACAGTACTCCAGAACAAGGTACATATGAGCGTCTGTTTCGAATGAATGGACAAGGTTGACGATGTTGGGATGGTAGGCAAGGCGTTTGTGACATTCCAGCTCTTCGAAACGAGCAGTAAACGGGAACGCCCCACCTTTCATCAGACACTTGATGGCGACGTCTTGGCCGGTCTTGGTGTCAGTCGCAAGGAAGACCATACCGAATGATCCGTGGTTCAGAGGGGCGACCGTTCGAAACCGCCCATCGAGGAGCTGACCCTCCACAAAGCTGTTCTTGAGACACTCCATGGTTGATGTATATTCGAACGACAATGTTCTGCCAGAGATGTTTGTCGCAGAAGAATATAGCAGAAATCCGAAGCAGGATCGTATGAAGGATCTCTGCCTAACGGGAAGCGCTGAGAAGAGGCGGTCTTGGATAAGACCGATGCAGTAACAGAATCAAACAAGCAGGGTGCCAAAAAGGTCAAAATGAAGATGCCGGCCCGTGTAAGTCCAAGCAGGTCTCTACCGCTGGGAGCCAAGAGGATTTGAAAAGTGATGATGCGGAAGACGGCGGAATGAGAAAGACAAGGGGAAAAAAACCGGATTGTTTGGCTCAAAGTTTCATATAAATACCGGAGAAGTGAGGATATGAAGACAAAACGAAAGGGAAAAGACGACGAGTGGGCGCGAAGCGCAGTTCAGAGATACCCTCGAGGGTTTGGACGACGATAGGAAATAGTAAAGACTGTTATGGGCTCATCTGTATATCGTTTCAAATGTATAGTGGCCAAAGGCCGAGGCGATGAAGTTTGTCGAGAGAAAGAATGTAGTGTCGAAGAGAATGACTATGTCCAGCAATAGGACACCGGGGACAAGGACAAAGATGAAGAACGCTGCGTGATATCGTAACACCAAATGTATAAACAAACAAGTCTCGTAATTGAAAGAAGCGGCCTTCCAACACCAGGCTGATGAAGGTCCGGGGGACGGTCGTGACTCGGGAGAGGGAGTGATCGAGGACTATAGAGTCATAGGTCGCCCGATGTATAGTATATAGTCCTGAGTAGCGAGGAAACTATATAGCGATGGCGAGGGCTCTGGACAACTGGTACGATGGATCTTCAGTCCCGTTGTTGGACGAGTTGAAGAACCGAATACCAGCACCCGGCCCAGGTAGCGGCGGCGGACGGATGGACAACTAAGCAGCGTCGACCTCAAAGCGGACACAATACTTCACACGTATCTCTGCAATTGAAACGTAGCAGCAGCTCGGGAAACGGTTGGTTTGAGGAAGACGACTCGTGGGTCCGACGGAGCTCTCGACGTGGTTGGCTTGGGAGTGAGTCACGCAGGGTGTACGGAAGGCCAGGAGACGAGACAACGGAGAGGACAAGTGCACTTTCTGGACTAGAGCAGGTGGGGGGAGTTCACCAGGCGATCTAATCAGAGGCTTGTAAAAGGCACTTCTATCGTGTCGCAATGGTAGACAGTGAGGCGGCACAGAGGAATCGGGTAGAGAGGATGGTGATGGATGGATGGATGGATGGATGATTGGGGGGGGGGGGGGTGGCGATGAGAGGTAGATGGATTGGGGGGGGAGGCGAAGCGCGGATGTATGTAGCAGGAGCAATGGATTCGAAGGGTTGCGGGAAGAGATGGGATAAAGGAGTCGGTGAAGAGAGAAGGAAGTAGAGAGGAGGAGGAAGAAGAGGGGGGAGGAAGCGGAAGTCAGATGGTGAGGAAGGCGAGAGGTGAGGTGATGAGGTGAGGTGGAAGGAAGAGGATGGATGGGGATGGATGGATGGATGGGGGGAGGATGACTGGATGGGTGATGACTACCACTTGGGTCTGGTTCTGGGTAGGAGCGATAGGGATAAGGAGGTTCCGGCTGATAGCAGCAGCCTGGCCGGAGGAGCAGCAGCCGTACGTAGTACTAGTACCTTGTTAGTACGGAAGTTACGTACTAAGACCAAGTCGGAGGGGGGCGATGGGCGAGGCCCGAGTCAAATGAATTAATGGAAAGGCAGGCGACGGCACTCGGAACCTTGGGGCCTTGTTGGGGGGGGGGGGGAAGACCCAGTCACCCACTGGGTCCCCTGGGGAGTCACTGCAGTGAAGGCGAGAAAGTGGGCGAACGAGCGAGAACCTCCTACGTCGCCTTGGTGGCCTGCTGGCCAATGGCGGATGTTTGGTACCGTACCGTGCATACTATGGTTTCCCAATTAGGCCAAGATCCTGCGAGGACAAGCCAGGCCTGTGCCGGCATTTACGGCAGCCCCCGTTTCCTCGTGGTAACAATACGGGACGTGCGATCTTCCGGTCGGCCCACCAGCTTCCAATGGCAATCGTTGCCCATCGCCTCAGCGCCTGCTGGGCTGCTGGCCGCTGCAGGTCGAAGAAGACCGCTTCCGGCAGCGGCCAGAGAAGAACTCCACACCTCCATCCCCACCCCCCTGAATGATTCACCCTCCAGCCGGCCAGCCTGGCATGGCACTGGCGGTCGCCAGAAGAATCCGCCATGGATGGGTGGGTAGTTCAGCATCTCCCCGGCTATCGTCATCCGTCAGAACTATGGTTGACCCGGCCTCAGTATCTCCCCAATTTAGGGTCGTCCATTCGGAACACAGTACACAGTGTATGGCCGGCCTGGGCAACGCAAAGAATGGTAAAGAATGGACGGTTGAGGCCGGGAATCGTTTGCCTCTCGAGGACCGTTCATGGCTCACATGTTTCAGTAGCGTTCCAGTCATTACGAAGGCTGTCGTGCCTATCAACCACCTCGGCGGCCAGACATTCCTCCACTTTCTCTTCCGGAGGGCCCTCCTTGAGTCATCCCCTGCCATCGTTGCCCGGTTGTCGCAATTTCCATTACCTTCGAATCGTAATGGATCGGGTCATCGGCATGATAGATGACGAGCTTTGTTGCAATTGGGACTGATGGTGATGGTGACGGGCGTTGAGGAAGTCGTGCTCTACTACTGCGGACTCCGGACTTCCTCTCGATATCCAGGTACAGGTGTAGCTGTCCTGATCACGTCAACAACCTTCCGTGCGCCCCCTATCAGTGCGCTCCTGGGGTTCATACTATATAGTTCATACTAATGGGAGAGTTAATTAGTTAAAATGAAACTTAATATGCGGACTAACGGATCACTAAGATAATAATATCTAGTATCTATCTGGCTAGATAGCTGCCACTCGGTATCTAAAAGTTCCCAACAGGAGGACAGGATAAGGGCCTGGTTTAAGGTTTCCCCAAGCAAGACCGCCGAGGACTAAGTTGGCGACTTACAGTATCGCTGGAGGGACTTGGAGATACGCCCTGGGCACCAAGGCAGCACCGAGTCTACCGGCTAAGGTAAGTTCCTGCAGGTCCCGACAGGGTCTCCACGCCCCATCCGAGCTCTCTCTCTCTCTCTCTCTCCAGTCTCTGTCTGTCCTCCTGCCACTGCCAGGGTGCCATGGCTGCCATGGCAGGTGATGACCGGGAGAACAAATGCTCCGTACATACATACATACATACATACATACATACATACATACATACATACCTACTACCTACCTTAAGTACGGAGTACGGAGTACATCACTGATGACTGTGTATGCTCCTGCAAGCCTGTATGTACAATGTACACAGTACGGCCCCCTTCTCCGTCAGACATCATCATCGTAAGAGATAGCCGTAATGCAATAATCAATTCCCAATTCCCGTCCATGATCAACCTCCCCTCTTTCCCCTCCCCCTCCGATGGGACCAGATCAGATCGATGCTGAATCCATCCGAACGGACTCCACCAGCGTGGCCCGACGATACCGGTAAGTAGATACCTAGATACCAGATGACGAAGGGTGATGATGCGGGCACCTCATCGCTATCGGTTTCCATTTTCATTCAGTATTATTTTTCTAAGAATAAATAATAATCATTAATGCCCTCGGCCGATGGCGGAGCACACTGCCAGTGGGTGGATGGCGGCTGCCGGACTACTCCCCTTCCGGTACCTGGAGGGACGCTACCGCGGACCGGGACCAATCAGCAACGCCACGGTTGGCACTATTTCCAGGCTGCATGACGCCAGCCCCAAGCCAGCAACGAGTAGGCGGCGTCGTGGCCAATAATTGACCATTCGTTCGGGGCGCCTGTCTGAAAAAGGCCCGGGGCCTGGATGATCTGCGCTGATAGGGTGTGCGCAATATGGGGAAGAAAGGCCCATGTCGAAACGAAGATTCGCTGATCATACGGGGAGGACAACAAAGGACTCCGGGGGGTATCAGTACTAGTACGTACTAGATACTACTTGCGAGTAGATACCCGACCTGGTAGGAGTTGTACCTAAATGTCAGGACCCCTTCAGGTACTTACTTACTTGTGGAGTAGTAGTAGTACTAGTACCTTGTAGGAGGAGGCAGGGACTCTTACTGTACTACGACAACCAACCTTCCGGAGTGGAGTGCATTTCTCACGGTACCAGGGAAACCATGGAAGTAACAACGTCTTTGTGTTGCACAACCTGCGGGATCCACGTTGATCTTGTTTTCATGCTCACCGCGCGGGATTATTATTATTCTTTCTAGCCCATTTCGAATGTAACAGGATTTGCGGGGGGAAGGGGGGGGGGGGGGAGATGATGGGGAGATGATGGGGAGATTACGTCTCAGACTCTCTGGGCCATTTGCTAATCATACTACCGATCGCGGTGGGGACTGACTGGCAGGGGGAACATATGACAGATGAGGAGGAGGCTGGAAGGACTACCGAGGGTGGTACCGAGCATGGCTGTATATAAATGCGCTGTATAGTAGTAGTAGTAGTAGTAGTAGTAGTAGTAGTAGGCGTGCAGAGGTATACTAAGTACTGGAGAGAAGTAATTATACTGACACCACCATCACACATTTCTTCTACATAAACTACATAGTATTCGTACAGGAGACTCCTAGATATACTTTGTCCTACTAAGGAAGTTGATATACTGATATACTTTGAAAGTAGTGGTTTTCTTTGTCTTTTTTTTTTTTTTTTTTTTTTTTAAGTTTGTACAACTGGAACAAGGTGAATGGGACCAACTCTCGAATTGCGGCCTCTCACAGCCGCAGTTGACGCTCGGAGACAAAAAAAAAAAAAAAGGACAAAAAGGAAAACAAAAACAAAAAGCTGTTGATGGCAGCGCCCGTGGCTGGCATGGGTCCAACTTCCGGGCTGCATGCTGGGCCCAACCTGGAGAAGGGCCGCCGGGCGATGGGCAGATGCTGGCGGTGAGGGAAGCGCTTTGCCTGGGGCATGCATTAGTGCCAGCTTGACCGCCTCCCGAGGTGTGTCGGGAAGGTTTCGTCCTTGCAGCTGGGGAGTTGCGTGTCTCGTTCATGCAGGCTGCCTGTCCCCGAAGCCGACAGGTGGTCAGGTCCTTTCGTCAGAGGGCTGGACTGGACGAGTAGGTACGAAGTACGGAGTACGACTACAGGACTTACTGTCGTCTACTGTGGAGGGCGGACGGGCCACGGCCGACCCGAAGTCGACTCCAGTTGCCAGGTGGCTGTTGCTCAGGTATCACGCGATAAGCACCGTGGTCCTGGCCCCTACCACACCACCACCACCACCACCACCACCACCACCACCACCACCACCAACCACCAACCACCAGGAGGTCAAGGTCAAGGTCAAGGTCATGGTCATGGTCATGTTCATCATCCATCCTTCGTCCCTGGGGTGGCTGACACGCGATTCGTTTGAAGGAGAGGTTTCCATGAGGTTCCATCATCCCAGGATTCGAATGATCGAAGGGCCATTCCAGGCCGATCATTAGGGTTTCCGGGGGGTTTGGTGGTGGTCACCGCGGTCACCGTGGTCACCTGGGTTGTCGCGCGCCCCTCAGCAGAGTTTTGGCTAACATTCTCTCTGCCCATGGGACCCGATGGCCTGGCCGAAACGTGACCAGATACCTGAGTGCCTGGAGATACGGGGCGAAGGTCGAAACGAGGTTGGAACCTTGGGATGCCCTTCTTCCTCCCCCTCCTTTATCGGCGTGGATTATCAGATGGGGGCATCGAGTGGATGAACCCCAAGAATCCAGAGTTTATCCTATCGGTACCCTTACTATCTATACAGTATAGATACTACTATCTATCTTGCTTGTGGACCCCGCCGGTCTCCAGTTCGACCTGCCACTGGGGCCGGAGTAAGGTTCGAACCCTATCGGTGGTAATCCATGGATGGAATGGGTTGCGATAGAGGCGGGAGGTTGCACATCATCATCATCATCATTGTTTTGGGAAGATAAGGACCGGGGGGGATCTGACCCGTCTCTCGGATTCCGTATATACTCCGTAGTCCCCCCATACCATGGCCTATAGAAGGCGATCAAAACATCCCCATCCCCGATGGGCTGTGTTGAATGGATGGACGCAATATACTATACTTACTACCACTGAGTTGCCCAAGCCAAACCATAATAATAACAACAGCGACCATCATGTAGATAATCCGAATCAACGGGTTAGTATCCATCTAGTCTAGGTATCTAGATACTCTGTAGTTACTCCAATTGGGGATGGATGGATAGTATCAACAAACAAGCACCCGACTATCTACTTACTCCAGTGCGCCACACCTTCTTCCCCTTCGGAGTCTAGTCGGAGTCACTTACCCCGCACGATCTGCAGTTGTATTCGCAATGGACTGATAGACAGAAGAGCGATCGACCTCTGCGTCCTCCCCCCCCCCCCCCCCCTTCATTGCGAAAACCACCCGCATGGGAGTGGTCTGATTCTTCATCTGCTCTGCGCATTGCACTCACTCACTGTCTTGATGGGCTTTTCCCCAGATTCGGGGATAAAGTTCGGCTGCTCTCGCTGCCTTCCCCTTGCCGAATCCGTTGGGACTGTCTGTCTCATTTTTGGGAATGTACGGAGGAGTATGGAGTATCTAGATGTACCTAACTAGGTGACTGGCGCGTTTCTCCCCCTTCTTCTTCTCCTTTTCCACCTCTAACCAGACTAGGCAGGGTTCTCGATATTCCATCCAAACCCCGGATTCTTCTGTAACTCTCGCCGTCGCCGGAGATACTCCGGTGGCACCCTGGAGATTCATCTACTAACTAACTATCCTATCTGTGAGAGAAAGTCGATGATACAATAATTGAATCAACCATGATCCACCTGAGCGACAGAGACGAAGGACATGGAGATAACAACAATAATCCCGCATAGTAGTCTAGTCATTCATTTCACCCCTCTCCCTGTCTCAGACAGGAGTCCCCTGATCGGATCCATCAGCAATCGGACACTGCAGACTGGATGTACTGTTTATGTAGCCGCTACCGAGGTGCGACCGGACCCGACATACAGATGTACAGGAGGCTGCAGCCACCTGGTCGTATGTACGGGGAGTACTTCTCATGTACCTCTCATGTACCTCTCATGTACCTTCCTGTGTGGACCCCCATCCATTCCATCCATCCCCCAGCAAGGGTGAGTACATCCTGTATACTTGCTTTGCTAGCCTATGGACTTACTTGCCTGCTGGTTCCCATGTTTGTTTTCCATGTTTGCTTCCCCTTTCCTCTCTCCATCACAATGCTTTGCCCCTTCCCTCTCTCCCAGAGCAACATCTTATCTATCCCCGTGTTGACGTCTATCTCTTTGTTTGCCACCAACATCATACTAGAACCCTAGCCTGGAAAAGGTGATAGAAGGTACGAAGGAGTAGTGCATGATTACACAAACACACGACAGCCAGCTAGCCATCATTCTATCTAGTAGCTAGCTAGTGAGTAGTGAGTGAGTAGCACTTAATTAGTTCTGTGGATTTAACTGCGGTGGCCCAGGGGGGCTAGATGGCTGATTCATCCAAGTCATGTCGTCAGGCGCGGCGAGTGGCGTGGGATGGATCCGATCCATCGTTTGTTTCGGGCTGTTCTGTCGTCGTCTGAGGTCTGCTGCTGCTGCTTGCTGTCGCTTGCTGATGCCTGCACGGCACTGCACGGCACGGACTGGTTGAGGAAGTCTTCTGTCCGCTGATTGTGATTGACTGGCGATACGCTCGGGGGGACTGGGAGGGTCTGCTGCAGCCTGCAGGCCGCCCCTTCCCCCTCCACGAATGGCCCAGCAAGGAAGGTGCTTTTGCAGCCAGGGATGCCATTGGAGGGGCCCTATCTCTCTCTCTCTCTCTCTTTCTCTGACCCTGGTACGGAGTACTGTATAGGAAGGCGGTACTTACTTACTTACTAACTACTAAGCATGGTCACTTTTAACTTACTCGGGGTTTGACGCCCACCCATTTATTGGCTGGGGAAATCCGGATCAAACCTATGTCCATGTTGATATTGCAGATTATATACCGGTAAGCAGTGGGTGTCGAGACAAAAAAAAAAAAAAAAAAAAAAAAAAAAAGGAAAAGAGAGAGAGATAGAGAAAGGCAGGAAAAAAAGAGATGCAAGTACTTCATGAGAAACATTTCATTCACGCTGACAATGCAAGGCGCCATCATACGACTCGGTAGCTGGAGTGAAGACAAAGAAGAAGAAACACAAACGACCTCGCATGCATGCTGGATGCACGTGCGTATCGCTCACAACGCCCATTCATCCGCCCCGTCCAACTCGGCGACAAATGGCTTGTCGATTTGCTTGATGGCATGGTCCCCGCAGAGGACGCTGGGAAGGACGTTAGTTAGCCTGAAGCATGAAGCATTGACAGGAGGTCATTGCAATGAGAACATGATTGACTTACCAGGCCTCCGCTATTAGCCCGTCCAGTTCCCTCACAATCTCCTCTCGTCGTGACGCACTCACCGTCCCCTTGTTCAACTGCGCTTGCAGATCGCGGATGTACTTCTTCTTGCCACCAGCGCCATCCAGCACTTCCTTGCCCAGACAGTCGCTGTGGAAGGCATGCTGGCAGGGGAACACGAAGAACTGCCGGCTGAGCACCGGCAGCGAGCAGAGCCAACACTTCTCCCCGGGCTCGACAATCGCGTACCGCGTGTCCAGGGCGGCGATTTCCGTCCGGATTTGACGCGCCGTGTGGGCCGAGTTATCCATCTCCTGCCGCAACGCATCGATGTGCCGAGAGTAGTCCTCCAGCGCACTACAGATCTCGTCTTTGAAGTCGTCGATGACGACAAAGTCCGGGAAGAAGGGGATCAGATCTTCGATCCTGAGCAGTTCGCACCGCCGGAGGAATTCGATCGCATCTTTGATGCCCGTCCCAGGCTGTCGGATCTTCTTCTCCGCCACCAGGAGCCAGAGTTTCTTGCGGAGCTTGTCGTTGCCCTCCGGCCGGTCCGCCACAATGGCCGCGAGTTCGATATCTTCATGCTGCAGAGCCAGCTCCACCGCCTGGAGATATTGTCCCATGGCACTGTAGATGTGGACGCACGACTGAACGCGCTGGTGTTGAATACAGAGACGAAGCGCGAAGTCGGCATCGTATGGCGGTGGCGACGACGTCTGGGACTGCAGGTAGGTAAGAAGCCCCGCCTCCGACGTCGAGGGACTGGAAGCGTGGATGGAGATCAGGGTATTATGCACCGCCGCAGACGGGTTCGGATGGTTGACGATGATGAAGTTGAGATATCGCACGGCCTGGTTCTGTCCCAGCGGAACATTCACCGTCTTGTTGTAGTTCAACAACCCGGGTATCAGCTTCTCGGGCCCCAGGTTGGTCTGCCGCATCAGAATATCGACTAATCCCGCTGCAGCATGGGTCATGAGGACGCTGCTATATTTGTAGAACACGTCAGGGTCGCTCTGCCTCTGGAGAACATTGAGCGCCTCGGTCCATTTCTCTCGCTGGATCCAGTAAGACAATACGTAGCTGTAGTCGTTGACAGCCGTTGCAAAGAAAAGAAGCTCCTTTTCGCGGCCATGGCTACTGATGATGTCGTACGCGGTCTTCTTATCCAAGTCCGACCGATATTTGGTGACAAACTCCTGGAATTCGGCCCGGACACTGCCCAGCTCATCCTTGACCTCCTCGGTACTTGTCCCCTCCGCCAGCTCGGCCCGCGTGGCGATGTTGTCGTCTAGCGAGTTCAACTTGGTCATGAATACCTCGACCAGCCAGCTTGCAACCATGATCCTCTGCATTGAAGAGGACTTCTTGTAGGTGGACAGCTGACCCAGGAGATACTTTCGCAGGGCATCGTACTCGCCACGATTGATCAAAGTCAGGCAGACCTCTTCAAAGCCCTTGCTGCTCTTGCCCCAGACTTTGGCCGCTTCCTGGTAGCGGCCCCTGCTGGCGAGGAAGTCCCCCGAAGCGGTGGAAACGGCGTCCTTTTGGGCACTGGTACGGGCATACTGTAGGGCCTCGTCGAACATCTGCTTCTGAAGGAAAACCTTCCAAACATCTCGGTCCTCCTCCTCAACCGCTATCTCGAAGATCTCCTGGCTGGTAAACAGCCAGTAAGTGTGTTGCATGGCGTCCGTCAAGAGGCCCAAGGCGCTTTGTCCCGGTTCGAGGACCGCTTCATCATAAACAATCTCGTCGTTCATGCGATTGACAGCAATCACCCTTCCTTCAACGAGGGCTAAGACGTGCCACTGGGACAACGTCATGGCGGCTATGGGGTCCTGTATGAGCTTCTTACCTCCTCGCGCGGATTCACTGGCCGGGAATATTGACCGCTGAAGAATGGTCGAGCTTTCGAATGGCTGGCTAAGCTTCTCCGACGAATATGGAAGTTGGCCGTGGTAGACACCCTGTGAGCTAAGCCAAGCGAATTCATTCTCCGGGTGACCGCTCGCATTTTGGCCCTCCGGGATAATGGGGGAGATAGCCAGAGATGACGGTGCGGAGTTCGAGGGGTTCTGGATTTCATAGACCACGGGCGCTTCCCGTTGGAATAAATCGGCATATATGGGACCTCCTCCCTCTCTCCCGTACCTCCCCGTGCGACCTAAGAAACATAGCACTCGGCCATGGGTCGTTATCAGCACCCGCCTTAGCTCGGGCCTGGTGGGGATCGCCTCCGTCCACAGACCCGTCACCGGAGAAGCCTCTGGCGCTTTGTAGATAGTGTGTGCGTATCTCTCTTCGCGCCGATAGAATTCGGCCGACGGTTCAATGTAGGCCTCCCAGATATGACCGTCCGTGGTGCCCAAAAGGATCTCTCTGGTCGAAGCGGTCGGGAGCGAGGGGTTCCACGCGACACTCTCTATCGAAACGCCCTTTAACCGCGACAGTGGCTTAGGCTGCCTGGACTGGGTATGGAGGTAGTAGTTCTCGCCCAGGGTGGTGGTGATGATCAGGTGGGAGGCGGAAGGGTCGAGGAACATCCGACGTATGATGCCAATCTCCGAGGACTTCTTTGGGAGGTCGATATCTTTAGAAAGCCCGGTTAGCATCATGGCGACCAAAGTGCGGCTGCGGGGAGAGGGCATGGCTCCGCGCAAGGGATCCACGAACCATCGATATCTTCGGGGGTATCGAGATCTATGCGGAGGATGCGACCGGTGGACAAGGCCAGGATCAACACATTGTTTGCGACCTGCGCAGCGACGAAGTCGGCAGCCAGCGGGAACTGCAGCTGCACACGGCGGACATCGAACATGGACAGCGCGGCGTCCGGAGGGGGCTCGGTGAGGTTGCTGGGAGCAACATAACCGCTGGATGTCTCCAGCGCCATGATGCGCCAATTGTAGAGGATTGGAGGGGGTAGAGGGGGGGGGGGTTATTTCATAGCTCGAGGGGCAAGGAGAAGCCAGAGTTAAAGCGGTGGGCGATGATGATGATGATGATGATGCGGGCGGATGGAATGGGCCGAAGCTCGACGGGGACGGCGTCGGTGCCTGAGGCAGACTCCGGGGAGTGGCATCAATAGATCAATAGTAGCTGATATTGCAGACGCTAGGTATGCTAAGTACTTATGTTCTAACTATGCTATGCTAACAAACTCACTTCGACGTTTGCCGCCTGCTCCTCTATCGACTCGCTATGCCGTCTACAAAACGCCAGCACGTGCGTGCATCCGGGGGAAAGAATTTCGGGTCATCAACATGGTCACATCACGTCACGTCACATCGGGTCACATCAGAACACACTCCCGGTCCAATTTCCGCCCGATCTTCTCCCGCGACTTGTCCTTCAGCTTGTCGCGATACCGCTCGGAATCACGAGTCCGTCGGGGGCTCCGATCCTTGCGCTCGTTGCTCGGTGGAGGCAGTTTCTCGCCCGGGCTCAGCTCGTTGTCCATCAACTCATGGCCGTCACTTTCGGGAGAGAGCCCTTCGCCGGTAAACTTATCCCGGCTCAGTCGCCCCGTGAACCGTGAAAACGTAGCGCTGATTCGGTTCTCGCTAGCTTGACTGCCAGCCCGGCTGCCCGGGTTGCTCCTCATGCCTCTAGAACTGCGCCGAGAAAAGGAAAATGATCCTCGGCCGTCCTCGTCTCTGGGGGTGAGTCTGGGCGAACTGGGTGGAAACGACGGCATCGGGCCTGGATCAAAAACCTCCGAGAACGCGACACTCGCTTTTCTTCCATTTTGACTCGCCGGGGCAGGCTCTGCTCCATCCGGGCCAGTGATTTCGAAACTTGGCCGGCCAGAAGGGCAACCCTCGGTACGATCGCCGCCGGCATCGTCTACAGACAGGGTTTGTAGTTTCTGCGCCATCCCACAGGGCTCGGATTCACGGGAATCCATCGACAATTCGGAAGAAGGGGGCTTTTTGAACAGGTTGGCCGCCGCAGCATCTTCGTTGACGGGTAAGATCTGGAAGAACAAGAGATACGGGGATTCATGTTTCATGGCCTGCTCAATGTCGACCAGTGTGACACGCTCCTTCGCCAAATCATCGAAACGCATCCAGTATTTCGAAGCATCGGAGGGCACATCCTCCTGATCAATTCCATGAGAACTAGCTGGAGGCGCGCCTGCACTAGTACCCCTGACGATGGATATATAGTGCCCGGAATCGACCGAGTTGCCCCGATGGCAAACCATTGCCTGTAAGGACAGCTTGAAATTCCCGTATATAGGGCCTTCTTCTTCCATGCTATCATCTTGAATGAAATGCGGCAATCCAATCTCGGTCGGAATGTCGACAAATGTGTTAAGCCGGGCTGCCTTTCCATTGGCTAACATGGAATAGCGCTTCAGACACATCCCCAAGATCGGTCGCTTCGAAGAAAAGTGTGCTGCAACCTGCGCGTCATTTGTCGGTGTATTGTCGGTGTACCATGCTACCGTCTTGTCAGCATCTCCCTTTGCACGTACAAGGTCAGGTGTAGGCCTCACGTATTAGGCTGAAGAACTGCCATGCAGGCATCATTACCTCTTTCCTGTACGACCCTCTTCTCTGAGACGTAATCGCACTGTCCTTCATTTTCCCATCTCCCATGCTGGGGAAAAACCGCTCCTGAACGATACTGTTTCGTCGGTACGACGGGCGATCCAAGTCGATCGCTTCCGTCAGTGAGGCTACTGGGGTCATGTCTGAGGTTGACTGGCTTGCGCATGGCGACAAGGGCGACCCGACCTCCACGGTCTCAACATGTGTCATGGAGCCCTTGGCCAGCGAATCCACAGATCTAGTGGAGCCAACCGTATTGCGCCGTTCCAAATATCGCTTCACCTCGATCCTATTGTTAAAGTATGACTCCAGGCAATCTTCCAGGGTCACGGTCTGGCCGTCAACCGGCTCAGGTATCGCAACCTCTAACAATCTTTCGTTGATAAATTTGTGATCGCCGCTGATGTCCTCTTTGCCGGTATGGTAGATATCCATCTTCAATGTGAGAAGTGGTAGTTCTAGCTTCTCCGTGAGGAAGGTAAACGCTTCCGAGGTATCCTGCTGGCGAAGTTTGGCTGCATCTTCCCAGCCGCATTCTGCGAGAGCTTCCTGCAAATGTTTGGTCTTGCGGTCCAAGTCAGCTTAAAGATGAAAAGGGCAAATTTCCGGAGAGGATGCGTACAAGATCCGTTGTTATGAGCCTTCCCGACCGCAGCATGTTGACCCACAGTCTTAGCAGTATCGACAATTTCCGACGAGGTTCGTCGTTGAAGGACTGGTAAAGAATTGCCTCGAAGCAATCTAATCGCGCGAACATAGCAAAAAGCAATGCATCTAGGTAGCAGGTAACCCCTTCGCGGTTCACTGCACCAAGAAGCTTCGTGGTCGGCGTGTACCCTCTTATGATGCCCTCAATCGAATCCTCAAGGATCATGAGAAGCTCGAATGCCTTATCTACATCCCCTTTGGCGTACTCCGATTGCAACGCATAACCGAAGTGTTCTTCTTTTAAGCCGGCAATACCAAGCTGCGCGACGCGTTGGTCCAAGATCTTGATCTAGTTCCTGGTCAACATGGGACGGCCGCTTCCGAGTTGTATAATCACCTTCTTTTGCTCCTCGTTGGTGTCACCATTGGGAACCTTGTCGGAAGAGAAGAAACCGCGGAAATGGGGACGAGAAAGGACATTCGATGTCTGGGAAAGAAGAAGAAGGCCCGTCAGCATAAGTAAGGCTAGCGCGAACAATCACCCCTCAACAGTTTTTCGCGGGGTACCTACCTCATCTTTGGCATGTTTTCGCTCACGCCGGGTGAGAAACCTGTGAATGCCACTCATCTTCAACAGCACATGTGTCCTAGCTAGATGATGGAGTGAATAGGCAGGTATGCAAAGGGTGGAGTCCGTGATGCAACAACATGTGGGGGATCTATATAAATCCCTGTTCAGGCTCCCGAATTCCGATGGAGCACGCGAAGAGATCTGGTTGTGGAGTCACAGCACATATCAGATGGTATTATAGGCAGGCGATGACTCTTTCGCAGATTGCACTGTCAGACCTTTTTCTGTTTTGACTTTTTTTTGTTGATCTATTTTTTTTTGGTCGGTCTGAGAATCGCTTTTGTTGTTCCCACCCCAGATTAATGGCGAGGTTGGTAGAGCCCCTCATATACAGGTAAAAGCAGTGACATCACATGCGCGGGCAGAAGGTCTCGAAGAAGGTCTCAATCACCAATATGGTGGAAAGGGAGGGGGAAGTGCCAGAGTAGTAGTAAGCAGGAGCAAAGCAACAAAGAGGAGAAGTTGGAGGTGGTTGAAAGAGCCGCCCGTCAGAAGACTTGACCAGCCGATCGAGACCGATCGCAGAGCGCAGAGCGCATAACAGAAGACGAGCGATGACGAACGGAGGTGATCACATGTGGAGCCGCTCGGGAGGGAGGGGAGGGCTGAGAGCGACTCAAGCAGAGCAGGAACTGCTGCCTGCATGCCTCAGGCCGACTTCCTGTCATGTGACCAAGTATTCCCCGAAGGGAAAGAGTCGATGTTCGCCGGTCCGCAAAACAATTTTTGGAAGGCCAGCCTCAGCCTCGACTCCCCCAATCCTCCGCCAACCCGCGTCGTCTGTGGTTCTCAATGGCGGCCAGTGAACCCTCTAGATACCTGGCGAGGTCATTGCCCCGGACTTTGGTGCCTTCTTCCCGGCACCAGGCCCTCTGCTGGCGACGCAATGCCTCCGATCAAGCGTCGTCCAAGGCCTCGTCCGCCGGCCTCAGCGACCTCGAATCGGCCAGCTCTCTGACCACAACTGTCTCCGAAGACATCATCAAGTCCTTCCAGCCCATCGAAAGAGCCAGGGCACGCAAAACTCAACTCCCCCGGAGTCGGTATGTCCCCCCTCTCCTGGCCCCTGCGCTGCACTTTCCCTTCTGAACCGCCCTCTCCCCGATGCATGCATGCGTGTGTTCTGATCGCCCACATCGGCTTCTAGTTATCAATTCCGGTCTCCCAAATACGACCGTGGTCCTCTACACCCTCACAGACCTCCCCCGCCTTCTGACCCCTCCTCCCGACTCTTCGTCCCGGGCCCTTTCTCCCTCCCCCGAGTAGAGCAGACCTTCCAATCCACCGTCGCATCGGACATCCTCACCCTCCTCTACGTCCACAACCCCCCGGGTTTCAAGCCCCCCGTCAAGGCGCCTCGCCTTCGCTCGTGGGACGACAGCTCCCCGTACCACAAGAACAGGCCCCTCCGTGGACCGCGTGGCGGTGACGTTCTCCGCCTCCTTCGCCATCCGATCACCTTCAACAACATCCCCAAGCTCGAGCGCATCACTCTTCACAGCTACGTCAAGCAGGCCGCGTCGGAGCACTCCGGATGGCTGCACGTTGCAGGAATGGCCGTCCAGGCCATCTCGAACGTCCGGGTGCAAACGTACAAGTCGAAGGCGAGTGTTTCCCAGTGGCATATTTCTCCCGGTCGTGATTCTGTTGCTGTCAAGGCGGAACTTCGCGGTGAGAACATGCATCATTTCTTCGGAAAGTTGGTCGATGTCGTCATGCCCAAAATCAAGGACTGGGAGGGTGTCAAGGGTAGCAGTGGTGACAGTAGCGGAAACATCACCTTCGGTATTGAAGGGAAGGATATGGCTCTCTTCCCTGAAATTGAAGCGAACTATGACATGTGCGTTTACCCCCTTCCTTCGCTTTACGGCATTCCTTTTAATATGGGTGCTATGATCTGCGCTCGTGACAAGTATGCTAATCTCAATGGTGAACAGGTACCCCCCGAAGATGCTTCCCGGTTGCCATATCACCATCCACACCAGTGCTACGACCGACAAGGACGCCCGTATGCTGCTCAGCGCTTTGGGTGTTCCTTTCTACGGCAAGCTGGTTAACTAGAGCCTGCAGCCTTTTCCGTATAACTCCGTGTTCATAAGATTGGCTTTTGCATAGATGGTGTCTTTTCCCACTATTCCCGAGCAAACTCGTCATTTTCTCCCCCGACTTGTTTCCTTTTCGTTGGCACTGAATATGTAACATGAAGGACATATCTGTGGTATTGTTAGATTTTATGTAAAATACTCTCTCTGCTTTAGTTATTGCAATTGTTCGAATTCACGCTCGGTTCTTTTATTCAACCAACTTAAGTCACCCAAGTATCAACAACCTGCCTACATTCATGATCGTTGGATTAGTCTATATGCCAAATATAATATAAAGAAGCCCCTTCGACTGCGATGCACGTCAGTGCTCGTTAACGCTACAGCCACAATACAGCATAGAGTATTACGGTAAAAACACAGCATGCTGAGAAATAGGGGCTTTGTACAAGAATGGAATTGACCTCATCATGGCTTGTCAACAAGAGATGTGAAGTCGGGCGCTGTGTTTGTGCTTTTATCGGGTAGCAAGGCAAGGGGAGATACCGAGCTAGTGAACGTTCACATGGACATTTAAAAAAAGAGAAAAAAAAATTTTGAAACAGGAACCAAGGGGTATTCAAATCTCCAGACATCAATGGACCAAGCATCGAAAATCAGTTCGTCGTCAATGTCCTGCATGTAGATTAGGCTTATGCAAGAGGACTAGCCAGGAATTGGCACTTCAGTAGTTCATCTGCGCTGGGTCTCTTCTCATAATCCACCTGGAACGTCATATCCAGGAACGCCACGGCCTCCTTGCTTGCGTGTTCCGGAGCCGGAGGCCTGGCCCGCTCCCTGCCGATGGCATAGATGGCCTGCAACTGACTACAAGCAGGGAACGGATGGGCGCCGGTGAACATCTCGACCACAAGGCAGCCCAAGCTCCAGATGTCAGCCTTCTTCGTGTGGACTGTCTGCTGAACCACTTCCGGTGCCATCCAGTACACACTACCCTGCATCGAGACTCGGTGCACATGGCCACCTCCGCCACTGGCGCGGGCCCCAAGGAGGGTGGAGGCTTCCACTCGTTTAGAGATACCGAAATCGGAGATTTTGATGCCGCCCTTGTTGTCAACGAGAATGTTGGCACCTTTGATATCACGGTGTATGATATCACGGCTGTGAAGATAGGAGAGACCGGCAAGAATCTGTCGGACGAAGTTCTTGATCAAAGGTTCCTGGAAAGTGTTGTACTGCTTGAGCATCGTGGCGATGGAACCTCCGGGCACATACTCCAAGAAAATGTTCAAGTACTGGTCATCCGCAGCAGTCCCCAGGTACTGGACAACGTTGGGGTGGTGGAACCCTTGCAGAAGCTCAATCTCATGCTTGAGTGCGGTAACCATGCTGTTCTTCCGCTTGTCAAATTCCGTGCCCTTGGTTGCAGATGGAATCTCAACCTGTTTAACGGCCATGAGCTCTCCGGTGACAGCATGGAGAGCGAGGAAGACGCTTCCGAAGGAACCTTCGCCAATCAAAGAACCCTTCATCCAATTCTTGGGAGCGAAGTTGTTTCCAGCCAGGAAGTCGTTCAGGGTGTCATCCTCTTCCTCCCCATCCTCTGCGACGAGGACACTCAACCGCTCATTTAGTGAGCCCCCGTCAGTTGCAGCGACACTCGCATTTTCGTCCACGAGGCTCTGGCGTGAAGTAGTGGGATCGTCCGAGCCACTATCAAAAGAAACGTATGATTTGCGATTCGGTTCGATAGGCGACTCTTCTTGAAGAGGCTGGAGGGAGCTAGAAGCGATCGAATCCCGGTACGACGTCGAAGGGAGATTGAACTTGGAGACTGAGAGCGGTCTTGAAGCGCGAGAAGGCTGTGTTCCAGCATTATTAAGCCACGTGTCTGCGATGCTCGGAATGGGAGGTGCATCTCTTAAGCTGGATGCGTAGCTTGTGTTGCTGACGACGCTCAATCGACTTGCAGCCCGACTCAGGCGTTGAGATCTGCGGACCGACATACGCATGGTCTTTTCGATGTCCTCCCGATGGTGACTAGGGAAATAAGACGTGATCTCGTGAATGATCATCTCACTAGGCGGACGAGCACCAAAGAACGATCGTAACTTGCCCGCCTGTCGCTCATTCACGGGCCGTATATCCTGCTCGCTCGGCGTCTGGTTGTGTCGGGAGGAGACGGGAGACATTGGCTGCTTGATATTGTGCCAAGGCTCTCCAGTCAGTTGTTGAATTTTGATCTGGTTGCGCACATTTGAGCTGTTCAGGGCATTCATGTGGGCCATTTGGCTTTCGTCCACCGCCAGTTGAGAAGCTCGGCGAAGCTCATCAGGATCCGGTTCCCCAGCATGGATTTTGCGCAGGATCAGGCGGCCCCGCTCGGACCTGAGAGGGCTTTCGCATACTTCCATCAGCTCCTGATCCGTAAGTCTTCGGCAATTGGAAGGCTCCGGCTCCAGGCCGTCCAAAACGTAGAAGCAGTAATTGCGGTATTGATGTTCGGGCAGTTGTAGCTTTTTCAGAACGCAGAGGATGATCTCATCGGCCGTCTTGCAATGTTTGATGTCCAGCATCTTGGTCTGACCCCCGGTGTAGATCACTCTGATGACGGGCGTATTTGTTGGCATGGGGCCCATCGTCAGGATATCCAGACTGGGATTTTGCCTCAAGTGTGATCCGGCTTTATGGCTATGACCTGCATCACTGGGAGTGCTCGGTTTGCGGATTGATCCACCAGATGATGGGTGGCTAAAGTAGCCTTGGCCTTGTTCCATCCGTCCAATTTCCATTGGGCTACTGGCAACATACTGCTGGGGACGCAAAGGTGACCCCGGCCGTGATGAGGTTTTGTTAGCAGAGTAACTGTGCGTGCTAGTCTCGGCCGCTCGAGACCCGCGGCGGGTGTTGGTGCTGGACGTCTGCCGGGGATTGGATGGACGCGAGGGCTCAGACGAGGCGTTTGTGTAAGAGACGGCTTCAAGCGTAGCCAATTGATTCTGCCTGATGGTGAGTACAGCTCATCCCTGGCCGATGACGTATCCTTCCAACTCACCATGTTCCTTTGTTTACGGTTGAGAACGGATTTATTCCGAAGTTGCTTGATGGCCACGAAAATCCGCACGCGATCGCCGATTTTCTTGATCCCCATCTCCTGGAGGATTTTCTGGTCGCATTCGATGAGATTGTTGCCGTTAAAGTTGTTCGCTGGGGTGGGTCAGCGCCTTCTGTCACAGCCGGGATGGGTGACGGGGGTTTGCACGTACCCTTAAACAAGGCTTCATATTGGCCACAGTTTATGCTGTGAAGCCAAGCAACGACCTGCTTCTCATCCCAAGACCTTGTCACTGTCAATCTTCTGCAACCTACGTCGGCAGATGAGGTCGGGCAAGACTCACCGCACGGCATCCAGCCCATCGTAGACTTCGGAGAAGCTCGACTCTGTGGGACTCGTGAACAACATCCCATTCTGGGAATCCCCCGCCGTGGCAGTCTTCTGCGACGAGCCGGTGTAGTAGGAGGTCGTTGGGGTCTGGGTTGCAGTCACCCCCATCGGGTTGTAGGTAGCTTTGGCGAGCATGGCTGAGAAATCCCGGGGGTGCGGACGGTAGGCCCCTCACGTTGCTGATGCTTGCCTGAAGGCTTGGATGTCGACCCAAACCGGCGATGAAACCCTTATCACTCCAACCCCTCTTGTGTATAACCTTGGCGGTGTCGTCGGAGCACCGGCTAGAGAATCAGGGACTCGGCGGAGACGTTAGATCGCTTAATGCATGGTAGGGTATATGATTCTAGATTGGCCGGGTACACGTCAGTCTCAAACACGGCCTCAAAGTTGAGAAAGTGCCAAAGATGGGGTCGGGGACCCCGCGGCGGGCGCCTGTGGAGGGAGGGAAGGAGGGTCACAGATGGATGGATGCAGAGCAAGCGACTACCTACCTACCCTTTTCAGTCCGAATCGATATCACAGGTGCATCCGACAGGCACAACACGGCGGTGCGTGGTGGTTCAGTGCTGCCTTGCGAGGAGACCCGATCGATCCTCCTTTGTGCCGCTCTGCAGGAGGCCTGGATCGCACTAGGGAAGTTGTTCGATCGGCTATCACTGATCGAGAGCACCGGTGTTCGGGCGAGACCAGCAGGTGGACGGACGGACGAGGCGGAGACAAGAGCGGCGGAGCAGAGTAGTAGTAACCACGACGATGGCGGTGATGGCTGGCCGGAGGATGGCAGACGACCGATGACCAGCAGCAGGAGACAAACGGATCGGTCGCAGTGAAAGAGACGGGGTCGGTGGTTTGAAGGTGGAAAGGTCGATAAAGAAAAGCGACCGGGTCCTCCTATCCCAACCTAGCGTGGGCAGTCCGACGGGGTAACTCGTATTAGGATTTAGGATTTAAATAATAGATAGTAGTGGTGTAAGCAAGAGTAAGAGGGACCGAATACTATGCCCAGTAATAATGTAATAATGTAGTAGCATCTAGTAGTAGTAGTTGTTAGTAGATAGTTAGAAGAGGAAAGAATAATGAACGCTTACTTCCAATGTTCGTTAGGCCGATCGGGACGGGGGGGGGGGGAGATGGGCTCGTCAGTCAGTTAGCAACTTAGCAGCAGCAGCATTTCTCAAACACGCCGCCGCCGATGATTTGTCAAGGCGCCCAAACCTGAAACAATGAACCCAAAGCGCCCCTCCGGACTATCGCGCCCCTTCCAGGCTTTCCAGAGGTTATTCTTAGCGGGTGCTGGTCTGGTTGGGCTGGTTGGCCCCGGAGGCCCTCTTGTTCCATGGTTGGCCAGCGCCAATGCTTGGTTCGGCAACAAATCTTTCCCCTTCCTGAATCGTATACACAAATCTATCTGCATCCATCTAGTATCTAAAGTACTTTAGTAGTAAGTGCTTAGTACGAAGTAACAAGTGCAAAGAAATTCTCGCACAATTACTATTATGACAGTGTACCATGCTTGCCCAAGCCTGTCTGGCTGGGATCATCCAATCACCATGCTTTTGTGTGTATGTAGTTGTTCACTCCTACTTACTAGTACTACTACTCCGTATACCTACCTACCATGTCCTTGTGTTTACCCCCGTGCTTGTCTGTCACTCCTTCAACAAGATGCCCACCCATGAGGTGAGACATCGGTGGGCTTTAGATCGTCATCCTCATCGCTGTTCGGCAAAATTCCGTCCCACACGGGTGGAAGGGGAGGGGCGTCCTTTGTATATGTACGGAGTACGGAGGATCTAGTCCGAATAGATGCTTCATCCTGAGAGGTAAGTATTCCCTGTCCGGATCGATGGCGCGGGATTCCTTCTTCGCAGGTCCCACCTTTAGATCTACGTGTGCCTGAATCGTCACCTCGCCAGGATGATGATTGATCATTGAATCGTAGCCGGATGGTGGGGGGGGGGGAGCATGGGTTGGAACCCGAACCTTTCAATTTCGGCTACAACAACTCGGGTTTGCTCTATTTATAAACTCGGGCATGGGCGTCGAGTGATGGAAAGATACATCCAAAGATCTCAAGGATTGCGCGATCTTGGCAGAAAAAGAGCGATTGAGGTTCGAATTCCCTCGATTGAGATAAATAGAATAGTGGACCGGCTTCCCCAGCAGGACCAGGCGGTATCTAACGAACAATCACCAGGGCCAACGCAATCCCTGTCGTAAGCTGTGGCATAGACCAGGTTCAGATCAAACCGCTTACCGAGGAGGAAGTGCCTACTTATGTCAGGTTCTGGCATACCTCCGTTAGTAAAGTATGGCGTATGCAGAGAATGTCACTGATTTTAGACGCGACTGGCATAAACAAGTCCCTAGGGGCCAGAGGTAGTCCGTACCCAGTATATATATATCCCGGCAGTAAAGCGTTGAGTCGATCAAAGAAGTCATTGGAGAGGAGAATACGTTTTTTCCCCCCCAATCTAGGACTCCTGCTTTCAATTCTCTGGGGGAAGCCCGTCTGTCTCAGGCGGTGACCCCAATCGACTCCCCATTCCGGGCGGGACGTGGTGAGGAGATGGGTATGATATTGACGCCCAAAGCCAGCATCTCCGCACCGGTGGGGATAGCGGATCGGGTTGTTCTTTATCAGTATTATAGATAGTAGTAGTGATGGTGGTAGTGTATGCATGAGTTGGACTGACCTTGCGTCAAGACCCGACCGACGTGCCATGTCACATACACAACACATCATACCAGTACCTAGGTATTATCTACTACGGCGTAGATAACTACTCCGTACATGCCTACACATTCCAGTTCTGATCGCGGGGCAAAAAACGTTGACCCCGATTGGGACAAGCCCAGGAGGACTGGTGGTGTTAACTATCACTACTAACTAGTTAACTAGTTACTAGATATTGTAAGTAATCATGTATGGAGTACCAGGTAATAATACCCGTACAAGGTACCGTACGTATAGTACGTATAGTACGTATAGTTTCATGAAAGGGTTGAATCACTTCCGAAGTGGGCAGTCAGGCCCTCTCTTTCCCCCCTCCCACCACGTGACCAGACTCGCAAAACCCCCTCATGTGTCGACCCCACAGTTTTTCTTTCCCCGCTCGCCTGTTATCCCATCGAAAGGACATGGTCCAATTCCCCCCCAAGGCAATTCGCCATGGAGGATGAAAGAGTTACCCCCGGCAAAGTGAGGAAGAAAAGCACGCCCGCCCATCGCAAGTCCCTCTCGTGCGAATACTGCAGCCGGTCTTTTGCGCGCCTGGAACATCTCCAGCGCCATCTCCGCACCCGTTGAGTAACCCTGAAGCCCTTCCCGGCCGCCCGCTGCCCTTCCCACACACCTCAGCCGTATTATTAACGCCGTCGCGATTAGATACCAAGGAGAAGCCCTTCTCATGTGATATCTGCTCCAAATCGTTCGCGAGGAGGTAAGCTGCTGCCCGCGTGGCATCACTGCTGTCCCGCGCTAATATGGGGGGAAATTTCCATAGTGATCTGCTCGTACGACACGAGCGGCTAGTCCATCCAGCAGAGACTGCAGCCAATCGAGAACATCGTGCCCACAGCAGCCACGATGCCCCCCAGGCACCCCCTTCTATAATACATCCCCCCCATCATGAGTCCCGTATGCTAGAGCTTGCCGACGCCATCCCAGTGCAGACCCAGCCCGTTCCGCCGCCTCCGCCCGAGGTCCAGGTGCAGCCTCCTCCCATCGTGGAAACGACCCATTTCAACCCTTCATGGGGGTATGACCTGAACCTCCTCTCTCACGCTGCGAGCCATGTGGCCCTTGAGGGTGAGCAGGAAAGCCTTGAATCGATCCGCAAGTCCTCACAAAACGTGGCCCCCGCGCAGCCGCTTGCTCATGTCCCGGAAAGAGCGATAACCGATAACTATGGCGTTGAACCTTCCATCCTGGATCTTGCTGACTTAGGAGACCCTGTTCAAGACTTCACCGTCTTTCTGGAGAGCGTTGGACTCTCTTCTGATTGGGATTCAGGCGTTTTCTCCACCGTCGAAGACCCGATGCTCCCGACCACGCTCCCAATGGATTCGAAGCCACCCGTCCGTGAAATGGGAAGGCTCGGGCCTGACCTCTTGAGTGACCCACGAAGTGCTGCCGATGAGGCACCGTCGTTCTCCAATTTTGGTTCACGCCTACCGTCTCTGCAGCCAGAACCTCATGATGTGGACGATCGCCTCGGGTTCGCTGATGAGGGTCCTCGCCCGGCCTGGGATATATCGAATACGGACCGCCAGGTCTTCTTATCGAAACTCGATGAGTTTGCTTACGTCCTCCCTAAAAACTTTGTTCCACCGTCGAGACACGCACTGTCTCGTTTTTTTGCCGGCTACATCAACGGTCTAAACGAGCATCTCCCCTTCATTCATGTCCCCACGCTCTCTGTTGCGAAATGCTCACCCGAGCTCACACTTGCGCTAGCAGCAGCAGGGTCTCACTATCGATTTGAGAATAATCGAGGGATCGAACTTTTCCATGCGGCTAAGTCGATCCTGCTTCAACGCCTCCACCGGAGAGACAGTAAGCAAGTGCCTTGTCCTTCATGGAACTTTCTGTCTCCAGCATCGGGCTTTCACAACTCTCGCGGATCATCCGCGACTTCAAACCATGCTGGTAGCCCATTCCAACAGCAACATCATCCCACTTTGTACTCTACGGATTCCTCCGGGTATGCTCCAGAAGATTCGGATGCTCACATGGAAGTGATTCGAACCTTTCTTTTGCTTACGGTCTTTGCTTCCTGGGAAAGACATCCTGAATTATTACGCGAGATTCTATCACTTCAGAGCACGCTGGCGAGGCTCGTGAGAGAACATGGTCTCGCAGAACCACCCCCCAGCTCTGATCCGGGCAATTGGGAAGAGTGGATCCGAAGAGAAGGCAACAGACGCACAAAATTTATTGTTTATTGCTTCTTCAATCTTCATTCCATCATGTACAACATCCCACCTCTGGTTCTCAATGCCGAATTAAAGCTGAACATGCCATGTTCACACGATATCTGGAAGGCCACAAATGCGGCCCAGTGGCGACGTGCTGTTCGCACAAGGCATGGTTCAGAAGTTTCCTTCCAGGAGGCTTTTGCCAAGCTTTTCCTCAAATCCAGCATATCGAATTCTTCAGCGCCGATATCACCCCTTGGGAACTATATCCTGATACATGCCATCATTCAGCAGATTTTCTTCGCGCGCCAGCTCTGTCTTTCTGCCCCAAGTATGCACAGTACCAGCTTGCGACATGAAGACCTGTCCGTCTTGGATAACTCTCTAAGTGCCTGGAAAGCGTTGTGGAAACGCACTCCTGAATCTAGCATTGATCCTCAAAATCCGGCGGGTCCAATTGCATTCACGTCCACTGCTCTTCTTGGTCTCGCCTATATCAGGTTGCACGTGGATTTGGGACCTTGCCGTCGACTTATCACTCAAGATCCAATACAAATTGCAAGGGCTCTGGGTGATTCGCCCCCTGTAGCACGAAGCCCTCGTCTGATCATGGCCCTCCTTCATTCGGCTCATGCACTCTCAATCCCGGTACGCCTCGGGATTGACTTCGTGGCGAGGACCCATTCGTTCTTCTGGAGCATACAGCATTCGTTGTGCAGCTTGGAGTGCGCATTTCTCTTGAGCCGTTGGTTGCTAGCTATCCCGATAACCCAGGCTGAGCAAAGGCTATCAGAGCACGAAAGGAAATTGCTTCTATGGATCAAGAGTATGATGGATGAAACCGACATGGCCGTCGATCCACCAGGTGCACCCGACCTAGATTTCATAGCGAATCCCTACAAAGCGAAGCAGCTGAGCGTCGCTATTGTGCGCGTTTGGGCGAGAACATTCAAGGGAAATACAAGCTGGGCAATCGTGGATCTGGTTGGCTCCAGCTTGGATGCCTATGCTGACCTTTTGGAGACTCATTTCTAGCTATTGAGTGATAAACTGTTCACCTCATTCCACTCACTGAGAAATTCTATGTGACACTCACGGCACTTGAAATTACTGCTTTGATTTCCTACTATTGGTCAAATGCCTGAATGTGTCTGCTAAGAACCACCAGGCTTTTTTTTTTCTTTTATTGAACTTTTGGGTTGTTTGCTGTTGCTGCTGTTGCTGCTGTTGTATACCCATGTCTTCACGGATATGACTTCTTTTTATCCGGCGTATCCCGTGTATATAAATTATCTCATCTCTTCTTTCCCGGGAGAGTGCGGCCTTTTTATGCCACTACCATCCTTGACAGGCAATCCAATGAGCGCCTGTGCCCTGAAATCCAGCATCTCCCATGCTGGAAAGTGATGAGAGAGTGAAACGCCGCTAATACCAACCCTTCCACCCCAGAGTTCATTGATATTTCCCCCTTATTCTCTTCTCTTCCTCCGTTGGTCTCTTTGGACCTGGACTGCTTTTTCGGCGAATCAATGTTCAATCCGAGTTATTCAAAAGGCTCTGTGTTTTGATGGTTTTGTCTTGAAAGTAGGCAAAGCGCGCGGTTTCATAACACGTTTGCATCGTCTTGGAAATGCCACAGGCCGTACCACTAGTAGCACACTGTACTTGGCGAACCGGTGTGGTCTCTCTCTGACAAAGTTTGAGTTCATTGCCATGTGGGGATGCAAAGCTTCAAATCAGGATTTACTTCCTTTACCTTGGCTTCTCACAAAGCTGGTGGGAACAAAGCGCAGGGCGGACATGGATCTTTCGAGCTGAGCAATCTCCATTTCTTCTGGATCTTTCCGAGGGGGCAAGCTCCTTAGGGTATTTGACCCAGGGTCAGGTTGAGAGACGGAAGTCTGTCGGTTCCGCAACCGCCCCTCCCGCGGGGAAGTAGGAGCGGCCGATAAACGGCGGCGATGGGTCTGTGGTGTTCGGAGCAAAGATGTTTGCTTATCGATCCCATCATTTACAATATAGAAGTTATAGGTCTGGAACGAGCCCGTTAGAGCGGCCAAAACTCCCTCCGATAACGAACCCGCCCATCCATCAATCGTATCTGACTTACCTTGGGAAACATGTGTTTGTCTATGAGATGCATCCGCCGCTTCTGAGGTGTAGAGCACACCCGCTCGCAACCCTCGATGAAGCAGCCATACTGGGGTCCCACGAGCCGTCAGCGAGTTGTGCCACTAGGACGGACATTTTCCGAAGCAGGAGATAGAAGCATACCGTCTTCTCGCCTCTCTCCCGTCGGGTAGCAACCAGCGCATCGTGATTCTCTTCAATGTGCAAGGTCAAAAAGCGGTCGGTGGGGAAGTTCTTGTTGCACTGAGAGCATCGATTAACATGCGCCTGCATGTAGTGGACCTCGTAGTCTTCATAGGAGGCAAATGAAAGGATGTCCCGATGCGGGGGGAGGGAGCAATGCATGGCTTCGGCCTCCGGTGCGGCCGTGTCGAGAAAATGGAGCTTGGAGCGTCCCAGGGAAGGGGTGGTGGAGGATGCTGGGGATGTAGGTCTGGACGACCAAACCTCCGGGGAGGGATCGGGGGAGGGGGATCTGGAGGTGCTTCGAGAGCGTTTGGACATCTTGGGTGGTACCTATGCTGAGGTGTACTTGTCCCGGTGATAGGCCAGTGTTGGATGGCCTGCAGCGTGATAGTGGGACTGGTGGTGGTACTAAATAATGCTAGAGAATGCCGCCCATTGGGTGTCCAGTGGGATGTGAGGCGATGGATGGGCAGCTGTGCTGATGGGAATACTTGATGGATTGATTAATACTTGAGTACTTTGCTCAAGGTGTCCAAGGTAAGGAAGGAAGATACTACTGTAGTTGATATTCCTGTCCTGTCACGTATCTAGTACAGATACCGATACGGTCACGGGACTCCGGCTTGGTTCCTGAGCCGGTCCACCAGCCACAGCTCCATCGGCCAATCAGGCAGACGGCCCCAGCCACAGACCGCCCGGGCGTCCATCCCGAGCCATCCAATCCATTTTTCGGACGAGCGTCGAAAAGTTCCCGTGATATGGGATTTTCTCTCCAACGAGCGGCGGCCCGCGAACCCCTCCGTTGTTCGTCTCGCGCTTCGGCTTCGGCTTCGGAGTCCATCATCATCCTCCTCCCTTCTCCATCCTCCCTCCTCCATCCCTCATCCTCATCATCCTCCTCATCATCATCCTCCTCCTCCTCCTCCTCCTCCTCCTCCCCCCCACCCTCCTCGCGCGCCTCCCGTCGCGGGTCATCCATCCATTGACTTTCGCCCGCGAGACGCCTGACCGCTCTCGCTCTTCGCTGTCTCGCTCATTTCTGTATATAATACCTTTTACTGACTGATGGCTCATTCACTGTTCTCGTCGCCCGCAGACTCTCAGCCAGCCATAGCCATCTGACGGGCGAAGTCAACCGGTGGAGTGACGCGGGTGTAATCTTCCATTGATCCCGAGCATGGCGTCCGCGTTCCAGAATACGTGGCAGTCAGTACTCTCCACTCCCCATCCCAGCTGATGGTATCTTACCGCTCGAGAAATGTTCCCGTGTCTCTAAAATCACCTCCTACAGAACTGCGCTCGAAGTCGAAAAGGAGCTCCTCCGGAGCCTGGCCGAGAAAGAGCCGACGTTTGCCGAAATCTCCCATTATCTTACGGAGTCAGTACACCCCCTCTCCTCCTGCCCATCTGCCATCGCTTGGTTGCGCGCAATTGATCTGACTCTTCCGTCTCTGTCTTCGTCGTCGCAGGTTCCGCTCCGCGTGTCAGGATGCCATCCTCCAGGATTTCGAAACCGCCCGCTCCGTCGATGTTGAAGGTCGTCTTTGGGATGCGCACCTCAAGATCAACAATCGATTCCGAAAACTGCTTTCCCGCGTGAGTGTCGCATGGCCTGGCTTGCTTACAGGATGTCAGCCTCTAATCCGTGTGCTATACGATCTAGTTCCGCGAGGAGAATGGGAAGAAGAAGAAGCCGGTAGAGAGGCGGAAACTCGAGAAACATTATCTCGAGTACATCAAATCGAGTCAACGGTTCTATCGAGCCTATATTCAACAATTGGCCTCCCATTTCGGGGGCATCTTGGAGCTGGAAAAAGTTGCGCGGAAATTCAATTTTGACAGTGAGCAATGCCACCATCTCCCGTTACTTTACGCCGAGGGCTTCTATTGAGCAAAGTCGTGTCTGCAGACCTATCAGCGGAGCCTGCAATCCAGCCATCCGAAGCTCTCAGGAGGCGCATCCTTCAGTCATGCCATGCAACCCTTATCCGTCTCGGTGATCTCTCGCGCTACCGCGAGACCGAGCTGGTTGAGAAGAACCGTAACTGGGGCCCAGCCATCGGTTATTACGACTTAGCGACATTGATCTATCCATCCTCTGGTGCTTCCCACAACCAGTTGGCGGTCATTGCGCTGGCCGACGGCAATCACCTCAGGGCCACTTATCATCTTTATAGAGCGCTGGCGGCCCAGGAACCGCATCCCTCGGCGAGGGGAAACTTGGAAATCGAATTTAGAAAGGTTATGAACGCATGGGCCAAACGAGAGTTGATTCCTCCCGAAGATGCTGGCATTCCCGGTAGGGCATTGGCCCCCTGGTTTGTCTACCTCCATGCGCAATGCTACAGAGGGGTCGACTTCCCCGAACACGACGAGCTTGAAAGCGAGGTTCTCAATCAGCTTGCCGTGGATCTCAAAGAGCGCTCACTCGAAGGTACTTTGCAGAAGTTCTGCCTAATAAATATCGCTGCCGAGGAATTCTCCCGGACACGCACGATCGGTAAGTTTCCTGACTTTTCGAATAGCAGAGCCGTTCATTGATCCAAGCACCAGAAGAGTCCGTATCCAATGCGCGCCTCTTCTTCCAGCGGGTCAACGTGAAGACGTTTTTTACTTTGCTTCAGATTCTCCTGGCCGAAGTCGAGCGATTCGCGGTTGAGGACCCGGATAATAAGGACGCGACAACCGGTCCAGATAAAGTCACTGTCGTTGCGCGGCGTATTCTACCGGCGCTTCGCAACTACAGCTCTTGGCTTCTCACGGTTAGCAGCCTTTTAGTGGCCTACAAGGGGGAAAAGGACACGCCTCTTGCAGTCCAGATAATTGAATTCTGGAAGATATATGCAAACACCCTGACGCTCCTTGCATCCACATTCGACGTGGTACATCTTCCCGAGGTCGACTATCTGTTGGAGGAGGATGAAGAGACTCTAGGCTTTGCGCCCCTGACCACGGAATCGACTTCCCGCAGGTACTTGAGTTCAAATGGCCAGCAAAAACCTCGGATGAATGACCCGGGGGTTGAAAGGAACCATCCCAACATGGAAATGCTTTACCGGATTCGCGAATTTGTAATTGATGGACTGGACCTTGTCGTGAGCAATGTACGGAGGCCCTATGATTTTTGGTCATCTTACTTGACCCGCCTTGCTAATCATAATCCATTCTAGAAAATCCCCATCGCCTTGGTGGACGACGAAGATAAAAAGACATTCATATATAAGGAAGAAGGTCTTCCGTCGCAATTTTTCGCTAGCCCCTCGAACCACCACCATACGCTCTCCTCAGCCAGCATCGAACGGGAGGATATCCAGCAAGCGACACAGGCGCTCAATCACAACGTCGACGCCAAGAGTGTCTTTGGCGGGTCGCAATCCGCCTCAGCATCAATATCTGCCAGCATGCATCGCATCGTTGAGGGCGTAGAGCGATTGGTCGAGTCGGACACCTACGAGAACGCCCCGGCCGTACCCGAGCAACTGACGTTTCCACGAAGCAGCAGTCAACGCCCGTCTAGTCAGTTCTTCGACCCCAGCACAGAATCGATCTTCCAAGAAGAGCTCCTTCCGCGCCACACCCCTGCTGCTCCTCCTGGGCTCGCACCACCGATGGCCAGGTCTGCATCTCTGGCCCGGGCATCATCCTCCCAATCCTACACTCCACGGCCTGCGCTTCCCGGCATTCCAAGCATATGGAACACTGCTTTGTCACCGGAACTTGGAGACGCTCCCTCGCCACGAACCCCTCCCGGCCTGGGACAGCAGTATCTGACTCCTATGCTGGCTGGAGCCATCAGCAGCCCCAGTCACCACCACCCATCTCAGGATGCGATCGTCAACGAACTCATGCTCCGTCAGAATCTGATCAATCAGCAGGCCCAAATGCAGGGCAGCCTCAATGGGCCTAGCCCCATGTCCTCTCCTTGGATGCCCTCATCAAACCCTTCTTCGCATCACCGTCTCTCGGGTTTCTCGTGGGATCGAAACCTGGACGCCGCCGCAAACATCCCGGCATCTTTCGGACTGCCCAGTCAACCCATATCTAGCGGTCTAGCCAATGCCTCGTGGGCAAACGACGCCTTTATTGCCAGCAGTTTTCCCTCCGGAGCGGGTGATTACCCCAGTTCTGGGTTCAGCGGCAATCGGAGATCCGCCCCGCAGTACGGTGCCATCGGTCAAACTCCCCCATGCGGACACGGAGGTTGATTTCTTAAGAACTTATGTCTCCACCAATCAGGTTCTGTGGGAGAATGTGCGGGTTTTATCCCCCCTGTCTCTATACCTCCCAATCAAACCTTCAGGACAACGCGAGCAGGAATGGAGAAGGACAGGCCAATGCCTATATGGCTAGCCGTCATCTGTCTCCGACCTAGCATTCTATAGTTGGTTTTGTCTGTGGGACAAAAGAAAATGGCGTTCTCATGGGAAAGAGAAACAGTATCATACCAGGTTTCTTTGCCAGCTTTCTCATATAATTGCAGTTCACAAGGTCTATGCATGGTAGTGCCCAGCTCTACCGACGGGTTGGCAAGCACTCTCCATCTGTCATTCCTGCGGACAGAATAGGCTCAGACACGGCGTTCGTTCCTTGCTGTCCGGGGCCTTTTGCTATCTTTCTTCGTGTGACTGGCAGCTTGTCTTTTAGACATTCAGACCCAGGGTCAGGGTAAATATTGATTGATGGGAAAGGTTCCTCTCTGCCCAAGATATGATTCCGATGGCGATAAACATGCGAATATCCGAATGGTTGTCTGTTCGCTGAGAGTGGCATCCACCCACTCGGAAATGAGTTATGCAGTAATCTATGACGAGGCCATGGAATGACAGGTGCACGCATAAGCGTCACGAGCAAAAATCATATTTTTCTTCGAATTCTATTGATGTTGTTGTGACTTGGATGTTATTTCCTCATTGCCTCTTTTCCATTCTATTCATTCGCTCCTATGATAGGAGCCTATCAATGGTATTGCTATCTTATCATCTCGATCGATATCCTAAGATTAATAGATGATGGAAAATGAGCCAAAGAAAATGAGACATTTATTTGTTTGTATATACACACAACCGACCCGGGGAAAGGAGGAAAAGCGTCATCATTAAATCGTTGTTGAGAACGTCATCTGCGACTCCGATCCATCTCCAACCCTTCACCCCAATTCATGGGATGCGCATTCCGCGAAAAAAGAAACCGTTGGTGGAAACAAAATGGTCTAAGACGTTAAGTCAAGGACAAATTGGGTATAGAAGGTTGAAATCCTTGAAGAGAAATTTTTGGTTATAAATGCCATGGCCTCGTAATGCCAAACCGAATGTTTTGGTTTAGAGAAAGATATTAAGGAAGATGCTTATGACCGGTTAATGGGAGTGTAGGCCTGCTTGGGGAAGGGAAAACTAGATGTTTGATATCCATGTTAGTTGTCCGGACTTGTCAGGGATACAATAGTTGACTTAAAGTAGGGACTCACGAGGCGCCCAGCTCCTGGATGCTGAGGGAGGCGAGCCACTGGCCGATGTCGATGCTCTCATCCAGAGACTTGCCCTGGACAATACCAGCGCAGAACCCACCGCAGAAAGCATCACTGTACGGATCGTCAGTTTCAGGGCGTCGGCACGGGATTGCCAAGTAGATTCACTTACCCAGCACCGTTGGTGTCGTTGATGCTGCTCTTGGGGATTTCGCGCACGCTGATTTCCTTAACCTCAACTTCACCGTTGGGCTTCACGGTGGCAGCGACGGTGGGGAGGGTGCCCTGGGTGACGATGGCGACTCTGGCACGCTTGGTGTTCTTCTTGGGCAGCTGAGCCAGCTTCTTGGCGATCTCGACAACATCCTCGGTACCCCAGCTGTGGCTCTCAGCAAAAGCACGAGCCTCGGTTTCGTTACAGAAGGTGTAGTCGGTGTAAGGCAGCACACTGTCCAGCTGGTCCTTGAAGAACTGGGCGATGAAAGGGGCGGAGAGGTTGAGCATGAAGACCTGAGAAAGTTCCGGTCAGCATCCCTGCAGTGAGACCTAGGTCGCTGTCCAAACCTTGTTCTTGGCAGCAGCTTCCTCGCCGAGAGCCTGGATAGCAGGAACGCAGACGGTAAGGTGGAAGCCACCGACGTAGTAGAACTGGGCCTTCTCGACGAGGGACCAGATGTGAGGCTGCTTCAAGTGGTCAAGCTTGTACTCGTTGGCGGCAGCAAGGTGAGTGCACATGCTACGGTCGTGGCCAGTGATGATCACACCACACTTGCCGGTGGGCTGGGCATCATCGACACGGTACTCAGTGTGGACACCGGCCTTGGCACAAGCCTCCCGCAGGATATCGGCGTACTTGTCACGGCCGACACAGCCGATGTAGAGGACGGAGTTGTCGGGTAGGATGTACTAATTGGCAGGCGGGCATCACATTAACATCCATACCCGGAAGGGGAAAGGGGAGAGGCGGGGGTTCGGGCTGGGGTATGGTTATGTATGTACCTGGGCACCACGGGCGGTGTTCTGGGCAGCACCACCGGCAATCAGCTTGGCATCATGCTTCTGGAACAGCTCATCGTAGAGGCCCATGTGCTGGTCCTCGGCGAGGATGGCATCGTTGTTCTTCAGGCCATACTTCTGGAGAAGGGCGGCATCACTGGCAGTAGTTAGGGCACGTCAGTCGTGTTCCAAGAGGGTTGGTTCATTATGGACGAAGCAACGTACCCAACAGCCTGGATGTCTGTATGAAGGCAATTCGAATACTGTATGTCAGCCCAACGAACGAGCTTCGGTGGAGGGGGAGGTCTCACGCACCGAGGAGGGGGTTCTCCAAGCAGAGGAGGGGGTAACCTTGAGGAGCGGCCATTGTGATGGAATTGGAAGGAAGAATAGGAGAAGAAGAGAAGAGGGATGAGAGAGAAGAGAGGAGAGAAAAGGAGGAGGAGGAGGAGGAGGAGGAGGGAGGAAGTAGATATAAACTCGGAAGGAACGAGGGAGGAGGGAGAAGGGCAGAAATGGCCGGAAGGGAAGGAGGGGCAGCCAGAACGAGGATGGTGATTGGCTGCCGGCGAGTTACTCCGGGCCCCGGCGCGAGTTGCTGCAGCGCATCGCATCTACTTACTTACCACCACCCACAAATCTCACCGAATACTATTCCCCCTTCCCATATACCTCTGTCCATACTCCCTTCCACTATACTCTACTCACTACTTCCCCTCTCCCCTGTTACTGTCCGCCATGTCCGATCCCGCCCTCCAAATCCCCGAAGCCATCCAGACGGCCTCCGTCAACCCGGAGCCGTCCCCCGAACACGACCTCAATCCCCCAACTGCCGCCGCCTCCGAGAAGCAACCCGTCGTGGAAGAGGCCCCCTCCGAGGCGGGTAGCATTCCCTCCGATGTCGTTGATCCCCATCGAATGATCAAGCCCACTCCGCGGCGCCACAACCTCCCCCCACTGCCCGATCTCCGGTTCGAACAGAGCTATCTAGCCAGCTTGCGGGGAGCCGATACCTGGGGGCGAGTCGCTTGGATCACGATCAGAGACCAGGTGTGTATCCCCTCCCCACCCCCTATCTATCTACTATGCCTTCCTGTCGCCCGGAACTTGCCTTAGCTTGACGGGACAGCCAAAAAGAAAGTTTGCACACCTGCATCTGCACATGCACATTGCTTACACCGCGCCTCACCTCGTAGGTCCTCCTTCCTCTGATTCAAGGGACCGTCTGGACCCTGGCTCTTTCGGGTTGGCGCTTCTGGAACCGCAACGCCTCGCTCAGTGGACAGACGCTGGGGAGCAAGATACGACGCTGGTGGTACGACGTCAATAACTGGAAGCTCCCTCCTCTACGATCAACTAGGGATCCTCGACTGGCTGCGAAGGTGGAAGACGTGAGTGTTCCCGTTCGCGTCTCTTGCCCGACTTGGGCACGGTCAAGCGGACTCAGGTCATGCTGACAGACACTGACATTTCCGGAGTTTTTGCAGTTCTACACGGCGCAGTTCGCCAATGCCGGTGCGGACTAGGCTCCCGGGTCGGGATCAGGTAGGTACTGTGTATGGTTGTTAGTCGGCATTTCGGGAGTTCAGCGTACGGCGTTTCAAAATAACGAGCATTCGGGGACTTGACTTGGGCCTCCCTTCTATACACAATTCAGGCCTTTGTGGGTCCTGGAATTTCCAGGCCGCCGGCCTTTCGTTCGTTTCCACCTTGCGAAGTCTAGTAATGTGTACATAGCGCACAGCTACAGGAAGTTTGTCAATTCGAAAGCGTCAACCCAATCTGAGATCCGGGCACGTGGGAAGGGAGCCCGTTCCTTGAATAATCATACGCTATTTGAAGATAGATTCACAGCATGACCGTCCTGTTATATGGCAGTCGCGGAAAACTCCAGCCCACCTCACAAATCTAACAGTAGCGTGGTTTCCCTCAACGCTGCCCCGACAAATTGCCTCCTCCCACAAACAGAACAGAACGCCTGGGAACAGAACTCCGGATTTTGTCCTCTCATAAGTAATATCTGACAGAAGGCGCTCCCGCAAACAACTCTATCAAGGCCAGATGAATGGCCGGCCACGAGGAATGGTCTACCGATTCTGCGCATCGGCATTTGGTAGCCCGAATTGGACCGGGGGTAATTAGGGTAAGTCAGCCCCAGCGGAAACGCTGGTGGTCTTGGCCGCAGCATCGGGCAGAGTCTTTGCGTCCATGTCTGATAGGGGCTGCGTTGTCGTCGATTTCCCATTTAACTCGGGTTGTGGTTGAACCGGCATTGGTATCTCAGTGTCAGCTGCTGGTGCCAGTTTAGTCTCGCCCTTCTCTTCTCCCAGGGATTCTTCTGCAGCACCACTGGGACTGCTCGCCGCCTTGTCTTTGTTGTATCTGAGCTGCACCACAAGGCTCGGGTTTTCCCCGTTCACGAGTGACTCGTCACCACTCAACCCACCCTCATCGTCGCCCTCGAAGTCGTTGTCTTCTTCCTCTTCCTCGCCTCCTCGCCATTCATTCCCGCTGGATTGTCCGGCTTCCGATCCTTCGTCTATTCCGTCTTCCATGTTATAGTCACTATATCCGTTTGCTCGGCTGGAGCGCGTTCTAGACGGCCTAGCCTCTTCACTGAGGACGTCCTCGCGATTGCCACTAAGCAAAGTCTCGCCGTATACTCCACCCGCGCGAGAACGAATCTGCCTGCCGCTGGCTGTATATCTGGGGCCCGTCGGATCGGGTGGGGTATCCACCCCAGACGTGTTCCGGGTTGAACGTCGTGTAGAGGGAAGATCATCGGAAAAGATATCCTCGTCATCGGAGTAGGTATATTTCAATTTCTTCCCGCGAGTGCGACCTTCGTATAGAGAAAACCCCGGCTCCGGCCGAGAAAATGCTGCCTTTCGGGCAATGCGGTAATCCCGGCGTTTACGTTTCTACCACGCGTCAGCAGGGGGGGGGGAGTAGTTCAAACCCATGGCTACGACTTACTTCTTCTGAACCCTCAAAACGAGGTATTGAGTTCCTTATTTTCTCACTGAGTCTCTTTGAGTGCACGCTTTTCTCTTCGTCGAGCCTGTCCGCAACAGCCTTCAATTCAGGAATGCTTCCCGCCACACTCCACCAACTAACATTTTTGAGGGAAGGATTGCTCTCGCGATATAGTCTGAAATGTGTATCGTCTAGACCCTCGATGAGCCAGTATCTGCGCTTGAGGCCATCGCGGCCCCAAGATTGAACGGAGAGAGGTTGGTTCAAGTCGTCTTCGTGGCGGGATTGTTTGTAAGATTCTTTGAGTTTAGCTTGGACGGCGTCGGACGAGGAGAGGCACCATAGAATCAGCGACTTCAGTAATTGCAACTATAGGGCATCAGCGACGAGTTGGTGTAAAGCGCGATTTCGCCTCGCATAACGTACGCGTTCTTCTGGAGACATTGTTGCGAAGGTGCGGCCACCATGTAGAGGGTTCTTGCCTTGCCAAGCCTTGGGCCATTGGGAAGCATGAGTTTGGATCGCCTCTTCCAGGGGACGTTGGTAGTGACTTCGGCTGCGCATTGACCAGAAATAGTTAGCATCCAACGGGCATTCACTCGTCGCAGCTTGTACGTTGGACAGGGGCGCTCTCCAAACAGCGCAGGGTCTAGGGTATAGGTGGCGGGCATACTCCACATCCTTCTTCCTGTTCAACACCAACCCCAGAAATGCACACAGCAGCCTCTCGATATGATCCCCCAGCGGCATCTCCGCGACGCCTCTCTCGATATCCTGTGGCCCGAAGTGTGGTGTCGACCGCGGGAACACTTCGTGGAAACGCGCACGGAACATTACAATGAACTTCGGATTGCGACAAGTCAGCGAACATGGCCAGGAGCGCGACAAACGCGTCAAACGAGTACCAAGGACCCATCATGAGCATAGGATTCCCGGGGCACATACTGCAACGTCCGCATTGTCTGCCAGCACATATTCGTGGGGTGGTGAGGGCTCCCGCTTCGGCGGCGGAGATTCAGACTCCTTCTTGAAGTACTTGGTGATGCCCACGGGCTCATCGATGGCCATGGAGCCCGTTTCTTCGTCGGACGGGGGCGCCGACGAGAGCGACGAGAGCTCCGAGTCTGAAAGGGACATGTTGGACATGTTCGCGTTGTGATCCGCAGGTGGTTGTGTTGAGGCAAGGCAAAGCGGGCGAGTCCGCGGCGCAGAAGTTCTACTTTACGCTACTGTTACCTAGGTTGGAGCGCGGCTTTTACGCGCCTGGCCTGTCTGGCATCGTCGAGAGCAGCCCTCATCCAGGTATGATCAGCACCCAACCATGACATTACTTTTCACTATCGCCATTGGACTTCATCCATGCGGTCATACGCTCCCAGGAACGCCATACACTCAGAACACTTGGTCGAAAGAGGCCACCTTAGGTGCCAACGAGCATTATAACGCGATTTCCTTGTCTAGTAACTAGGTGGATGCGGCCCATCCGTCAATCTGCGCTCCGGGCGAACAAAATGCGATGGGTCACCAAGTAGTCCAGGGGAATTGAGCAATATATAGAGATGCCATTACTATATCCAAAAAGAACAAAAGCGACGGGTTTGTTTGGAAGGGTCCAGCGATGCTGAACATCGGGAGAGGGGCGGGCAGCGCATGCTGCAAATTGACCCCGACGAGGAGCATTCATCTGCCCGGTTCCAGTTCCTCGGCCATAGCAAGTCCCGGGGATGACCTGTAATAATCACCAGGTGTTGACTGACTGTCTCGTTCGACGCGTCCAGCCCTCTCTCCCGGTACGGCGAACTCTCGGAGCATTTGGGTGACTCTGAGAGGCGGCCCGACCTCTCGAGGCCACATGTCACCCAACACGCATCCTCAAGGGTCGTGGGAAGACCAGGGCCCTTCACGGTTGATGGGGATGGGGATCCCATGTTGGTCGGAACGGCCAACATGGTCCTTTGCGTTAGTCATTCGATTTACGGAGTACGTGAGTGAGGGGGAAACATCCCGCGGGTCGGCAAAACAGTGCGACACTTGTACTACCAGAACAGGTCAGCCTCGGACGATGAATGATGGCGGTGATGCCAGTTAAGAGGCCCAACTACTCGACACTCAGGGCCCCTGAGACATCACAGTGCATCTATCCAGTATCCAGCTAGCCAGGCGGCTAGCTGGCTGGCTGGCGGGTTCGAGGAAAGGGAGGCGGCCAGAATGAATTGGCCCGTGAGGGAGAGGTCGAGGATCAATCCGACTTCCAGAGACATGATTCTGGCGGGTCACCAAGGCTGGACGGTGTACCTCACATTCTACGGAGTACATCGGCATCCTCCACTACGGCGGACTAGGTTAGCCGACTCCGTAGCCGCTACCAGCCTTACTAAGTTGGGACCTCAGGCAGCGAGGCGACCCTACTTAGTCAGAACGACCCGCGCCACGCTCCAACCGCAACCGCGCTGGCCGAAAGACGCTAGTCCCGGCGCGGTTAGATTAGCGACTTCCACCCTAAAGCCCACACAGCCCTTCGCGACGAATTCTCAACACCAACCCGACAAGCCCATCTTAGATTTTGAGGTACGAGAACTCGAACTCTCCCACCACCAGGTCGCCAGGCGGATCTTTCTTCAATACTAACGTCCAGGTCTCTATCTAGACAGTCGCCATGGGTCGTGTGATCCGCAACCAGAGGAAGGGTCGTGGATCCATTTTCAGTGAGTGCGACCGCAGAATATCCTGCTCGAAAATATGAAGCCCTTCCCCGAAGAGCAAAATTTGCTGATGCACAACCTCGCCTGTAGCGGCCAACACCCGTCTCAACAAGGCCCCTGCCCAGTTCCGTACCCTCGACTATGCCGAGCGTCATGGATACACTCGTGGTGTCGTGAAGGAGATCATCCACGACCCCGGCCGTGGTGCTCCCCTCGCCAAGGTCCAGTTCCGTCACCCCTACAAGTTCAAGCACATCACGGAGACCTTCATCGCCAACGAGGGCATGTACACCGGTCAATTCATCTACGCCGGAAAGAACGCCGCTCTGACTGTCGGCAACGTCCTTCCTCTCGCCTCCGTCCCTGAGGGTACCGTCGTTACCAACGTCGAGGAGAAGTCTGGCGACCGTGGTGCGCTTGGTCGTACCTCCGGTAACTACGTTACCGTCATCGGCCACAACCCCGAGGAGGGCAAGACCCGTGTCAAGCTCCCCTCCGGTGCCAAGAAGGTTGTCAAGAACACCTCCCGTGGTATGATCGGTATCGTCGCCGGTGGTGGTCGTACCGACAAGCCTCTGCTCAGTATGTCTCCTGAAATGTGGCCCCAGTGGATTCTGCCATGGGGAAACTATGCGTGAAGATTTGGCTTGCTAATACTTCTCTACAGAGGCTTCTCGTGCCAAGCACAAGTTCGCTGTCAAGCGCAACTCCTGGCCCAAGACTCGTGGTGTTGCCATGAACCCCGTGGATCACGTAAGGCTTCCTCCACAACTACCATTTGCAGAAGCAAATCCTGACATCCTTTCTCTCTACAGCCTCACGGTGGTGGTAACCACCAGCACATTGGTAAGGCTTCGACCATCTCCCGCTACGCTGCCCAGGGTCAAAAAGCCGGTCTTATCGCTGCCCGGAGAACTGGTCTGCTCCGTGGTACCCAGAAGACCAAGGACTAAGCGTGATATTGTGTGGAGTTTTCTTTGTGACGGGTTGAAAATGCTCTTTTGCTATGAGGCATATGTACTTAGGCGATTGCGGATAATCTCCCACACGTCCTTAGCCAATCTAGGTCGTGGCCACCAAATTATTTCATGATGACCAAAGCAAAAGAAATGGGTTCAAAAATTCAAATCCGCGTGCACTTTGTTCATGATAAAACTCCAGCCTGCCCAGTGGTCTAGTGGTCAAACAGAGCAAGGCTTAGGTACCTCGTCTTCGTGTTCACCGTCTACGTGTGCTCGATAAAGTAGTGGAAGGTCCTCCGTACATCCGTTCCCAACCTTTCTACTCCGTTGTTACCTACGACCCACATGCACCCTTTCTTCTACCTACCTTGCCACCAGCGCCGTACAAGTAGCCTTGTTCTACACCTATAGATATTCTTCTTAGGGGTACTCCGTACGGGGTACTGCCGGAAAATGCAAGCGACACAATTACTAAGTCTTCACTGGCAATAACAATTACTTTGTTGGGAGGTAACAGAATATTGGATGTTGGCCTCGGGAAATACTTATATATTCAAGTCCTTTCCTGCTGATTATTTCCCAACGAAGCAGTGGTACAAAAGGCCCGGGGGGCTTGGACACCACAATATGGAATACCATATCATTAGTACCTGGGTACTAAAAGTTCTATCACCACGAGCAAGTACGATGGCATTGCGGTAGCAAGGAATGCAGTTGCAGCCGGGATGCGAAACTTTGCTCTCAAAGTGACCAATCATACGGAGTATATGTGGATAACGTCTACGGCGGCCTCTTGTAGCAATGGAACTGAGAGCACAGAGAACAAACAACCACCCAAGAAAGCAAATGAAACTATCCACGTCTTGATCCATCAACCTTCATCAAATCATTGCATCTCACAACCCCAGGGGTCAGAATGGTTCAGAACCCCTCGCCTCAGGCGCTTCCTCGTCTACCCCAGTCCCCCACATGCGCCACCGCGCGCTGGCAAGCGGTTGTCAGTCGAGATCCAACAGCCCACACCTTCGTCTACGCCGTCCTTACCACCAGGATATACTGCCGTCCCTCCTGCCCAGCCCGGCTCGCAAGACAAGCCAACGTCCGCTTCTACGATACCCCGTCACAGGCCGAACGCGCAGGTTTCCGGCCTTGTAAACGCTGCAAGCCTGATTCCCCTGGAGCGATTAATCCTCAGACGCAATTGGTACGGCAGGCATGTCAGGCTATCCGATCGATCGTACAGGCCGGATCAAAACCAACGCTACAAGATCTTGCAGCAGAGGCCGGCCTCACACCCAGTCATTTCCATCGCGTGTTCAAGAAGGTTATGGGCGTGACGCCCGGGGGGTTTGTGGCTGAGGTGTTGAGAGGGGGTGCAGTCGCCGAGGCGTTGTCGGATGGACACACCTGGCCTGAAAAGGGGAGAAATCCTACGGCGGTGTTACAGCCGTGCGTTGCAGATACCAATGGGGATGCTGACTCGGGCGGGCTGGAGAACAATGGGGTCGATGGTGCTGATGGGGCCGTGCTGTGGAATGAGTTCGACGCCATGATAGCCGCCGAGGCTGGGTTCGTTTCCATGCAGGATGTACAGCCATTGGATGAACTGGTTGCTTGGCATGGTGTAGGCTATTCCAATGTGGCTATTGATGAAACTTCACCACCAGATATCTGTTAGGCAGGAATACCTCTTGAAAGCACCCATGGAGTGAACGCAATTAAAACAGCTTTTCTTGAGATGAGGGTCTGCTTCAGACCGCGCTTGACTGTCGCGTGATGTGCATGCACAGCCTTCATAGGACCGCGTACACAGTACGGAGTAGTAGTTGCGAATGTCTTGGTGACTGAGTGTCGGGACTTACGTACTCACCACTCAGGGGGTGGGTGGGTGGGTGGACAGAAGCATCACTGCTGATGATGGTGGGATGGTCAGCGGAAATAATGCTGAGTATATATTTTCCCGCCCCGGGTCGGGTCCACATCCCTCAGTCTAGGGGTCTTCCCTCCATCATTTTCAAACACAAGTTGCGATCCTTGCCTGTTTGACCATGGCCCTCGCACCCGATGACTGTTTCAGATCAAAGATAGGCAGGTAGTTGTCATGGATCGATCTCGCCGGCAGGAATGAACTACTACCATGTATATCTACCTGGTTGTTACTTTGATGCCCCGATAAGATGCGAAGATACTTACAGTCAGCCGATATATCTGTTGCGGACAGCCGGAACCGAATGCTGACATGGTAATGCTGTCCGCGATCATGAAGGGGTTTCCCCCGACGCAGAGAAGTTCATTGTAGCCAATAGATTTCCGATGTATCTATCAGTCGGGTCTTGCATCATGATGGGTCTGGGGGATTTCAATGGACATGGGCCATGGAGAAGGATGTTCCGCGGTTACAACACCTATCTATTCCCCCCCACCCCTCCCTAATTCATGTCTTTCTGAGCCCCGACTTTCTTGTTTCCACCCCGGACAGCGTAGCTTCAAATCCCGGAAAGTTACAATCCTACTACTAGATGTATGTGGTATACTGATGATCATGCGGTGATTTCATCCCTAACCAGGACCATGCAATTGTGTATCCAAACCTCCGTACTCCGTAGACCAGTAGTGATACATATCCCCCCAGTGTGATACTAACTCACGGAACTACTCGTAGGTAGAGCCTCTCTGTTTTAGCTGATTATACTCCGTATGTATGTATGTATGAATCGAATAACAGCTTTTTTTTTTTTTTTTTTGAAAGAGCACTATTGAACTGGAACCAATTGCACCAGTTATGCCCAGCCAGTTATTCTGTAAATAGAACGGGGTGGTTGCCAGTGTGGTGGCAAAGACCTTTCCAGTTTCCAGTTTCCAGTTTCCAATGGAGATCCACGTTTGAGACCGCAGGCGACTCGGGGGGAGGGGCGCGAGTCGCCAGTCGCCAATCACGGCTATCTACTGGCCGGCGGCGGTGCCCCCCACCTGAGCGGCCCACAAACGCGTGTCACTTCCGGCAGTCCAGAATCTCCTCCGGTCTCTGAGCCTATGACATGGGCGCTTCCGCCTTGGGGGGTTCAGGTCGAGATCCGGCCAACTTTACTTATCATCTCTTCTATACCTCTATTCCGTCCGGTGCTCCGTAACGAAGTCCGTATCTCGAGGTATCATATTACTACCACACAAGGTACCTAGTAGGTACCTAAGGTAGGTAGTAGTACGGAATAGATACGACTAAGTAGGTAAGCAAGGTCTCTTCGTGGGTTGAGCTAGTGAGTCTCCTGGTTGGTTTCAGGTACACCTCATCCCAATTGAATGGCGGTTCTGGCCCCGCCTCCGTTTGTATCATGCTCCATCAGGAGTTTATTTTCTCCCAGGGTTCAAGACAAGAACAACACGAGTCCTGGTAGATACTTTGTACTTTGTAAGGCCAGACGATTGAGGTACTCGAATGGCACCGATCTACTACTACGGATTAGATACTAGTACTATGTAATATGTAAGTAGTACTAGTCGGTATATACCTTCAATAAATAGCACTGTTCATGTACCTAGGTAGGAGGTACGATCCTGTAACGCCGTTTCTGGAAGAATTGCCGTCGTACCTCCAGCACTCCGTATCTCCTGGTGGGGAATCTGCTGGTCAAGCTTGCAAAAGAGGCAATGTGGCGCTTTCCGTGCGACGCTTGCGATTGGCAAAAGGGCTTGATGGTTGCTGTCTGTCATTCCTCAATCCTCTTCCAATCGATAAACAACTGTGGTGCTCGCAATAACTAAGTTAACAGCCCCGGATTTACTAATAATACTATTACCATCGTTCGAATAATATTACTAGTCCTAATCCCACGTCCACTAATTTCCCCTGTCACCCTTTTCGGACTTCCCTTTAAGACCCAGCCCCCCCCCCCCCTCCCCCCGTCGCTCGCCCGTCGCAAATTGAATTTCCCTCCTCCCACTTAGGCATCGACCTACTTGTCTTCTAGCCCTTTCTCTTTCTATCATTCGTTCCCAACCTCGCCTCCTGGCTGTGGCGTGCTCTTTGGGTCTGTTCACTGCTGCGTCCTTTGCTCGCATAGCGCCTCTTTCGTTCGATCCTCTATCGGACAACTTTTGATCCGCTGTCATAATCGAGGCGGATTGGTAGTCCCGCAGCATTCCTGGTGCCCAGTACTGGACACATTTGAACAACCCACCACCATTCGTTCGCAGTTCTATTTGTTCCTCATTCGCTACAACAGCCAGTCAACATGAACGTCAACCGCAAATTCGATCGTTTTAAGCAATGGGCGGGGGAAAGAATGGGAGGCGAAGTCAAAACCAATCTCTCCGATGACTTCAAAGCCATGGAGACGGAGATGAATGTCCGGCACGAGGGTGAGCATTTCACGACACCAAACGGGGCTGGGCTCCACCCAAAACTGGTCGGTTACTGACACACGTGCTCTCCTTTAGGAGTTGATCGCATCCACAAGGCAACGGCCTCCTACATCAAGTCCGTGTCGAAGCGTAGCGAAGGCGACGACAAAGAAAAGACCCTCCCTATCGCTCACATGGGCAGCAGTATGGTTAGCCATGGAGAGGACTTCGATGCGAACTCTGAGTATGGCCGCTGCATGACCAGTAAGCCATTCTAACCGCGCGGTGACAGTCCCGATGCTGATGATGTTCGCACAGTGCTTGGAAGGGCCGAGGAGCGTCTTGCTCGTCTGCAAGAGGCCTACATTTCGCAAGTGAATGCGGGATGGCTTGAATCGCTGGAACATTCCTTGACTCAGATGAAAGAATACCAGGTACGACTGATCGATGCGCGCCAATGAAGTGGCATGGGGCACTAACCGACTCCCACAGTTCGCTCGGAAGAAGCTGGATAGCCGACGGTTGGCCTACGATACTTCGCTCTCCAAAATGGAGAAAGCGAAAAGAGAGGACTTCCGGGTGGAGGAAGAGCTCCGGACCCAGAAGGTCAAGTACGAGGAGGCCAATGATGATGTGCATCGGCGGATGCAGGATATCAAGGAATCCGAAGTCGAAGGTGTCATGAATCTGGAAGCCTTCATGGAGTCTCAACTGGACTACCATGAACGGTGCAGGGAAGTGCTTCTCCAACTCAGAAATGAGTGGCCTAGCAGGTACGCGTCATATAGGTACTATGCCCACTTTACAACAATGCTGATCCAGTAGTAGGCAATCTCTCGCCCAGACCCCGGGTTCCCGTCGGCCGGGACGTCCTCGCTCAAACACCGCACATTCTTACCACGAACGCTACGAGCCACTGCACGAGGAGGAGGTTGCCAACGAGGCAGACCTGCGACCCATCATTCGTTCGACCAGGGCTGCTTCAATCGAGCCGACCGCGAGGGAGGTCTACCCCCCGGATGCGTTCTCCCAAAGACCTGTCCTGAATCGGACCACAACGTTCGAGGGTCCTACGCAGTTACGCCAGGAACAATCCTCCAGCCCGTACCAATGGCCGTCCCGAGCAGCCAGCGAGAACTTTGTTGGTCGCAGAAACAGTGTTGTGCAAGCTCGGTCCCTGGGCAGGTCGTACGGGGACTCGTACATGGAACAGTCCGAAGATGGCGGATCGTACAGTACTAGCCCCGAGCGGTCTTATAGGGGACGGACGGAGTCCCCAGGTCCGTCGTATGGAAGTGTTTCGAGGAAATCCAGTTCAACAACGCTGAACGGCTCGTCACTGTACAAGAAGGCTCCTCCGCCCCCGCCTCCCCGCTCGAAGAAGCCCGCTCCCCCACCGCCACCGATGAAGAGACCCATTCTCAGTGGAGGTGATATGTAGGGGCCTCTTGTTTCGAAAGCGCTGGAGCGTGGTGGTGGTGGTGGTGGTGGTGGTGGTGGTGGTGGTGTACATCTCAACCGTTCCGGATGGCCTTCTCCGCGGGTTTCTGGAAAACCCGTTCATAGGTGGCAGTATTCATCCTGCTGGCGAGCGTTGAATACGGGTCGCTCGCTGACTGTACTGTATTGGCATGGCCAACTGACCACCTTAGTACTTAGTAGCTAGAATGTTCTGATAGTGTAATTTTGTGCGGGAGTTGTTGTTGTATACCTAACATAATTTACTCTACTATCTGAGGTCCGTCGTATTAGTGGTGTGGGTATACTGACCGTACGGGACGCCGCAGTACTGCGTACTGTAGTAGTACGGAGTACTCCTGGTCACGTCCCCCAGGCGGCTAGCCCCGAAGCGGCCATCCCGGACGCGGGCAGACCTGAGTCAGCAGCCAGCACCCACGTGACACGGCACGAAATCTTCTTCCAACGTCTCGCCGCCTGCCTCTCCCTCGTTACAGGCACAGGCTGAGCACCGCCAGTTTCCCCGACCAGCACGGAAAGTCGCGAAAGCCCCGTCCCCTCCATCTCCATTTCATCCAGACTGGCCTTCCACGCGCCCTTCTCACCGCGGCCCCTCCACCTGGGGTCCTTTCCACCCTTAACTCTTCGCGTTATCCCCCCCCCTTCCCCCCTTCTATTCGATTCTCCTGTTTGTCGCCTACCGCCCTGCCTCCCCCCCCCCCCGAGACCCGGTCCAAACATCACGAAGCCTGTCGCCAAGGTCCAGATACAGGCCGCTACCAGTCGCATCCATCGACAAAAGGAGCTTTCAGTCTCTCCACATCACTTAACTCGCGCACATCGTCGCCTTCCCCGCGCAAGCTGTCAATTTACTATCACTGCCCTCAATCCACTCGTGTTTCTTCCCCAAAGCGCTTAGTCGTGTCCTGTCGCATCCAGGCCGCCCTCACGTCGCCCTCCAACGTGTCGTTTCGCTTATGAATACACCCACCACGCGCTAGAGCATGGCTTCTCTCCAGTCCGCACCCAATATGGTGGCTGGAAATATGGCCTTGCCGCCGAATATCACCCAGCAACATATTCAAGAGGTCTTTCAGGTACGTTGCTCTTGCCTTGTTGGACGCGAGCCCTTGATCCTTTCCTCCTTTTTCATTCTCAATTGCTCGTCATGCAATAGCCTGGCCTAACATGGCGACAGAAATTCAAGCAGATGCAAGAACAGGGTGTGCGCCATGACGACCCCGAGTACCTCAAAGCCCACAACCTCCTGGCCGCGGTCCAACGGCAGCAAGTCTTTCACAAGCAAAGGCAGTTCGCTCAGCAGCAGCTTCAGGCACAGCAGCGCCAGCAGCAGCTGAATGGCGCGCCTCCGGATGCTGCCGCTGCCAACGGCATGAATGGTATGACTGTCATACCACTTTCAATGATGCATGTTTGGGTTCATCGCTAACTGACCTTGACAATTGTAGGCCGCAGCAATTCTATTGCCAACGCGACCAATGCCGTACCGGACGTCGCCTCAACGGGTAGCCAACAATCTTTGGGCCAGGCGCCATCCCAAAAGGGCGCACCAGCCCCCAGCGGTAGTTTTTCCGCCGAGCAGCTTGCGACGCTCAGGAATCAGATCCTGGCGTTCAAAATGCTGTCAAAAAATCTTCCCATACCGGCTCGCGTTCAACAACAACTCTTCCCTTCAAAGAAACCCCAGACTCCTGCTCCCCCGAAACTGTCGCGGCGGCAGAGGGCATCCTTGAAGGTGGTGCTCAGGGCAAGCAGCCAGAACGCCCAGCAAGTGCAGCAGAGGAGACTCAGCCCAAAGATTTCTACCAGAAATTCCAGTCACCGTACGATTCGATATCTAAGACTGTCAGCTTTACGGACCATGCCTCTCGGGCCAATCGCATGCGTATTCCCGCCTTGATGCCACCTGGAATTGATCTCGACCAGGTGCGCGAAGAGAGGGAGCTGGTACTTTATAATAAGATTACTGCGCGAAAGGCGGAACTGGCCGAGCTTCCTGCCAATATTGGCGCATGGGATTCTAGCCAGAGTGATACCGCCACTGCTGATGAGTCTCTCAAACTGAAGGCCCTCATTGAGTACAAAATGCTTAATCTCCTGCCAAAGCAAAGGCTCTTCCGAAAGCAGATTCAAAATGAGATGTTCCACTTCGATAACCTGGGCATGACTGCGAACCGTTCCAGCCATCGTCGCATGAAGAAGCAGTCACTAAGAGAGGCCAGGATTACGGAGAAACTAGAAAAGCAACAGCGGGATGCTCGCGAATCAAGAGAAAAGCGCAAGCAATTTGATCATCTTCAAGCTATTCTCAATCACGGTGTTGAGCTCCAAAACGCAGCCAACTCACAGCGCACGCGCATGCAGAAGCTGGGTCGCATGATGCTTCAGCACCATCAGCATATGGAGCGCGAAGAGCAAAGGCGTGTTGAGCGGACTGCCAAGCAACGTCTCCAGGCGTTGAAAGCCAACGACGAAGAAACGTATCTTAAACTGCTTGGACAGGCCAAAGATTCCCGTATCTCTCACCTTCTCAACCAGACTGATAACTTCCTCAAGCAGCTTGCTGCCTCCGTTCGGGAGCAACAGCGCAGTTTGGCCGAACGCTATGGCGAGGAAGACCAGTTCTTTGAAGAAGAGGAAGAAGATCCGCTTGTCTCGGGAAGCGAAGATGAAGGAGATGGAAAAAAGAAGATCGATTACTATGCTGTTGCTCATCGCATCAAAGAGGAGGTTACTCAACAGTCCAGTCTTCTTGTTGGAGGTACGCTCAAGGAGTACCAGATCAAGGGTCTACAGTGGATGATTTCGCTTTACAACAACAATCTCAATGGTATCTTGGCAGATGAGATGGGTCTCGGAAAGACTATCCAGACTATCAGTCTGATCACCTACATCATCGAGAAGAAGAAGAACAACGGCCCCTTCCTCGTCATTGTTCCTTTGAGTACCCTCACAAATTGGAACTTGGAATTCGAGAAGTGGGCGCCGTCTGTCTCGCGAGTTGTCTACAAGGGTCCTCCCAACGCTCGTAAACAGCAGCAGCAACAAATCCGCTGGGGAAATTTCCAGGTTCTGTTGACAACTTATGAGTACATCATCAAGGACCGACCAATCCTGAGCAAGATCAAGTGGACCCATATGATTGTCGACGAAGGTCATCGTATGAAGAACACTCAGTCCAAACTGAGTAGTACCTTGTCACAGTACTATGTCAGCCGTTATCGTCTCATTTTGACCGGCACTCCTCTTCAAAACAACCTTCCTGAGCTTTGGGCTCTGCTGAATTTCGTGTTGCCCAATATCTTCAAGTCCGTGAAGTCGTTCGATGAGTGGTTCAACACGCCGTTTGCCAACACAGGTGGGCAAGACCGTATGGAACTGAGCGAAGAAGAACAGTTGCTGGTTATTCGTCGCCTGCACAAGGTTCTGCGACCTTTCTTGCTGAGACGTCTGAAGAAGGATGTCGAGAAAGACCTCCCCGACAAACAAGAAAGGGTCATCAAATGTCGTTTCTCTGCCTTGCAAGCTAAGCTTTATAGACAACTTGTCACTCACAACAAAATGGCTGTCAGCGATGGCAAGGGCGGCAAGACTGGCATGCGTGGCCTGAGTAATATGTTGATGCAACTGAGGAAACTTTGCAACCATCCTTTCGTTTTCGAGCCTGTGGAAGACCAGATGAACCCAGGACGGGGGACCAATGACCTGCTATGGCGTACCGCCGGTAAATTCGAACTTTTGGATAGGATTTTACCGAAGTTTCGCGCCACTGGTCACCGCGTTCTGATGTTCTTTCAAATGACTCAGATCATGAATATCATGGAAGATTTCTTGCGTCTACGTGGACTGAAGTATCTCCGTCTTGATGGTTCTACCAAGTCCGATGACCGTTCCGATCTGTTGAAAATGTTCAACGCCGAGAACTCGGACTATTTTTGCTTCTTGCTTTCCACACGAGCGGGTGGTCTGGGTCTTAACCTGCAGTCTGCGGATACTGTTATCATTTTCGACTCGGACTGGAATCCCCATCAGGATCTGCAGGCCCAGGATCGTGCGCATCGTATTGGTCAGAAGAATGAGGTCCGTATCTTGCGTCTGATCAGTTCCAACTCTGTTGAGGAGAAGATCCTGGAACGTGCGCAATTTAAGCTTGACATGGATGGCAAGGTCATCCAAGCCGGTAAATTCGATAACAAATCCACTAATGAAGAACGAGACGCACTGCTGCGGACGCTCCTCGAAACTGCCGAGGCCGCTGATCAGATTGGTGGTGACCAAGAAGAGATGGATGATGATGATTTGAACGATATCATGGCACGGTCTGACGAAGAGTTGATTGCCTTCCAACGCATTGACAAAGAGCGACTGAAGACCGTCCCATATGGACCTGGTCACAAATACCCTCGTCTGATGTGTGAGGAAGAGCTACCGGATATTTACCTTACCGAGGATAACCCGGTCACAGAAGAGGTTGAAGTTGAGTATGCTGGCCGTGGAGCCCGTGAGCGCAAGATCACCCGGTATGATGACGGCCTTACCGAAGAGCAATGGCTTATGGCCGTGGATGCGGAAGATGACACGATCGAAGAAGCAATCGCTCGGAAAGAGGCGAGGGTCGAGCGCCGTCGGGTGAATAAGGAAAAGCGTGGCCGGAAGGGCGACTCTTCACCGGAGCCTTCTCGCGAAAGCTCGGAGACACCTCAGCCGAAGAAGCGTCGCAGAGGTCCTGCCCCCAAGCGCAAGGCCGAGGAGGTCGTGGAGGAAACCCCCCAGCCGAAGCGTAAAAGGGGAAGACAAGCCAAGCCGGTGGAGACCCTGAGCTCTGAGGATCGCGTGATTCTTCAACGGATTGTCAACAATACGTACCAGGCCTTGATGGATATGGAGCAGGAGCTGCCGGCCGACTCATCAGACAGCGAAGATGGACCCGTCACACGATCCATCATCGAACCTTTCATGAAGCCGCCGCCCAAGTCGCAGTATCCCGACTATTACATGATCATCCACAACCCAATTGCCATGGACATGATCAAGAAGAAGATCAACCGCGAGGAGTACCAGAACTTGAGGGACTTCAGAAACGATATCCACCTCCTCTGCCAGAATGCCCGGACCTACAATGAAGACGGCAGCATCCTGTTCCAGGACGCAAACGATATCGAGGTGAGTCGACATACCCGAGGAGATGGAAGTAGCTTGTTTGGATTGTTGCTGACACCGCATAGGCAAAATGCCTGGCTGAGCTGAAGAAGGAGACGGAGGATCACCCGCAGTTTGCCAACTACGACGATCTGGGGGCATCGACCGGGAACGACCAGTCGACTGCTGCGGCTTCCGGGGCCGACACCCCTGCCGTCGCCACGCCCAAGTTGAAGCTCACCTTCAACAGCGGCAACCGGGACAGCGCTGCCGCCGCCGGAGCGGGCGATGGCGTGAACGTGAACGAGAACGAGTGACCTTGCTAATAGACTTTGGTGAAGACATGGTGGATGCGGTTTTGACACGGTTCACGCTAAAACTTCGATTAGCTGCACATTACATTCTATGCTGTTTTGATCTCTTCTTGATATGCCCCGTGGATGGCGTTAGGTGACTGATTTGGGTGGCGGGGGACGGCTGGCTGATGGCTGATGGCGCAATGCTCTATTCGATTTGAAGACGAGCGATTCTACTTCTACCTTACTCCTTCGATTTTTTTATTATTATTATTATTACACAAGCTCCCCCCCCCCTTTTTTACCTTAACTGCCCACGATGTCGGGACCGGGCTGGCCGTTTTCTCTTTTCGACGTCTACTGCGTGCTACCTGACTGAGACTCAGGGCCTGGGAGTGGGGATCCAGGAGGCGTGCGAGCTAGGAGATTCCCCTTTGTTTTTCTTGAAGAGGAAGTAGAAGAGGACCTTGGTTGTATTTGGATCTCTCCCCCCCCCAGTTTGTGATTTAGCGATGGTAAATGTAGCCCTAAGTAATGTACCATGCCTTTGATATTGAATTGTGCTGGAGCAAGATAATGGATGCAGAGATGAAAGAAACTCCTCAAGGACAGATCATACACCGTAGTCAGTAAGCAGAAGGTATCTAGTTAGGTACCGCGCAAGTGATTAAGCCGAGTCGAGGGACAATGCCAGGTTTCTTTCTGCTTTGCATCGTTATCGGAGAGCATTTGTCCAGCCGGTCGCACGAAACTCCCGGACTTCGGCTAGGGAGCGCGTGGCCGGTTAGTTGATTCTACGGCGAAAGGACTTTTGTCCTATTCTATCGTAATGGAACAGAAGAAACAGAGTAATCATATTATAAGTCGATGATATAGGCTAAATCAAGTGGTACATCAGCCGATGTCTCGTCTCAGGTACTCCTGCGTACACCGCATTTCCGGCCAGAGCTTGTGCTGTGCTGTGCCCTGCCCTATCTAGACACCTAGGCCTAGACTGGGGATTGTTATGTGGACTACTGTTAGGGCCTACTACTAGATAGTCTTAGCTGTAAAAACAGACATGTGGAGTACACCGTACAGCAGTAGATAACCAACCCAAAATACTTGGTCTTCCACGGAGTTCGGTCACGAACCAACCGGCCAGAGAAAAAGGCGCAGATCTGTTACGTATCCTTCCGGCCCGGAAGGAGTTGATCGATGTGGAATCCCGTCCCGAGTTGGTAGTGCTATGTATAGAAGGAAGGTTCGTCTACGGAGTAGCCGCATATCTACTACTTACTTATTCGGGGGGAGGGGGTTGGTGCGGGTATTATTGGCTGCAGATACAGATAGATTCATGTTTGAAGCTGAAGGGGGCTGGGATTCCAGATTCCTAGGATCGTCCGTCTCCTGCAGCGCGCAGGGATTGGAGAAAAAGCTCGATTCTGAATATTTCCCCATCCTTCCAGCCCTGCTGAGTCTGACCAAACTGTCTCGGACAGTAGTAACATAATACTTAGCTCATACATACTTACATACACCGCCGCATCGAACTGTCTGGAATTGAAATGCCTGACTAACTCCGGAGGAGTAGGTACTATGTGAGGATATCGGCATATCGGCAGGTAGAAAGTTTCACGATGATGACTGTCCGAATCATGATCCCATCGACGTCATGCGGCAAAAGAAGGCTCAGAAGCAGTCCCAGTAGTACTTAAGTATAGCAGCCAAAAAGCCGCGCCCGCCCGCGACGTCATGACCCGTCACGTGACCCGCACGCACCGTCATCCCGGCCTACCGTAGGGAAGGGAAAGGTTCCGTAACCGCCAGCTCGTCCTTTCGAATCTCACCTTCTTTCCTCCGCCTGATAACGACCCCCCGTTCTCTGTCTTTTCCTCCTTTCCTCCTTCCCTCCTGCTCACACCTCCCCATCGCAGCTCATCAGCACAGCATCTTCCATCTTCAAAATGGCCTCTTTCCAGGATCGTGCTCAGCACGCCATTGCCCAGCTTGACAAGGAGGTGAGTCGTGTGTGCGTTTTTGCCTCGCAGTTCGGTCGGGGCCAGCCAGCGTTGTCAAATTGGACTCGACTGCCTGGCCTCTTCCTTTCTCTTCCCCCCCCAAATCCCACCCCTTGTGTACCGTGTACTATGGTCAATTCCTGAGGTCCTGGAGGGTTTGTCCTCCTGCTCTTGATGGGTTCCCTCCCTTGGGGCCGGGGGGCTTTTTTTTTCGTCTGATATTTCTCGGCCGCGAAGAGAAAGAAGCTAATAGTCTGCCCTTGGTGGGTACTCGCGTCTCTAGCTCTCCAAGTACCCTGTCCTCAACAACCTGGAGCGCCAGACCTCCGTCCCCAAGGTCTACGCCGTCCTGGGCCTGGTCGGTGTCTACTTCTTCCTGGTCTTCTTCAACATTGCCGGTGAATTCCTCGTCAACTTCGCTGGTTTCATCATCCCTGGCTACTACTCCCTGAACGCTTTGTTCACCCCCCAGAAGTCCGATGACACGCAGGTATGTTTTTTTTTTCCCGCCCTCCCTGGCTCAATTACAAGGGGAAATGCTGACCATTCTTCCGTTCTGCAGTGGTTGACGGTACGTTCTTTCTGCTCTGTCTCAACCTTATCTTGCACGTGACGTACTTGCGCGCGAAGCAGCAGTCATTGATTGACATGTGATTCTCTAGTACTGGGTTGTTTACGGTTTCTTCATCGTTATTGAGAGTGCCATCAGTGCCCCTTACTGGTTCCGTAAGTACCCGAGACACTGAAGGTTTTTTGTTGACAATGAAACATGGGCTGACTGCTTTCAAACAGCCTTCTACTACATCTTCAAGTTCGCCCTTGTTCTCTGGATGGCTCTTCCCCAGACCAAGTAAGCTCCCCCATGTCTCTCCCCTCCAGTGCACGTGGAATTCGGTCGAATATTCGCTGACCATATATCCAGCGGTGCTCAAATTGTCTTCCACTCCTTCATCCAGCCCGTGCTTGGCCGTTTCTTCCAGGGCGGTTCCACCTCGGCCAACCTCCGTGCTCAGGCCGAGGCTGCCACCAAGGCCCAGTAAATTACTGGCCTGTGAGTTCGAGTGATTCGTGGCTTGTTTTTCGATCAGCCATGGAGTCGGTCGTTTCTCGGAGTGCTCGGTGGATTTGTGGAAAGTAAACGGAGTCATCGCACGAGGGCTTTGTGGATATGTTGGAAAAACGACGTACGGATGAGGTGATGATGCTGAGGCCATGTCGGGCGAAGTTGGGGCCATGATTGCTATTTATGTTGTTCCTGTTGCCATGACTTGATTTTAAGTAGAATTGCTGGTGAAATTTTTTGGTGGATGATGGACATGACAGAACTGGGTGGTTCTTATTCCATGGGCAGGTATAACTACACTTGATGCATTATGCCTCTTCTTGGTAAATTGAGCACTGCTGATTGTTTTCCTTTCCTGATCCGTCTCGTCGCGGGGTATAAGATGGCATAAAACATTGTAACGAAGAAATGAGGCTCCAGGATCGACCGCGGGGTAGGTAATGTACAATCAACGAAAAAAGTGGCCGTCGCTGCAAGGACAATGATGGGGTCGCTAGACATCCACGACATGGTCTCCATCCTTCGGATCACAGGTGCACCGCAGCCGGCGCATCGTCGACGACATCGGATCTAGGTACCGTAGCCCAGCCGATGATCATGGGGATGTCCCCGGTGTAAGTAAAGGATACCCGCTTAATATAACCCAAAGCGATTCTGCCAACCATCGGGGCGAGGATTCAGAACAATGCGATATGGAAACGGATTAGAATCGCTGGTGGTTATAGGAGGGATATGATCCTTTTCTCGGTTAACGACGGCAAGGATCTTCAACGCAGCTTTTTGAAGCATGTTCTCCATCGCTTTGCGTACTTTAGCGCGTTCTAGACTTGCATGTCAGTCCGACCATCCCGGGTAGAGAGAGGGGGGAGTAATGCCGTACCTGATTCGGTTCGGGGAGTGGCTATCGTCACATACAAATTCCACACTTCCCAACACACTTCCTCCTCGCCCTTTCCCGCGAGTCCACCAAACCAGTTTCCGGTGCGGCGGCGACGCTTTTCGTAGAATTCCACTGCGATGCGGCCGCGCACGCCGCCCCCACCCTCGTCGTGGGCACTGGTAGCAGAGGAGTGCTGGCGGACAAGGGCGCTGATGCGGGAGTCGATGAGGGTTTCAAGATCCACGTCGTTGATGGCGGGGAGGGTGAAGTCGAGGACATCGAAGGTGGTTGGGCGGATGGATGGGAAGTATCGGTGGAAGAAGATCAGGTTGAGGACGCCTGAGAGAGGTGGAGGAGTTGGGTCAGTATAGCTTTTGGTGATGGAGAGGGGTGGGAGAGGAAAAAAGGTACCCTTTAGCACGTCCCTGACTGTCGTGGTGTCCGCGAAGATCTCCAGGATGTACTCCGGGGGGGTTTTGCGGGGCTCCATCTTGACACAGAGGCAGAGATCCGTCAGCGATCGGGAGGACTGTCCAACCCTTGGCGTGTGTGTGAAACCGTGGAAAGATTTGATCTGGGGGTCAAAGTCACGGAGACGACCCAGCTAGATAGAAGTTCCAAGCTGGGCCGTACAGCGGAGAAGAGATCCGATGCGTGGGTGGTGAAGATGGGATCAATCCAGATCCAGTCTGGGGTTGAGCTTGAAGGGGGGGAAAGAGGGGGGGGGCGATGACGCTGGCGGGCGGCGGCGTTGGGGAACGACACGGCTTGGCTTGTCTAGGACCGGTGGGGAGAGGCTCGTATGGGGGAGAAAGGGTCATCGGGGGTGCATGGTCTGCTGAGGGGGTGATCCATGTGTCTGTCCAGACCGTGGGATTTAAATGGAGGGATCAAGATAAAGAGAGGGAGGAAGAGAAGAAGACAAGGAAGAAGGGAATGTACAGTCATGCCTGTATGTAATCGTCCATCCACGACATCTTTTGCCCCTCGTAAGCGTAGTGGGACACGGTACACGGTACGGTACGGACCCTGTATCCTTATCGTACCTGGATCGCCCCTGATAGGGTATCCGGGGGCGTATCGTCGGTATGGGCGATACGTCTGTACTGCCACTTCAAGGCGCAGAGATAACGAAGTACTACTAGTAACAGGGTGATGATGCAACTCGGAGGAGGAGGAGGAGGAGGAGGTGGTGGTGGTGAAGTGGCACTTGTATCTACAGAACCTGACTACGAAGGATCAGGTCAGGTGGTGTTATCAATCAGCATCACCGATCGATCCATCCTTTAGCCGAGGCCGCGACAGGGAACTCGGTCCCCCCGACCGTAGCTCGCCGCTCCCCGTTGCCCTCCCCATCACCCACGCCTCCTCCTAGATAGTATCCTCCGAGTCGGTTTTCTCGGGTCTGTCTATATCATATGATGATCCGCATCGATCCCCATCTCTGAAATTTCATTTCCGACCCTCCCTCCTTCCCTGTCTACTCCCACCATGATCAGTGCTAGTAGGCGCTGGTTGCGGCGCAATCGCAAGGGCCTTGCGATCGGAGCTGGCGTCCTGGGAGCTGGCTACCTCGCAGGGCAGTACATACTGTCCAAGATATCGGAGGCCCGGGAGCGCATGAGTAGCGACCGCATAGCCCGGGAGAAGTGAGTGGCCCTCCTCCTTGCCTCGTATTTCGAAGTGACATGCTCGCGTGCTTGGGGGACGGTGACTGACGCCGATGGCCTCTGGTTCAGCTTGCGGCGACGCTTCGAACAGAACCAAACCGACTGCACATATACCGTTCTGGCTCTTTTGCCGACGGCGGCGGAGGATATCCTGGAGGCACTGCCTGTGGAGGAATTGACCAAGGAGCTACAGAAGAAGCGTGCGGAGCGGCTGGCTCGCCTCAACGCTGGGGAAGGAACGGGTTCGGACCTCAGCTCCGTATCCCCCAGCATAGCGGACGACGATCGACGGAGCTTGTCTAGCTTCCAAAGCGACAGCTTTGTGCGTACGAGTCAGCTAGGAGAGCCATCTTTTGAGGGTGGTGGATCGCCCCAGCCAAAGCGGAACAAGACCCAACTCTGGAATGAGGTCAAGATCACCTGTCAGTCATCACATGCCATCCCATTGTTGCGACCACAAGATCTAATGTTGGATCGTAGCTGTTACTAGGTCGTTCACACTTATCTACACCCTGTCCCTCCTGACAATCTTCACCCGAATCCAACTCAACCTTCTTGGCCGTCGTAACTACCTTTCCAGCGTGATCTCCTTGGCCAGCCCCCCTACGGACGCGCCAACAATCCGACTAGAGGACCACGACGATGATGACCTCACGCAGACCCTGGGCAATGACTTTGAAACAAATCGTCGATACCTTGCCTTCAGCTGGTGGCTTCTTCACCGTGGCTGGAAGCAGTTGATGGATGAGGTGCAGACCGCCGTAACAGAGGTGTTTGGCCCTCTGCATCCTAGGGAGGATGTCTCCCTAAGCAAGCTCTCAGAATTGACTCTGCAAGTTCGGAGGAAAATCGAGGGCGATACCGAGGAGAATAGAAAGTAGGTTCCTTATGCGTACCGGATGCGAGCCTCGATGGTTGGGTGCTAATTGTGATCACCAGACACCGGAAATGGCTGTCTTACTTGCTCCCCCCTCAGGAAGAGGAGAATCTCCTGCTGGATGCGTCTGGGGTTCTTCGAGTGATAGAACCCTCGACACCTCAAACGACAGCAACGCTGCGCCATCTCCTGGATGAGACGGCCGATCTGATCGACTCCCCTACCTTTACTCGTGTTATGCTGCTTCTCAACAACGAGTGCTTCCAGACCTTGATCCAGCAGTGCATGGCGGATGCCTTCAAGTTGTCCTCGCAGGCACCTGGGTCCGTTCCGCAGTCGTTCTCGTCGGTTGCCACGGTCGTCCCTATGCCCGACAGCTCGGATCCGCGAACGAAGCTGGCAAATGTGCTGGCCGTGCTGGCCCGACAGGCCCACGTCATCGGGAATGGGACAGCACCTCCAAATTTGTACCTGGCGGCAATGGACCAGGGGGTGCGAGAGTTGGAGGCTTTCGCAGCAGTTGTGTACAGCTCTAACTTCGATTCGGAGCTACTTGCATCTGATATCAGGACGCGGCCAATGGAAGCGGAAACGAGCTCCGAGCCACCTTCCTCGCCTGCGCCGGTCATGGTCGATAAGGCTGAAGTCGTGGAGGACCAGCCCCTTCGGGAAGCCTCCTCTGCGGCCGCGGCCGGCGACTCGGCCTTTGAGAAAGCGTGGGGGAAGGCAGTAGAAGATCAGCCATTGAGCGACTCAACCGCGTAATTTCGTGGGCCTGTCTTGATCTCGGGGGGGGCGGAAGCATTTGTTTCTTTCTCGGACTCCAGATCACTGCCTCATCTATACAGCCTCGGATCCGAGGCAATTGTATGATAGCTCGTGGAAGCTAGTAATTATGATTTTTGCCGGACATCCATTTTCCTCTTTGCCCCGCCCTTGCTTTTCGATACGACGATGAGTCACCCACACCTTCTTATGTCGGCGAAGCCGGCGAGGCAGCACCTGTCCATGGGCTACTCGAGTCCTTTGATAGGTGGGATTGGACTTGTTATTGGTGTCTTTATCAAGCAACCTTAGACGTAACATGCCAGAATTGCATTCATTCCATCGAGTACTCGGGTGGGGCAGATTCACTAAGCGTCGTGCGGGGAAACCCGACCTTCTGTGTTTAGTCAGCAGCAGTCCGGGGTAGTTAGTTAGTTAACTACTAACTAGTTAACTAATTCCTTGTTCTACAAAGTATGGATGATGCCTCTCTAATGGCCGATCGGTCTGCTGGCCTGCATGCTATCAGGCCGTAATGGATACTCAAACCAGGCAGGCCTGGCCGGCTGTCAGTACCGAGTACCTGGCAAGCATTAGCTTGAGCCCAAGGGTCTCAATGGCTAGCAGTCGATCGTCGACTGCCGTCCTCGTTGGTGGGATCCGAATGCTACTATTGGCTTGATCGGTAGGGAATCACCAGCAATCATAATCACAGAAGTCTTCTTCATTTCCTGCTGCATCCTCCCTCTCTCTTCCTTTATTCTTTCTTTGCCTCTTGTATCCCCCCCCCCCCCCCACTCTCTCACTCATAAGGTCATTCACTCTATTGTTCTGTTCCTGTGACGGACAGTAACACAGCCAGTTGCGTGGACCTCGTCTCACAGCTGTCCTACCTACGCGCATCCCGCGTCATTCCCTGGGATTTGCTTGATCGCTACACAAGTCCGTTGTCTGACAAGGGCCGGTCGGCAGTGGCAGCCACTCAATCGTTCCGCTTGTGTAATCTCGGATAATTTGGCCGATTGTGTTTCCTCTACAGAGTCGCGTGCAGAGTTCAAACACTTCCAGGCATACATCTTTGGTCATCCTCCTCCTTATCATCCACAATGGGGCCATTTAAAGGTATAGTGCTATGTGCTGGCTCCCATGAGTGCTATGTCTCTCTATATCATAGGATAGGACAATAGTGACATCTCATATCACGCCTGATAGGTCCAAGCCACGCTCCTCCCACCGAGATGAAGGCCGAGGATCACATTGAGGCGTTGGTATCTGATCCTCCCCGCCTCACTACGACTACGGAGCGCAAGCTTATGGCCAAGATTGACTGGCATATTGTCCCATGTTTATGCGTCCTGTATCTGCTTGCCTTTCTGGATCGGTTTGTGCACTCACCACTTCTCGTTGAAACCGGCGGGCCAATTACTGATGGTTTGGGGACAGAGTGAATATTAGCAATGCTGCCGTCCTCGGGCTTCAAAAGGACCTCCATATTGTCACTGGAACCAATTACAACACTGTTTTGACGATGTTCTTTATTCCATATGTCATTTTTGAGATTCCGTCAAATATCCTACTCAAGAAGTTGAGGCCCCATGTATGGTGTATGCATCCATATCGATGATGGGTCCTGGTATTCTTGAGTCGCTGATTATGCTAGTGTCTATTTGCATGTTCATGTTCGGTGTGGTCATGATCTGCCAAGGATTTGTCTCGAGCTGGGGTGGACTGATGACCACGCGCTGGTTCTTGGGTAAGAGAGCAGCACTATGCAGGGACACCAGCTGATGTTGACCTAGGATTATTTGAAACTGGCATGTTTCCCGGATGTGAGTGGTTTCGCACGCCTAAACTCTTGCCCCGTGGACTAACCAGATACTTTCCCGCAGGCTTTTATCTCTTGGGCATGTGGTACAAACGTAGTGAGGCGCAGAAGCGATTCACCTTCTTCTTTAGCTCCACTACACTGGCAGGTGCCTTTGGGGGCCTTCTTGCAAGTGGTTTGGGGAAGATGAACGGGGTCCGAGGATATGGAGGCTGGCGGTGGGTCTTTATTGTTGAAGGCATCATCACCTGTGTTGTCGCCCTCATCTGGTATTTCGTCATTCCAGGCTTCCCCGAAGACGTCAAATGGCTTGACGAGGAGGAGCGAACATATATCCGGGCAAAGCTGGCCCAGGATGTTGGGACGGCCGGACATGACGCCCCGATGGGTTTGCATGATGTGTTAGCTGTTTTCAAGGACTGTAAGTTGCTCACAATTCTCTAGTAGGGGCTATACGGCCAAAGTCTGACTGACGATGACCTCCAGACAAACTCTTCATTGGCGGATTTATGTATTTCGGCCAGATTGTCACTGCATACGGTAAACTTGATTCTCCTTTCTTCTATTTCTTTATTTAGTTTCGTCTGAACTGGCAGCAAGTGCTGACACTCACAGGATATGCTCTTTTCGCTCCTACCATCATCAAGACCTACGGCTATGGAGGTATATATATATAACCCGGTTGAATGTGCCACATTATGCTGACCCTTCGCTCAGCCATCCAAACCCAGCTGTACTCGATTCCACCGTGGGCAGCTGCCTTTGTCTTTTCCATGGTTATTGCAACACTTTCCGACAAAGCCAGGCACCGGTTTGCCTTTACTCTGGCTCCCATGATGATTGCCATGGCGGGGTATGGAATACTGTTGAACATTCATGGAAAGACCCACCGGCACGTCGAGTACGGAGCGCTCTTTATGGTCACCTGTGGCAGCTACAGCGCGATGCCGGTTATCATATGCTGGTTTGCCATGAACCTAGGGGGCCATCGGCGACGTAGTGTAGGCACGGCATGGCAGATAGGATTTGGTAATAGTACGTGAAATCGACGGCGGTGCCCCTCCCCGGATTTATTTTGGGGGATTGCTAACATGAATGGATCCCAGTCGGGGGGATTATATCCACCTATTCGTTCCTAGCGAAAGATGCACCTCTCTACCGCGATGGCTACATCATCGGCTTGTCCTTCCTCTGCTTTTCGGCCGCCTGCTGCATTGCCTATTTTGTGGCTGTCTGGACGGAGAACAAGCGGCGTGACCGGGTCATGGCCAATGGTGCCTCAGTGGAGCTTCGCGCAGAAGAACAAGAGCACTTGGGAGACCTGGCGGTGACCTACCGCTATTCGTACTAAGGGCTGAAGCTTCCGGTCACCTGCGATCTCCAAAAATAATAATCCCGGAGGATTGCTTTTCACCATCAAAACATGTGTAGATGGTTGGGCAGTAGATAGAGAGGGCTAGGGCTTTGCATGATTCAAGATACACGAGCTACCTACCCTGTAAAGTGATGATAGTAATCTACGTGCCATAGAGCTACACAAGTCAGAACAGATACACCGACTTTTTTTTTTTTTCTTCTTCTTCTTTCTTTTTTCCGCGAGATTCCTCAAGTTGTGAATAATGGGTTTCCACTGGATCCCACGGTACTGGACATACACCGGCCGGGAGTGTTGATGTCACGGACCGGCCCAAAGCAGTAACCACCCGTCTCGGTAAAGCAGTGGGCGGTGGCCCGCCAGCCAATCAGGAGTGGCATATCACTAGCGAGCCCTTAGCGGCATTGGATGCTGAGTCAGCCACGGCGCACACAAGAAGCTCAACCGCGGCCGCTCTCCATCATTCTTGCAACCATCTCTTCATCCTCGCAGAAGTGTGAGTACACCCTCCTGGCCTGCTTGGTTGCAGGGCCTGTTCCTCTTGGGTGCAGTAACTAACAGACAGCCCTCAGTTTCGAATTCTCTACGAAGATGAGAGCCAAGTGGAGAAAGAAGCGCGTCCGTCGCCTCAAGCGTAAGCGCAGAAAGATGCGTGCCAGATCGTGAGTTCACACCTGTCAAGCATGGCAACCAAGGGTGCAATTGACTAACGGCGCCTCTCCCTCTTTCAGGAAATAAATGACTCGCCCACTCCATCTCAGCTCTTCATGTGAAAGCTCAGGTTGAACGCCAAACATGACAATTTTTTGCGACGACGTCACGATGATGATTTCTGTTATGATCGTTTCGTGGTTCGGTATCTCGATCGAGGCCTGTCTGGTCTGCAACCCTTCTTCGGTGCAGTCGAACTCGGAGCCCGCTGTTTCAACTGGACACAAGCGATTTTCTCCCGTCCAATCCCACGGTCTCATTTCCAACGAGTTCGATTTATCTCTTGATTTTCTTTGATCCAGACAGTGGGGGATGCGCGTTGTGTGTGCTTTTCCTCGGAGGTGCCAAATGTGTTTGGGGGGGTTGGGGGGATCTGTGGGAAGAAGCCGAATGGTCTCCTGTATTCCTGTACTGTCCTGCTTTTATCGTTCCCACTGATCCTTTTGGGATTTTGCATGGTGACTGGTCAATTACTCGTGTCTCGGTTTTCTGGACGGTTCGTCCGGACGGATGTCGGGCCATGGAGAGGTTTTTATTGAGAATTTTATTTTCAAATTAACAAAAGTTACGACGCACTCATGATCCTGATAGACACTTGGTAGACTTGTACGTAGTAGCACTCATGTAAAGTCGATTTCAACCACAATCACGCCGTCGAATGCGATGAACCCTGTGTGGATGACGGTGCTCGATTGTGGATGGCCCGCAGTCCCGTGATCGTCGCCGCTCTCCGCCTTCCCCTCCGAGACCGTCTCACCGCCTTGGGCTTTTTTTCTCGTCGATTTTTTGCTGGACCTGTCGATAGCCTCGATTCCAGCCAGTTCAGTCCATTCTCTGTCAACCCCCACCAGCAGGAGTGCAGGCCACCATGCCATCCGACAAGGTCGACAAGAAGCGCAAGCGCGCCTCAGATCGCCACGAGCGTCCCAGCAAGAAACCCGCTCTGGAGCTGCAAGATCTGCCTCCTCTGGCCTCCACCGTTGTCGAAGATGATAGCGAGCTCGCACCGGTGATCGGTATGTTGTGCACACCACCTTCTTCGCCTTGCATCTTCCCCATCCGATGCCTTAAGTCTCCGGGTGCAATCTAATCCTCCAATGCAGTCACCACCCCCGGTCTCAAAGCACCAGACAACCTCCGCCTCAACCCATACCTCAAGACCCGCAGCAAAACCTCCTCGACATCCACGCGGAACAAGGGAATCGTCTCGTCCGAGCTGCTGCTCCAGTCATCCACCGACAAGTCCAAGCTGGACTTCGTGGGCCGTGAGGCCGAGGAAGACGCCGACTCCCAGCTGAAGCACTATATCGCCGTGGTGGACCCGGAGAACAAAACCTGGCAGTTCATCGAAGTGCGGAAGATGACTCTGCGTGGATCCGTTCGTAAGATGCGGTCTATTGAGGAAGATGAGGAGGAAGAGGAGAGTGAGGCAGAAGAGATGGTCCGTATTCCTTACATCCCAGGCCGCATCCAACCTGGTCATAGCCCCGAAGCTAACCCCATGTCTTGCCTATACAGCAAACCATGCGCGCCCAAAGAACAGAACTCACCAACACTTTCGGAACCAAACAATCCCGCAAGGCCGCACAATCCTTGGCCGAAAATGCGCAGCTCTCCAACGCACCGGCAGGCGCTGCCTCGGCCGCCGAATCCGCCCTCCTCTCCTCCATGCCCGTCGGCGCGGCCACTGACCTCTCCACCAAGGCGGCCGCTGTGCAGGCCCAAGTGCAGGCCGGCAAGCCCATCCCCATGGCTAACCTGGATGCTGCTCACCCGTCCGACGTCTACCCCATTGAGACGCTTGTACCAGGCGGCCTGGCCACCCTGCGCCAACTCCCCAACATCAAAGAATGGCAAGACACCATCAACTCCGGCTCCTCCGTCAACACCACCTCCCGCTACGTCTCCCGACGCGTTGAAGCCGTCGCCCTCTCCGGCAACACCACCCACCTGCAACTCCTCCGCTTCATCCTCCTCCTCCTGGAACTCGCCCGCTGTCTGCGCCCCTCCCGCGGCGAGAAATCCTCCGGCCCTGGTAGCAAACGTCTCCCGCCCCGCGAAGAACTCCGCACCGTCCTCTCCGGCGGCATGGCCGACAACAACGGCGGAGAACTCCTCGCCGACCCGCTCATCGACTCCATCCGTCGCAAATTCGCCCCCCAGGGCGCCAGCCTCACCAAGAACGACGTCACCTTCCTCCATACCACCATCTGCGCCTTGTCGCTGCACATCCCACCCGCGCCCTCCAAGGACGGCGGAAACAGCTCCGTCGGCGGAAACGCCCCCAACGAGCTGGCCACCGATCCTGCTGATCTGCGCGATGATCTTCGCATGGACAACCCTCTCATCACCCAGTACTTCCGTGAATTGGGCTGTCGCGTCGACAAGCCCAGGGAATCCGAGTTCACGAAGTGGGGCATCAAGGGCGGAAAGGCTGAGGCTGCCGCGAAGCGCATTGCTCGGTTGAAGATCCCCGTCGAGTTCCCCAAGGTTAGCCGGGGTGGACGGAGGTGAGGTGGGCCTACTTAATTGGTATGTATGAGGATGCGTGCGAATGAGAGGTGGATACGGTTGTCGTTGTTGTTGTGCTTAACATTTCCTGTCTGCATGCAAAAAAGAATCGGTTGAGTGTACGAAAACGAGAGGGGGCGGGGGGAGCGAGAGAAGAAGAGAGAGAGCAGTATCAGGCTGTTTCTAAAATGGGTTGTTTACCTTTCGGGCGCTGTATTTCTTTTTCTGCCTTTTGGGGCTTTCCGGTTGTACCGACGTATTTATTACATGTCGACTCTAGTATCTTGCTTCTATCTATAGGGATAGTTGGATGGCTGGATGGCTGACCAATGAAATGACATAAGTGTATATATATATATACATATATATTCAAATATACTTATCCATCCGTGGAACGTCGTGTGGATCATTTGAACAAATCTGTTGAGGCGTTCCACCAAAAATGGTCAAGGCAAAGTGTGTGATTAGAAGGAAGGAAGAGTTGACTGCCGGCAGTCTACGCTGTACGCTCCCAGCGCGATGTGTGGCACTTTGTGTTCAAAATTGTTTACAGCCAAACAAAACAATACACTACGATACGGAGCAGTCTGATGCAAAATGAAATACGGGACAAGGAACAATCAATAAATTGATCTAGAACCCAGAAATCAATCGAGAGCGACAGGCCGGTTCTGGAGAATTTCATTATGTGAAGTCCAGCACCTGTCCAATAAGCTGACTGGTCATATGGTCACGCTGGGAAGCCAGTTTCCCTCAGCAGCAAGCGAAATAAGTATTACTAACAACGAATGGACGTGGATTGTCGAGATATCCACCACGTGCCCTACTACTATCCGGCAGCCTAAGCAGCAACCCCCATCGGAATCGAGGCGGCAGCAGGAGCAGGGCGGATGGGGGTGGCAGTCTGCATGCGGGCAGCAACCTGGGAGAGTGCCTCGGCCGCGGCGTCCTGGAACTCCCGTTCCACAGCAGCCTCGACGGCCTCGGTGGCTTGCAGGCCCAGTTGCGCATCCTCCCAGATGGGCTGGTTGGCAGCTTCGGCTCCTTCCACGCCAACGCCGACGAAACCGCCCTGAGCTTTCCAGTCGCTGGCACGCTTAATGCCTAGATCGTTCCAGACGGTTTGGAGGGCCTGCACCAGGTGGTCCCGATGCTCCTTGACGTGGCCGGGCGTGGGCGTGATGCGAAGTCGCTCCTCACCCCGAGGCACCGTCGGGTAGTTGATGGCTTGCACGTAGATACCGTGCTCCTCGAGCAGCTTGTCCGAGGCCTGCTTGGCCACCTCGGCATCCCCGACGAGGAGAGGGATAATGTGCGAGGGGTTCGGAATCACGGGGATATCCAGCCCCTTGAGGGTTTCCTTGACTGCACGGGTGTGCAGCTGCTGCAGGACCCGATCGCGCTGGTGCCGAGCTTGATACTGGATGGCAGTGTCCGCCCCAGCCATGGTTGCAGGAGGCAGAGACGTCGTGAAGATGAAGCCGGGGGCGAGAGAGCGAATGGTATCGACCATTGCCGCAGATCCGGCGATGTAGCCACCCACACAGCCATACGCCTTGCCCAGAGTGCCTGTGATGATGTCGATCCGGTCCATCACAGTACCCTTGGTGTCGCGAGGGTTGACGGTGTCTTGAGAGGCGTAGATATCGTAGTCCAGGTGCTCAGCCACACCCGCACCGTGAGGCCCGTACATACCCACGGCGTGGACTTCATCGAGGAAAGTAATGGCCCCATACTTGTCCGCAAGGTCACAGATCTTCTCGATGGGAGCAATGGATCCGCACATACTGTAGACAGATTCGAAAGCGATGATCTTCGGGACATGCGGGGGGAGAGACGCAAGCTTGGCTTCGAGATCGACCATGTCGTTGTGTTTGAAGACCATCTTCTTAGCTCCCGAGTGCCGGATACCCTGGATCATGGAGGCATGGTTGAGGCTGTCGGACAGGATAACGCAATCGGGCATCTTACTGCCCAGGGTCGCGAGGGTCGCGTCGTTGGCCACGAAGCATGAGCTAAACACCAAGGCTGACTCCTTGTCGTGCAGTTTAGCCAGAGTCTTCTCCAGAGCCACTGCGTGTTGATTGTGGCCCGAAATGTTCCGGGTACCTCCCGCACCGGCGCCGTAGGTGTCCAGGGTCTGGTGCATCGACTTCAGGACTTCAGGGTTACGACCCATGCCGAGATAGTCGTTGGAACACCACACCGTCACCCTCTCTTCCTGGGATGCCGTGTGGGCCCGGGGGAACTCCTTGGCCAGACGGTTGATGTTGTTGAAGTAGCGGTACGACTTGTCCTTGTGTTTCTTCTCCAATTCACCCTGGTAGAACGCATTGTAGTTGAACCGTGCGGTTGCGGGCGCATGCGGACGAGGGCCGGACACAGCCGCAGCGGGGGAATCGAAGTGGTTCTTGACTCCGGAAAGACCGGGATGAACTGTGGCAATGGTGTTAGCCTGGGCGTGCTTTGGTTACTGTCGATCTCTCCCAGACCGAATCAAATACCGACCTCTCTGGGACTCCTTGTAGACATTGGGGGCCACATCGGCACCATTTCCGGCGGTCGAATGCAGTGCTCTCTTGGTGGTAGCGGGCCGGGAGTACTTGGAGTTCATGCCCGCCACACCGGCAGCGCAGGAGGTGAACCGCTTGGTGTGAGCAAGGCGAGCACTCTGCACGGCCAGGGCCTTGCTCATAACGGGGCACCGACGAGCCAGCACCTGAAGGTTGGAAATGGTGCCTCCGCCGGGGCTGTGGCTTGGGCGGGTTGCAGTGGACAGGGTGCGCAGCGCGGTCGGGGAGGTGCGCTTGAGAAACGGGCACATGGCCCGGGATTGCTGCAGAAGCGACTCCATGGCTGGGTCAGAACGAAAGAGGGTCCCTAATTGACCTAATTGATGGCCAGGGAACAACAGGTAATATGGTGGAGAGGAGGAGAGGAGGGGGCGGAGAAGAGAGAGAGGATAAGGAGAAGGGAAGAGGAGTGAGGAGTCAGCCTTCAAGAGGAAGCCGATTATTACTATCGCGCTGACCGGAAAGAATTCATCGTTACGATCGGTAATGCAGGGGTCCGGCAGAGGCGCTTGCCTCCCCCGGGCCTAGTCGGCTTAGCTAAGCCCCCATCGCTGACGATTGTTTGGCCGCCAATTGGCTGGCGGCGAGGGCGGCATCTGGACTCGGCGTTCTGACTAAGAAGAGCGGGCCAGTCATGATGGAGGTCAGGCCACCGACAAGGCCTGGAAAACAGTCCAACCAGACCCCGGACGGAATTCGGCTGAAAAGTTGGCCTCGGTATTACGGTATCACGGTATTATTGCCGCCGGCCTGTGGCGGTGGCCAAATTTACAGGTACTATAAGGTACTCCGTACAGTACCAATGGTTGATTCTTGGCAGAGGAACCTGGCCTGGCCTCCTCCCCTCCAATATGGTTCGATACACGCAGAGTCCATCCAAAATTCAATCAATTGTGTAGAAAGGTAGAGAGAGAGAGAGAGGAAAAATACACAACAGCCACATATCTGTCTATCTTGCCGTCTGTTCCCTCCTCGTCGCTTTTTGGTGCCTCGTCAGATAGCTCGTTTCAAATCTGCCTGGTCTTTGCACATTACCACAATAGTTTGAACATCATCCTTATCCCTGCCCAACATCTCGTATATCAGAATGCATGTTGTTAATACATGGCGCGGACACACCGGCCCGGCGCCCGGGGAAAGTAAAAGAAAGAAGAAACAAATCGGAATTAGAAAGGAAAGGACACAGGGCCGTTCGACACGGAAATCAACAGGAAAGAAACAGGAGAGAAAGATGAGATCCGAACGCCGTCATTCCATTGAATCGTTTGGCTAGTAAGAGAGAGGGCGTCTCGTCCGATCAGATGGGCCCGAGACCCCCATCACCATCAATGAGACGCAGCCGCTCCTTGGTCGTTTTGGCGCGCTTGGATGTCCCCTTTCCCACCCCACGTCCTCGTCCACGCTTAGGGACCGGGGTCGAGGAGGGGGTGGCCACGTTCTCGGCCGTCGACACGGGAGTTGCGGCCCCGGATGGTTTCGCACTGACATCGTCGAAGTTGCCTTCGCCTATAGGAGAACACGGACATATCAGCATCAGCCATACCACAATATGGAAACAGGAGCGGAACATACCTTCGTGATACATATCATCCAGCGTGATGTCCCTCTTTCTCTTCTGGGCCGCCTTTTTCCCGCCCTTGCCGGCACCAAATACTTCGCCGCGGTCCATAGCTTCCTTTTCCTTCTGTTCAATAAGCTCGGCCTGTTCGTCATCGGCCAACCACATGGCAATGTCTTTCGTGCGGCTTTCCCGGTTACGGGTGTTGAAGTCGACACCGCCGGCCGCGCCACCGGTGATAACGACGCGCTGGACCTCTTCCTTCTGCAAGGCTCGCTTGCGGATCCGTTCTTCAATGGTGCCCCGGGTGATGAGACGGTACACTGTAACTTGCCTTGTCTGACCAAGACGGTGGGCTCGGTCCATGGCTTGGGAATCGATCGTTGGGTTCCAGTCCGAATCGTAGAAGATAACGGTATCAGCTGCAGTCAGGTTGATACCCAGACCACCGGCACGTGTAGAAAGGAGGAAAACAAAAATTTCAGGGCGCTGCTGGAAATCAGCCACCGTGTCGCGACGATCCTCCAGTTTGGTGCTTCCGTCCAAGCGGCAGTACTTGTAGTTACGGTACGTCAAGTACTCCTCCATCAGGTCGATCATGCGTGTCATCTGGAAGTACAACAGCACGCGGTGACCGCCCGCTTTGAGCTCTCGCAGCAGTTCATCCAGCTTAGCCAGTTTTCCAGAATCCGTGACAAACCGCCGCATAGATGGCACTTCAATGTGCGTGTAACGACCCTTGGTGGACGTCGGCGCCGGGAGCATAGGTTTGAGAGAGAATGGAGTCGGATCCACCTTTTGCTCGATGATTTGCTCTTCTACCTGTCTCGAAGGCGTGCTGAGAAGCGCGTGCCGCACCGGCACACTGAAGAAACTATCCATAGCCTCATTCATGGGGACCTGGCTCGAGGACAGAATCGTGATTGGAGGTGCCGATGCAGCGGGACTTGCACAGGGTTCGATGATGTTTAGGCCCTCACGCTCGAACGTAGACCGTGAAACGGTCATCAATTCCCGCATATAGCCTTCCGTTGAAATCTCATTGACGGCATGACGATCATTACGATCGATAATGCTGAAGAGGGTATGCGGGAGGACAGACGCTGCCTGCCGGTCGTCGTCGTCATAGGCGACATTGAGACGAGATAACCTATTAGTTTGGCCACGGCGGCGAACCGCTCTCTCAAAGACGCCCATATGCGACTGCTCATACGCCTCGCCAGCAGACGTATCCACAAAACGCAGGAAAGAGAATGCCCCATCGTCCTGGATGCTCCGCTTGATGTTTTCCGGCGCGAAGATATTCATCATGTGGGTGAGATACATGCCGTCGAATCCGGCGCGTGTATTATCGGATCCTGCTACATCCAGGCGACCGGCAGAACCGCAAAGAAGGCGTGGCAAAGGATATTCGATCATATTGCGCGTTGAATAGCCGACGTTGACAAAATGACCTTCGCGAACGAAGGAGGCCGTCTCGGCAAAGTACGCGGTAGAGAAGGGAGACTTTGTTTCGGCGCGTTCGAACAGATCGGGATGGTTACAGACCTTTCGGAACTGCATAACCAAGTTCATCAGTGTCGTACTGTCCGCCTCGTCACCAACAGCAGCCTTCTCAATGAGGTCCATGATGCTAACACGGTTCCGCAGGTTGGTGTAGTAGGCACGCTGCCGATAGGTGAGATCACAGAAAATGTCTTTCTCAACCTTATCGCCGAGTTCCTGCTGGACATGCTTCTTGACACGACGTAGCATGAACGGCTTCAAGATCATGTGAAGGCGCCTCAGTTGGTCCTCATTTAGCTTGGTGTTACTCTGGGCATGGGATTCGATATCCTTAGAGAACCATTCACTGAATTCATCGTGTGAATCGAACAGTGTCGGCATGATGAAGTGAAGAAGAGCCCACAACTCCTGCATATTGTTCTGGATGGGTGTACCGGTCAGCAGGAGACGGTTACGGCAGGAAAATCCAAGCAGATTCTTCCAACGTGAACTCTGCGAAGACTTGATGGCTTGAGCTTCGTCCAGAATCATGTACTGCCACTTGACCTTCTGGAAGTACTGCGCATCAAGCACCACAAGCTGGTACGAGGTAACCAGCACGTGGAATTCCGACTCCTTGGTGTATGTGATGTGTTTGCGGTCCCAAAATTTGCGAAGGATCTTGCGATCCTTCGCAGAACCCCAGTAAGGCAGAACCTTAATGTCCGGCACGAACTTGGTGATTTCCTGTTGCCAGTTGTGAAGGGTGGATGCGGGCGCAATGACCAAGAACGGGCCCCAGATGTTATGCACTTCGGCGAGATACGCCATGACCGAGATAGACTGGATAGTCTTACCGAGCCCCATCTCATCAGCTAGGATACCATTGATACCTTGCTCGTACAAGTTGACAAGCCAGTTCAGACCCTTCAATTGGTATTCTTTGAGCTTTGCAGTGAGCATGTTAGGCTGGGAGATCTCGATATCTCCCAGGCTCGTAGGATTCTGGAAGTTCAGTTCACCCTCATCCAGGGCATCCATCTGGTTCTGATCGGAATTGAAGGCACGTGCTCTATCCTGGGCTTGCTGCACGGCATTCTGCGCATTGAACATAGCCGCCTGCCGCAAAGCTGTTTCATCTTCGGCATCGAAGTCAAGATCCTCAAAGTTGGTGACTTTGGTGCTCAAATCGGCGGCGCTGGGAGGCAGGTCCATGGCATGACTTTGACTCTTGCCGGGTTGAACAGTTTGGTCCGTTCCTTCCACAGCAGGGTCTCCGGAGCCATCTCCCTCGGCGTCTTTGATCTTCCGGCCAATGAAGTGAGAATACAGCTCGGTTTGAGAAATGAGGAAGTTGAGTTTGCGCCGTTGACGGTTGGCTTCACGTTCTGCTTCGGCTTTCTTGGCGGATTCGATCTCCTGCTTCTCAGCAAGGCGACGCAGGTCGCGCTCCTCTCGTTCGTTGCGTTTCCAGAAGGACATCATCTCACGCATGGTCCGCTTGGCGCGGGCTTGGGTGTCCTTCATGCTCTTGTTTGTGCGTTCCTGCCACTTGCGGGACTGCTTACTGGCCAGCTGAGCTGTCTTGCGTAAATTCTCCTGACGTGTGCTGAGGGACAGCGCCTTGATGCGATAGACCTTCGGGATGTCCTTGCGTGCAATGTCGCGCCAGATCTGCTCGTAGATCTGATTGTATCCCTTGGTCTCGTACGCGGAGAGGGGTGCAGGCGTGGGCTCTTTAGAGCGGCTACCCTTGACCTCCTTCTTGAGGGATTCCTTCCGGGGATCCTCCTTAGGGGCAATGGGCAGAGGCTCATCATTCTCCATGGCTGCATAGGCAGCCTCCGCCGCATCCTTTTCGGCCTGCTTTTGCTCCTTGGATTTCTTCGGTCGCGTGACGGGACCGCCACGTCCGGACTTCCGTCTCGATGGGGAGCCCCGGCCAATATGGAATGAGCTGGTGGTGCCGCCTTCCAGATTTGGCGCCAACGGGGTGACTTCACTAATCTCTTCAGGAGCAGTGACACCCTCGAGCGCCCTCTTGGTGGTCTTGATCTTCCTCTGAGCCCTTTCGGCTTCACGCAGGAACTTGGCTTTCTCAGCGGAATCCTGGGCCTCGTTCGCCTTGATCTCCGCTTCCAACTTCTTCTGCATCTCCATGCGCACCGTGTTTTCGCGACGTCGCTTTCGCTGCATGTCCTTCTTGCGTTCCTTTTCATCTTGGATCTCTTTGGCTTGAACTTCGGCAATGACGGATGCCTCATTTGCCAGTCTGAATCGGTTCATGCCGTTCGCGGATTGTTTCTCGAGAGACTGGCCCAGAGTGACCAGGAAGTCATTTCGGCGACGCTAGCAGATGAGTTAGTGTTCTGGAACCTTTGGGGTATATATGAGTTATCAAGTACCTTGCGTCTCAGGATCTCAGCTTGTTCCGTGTTAAAAGCGCGTTTCTTGCCTTTAGCTAGATATTCCTCACGGAACCTTTCGTACCCAGCAGCTTCCACGTCACTTTTGTCTGCCTCGGCCATATCAGCCAAAGCTCTGTTAAGAGCTTCCGTCTCCCGTTCAGACATAATGTGGCGAGAACCAGAAACACGAGGTTGGGAAGATGACTTTGCGAGATCTGAAACACCGTTTGCGGCACTCGAGGCCCGCGATTCGGTCGCTCTATGGTCCTGGTCGATGTTGCGACGGCGTTTCTCCGTATTGGGCTTCTTTTCCAACCTAGGTAAAGCAGTGGGAGCTGGTGCCTTGTCTTTGGACTTTGAAAGAGGAGCAGAGATGGTACTTGTGGGTGGCGGGCTAAGACTAGCTGCGACTGCCGATGCCGATGCTAAAGGTGTTGGCGTGGCTTCCGCGGATGATTGCCTTTTGGAGGGAGCGCGTTCTTCTGCCGGTCCAGAAAGAATGCTTGCAAACGACATGGGATCCGCAGCTCGGGCAGGTTTCTGAACGTGTGAAAGATGATAGGTGTCAGTGAATTCAGCGAACAAAGAACCGATCCATAACTAAACGGGGGGATGACATACTGTTTCCTTGGGAGAATTTGCTCTCGGCTCCCGCACCAGAGAAGTCGGATAACCAGGGATACTATGACCTCCCATAGAAAAGGAAGATTCGGTCTCTTTTTTAGGGGACGCCTGTGGATGACTCTCGGACCGACCAGCGGGATGGGCGTGAGACGGAGTGGAGTGGCCATAGGGAGATGCGCCGTTGCCCGATAAGACGGAACCTGGGTAGGATCGGTGGAGAGGAAACTGCGGAGTTCCAGCCGACGAATGTGCTTGATATTGCGACGGCGCCTCCGAGGGATGAGAGGGGGGCGCTGCGCCGTTCAATGGCGGAAGGGTACCGGGCAACGGGGAAGGCGCATGGGAAAAGTGAGGGCTCCTGGACATGCTGGACTGAGGTGGGAAAGCAGGAGGCGTCTGGGGAGGATGTTGCTGGTATTGGTCATTGTTGCCGTAGAAGGGACGACTCTTGGAGGGAGGAGAGTAGGCAGGATAGCGAGACTGCTGGGTCGGAGACTGGGGATTGTAAGGCGGAGCCCCAGTCATGGTGGCCGCGTGTGCCGGGAACGCGGCGGCGAGCGTTTAGAGGGCGACGCCAGCAACAGGGAGTAGGCGGTGATGGGGATAGGGAGCGAGACCGTGACAGGCGAGCCGGAAGTGTTATGATGGACGAAGGCTGGCCATGCGCAAAGGGGGTGGAGAGGTTTTATCTCACGAGGATCTCGAGGGGGGCGATCACGCGTCGGTTGGTAGTAGCCGCCGTCCGAGCTATCTGCGGAAGGAATTAATTCTGAGAGGCGGAAATGGGGAGAAGTGGAGAAGCAGGGTTGGAGGTTATTGGGAGGAAGAATGGAGATAATATGGAGGCGTCGATGATTTTTGGGGGGGGGGGGGGGGGGAGGGAGGAGGAAGAAGGAAAGACCCAAGGATGGGGAAAGGTCGGGGAGGATGAGGTGGAAAAGGGAGGATCGCCTCACCGGATTGACAGGAATCTTCGGAGGGCTCGAAGTGCTTGGTGGTGAGCGAGCGAGCCAACAAACCCTCCACGGGTCGACCGTTCCGGACAGGATGCGACGAGAAACACTGGCCCAGCCAAGCCGTGAATGGGCTACCCGATCGGGGAACGGTTCTGGGCCGGCTGAGGATGCTGGGGGAGACAATGCACGCAGTGGAGGAACGCGGAAGAAGGGGGATGGGATGAGGTGAGACAGGCGATGATGGGTGGTAGGGAAGAGTGGAGTTGATGATCGTATCTAGTTGGTGTAGTTGGGGGGTGGTGGTGGTGGTGGTGGTGGTGCTTTGGTGCTTTGGTGCTTTGGTGCTTTGGTGCTGTGGTGTTGTGGTGCTGGTTGCTTTGGCTGCTTTGGTTGCTGGGGATAGGTCGGTCGTAACTAATGAACACCTAAGTAGCTGGGAAGGGAGGAGGAAGAAGGAAGAAGAAGGGAAGAAGGACGACGGATAGATGGATGGATGGGTGGATTGACGATTGCTGATGATGGCAAAGGATCCAGTATTTTTGATTTTTGCGCAGCTGCCCCCTTGGGCCAACTTTACCCTCTCTTGTTGTTCTCTCTCTCTCTCTCTCTCTCGTTCCTTCCTTCTTTACGTCTCGCCGTGTCGTTCCCCCCATCCGAGTTCGCAGCTGCGTGTATGCGTATTTCCGTTACTCCGTACGGGGATACGACTTACCACCTTACCGATCTACATTACTCCGTCGGTACGATGCTTTTACTTATGTTCAAGTAGCAGCAAGTGCTGCTAGACACTACAAAGTCTCCAATTACTAGGTAACTCAATGCTCTCAGCGACAGGACATCCTGATGGTTAAGGCCCTCTAGGATCGGTCTGCCATCGGAGGTCTCTGACGATCTTTCGTGATCGGCGTCGATGACCAGCCCGGATGGTATGCAGAGATTCGGGGAAGAAGGAAGGAAATGGCAATGGATGTCGTGCAGCGGTCAGGTGGTGGCCCCGGAGGTACTCGATCAGGCCATCAACAGCTCAAAGCACCTTCCACCTTTATCTGGACCTCATCCGGATACTCTGGGAGCTTTACTCCTTCTAATGGCCTGTCATTGACCCCAGCCCTCCAGATCCCGACCGAGTCGGCTTTCCCCAAACCATCATGGTCCAAAGAGCCCGTGAGCAGAGCAGTCGATAAGGGCAATCCAACCGAGCCTTGCGGGACCGGGTGCAGTATAGCAGTATGGTGGGAGCAGCAGCAGCAGCAGCAGCAGCAGCAGCAGCAATCAGTTGGATTTTGTGAGAAGGCTAACGCAAGAGGCAGACGAGGCGAGACGAGGCGAGACAGAACGACAGCATCGAACTGGAAGGTAACACAGACTGCATCCACCAAGGCAACCACCCGACATCGACACCTGAGGCATCAACGGGAAGAACCGGCCACCGGCCTGCGGCCTCCGATCCCCCCCGGCAGCCCGGTCGGCCCCCATCCCATGGCATAGCGCTGCAGGAAGCAGGAAGCAAGCAGGAGGGGGAGGGGGAGGAGGAGGGATGCCTTTCCGATGGAAGACCGCAACTCATAGCACTATCTACTGTGCTGTGTAACCTGCGGGTTTGGGGGTTTGATAATTGAAGGCTTTATAGCCCAGCAGGCAAGATCTCGAACCCCCCACGGCATTTCCCGCGAATGGGGAGCTGCGGAGAACAGCTTCCAACCATGACGTCTGCCTCAATCACTTCCCCGCCATCGCCATCGCCGTCCGCAACCAATTGGCCATTCAGCCAGCAGAAGGGAATGCATGCCCACAGGAGTCCAGAAGTACAAACAAAGTACGGCCGTCCCGTTTTCACTTTCGGCCGGGAGTGAGATTGAGTGAGACAGACTACTGGCCCACTGGCCTGACCCTGGCCTGGAGGAGAAAAGAAACTTGGGGAGATCCAGATGCGTTCCATTGCGGTCTTTTTCTTTTTACTTTTTTCTTTCACCTGATCCCTGCCATCCGGTACAACTGGCCACGACGTCACTCCATTCACATCTGTCATCTGTTATCGGCGATGGGCGGACATCATCCCATCACCCCACCTGCCCGTGTCCGTCCGTCCTACCCGTGAGTGAATGGCACCGCAAGGGACCCCTTCCCTATATAAGGTCCCTAAGCTTCCCCTGCTCGGTCTACCTCTCACACACTTCACCCCTCCACCGGTCTCAGAATACCATCTCTCATCTACATCCCTCTCCCTCAACCTCAACCTCAACCTCAGCCTTCCTCACTCCCATATCCCCCCTCCATCGTCGAAAGACAGACAACCAACCAACCCGCTACCATGACCACCATCCCAGAGATGCAGTGGGCCCAGGTTGTGGAGGAGAAGGGCGGACACCCGGTCTACAAGCAGATCCCCGTTGGTAAGCCCGGTCCGGATGAGATCCTCGTCAAGATCCGATACACGGGTGTCTGCCATACCGACCTGCACGCCATGAAGGGTGATTGGCCTCTCCCCGTGAAGCTCCCCCTGGTGGGCGGCCACGAAGGAGCCGGTGTGGTCGTCGCCAAGGGAGAACTGGTCACTGGATTCGAGATTGGCGACCATGCCGGCATCAAATGGCTGAACGGTTCTTGTCTCTCTTGCGAGTTCTGCAAGCAGGCAGACGACCCTCTGTGCCCCCACGCCTTGCTGTCCGGCTACACCGTCGACGGCACCTTCCAGCAGTACGCCGTTGCGAAGGCAAGCCACGCGTCCAACATCCCCAAGCAGGTCCCTCTGGATGCCGTCGCCCCGATCCTCTGCGCCGGTATCACCGTCTACAAGGGATTGAAGGAGTCCGGTGCCCGTCCTGGCCAGACCGTCGCCATTGTCGGCGCAGGCGGTGGTCTGGGATCACTGGCTCTGCAGTACGCTAAGGCCATGGGACTTCGCACCATCGCCATCGACGGGGGAGAAGAAAAGAAAGCCATGTGTCAGAAGCTCGGATCCGAGGTAAGATACCCGACACCCATGTTCACGCTCACGCAACCAGACATTCAAACTGACGATGATGGTGAATGAAGGCCTACATCGACTTCAAAACCTCCAGCGACGTCGTCGCGGACGTCAAGGCAGCCACCCCGGAAGGTCTGGGCGCCCATGCCGTGATCCTCCTCGCCGTCGCCGAGAAACCTTTCCAGCAGGCCACTGAGTACGTTCGCTCTCGGGGCACCGTCGTGGCCATCGGCATGCCCGCTGGCGCGTACCTGCGCTCCCCAGTCTTCAACACCGTGGTCCGTATGATCAACATCAAGGGAAGCTACGTCGGCAACCGGCAGGATGGTGTGGAGGCGGTTGACTTCTTTGCCCGAGGGTTGATCAATGCCCCCTTCAAGATGGCCCCGTTGAAGGATTTGCCCCAAATCTTCGAGCTGATGGGTTCGTCTATCCTTGCTACCTTCCTCATAGAACAGAAAGCTAACACAAGACGCAACACAGAACAAGGCCAGATCGCCGGTCGATATGTCCTTGAGGTTCCTCAGTAAGCAGGCCACCCCCCAGAATACCCGAATGGATGAATCTGGGTTACGGCTTTGCGAATCACGGTCGGTCTCGGATGCATCCCGGTGGGTAGATACCGTTTGTCAATGGCATCTACCGTGACCCGGTCAACCAGACCAAGCGGCCCCCTGAGATACGCTCGACGGTTGATGATTTTATGGTCTCCAGCGTGTAGTTAATCAATAGTTTCAATAATAGTCCACTTATGTCTACATACCGCTTCGTCAGTAATGTATAGCCAACAAGCAAACTGGGTTTCAAGGGAAGGATGAAGCATTAGCACGAATGGAAAGTGGCATGTCCGTGACGACTTCCAGAAACATGCATCCTCCTGCGTCTCCCAAACAGTTATTCACAACACAGCCCTACACACATAAACATACGAATGTACGGCTATACAAATCCTATACACCAGTACCGACTCATCACCAATGTCACCAATAAGGGAAGCAAATGGATCAGATAGATACATACTACTTCTCATCCGGCACCCTCGCGCCAATCTCGGTCTCTGACAAGCTACCTGGAGATTCTCCTACCGTCATCTGCGGGCCCTTGTAGACCTTTCGGGCATAGACCACATAATACAGCATGGCGCCTAGCCACAGCGACCCATTGATCACAACAGTGTAGTTCATATCCTGGGCTATGGCACACAACTCAGTCAATACATATGAGCCTGGAATTGCCCCAAATGGGATAGAATGGTGACTTACGCGATGGATTCGGCCCCTCAGTCGGAAACATACTCAAAATAATGACAAACGCCAGATAGACGACGGCAGTGATGGCGATGGGCTTACTTAGCCAGCCAGTATAGAACTCGCCGGGCCGAAAGCGATCTTTGCCCCAGATGAGCCGGCACAGGATGGGGACCAGCCAGGCAAGATCGTTGCCGGCAACGGCAAGCGAGAAGAGGGCGCTGGCAGCGGCGTTGTCGATGAGCGAGAGGAGGCCCAGGATGATGGAGATAACGACGACGGCGCACACCATGCGAACGGGCTGGAAGCGGATGCGTTTACTAACGTGGCGAAAGAAGGAGGAGAAGGGGAGGGCCCCGTCACGCGAGAAGGCCCAGCTTTGGCGGGAAGCGGCGACAACCTGGGGTTTGGTCAGGTCGGTGAGAAGAGAAGGAGAAGTGGCCTGAATTGACTTACGAGACTTAGACCCATGAAGAACTGGACGACGGCAACGACGACCATGAAGCCGAGGGCGCCGCTTTTCCCGAGGGCGTCGTAGTAGATCTGGAAGATAGGGGGAACTAGTTAGTGATATGCACTGGTCTGAGTTGGAAGAAAAGAGATTGTAGGGATGCATCTACCTGAGCCATTGGCTGGCCGAAACTTGAGTTCAGCACGGCATTGAGATCAGGGTCGATGACTGCAGCGATGATGGCCAGGGAGATGAACCCTAACAGCCCGCAGAGCCCCGCGGACCAGATGATACCGAGTGGCACAGCGCGCGCGGCGTGGCTGGCTTCCTCGCTCATGTGGACGCAGGAATCGAATGCGCCGATCGTCCAGATGGGGGACAACCATGCGAGCATGAAGGTCCAGCCCTGCGGCCAGGTAGTGAGGTTCTCTGAGTGGCCGAATATGTAATCCCCCGAATTGATCTGCCCTCCGCGCACGGCCTTCCCAATGGGTAGAGCAAGGGCCGTGGCCAGAACAAGGCCGATATTACTGAATATGCAGGCGGACTGGATCTTGGGCATGATACGTGCGCAGAAAATGGCGATAAAGCCGTGGACAACGACGCAGGCGACGTAGGTACCGTAGAGGACGGGGCGCGAGGCGGTCCAGTTGCCGTCTCGCGCGATGGAGATGATAGACAGGAGCATGGTCGCAAATCCGTCTTGCAGGGAGATGTCAGCAACCAGACCAGACTACAGAGGTGAAAGGGCTCGCGTACAGTCAATGGAGCAGACGCCACCGATAAGACCGATACTGTTGCTGTATCCGACAACGAAGCTCAGCGGGTTCTTCCACTTCTCCCCACTGAAGTAGTGTGTCCAAAAATACAGGCCACCGGCCGTAGGCATTGCGGATGCGAGATCGGCCTGTATGAAGTGAAAGGAAAGGTAAGCGTCAGAGGGGTTCTGCATCGGGGAGGAGCGGCGCATCGAGCATACCATCGCTAAGGCGACAATGAAGATAAACACGCTGGCCGCAAACCATCCTGCATGGTGATCGGTTAACCAGATGGTGGTGTGTGACAAGGTCGATCAAGCTTACCCTGTCTCCAGTTAGCCAAGGTCCTCTCGCAGAGCCACTGCACGTAGCGGCAAACAGATACATCCATACCCAGACCATGCCCACCGGACCTGCAGGGACTGAGTACGACAGGGTAGACGCAATGGATGGCAGCAGGCCCATGATACTGAAGGCAATCGCGAAGACCTGGACGGTCGAGTAATGTCGCCGAAGCTCCTGCTTGTATCCCATGGCAGCTTTGCCAGTCAGCATCCGCATCCGCATCCATCTTCCTCATCTTTCCTTCCCTGAATGTGTACTGTTACAAGAAAAGAAAAGACATTGACAAGTCCCACTCAGCATCACGGGCTCACGGCTATCATACCTAGCAGCTGCATATCACCTTGTCCAACGGGGGCATCATCACCCATTGCGAGGGCGGACTTGGACTCGGGGTCCATGGCGTGCGATTTCTCCGGCATTGTTGATGGAGAAAGATGAGAGATGCGGAGGAAGAGAAGACACAGGTGTGGGGGGGGAGTAGTCCGGGGCCTGGGAAAGGCAGGCCACTTATACGAGACGCGACAAGAAGGACATCATATCTGTCCGTGCCTGTCTGTGTCTGTCTCGGTCTCTTTCCCTTGCGGAGGAGCAGGGGCGACAATCCTCCCCTGATAAGCAGTGGGGGGGGGGGCATGAGAGGCGGCGCACACAGGCAGGCAGGAAGGAAGACAGACAGACAGCTACTAGCTGGGAGGGAATGGAAGGAATCGTCTGGGCTCGATAGAGACGCCCGAGTAGCCAATCTGGCCCTCGTTTTGGCCCTGATAAGAACCCGCAGGCGGAGGAGGGAGAAGGGGAGAAGATCAAGAGAGGATGGTGGTGGTTCGATGGTCGGAAGCCGAGGGTCGGAATCGGAAGCGATGGCTGGCTGGAGATCAGCGCAGCGCAGCTCAGGCATCCTGTTGGCTCAACTCTCTTATCAGCCCTCTACTCCACGACTGAGACTAGTCCTACTATATAGATAGTATTGCGTCGTTATCGTCCCGCACGCGTCTCTCTCCTCATTTATTGCTTACGACCCTCTAAAGCGGAAAATAAGAAAGAAGAAAGGAAATCCCTTCTTCCGGGGTGTCCAGACCCCGGTGTGCCCAAGATATAATAGTTAGATACATGCAAAGCGACACAAGCACAGTGACCTGTCAGTGCCTCCCGCGACTTAGTGATGGGTATCGCAAGCAAACGGTGCGAAACTACAATCGAACGAACAGAGGAGAGAGGAAAGGAGGCAGGAGCCCAATCCCGCGTGGGCACGGGCGGGGAAACGCGATGGAACAGGAAGCAGACAGTGCGTGCATTATAAGTACATGCGGAATCTCATCTAAACGGCGCCGGGTCCCTTGTGGTTCGACTGGTCCAGCAGAAGGCGCGGTTTGATATAATCCTCGTCCAGCTGCCGGAACCACGCCGCGTGATCCCCGGACGGGCCTCCCGAGAACAGGTCGCGAATGGCATCGCGGGCGCTCAGCGTGTCCCGTCGCGTGGGCGACGTGCTGGCCGGAGGGGGGTCTTGCGCGGACCCCAGGTACTGTTGCGGCTGCGACGGCGAGCGCCGCAGTCGCGAGGTGGTCGGGGCCGGGGCCGACGGGGGCAGGTCGTCGTCAGACGGGCCATCGTCCACGTCGAGGTCGAACGCATCCAGCTGGTCAGCCTCCACCGCACGACCCTTCCCGGTCGTCGTCCGCAGCCCGAACTCGTCCTCGCTCGCCGCGTCGCTGTCGCTGTGGCTGTGGCTGCGGGCGCCACCCCCCAGCAGCGTGGCCGTCGAGGACCGGTCGCGGCTGGCGTTCGTGTCCTTCTGGTTGTATGCATTCGAGTAGAGCCGCGCGTGGCCTCGCGTCCGACCGGAGGCGGAGGGCGGGGGCTGGGGCGACGGTTGTTGCCGCTCGAGTAGCTGTTGTTCCGGTCCAGATCGCCCCGTGGCACGCCGTCCAGCGGGATGGTCGAGTCCATCCGGCGCGGCGTGTATCCCAGCCCCGTGTCGGAGCGTTTGTAGTAGGTGCCGCCGTTGGTGACCTCGATGTCAAACTCATCGTCCGACTCGATCTCTTCGACCACCCCCGTCCGGATCCCGAGGATCTCCAGCATCCGCGCGGTCGTGCCGCCAAAGATGATGACGGTCAGCACCACCACCACGAGGACGGTGGCCCGCAGCGCCGGGGCATTGACCCCCTTCAGGCCCGCGGCCAACGCCACCCCGACAGCTCCACGCAGACCCGCCCAGAATAGCATGGCCTGGTAGGCGAACGGGAGCTCGTCGGCGACATCCATCCCACGGCGACGGGCGCGGTACCGGATAAACCAGTTGATCGCCTTGGACAACGGGAAGACCGCGAGGTATCGCGCGATACAGATACCGAAAACGGCCACCAGGATGAACAACGGCTTGAACTGCAGGTGTCTCTGCACGAGCAGGTCGAGGCCGAGGTAGATGAATATGAAGTTCTCCGACAGCTGAGCCATCACCTGGAAGAGATACTTCGTCGTCAGTTGCGTGCGACGCGACATGTTATAGTAGGCGTAATGCTTGAGCGTGATTCCGCAGAAAAGGAGAGAGACGATGCCTGTACACACGTAAGTTTTCCCTATCGGGGACCGCGAAGGGGCCCTGCCATCACTCACCTGAAAGATATACGCCATTGGAGAAGAAGTAGCTGGCATAGGCGATGAGCACAATCAGGCAGCTCTCGATCTTAGGCACCCGTCGGACGTGTGTATACTTGAGCCCCAGGGCGGTCATGATGCCGACGATCACGCCTATCATCATGCTACCAAAGAAAACAAGCAAGAAAACGCCAATGGCCTCGAACAGGTTCAGGAAGGTCAGGGAGCCCGCATCGCTGTCGGCATACTTCTGCGCGGTCTCGAACAGCACAATGGCGATCGCATCGTTTAGAATCGACTCGCCGAAGATGACCGTGTAGAGCTTGGGCTCGACTTTGTAGAGGTTGAAAATGGCCAGAATCGTGACCGGGTCCGTCGCAGACAGAGTGGCACCCACCGAGATCGCCTCGACGAAGGAAATGTTCAGCCCATCCAAGGGGATCCTCGTCCAGAGGTACAAGACCAGTCCCAGCACGATGGCGGAGATGAAGGTTCCAGCGAAAGCAAAGGTAAGGATCGTGCCGATGTTTCGGAAAAAGTTCGCCTGATGTAATTCATAGCCCGATGCCAGAATGATTGGAGGGAGGAGGAGGTTGAAAAAGAACTGGTAGTCGAACGTGACGCTGTCCTGGATAGGTGATTCGGGACTCAGACGGATAATCAACCCGACGAACATGCCTGGTGTGCTGATAAGCGCTTATCCTTTCATCACAAATGCTTCATAGCATCAAGACCAGGCAATCGACGCACCAGCAAAGATAGACAGGACCGTTTCATGGACCGCCTGAATCTTCCTCTGTTGGAGAATGTAACTCGTGAATAGCGCGAACATCAACAACATGATCAGAATGAAGAGCGCCCAGGAGCTGAAGAACTCCTTGTCGCCGGCCTCCGGAGCATCTGCTGTACACCGACCATGTCAGAGTCAAGAACCTTCAATCGAGAGGGGAGCGGGGGTGGTTGGCCGAAGCGCTGCGCGTACCATCGTCGGGGTCGGTATCCGAGTCCATCGCTCTCCCTAGCCAGCGCAAGTCCAGTTAGTTAGCTTATCTCCGGAGTGAGGAGGAAGTCGCGGAAGTCTCCATGAGGGAGGGGTTCGCACAAGGCACCGGGTAATTCGAGTCGCGTGGGGACGGGGACACATACGGAGCAGCTGGTGCACGAAGTCACCCATCATCTGGCCAGCCATTGTTGAGATGTCCTCGCAAGCACCAGCACAGCACAGCGGATGACGGTTAGCGCCCAGTAGCGAGTCTCTGGCACCAGGACCAGGCGCACATAATCCGCAGATGACAAGAGACCCGACGGGGGGGAGGCGGGGCCCAAAAAAAGAAAAGAAAAGAAAAAAGGCGAGAGGGAGCGAGAGAGAAAACACCCGAGGAGGATGGAGGAAAGGAGGGGAGGGTGAAGGAAGGAAGGAAGGATGGATGGATGATGAGGCGAAAGCAGGCGGAGAAACGATAGGGGACAGGTAATCGTGTACTATTCTGTACTCCCGCCCGTACGCCGTAATAATCAGTCAATCAATCGGTTGTCCCGCTTTCAACCTTCGGCCCACCCAGTGTGACGTCGCCCTCTCCATTTCTTACATTAATTACTACTACGACGAAGGGTCGTACAGGGCACAGTTCCAAGTAGTACAGCTGCTGCTTCTGTATGGCTTCCCTTCTCTTCTCTGCCTCCATTCCCGACCACCACTTGCCTACCCTATCTATCTATTCATCCATCCAATTCTCACCCCGCCTCGTCTACGGGGACGCATGGACTCCCCGAGTCCCCTCCGCCAGCCGACTAGCCAGCCAGGCCGCCAGCACCGCCGCGCAGCCTCCAAATCTCAACACCCACCCTACGCTGTCGTCCCACGGTTCACCTCGAGGCTTCTGTAGCGCCTTGAAGATGGCGCTTGAGATCAAGCTGGATAGGATCTGAGGCGCCGAGACTGCCACGTTGTGCAGCCCCAGGATAATGCCCGCCTGGGCTAGGTTTTCCTCGCCCCCAGCCTCTCCTTCGCCCCCCTTGCTGGTCCCGACAGCTGACCCGGTCTCTAAATCTCCGTCATCCCTCGCGGCGATGGCCGGGATGCTGGCACCGTGTGGGGAATGCTCATCGGGCAGTGCGCTCTCGGTTTGATGTCGCCGCATCCGATGTTCTGCGTCAATGCGCGCCACCTCCGCAGAGATCAGGGCAAAGGGTGCCCAAAGCGTCAATGCCCATGAGATACCAACGATCCCGATCACCACCGTCGCGGCTTGATACGAGTAGATGAAAAACGTGCTGAACATACAAACAGCAAAGAGCACGTGCGACAGAAGCCAGGCTCGGCGAAGGGTAAACCCGGGGATCTGGAGCCTTGACAGCCATCCCTGGTCCTCCTCGGATTCGCCCTTCGTAGCTCCCGCGAGGTTTATGGGCGCTTCCATCGTTGTGCCAATCGAGGAGATGGAGACCCTTCGGCTTAGGAATGGCTCTTCGTCCGCCTGACTCTCGTTGGAGACGGTCTCGGGGGAAGCCACGGGCTTGTAAGAAGGGACAACCAGCAGGGGCAGGGTCAAGTTGGTGCCAAAAGAGATGATGGCATAGACGAGAAGGGCGAATGTTCCGATTCTAGTAGCTTCCTCCCACGCCTTGTTGATGTCATCGTCTGAGAGACCCGGATGCCCTTCGAAAAGCGGATTGACATAGAGTTGCCCGATGTATGTCGTAGAATAGAAGAGAAAGGGGAACCAACCGACCCACGCAGCCAGCTGGACTTCACAGACTTTGGCAATCTGGGGTGGCAAATGTTTGATCGACTTGAAGACGTGTCGAAAAAAGGCAACAAGGCCAGGATTGCCGGACGGAGCTGGTCCCTCGAGACGCGGGTCACGTTCCTTGATGTATAGGCAACTAACTAACAAGGTGATGAAAAGTGCGACAGACGCCAGGGCACATAGCACTTTGAATTGCGTGTTTCCCAAAAACGGAAAGAACTTGGGTAGGTCCATGTATCCAAAAATGTAGCCAAGAATGTTACCGACGCCAGTTAGCCGGCTTGCCCAAGCATTTGCCGACTCTTGCTGGTGTGGCGGTGCATTATCCACAATAAAGCACCGGATACCTGCTTGCACTGTATAGTCGAAATGTCACTTGAGGTCCGTCTTAAGGAAAAGCATGAGAAGCCCCTACCAGTATTTACGGAGAAGTCCAGACAGTACATCAAGATGGTGGCAAACACAATGACCACCGTCTGCGTCGCACTGGAGGTTGGACCGACGCCAAATATTCCAAGAAGACCGCCTGTGATCTCCTTGACCCAGGCGAGGGCAAGCAAAGAAACAACGGTTGCCGCACCGCCTACTACCATGAACGGTTTTCTTTTACCCCATGATATACGGCAATTATCGCTGCAGATGCCAATATATGGCTGAACCAAAGTACCCGTCAAGGGACCAGCAATCCAGACGAATGCAAGTAAAGCCTTGCTCATTCCAAGCGACAGAAGGTAGGGCTTTCCTCAGACAACATCAGTCTCCAACTTCATATCACAGGGAAGAAGCAGCGCAATCATGACTTACCGATCCATTTGATAGCTCGGTGGACCACACGACCTGGAGGCTAGATATATCTTGTTAACCTTGGTGGGATGTCGACGAGGAAGGACCCACTCACCCCCCAATGCTTAGCGTCAGCAGAAACAGGTACCAGCTGCTCTTTGTCTCCGAAAGATGGTGGGGGTCTTCAGCCCTGCTGGCCCCGTTATGATCCCCATTGTTTGACATCGAAGGCACTTCATTATTGTCAGATGCTCCCACCAAAGGGGAAGTCTCGTTGGCGAACCGTTCATCTGTTTGTGTCATTGATCCGATCTCGCTGGCTACAACGTCCCCCCTTGGTTACAGTCTGGGACCCGATGGAGATTAGCGGGTGGAACTGTCAGGCGTTCCTAGGTCTGTCACTCATGGAAAAGCCCCGAGGATTCACGCGGCACTATTCCATATAGTGATTAGAAGCAAAGAACCTAAGGCCTTGGAGGTCGTAATACATAAGCTAGCCCCAGGTACGACCAACCACCCTGTTGCTTCCTCTCTGCTCGGGAATAGGGGAAGTGGAGGAATGCAAGCAGCGAGAAACGGCCGGCAAAAATCGTCCCGATGGGTACCCGAATTGCTGGGAAGACGGGCGGACTGCAGACGGGGTATAATAGTAAATAGTATAGATCTGACGGGAGTGGGAGGCGATGGGCAATCTGGCGTACAAAGGTCAACAGCTAGACTCGCTCCATGTTGACGAGATCGGAAGAAAAGTAACGCTGCTTAAGAGCGGAAGAAACAAGAGGAGAAAGGAGAGGAGAATCGGACGTGTCTCCGATGAAGGAATCCTTGTAGAGTTGGGGGTCAATGGCGACGTCAGCAGGTCCCGCACGTGATTGATACGAGAGAGCTTCCAGATTGGGGTCGATCACGGGTGGAGCGAACGGGGGATCGGGGGGATATAGTGAGAGGAGGTATACTCCGTACGGTAACTGGTTACGGTATTACAAGTAAATATTGGTGGTACTGTGTAGCTCGATACCGCATGGTTTCATTACTCATTACTCCGTACCGTTCGATTCATCTCTCGCTATAAGTAGTATGTAGATAGTAATAGTTATGTGCTTCTGGAATATCTATAGCGGAAAAAAAAAAAAAAAAAAAAAAAAAAAAAAAGCTCAAACATTTCCACCTCTCGGGCTTCCATCCCATCCGGGGAGGAAGCATCGCGGAGATTCGCAAGAATATCCCATGGCCAAAATGGCCTGTCAAACGCTAGATGCGTCCCTTTTGTTCAGCCCGCATCGTGTAAATCCAAATCCCCCAAGACCCCACCAATGAGAAAATGAAAATGAAAATAGTACAAGAAATCCCATTATCAACATAGCACATGAAAACAGATAGAACCAGGAGCCTGACCCGCAACAAGGAAGAAAAGGGTAGAGGAACAAAAGCAATAATTATGGTAGAGATCACAGCACACCAACCACCAGTAACAAACACACGTAACGCTTATTGCAAGAAGCAGATCCGGCGCGAACGCCAATGAAAGGCCAAGTCGGGGATCAGGAAGACACCTGCAGGTCCTCCGGGGAACCAATGGATGCGAGCCGCGGCGACGTGGCACCATCCGGCAGGTGCCACCGGGCCAAGCTGTTTGAACTTGGCAATGCAGAAAATCCAGCCAAGACCCAGAATGGGGAGAAGTGCCAGAAACATACTAGACCAAGAAGCCCCCTGGTCATCGGCTCTAGAGCAGGAAACAAGACCATGAATGGTTGAGAGTCGAGATACGAACACCCGTGATTACTGAAGAGCGAGTCGGTCGGGTGAAGGTGCTCTAGAATCTCGAGAAATCGATTATTCAGGAGTGCATTCGGAAAGCCGCTCATAGATGCTGTTGTAGGAGCTGAGGCGCGATCATGTGGGGGGCAACCATTGCAGGCATGGCAGACGGCAAGGTCATCGCGGGGGGCATCGAAGTCATCCCAGGCACATTGACCATGGTGCCGTGGACCGATTCGGAGGGTGATGATCCCTCGTCCGCCGAACCAAATCCGTTATCCTCGTTGTCGAAGTCTTCGTCGTGTGAAGCAATGGGCTGTTGCCCATCCTGCTGGGCCTCGTGGATTCGCCGATGTCTGTTACGTACAATTAATATCATCGGCATGTCGAGTGGGTGTCAGCTCTTGAACTTACTGTGCCAAGTTGTCTGACCGAGAAAAGGCCTTGTTGCAGTACGGACAGGGATAGGGCCGCTCTTGGGTGTGAGTTCTCACGTGCCTAGAGGATGTATGTTAGTCGGCGGCCACAGGAATGAGAGGACAGAGGCTTCTGCGAATTCTCCTAGACAGGTAGAAGAAATTAAGAAGCCGCTATATATAGATGGCTGCAGCTTACCGTTTGAGGTGCTCTAATCTCTTGAATAGTCGTCCACACGATGGAATCGGGCAGGAGTGTGATTTCTGAGGATATGGGCCAAGCTCCATCATGGTAGCACTTCGAGCACGACGGACGGGACCAGGTGCGTAGCGCTCTGCCTTGTTTGATGCACTGTTCTGAACAGATGCGTCCAATACCTCACCACTGGGGAGAGGCGCTAGTTCATCCGGTGGGTTTGCAAGGGCCAAAGGATTCTGCTCGGCATTTTCTTCCAGACTTGAAAGTGGGGTACTGTTGCGAGACATCTCATGCAGCAGGTTCTTTTGGGGAAGAACCGCAGCACGGTATCCATTGGCAGGCCGGTGACCCAAGTGGTGAGATTCGTCCACTTCCGGCACCGGGGCGACAGAGCTTGAAACGGAACGACGAAGATCGCTTGGTCGATGAGCTGCGTATGCCACAGGTTGGTTGGGTGCGCTCGTCGCCTGGGTGTGCGTAGGAGCAGCGACGCTAGTGACACTCGGAGGAATGGAAGACCGGCGTCTACGTTGCTTATACGTAGGGGAGCCCTCTATCACCGAGTAGACGTTTGACGGAAAGGTCCTCGTAGGGGGTGGGTAATGAGCGCTGGTGAGGTTCGATGGAGGAAGCTGCATCATTGGATTGAACGTTGTTCCGGAGGTTATATCAGGGATGGCAGTGTAAAGACCAGTGTCTTCATTCGCGATGTATGCCGGCTCGGCTCCAAGATGAGAGCTGTGCTGAGGAGGTGTGACAGGTTCGAAGGACAGACCACGATTGCTGTAGTCCTCATATTGGGAGGAAACGAACGATGGAGCCGGCGAGTACTCGACGAAGGTGGGCATGGAGGCATGGCGCTGGTGAATGCGAGCAATAGGCATCCCGTTGCGGTCGTACTGGTAATGCCCGTATTCTGCTTCGCGCTTAATAACGCTCTGGGCCAGGGTGGTTGGCATAGGAATCGGGTTGTACATCGCCGGATTGCCCGACTCGTCTTGAAGTAGGGGTAGCGCCGGGGGAGCCATCTGGGGAGCCATCTGGGGAGGAGGCATAGCGTCAACGGTCCGAACCACTGGGGAAGCGGGTTGGCCATATGTCGTACTTGCGTGTGCAGCAAACGAAGATGAATTTGCTTGTTGAGCCTTTGTGAGTTGTTCATACAGCGATTGAGATGAATCGAACTCGAAAGACAGAGCAGGTTCGCTGACCGCAACAGTGGTCGCCTCCTGCCCCATTTTCTCCCGCTTCAGATCACGTTCCAGCGCATCAAGAAACAGCCGGTCGTGCGGTACGCTATACCAGTAGAAGACCTTCTGCTTTTTCTGGGTTCGAATGCAATTATTCTTGTAGAGGAAATCGAGAAAAGGGCTCTTGGGTTCTTCTAGAGTGGCATCAGTTCCGGCCTTGAGGTTCCGCAAGTCCGAGAAGATACCCTCCTCGAATTTCTTCGAGTTTTTCACGGGGCGCCCGAAGGCTTGGAATCTGAATGCGAGGCATCGCACGATATCGGTGCCCGAGATGTGAAAGAGGTTGTTCCTGCCACAAATCAGTCGATGCGCCCTCCGCCAGGGTGTGATACTGTAGCCACGACTAACCAAAGGACACAAGAGATATAATCGCCAGTAGGGAGGAGGAAGCGCCGAATGAGTTGATCCGCATGCCAGTCCACCGGGGCGGAGAGGAGGAAGTACTTCACTACACCAGAAACAGATCATCAGTCAAAAAAGGAATCTAATGAAGGCTAAGAAACCGGGGATGGAGGCGACAGCAAGAAGAGCGAAGCTGGCATGGGATGACAGTCGACTCACAGTTGTCAACTTGTTGTAGTGCAACCTGCGCATCATGCGGGAGGCTCTGCTGGGCTTCTGTCGAAAGCATAAACGTCTCTGGCTTTTGAGGAGGTGCCATAGGGGCACCATGTTGAGGATACATGGCGGCTGTAGTGGGGGGGATGTGATACAGTGACCTGCAGAGGACATGATCAGCCAAATGGTGGAATGGATGCGTGTTTGCAAGCATCGCTGCAAACAAAGAAAGAGGCACTGGAGTGGCATTCAAAAGAGTCTGGTTGGCAGCGGTGCGACACCGGTTGGGCCGAACAAGGAGTAGAACGCACCGTCACGGCAAGGCGTTAAATAAAGCGGACACACCACGGCTTCGGGGGGATGAATCAAACAAGAACCCGAGATGGCGATAGAAGTGCTTGAGCAGATACTGAGCGACCCAAGATGAAACACGGCAGGCTGTCCAAACACGGAAAAGAGGTGCCAGCCTCTTGGTACAAAGTGGTGGTGGTGGTGGTGGTAAGTAATAGTAGTACCTAAATAGATAGGCGGAGCCGACCCTCGTCAACAACGGGGTAAAGGAAAGGCAGGAAGAAAGAGAGCAACAGAGAGATGAACTGGGCCAGCCCGATTACAAGACTCTGGGGATAACTCGCACGGCGAAATGGGAAATGAAACGAAAGGAGGTTGAGGAAGAAGGGGAAAAAAACAAGAGGCCGGTCGCGATGGGAGAGGAGGGAGAGGAGGGGAAAGAGGAAGAGGAAAGGAAGAAGGAATGCTTTTTTACAGCGGTGATGAGGTACAGGTCAAGTAGTAGTAGGTATGGAGGGCAAGTCAGTAAAGGGTAATGGTAATGCCAATCGGTAACTAATATAATAATAAATAATAAAATCAGGAAAGAGAACAATAATGGAGATGGGCGATGATGATGATGATGATAATAAAATCAGGAAATAATAATTTTTTTTAAAAAAACAAAAAAAAAAAAAAAAAAAAAAAAAAAAAAAAAATTGAAATAAGGAAAAGAAAAAAACAAATAATTTTAAACGACCAGCCAGTGTAGGCACTTCTTACTTACGGGGGGAGACTGCGAGGGAGGGAGGAATTCAGGGAGTGCCGCCGACCGAGACCCGCGGATCGAGTCGCCCAGTGGAAGCCTTCCTCAATTCTCCTTCCCCTCCCTCCCTTTGGCCTTTAGGTTTTCCCAAGTTGGTTGGGCTCCGGGAAACGCGCACGGCGAAAAAGTAGGGCTTTTGACTGGGACGAAAAAAGCGGAGACTGGCGCCAGGGACCGACTGGATGCAATAATAATTCAGGGAAGGACTCCAGCGAGTACGGTAAAGGTCTGTTCCCGTACGGAGTCCTCAGGACAGCACGGAAAGGAGTGGGGTCGCAGGGCCTCTTCCGGCCTTTTTTCCCTTGGGCCCGGCGGTAAGCCAGGTAAAATACCCAGGTATCTGAACGGTCATTCTTACTGGGTACTGGGTACTAAGGTAGTACTATCTAGGTACCTATGGAGTATGGGGTCATGTATCAGCTACCTAGTCGATAGGTAAGTAGGTAGTTAATCAAGCGTTCCTGCGACTATGGCTCCCTCCAGGAGCTTATCTGAGTAGGTTCTCTTAGATAGGTTGGACTACCACCTACCACCTATTTACTACTGGATACATGTGAACTCAGCAGTGGTTTACGGAGTAGTTATCTACTAGTGATACCTCGTACGGAGTACTGACCATGGTACTTACTCACCAGAAGGAGAAAGAGCCGGGAGACTGAGAAGGCCAGAGTGGGGCTTCCGTCGAGTTCCAAAGATTCCATTCCATCATCCTCACCGTCTACCCACTGGCTGGGTCAAGCCAATTCATCCGTTCTTCTTGCCGGGCCCCCCACCCACTTGGGTTAGCCCGCGATAGTTGCTAAACTTATCAATAGTCACGGAGAATCCGAGAAAAGAGACTGCTCAAGAGATAGATAGACACACACACCTGCAATCCCCTTATGAGCAAGTCAATAGCTTCAGCTTATGCCGAGGGTCGGCCGTGACCTCTTCTTTCGCCCCGGCACGACCTCGGCGGGCGTTCTCTCTCCTCTCAGCATGACGACCGGCTTCGATTCGATAGCGCCTTGTTTCCGACGAACGCTTCTTCTTGAAGATGTTCTTTTACATCACTCTGCCGGGTTAATCACTGGCTTCCCAGGTGTGGGGGACGTATGGCTAACCTTACCGGTAGAATTGGCCAACGCAATATGCGAAGTGGGGATATCTAGCCCGGCCTACTGTACTTTAGACTCTTGGGGTTATTTAGTAAGTTAGAAGACAGTTAGTTATGCCTTGGCCGGCTAAACCGCTACAATAATACAGAGAGGTATCCGGCTCTTGGGATATCGGATATGCAACCAGAATAAGACATCACCTGAAATCTCCGTGGAGGGACCTCAATAGTGCTCCCAAGTAGGCTCTGTTTGTCGGCATCCGATATACGCATCAGAGGGTCCAAAAAGGAGAGGTTCGGGAGAAGCTCCTTTTTGCCGTAGTTCCTTTTGCTCATGGGTGTAGAATCTACTATCTATGTACGGAGTACCTAAATATCCATCTATGCTATACAGTTGTCGTGGTATCACTACTATCCAGTGGTGTGCCTACCTAGGCGTGCACGGGGCTATGCACCTACATGCCTAGTACACACCACCTGCTGTACTGTTCGAAAAGCGATTCTTTGTTGGCGCCATTCATTTGGGGGCCATTTGCCAGGTTTTGGGCCTCTTCGGGCGGTTACAGTCCAGCATCCATTTCCCACGCCCACCATGGGCCGGACCTGACTGCAGGTAGGATAGATGGTAGGTGCATATACATGTCCCGGCGGCTACAAGTCTTCAGGCTCTGTCAAATAGGAGCAAGGAGATGGTGGTTGCTTAACCGCCCAGGATATTTCCAACCCTCTCTTTTGCCCTGTGCGAGCCGTGCTGCCGTGCTGCCGCTGGTCGAGGTTGCAATGGACAAATGTGCAGCAGCGCTGGAGTGGACCCAACCTATGCCAAGCCTGCACCCCCGATCAAATTGGCGCGGGAAACAATCGTGAAGCATTCGCCCCTTGTTTCAAAGGCCCAGTGAGCGCTTACCCCCTCCGCCAATGGGGGTGGCGTTTTCTCCCTGCCGGCCCACTCCCCCAGTGGCCCCAACTGTGCAATCCACCCTCTCCAGTGATGATGATGATGATGATGATGATGATGATGATGATGATTGATTGATTGACTGATTGATCGATTGATCATTGATGGTGTTGTTCTGCCTCCCCCTCCTCCCTCGGTGCCAAGATAACCGACCTCCTCCCTGCGCTGTATGTAGGGAGTAGCTACGGAGTACTCTGTAGATATCTCATATATCTCCTTCTCAATATCATACTCTCATTATCTGGCTGGATGGTTGCGGCGATCCTCATCGGATGTCAAGGCAGTGCAATTGTCTTAGTAGGTACATATGTGCAATCTGTATGACCATGACCATGGCCATGGACCTGTACCGACCACCACCTGTCTGACAGGTGATTTCTATGCAGGGTTGTATGCGGGTTTCCGAACAAGGAACTCTTCAGCAACTGCTTGAGGGTGGAAGGCACCAAAAATAGACCGACACATCTTACGTGATCGCTGGACTGTGGCGCGATGTCCGGAGTATATACCAGCCACTAACTAGTACAGAGTACAGAGTACCTATTGTACCTAGTTCGGACACTTGGTGAGTATTGCTACTGCAGGTTGGTGTGCCCTCCAGCGTCAAGCGCCGGCAGCAAGTGTATGTAGATGACTCCATGGCCCTAGATCGAGATTGTCGCGCTGCCACCACCAACAAGACAGGCAGATGACCAACTAAAAGCCTAGCCTCCCCCCTTCCTACCTACCTACCTAAGTAAGCCTGGCGGCTATTGGCGGGACTTTCTTCTCGTCCGTGTCTTCGGACGTGGATAGATTGCCTGGGTGATGGATCACCTCGAAGATATTATTTACCTAGTAGTGAGGGGATAGCCAGGGTTGATGGCCGCCATCGCGAGGCCCGTTGCCATTGGCCGACCGCCGCTGTCTACAATCAAGAGTTAATATCGGGTACAAATGATCGCGATCGACCACCAAGATTCCATTCTGCTTCTGAACAACATACAGGCAGAGATTTAAATTAAATTGCCGTGAGTATGGGGGCGGGAAACCCACGCTCAATTTTGAGACCTTCAAGGTTTGGTCCGTGTCCACGATTATAATTGTATATCGAGATTGCGATCGTACTTCTGGAGTGCCCAGATGGCCACAATCTCTGATCTGGTATGGTGTAATAGTAACTCCGTACAGTAGCTAGGACGTGGTACAAAGTACAAAGTACAGTCCAGTACGGAGTAGTGGCGGCTGATGTCTAACTAACTGTGTAAGTATGTAACTGTCCAAATCTCACTGGTATGTCAGCAATGATAGTTATAATAATGATCGCCATGACCGCATACCAGTGTGAATCAATCAATGCCGACCGGTAGGAACGAACGCGGTAAGCCGAATGATCCATCGGCTGCCAACTCCTTCCTACACTACTATCTATCTACTAGATAATAACTAGTTAACGCGAATGACAAATAATGGAACGGCGGTGATGCATAACGTCCTATCCCCCGGGGTGGACATAGTAAGACATAGTCAGGCACCATCAATATCATACGGTCGAGACGTTGAGCTTCAGGGGGTGATCTGCGCAACCCAAAGGCTGAGAATGGAAAACGGCGAAGCTTAATCACCACGGAAGCCTTACGGACCAACAACACCTACCTAGATACCTGGCTGGGATCCAACCTCCAACTACTTCCAGTGAATCCCGTCCTATCCCTCCCCTTTTCGCCCTGACCGTACGGGCAGACAGATACACCGTACGGATTACGGTGTAAGTAGTATACACGGCGTGTTGCTTGAACGGCTCCCCGCCCATTGGCCCGATCAATAAGATCATTATGTAAGTCAGTGATCTGCTCCACATTTTCGGCCGAAGCTGAATGACTCCCTGCACAGGGCTGGACTGCAGAGAGGCCAGAGCACAGGGCACTGGAGGCTATCTACTGACCAGAGACTGTGTATGGCGTATGCCGGAAAAGGGGCATCGCGATGGGGGGGAGGGGGAGGAGGGAGAAGCCCTTTCAGGAGAGCCTAGATATCCAGGGACCACAAAGAAACGACAAAAATAGCCGGGCGTGATGTGATGTCTAAGGCTCCATCCAACTCCAAGCCTCTGATGTGGCTCTAAGCACTGTCATCGATCAGGGACAGTGGGAAGAGACCCCTTGCTAAAGGCAACTTAAGTGGCCACCGTGAGAAATTCTCCGATGACCCAGCCAAAATGCCGGGGGCTGGTTGCTGCATTGGGAGACGGCCGATAGTCCGAGGGTCGCCGACAAGCAACAAGTCAGTCGGGAGGGAGGAGGGACACTGGACCAGATCGTGATCGTGGCTCTCTAGTACTACCATCAACGGAGTACGATGCACTATCGGCATCCAAGGCCTTCTAGTCGACGCCCCTATGGAGCCGACTACGTACGTACGTACTCACTCGTCGGGACTTCTAGCGTTCTACGAAGTCGAGAAGAAGGGACGAGGGCGGAATGGGGCTTGACCTCTCGTGGATGGCTTGATGGACGGGGGAAAAAACGGTGGGGAGAGCACTGGAAGCAGGACACCCTTAGGCGTTAGCATCCCAATAGTGCCATCTTCTATGGAGTACGGGATAGTGCTATCTATCTATCTAGCCAGCTCCCCTGGCGGTAGAATCCTTCCAGACCCTAAAACCGGCACTGCCAACCCGCATCGGGCAACTGAGTCTGGATTCTATGGCGTTCTCGATTAAATTACCCGTCGCTTCTGCCGACGGTGGCTCATGGGAATCTCAGATGAATAGAATACGGAATACATACGGAGTATAATAATATAGTAATAGTAACGGCCTTTGTTATAGTGCTATCACTCTGAGTCGTTCATTGTCCACACCGTGAAGATGGATTGTATTAATATTCAGTATCTAGTAGTATCTAGAATCTAGTCTCTACACCAGACGCCCCAGTCCTCTCCGTTGTCGCTCGGTTCAACGGAGTACTAGTCGATTAGTTAGTACCTGCCTAGCATAGTAGTCATCACCATAGATACCTACCTACCTAGATAGATAGATCCTGTGGATGAAATGAGTCAAGGGCATGCTTGTCCCGCTTTGTGCAACGGGCCTTGGTTTGATCGGCCGTCCTGAAACCATCTAGAAAAGTCCAGCACAGTTCCAAACTTCCGGCATCACTGACATTATTCTCACCTGGAAAATTCCACCGACTTCGACGAGTTGACTCCGGAAGTCGGCCCAGGTAGTAGGTAGGCCCAGGGAGCCCAGGGCGATCAAACATCGTCCGGGCCAAACGCTAGGTCCGTAAATCCCCTTCCCACAATCTAGATACAAGGCACCCTCTGATCTGGATATCTATAGCTCGTCTATCACACCCAGCGATGAAGCTAAGTGGGCGTAGTGTACGGAGTAGATGCTGAAACCTCCCAACTTGAGAACGTGCGGGGGAGGAGGTTGGGGGCGCATCTGGTTTTACTGTCATGCCATTAGATAGCTAGTGGGATGCAGACTACTAAGCATGCAGTACTACTACTAGTATGTAGTACGGAGTAGATATATAGCTAAGTACTCTGTATTTACTTACGGTGTATGTGCAGCTTGCGTACAGAGATGGACTGAATGGCATCAGTCAGTACCCATCTGTTGGCATCCCCAAGACCTCGTTCTCAACGGGAGTCCTCCATAAGAGACCTTCAGAAATCAAAAAGGGGCTTGCTTGGGCTATCCCGAAAAGCGATATAAAGCCGGAGACCCTTCCAACAAACTTCCTGCAGGCCCTAAAGAATGGTCGGGCAATGATCGTGACGGGGGCAGAGGAGAGGGCCTCAGTCCGTCCCGACTGCCGAGTTCCCAAGTCGTCCAAAGTCCAAGCTCCAAGGAACCCAATCAGCCGATGGAAGAAAAGCCGGATATATCGGAAGAATGGGGCCGATCAGCGGTCTTGTTCCGGCGCCTCGCCGTTTAAACCTCGGGCGCGGATTTTCCACCCCGTCAGTGATCAGTCAGGGCCAGCCCAGCCGAGAAAGCTGGAATTCGGCCTCCGTGGGCCGTGGAGTTGAGTACGGAGTAGGCCGTAGTAGATACAGGATGGATCATTATTGGAGCCAGTTTTGGTCCGTGTTTACTGGTTGTGTGGGTTCGCTGGCGTGGGATGCCCAGTGAATGCTCAGGCTATAGATCGACCGCCTGGGTAGTTCAACACCTCCCCATAGATAGATACCTAGATACCTGCTGCTGACTGCTGACTGCTGACTGCTCGATATTAAGGACCACCGATGGCTCTCCCAACTATCACGCCGGCTAGCCCAGGAACAGAACGCCAAGAGGGGACAGGCTAGCGCTAACGGCGGGGATTACGCATTCTTGCCCACGTTCCTGCATTCTACTTATGTGCGGTTGCGGTGGTCCTAGGGAACTTCCTTCTGGGGCTAGTACTAGTAGTGATAGGCCGAGAGTGCTGTACTTCCGTATCCAGAGTACTTACGCTGTATTAGCAGATAGCGGTGATTGTGGACTCCGTCCAGCCCGCATCATGCTACATACAGCCTACCGCAAGCAAGGCAAGGCACGGCACCGGACCAGCCGACAGTCAGCAGTGGGCTCCAAACAGTATCGGGGCCACTCAGAATTCGGTGGACTTCCGCTATGGGGGGTGGGGGAGGGGGGGAAGGGAAGGAGAAGGAATCATCACGTCAAGTCGGTGGAAATCCAGCCCCCCCCCCCTGAGAACTGAGAAGTGAGAAGTGCGAAGTGCGTCGAGAAGCGAGGATGATGAATGAGGGCTACCGGTTGCGACTGACTCGTGGGAAGCGAGCTAACTGGCGGCGAAGGTGTCAAAAGGACGCTGCTTGGAATGGTTACGTGCAGATTCTGAAACGACGAGGAGATTTACCCTCTCCTCTCCCGCCTCGCCCGCCTCGCGGATGTGTGGTTCGCACATGGCATGAGCTTGCAGGTCTTTGGGAGAAAGAAGGTGTAAGTATCTACTATCTAGTAGGGACCTCCTAGATAGCAATGACCAACCAATTCCAGGGTATAACGGACCCAACAAATCAGGACACTGAGCAGAAGCAACCACCACCGAATCTGGTATCTGTTATTAATCCGTCCGTGGTTTTCTTCCCCGTTCTTTCCTCCCCGGCGGTACCTGCCCTGGTACCTGGACTAGTAGGGGATTGAACCACGGAACTGCCACCCGCTCTAACCCAACCAACCTATTAATATCGGGGTCTCATGCAGGTACCGTCGACTTTACCAGGCTAGCCTACTAAGTACTACTACTAACTACTAGATCGATCCTGACTAAGTAGGCCGCTTACACTACCTACTACTAGGAGGTATACTTACTCCCTTACGCTTAACTACGGACTACGGATTGGATAGATAGATGGGGTGAGGAGGGCCCGAGGAACTGCTTCACACTTAACAGTGGGACGGCCATCCACTAGCAGCAGATCGGTGTGTGTAGCCGCACATTTCGCAAACTCAATCATATCAGCCCCGGCTTCTAATCCCTACTAGGCTGGCCTCCGCCGAGGGTCAACGGGCAAAAATCAGAACAGAGGGGAAAGGAAAAAAAAAAAAAAAAAAAAAACAAAAAAAGGGAGTGTGATGTGACGGATCAGAACACAGGCTAGAGCACCCCCGACTCAACAATGAGTGATGAGTCTGCGCACGGAGTAAGTACCCAGACCCAGACACAGACACAGCATGCAAGGCAGTATCTACCTAGTGTCTAGTAGTGGTTACTGACGTGTGTCTTACTGGTCGTTCTCCAGTGGAAACATACTAACGAGTGCTAAAATGTCTTGTTTACGTTCGGGCCATTGTTATTCGGTCCGCTCTCCTCCGTATACGAGATGGAGACGTTCTATTTTTGCTCGATAAGGAACTAAGCAGGCGTTCTCAGATCTATCTAGGAGTATCAGCTGTTTATAGAAAGCATCGGGCGGCTAAACCGACCAACCTCTGGGGAAACTCCCGCTGCGCTTCCATGCTTGATCAGCACCTCAAACGTCCTAACGACAACCCGCTGTCTCAGATTCGGGGGTCTTGTTCTCAAACCTTAGTTCGACTCGGGGGTTTCGCCAGATCCGGAACAGCGCCCTGGGCCTCACACATAGTTTGGAGCCATTGGGACGTGCTTCAAAAGCTGGTCTCAGGCATTCGGAGCAATAAGGTTTGGGCGAGCAAATCAGGAGCTTCGGGGTGGGATCAATGCTGCAGCATGGACGTCGCCGCCATCTCGACGGCGTCGACGCACTCGATACGAGAGGGGGCCGGTCGGCGCTCTGTCATTCCCTTCGTGGATGCAAATCCAGAACCCGATCATCCAACCTATCACAGCACCTCGGGACCCGGTCGCCTCCACGCACTGTCGTCGGGGCGAGATGGTGAAACAACAAGCAGGAGGAGGCAAGGCGAAGGCGAAGGATTGGCAGGAAAGCCCCTCATGCGAGGAAACCACCCCCCAGTCTCCCACAGTCCCCTCTTCCCGGGTTATCGTCATTACTGGGGCTAGAATATGCTCAGTGCTCTCGATAGGTCGAATTTGAGCACGGAACGTGGAAGGATCTGACGAGATGTGGTGTCAGGCATGGCTATCGACTTCCATCTAGCGACTTCCACGTCCGCGTCCCCCCCGTCCGCGTCCCCGTCCTCCTCTGCCTCTGCCACCTGTCGACCGGCGTGGCCCTTGGATGGCGGCCACATCTCGTTTGCTAAGGTTGAGAGCGCCACCTGCGAACTTTCCAATGGAGGGACCTCCAACACCGCGTTCCCTGCGTTTGGTGCTTGTGCTCGAGGACTTCGGCGCCGGTTTCTCAAGAATGATGCCGTTCTCCCTGGCTTCCCGTCGTCGCTTGTCCTCCTTCATGCCCGCCTTGGCCTTGATGCCTCTCCGGTGCGAAGAAGGCATGTTCTGCTTATACAGGGACGCCTTGGCCCCCAGTTCTTGCATCCGCAGGTCAAGGGCCTTGATGCGGTTTTTGCCGGTTGGCGCAAGTTCGGATGCCGAGTCCAGAAGATGGGATTCCTTGAGAAGTCGTTGCAGGGCGAGATCGTTCTTGAGGTTGTCAGCATCGGTGGCATTGTCCTCGCCCTCGGCATCTTTGTCCTTCTTGAGGCGTTTGACGGTCGTCTGTTCTACAGAGGATGGCGGTTTCGAGGTCTTGAAGATCGAGGAGTCAGTAGGGAGCCCTGACTTTGGGTGTAGATATCTCGTAGACGTACCATGAACGCTTTCCGGGCTTGCTTATCCATCAGGGCCTGGGTCTCGGCGTCCCGGTGTTCAACGACCTCGACTTCGTTTACCTCGTCGTCTTCGTCGGAAACACCACCCCATTCGGGCTCGGATCCAGACTGTTCGGGGCCTTCATCCTCGCTCTCCTCTTCAGATTCGTCACCGCCAGCAACCTGGCCTCCGGTCCCCTCCTCCAAGGGTTGAAACTGAGCCTCGAAGAATTTGCGAAAAACATCCTGATAGGACGCATCGACTGGTGGCTGCTGCGGGATGCCTTCGTCCTCGGATGCTGTAGCCCGGGACACGACGGACGCGTCTCTCTTCCGTTTCCCGACCATTTTCCTTGCCTTTCGTGCGGTAAGAAGTGAAATCCCCGGAGGCCAGCGGAAGGGAAAAATTAATGCCAGCAGTGACGACCGTGCCGTAGTTACATCCGCTTACCTAATCGCCGTCCAGGGTCGAGCACGTGCGATAAGATAGGCCGAGCCCCTCCCTCGTGGGATTTCCTCCACCAAACAGCAGCCAACAACTCAGTTCAGTCAATCGATTGGAAGAAGAGCAAAGCACAATGACCAAATTCCGGCCTTGTATCGATCTCCACTCCGGTCAGGTCAAGCAGATTGTCGGCGGAACGCTGAGCAATGTGGCCTCGGACCTGAAGACCAACTACGTATCCAAGCTCCCCGCTAGTCACTATGCAGAACTGTACAAGAAGCATGACTTGCGCGGAGGCCATGTCGTGAAGCTTGGCCCCGGCAATGAGGAAGCAGCACAGGAGGCACTTCGTACATGGCCTGCCGGTCTGCAGGTTGCCGGAGGCATTACGGACCAGAATGCTCAGTACTGGATTGACCAGGGTGCCGAGAAGGTGAGCTTCCCTCCGTTCTAGCCTACGCGCATTTTGTTCTATGCGCAGCATTGGGTTGATATAGCCTCTCCTGCTCCCTGAACTATCGGGATTCTGTGTCTTGTGGCATATTGCTTTCCACGGATGTTTGCGCTTTACCTTCATCATTGGCATAATGCTGACTATCTCCCCCATAGGTCATCATCACATCCTTTCTCTTTCCCGAGGGCAAGTTCTCTCTTGAGAGACTAGAATCGATTCTTTCTGCTCTTGGAGGTGATCGGTCCAAGCTGGTCTTGGATCTGAGCTGCCGTAGAAAGGACAACACATGGTTTGTGGCCATGGACCGCTGGCAGACCATTACCGAGATGGAAATCAACAAAGGTAAGCACCTCGCCCCTAAGTCCCATTCCACAATCCTCCACTGGACTCTTGCTACTTTTCTTCTCCCCCTTTCCGCCGGTCTTCCCTTTATGCCCTCGTTCGAGCAGGAAGCTAACCAAAGCAGAATCAATCGCATTGCTGGAGCCTTATTGCTCCGAGTTCCTGATCCATGCTGCCGATGTCGAAGGTCTGCAGCAGGGTGTGGATGAAGAGCTGGTCGCCAAATTGGCCGAGTGGTGCACGATCCCCATCACATATGCCGGGGGTGCTCGGAATCTCCGGGATCTAGAAAAGGTTCACAACAGCAGCCAAGGGAAGGTGGATCTGACCATCGGGAGTGCGCTGGATATCTTTGGGGGATCTGGTGTGACGTTCGACGAGTGTATAGGGTGGAATCAATCGCACTGAATGAGTGGGATCCGGGGGATTGGCTCCATCCATGGGGACATGCACACCGATGTATATATACATGCTACACAGACGCCGACGCAGAGAACCACTACCGTGGCCAACAAAGAAAGGCTCGCGGGAAAAGCAATTGTGATTGAAAAGAGCTGCCATAGCGAAAGAACACGCGAAGTCGGTCTCCTCTCGCAAAGGCCGGCCTCAGTTAACCCCTCCGACAGATCCCCTCCTAGAAAAGAATGACGCGGACCAAGGCACACAACCGTCGCCCGAAACGGCTTAGCGCCCCTCCCGGAGCGGCGCCTGCGATCCTCGACATCATCCATCCATCGCCAGCAACGGCCTCATCCCCCTCGACCGCTGAATCACTCCCTCACACTCCCTCACACTCCCTTATCACCGCCCAAGATGAAGCCTGTCGTCTCCGTCCTGAACGCGTGGTCCTGGTAAGTCCGCACTCTTCCAGCCCCAATCCATGCTGGATACCCAGTACGCCCTCCAAGCTAACCACTCTCTCTCACCCCAACCCCAGCGTGGTCATCTCCCTCTTCGCCATCGTCATCCTCTCCGTCCTGGGATCGCTATACCAGGTTCGTCTCTTCGTCTCTCCCACCCCCAATACGCCCCGAACCATTCAACTAACCCACCCGGGACGCACCAGCGAGAACACCCGAGCTTTACTGGCTCCGAAGGCGAACCGGAAGATGGCGCCGCAGTCGCAGCTTCGATCTTCACCGCCGTGCTTGTCTACGTCGTATGCACCCCCTCCCCCCCCCCAACACAACCCCGAAAAAAAAAAAAAAAAACATAAAATGAAACCCAGAGGTCTGATTGCAGTTGTCTATGATAGGCTTTCTTCGTCTTCTGTGCTTTCCAGGCCTATCTGCACATGAGAAGCCGTAGGGGAGGCGCGATATCTTTGAACTGAATAAGCGGTGGTTCTGTTGTTCTTTTTTGCTTTCTCTCTCTCTCTCTCTCTCTTGAACCCTGGGGGTTTATGTGCTCGGTCTGCTATTGATATTGGTTTTATGGAGGGTGGAAGTTGAGAAGAAGTCGGGCGTTGCTAAGATGGTGTGATGGCCTGGTGCTGGTGCTGGTACTGTTCTCTGCTGTTCAGGGGAGGAATGGATGGTTACGGAGGGGTGGTCCGGCTAGGTCTGATCTACATAGGTCTGTCTGGGTAATGCTCATCTGCCCGGGAGCGGAGCAGAGCTCTATCGCTATACGATCCACCTAGTGAGAGAGGATCGCATGCAATGCGTATAGGCTATCCTCCAAGTCTATGTGTGCAGTGCATCGTATGATGATGATGGTGGGCATGGGACGTCTCCCTGGGCTGGTGCTATCCGTCAGTTTCCGTTGGCTTACGTTTGCTCTCCGCTGGAAGATTACTCTCCACAGCGTGCTTCATGTTTATTTAGATGTCTGTCTGTGAACTCCGCATGGGCACGGGCGATTTGCGGGTTGTATATAGCGTGTTGGTTCGAATAGAACTTCCTCCGCCTTTTTATGACGCTGTGATTTGTTCATGGACTCGATGCCATCTTTCTCCCGCGGATGGCCCCGTCTACCTAGTCGGGTGGGGAGGAGGGCTCATGTGCCACACCACACGTGGTATTCGTCTCATCCCCAAAGTATACCCTCTTGTGCCATGTATGTATGTCTATATGTACAATGCAATCTCCAATCCAGCCATTTTGGTATATGAATCGCTACTGACACCTGATTATGCCGAAGATGATAAAATGAAGAGCCAGCCACCTGTCTAGCCTTGAAAACCCCCTCACAACGCCGGATGTAGCCAACCAACCACGGAAAGAACTTTTATGTCCAAAACCACTTGCAAATCTTGTACGCATAATTCATGAGTGTTTCGCCTAGAACTCCTCGTCCTCGATCGGGTCCAGCATCTTGGACATGTAGGGGCCGTCCAAGGTGTAGCCCAGCCGAGCGTAGTAGCTGCGCACTCCAACGCCCGAGATAACACTGATCTTCCGGCTGCCGTGCTCCTCACGAGCAATCCGCTCGGCCTCCTCCATGAGGAGGGTTCCGAATCCACGATGCTGGAACTTGCGCGGGTCACGTCCGTGGAGAGGAACAGCAGATCCGTACACGTGCAGCTCGCGCACGATACTGGTCTGCTGACCCGTGAATTCGGGCCGGAAGGTGTGTGTCGGACTGCACTTGCGAAGTCGCAGGAGACCGATCAAGATATCCTGCTTCGGGTCCTCGTAAGCAAGGAACGTTTCCCAGCCGCCGTTAGCCGTGTAGTCACGGCGGATTAGCTCCACCTGCGAGGGACGGATCTTGTTCTTGACCTCGTTGATACCCACCTCACGGGTGCGGACGTCTCGGCAAGTCGTTCCGAAATCCTTCATCCGTGCCAAGGCAAGTTCGCGCAGGTTACCGTTCTCGACACCCGAGGTCACCAGGGGCATCGGGATATCACGCTGAACACGGTAGATTCGGGTCCACGGGGGCACCAGAGCGAGGATACGAGCCACCAGATCAATTAGGGCGTTCGGGGTGTAGTTCTTGTAGCGACCCGTCCTCCAGAGTTCGTAGAGACCGGTCCCACGAATGACCAGGGTGGGGTAAATCTTCAAGCCATCGGTGCGGAAAGCCGGGTTCTCAAAGTACTCCTGGAACTGGAAGAGATCACGTTCCATCCCCACGTTGGGTAGATCAGGCATCATATGACTGACCACCTTGAACCCAGCATCCTTGGCGAGTTTGAAGGTCTCGGCTACTGCGGCGACTGTGTGACCTCGGTTCGTGTCTCTGGCGACATCTTCGTACAGACTCTGGACGCCAATCTCCAGTCTTGTGCACCCATAGCGCAGCATGCTGCTCAAATGCTGGTCCAGACAGTAGTCCGGCCGCGTCTCGATCGTGATTCCCACACATTTCACGTTACTCATCTCACCGGCCAACACCGCCTCATCGACGTTGTCCGTCTGGTACCCACTCAGCGCGTTGTGAAGCTGGGCCACGAACGACTCACGGTAGTCTTCCGGGAGCGACATGAACGTGCCACCCATGATGATGTATTCCACCTTGTCCACACTGTGACCGAGAGACTTGATCTGATCCACGCGGCCTCGAGCCTGCTCGAACGGGTCGTAACGGGCGCGAATGGCGCGCATCGATGTTGGCTCATATCCGGTATACGACTGCGTAGAGTACTCGAAATCGGAATCCGGGCCACCGGGGCAGTAGACGCAGATGTTTCCAGTGTATGCGATATGGGGACAACGGTGGGGTTTGCTCATTACCGCGACGACCGCGATACCGGACGACGTTCCTGGTGGGGCGAGGTTAGCAAGGTCTGGACATGGGAAGGGAGCGCTGCGCAAACATACTGATCGGCTTGGCAATCAACTTGGGCAAGATGTATTTCTTGTAGTGCTCCGGAACGGCGGCGATGATGGCCGTCAACGGGGGCTGCGAGGCCAGGGCATGCTTTTTGGCGACTTGACCCCGCAGCTTGTTGAGGTTGATGTCTCTCTTGGGTTTGGTGGGATCGCGCTGCGACTCATACTCCTGGATCAGAGCATTCGCAATATCGGAGCAGGCTCTCATGTAGCGTTCGTTTTCAGGGGCCAGTTTGGCATTCTTCTTGGGTTTGGTGGGTGGCGGCACAGTCATGGTGACGGTCGCCATGTTGGAGGGTTGGGAGGGAGGCCACGCAGACACCCTTTTTTTTTTTTTTTTTTGCAATAGCCAGATAGGGGGAGAGAAAGGGAGACAGTAGATAGGCTCACAAGTCCGCTTGGACAGCAGCTGCAGGTATTGGTCCAACAGAGAGTAGTGAGTAGACAGACGGACTGGCAGTACTTCAAGTCGCCCGGGAAAAAAAGCGCAGGCGGAAGCAAAGCGGCAGCCGAACTCGACCGCCCGTGACAAGTCGGATCCGCGTAAAGCCTTGTCCCGAAATCTCCCAGAGCTTCGGTCCTCAGTTCCTCAGTTCCTTCACTCCCTCCCCCTCCCAAAAAGCCAACTCTTGCACGTTCTCTGTGCTCTCCCCTCTCCTCTCCTCTCTTTCTCCCACCCCCCCCCCCAACTTGGACACTTCCCCCCTCCCCTCAGGGTCTCTTCCCCTCCCCAGCAACCATGCAGGCTTTCCGCCGTAACACCGCCTCTGCCCTTCGCAATGCTGCTGCCACGCAGCAGCGCGGATACGCTGCCTCGGCCAGCCCGGTCTACTCCCAGACTGTCCACAACCTTCGCATAAACGCGGAGACCAAGGTTCTTTTCCAGGGCTTCACCGGAAAACAGGGAACGTAGGTTCCCCCCCCCCCCCGTCTCCCGAGGCGTGATCGTGCATGAGATGCTGACGTTGCTGTTTTTTTCGCCGGTCCGCAGTTTCCATGCCGAGCAAGCTATCGCCTATGGTATAACCACCTCTTCCTCTTCCTCCATCTGCGCCAATAAAATCGGCCTGTCCGGTGGTTTCACATAGGATGCTTACATCTGCTAGGCACCAAGGTGGTTGGTGGAACCAACCCCAAGAAGGCCGGTTCGATGCACCTTGATAGACCCGTTTTCGCCAATGTGCGCGACGCCGTGAAGGAGACTGGCGCTACCGCGTCTGCTATCTTCGTCCCGTATGCATCCGCTGCCTAGCCGACGATGTCAGAACCCCTGCTGACGAATGTGATGATAATTGTAGTCCCCCCTTGGCCGCCAAGGGTATTGAGGAGGCCATCGAGGCCGAAGTACCTCTGGCTGTTTGGTAAGCGCCCCGTTGATCTTTTGGGAAAGTTGGACCGGTGCTAACGTGGGAGCAGTATCACCGAGGGTATCCCTCAGCACGGTATGCCTCTTCTCCTGCTGGGTTCCCGCCTAGCGCCGAAGATCCCTGTGTGGCGGGCGACGGACTGACCAACAATCGACCAGACATGGTTCGTATCACGGACATCCTGAAGACGCAGAACAAGACCCGTCTGGTGGGCCCCAACTGCCCTGGTATCATCGCCCCTGTAAGTCGCATCCACCCGATGATCCTGTAGCAGCGAGTTGATATTAATTCCGCTTTTTCTTTCCGCTACGCTAGGGCCAATGCAAGATTGGTATCATGCCTGGATTCATCCACAAGCGTGGCCGTGTCGGCATTGTTTCCCGGTCCGGCACCCTGACCTACGAGGCCGTCAACCAGACCACCCTGGCTGGTCTTGGACAGTCCCTGGTCGTCGGTATCGGCGGTGACCCGTTCTCCGGCACCAACTTCATCGACTGCCTGCGCATCTTCCTCGAGGACGAGGAGACCGATGGTATCATCATGATCGGCGAGATCGGCGGTAGCGCTGAGGAGGACGCCGCCGAGTTCTTCAAGGCCAACAACAAGCACAACAAGCCGGCCGTTGGCTTCATCGCCGGCATTAGCGCCCCTCCGGGCCGCCGTATGGGTCACGCCGGAGCTATCGTCAGCGGCGGCAAGGGTGGTGCCGACTCGAAGATCTCTGCTCTGGAGGCGGCCGGCGTCGTGGTCGAGCGCAGCCCCGCAGCCCTGGGCAAGGCGCTGCTGAACGAATTCGTCAAGCGGGACCTGGTCTAGATGGAGGGATCGGGGGTCTGCCCCCCCGTCTATGCTTAGACAGCTAACTCCCTTTTCTCTGTGTGCGTGAGCCATGGCGGCCCCTTCTGTACTTTTTGTTCGATATCTGGTCTTTCCCCCCCGGTTCCCCGTCATATATCTATCTCCTTTGTTTAGAGATGCAAGGTAGTAATTAGGTTCCTATGTAAATTTGTCTGCAGTCTGGTTCAGGAGGGGGGATGGATGGGGAGACAGCTCCGGTAGGACGTAGTCTAGGTAGGTACGTACATACGTACCTATCTACACCCTGACGGAGTCCGAGTACACGAGGATGTACCTAGTGGGGGACCTGGCAAGCCACGGCCGAGTCAAAGGCCAGGGAACGACGATCCATCCACTAGCTAGATATCTAGTGCCCAGGGAAGCCAGCTGGCCAGAAGTTAGTACAAAGAAAGTATCACCAACCGCGGTCTGTCTGTCTGTTTGTCTACTATCTACTTACTCGCTCGGACTCGTTCTTCCTGCCGCGCCCGGTCCTCGGCCGTGTTTGATCGACTGGCCCCATCCATATTGCAGCCAATTATACCCAGGCTCTCTCTAGTCTCTAGAAGCAAGAATAACTAAGTAATGTTCCCCCTCCCTCCGTTCTCGTCCTGCACAGCGACATTGCATCATGGGTTTGTTCGTTCGACTAGCGTTGGGTCCGGCAATCAATCTATACAACACTAGCAGCACATCTCCCCTCCCTTTAGCCCTCCCCTTTCGGCCCAACACATGCAGAGTGCCAACTATCTATCTATCTATCTATCTCCCGTGTACTCCGTAGGTCTGGTCATACCTACTCCGTTGACGCTTACGGAGGAGGGGAGTCAGTCGTCGGCTTCCCGAATCCGCCTCGGGACCAACCAGCCAGGTATCCCTGCTAGACTTTTGACTAGATCCGTGATGTGATTGATGGCTGCCAGCTATCTATGGACCGTACCTACTTGGGACTCCGTCTTTAGTCTCCGAGATCAACCGCACCTAATATCTATCCCCTCGCTTAGCGACATGACGGAATTGCCCACCTGGAAGAAGTGATGTGATTTAATATCTACGATATCTATTGAATCAACCCCCTCCCCCCACACACACACACATGTGCACGGAGGAGATACATGTCCCGAGACTTGTTATTATCATCATCATCATCATCATCATCATCATCATCAACTTCACAACACGGCAGAGAGGAGGGGAGGTATCCGCAGGAACTAGACCAGGGGTGTAGATGAGCTGCCCCTCCTCTTGCTGTTGGGGATCCATATCTACCACGGAGCACTAGGTATCTAGGTATGGAGACTATCTAGGAGACGTTACTCTGCATCTAGCAGCCTAGTGACTTGACCTAGACAGGGGGTGGGGAGGCGGAACTCGTCATCTAGCCTGCATGGAACCACCGTGTTAATTACTATGTCTATGTATATGGATGGATAGTAGAGTAGGAGAGGGGGCCATGGCCCTGTGGTGATTAAAATAGATCGCGTGCAGGGGAATCTCCCGGGGAGGGGGGGGTGGCACACCACAACAATAGGGCGAATGTGATATTGAGGTGACGGGAGACAATAATGGAGGGAGTCAGGCCCAGCCCGAAAGCCGGACAAGTCAGGCAGGCCAGCGAGAGCATAATACGTAGGGTGTAGAGAATAGACTGGATGGCAACCGGTTGTGAGAGTTGATCGGGAATCCTCCTGTGGTTCTGTCGTCGTTGTCCGGCCTTGGCTGGGCCTTGGCCGGGCCTTGGCTGGGCCCGGTGCCGAGATGCCTGGATTTTCGGGCAGGGTTGTTTCTTTTTTCTTTCTTCTCCCCCTCTCCCCTGCAGGTAGGAGTCTAGGAGAAATGCATGATGTGGATGATGTATGTAGGACGGAAGATCCCGGTTTGTTCTCTGACAGATGGTGGAAATGAATAGTCACCGACTGCTGCGTGTAGTATATACATAAGTACCTACCTACTATTTCCAATATAGATCTCATCCATAGTATATACTACTATATCAATCCCGATGGTTGACCGCCCGTCTTTCGGTGGCGCGCCAGCCGTAGATCATCGCCTCCACTTTGGAAGTTAACCCAAGACAGATTCGACTACCACTGGGACTATACACTACTAATTAGATACTACTAGCTACTACTAAGTCTCTATCCCCGCTGGTAGAAGGTAGAAGGTACTAGATAGATACATCCGACTATCGCTGGAATCCGGGCTGGCCAGCCTGATGGATCGTCGTCTCGCCTGATGATTAGCCCGATAGTAGTCTTCTTCTTCTTGTTGTTGTTGTTGTTGCTCTTCAATGTTCAACCAGCAAGTAATCTTCTTATCGGCCCGCTTGGCGGGTTTTGAGAAGGTTTGGGTTTGGGTTTGGGTTTGCTTTTTTCCTTCTTTCCTTTTCCTTTTTCTTTTTCTTTTTTTCTATTTTTCTTTCTTCCCCCCCCTTCGATTGCGATAAATGTTTTTTTTTTTTTTTTTTTTTTTTTTTTTTTTTTCATCTTGCTTGTTGTTGTTGTTGTTGTTATTCTTTTCTTTTCTTTTTTCCCCTTTATTTTTTCCCGATTGAAGATTTGATATAGAAAAGAGAGAAAAAGAATGGAGTGTACCTACTCCGTAGGAAGTACCGGTATACCCGCCCCGATCTACCTCATCAACGACCGACACTATTGCGATCAGTCTGAGACCTTCTTCCCTCCTCTTCTGGCATGGACTGCGTGTCCGGCCTCTCTTTACACTATCCTATTCGGTCAGTGACATGCATGGATGCCTCGATGCCTCCATCCCTCGCGGTCTTCGTCATCCCCCTTTCTATTAATATGCATCCGGGGGTCGATGCTTGGTTTCGCCTTTAACCCGCCTCCGATCACTTCACCACCACTACGTACCGCACGGCTCCTCATTGCCCTGTCTACCTTGCCTCATATTTAAGCTTAGGGTTCCGTTATACGGTAGACCGGGGCCCCCCATCCGGCGGTGACGGTGGAGTTCTTCTCCGACCTGCTACGGTTCTGCCCTGCGCGGTCTCTGGTACGACCCCGGGGGGGAGAGCCCTCCTGCCCATCCATGACTTCACGTCGCTCTCTCCACCCCCAATCCCACAGTGGACCGCGCCCCACGAGGCTGGCCAGCTTGTCAATTGTCAAAATTTCAATAGAGTCCCTTGGGTGACCGCTGCCTGGGCATGGTGCACGATTTTTTGGGCCTTTTGTCCTCCAGGAAAATCCACAGCCCCCTCCCCCCCCCCCCAATTAGTATGCAGACGGGGCCGATGTAGATCTCCAAGATCCATAACAACCCATTAAATGAGGGTCTGCCAATCAGGCTGGTCTGAGATTGCTCATACTGGACTGTACTGTACCCTCGTTGGTCCTGGTCCTGGCCCGGGTCCCGTGCATCATCATCAAGACATGACGACGACCAGGGGCAAGGGTCCCTTGTATCCTGAATCGCCAATTGACCTGCCTTCCCGCTTCGCGTCGCATCGCCCTCCCTGTTGATCACGCTTAGCAGTTGCTTGAGCGGCATCCTTTTCCACGCACATGGGCGAGCTTCGGGCTCGGATGCCCCACGGGATATCCGTGGCCTTGCATTGTCGCTCACCACCACAGCCGTGATGGCGCTTGAGTCGCCCTTGCCGGCTTCTTATCACGGGCTCCGCTTCCATCTAGACCATCATGCACGACAAGCCCACCGGCGCCCTGAAACACACCACTAATCATCCAGAGGGGAAGGGAACTAGGTAGGTAGGTAGGTCTGTCAGCTTGCAAAGTACTCGCGCTAGCCGCTGTCCAGGATGGCCTGTAAAGTATGCTTTTTCTGGAATTTCATCACCGCGCCGGGTCCACGTCATGTATGCAGATCTTGGTATGCCGTAGTTCCGCCCTTTTTTGCACTTGTTATCCTCGGATGCCCGACGACTGGGTCTCTTGGATGTGACCTGAACTACTGGGTGCCAAGCACGGCCGGCCGAAGAGATACTCCTAAATCGCGCCGTCGTTCACACCTTGGCGATAGGTCCTGCACTTGCCACCCACATGTATCCCCTTTGGGAAGGTCAATGGATGTCCCTCCCCCATCGACAATGCTCCGCAGTGGAGCAAGCCTGCCTCAGCGCCCTGGTCAGGCCCCGAAGATGTTTTGGTGCAGAGATATATTAAACATAAACCTCCGGGCCATAAAGTGCACTGGCCGCGCTCATGTTTCTGCCTGCACATCCAGCGTTTTCCCCTTCAGTTCCTTCAGCGCTTCATAGGTTGGCAACTTGCTTCGAGGCTGGCCCCCGAGACATCTCCACCACCATGTCTTCATCTTCAAGCAGAACAGACCTCGAAAAGGCCCCCGAAACACACATCACCCCGAGAGAGTATGACTCCGAGAAGGAATCCATCTCCCCGCAGCCTTCAACGCTCGAGGGTCAACCACTCGAGAAACCACCGCATCACATTTTCACACGTTCCCGCAAATTGGAGATGGTTTGCATCGTCTCGCTAGCCGCCATCTTCTCCCCCCTCTCCTCAAACATCTACTTCCCCGCGCTCGACGAGGTGTCGAAGGTGAGTCTGCACCGCGAACGGTATCGCAAACCTATCAGACCCCGGATGTTGACCGTGGCCTACATAGTCCCTCAACATCAGCATGTCCCTGGCAACCCTCACAATCACGGTGTACATGATCGTCCAAGGCCTGGCGCCCAGCTTTTGGGGTTCATTGTCAGACGCAACTGGTCGACGTCCAGTCTTCATTGGAACATTCATCGTTTACCTAATAGCAAACATTGCTCTCGCTGAGTCCAAAAACTATGGCGAGCTGATGGCCTTCCGAGCTTTGCAAGCTGCCGGCAGTGCGGCCACCATATCAATCGGTAAGTGCATTCTGATGACTGCATCAAAGCAGCATCCGGCTAAACCATGAGTCCCTAGGCGCCGGGGTCATCGGTGATATCACAAATTCACAGGAACGAGGAAGCTTAGTGGGCATCTTCGGCGGAGGTAAGAATAGCACTCCAATCCCCCAAGGGACGCGCAGTATGACAGAGCTGACAAGAGCCAAGTTCGCATGCTTGGACAGGGAATCGGGCCAGTCTTTGGTGGTATTTTCACCGACTATCTCGGGTATCGATCCATTTTCTGGTTTCTCACGATATTCGGAGGCGTGAGTCTAGTGTCCATACTGATCCTCCTTCCGGAGACATTGAGGCCTATTGCTGGAAATGGCACTGTTAAGCTCACTGGAATTCACAAACCATTCATTTACATGATCACGGGCCAGAAGGGTGCCATCGAGGGTGCGGAGCCGGGAGTGAAGAAGACAAAAGTCACCTGGCGCGCCGTGCTTGCTCCTCTGACATTCCTCATCGAGAAGGATGTTTTTATAACCCTCTTCTTCGGAAGTATCGTATACACTGTGTGGAGCATGGTGACGTCAAGTACCACAGACCTCTTCAGCGAAGTTTATGGCCTGTCCTCCTTGCAGATTGGATTGACATTCCTGGGCAATGGTGAGGATCATATTCCCGCTCGAAAACCTTCCGGTTGGACGGTTGCTCATTGTGCACTGCAGGGTTCGGATGCATGTCGGGATCGTACTTGGTCGGATACCTCATGGATTATAACCACCGCTTGACTGAGCGCGAATACTGCGAGCAACACGGATACCCAGCTGGCACGCGTGTCAATCTGAAATCCCACCCAGACTTCCCCATTGAGGTTGCCCGGATGCGCAATACTTGGTGGGTGATTGCCATCTTTATCGTAACCACGACTGGGTTTGGGTTCTCCCTGCGCACGCACCTCGCGGTCCCCATCATCTTGCAATACTTTATTGCTTTCTGCTCAACCGGAATCTTCACCATTAACAGCGCGCTGGTCATTGACCTTTATCCGGGAGCCAGCGCCAGTGCGACGGCAGTCAACAATCTGATGCGGTGCTTGATGGGAGCCGGTGGTGTGGCTGTAGTGCAGCCGATAATCGACGCCTTGACCGCGGAATGGACCTTCCTCCTGCTGGCTGGTATCACTCTTGTGATGACCCCGTTGCTGTATGTGGAAGATCGATGGGGCCCATCCTGGCGACATGCTCGCGAGCGGAGACTGAAAGCGAAGGCCGATGCCAGTGCGAATTAGAGTAAAGATGTCAAAATGATTAAAGTGTGACCGTGATAGCCAGTATTGTTGGTGTTGGTATGGTTTTCTCCTCCAATGTAGCCGATGTCCGGGGTCAGACAGCTTGGGGTGGGTGGGGGTAGTACTAGTGGGGGGGGGATCGCTCGATGGCAGATGGCAGATGGCAAAGAATATATGCACTAGATAGAAGATAGAAGATTCGGACGTGACTTGTTGGCGGTTCCCCCCCTGGCAAATGGATAAAAGTGCAGAGAGAACAAGGCCATTCGTAACTGATTCAATATTGATCGAATGGTGTCATGAATGATGAAAATTGTACTCTGTTTCTGGAACTAAGAGGGATCGCCGCGAGTCCGTGGAGCTATCTATCTAGTAGTACTAGTTCAGACAACACGTGATATATGTTGATGATGTCCCGTGACTTGTGAGGTCACGGGCTCGGGATCTGAGCAGGAGGGGAACTGCTGTTGCTGCTGCTGTTACTGCTACTGCTAAATTAGCCAGGTTCAGGTACAGAGTATGGAGTAGTACTTCATACACCAGCATCCAAAACCAGATTCGAGTATGATTGCATTCTTCACGGACCCCGACCTAGTCTATAGATATCGTGTGGTATGTATTTATTTGGCCGGCAAGAATGTGCCTTAGGTAAGCATGTTCCACGTGACCGCGGCCCAAACAACCGCCCGGGCGTTGCTTGAGGAACCGATTTCTCTGTTTATCCTCCTTCGACCTCGATTCTTCGACCCTCACAACGCGGCCGCTATGAGCCTTCCATAGCCCGTCTGCTGCAGCTCGACAACCCCCTTGATGCCTTGACCAACGACACTTGTACTCCGACTGCCCTGAATTTCTCCCCCTCCTGCTGTCTTTTCTGCCGGTGTGGACCTCGTGCGGTTGAGGGTGGCTCCGTGAAGGATCAAAACACACGCTATTGCCCGTGGTTACCGACCGTCTCTGGCCCAGCAACAAGGAAACCCAGACACCCGGAGCTGCGTAGCAGGTCCTAAAAAAAGAAAGAGATGCCTTCTGAGATGGGTAAGAACCTACCTTTCCTCCTGCAGGCGACCTGTCTGTCTGCTTCCATCCGACCTTGTGACCTGGAGACCTTCCTGTTGTCGTTGCTTCCCTGCCCACCTGTTGTTGTGCATACGATCCCCTGCTGACCCAAAGGGACGGTAGCCCGAGCGGCCTCGCAGTCTTCAAGTGCTGCGTCCCAGACAACTCAGATAGTAGCACCTCACAGTCGCCCCGGCACAGCTGATCTGATGAGGTCGCGGTCCGAAACTGTAGTATCTAGGAACAGTCGACGCCCACGGTCCCGAGGCTCGACCGCTAGCATCCATTCCACCACCACCCAACAGACCCAGGACCAACAAATCACCGACGCCTTCCCTCAATTCCTGCCCGCGCAGCCAACCGCCGGCCACAATGTATTCGGCGGCAACCCTGAGGAAATCATCATGCGATTCGGCCAGCAGCTGTCGCACCCTGTGAACGGAGCCTCTCTAGACCACACTCTGCAAGATGCACACCACCCCGTCATGCCGAGAGCAGAGGACTTTCCCAGCCATGCCATGCATGGCCACCATCTGTCACATCACTCCATCCCTACAGGCATTCCGAGCCATGGATTAACTGGCGTACCGATGCCTCAATTTCAAACCATGTATGACAGTGGAATCGAGAATCACGTGCCCGAGCATGTCCTGGATGAGAACGACGTCTCCGAAACTGGCGGAAAAAAGAAGAAAGGATCGAGCTCGTCGCTAGCAAATGACAACGAATTGCGCAAGCTGCTACGCCAGTATGATGGGTACTCACTGAAGGAGATGGCTACCGAGGTCTTGAAGCACGAAGGAGCGGGAGGCAAGGCCGAGAAAGTGAAACAGGTGTTCGCCATGATCTGGTAAGACTTTGAACTGACTCTGGTCACTCAGTCCGGTGATGTCTTACTTACATGCCCCCAGGTTGAAGGAGAACTGCAGAAAGAGCAGTGGCTCTGTTCGGCGCGACCGCGTTTACTGCTGCTATGCAGAGAAATGTGGGACAGAACGTGTGTCGGTGCTGAACCCCGCTTCTTTTGGGAAGCTTGTCCGCATCATCTTTCCCAACGTGCAGACCAGACGACTAGGCGTCCGCGGTGAATCCAAGTATCACTATGTGGATTTGACAGTTATCGAAGAGAAGCAGCAAAAGCCACCGCCACTGAACCCCCAACTACCGTCCAATGCAAATCGCGCACCAAGTGTAGCTGAGAGCAGTGCTGGTGATATAATGTCAAAAGGGTATGCTAAGCAGCTGATATGTGGAGTTAAGATCGTGGATACTGATACTGGTCACAGGGCTAGTGTGGCGCCGCAGCCTCCCGCAGATACGGCCGTGTTCCCTTCGCCCACGACTTCTTTCACACCGCGCTTCACCGCAAATGTCACAACTCTTGGATGTGGCTGCCAGTCTTCCTGTCACTCCCACAGTGACTCCACAGTCACGCTTGACAATGTGGCCAGCCAGTCGGGCAAAACCATTCATCAGATGCTTCACCTGCCGCCCTCCGATACTCCTGCCGTTGACAACGAGTCTCTTCAGCTCCCCGACATCAGTGGCTATCTTCCGGCAAACACAGATTCGAAGATTGCTGCGGCTCTCGCAGCTCTTTATCGTTCTCATTGCATTTCCGTTATTGACAGCTTCCGGTACTGCAAGGAAAGGAACTTGCTGCGTTACTTCTCTGCCTTCCATGGCACCTTGACTGTACCTGTCCAGAAGCTCTTGACACATCCCAACCTTGCTCCATGGATCAAAGAGTGTGACTGGATCATGTACCAGAAGATGATTGCGTTCGTGGCTCCACTGACCACGCAGGTTGTTCCCAAGCTCGTGCTGGATGCTTTTAGCTCGATCTCGCAGCGACTCACAGCCCATATTGCTGAAACCTTCAAATCACAGCCTCTCCATGTCTCGCTGGCGAGATTAATACCCGCTCACATCTTTTCCAACTTGCTAAAACACATGCTCGACGTGAACCAATCTGCCAACGCGGCTGCGGCCTGGCTGTGCCACCCTGACAACAGGAATCAGATGTGGTTTGACTTCAAAACCTTGGTAGACCCAAAGGCTATGATATCAAAAGCCAACATACCAAGCTGCGCAGAACGTGCAGCGGAGCAGATTCTGAAGCATGACGTGCGAGCTCTTCTCCTTCCCGTTGCAGATATGAATCCATCTGCCGCCCTCCCATTCTACACCAAACCTGACACAGAAGAAGATGTCCAAGCGCACAAATTCCCCGTGGAATCACCAGTGGCTGAGGACTACAACTTTCCGGACAAGTGGATCTCATTCATCCTCAATCTGGCATCTGCTTTCTCTCATCACCGTACGCAGTGTATCATTGAGAAAGTCGATGCGCTGTGGGATTGTATTCTGCGGAGGTTGACATTGGGAGGTGCCCCAAGCTTCAGCGCCTGGTGGATGACGAAGGTTTTCTTTCATGAAATGATGCTATGGCAAGCTGAAAAGGGGGGGTTCATGCGGTATACCCCAAGCACGTTGCACTACGCCACCATGGGCGCAAGCCAGCAAGGACCGACCAATTTCCTCATGAGTTCACCGAACTGCCCTGTGCCCGACCATGATATTCAGCAGACCACCGATTCGAGAGCGAGGTCGGCCACCAGCCCTGCATCGGCGGATAGTCTTCAAACCCACGAATCGTTAGATCAGCCGCAAGTGGAATCCGAGTCGAATCCCCACGGCATCGAAAACGAGAAGCATAGCGGCGTTCCTGAGAGCATCCCAGGCTTCCAGGCTCCAAACAACGACGACAGTGCTATTGATCTCGACGACGATTCGATGCTAATGACAGTGGGTAAATATGGTGATATGATGGCCTCCGACCCGGCAGACGCCGAAGGAGATGTTGTCGTCATCTAGGCTACCTTTGCATATTTTCATTTTCGTTCTTGGAAAAACCAGTTTTCTTTGCTTATGGGTGGCGTTGGATTTCCTTTTCAGGAGTACCATTTTGGTTTGGTCACTATTTATTTACGTCTATTTCAAGGAAAGCTCGGCGTTCGACGATCTTTGCACGAGAGACGAGAAATGAGAGCATCGATTCAAGGTACGCCGACCAGCGGGCAGCGCCGCTGTCGATGCTGGTTGGCGATCACAAATTTAATGGCGGGTTGATCCCGCTTGGACTCGTTTATTGCCATGCTTATCTTCACCATTGGGGCCGCACGAGACCGTGTCCGTCTTTGTACATATGTTTCGGTCCGTCGATGATTCCCAGGTCATTTTTGTTGCCTCCCTGACGCTTTTTCCCCCACCCAATCGTTTCTCCCGCTTTTCTCTCTTTTGAACAGTTCTGGCCCCCTTTATTTCCAGGCCGAACTGACTATCGACATCAATGTCTAAGGAAGTCTTGGCTAGCGCGGGCTGCTGTCTTCGATCCTGAGCGCCCCCCCCCCTCTCTCTTGATTTGATCATCGGGTTATCCGCCCATTTCGATCCCCGTGTCACGGGCGCTTTGGAAAGGCTCGCCCAGTTTGGCGATCAGATTCTCTCCCCCAGGGTCTTCCTCCCAATCACCACATCACACCCACCGCAGTCACTCGTTTCATTCAGTCTGTGCTCGGATTTCCCAAGCAATAATCTCTTTCTTTTTGTCATTATCTATGTGGAAAAGACGCAGTGTTCCCCCTCTGGCCTGTTTGATGACTGATCGATTAACTACCTGTATCCTCGTTGGATCAGCGTCCAGTTTTGAGTTCTGTTGATGACCATTTCTGTAACGATTTATGTATTCGAGTCATAAATAGCCCCTTTCAGATTATTTATTTTAATCTCGTGATACACATGATGTTGGTAGATGAATGAGCGTTCCAGCAGTCAGGTAGTACTTTGTACTATCGGCGAAGCAGCCGGAAGAGTGTATTGTATTAAGTACCTGGTACCTTGGTTTGGCCCATGTCACACCCTATAGTCCCCTTCACTCTCCATTGAATTGATCCTCTTGCATGAAAACAAGTGATCGGTCCTTGTTAACCATCCATAACATGTCACGTGATATAATGTCCAGGACATTGACGCCCACCAACTATGATGCCTTCGAGTACTCCGTACAGTCTATGTCGTTCAGCTAGCCCGCTTAAAGCCGAGAAATCGTTGACGGAGGTATTAATGAGGGAATCAGATGCTATGTTCCTCGCATCGGAAGGTCTCTTGAGATATTTGTACCGTGCTGTCAGGTCTAGATGTGCTCGTAGTACAGTCCCGGTCTACGGGAGCAGGCAACGGAGGTCATATGTAGATTATTAAACAAGGGAGCCCAGCTCACCTTTGGGTCTACCTGAAACCTAGGGCGGGAAAAAACCTCGTGCCAGCGTATCCGTAAACCACGATGCTTTGAATGTCGATGTTTCTCCCACTATGAGGACTCCATAACTTGACCAGGATGTATCGTCCCGAGCTGCAGGGGAATGAACGGTTAGAAATCGTGGGCTGGACTATGGGCAGGGAAAGCATACGGAGGAGGGTCGAATTTGATGCTGACCATGCTTTTATTTCGTTCGATGAAAAAACGAGCATGTGGTTTCATCAGCGCGGAGTCCGAACCACGCGCTGCCGGTTCGACGCGGGGGCCAGGCGGCGGGGGCATGGCCACATTGGGGTGTCGTCTTGCTTGCCCGTCTCGCTCGGCGGTATATCGACGGCGCATGGCTCGAATACGTCGCGATAGCTCTTGACGGCGCCGCGCGAACGTGTGCTGCTCGGATGTATCGTCATCGCTTAGGCTCAAGTCACTGTCGGAGCACGCATTATTGTCGTCCTCCATTCGCCCAATGGACAGGCTCTCGGTGTCCGTGAGAGAGAAAATCTCGTCATCTTGACTATCCCGATCTGAGTGTCCATCGGAGCGCTCGTCATAGTCTGTCGTGAATCGAAATTCGGACAGCCGGTCGGGGCCATTACCCACACTGGGTGCCGCATCACCGGTCTCATCGGTACTATCGGATTCCGAGTCGGAGGGGTGGCCCATTATGGACCCTCTATCGAGGCTTTGCAGCGGGGGGCGATATGCATTCAAGTACTCCTGGGATGGAGGCATTCCACTGGGTCGGTTGCGCCGGGACGATCGATTTGCTTCCCCTTCGACCTCGAAAGCAGCCGTACGAGCCAGGAGCTCATCAGATGACATGGACACAAAAACCATGCCTTCTCGGATCCTTTGAAAATGGTTAGTGAGGGCTTGGTACGACTGGAATTCCTAGATCGGGTGGAACATACGGGGCATCATAGCCAGATTTTGGCGCTTTAATGACAATCTTCTTCAGGCAGAAAGGGGACCCGCCCTGGTGTTTTAGCACGAGATTGCACCGGTCAGATTTTGTGCAGTATACGGAGGAGTCATTGCGCAGGATATTCTCGGGCCATGAGCTTTCGCCGGTGGGCTCGTATGTCCCTCCATCACAGCTGGCCAACTCCATGCGAAGTGCACCGGGCACTACCTGGCCATATTGACCGTAGCGGAAACCCTGCAGACCTTCTCTATTGTCATCCGTCTCGAGCTTTCGACGCTTGGCCCTCCAGGCGCCCGCCTGGGGATCGTCCTCCGATTGCTGAGGCATGACAGCGGGCAAGTCCAGATGAGGGACAGGCGAGTCCAAGAGAGAGGTCGAATTGGAATCCCTGGGCCGTCTTGCACGACTGGGCCGGTCACTTCCCCTCCAGACCCGAGCCCGAGGGGGCCTGTTATTGGAGCTCGAGGGATCGGCGGTACTTCCCTCCGGGTTCACCACGGTTACATTCAACGGCTGCAGCCTGGGCGGTCCTGGACGCGTAGACCCCACAGGCCCCGATTGGGGAGCATTGTTGGTACGGTCCTCCCGGAGTACCCTTTCGCGGAGCTGCTGCATATGGTGATCCACGGCGGCCCTCACTTCTTCGAAGGTTGAACGGTCCCAGACACGGGTCGAGCGGTATTCGTCCATCTCCTGGTTCAAGGTTTCCACCGCCCGGGCGAGGGCTATGTCACTGCGATTCCGGCCCGAATTCAACAGCTCCTGGAGATAGTGTAAGCGGTTCACGGGAGGGTGCTGCTGGCGGTCATTGAATCGAGCTCCGCGAAGGGGACGGCGGGAGGCAGGAGGATAGTCGTGATTTCCCGACTAGAGTGGGGGACATTCCTGTCAGTATCAATACCTGCAAATCCGCGAAGAGGGTGTATTGATGATAGAGGGGAAAGCGGTAATCACAAGCATACATACCATCCTGGGAGAGAGAGAGAGAGGGGGGGGGGAGAGTCAATAACAGTTCCTCAGTAGTGACGGCTTGGGGTAACAGGACTGGGGGAGGAGTCGAGCGAAAGACAACTATACCTACCGATCGAGAAAAGAGAACGAGACACGATCCGTCGCTGGGGAGGGGGATAACCGAGCGGGCGAAGAGACCAGGGGGGAGGGGGGAGGAGAGAAGATAGATAGATAGGTAGGTAGGTAGGTAGGTAGTTAGATAGATAGATAGATAGATAGATAGATAGATAGATAGATAGAGAAGACGGTAGAGAGTAGGAGAAGAAGGAGAAGAAGAAGAAGAAGAAGAAGAAGAAGAAGAAGAAGAAGAAGAAGAAGAAGAAGAAGAAGAAGAAGAAGAAGAAGTTAGGAGGGGAAGAGGAGGTGAGATGGAGAGGATGATGGAATGAGTGAGACGACGATAAGTCAATCGGTTATCACCGCGGGTCTTTGCACGTGATGGGGGTCCGGCTGCTGCTTTCCCCATTCTTCCTCCTTCATCCGTCCTGTCATTCATTCATTCATTCCCTTTGGCCTTCTTTCTCCCCCCCCGTCTTGTTGCATCGTTCCACCGTTCCACCGTTGCATGCAAGCTGGGCATTTCCACGTCAGCCCTCTTGCGACGGACTGACTGCCTTGCTTTCCTCCCCCTCCATCCTTGACTTATACCTGATGTCCATGCGCTCTGTCCCCTCCTGATCTCACATCCACCTCCACATATATCATCTCACGGAAGAGAGAATATCTTCCCAAATCAGAGTCGCAATGGAGCCACAACAACCGGACACCGCCCAGTCAATCAGCGCGGGTGAGGAAACAATCCCATAGCCGATATACAATCCACTGCCTGTCTGACACTTGTATGGATCTAATAGACGAGATTGCGTTGTATGACCGTCAGATTCGCCTCTGGGGAGTCAAGGCGCAGGAGAAGTGAGCAGCGCGACCTCCCTCCGTCCTCGCCGAACCCAGCTAACCGCCAATGCGCCTTCTCCCCAGATTACGATCCGCGAACATCCTGCTCATCACCTTCAGGGCCCTGGCAAATGAGGTAGCGAAGAACCTGGTGTTGGCCGGAATCGGGTCCCTGACCATCATCGACCACGAATCAGTCACGGAAGAGGACTTGGGGGCTCAGTTCTTCATCAACGAGGAACACTTGGGCCAAAATGTTCGCTGCCTCCTTCCTCCACTCACCCTAAACCCTCTACAACCCCTGCACCCCATGCTAACTTAACCCTCGCGCAGCGTGCGCAAGCTGCAGCCGCCTCTGTTCGCGCCATGAATCCCCGGGTCCAACTGCACATCGACACCGAAGACATCCATCAGAAGCAGCCGGAATACTTCACGCAATTCGACATCACCATCGCAACGGAGCTTGACTTCGCTACATACACCACCATCAACGCGGCCTGTCGCATCGCCAACCGCCCCTTCTACGCCGCCGGACTGCACGGATTCTACGGGTTCGTCTTCGCCGATCTGATCTCCCACGATTTCGTCATCGAGCGCTCCAAGTCGAACGTTCAGTCCACAACCCAAGAGACCCCGACTCGCAGTATCCTGAACATCACCACCAAGAAGGAGTCCGACAAGGTCATCGAGATGGTGACCAAGCGCGAAACCTATTCCCCGCTGATCCTCGCAAACACCTCCCCCTTACCCGACGAATTCACCCGCATTGCCCGCAAACGCAAACAAGTTACTCCCCTGCTCACATGTCTCCGTGCCCTGTGGGAGTACCAGAAACTCTCTGCCGGCGCCATCCCCACCTTCTCCCGTCAGGATCTGGAAAGCTTCACTAAGCTGGCCAACGATCTGCACCAGGAACTCAAACTCGACATCGCCACTTTGGACGCAGGCTTCCTACGCTCCTTCCTCCAAAATCTAGGGAGTGAACTCAGCCCCGTGGCCGCTTTCGTCGGCGGTAGCCTCGCTCAGGATGTGATCAACGTTCTGAGCGCCAGAGAACAACCCCTCCAGAACATGCTACTCTTCGATGGCGAGAAATCCGTCGCCCCCATATACCCCTTACATCCTTTCTTCCCGCCAGAACTCCCCAGTGTTCTTGCGGCTGTGCCTCCCCTGGCGAACCCCATTCCTCTAGACAACGAGCCGGCTATGACAGTCTGACCTGTCGCTAGCTAAGGGCCGTGGGTGTCAGTATATGGAAGGCTCTCGCCGCCGCGCCTTGGCATCTTTGATGTCTGGTCCCTTCTCTGGGAATCAACTCACGACGTGTACGATAAAATCGATTAAAAACATTATGCTCTTAGGATCTTTGAGGCCTTTTTGAATGAATCTTATGGGCGGTTTGCCATTTGTACCCTTCCTCCGGGAATCCTGGGATATACTGTAAAACTCTGTAGGTAGACATACATGTAGACAGACACACCGTAGTATCGCCTGCTAGCTACCACAAGTTGTACCTATCCAAAGTACAAACATTGCTACTAGATATTGGATGATCGCAAGGCAAAATGCCTAGTAAGCGAATATAGAGAAAAGAGAACAGAGGAGCTCACATCCATTTATACGAAACCTATACACAAGTCCGAGAGATACTGCAAATGCAGCCGATTTTGGAATCCATCGCCCTTGGTCGACAGATAAGATGAAGTTAGAATGTATAAGACAAAGACATAGACGAATGCTTAGATCGGTAGGGGTTGAAAGTCCCACTTCCCAGGCTTATGAATGCGTTGTCGTCTCCTTGGCGACTAATGGGGAGTTCTCCTCATCCTCCACCTTTCTAGGGCCCATGGGATGGCTGTCCTCGCCAACTACCTTGCCATCATCCTCCTCATCAGAGATGAGGCCCTGGAGTTCAAATTCCTCGGCGTCGTGAAGGTGTCGTGCCTCCGATGCCGAGCGGGCGTGGCCGTTCATGAGGTGACCGTTCGGCTGAGACCGGGGCGGCCCGTATCCGGATGGGCCTTCGCCGGCTTCGTCGGTGCGCGGGGGTGCCTTAGCGGACTCGGGCCAGGCATGGACGGCGTAGATGTGAAGGAGCACGTTGACGACTAGAGCCGATGTTAGAGGTGTTTCACCGTGGTAAACAGGGTGAACCTACACAGGAAGAGAACGAAAGCGATGCTGTACAGGATCAGGATATAGGACACGTGTGTGATTTCTGCATCGTGCAGAAGCTGCATTTGCTCCTCCGTGGCGCCCATGAAGAGGAAGCCCGAGGCGTACAGGAGCTGGAGTGTGTTAGCATACTCATTTTGGAGGGGCGAAAGCTTCTCCCGGGCATGTCCCATTCCAGTGCAGATTTGAGGGAAGACTTACGAAAGGGGTCAGATATTGGAAACTGTTGGCATCCGAACCATCCGCACTGACGGTGTCCTTGTCCCTAAGCACAAAGGAGATCTCGATGATTCGGGTAACACCGGCGGCCATCAGCGTGTAGCCGAAGATGGTGTGTATCATGGTGCTGATCATCAAGTTCTGCGGGTGCGCAGACATGGCATAACCAGTGAGGAGAATAACCAGGGCTGGAATCAAGTTTCGCTTGGGACGACCATTGCGCTTCCGGCTCATCCAGATGCCCAGAAGACCGGCACACCACCAAACGATACCCATGGTCGTATGCTGCAGATCGTTATGAACCCAAGGTCCTCCCCACCGGTGTTCCGTGAAAGTATTGACACACCCCCATGCAGCAATAATCAACGAGTCGAAGAACTCCTGGCTGCGGCCGGTGCGGCGCAACCAGTACTGGCCAACGAGGAGCAGGATGGTCAGCAAGATCCCGTAGGCGATAAAAGCGCTGCCCATGATGAAGTGAGCCAAACACTGGCCGAGGTGATCATCCCGGCAGAAGCCCATGGCCGTAATTCCCCCAAAGAGCATCTGGACCCAGCTCGCGACTGGCATCGCCTTGCCGACCACTCCGTGCGCGATCACGATAAACCGGCGGATACGGCCGTGGATGCCCTTGGACAGATGCAACTTCAAATAGACACCCAAAACAATCTGCACCACCATCATGAGCATCAGGGAGTTTGCGAACGAAGCGTGGACGTTTTTCGAAAACTGGCGACCTTTGTGGGCATGGCCGAGGAAGTATGCGACAACGGCGATTATCGAACCGACGATTTGGAGGGGAACGTGCCACCGCGAGCGCACAATCTATGGCGAGGAGGGGAGGAGAGATTAGATAAATAGTTCAAGATGTTCTAGCAACCAAGTGGTCCCGGGCCAGCTGTCGAATATGGAGGGAGGGAACAAAGGGGGAGAGGGGCGGGGAGGAGGGGACCTGCTTACCCCAAGAACCATGCCCAACGGGAAGATGACGCCAAAGGCAAACCCCATGAGAATCATGTGAATCCATAATGTTGAATCCTGGAAGGTAGGTCAGTCAGTTCGCTCTGGTACGGAGCGGGAGCGGCGGGCGGACGACATACAATGGGATCATCGGAGACGGCGGCACCCTCGGGGACATTCTCGTGGCCCTCGTGGGCCAGAACGGAGGAGGGGGTCAGTAGCAGCAGGGCTGCCAGCAACCCTGGCTGTAACAGACCGAGTCGACTCGGTGTCGGCATGGTTGTCGTCTCCATTCAAGGGGGGGGGGATAGGAGCAGTCAGGAGGAAAAGAAGAAGAAGGGGAGAAAGAAAAGGAAGAAGGACGGGGATGACGGGATGACGGGATGACGGGATGACGGATGATGGATGGGTGGATGGGTGGTTACTAAGAATTAATCCACGCTGGTGAAGGGAGAATCGGGCGAATCGGATTGGTCGGCGGGAGACTTAAGTACTGTTCTGTCAGTGTCAGTACTACACCTTACCGTATCCAGTACCTGACTTCAGCGTCAACTCCACCAGATACCAAAGAAGAGAAAGAGAGAACGAGAGAAAGAAAGAAAGAAAGAGAAAAGGAAACAAACAAAACCACGACCTTCGGCAGGATTTTTATTACTCGCCTGTTGATTCGATCTCCGTGAAACTGCAGATCAGACGGCATACGATGGAGACCCGCCCCATCGATACCCACCCATCCATAGGTAGTTACTAAGGTATGGAGAGAGATCCTCACTCACTCGATTGCCGGTATCATGTACCTACTACCTGGCTACCTACTGTACTAACTACTCCATACGACCGATGAGACACAACCTGGCCTCGGCATAGGCAGGAACCTGCTCCAGATCTGTCATCTCTTCCGGCCTGCCATCATATCATGCCACCACCCAATTCCGGACCCGGCAATGGCAAAGAGCCAGCACCGACTCTCACCCCGGACCAACAGGCTCAAAGGGAGAAAAAGCAGGTGGGTGTGGGTAGTGCTGGTTTCCGCCATTTCTTCCTGTCCCCGGCTGGCTAGCTAGCTAGATAGCTCATTAACGCACCCCTAGTCCGCACTCCGCGAATCCGTCGCCAATCTACAATCCCAGACCTCGGAGATAGAGTCCCAAATCGCCGAGATCAAGGCTAAACTGAAGTACGGACAACGACTCTATCCACACCCAGAATACAATGAACGACGAGAATGACTGACATCTTATCTTATTCCACGGCCGACAGGAATGACCCGCCTACAACCGTGCAACACCATATCCGTCTTCTACACGAGTACAACGAAATCAAGGACATCGGCCAAGGCTTGATGGGGCTAATTGCCGATGCCCGTGGTGTGCGACAGATCGACGTCCAGAGGGAATTCGGGCTGGATGATCGGGACTAAACGTTCATCTCGACGAGTATCTGGAGAGTTTACGGAGTACGGGTGCGGGTGCGGGTGTCACTGTCACTGTCACAGCTAACTGAATCAATCGGTTCCCACGACGATCTTCATGCTGATGGTTGTTATACGCCTTGCGTTCGGGGCTTGCGACATATCGGCTGTTCCCATGTCATTGTAAAAAGGCCGGTGGCATGCTAGATATATCATGTCTTCATTGGTTTCTATATTCTCTATCTAAGACGGAGAAATCTGACACCAAAACTAAAGGGAGGAGAAAACACAAAAGCCAAACCCATCCGACCATGTAGCCACATTAGGCGAGCATTTAATGGCCTACCTTTGCAGCAACAAGCAGACAAGGGGGAGATATAGCGAACAGCTTGAACCATGGCATTCTCCAATCTAAGCGACCAGACACCCGTGCAAGCCAACTCCAAAATGATGAATGGGGCTCTCTAACATAAGCCAAGAACAAGACAACACAACACAACAGAAGCAGGGACAACTCTAGGCACAATCCCGCGTAAACATTCATAAGACATTATAGAATGAGCAAGGATGGGAGATGGGGTGGGTATGGGGGTATAGAAGTGGAGGGGGGAAGAGCAGACATTAAGAGATCTATACAGGATATAAATAAAAAGCAGAATTAAGCCCCCTTTTCCAGGCTCTGTAAGTTGACCAGTTCATAGTAACGACCCTTCACGCGGATCAATTCCGAGTGCGTGCCGCTTTCAACAATCTTACCCTGATCAAACACGTAGATGACATCGGCCTTCTGGATGGTACTCAGCCGGTGGGCAACAGCGATGGTGGTTCGTCCCCGGGCGGCGGCATCCAGCGCAGCTTGCACAACCTTTTCGGATTCCGAGTCTAGAGCAGACGTGGCTTCGTCGAGCAGGAGAACCTTCGGGTCCCGGATCAAAGCACGGGCGATGGCCACTCGTTGCTTCTGGCCGCCAGAAAGCATGCCTCCTTTACTGCCAACCACGGTATTGAAGCCCTCCCTAAACATAACCTGGTTAGTATCGAAGTTGCCAAACAGGCTAGCAGCAATGACTTACGGGAGAGACATGATGAAGTCGTAAATGTTGGCATCCTTGCAAGCTTGTACCAATTTCTCCTCGGGCACCTCATCATGCAGGACCCCCAATAAGATGTTTTCTTTGATGCTACCCTGGTACAAGGTAGGCTCCTGGCTGACCAGCGACAAGAAACTGCGATAGGAGTTCACATTGAGCTCGGTAATGTCCTTCCCATCGATAAGAACCTTCCCAGCAATAGCATCATAGAAACGCTCAAGGAGCGCAATAGTTGTACTCTTGCCGCATCCACTAGGCCCAACAAGAGCAACATATTGCCCCGGTTTGACGGTCAGGTTCAAGCCTCGGAGGACAGGTTGCTCTGCGCGAGTGGGGTACCTGAAGTGTACATTGCGGAATTCGATGGCGCCGTCCACTGAGTCTAGCTTCTCACCCTCCTCTGACCATGTGTCGATGTCGGGTTTCCTGTCGAACAGTCTCCGGAATTCAGCTGCCGCGTTTTTCGCCTTGCCCATGTCCGGTGAGAACGAGAAAACGGTTCCAGCAGACTGTGCACCAAACAAAATCTCAGAAAAACAGACAAAGAAGCGGAAGACAGAGTATTCGTGATGGCCCAGGAGTGTACCTCCGTACCAGAAGCCAAGCGCCACGCAGAAGAAAACAAGGGCTTGTGAGCAGGCATACAGGATAGACGACCTTAGGACAGAGAGCAGGCTCTTCCGTCCCTGGTTCTCTAACTGAGAATGATACACTTGCCAGACATCTTGCTCCCGCGTAAGTGAGGCCACAGTGCGGATGGCAGACGTCGCTTCGCAAGCATAGCTGGCAGACCCTTCGTAGGCACTCTTGGCACGTTGCTGAAAGCGCGCAAGCATGAAGAAACGGTAGAAGCCACAGCCCAAAAGAATCGGGACAACTGAAATACAGACCAACGCCAGTTTCCATCCGATAGAGAGGGAAATAATCATGGCGGCGCCGAGGGTGGTGCTGGTCATCAAGATAGTTCCCAAGATCGCACCACTGACCCCAGACAGATGCTTGGTTTCAGTCGACAGGAACGACGTGAGTGCGCCGGTGCTGTTCTCCTCCCTGTCAAAGAATGTGATATCTTGACGGAGAATAGACCTGAACGCCATGCTTCGAGCTCGGCGAATCAGCCTCTCTGAACAGACGGCAAACGCAGCGCCGTTGATGGAAAGATTGATGCACTGGGCAATTCCAACCACAAAGAACATGAGAGCCCAAAAGGCTCCGTCGTGTCGGATCTTGGCGCTCATGCTATCAGGCAAAGAAAGTGTGCTGATAGCTTTGGCGTACAGAACAGCCTGGGTCGGCTGACCACCTCCAGAGAGAACGGCGAAGCACAGCCCAATGATCATGTACTTCAATTCGGGGCGGTTGAAGGAGGCGATAAACTTGACCAGTGTCCAAAGTGAGTACTTCCGAGACACCTCTGGGTCCCGTTTAGCGAGTATAGCGCTGGAAATCGACTTGTGCGTTCCGCTACGGTTCAGCCCGTTGCCGGCAAGCGACTTCTCATCCTCCTCCTCATTCAAGGAGCCAGAGCCACTGCTAGCAGACTTGATGCGCGCAATTTCTTGTTCCGAGAAGTCCTCGTCATCCACTTCCTCATCAGCAGCCAGAGCTTCCGCGTCCTTCTCCTCGTTGATACGCTGGGCTTCGACGAGACTATGGTAAGTACCTTGGTGACTTACAAGCTCATTGTGGTTTCCTTGTTCCACAATCTTGCCATTAACCAACACAACAATGTTGTGTGCGGTCTTGATGGTCGACAGGCGGTGAGCAATCACGATGGTGGTTCGACCCTCGGCGGCCCTATCAAGTGCTGCCTGGACGACGCCTTCGGATTTGGTGTCCAAGGCAGAGGTGGCCTCATCAAGCAGGAGAATCTTGGGGTCACTGACAATAGCACGTGCAATGGCGATACGCTGTTTCTGTCCTCCGGAGAGTAGAAAGCCACGCTGGCCAACATTTGTCTCATACCCTTCAGGAAGTGCCGTGACGAAATCATGCGCATTCGCCATTCTCGCAGCATTTTCAATGAGTTCCCGTATCTTCTCTTCTGATTCGTTTTCGAATTTAGTGCCAATGAGGCCGTAGCGGATATTCTGATAGATTGTGGTGCCGAAAAGAACGGGTTCTTGGCTGACCAGAGAAATCTGCTGGCGCAACCAACGAAGATTGAGGGTTGAAATGTCATGGCCATCCAACAGCACGGAGCCCCCTACAGGGAAGTAGAAGCGTTCGACCAGGCCAACAACAGTGCTTTTTCCAGAGCCAGAAGGACCCACCAAGGCGGTCGTTTTACCAGCGGGAATTCTCAAAGAAACACCATCCATGACAGTCACCTCAGGCCGCGAAGGGTAGATATGCTTGATATCGCGGAACTCGATAGCACCTTCGAAATGCTCAAGCTTCTCACCTTCCTCAGAGTAGGGGTCCAAGGGCGAGAGTCGGTCAATGGTACCATAGATCTTGACTGCCGCGGCAACAGCATTGGTGAATGCCTGTCCGTTGGGGCTGACGTTACCCAAAGCGAAAGAACCGATTAAGATAGCCATCAAAACAGTCAGGACCTGGCCCACGTTCACCTCTCCATCTGTGAGGAAGCGAGAGCCCATCCAGAAACCCAGACCATAATTGGAGAACATAATGCCGAACATGCCACCAATCATGAAACCAAGGACCATCTGGGTCTTGACACCCCACTTCTCGGCCTCAGCCAGGTGGATCTCATATTGTTTGGCGAGCTTGTCCTGGGTACCAAACGCAGTCGCGTTGCGGATGGAGCTGATCACTTCCTCGGCCACCGTTCCACTCGCACCGGCACTTTTCAAAGCCATCTTGCTATACTTGACAATGAAGCGAGACCCGCCTCCCATGACCAGGACAAGGGCCACGATTGTCGATGTGCAAATCAAAGCCAATTTCCAGTACTTGACATAGGCGACGATGAATGCGGTGATAAAGGTGGCGATGGCCGTCAAAGTCAGACCGACCTTTTCCGAGACACCATCCTGGATGAGGTTGGTGTCCGCGGTGATACGGGTGGTCACTTCACCCGCGCCCAGCTTATCGAAGTAGCCCATGTTCTGCCGCAAGATAGACTCGAGGTAATGCTCGCGGATCTTCTGGGTAATGTGTTCACCGGTATAGATAAATCCAACGGTGGAGATGTATACCGTGACAAACTCCGCGATACCCAGATAGATAAAGTAGAGGACGTTCTTCGTCAGTTGGTGATAGAAATCCTCGTAAGCAATCTCGTACAAGGCGATGCCTCGGAAGGCCGAGGCCAAGGAACCGAAGAGAATCTAGACGAGGGTCAGTGGTCAATGGGGTCAGGGTGCGACCAGATATCGCACTTACCGTGAACAGCGGCAGAGCGGCGCCAGCAATAATGGCACAAATTCCGCTCACGGACATGATAATGAGGTCTGTCCGGGAGGCATACCGGAACAAGCCGAAGAACGACACATTGACGTCGTCTGCATCGAGTTGTTTCTTCAAGATCTGCTTCTCGTGATCGGGGAGGTGAGCATAAAGCGCATCGGAATCATCAGCGCGGGCGAGTTGCTTGCCGGCGGCGGCGGAGCCCTTTTCGGCGGGCACCACGGCCGAGCTGGTGACAGACGAGCGACCGCTGGACTTGCGCTGTTCTGGTGTTGTTGAAGCTGGCGGCTGTTCCTGCTCCATCGCGGCGATCTGAGCCTCCTCGGCGGATTTCTCCACGGCGAAGCGCTCTTCTTCGGGATGTGACATGTCGGGTTGAGGCGTCGACCCGAAAGCCTCACTCTATCGATAAGAAGGAGATCTAAGGAAAAAGAAAAAGAGGGGACGAAGAAGCGGGAGAGCAGGCTAGTACTCCATGAGGCAGATTGCAGGCAGGCGGAAGGGAACAAAGAGTATCAGGATCGGGAGTGAGTAGGAGGAGGAGGAGAAGGAGGAGGAGATTGAAGACAGGAAGACAGGGGGGATAGACTGGAGAGGGCTGGCTGGTGTTTCCCAAGTCGCGAGCTGTTCCTCCACACGCGCGGCCGATAGGGATGGAATGAATGCTCCGATCAGCGATGTATTATTAATTGATCCGAGGGAGGGAGGGAGGGAGTTCAGAAGAAAAGGGGAGAAGGCATGGATGAAAAGAATTCAAAGAATCAATCATCACGGGCAGGAAAGTAAGTAGGTAACTACGGAGTACTCCGTACATCAGAATCATTTAATGGATTGATTGGAATTATTACCAGAAGTCGTCGGTAGCTCGTATCGGAGCCCCGACGTCCCGAAGGCGGTTTTATGCAGCTCGATCATCTGCCAGTGCTGACCGACAGGGTCAACTCTGCACAAGCTGTTGTTATTTATTAATTCGGAACAGGCTATACGGTCGCCATGAATGGTCGACATGCATACAATGATGGGATGGATAGTACCTCGTACCTCCTACTTACTAGTACCTTCCAGCACCCAGGTAAAGTAGGTACTTACATACTTGTCTCTCGGGTACACCACAACATTCTTGATCTTCATACCGCACAAGTGTGTAAAAATAGTAGATCCTCCTTAATTGGGGGGGTTATGAGCCATACCTGATTATTTATGAGTCATGGTGGCCATACCAAGCAATCTGATGTTAGTGAGTCAATTGGCCCCTGCTCATCGGGTTCTAGAACCACCCGAGGATGGATGGATGGAAATTACTACTACTATTATTCACTACTCCGTACTAGATATAGATAGATAGATACTATCTTACTACTACTGGTTAGTGCCACTCCGTGCTTCGTACCGCGTTCCTCGTACCTCGTACTCCGTACTGCCAACTTGTCAGCGAATACGACGCCCACGGAGTAAGCCGGTAGATGCCTAAACTCCTAAAGCAGCTTAGTGTTGACATTAATAATAGGCGGGGTCGGCGCTGCAAGAATTAAACAGACAGGCTAGCCACCGAAGACCCGCTTGGGTTTTCGCGTACCGAAGCATGGATTCTTAATGAATGATCTGGTTAGAAATCTATGCAGATACAGTACAAAATCCCATGCACAGGAGCTAGGTACTCTATCTGGCAGTAGGGCATTCCTAGGAGGAGGATAGACTTTCCAAGGAATATGCCAATTACGTCAAAACATGCCGGATTCCCCTCTCCCCCCCCTACTCCGTGTACTCCAGATATACACAGGCGTAATTCAATGATCCGTGATGGTGTGGTTTTAGACCGTGGTCCAGGGATTCATACCTATCCTCGGGTGCTGGACAGTCCGGGAGCCTCCTACTAGCCTATCGGGGTCGGTGGTTCCGTTCCCCGTTCTCCGACCGCAATCGATGCCCTATGCGGACAAGTGCTTTATCTTCAAGGTTCTTTGTTGCCATGGATGATTATGTTCGTGACCACGTCAACTTGGACGCATCCTTCCTTCTTCCACCGGATTCTTCTTTTCACTTTGAGTTCTTCTTCAAACAGGACAGAGGCACCTGTGCCCTGTCAGGGCCCTTAGCATCCTCTGGCCTCCATATTTGGTGGATCTACTCCGTATCGTGCCTTGAAAACTGCCGGCATCTGAAGCCATCATCTACTGGACGCATCATCTACTTACATACTAGATAGTATACTCCGTACAGACACAGCATTTACTTACGCCACCGACTCTTCTGGCTGATGTGAGTTGGTCTATGCGAAGTAGGTACGGAGTACATGGCTTTTATACTGCATAAGATACACCAGGCTTCCTACTGGTAAAAGAGAAGGGACCTTCTACACCGTACGGAGTAAAGCTCTCCTTATCTCCGAGCCCAACCAATCTGATCCGTAAGGCACTCTGTTTGGAATTTAGGCTCGATGCATCTACGAAGTACATCTAGATAACACATGCGCTAATCCGGATGGCGGGCTATCCGAACACCATGTTCCGTTTAGGATCATTTCCCACTGGCAAGCCGTTGACAGCGGAAAATGGTGCACTGACCGGAGAATACTAAAGACCACGAGATCCAATGATACCCCCGCTTATCTAGTTGTTATGCACAGTGGCGCTCCGCTTTTTTTTTTTTTTTTTCTTTCTTCTTTTTTCTTCAATACCTCTGAAATCAACATGTGTGCCTGAGGTGTGATTTGATAGCCGATACTCCGTACATTATTTGCTGATTGATAAGACTTGTCTGTCTCAGTGCGCTAGACAAGTCAGGGCTCAATACTAGACCGCTGCCATAATACCTACAACTAAGGCTAGAAGGATATTATTTCCCATGCTAAAATCATATTTCTATAAACTCTCTTTCCATTACAAAGTCAAGAAGGGTTCGCCCGTAAAAGATGTGGTCTACGTCATGTGACTTGCCATTTGATCAAATCTTATTGCTGCAGGGCATACATAGCACGATGCCACGAAGACTCTCGACGGCACTAATTGGACCGTCAATTCTCGGAGTAGAAAATGCCCACCAAAAAGCCCAATCTAGTCCAATGATCTATCTACCCCCTACCCGGCTGTATATGGCAACATGGGGGCCCGCCAACCCTCGGCGGCGGGCAGAGGAGCGGATCTTCATGCCTTAGGCATGGATCACATGACCCCACGGAAGCGAAACGCTAAGCCCTGCCCGCACAAAAAAACCACCACTACCAACGGCCTTTGACAGACGGTCGACAACCTCCTCCTCGTCAGTCCATACACTCAGCTCGCCGTCGCGACAAGCCTTCAAGATGCCGGTTAGCACCCCCTATGCTATTCGAATACAACTGAACGTCTCGTTTCCTGGATAACAAAATCATGGGAGATTTTCTGTGGCGGAAACGTGGACATGGGTAACAGCAGGCTAACGCTCAATTTTCTTCAATCTAGAGCCACAAGAGTTTCCGCACCAAGCAGAAGCTTGCCAAAGCTCAGAAGCAGAACCGTCCCATCCCCCAGTGGATTCGTCTGAGGACCGGTAACACCATCAGGTAAATAGAACCACCGTCACCGTTCCTACCCATCCGGGGGCCTTCGATCAGCTGGAAGGGAAATGAAGAGAGAAAGTCGAAAGAGGTGGACAACCATGAAAGGCTCTTCTCGCCCTGCAGGCCGAACACTCGTCGTCACACGCAGACTTGCCACATGAACTTTCGCGGAAGAACAAATCTATACACAGACAGGGATCAAGACGGATCACTAACATGGTTACCATCTCTAGATACAACGCCAAGCGGAGGCACTGGCGCAAGACCCGTCTCGGTATCTAAATTCGATATCCCAATCGACTTTTTCGATTCCACCCGAGATGTCTACCTATCCCCGGGAATGCTTCGTTCAGTTGTGATACCGCCAACTCGTGTGTGCAGCTGCTCGCGATGAACACTCTGCGTCATCTTGGATCCCTCAAACCTACTTTCGAGAACTTGAATTCTCCATCTTTTTTTCCGCCGCGCTTTTCCTTCGAAAAACGTTTCCTCTCGTGCTTTCCTCGGTTTCTATCTTTGTTCGGCAGAAACATGGCAAGAATCATTCCCCTGTCTCGATGTTCGGTTTGAGACACGGCCAGTGTTTTAGGTTTCCGGCCGGGTAGTAGTCGAGGGCCAGATTGTGGCTTGATGGGATTTCTTGTGGTGCAGCCGTATTCCTGCAATTTATGTACACGAGCTGATAAGACAAAAATCGAAAATTTATGATGGGTAATGAGCCGTGAACGAAGAGCATTCTTATGGAATTCTATGGCCTGGTGGGCCAGTCTAGACTAGTCTTTCTCCACCTTTCGTACATCTACACTCGGATAGGAATGTCGCCTCCACGACATGTTGGCTGTACCCAGCGACGGAAAGAATGGCCTGCCTACATCGTGGTTATGATATGTCCATGGGGAACATGCGGCAATTTACGGCCCCAAAAGCTTTGGGGCTTGCCTAACTGGCATCAGACTGTATCTTCGTTTTGCTTTGATCAAATTTGCGACGCATCTGGCTAACGAACTAGCATACATGACTAATAAAGAAGAATAGAAGGAAACACCCAATCATTTGAGTAGAACCCGTTTCTTGTTTGAGAACAGAGGACTTGATTTAATAGGAAATAATAGGAAAGAACAGTGCCTGGGCGTGTTAAAGCTATCACCCCTAGCTATAAAGCATGGGTGCATTGCAGCAGCCAGGGGGAAATAAGGCCATTAAAGAAAAGTTCGCTGACAAAAGGAAAAGAAAGAGAACCCTAACGCCATGAAACGCAGCGACAATGGACCGGGTGGGCCTTCAGCAAGGCATCATGTTATATGTTTATCATCCTGAGACTGCACTTCAGAAAACTGCCGCCCAGAAGAATAAACACTAGTGATACCAAGCAGCGACGTATGCTTAGCGGCTATAGCAAGGTGAAAAGTCAGTTTATGAAGCAATGAAATGCAGCGGGGAAGGTGCCAACGACTTACTCCTCAGCCCACTCGTTCTCACGGCGGATCTGGTCCTCCTCTTCGGGGGTGAAGTCATTCTGGATATTGAAGGTCTTACGGATCTCCTCAGGAGATTTGCCCTTAATCATGTTGGCTACAGTCTTGCATCCAACATCCAGAAGACCCTTGATATCCAGGAAGTTCGCGGCCTATGAGATTCGGTTAGATTAGCGGGTAAGCTTGTGTGGGAGACTTTGTATGACGGTACATACCAAGATGATTTCAAAAAGCATCTCCTGATCGACCTGCATGAACTTCTGGTCCCACTCCTCGATATCGGTGGTCTTGCGACGAGAGTCGTCGTCGTCGCCGGTGCTGGGGGGGTCCTTCTGGTGGTGTCTGCACCACTCGATAACCTTCTTCATCACGGCTTCGTTGACCTTTTTGGGGGAGGGGGATGTTAGCAGCGATTCCTAACAGACAGTTGGGGTAGGTTCGCGTATCACTTACCATCTGCAGAGGGATGGCCTGACCGGAAGCGGGCAAGTCCTCGAGGAGGTGACGGATGAGCACAGAACGTTCAGCAACATCGCGTTCTACATGTACATAGACGGGTTAGTGTATAGTCTTCACGGTAGGATCGACTCAACCTGTAGAGCGCAACGGAAGTTGGGGACGCATGCACTTACCAACTTCGAGGATGGCATTGTCGTTGGTGCAGAAGGTGAGAATTTGTGGAGCGCTCTGCTCAACCTGGGCGTTCTGTTCGGTCTGTTCCGACATTTTGAGAGAGTTCGAGGTGACTTGAGGAAGAGTTGGAGGGTCCTGTATTGCTCGTTAGGGATCTCTCGGTAGTGAACGCCAGACGTGCGAGCAGACAACCGTCGAGGAACCGATTTAACGGGGCGGGGTATCCGGGCGGCGGCGGGGTGGGCAGAGGTCTGCTTACCGAGAGAGCTTGGGGAGCGTGGACTCTGCGAGTGAGAATGGTGGGGAACGTAGAGGATGGGGAGGTGAAGAGACTGTTTAAATAGGCCGACTTTCTGGGGACGGAGGGAACTGAAGACCTGGGTGAAAGACACAAAGGGCGGGGGATGTCGAAGAGGAGGAGGAAGATGGAAGATGAAAGAGAAGATGGATTGAAGCTCTGAGGCTGACGAGGGTCCGGCGCTCTCCGCCGTCATTCGCTGCTCATGACCCACTGGGGGCGGTTGCGGCCTGGCGGGAGCGCTTGGCTGCCTGGTTGGTGCCTGGGGCCCGGGCCTCTCCTCCGGTGGTTGTCGAACTGTCAGCAAAAAAAAAAAGAAAAGAAAAGAAAAGAGAAAAGGAAAAGGATAAGAAAAGAAAAAAAGAGGACAAAGGCTGAAAGGAGACTGAAAGGATGAGTCGACGGTGAAAAGATGACTATTGAACAGTGAAAGAAAACCAAAAACAAAAAGGGGATAAGCCGGACGTCACCCTTTTCTCGAGTATTTAAGTACAGAGTACCACCTACAAAGTAAGTAGTATAGATCAGTCAGTATGACTGCTTTCAAGGGAAAGTAGTAGAACTCCATATCTACTTCTACTTTGTACCGGTACTGCAATGGAGGATGATTCCCACTGGAATCGCACCTTCCCGGAAAGCCGCGGGTAAATGTTAATTGTTGACGACTCACGCTGTCCCTACGTTAAGTATGGGGAGATCCTCTACTTTGTACTTCCTGACGTCCAAGTCCGACGCGTCTCCGTGAAAGTAAGAAACATCGGGGATAAATGTAATCTTCTTTTCTCTTACCACACTGCCTCTTGCCTTAGGTAGGATCTTACTCCCCCCCCCCCCTTCTTCCTTCTCCCTCCTCTCTTCTTCTCTTCTTTCTTCTTCTTTTTTTTTAAGAAGATTTTCTTCCTGCTTCTGCATAGCTCGCCCTCCATGTCCCAACAAGTCATTCCTTAATTCCCGACATCATCATCATCATCATTATACTACTTACGACGGAGTATCTCCTCCGTATATCATCAGCCTTGTCCATAAGCAGAAGTGCCACTACCATTCACCGCCATCAGTCCCCGGATGCTATAGGCATGCGCATGAGGTCTTTACTACTACTACTACTACAACAACAACATTGGACTGGTCCTTTCCCTCGTCGCTTTGGCATTCCCCGTCCTTCCGCCCCATCCCAGTCATGTGGAGGCGAACGTACTTGCTGCTGCTCGTAATCCGGGTGTATTTCGCACTGTCACCCAGTTACCTTCACCCGGACGAGAATTTCCAAGGCCCAGAGGTCTTTGCAGGTGAGCGAGCTTCTTTCCGCCCATTCTCCGGGCTGGCGATCTTGAACCGCGCGAACCCTCTTCCGAGGCTTGCCGCGCACGGAAGAAGCCCTGCCCGTTGTCAACGCCACTGGGGATCGAATGCGCCCAACTTACCAGGGACTCGATAGGCCGTGTTTTCTCTTACCCATCCCGGTTACCCTGGGAGTTCACCGCCGAACAGCCAATCCGCAGCGTTTTCCCACTATGGCTAACGTACGACGTACCCATGAACCTGCTGAAAGGGTTCTATGCGGAAAGCGGAACGCCAAATCCCTCTCCGCAGCTCGTTTACTATGTGCTGCGCGGAGTCATGTTCCTATTGAGCTTTGTGCTGGAGGACTGGGCTGTATATGAGCTGGTTCCCCTGCCGCGCCATCGCCGCGCGACAGTGGTCCTGGTTGCATCCTCCTATGTCACCTGGACATATCAGACGCACACCTTCTCCAACTCCCTCGAGACTCTGTTGGTCGCCTGGGGCTTGGTTTTAATTCGCCGCATTGTTGAGAACAAGGTGGGCTTGATAAGGACGACCCCACACGGAAGAGCTTCCTGGCTGATGGTGGTTTATAGCGACGCTCTTCCCTCTTCTCTTGCGCCGTGCTATCATTGCTCGCGGTCGTGGGCGTCTTCAATCGCATCACGTTCCCTGCCTTTCTCCTGGTTCCAGGATTGCAGCTTCTCCCTCATTTTGGACGCAAGTGAGTCTCGCGCCGGCCTTTGTCTCTGCCTATGTCGCTGTGCGCTAACCTTGCTTTGCAGGCCGTTGTCCTTGCTCTCGTTTGCTGGTTTTGGACTGTTTTTCTTCGGGGTTGCCGTCCTTGTCGACACGGCATTCTATAATCCTTCCGCATCGTTCTGGGAGGCCCTCCACGCCCCTATCGTAACCCCCCTCAACAACCTGCTCTACAACACCAATGAGTCCAATTTAGCTCTCCATGGGCTCCATCCTCGCTATCACCACTTCCTAGTCAATCTACCACAACTTCTGGGACCTGCGTATATAGCGATGATCTTCTCGCTATGGAAATCCTCCTCTATTACATTTTGGCTCAAGAACACGCGCGCCGTTTCCGCGATCTCCGCCACGGTCATGCTTTCCGTGTTTCCTCACCAGGAACCCCGGTTCCTGATTCCGTGCGTTCCTCTACTCCTCAGTTGTCTCCGAGTGCGCAAATCACGCCTGTTCTTGGCTGCGTGGGTGGTTTTCAATGCCGCCCTGGGATTCCTGATGGGTGTCTACCATCAAGGGGGTGTTGTGCCCACTCAGATCGCGATTCCTTCAATCATCTCCACGAGCGCCCTAGAATCGGGCAACGTGCCCTCTGGTGATCACCCCAGAGGTTCCGCAACGGTGCTCTGGTGGAAAACATATTCTCCGCCTCTTTGGCTGCTGGGTGACAATACCACCTCGCCGCTGGATATTGAAACCCGGGACTTGATGGGAATCTCCGGGCCGGAAATGGCCAACGAGCTTGATAAACTATTGCCAGCATGTCCAGACGAGGAGGACATTTCCAATGCACCGGAGCCCAACATATTCGTCGTCGCGCCCAAATCCGCCACTTTTCTCGACCAGTATACAACCGCATCGAGCTCAGAATCCCATCCATCGGACCTGAAGTTGCACGAACTTTGGACCTGGCCCAAACACATCAATCTGGATGACCTGGACTTTGGCACCGACGGCATCCTTCCCACCCTGAGGCGAGTAGTCGGTAGGCGCGGGTTATCTGTCTGGGCAGCACAAAGAACCGGCTGTGCTTGACAGCCACATCCCTGACCCCTTCCCATCCTCAGCTGACAACGAAGTTCAGCTGGCGGCGGGCCGATAAATTGGTTCGCGCAGCCTTGTCTTCCTTCCGTTCCCTCTAACTTCCTTTTGCGCGACGGTCCTCCTCTCCTTCTTTACCTTCACGTATCCCTCCTCTTCGCATATAACCGGCCCCTACCATTTATACCATGTTATATCCCTTCACATATATCCCGTCCAAATGGGATTCAATCTCCAATATCCACTTCTAGTCAATTACTTACGATCATTCGCTTCCTGACATTTTTGCCTCTGGTTTCGACCACCGTCGATGGCGCCACTTTGAATATTGTCTACCCGATTTGCATTGCCTGCATGCACTCACATATGCACGTTGGGTATCACATGGTACCTTGCAATAGACTTCCTCCTCCCCCCTCCTCTTCCCCGAAATAAAAATATAGTGTAACCCCCCTTTCCTATACTCGACTCTGGTCGGATTGAATTACGGAGTACCTCCTGATCCTGTTCAATGATGATTTTATGTAGTATGTAGTGTTAACTTCGAACGTCATCAACTCTTCTGTGAAAGGAAAATTCTGATTGGTGGTGGGGTTGTGTTCAAGTGCGTCAAGTGCGTCAATCTGGGTTATTTACTACAGGAAAGCAGTTGTGGGTGTATGTGGTATACTTATCCAGGTGTTGCAAGCGGGATCGAACCAGGTCGGAAGAAATCTGGCAGGAGCAGCGATCTACGACCATCGGCAGAAGTGTAGGGTACACACCTAACTAAGATACTCCTACCGTACCTAAGGTACTGCTACCTACTACTAGTACTTAGTAGTAAGATACAGAACGGCAGCACGTGCGACCCGTCACAAGGACGGTTGATCGGTCATATGGCCTCCGGAATCTCGTGTCGGACTCCAGCTAGTAATCTGCAAATGACTTATTAGGGTTACATAAGGATGTGATTTGGTCATTCAGAGTACCGTGTTCAGCTCTCGTTAACTAGATACATGACTAGAACGTCACAAGCAGAGAGTGAGAAAGGAGGGGGGAAGGGGGGAAAAGCCGAATAAAAGGATCCATCGTACGTCGGAGTACTTAGCCTACGAGACCCCATCCAGACTTGCACCATCTCAGGAGAACTCTTCGAGTCAAGACATGAGACAAGATAGGTGACGCCAGCCGTCTGGAATCGGGTGTCGTGGGTTCAGAGAGTTTGGAGACATTAGGCTGAACCCTGATCTCTGGACCCTGATCTGATCTACATGGCCGATGCTCAGAAGACCTTAAGGGAGAAAAAAGAGAAAAAAGAGGATACATTGCGACGTTCATTATGAGGGGCGAATACGACTTAAGAGGAGTGGCAACCCATTGCTGAGCAGGCCCGAGAGGGTACACGGAAGCCGTGATAGATTCATAGATCGTCGGTGTCATCGGGGTTCTCGAAGAGATAGTTGGCGGCGAGCTCTTCGTTCTTGTCGCAAGCGAAATAGGCCTGGATGACCAGATCCCGCGAGAACCCAAGCCGGCAAAGCTGGTATGGGGTTAGCCACGTTCCTATAATATGGCCTCAGAGGGGTCATGATAATACGTACGCGTTCAATTGCATCCCTCTCTTCTTCCGTGACGTGTATCTGATGTGTACCAGGGGGGGCCGCCTCCTCGCCCTCTTCACTCAGCAATTGAAGGAACTGCTCCTCATTCTGACCAATAAGCTGCGCAATTTGAGGGTTACCAGCGGCGACTTGTTGGAGGATGGGCTCGAGCATCTGGGGCTGTTGTTGAACCAGCTGACGAAGCTGCTGGAAGTGAGGGTTATTCCGGAGGAAATCGAGACTCGGAAGTCCTTCGCCAGATGCGCCTCCAGCCCGAGGTCCGCGAGCACCCCCCTCCTGTCCACCAGCCTGAGCGGCAGCCTCGAACAGGTTGACCGGCTCGTCATCAGCCGAGGCGGGGGCGCTTTCTCCGGTAGGTTCGGCGGCGGCCTGAGGTGAGCCGGCGGCGGCGGCGGCAGCATGATGCTGCTCTTGCTGGATGTTATCGGGGATACCCTGGTAGCCGTCAGCAACATGTCAGACAAGTGGGCCATGGGTATCCGGAGTATGGGCTCACATTCAAAAGATACTCGATAGCACGGTCAGGGTTGAAGTAAGCGGCCCTCATCGCACGATCGACATCGCTTCGGGGGAAACCCATGCTCTCCATCTGGGCAGCGACCGTTTCGCTCTGGGCGCCACTCAACAATGCGGAGGGGTCGTTAAAGGAGGAAGCGGGCGCCTGAGTAGCGCCTGGGGCGGCCGGGGACGGGGTGGCAGGGGGTGCCGCCGCCGCCGCCGCCGCCGCAGTGTTGGACGGGGCGGGGGCAGGAGGCGCAAGCGGAGTTGAGGTAGCTGCTCTCGAAGGGGTGGAGGGGCTTGTGAGGGGGTGGCGGAGGAAGAAGCCTTGGGCTACAGCGAACGGCAAATTAGCGCCCGTCCAGAGCAGAGGTCGATATGCGAGTGTGCACAGGAGTGGGAACCGGCATACCTTTGACACCATGCACACGATGAAGCCCTTCTCCTCGATGTTGTACGTCTCGATTGTCTTGTCATCTTGAAGGATCTTTCCTGTTGTGGTTAAGGGCTGTCAGCTCTGACACCACCATCATGGAAGACTTTGACGGAGGCCATCCATCCACACGGGCGTGTGGTGACGACTGCAAGAGACAGGGCGTGTTCACTGACCCGAATAGATGAGCTTCAGCTGAGGAACCTCCCATCCTTTCTCCTTGGAAATTTTTTCCTTCACTTGCCCGACCTAACGGATATTTCAGTGAGCCCCGCACTGACGCTGGCCAGCTTTGAGACGCTCGGGAAAAGGAACAACCTACCGTCTCCGAGGGCTCTGCATCGATTACGAACTTCTGCTGCTTCAAATCCTAGGCGAAAATACCTGTCAGACCGGGGAATAGATCGAAAGTTGGATGGGAAAATACACGCGTACCTTGAACGTGAGCTTCATCTTGCGCCACCGACGGATGAGAGATGGCTTGAGAAGGTGGGGTGGGGGGGGATGGGGAGGGAGGGGGAAGGAGGGGGAGATTCTTCCAGAAAGCAGATTGGTATTAAAGGGAGATAATGGAGGAGATGTAAAGCAATGCTTGATGAGGATTGATGCGAGGCGGGGCGGAAGAGGAAAGAATCGGAGGGAGGGGTGCGAATCAACCGGAAAAGAAGCCGCGAAAGGTGATGATGACAATCATGACGCCGAGGGAGGGAGAAGAAGGAGGCGGTCACCGAGGCTGAGTCATCCAGCACTACCGGCGAGGTACTCCTGGTCGTACCTGAGTACCTTACCTTGCGTAGGTACCTACGTTGTACTTACTACTAGACTCTGTACTACTATTCCAGAATATGCTTTAGGTATGAAGCACAGGGAGGAAGAATCTGGGGGGGGGAGGGGAATTAACACCATTACTAAGTACTCGCTACTTACAACAACTACCGAGTGTTCATTTGGGCAGCACAAATATACATCACTCTTTCTTTTCTTGAAATAACCCAAACATGGACATGGAACTCCGTACTCCGTACTCCGTACTCCATAGTACTGTTGGCCCTCCCTACATAATCCAACTCTGGAATCTGGATATCAACAATGAATCCTTCCCTCTCCCTCTCCACATTATAACCATCACCACCACCATGAACTATGAGTTGGCAAACCCCCTCCCCCTCCCTTCTTCTCACTCACTTTAATCCCCCAAGAAAAAAAAAAAAAAAAAAAAAAAAAAAAAAAAAAAAAAAAAAACCAAGTGACAATGCTGCAGCCTGTATTCTCACGGAGTACTCCGTTCGATCTACCCACTTTCAATGCCGTGCCTCCCGTGGCAAGGGGCCAAGCCCAATGGATCTATCTTATGGATGTATCACACACTGGGTGCAATGCTGTAGGGAGAAACTTGACTACCAGGAACCATCGATCCAAAGGATCCAGAAAGACCCTCCATTCGCCGAAGGGCTGGCGTGAGCCTCTTGCTTTGTCCCCCTCCCAAAAAACACTTCCTAGACAGTCTGGTTTATTGTCCCTTCTTCTCATTGCCTTTGCTTCCAACCGTTGGTGGTACCTGCTTATGTCGGCGCGTCCAGAATCGGCTCTCCCCACTGTTTACTGTTCCTCAGCTTCCGGCCGGGTTGCTCAATGGAGTGATAGATCACATCGCTGCCTCCCCCCATCCTGGAATCGAAACGGACGATCTGCCACTTTAAGGCTCTCCGGGATTCTGGAGATCATCCCGGTAGCTTCGCACAGGAGGCCGCCCCCCAGTCTTGACAAATTCTTTTTCTAGACCTGTTCTTCGTGGTCCTGACTCCACTGAGAGAGGTATCATGCAGAGACGACCGCCGCACTCCGTACCTGGGTTCTCTTCAGCATCTGCAGATGGGGGAGCTGGGGGCCTATCCCGGGTATGATGATTTCAACCCCAGCACGCAGGCTGAAAGGTTGCGTAGGTGGGTTGATGGGACCACAAATGAAACGACCGCAACCTCCTGCCTTGAGCATGCCACCCCTGCCGTTGGAAGCCATCGCGATATCATGACGTACAGTCGATCTGACCTCGTCCGTTGAAACCCAGTTCTCTTTTCTTTTTCCTCGTCTCTTCCCCTTCCAGGCGTTGAAGAGGGGCAAAGCCTCCCGAGCCCCAATAGCTGAGAAGGCTAGAGTCTGGGAGGAGCTACTGATGGAGTAAGTAGATAGATGGTAGTCGAGAGCAGGCATCTCGATCCCCGACCGTATCCGATTCGCACTAGGATTGGTATGATTCCCATCGCATCCGTCCCTCGGGGCGGCCCTTTGGCGGCCCCTAGTCTGGTGAATTCGAGGCCCTTGGGCGTCGACGACTCGGCTCCAGGTCGATTCGCCATTGCCATTCGACCACAGGTCTAAGTAGTCGAGGAACTCCTTCTCCTCCTCCTCCTCCCCCCCCCTGCCCCCTGTCATGCTGATCCTGAAAGTTGCAGATGCGACTTTTCTTCGAACCATCCATGCATCTTTGATCCAATTATCCTCGGGGAACCAGCTCCCCCCGTCCTTCCCTCTTTAGTTTAATTGATTGACTCTCGTTCATTCCGGGTTGCTGGGTATTTACTCCGGCTCGACCCTCGTCCCCAGCACAGTCCCTCGTTTATCATTGCGAACTCGTCACGCCCACGATTTTGTCCGCTCGATCTTTCATTGAGACCTCTTCACGCGGGCCTTCCTTCCCCGTAATTCCACTGCCTACGCTGTCTCTGCTGACCTCAGGGGTCGCCGGGTCCAGACCAATCTCGACATCACTATCATCCGGATGATGATCCCAGTCTTGAGTTGGTAGTGCCCTACTGAATCGCCCAAGCTGATCACTCCCGCCGTCTCAGCGCTGCTCGACGCCTCGATATCCCTTCCTCCAGGTGGTTCCGGAAGACGCCAGCATCCCTCAAGCACCGATCCCACTACCCTGGGGCTGACCAGGTGAACAGTGTCGTGTCTTGACTGCCTTGACCAGCCCACCCTCATCATCATTCCTTCGTATAGCCCCCTACACCCCTGTCCCATGTCTCCAAGCATGCCTGGGGTCTCTCCCACCCGAATTTTAGGTGGCATCACTCTGCTATCAACTTTCATTGCCACCGTTCTGGATGGCATGTGTTATACGTTCTCCAGGTCACTCTCGTCTCATATCTCTTCCGTCGAGTCCGCCATTGTCAGCCTGGGGGCCGTGAGCTGTGTGGCACTTGTTGCCGTGTCATACCTCTGGGTTAATGATCTCAAGAGTGAGGCCGCTACGCCTTACAGAAGCCGGGGGGCCTGCACGTACGGGGTCATCGCGGCATATCTATCCATCGCCACGGGCGTCACTGCGGGGGGGATAGCCTGGAGTGCAGCCCAGTCGATGACGGCGAAGACGTCGGTGACTAAAAGGCACCAGTCCCTACTGATTGCCCGTTGTATCATCTGGGCGATATCGGTCCTCAGTCAAGGGATCCTAGGAGGCTATTTCTTGACCACGCTGATCAAACGCGAGCCCACCCCCACCCCCACCCCCATCCCCATCTCACCTCCAACAAAATGGTCACCTTCGCCTTCACAGGAGCTCGACGTCCTCTCCGAGCAAGCCAGCGTGAAAGAGAACCACGGTCGGGATTCTCCCTCCTTGACGAGCGAGTCACAACGGGAATCCGCAGATCTCAAACCGGACGGCGACACCGTACCTCCCATTCAACCATCTGTCTCCAACACGGAGTCTCACACCTCGAACCGCTATTCTGGTCGAACGTTGTTCCTGCACGACTCCAAGCAAAACTCTCTGGACTTGCAACGCTCATACTTGTCTCAAGGCGACTCCATAGGGATCTCCTCCAAGCCAGTCGAGCCTCCCAACGACCCGGCAGGCTGCCCTGTGGGGGCCAAAGTCCGCAGTGAACCACCCAAGATTCGGCGAAGCTACTCCGATACCAAACGATCCTTGGATGCGTCTTCCACGCGGTCATCGCCCGCCACGTCTTCGACCCAGCTGGTGGCCCCAGCCCGACCTGCTCCTCCGAAGCTGAAGCTCCCCGATGAGAGTTTCATCCACCCGCTATTCCGATCTGACAGCGCCTCCCCGCCCCTACCCCGATGCCGGGGACCACGGTGATTGCCTCCCCGGCCGCCGGTCAGACCATTTCCGTGAAGACCCTGAACCGAGTGCGATCCACCCGGTCCCTCCGGTCCCAAGGGCCCCGAAGCAGGTCGCCGCTGTTCGACCAGCCACTCCAGAGTATGGAGCGGAATGCGGATTCCCCCGAGCCCAGTGGCCGAGGGTCTCCCATGCCCAGCTTTATCATGGCGGCGGACGTGCGGAGCAGCATATCACGGTACGAGAAGAAATATGACCTGAACGAATCCCCGGACGAGAGTTAGTTGAGTGGCTAGCCCAGCAGCGGGGAGGGGGGGGCTTGGGATTTCAGGGTTGGTTGGTTTCGATGTCTTTCCTTTGTTGTTTCTTATGTTAATAGATATCCTGGACATAGCGTTTGATGTAGTAAGAGTAAGCAATCACTTCCATTAGATAAAGATAGATCCTACTATAATGCATCGCGGTTTTATTTTTAGGATTTCCGTTGTTTGGTATTCTTATTATGCATGCTTATTACTTTAATAATTCTTATTGTTCATTTTTTATTTTATCACCCTCATCATTGTTATTGTAATTGTTATTGTTATTATTTTCCGAGCGAAACGTACTGGGTGGAGGTGCTCTACCCGTAGCCCCGAAAAGCGGTGGCCCTGCCTGGCGAAGTCCAGGGGATTTTAAAAGTACCTCTCCTTCAAGGACGAGTGTTGGTTTGTAGTTGTTCACTTGATGTAAAAAAAAAAAAAAAAAAAAAAAAAATCATAATACATAGTACATAGTACATAGTACCTATTGTATAGTACCTATATACACAACTCCAAGCTGGCTCAAGTACATAGACAGGTATATATCATGCGAGGTATTTTATAGGAGCATACTACTAATGTATACCTAGTACTCCGTAGTGTAGATAGATACATACTATATGTAGGATGTAGGAAGGACAGGGGGGGGGGGAAGAAAGAAAGGAGCAGAGAGCGGGAGAGTAAGCAAGACAAATCTCTCCGCAATTATTTAGTATTAACACTCAGCAGTTATATTAGGTATAGGACGTTAGCAAAGTGGCAGCAAGTTGGTGGTGCTGGTGGTAGTGAGTGACTGACTGACTGGACTGACTGGACTGAACGGCGGCCCCCGTCAAATTCCTCAATCCTTTTCTTTCCTTTTCTTCTTGACAATCCCACCACCAAAACAACCCCCGCCAATGGTCAATTGCCGTTGCAAGGTACCAACCACTGCTCACTACCTGACCCTTTTCCCACCGTCGCCGACCTGCCTGGTCCGGAACCATCTACTTCTACATCCGGCGGGCAGCAGCCAACCAATTCGCCGGGTCCCCTCGATCCACTCGAACTTGGCCAAACCTCTTTTTACTACTTCGCGATCCTCCACTCAACTACCTCGTTTTACTGCATTTACTTGACGTGACTTCCTTCCCTTCCTTCCTTCCTTCCTTCCTTCCTTACCTACCTACCTAGTACTGCTCTACCTTATTCCATCATCCCCATCCCCATAATCATCACTTCCTCCCCCCAATCCCCATCCCCACCCCCATCCGCTATCATCGGTTCCATCCATTTTGACTCCTTCCACGCCTCCATTGCCATCCATCGCCCATCGCCCATCGCCCATCGCATCCTCACGCCCGTCCAGTCATTTCAGGTATGTGGGTGTTCCCATCCTTTCCTGTCCGTTCTTTTCCCTTTTTTTTTTCTCCCCCATCGTCCTTCTTCCTCCCATCCCTCCCCGGGTTACTTTTCCTGTTGCCTCGTTCTGCGTCCTCCCGCAACCACGCGACGGCCCATCATCCTGTTTCTTCTGGCTTTCGCTGCACGTTTTCATTGCCGCATACTATCTCCCTCCTGTCTCTGCTCTCTGCTGAGTTCTGACCCCCATCCCCCCCTCCCCTCGCCGTCAACCTTGTTTTTGGTCAATGTTCCATGAATCTTATCCTCTTCCTCCTCTCTTTCACCCTCGCTGCCTCGCCCATCCATCCATATGTGGGTCCGAATTAAGTCAACCTTATTTTCGTTTTTCTCTGTCTGTTTGTTCACTCCTCATCTCCAGATCCTATACTTGTTGATTGCTACTCCTACCTGGAACCTCCTAAGAGCCATCCCCCCCCCCCCCCCCCACCCCCCCGGGGTTTCTCCCTATCTTTGGTTTCCGTCTGTCTGTCTGCGGAGACTTCGTGCTATCAACCGTCGGCACTTCCCACCATCTCCTTCTGTACGCCACCCCGGCTCGTATAACGGGGCTGGCATCTTTTCTCTAATTGTGCTCGTCGTGCTTACCCCGTCTTTTGCCATTGTCTTCTTCCACTGAACTTTCTCGCTCCTCAAATTCCCATCGACCCACTGACCGAATTTACATCACTACAGTGGACTGCGATGGCGGGAGTCAAGCGTAAACTCGAAGCTGCCCAAGCGTCGACTACAGCGTCTTCTGGCGGCAGTAGCGCAGGCGGGGGGGCTTCCCAGAGTGCCTCTAGTAAGTCTTCACCTCATTCCTACTTGAACTGTTTCTTATGAGTGCCTAGACTCTGCCGTGGATGACACGTCCAATATTCGCGTGACTCGGAGTTTACGCTCAAACCGAGATGCACGTGCCACTCAGAATGATGGTAGAAGCCATAGCAGCACCGCTGCAACCAGTGGAAACGGCCACGTAAATCCAAACAGACACAACACCAACCGCCCGTCACGAATCATCACTCTCAGTACTCGTGCCGCTCGGGCGAATACCGCTCAGGAGAAGGCGGCTCGCGAGACTGCGGCCCGTGAAAGTGCGGCCCGAGACACCGCTGCTCGTGAGAATATCACTCGCGAGACTCGTAACACTCGGACTCGGGCAAGCGCACAGCTGTCTACTGCCCAACCTGAAGCCCCACTAATCAATGTTCCCGAAACTCCTCGGCACAAGCGTGCCAAGCGAGGTCCAATGGTGGAAGAAACGCCCCGAACGACGAGGCAGTCAGCAAGACTCAGGGCACACGCCCCTGCATCATCTACCGAAGAAGCCCTCCACGATATGGAGGTCATACCAAAGCTGCCGGAGCCCAGCCCACCAAGTCATGCGGCCCCAAGTACCAGGAAGAGAACCCGGAGTCGGCAATTTGCTGACAGCGTCATCGATGCTTCTCACGACGCCACTTTCGCTGCTCCAGTTGCCAGGTCCCCCTCTCCGGAGAGAGTTACTCCTGTACCAGAAGAGAACCCGCAACCACTAGAGGCAGAGCCTCTTCAGAGCCCGGAACCGACGCTCTCACAGCTGACGAAAGAAGAGTCGCCTAAGGGGACCGTTACGGGCGAGGACAAAGATGGAGTAAGCGAACTAGCTGTCCCAGAGACGAGCGAGCCGCTCAATCCTATAACTACTCCGAGTCCATTGATATCTCAAAAGCGAAATTCACCCGAGCCTGAAGAAACTGGCACAGCTGAGGAGGCTGAGAGATTTCTCGACTCCCCCAGCAGGAAACCCAAAGTGGAAGAGGGCGAACTGGATCACGACTTGAAGGAACAGCTGCAAAATGGTACTGAAAGCAAACCAGAACCGCAGTCTCCCGTGGAGGCCGTGGCCGATTCCGGGCTTGGTGATGAATCTCGCCAGATAACTGAAGAAATTGAAGAATCGACGCCAGACGTTGCCACAGAGTCGACAGTTGGTAAAGCAGCCCGCGGCGGTCGAACTCGGGGCCGTGGCCGTGGCGGTCGCGGCCGCGGCGCAGCGCGTTTCGCAGTGAACAAACGAGGTCGCGGTGCCGCTCGCGGTGGCCGCGGTGGCCGCACTGGTCGACAGCTGGATCGTTCGAGCGATGTAGAACCGGATCGTTCTCCCTCCCCGAGTGCAGCGACCCAGAAGTTACGGGACAGGCAGCGAGAGTTGGACAAGGCGTTCAAGAAAGTGGCTGCTGCTCAGAGACTGGCCCTGGCTGTGCTAGCCACGCAGTCGGAGAAGCGGTTGGCCCGCGATAAAAATGCGCACAAGATTGTGCCGGAGTTTGACGATATTAACTTACAACTGAAGGCGAGACTACATGAGAAGAGAGAGATTTTGCGCCGGGAATACGAGCTCAAAGTGGAGCAAGAAAACAGGATGTTTGAGGCCAGCAAGCAAGCGGTCGAGGAACGATGCCAGGTAGGCCACGCCAAACACGCTTCTGGGGGTCTTCGTGGGAGGTTACTGACGAGAATTGAACCACAGGCCCAAGCTCGTAATATCAAGGAAGAGCACTTCTTGGCCAGCCAAGGGGCGTACATGGCATTTGTCGAGGGCCGCCGGGCTGCGGAAGATGACGAGCACACTGAAGTAGGCTTCTCTCCCCAAGCGCCGCACGCGTTGGGTACTAATAGTTCTGTGCAGACCGATGATTCTGAAACCGAGCCCGAGCGTGGGCCTGTGGTGCCACCAGCCCGCGAGGTCTTTCGAGGCTTCCACTCCACCTTTGTCAGGAATCCTGCCGGAGCGGCTGCTTACGATCGTGCCTACTTCGGTTGGGATGACTTTGTCCAGCGAGCCAAGGTAGGCGACGACATCGACCCGCAGATGAAGGAGATGCGAGACGCCGGGCCTTTCGCCGGCATGACCGCCGACCAGATCATCGACCTGCTGTTGAAGGCCACCGGCGTCGTGGAAGTACGTCGGCACACGATCCCAGGGGAGATCAGCCCGCCCACGATGCCCGATGTCCGCCCACGCGCATTGTCCGCCCTGGCAGACATTGCAGCTGCGGAGCCTCCGCGGCCGCTTCTCTCCCAGCCCGTCCCCCGACTATCCGTGTCGACACATCGGGCCCTGCTCCCGCAGCCGCCTGCCCCCCGCCGTTGGCGCATGGCCCTCCTGCCGAGCATCGACCGTTCATGCTGCCTCCGCCCACCCCACAGAGACAACAGCCCCGGCGGCTTCTTCCTGCGGGACAGCAGATCCCACCCATCAACGAGCAACTCGGCCTGCCCGATCCCTTTGCGGCCATGGGGGGCCCCCCTCACCTTCCTCCTCCGCCTGGTTCCAACTTCCACCGCCCCCCGCTGCCTGGTTATCTGACGGGACACCATGCTCCCAGTCTGTACTATCCGCATCCGCCACATCCGCCGCCCCCGCCTCCTCCTCCAGGGCCTCGGCCCCCCTTCTAGGAGTGGAGGGGCCATGATTGCGGGGAGCTGGGTCCTTCTCTTTGCGGCCATTGTCATTGCCATTGTCATCGATTTAGGGATCTGATCTCAGATGGAGTTTGTCTCTTTTTATTGTTTGTTTTTTTCTTTTTTTTTTTTTTTTTTTTTTAAAAAAAAAAAGGTAGACTACCCACCATTGGGAAGTGCGAGGGTTTCGTTCACAAAGCGATCGGTTCTTGTTCATAGCTACGGAGGATTCCCCTTAGGCGTTAATTTGCTCAGATGTCTCTTCTTCCTTGCCATACTTACACAAGCGTACTGGGTAGGTGCTGCTTTGTACATACATAACATACATACAGACAGAAAGACAGAAAGACAGACAGACAGACAGACAGACAGGCAAACAGACAGACATCCATAAATACATAGTAGTACCTGGAGTCTTCCCTTTTTTCTTTCTTTTTTTTCTTCTTTTAAGGTCCTGCACTACTCGTCCAGAGAGGGACCTTGGGATGAATCATAGTGGCTCATCGCAAGGCTGGATGACTCTTACGGTCTTACGGGGCCCCGATCGGGACTAGTGCGGCGGGCGGGGCAGCCGCCAGAAGCTTTTTATTTCCTCGGGCTTTTCCTCCATCGATCCTCCCAGTCGCTTGCCCGTTGACTGTCTTTCTGCATCCCCCCCTCCGAATCCCTCCCTCAATCGCTTGTCGTTTGTCGCCTGTCGCCTGTCGCTGTCCGAGTCGCTCGTCTGTGCTCGCCCTCCCCCCCGCGACAGCCCTCGTCGTTGCCCGCAGTTTCTCTGCCTCAGACGTCACCCCCCGCCTTCTCACCACCACCACCACCACCTCCTCCTCCTCCTCCTCTAAATTACTCCTCCATCCCTCCATCCTCTCTCCCTCTCTCTGCAACTCCACCTTCCGCAGACCTTCGATCGGAAATCCCTCTCCAACTCCCTCCCACAATCACTCCTATTTTCACCACCGGTAACCCGACTCCGACAGACCCAATCATGGCCGTCCGTGCGCAGTTTGAGAACTCCAACGAGTAAGACGAGAGCCCCGAGAATTTTTGTCGAATTCGCTGCTGTCTGGAACCCTGGCGCTAATGGGGATTTGCTTTGCTTTCTAGAGTTGGTGTCTTCGCCCGTCTTACCAATTCATACGCCGTCGTTGCCATCGGTGCCTCCGAGAACTTTTACAGGTACAGATATCATCTCATCTACGGCGACCCCCAATGGCCACTCTCGCTAACTTTCCGCCAGTGTATTCGAGGCCGAGCTCCAAGACGTCATTCCGATCTGCCATGCCACCATTGCCGGAACCCGTATTGTCGGCCGTCTCACGGCTGGGTATGTCTCCCAGCAATTTCTCAATCGGCCCCGATCCGGCCTGTTCTGATCGTATGACCACAGTAACCGCAAAGGCCTCCTCGTCCCTACGACCACAACAGACCAAGAACTCCAACATCTCCGGAATACCCTGCCCGACTCGGTCAAGATCCAACGGATAGAGGAGCGGCTCTCGGCCCTAGGAAATGTCATCTGCTGCAATGACCACGTCGCGCTGATCCACCCGGATCTCGAGCGCGAAACGGAAGAGATGTACGTCCCCCCCCCATTGTGCCCCCGCAGGACGTTTCACGTACGGGTACTGACCAGCGTTCAATAGCATCGCCGATGTTCTCGGCGTCGAAGTCTTCCGACAAACCGTCGCCGACAACGTCCTGACTGGCTCCTACATGGCTCTCTCCAACCAGGGCGGTATCGTCCACCCCAAGACCTCCATCCGCGACCAGGATGAACTCTCCTCCCTCCTACAGGTGCCCCTTGTCGCCGGTAGTGTCAACCGCGGTAGCCCCGTCGTCGGTGCCGGCATGGTCGTCAACGACTGGCTGGCCGTCACGGGTCTGGATACCACCGCCACCGAGCTGAGTGTCATTGAGAGCGTGTTCCGGCTGGGTGAGATGGGCCCTCGCGGCATTGGAGCGGGTGGTGCCAACAAGGAGAGTATCGTCGAGAGTTTCTACTAGAGGAGTTTTCTTCCCCCTGTCTCTTTGGTGTCTTTTTTTTACCCTTTGTTCAGTCTGTCTATGTGTGATGGTTTATGTCTTCTATCTTTCTCTCTCTATGAAACATACTCGAATACATTCGAAGATCCCCTCATGGTGTGTGTATGTCACGAATGGTTAGATACGGGAACGGGACGGAATTCAATCCAGGTGGAGTTTTCTCGTTTCTTCAAGTTGACAACTTCAAGGACCATGCGTATTGGAGTGCCTCCATCATACTATTTAGGTACTAACAAGTAAAATACAGGAGTGTCTGGGTAGTAGCACCTAGTCGGTACTACAGGTATAAGCGGTGAGCAAAGTACTATGTGGTTGGCACTTTAACCTCTATCTACTAGTAGTAGGTAGGTAGATAGTAGGGAGCCCAGCCAAAAAAAGAAGGGAAAAGAAAAGAGAACCCCAGAGATTTCAACTAGTACATAAAATGCCTGACGGGATATATAACACAGAAATTAAAAAGAAAAGAAAAGAAAAGAAAAAGACACAAAATCTGCGCCACTCATTCCCAGAAGATCGTAAAAGGACGGAAGAAAAAAAAAGGTTCCCACAATAATAACTAGTTATACAAGGAAGAAGGGAGGGAGGGAGGGAGGGAGGGAAAGAGGCACACGCGCCGCGATTTTATACACTTTCAATGTGTGTCGTGTGTTTTTCTGGATGAATTTGGCAGACCTATCCCATCCTATTCTCTCGGGAAATTTAGCTAGCGAGCAGAAAGTTTTTTTTTCTTCTCTGTTCTCCTTGTTGACTGAGACTTCCCTTCGTCTTTTGTTTTAGAGGAAGAAAAAGTATTATCTTCTCGCGCGCAGGCCTTGCCTCTCCTCTAATACTAGGTTGGTATGCAATCATCATCGGTATCGCGGGTACGACGGGGGGTATTGGTATTCATGTAAAGGGACAAGAGCAAGAACGTGAAAAAAATGTAAAAGTCACGAGAGATCGAAGGAAAAGAGAGGCAGACAGAGATGCTGGCCAGATGGGCGCAAATCAGATCAGATCTCTGGAAGAGGGTTGGGTGCAAGGAGAAGGGGAGAGAAAGAAAGAAAGAAAGAAAGAAAGAAGGAAGGAAAGCGAAAGGAATGAGGTCCCAGGTCTGACAGGGAAAGAGGGAATATAACAAACAGGTGGAAGAGGTATTTCGCAAGCAACCAAAGAGTCAATCAAGACCTGCCTTCAAAAACGCCTAGAACACCGGTCCCGATGCGGAGAATTCCCTGGGGAGGTTGAGGTTGATGGGTGGTGGATTTGGGGCGAGCTGGCCTACTGGCCAACACGCGGTGCTTGCTATACGTGGCCTTCGATACCAAACTGCGAAGGGGGGAGCTCGTTGGCACCCTCCTCGGGGGTGAAGCCGGGGTGTTCGGCCTCGACGTCTTGCGCGGGCAACGGAGGGGGAGGGGGAGGCGGCGGAGGGGAGTCGGTCTCGCTCTTCATGTTGATGTCGTCGCCGCTTTGGGGTTGTCGAGCCTCGTCCAGATCGTCGGGCTCGTCGTGGCCCCCGGGGCTCATCGGGGGAGGGGGCGGCGGCGGCGGCGTGGAGGATCGCTGTCTCTTGGAGGAGGTCGGCGTGGTGTAGTCGGTCGTGCTTCCATCGCCCGTGCCTGGCGCATCGTCCCTCTCCCTCTTGCGCTTGAGGTTGCCTTGCAGCTCGTCCGTTTCCTCGTCCTGTGCCACGGCCTTGTCGTCTTCCTCGTCATCCGACATTCTCACGTCCAGCCCGACATCCTCCATCCGATCCGCTGCCCCGTCATCCGGCCTGGAGTCGGCCTCCTTCGACTGTCGCTCCGTCTTGCGCTGCTCGTATGCCCGGTGCTTAATCACGGCCTTGTCGAAGAACTCCTTGCAGAACCTTTTGACCTTCTTCTGCTGTTTGTCGTCAATCTTGGTAGGGTCCCCGACACGGTTGTTCTTGAAATCCGAATTGACCAGTTTCTTGGCCACCTATTGCCGGCAGTGGATTAGCATGGCTGACTGGGACTGGGACTGGGACTGTGGACCGGGGAGGGGGTTGCAATTCTCACATCTTTGGCATAGCGCTTGAGGTCGTCCTTTGGAAGCTTGTGCTTAAACTTGTCCACGACGTACTTGACATGGGGATATAACTGCATGCGGTCAGTTTCTTTCCCCGGGTCGCATGGGACGCCAGCCTGCAGAGGAGCCACATACCGTGTTCTCGTAGATTTTCTTCCGCTTTTCTTCACTATAGCTCCGCCACTTATCCTGTCCATCATTCTTATCCGGGGTAGGCTTGCTCGAGGTCTGTGGGGTGACTGGGGTACCGCTCTTCTCTTTGGGGGTGTTCTCCTTAGCATTCATGATGCCATCAATGATGTCCTGTAGCGCCTTGTCCCTCGACTCCTTCGGGGGCAGGAGCAGCTGAGGTGCGGGCTTCGTTGGTCGCGTCCACGTAGTATCACCGCGAGCCGAGTAGTAATATGTCCTCCCGTTCGATTCGGCCGCAAACCACCCGGGGGGCAAGGGATTGAACTGCCGCCGAAAGGGCCGAGGGCCATGATGATGGGTGTTCCTCTGTCCGAGACCTCCTCGCGTCTGGGCCGCCGGGCCACGAGGGGCCTCGATTGACCTCGATCGGGATCTCGACCGTGACTTGGACCGCCGCCGCTCATCCCGAGTGGTCTCTCGCCGTCCAAACTGATTGACGGCCGGTGTGGCGGCGTTGGGATCCCTCTTCATACGGGGGATGCGATAGCCCACCTCAAGCGTGGACCAGACCTGCAGCAACATCGCAGCCTTGGTCTCCACGTGCTCATCCCCGCAACTGGTCAGTGGCTGGATGGTGGATTCGATCTTGGAGTCGATGATCTTATTCCGCGTCAGACGAGGGAACTTATCCAGGACGTTCAAGATCTGGAACACCACGTTGAAATCCTCCTTCCACATGGCAAGCTGGGAGTTAAGGATCTGGTAGCCATGCATCTTCACCACCCGGTTGTAGACGCGCTCATCGTCGCAGCGCTGAATGCGTCCCAGGAGCTTCACTGCAATCCATTTCTCCTTACACTGCATCAGGGCTGCCATGACCTTGGTGACCCCGTTTTCTTCTAAAGACTTCGGCTGCACACTGTCCACATACTCCTCGTCATCCTCACCCATCTTCTTCTTGCGCGGCCGCCTAGCAACTGCGGTGTCCCAGCCGTCGGCATCATCAATGCCCAAAGCCTCGATCGTAGCGTTCGACAGCTTCGTGGCCCGCTCCGTCTGGGTTCTTCCACCAATGTAGCCCGTGCAGTTGGGTTCCGCGCAGTAACATGGCTGAGGATCGGCCCCGTAGCGGTCAACATTGTAGTTGAAGACGAGTTCCTCGCCCGCCTGAATGTGCCGTTCAGCGAAAATGCCCATGCGGAGCTTTTCCCCGACGACCCACTTGTCGACATAGCAGTTGGGATTGCATGAGTGATTACAGAAACGGCCCAGATTGCCCTTTTTGGTTGCGTCGACGAACTCGCCCTTGCTGAGGGACATGAAGTAAAAATGCTTGATCCCCTCTTCGTCATATTGCCTCATCCGGCGTCGAAACTGGCCCTCGTTGATGACTTCGCCCACATACTCGAAGATGAACTGGTGCGGTCGCAGATCGGCCTCCGCCCGGAGCCCGAAGCCCTTCTTTTCCGTCTTGATCACAGCTACAGGGGCATATTCCCTGCGTTGGAACCGTTGATTCTGGCACTCTGGTCCACATCCACAGTCGCCCATACATTCAATCTTGGTTGCACGGTTAATGCAGTCCGAATCTTCACCGCACGCCACATTTCTGGAGATCGAGGGCTCTAGATTGTGTTAGAATTTGATCCTCAAATCATAGACATGCGACAAGCGCAAAAATGTAGAAAAGCGGTGCCACGCAATTCGACAGCAAGAGAGAGAGAGAGAGAGAGAGAGAGAGAGAGAGAGAGAGAGAGAGAGAGAGAGAGAAGAGAAGAGAGAGAGAAGAGAGGTATGGAGGGAGGGAGGGATGGGGGAGCGTTTAGACTGAGAGACGGCAGCCGCCTCTCGACAACCTCGAGCTGAGATCTCGGGGCACGATGCTGCCGCGTAGAGACTGGAAGGAGACGCCACAAAAGGGAAACACGAGGAGATCTACGAAGACTTACCCCATTCCTCTGCACAATCGCATTCCATCGCGTGTTCAGTATACCCCATGAATTTATTGGCATAGGTGCATGTGTCCATAAGCTCGAAGGTCGCCTCGGCATCACCCGTGCTATTTGGCAGCTGGGAGAACAGCTGCGGTGGCCTCGCAACAACCTTCTGTGAAGAGCTCCGGGTCAGCTTGGGAGGATGTCCGGGTTCCAGCTTGACAATGATGTCGCCCCCGACTTTTTCCTCCACACTGTCCGCATGGTCCCTCTCCGTGGCTATCGGATTGGATTCGTCCTCGCCATTCTCTTCCTTTTTGGCCGGACACCGAGACGAGGGACGTGATTGAGCCGCAGCGTGATTGTGATTGTCCTTCAGAGCAGCGACGGGGAAGGCACTGGAGGCCGCATCCGACAATTCATCCTTAATCATGGCGCCTCCGCCGCTGAGGACCGGGTTTTCGGGCGCTCTGCCGGGCTCCAGCTTCATCGCAGTCACCGCATCGGCGACTGATTCTGATCGACGGTCCGCGTTGTCATGAGGGGACATGACGACACGGACGGAGCGCGCAAACTATCGGTGCCTGTTGGGATGTGCGCGGGTGCGAGATCGGAGACGGCGCGTCGTCGTGGTGGTGGTGGTGGTGGTAAGAGGTGTTTTGGAAAGGGTGGAAGGTTGGTGGTCAAAAGAACGAAAGTCGGGACGAATGGAAAGATGGGGGTGGGGAGACTAGGTGGAAGAGGGGGAGGAAGAGGGGAGACGAAGGAGAAGAAGAAGAAAAGGAAGAAAGGGAAGAAGAGAAAGGGCCAAAAGGAGGGAGAGTGAAGCGATGAAGAAGGACTGGCAGAATAATTCGATGCCGCAAGTCCAAGTATCGCCCACGTTTTCCGCAAGTGCCAAGAACCCTCCAATCGTCCAGCCATTCATTCCAGGGCTCGTTTATTATCTTTTTGTCTTCCGAGAACTCTCTACTCTACCTCGCTAGGTTCTCCATATCCATTCACTTCTCAACGGGCTGCCCTTTTCATGCCTGCATTCAACCATTCATTCATTCATTCATTTGTTCATTTGTTCATTCATGCTAATACCCCCCCTCCTCCCTGCCTTGTCTGGGGGCCGTGCAGACCACAAGATACAAAACAATAACCCCTCCCACCACCCAGGCAATTGTCTCCGATCACGGAGTGTATCAACTGAGAAACCGAAGCTATTTAACACACGAGATTGCCGCTTCAATTCCCTTTCGCTCAGGATGTCGGATCCTCGACGTGTGTTATACTGAATTCCGGCTGATGATAGCCAAGTATTGCCGCAGCATGGCCTTCAGCTCTCTGGTCGGCCCGCTCATGGCTACTTGCTCTAGAGTCCTCGTCCTATCTTGGATTCGAGGGAATTAGTAATGACTCTCTCCCTGAGGCATGATCATCGTAACCATAGCCTGTTACCCGGATGTCACGACACTCGTGCGGGTGGGAGACTGCCTCCTCACGGTAACAATTGTCTCCACCAAGCAGTTAAAACATCCTGTATGGTCTTGATCACTTTCAACCCGTCAGCAATTCTGATTCAAAAGAGCTCAGGATGGTGTCCCTCCTGCTAGGAGCTGGGGCATGACCACGATGCGATTATGAAATCTGGCCGGTCTAAAGCCCGAGAGGGGAAGGGTGTACGGAACCAAAGTAACAATGGTACAACTGTTAACGACACATGCGCGCGGAAGAGGAAGATGGAGGGGGGGCCAGGGGATATACGTAGGTCAAAGCACAACAACGACTTGGGTCTCGTAATCTTGGGGGACGCGTACTAAGCCATGTCCCACACTTATCCCTTCCCGACCCATATTCCGAGGACGGGGCACCGGGTAGTTATGAGGCAGGTGGAATGGGCGTGGATACCAATGCGAGCGACATCTGCACAGGAAAAGACTGTCCTCCAACCAACTGGGGGCTGGCTGGTACGCGAGCCCAATCCATAGGCCACGAATCGCCCCGCTCGTCAGAGCTAGGGCTAGGGTCCTCCTCGCCATGCAGCTCACCCTCCTAGTTATCCTATCCGATGGCTGGGGTACGCGGACGGAGGATCAGATTGCACCATGGTTGATACGGAGCATCCCGGCTGACACACATCTCTAGGAGGTACATAAGTACATACTTGCTACTAGTCACCTACCATACTCACATGCGGTGGGGACGGCGGGACAGATAGATCTGCGAGCGAAGCATTGAAATGCAACACAATGACTGTCCGGACGACATGTCAGATTCCGCACTCTTCTACCGTGCTTCCAAGCCGGCGTGTTTCGGGGCGGTTAGCGATTGGACAAGGACGTCGCATTTACAGGCGGTGCATGGAGTATACTTAAGTATGCACTCCGTATGTGGCCTGGGAGACTCGGCGTGTCAATGAGTGGACAGGGAGAGGCGTGGATGAAGATCGGATGGAAGGGTCGAGGGATCTCTTCTGGCTCCAGAGGGATTTAAGTCCAGAACCAAGAAAGCGGCAACCCGGACGGAGCACCGAGATCGATAACACGAGAGAGATTTCATGCCGGCGGCTTCTGAAATCCCCCAGGACAAGGAAGGGCCGACTGAATGGGCGTTTGGACCACTGATCGAGAAACAAGTGCCGCGGTCACTTCGAGCCAAACCAAGTATAAAGCTTTCCTTCAGCGGGTGGGTTGATTGCTAGATAGGTACTCCGTAGGACTGACTCGACTGAGGGTGTAGCGGTTCGATGGTAAGTATAGTGGAGAGTGGAAAGTGGAGAGTGGAAGAGTGGAAAGGAAGAGTGGAAAGTAGATACTTACAAAGTGGGATTAATTACTTATTGATTATTTCGTCCCAACTACTCTTCGCTCGGAGAGCCTCTGCCAGGTGCCTCCCAGGTGCCTCCCAGGTACCGATGCAGTCTGTCTTGCAGCGTAACCCAGAGCGGTGGTACCTCCGGAGTACTCCGCAGGTACACCGTTCACTGGCCACCACTGCCACTGCCACTACTACTGCCACTAACTATTATTACTACTACTACTACTACTACTACTACTTCTAGGAGGAACTCATAGCGGTCTTTACAGATCATAGTGTTCGCATACAGATTGCAGGTGTGTAGTACTCTGTAGTAGTGTATGTAGTGGTATAACCGTACTTACTTACTTAGTAGTCGTACATGGATGGTAGTTACTAGCAATGGATCTGTGCGCACAGGCAGAGGGACATGGATCTTTCCACATACTACATACTAGGGACTTGTTTGTTGCCTTCTGACTCGGAGAACCAGCATTCCTACGAGGTACTTTCTGTGGAGGGCATCTACCTAAATAGGACTGTATTTCGTGATACCAATTGAATAAGTACGTAGTATCTGGTTACCAGGACCCCGTTAGTAGTAGTGGTAGTGGTAGTAGTTCCGCTACATACGGTGACCGTCAAACATGCTAGCAAAGTGGTGAAGGGTCGGTGAGTATCAGCCTAGACCGTTCGACTGAGAGACTACCCAGACCATTTACTTAGATACTGATACTCCTAACAAACATGGCTGGCTATATATACCAGTGGCACCCTGTACTCTGGATTTCCCAAAATATCAGGTGAATGTGTGCCCATATACGTACAAAGGACTCCGTACAAAGGTCTGGAATTTCCCAGTGACACTCGAAACGGGTACCTGAGAAGTGGGGCTGCCACCACTTGTTCCCGCCTGCCAGGAAGTCGCCGGTACCTTTGCGGCGGGTACTCCGTGGATAGTCGGTACCGAAGACTGGGTACTGGGTAATGGGTATTCTACGGAGTACTGGGACTGTAAACCGCAAGTACTTACTTACTACTAGTACTACCTTAGTAGTAGTAGACTCCTACGGAGTCTAGCGCTGGGTAAGCTTACACTTTATGGGCCTGTAAAGCTGGTTGTGATTGGTACCTTGAAGGGTATCGCCTGCGCCACACGCCCCATTCTGCCACTTCAACTCTCTCCCCAAGGCCCCAAGGCCCCAAGGCCCGAACCCCCCCTCCCCCCTTCTCTCTCCCAGTCCCAGGCATCATCATCGCCCGCCGACCTTGCTTAGTTTCAACTTTTCTTGTACCCTCTCCTTCCCCCCCCCCCCATTTCCTGCCACTCGCTCAACCACCTTCCTCCAAAGTATCCTTACACCTCTCTTTTCCCTGACAGTTCCCAGTTCCAACCCCTTTAAATGCACTCTGTTGATCAACGGAGACGGCAGCCGCAATCCCCGGCCCGGAGCCAGGGCCATTGATGATTGGGGAAGGTCTCGAGGCAGGGTGGAAACCAGTGGCCTCGGTGACAGCCTGTCCATGCAGCACTATAGCGGACTACTATCTGACGGTTGATTCAAATTGGCGGGGCGCTGCTGCTCCTGCATGGTTCTCGTGCATGGACCATTGTCAGTCTCGATCAGATGTTACGATGCAAAAGGCAGCCCACTACTACTACTGCTGCTGCTGCTGTACGGTGTACACTACGGTGTACTGCTACTGCTTGACTTGCTTCTCCAACTGCAATTGCTACTAATAATAATTGTTGGCCACCCGAGTCCCGACAATTGACCCGTCAAATGAAAATCAGTGGCAACATTGGCCAGATCATCACCACAACGCCCCGGCGATGTACATAGTAGTACTAGCCGTCTACCAAGCCCACAAGCGCGGTGGCATTAGACTGGCTGGCCCTGTGGATGAAGAATCCTGTCATCCGGCCAAGACTGCTGCTTCACGTCTTCCTGATGGATATTCCGTCCCTGCACGCCCGCCATTTGGCCACCAGGGATAATTTAACCCCAATAACCAAGGGCAAAGAAGAAGAGCCACGACAGGATCGATCTCCTCTGGACCCTTCTGTCCGTCGGGTGATGGCTTTCTTTTCTCTTTTCTCTTTTCTCTTTTCTTTTTTCTTACCCCGTCTTCTTCTTTGAGGTTCCTTCTCTCTCTTCACACTGTTACTGTTGGGCAACTTGAAAACCTTGTACTAATAAGATAAGTGCCTACGGAGTGTTCGCCCGACATACAGTCATCGCCTCAACGCTTGACAGAATGAGTAACTCGGGTGGACTGGGAAGCCCGGTCTGACGGCTTAGCCTTGGCCTGGCCGTTCCGGAACATCCTTGCAGCCCTTCGTTCCATCGTCTTCTGCACTAACGGGATCCATCTTTTTTCACCCAGCCTCCAGGATTTTACTCTTGTCCGCGCCTATTGCGGAGCCCGACACCCCACCCTGCGGTTATCAACTGCCTCCGCCGCTATCATTTTCCTGCCAGTCATCGCCGGATGCATTCCCGCTATCGTGAATAGGGCCAATGCATGTCTCTGCATTTCTTGTAACTGTACGGATTACTCCGTACAGTACTCCGTACACAGACTCACAGAAACGAGTTGCTGCCGGGATGGATCGACCGCACTACCTACTTCCGGGTCCCAGCCCCGAACCTCGTTCCCCAAGGAGCTTCTGTTCCCAGATTTCTGAGCAACCTGTCGATTCTAGTCCATTGACCCAACACCTTGGGGCGCCAGGATCCAGGATCCACCTATCATCAATCGCCTACTGTCCATCTTATACCGTCGGAACGCGATGTTTCCCCCGAGAGGGTCTTTTGTGCCCCAGAGGAACGACTCGAGACCCAGAGGCGGCAAGCCTTTTCTCCCAGGACGCCGCTAGACCATCGTCCTTTTTTTAATAAAAAAATGCCTTTAGCACACAGGACCTTTTAACTTTGGTCTGATTCCGTAGCCAGGGCGTACAGCAGTAGCCGCAGGCTGTTGTTGCATTGCTTCTTCACGCCGAGTCGGTCTTGGTCTTGTGCCCCCTGCTTTACCCGTCCAGGTTCCTATCGATTCCCAGCTCTCATGCATCCTTAGCCTTTCACTGCTTTTTTTTTTTTGATACCCCTCTTGGTCCTTTTCGCTCCATCGCTCGGAAATTCCAGGCCAATGCGCCCCTCCCCAGTGAGGGTGCAGTTTCCCCTCCACTTCTTCTGTTGCAAATGGCACAGACACCTGAGCCACTTGAAACCATCGTTCTTGAAACACTATCCTGTTCTCGGCAGGTCCCGGTCTAATCCAACTCAGGCTGGCTGGATCCGCCGTCTTTTGTCCGAGTTACTCAACTTCAGACCCATTGTGGCTCTTTCGTTCTGATTTCGAAAGTCGCAAGGCAGAGGGGAACTAAAGAATAGGAGTCCCTGCAGCTCCCCTCTTGCCAACCGGACGTGTACCTGTGGCATCTGCAACTGTTCTCTCCTGCGTGGTTCCGGATTAAAAAGTCCGTTTGGTTAGAAAAGTTCCTGGGAGAATACAGTGTTACCTCACTACTGGTCGAACTTCTCTTGTTCTCTTTTTCCCCCTCTCTTTCCCCCCCCCCCCCCTTTTTTTTCCCCTCTCCCTCTTTTACATTCGTTTTCGCCCTTCTGTGTGGTGCCATTATGCACCGTTGAAACTGTTCGTTCCAGAAATCCATTCGATCTCCCGCATCGACGACGGACGACTGACAACGGCCCTGACATCTCTCTGTTAGGGCCACGATCAAGATCCACTTGGGTCCTGTCGTTTATTTTTATCTTTTAAGCCTTATTTTCTGTCTAAATTTCCTTTCGGATTTTCCTCCTTCTCATTCCTCCTTTTGGACTTTCTCCAAACTCTCGTTCCCTGCAGTGATCTGAACCGAAGGAGCAACCGTTCGTTCATCTTAAAGTACTTCTTGCTGGTTGGTTTCAGCTCCATGATCTTTTGATCCTTACACGGCCTTCTGGATTCTTGGCTTGAGATCTCTCATGCGCCCCAATATCACCAGTGAACATTACCCCGACCTTCAATGTCTGCTAACCAACCCATCTGCCTCGGTTTTTTCTCTTTCCTTCTTTCTTTCATTTGCTGACCTTTGTTCTTGCTGTCGCTCTTGTCCCCGGTCTCCATTCGCTGCATCTCTAGCCCGCGTTTGCAATTATATCGGAGAATCCACGTGTTGATACACCGGTGTAGACGCATCGTTCCGTTTGGGAGGCTCTTTGGTAGTTCTGTCTTTCCGCTTGTTTCTTGTTTTCATTCTTTCTCTTTTCTTTCTTTCTTTCTTTCTTGATAATTTTCTGTTCCTTTTCCTTTACAGGTCCCGGTTCCGCGTTGGTTCCCTTTGCGTCTTGATTCCCCATTCTGGGTGGCGTTTGTTTTGCTCTTTATATTGTTCTGCATCCGTAGTCGCGTGACGCGTCACTCTTTATAGCTGAATCCCGGGTCGTGTCCTGGCGTGGTTCCCTCCGGTTCGTTTGTCGGATTCTCTGTCGAGAAGGGAAGCCTCTTACATTTGCTTCCATGGTCTGCTGGCTATGTCGAGTCTACCAGAGAGGCCATGGACTGAGGAGGAGAAGGTAGGTCTACCGATGCTCGCCTCGTGATGCGGTTGGATACGACCATCCTCGCTTTCACGACCACATGCGCTGTTAGCTGACGCATGGTGGCCAAATCTAGTACACTCTACTCACCGAAATCCTGAAAAAGGCCCGGGTTCCTTCAAGCTATCTTGTGAGAATCATTCGGGAATTCGATATTAAGCCAAGCTGGGCGGACATACCCTTTCCTCCAGGTACAGATCCGCCGGCACCTTCTGCTTGTCTTCTGCCTCTGGCACCCTGGGCCGATGCGGCTCGTGTCCTGATCTTGTTGATCGTGTATCTGGACGAGGCTCGTGAGCCTAGATAACTGGCTTGGCTTTGCTGACCCATTCTGTCCAGGGCGCTCCCTCAACTCCTGCCAGCTGGCATTCTATAACATGTATCAACATGCCCCGCTTTCTGCCAATCCAAATATTGGACCGTTCCCCCCACAACCCCATGAGCCCTCCGTCCCGGCTCCGATTCCACTGGACAATGTTATGCGCAAGAGGCCGTTTCCTCCGGACAAGGCAATCCGTGTGCCACGCGCGATCCAACCACGTCCCGCAACCAGCACGGCTTCCTACAGCAGTGAGAGTGGTGCATCGGCACTTTTGTCCCCGAGCTCGGAGAGCATCACTTACAGAGGCGAGCCCGCTCGGAAACGAGGTCGACCTAGCAAGGCCGAATCAGAGCGGCGCAAGGCAGCTGCTGAAGCCCGGGGAGAGACATATCCACCTCCACGGCGATCTAGCTCCAACAAGGTAAAAGGGTCGTCTACGCCTGCGAGTCCCTCCGGAATCGGACCCTTAGGGCCGCCGTTCAACCCTCAAGCCAGCAGCCGACCGTCGGATCCATTGCAACATGACATGCGCTACGTCCCTCTGCCGGGGAGACCACTGGCACTGATGGGTCCGAGTAACGAAGAGCGACCGAGGAATCTGCCAAATCAGGAAATGGGTCCTACAATGAGAGAACTCCCACGCCCACCAGAGATACGGCAGACACTTCCTTCGCCGCAAGCCTTACAATTGGGGCATAGGGACCCCCTCGCGCGGAGGGAACCTGGGGCACCCTTCGAACCTCGCCCGCCAGACAGAACCCCGTTTATGGAGAGCAACCGAAGGAGTCTAATACACCCTCCCAGCAGACACCCAGACGACCCGCCTACGTCGGCTCCGGAATTACCAATAAGCAGACCTTCTGAGAATAGACCAGAATGACGTTCAATCATTTACAACCACGAAAAAGCGTTTCCGTTTCTAATAGTCATTATGGCACGATGAGTGAACCACAACATTGATCACGAGTGATAGATAGCATTGGTCCGGAATCCCCTCCAGGAATCGAATGGAAATGACTTGTAACGAAAACAAAGCAACGAGCGACGCATAATTTACCCTCGTCTCTTCCGCCTTTTTTTCTCCGATTCCCCTTTCTTGCGTACCGGAGTTCTTCTTTCCGCTCTTCTAGCGGGGCGGCTCGATTGAAATTTGATTGCTCATATTTGGCGGACCTTTCTTGATCGATCTACCTTACCATTTTATCATGTCCGAGTTGAAGCGCCTGACAGACAGGTCCAATCCCTGCGTTGGCCTCTCTGGATCACCTTGTGCGCACAGCACACACGAGCTGGGGACCATGTAATAGTCGGTCAGGTCAGCCTTGTGATCAGGACTGTTTCATTTCACTTGGCTTTTTTGGTTTCCTTTTCCTGTTGTTATATGCATGCATGCTCCCTGATGACGCACTGAGTTGATGATCTTCTCTGCATATCAATTGCCCACATGATCGGATTTCGGAGGAAGCCCCCTCCTCCAAGTCTCGATTCATACGAATCATTGCTATGGAAACGATACTTCCGATTTCACTGTCTGCTTTCCTTGCTCTGTGTCTCTCTTTAATGCTTCCCCCCACCTTGTCATCAATGACCATATGCCCTTTCTCGAGCCTCCGTCCTTTTCTATACTTTTCAGATCTTGCCTTCTATTGCTACTTAGATTTTAATCACCTGACTTGTACAATTACTAATTCTTTAGTCATCAGATATTGACGAGATATGTACAGACTTAACTCTACGTCAAGAGGTCGCTGTTCACAATTGAGCACACCAAGAGTGAAGTGTGACAAAAGAATGATGTGGGAAACTGACAAGAATGCAAGAAGACGAAAAACTGTCAGTGATGGGTGTAAAAATTCATAGATCCTTGTCGTAATTCTAGCTGTATATCACCAACATTGACACAAGAAGCTTACGTATTTTTCGGTAAGCATCAGAACTGAAGTTTTGACAAGACCTTAGACCGACATGCATCTTGGGTACTTTGTATGCCCAGCCGGCATAATTTCAACAGGTGCCTTGGAAGCCTATGTTTATATAAAGAGTATAATACGCAGTGATCTCGCAAAACAAAGGCGATATCACTGGGTGCACCCCCCACATTTTCCGGGCAACTAGGCCTACGTCTCTTCTTTGCATTAATAGTACGTCCAGACTCTTTTCAGATTGTATCCTGGTTGCTTCTGACACGATTAAGTAAGGTCGGTAGCTGAGATGAAGGACCGTCCGGGTTCGATGCCTCGGGCGGCGTGGTTGTGGTGCCAGTTACGGAGAAGGACGCTGTCGGTTCTGGAATCGACGCAGATGATGGCGATGGATGGGTCAGCTTCTGCGCCTCTGCGTCCTTGAGCCTCTGCTGCTGCTCCAGCTGAAGTCTAATCGCGCTGACTGCGGAGCTTAAGCTTGAGGCAACGTTCTTTCTGCCTGCTCCTATAGCTAGATCAGCAGTATCTTGCCCTACTAACTTCTTCACATCATCTCTGCCTTCCACGCGACGAGTCAGGTACATCTTTGGTATGGTACCTTGTCGAGGAACAGTGCGTGTCCGAATTCGCTCTATTTCTTGTCGATAGGCAGTCTCATAAATATCGAACTCAGCGGCGCCTGGTGACTCGCTCACTATCATGTCCTCGTCCATCTCACCAGGCTCAGCTGATATTACAGTATCCGGTTCCTCGAATATCGGGTCGGATTCTGAGTGTCCATCTTCTATATCAGAAGAGCCAGTATAGGTTGATGGGCCAATGCACAAGAAAGGGAATTCCTCTTCGAGAGGATCACGTGCATGCCCACGAGTCCCCTCAGCACTACGCTTGGTAGTAACTGAGCTTGCTCGGGACAGTGGAATGAAAGGTGACGGAGAATGGGGGGTAGAGTTTGGTTGCGTGTCGTCAACAGAACCTCGTCCGACATTGATGCTGCGGCGGGAGCCAGAGTTCTTCCTCTCGAGCTCGGCGTTGGCAGCAGTTGTGCTGGTGTTACCGTGAAAATTGGCTGGCCCACTACTATCTGACGGCAGATTGGAAGATAGATCTTCGAGTCGATGATGGTATCCTCTCAAGACGTTATCTCGTTCCCAGGCCTTTCTGTTGTATGTGTTTAGGCTCTGGCTCTTATTGGTCGGCGACATATTGCCAACCGAAAAGCTTTCCTCTGGCTCCATTTCAAGGGGAGGCTCAACGAAATGGGCCTCGTGTTCTTGACCTAAGATACTTTGCATTGGCGAATCTGCCTTTTTGGGGTCGATGAGCCTCTTGAAATGTTTGACAGCTTTGATCTAGAGCCCGTTAGATTGCACCGTCGGGCCCCGCGAGACTGATGGAGGAGAGGGTTCTCTTTAGACATACCACGGCGAGGACATGGCCAATAGTCCTCGTAATGGCTGAATTCATCTCTTCTTCCGTCGGGAGGCCAACAATCTCCGCTGTGTTTTCACTCTCTGATAGCAGAAGGTCCAGCCCATTCTTCGTCACCCACGGATGTTCCTATATATCACCTCATAAGCAAGGCGCCTAATGCCATGGCATGGCGCTGACTCAGGCTTACTCGTAGCTCCTCCATCTGTATCCTCTTTGCCGGGTCCTTCTCCAGAATCCGTGTCATCAAGTCTCTGAAGTTGCCATCGGTCTCCCCTTCGCATACCACAGGATCATTCTTAATTGCTTCGTACAGCTCGAAAATGCTCTGCTTCTCGAAGGGCAGCTTGCCGTATCGAAGACAATATAACGTAACACCCATCGACCATATGTCCGCCGCCTTTCCAGAGACATCCCCATGTTTCACTACGCATAACTCCGGGGGAAGAAAAGCCGGCGAGCCGGCCGATTTCGCGGTGAACATGCTGGAATCCTTTTCAAACATTTCCGACACGCCAAAATCGACGACCTTCAGGACATCGTCAACCGTCAAAAGACAGTTGTCCGGCTTGATATCTCGGTGTACGATCCCTTGAGCATGGAGGTATTCGATTCCCAGAATCAAATCACGGAACCAACATCGGCACTGGTCGTCATCATATGGATCGGCTCTCTCCTCGAGCCCGACTTTCATGATAACGCCCTTCTTGCACATTTCCATGACCATATATAACGAGTCCTCCGCGGGGTCATCTAGGACCTCCATCAACGACACGAGGTTATTGTGATTCAGCTTTTTCATGATGGCGATCTCTTCCTTGATCAAGTATAGAGCGTTTTCCTTGTGCTCCTCCTCGCCTGGAGGACGGCGATGCAGAGGGGAGTTGAAGCCATCAGAAGGGCGCTTGGGGCCCCGAGGTCTGCGCAAAAGATGCGACTGTGCACGCTTCCGTAGACGGGCCTTGGAAAACTCCTTCACAGCCTAGACGATCGGATACCGTATCAGCCCCGGTCACAAATAAATAGCAGGGGGTAAAGGGGGACCGACTGTGCCGGAGGTGGGGAAGTACATACGTATTCATTTCCAAATTGATCTGTGGCCAGATGCACTGCGCCAAATGAACCTCTGCCGATTTCCTGCTTTATCACATATTGATTGATCCTATGTTCTGCAGTACCATCGTCTTGACTCGTGGTATATTCAGACCGGGCATTGAGCGTTTCCTGAGTGCGACGTTAGTTCCGGGTTATCGACTAGTATGGACAGGTGGGAGAAAAAGGAATTGGAGGACGGGACAAATGACTGCCAGTGGAGAGGGGGGATTTCTATAGCCAAGGCAGAGAGAGGGGAGTTAGTTCACCTTGACGGGACGTCGAACTATTGGATTCCGGCGGTGGTGTCTCTGAGGGCTATCGTATGAAGGGGTCGACCTGCGGGGACGACTTCTAGATCAGCAAGCAATCCGTCGGAGCGGCTTGCCAGGACCGACGAGTTCAACATTCTCCCGACTCCACGCAAGGAGGTCGAACTCACCCATAGCGAAACGGTTGCGGACGGTCAGTGGGGGGGTTCGGACTAGCATCCTGCTCGGGGAACTCGGTATTCCCGGGGGCCATTGAATACAGCGGAGGCCGGGACGATGGGGACGAGTGCGGGAGGTAGGCTGGGCACTGAGCAGAGCTCTGGTGAGGAAAGGGCCGTTAGGTCGGCGGATCTTGGCTGTCTCGGCCGGAGGGGAGGAGGGGAGGAGGGGAAGAGGGGGGGAGAGGGGAGAAAAATAATAATAATAATAATAATAATAATAATAATGGCGGCTGCCTGTGGTTCGGATGTGGGGAAGAGGAGATCGGGAGGGATGGAGATGCTCACTAGTATACCAAACAAACAAGCCAGGGTCCGAACCGGAGATAGAAATGTCTGGGGCCTGGGAACTGAGAAGAGGGGGAGGGGGGGTGATTATTATTTGGAGTGAAGATGAAGAATGGCTATTTTTGTTGACAAGCTGGGGTCTTGTGCTATGAATAGTACTGTGGATATAGACCCAGAGTGACTGAAACAACAAATATACCCAGAGGAAGGATGATAACATTGCCTTCCACAACCGCGGATCCGTTGTTCTCCCGCCCTGAGCCACCGGCGCCCCTCACCGCCCGCGCGATGAACACCCAACGCTTACTTCCCCTCCCGGCTTCCCCTTCTTCCTCCTCCTCCCCTCTATATCCCTCTCCCCTTTCCCTCTCTGCCATTCCCCCCAATCACTCTCCGCACAATGGTGGTTTATTCCTTCTACATTTTTGACCGTCATGGTATGTACTTCTCCCCTCTCCCCCTTCCACCCACCCCCAACCCCGCCCATTGGAGATGCTAACCCCGTTGCTCGCTCGAACAACTAGCCGAATGCATCTATAAACGACGCTGGCTCCCGCGTCCCAGCTCCGTCGTGGCCAGCAAATCCTCCCGTCCAACCTCCGAGGCCTCGGCGCCGGCTACCGCACCCCCCGCGATATTGGGCCAGTCGGCGCGCACCACCGACGACGATGCGAAGCTGATCTTCGGCACGGTGTTTTCTCTGCGAAACATGGCCCGCAAACTAGGAGGCGAGGACGACAAGTAAGCACCGGGCCGGGTATAGCGCGTGCGAAAGGGCCGGGTCTGACAATGAGCGGCTACAATCCAGCTTCGTGACATATCGCACCAGTCAATACCGGCTGCACTACTACGAGACCCCCACCAATATCAAGTTCGTCATGCTCACCGATATCAAGAGCCCGAGCATGCGCGTTGCCCTACAGCAGATCTATATCAATCTTTATGTCGAATATGGTATGCGACCGTGATCTGGCATGGACACAGTGAAGCGGCATAGGCATAGACTGACTGTTTGTCTCCTTCCAGTGGTCAAGAACCCATTGTCTCCAGCGGAACACCCAGGTGGGGTGGGGGTAAACAATGAGCTCTTTGAGGAGTCCTTGGAGCAGTTCGTGGTAAGTGCCTTCTTTCGTTGTATCGTTGGACTCGCTCTCATACGGCCATAGACTCGGGTTTTGTCTTGACGCCTATGTCCATCCGCACGACGCCCTCAGTTCATTTCGGTGGAAATGCGCCACCCCAAAGCTCGCGCAGGGAAGCTATGTGTATAGAGCTTCAACCCAACAGAAGTCCCGGCGAGCTGAGACAGCTCCACGTCGCGTCCCTAGGTCGCCTCGTGCTATCATCCAGCACCGAGCTTGAATACGGTCGAAATGCAACAAGCACTGCCTAGTCAGAACTATGCCCGATACTGACGCCCTGCAGACAATTTTCATTCAATGAAGACAGCCATTTCCAAGGTGGCTCTGGAATACTTACGCCTGTGAAGCTCAAAGTCCACACACGGCACCCAGGAGAAACGATCAGACTGAGGAGAAGTCGATGAGCGTTCTACGGGTGAGGATAACGATTTATATGAATTATGTCAAAAGCTGTACATTTCAAATTATACTCGCCCTTATTTTAACAAGTGATAACCATAACACCTCAAACCTTATTGCCCCACCATAAAGCTTAGCTAAAGCGACACCCCGGTATTTCCATAGAGAACGTCATCAGGCAAGTCATCCTCGTCAGGGCCCTCATCGTACTGATTTCTCGCCTGGGGCTTCGCGCCACGTGTACGACCCGAGATGGCGTTCGATTGGTCAATCGCTTCGTCCTCGTCCTGGGCTACGGCGAACGTGTTAGGCGTCGTTCCACCAACACCGGTGAGATCCAAACCTACCGAGCCGCTGGTCCGTGTTAGAGAACAGGGGCTGCATGGGATCCTCGATAACATCCTCATCCCCCTGCAGTGGGATCTGATCCCTCAAGCTGGGCTGGGTCTCACGAGCATATGTGCTGTCGCGAAAAGCACCCGACAGCGGTGAGGGGTCGTTCTGATCCTCGAAGGCATCCTCCGCCTCTCTCTCGTAGCGGTTGGACATGCTTGCTTAATGGCAGTGTTGGATGGATGGGGAACGTAAATGGCAGGAAGAGGTATGCAGATCGTGATGTGAATCTTCGATATTCCCGCGTACTCGGGTCGTTCGCAGGGTAGTATATAAGCTTCTCAGGATGCCTTCTTTGGCAGGTTGATGCAAGTCTGAGGTCAAAACGGTGTCACCCGCCGCATCGAGATCGGTGATGATATTGAGGTGCGATAGAGTTCAGGTTAGGTTTGGAATATGTCAAGGTTGTTTAACTCGGGAGTCCAGTGGAAGGGTTGTCTCGTCGGATGGAAGCCACTCGGCGAAGCCAGCTCAATCTTCTGGACTAGGGCAACCCAAGGGGCAACCCAAGGGACGTCAGCGGCAGGGCCCAGACTGCCGAACCTGGATCCAAGCAAACCGTGCCGCATATCTCAACGGCGCGGATGTCGAGGTAAGTCGCCACGGCCTGGACCAGACCAGATCAGACGGCCGTCACCATCCTTCACCGCCGCCCACTTCATCATGATTGTGATTGCTGGCGCTGGTGCCCAATGAAGTTGTGCCAGAGGTGGACGTACTGGGTTGCGGCGTTGTTGTTCATCCACACTCTCGCCATCATTGCATGTGGCTGAATGGTGTTCTATGGAGGAAGGAGAAGGACGGCCATGGCTCATGGCTCATGGCTCAGGGCTCAGGGCTCATCTGACTGTGCCTTGCTCGAGGAGGGTCCGAGAGGCCGTGTCCGATAAGTTTGGCATGCGTAGAAAGACGAGATTTGCCAAGGGAAGCTCCGGGTGACTCAGAGGAATAGACGGTCAAGTCAATCCATGACTCTCCTTGGGTTTCTCTTTTTTTTTTTTTTTTTTTTTCGGCAGCCTGTCTCTCTTTCCGCTCCCAAGGTTTGGTTTGCCGTACAATGGATGTGCATGTTGTATAGATAACCACCTCGAGGGGTCCTTGAGAGATCCTGATGGGGGGGTCTCTCTCTCTCTCTCTCTCTCTCTCTCTCTCCGCATGATCAAGATGTAAATCTCCGGGACCCGTCATCTGATAACTGAGGATGCTGTTGCTAACTTGCTACCGCCATGTCAGTTCCCACAAGTTGAGTCGATACCTAGGTAGGTTGGGTATCTATCTGCCATGTCCCTCTCCTCCAACACGCAGGAATGCATCGATGTGCGCGGTACCCCGTACGCGGCATCTAGTCGGTTTCAACCTTCAAGCATCGCGCAGCAGCTTAATCTGGGACGGGAAGGGCGACGCGGATGCGGCGAAGCTTGAACCCCGTCCATCGGGCGTTCATTCGCTCGGTCGGTCGTCAACTCGTCAGCCCTCTCCACCGTACCTAGGAGGTATCTCCTCCGTACTATCTAGATGGGTAGTGATGTGCTAGGGCCGTCGATGAAATTAAGGACGCCGGGGATCCAGTCATGTCTCATCAGAGTCCAAACATCAGACAAAGTGGTGGGTGAATGGTAGATGGTCAGACCACCGCTACGGTACGGGATGAATACACGCCCAAATTCGATGCCAGTAATTGCCAGGCCCATCATCCTACCGTACTAGTACCCAAGGTGTGGTCCAGGTACGGTGGGTGTAAGTGGTAAAGTTACCTACTAGCGGTCAACGAGGGCAACAAACCGCCCATAAATACCTAGTAGATAGGTACATATACAATCAATGCACATGCTTTCCGCAGGTGCCTAGAAGCCAAAAGGACCCTAATGATAATATTATGTAGTGGATAAGGTACCTAGTAGGTAAGTACTAAGGCAGTATCTTAGATACTACTGTACGGAGTACTTCGTAAGGTAAGGTACTTACTCCGGACATATTCCCCATCGATCTTTCACCCATTGTTCACCTACCGATCTTACCTAGGTGATTCCCACTTAGGTCGCTACTGTATGAAATACTGAATAATAATAATACGTACCTCCTGGGTGTCCACCCGTACCTACCTAGTATCTACGAATCTACCTTGGATAGGAATGGAGGTAATGGATGCATCAGGTGGATGGTTGGCCGGAACCGAACCGTATCGGAAAGCGGATGTCGTTCCGAAACCCCTCATTTCGGTACACCAAACATGTTTACTCGTATACATACAGCATACCTTACCCTTCACAGGTCTTCTCAGTAACCAGTTGGTGGTTTTTCCCCTTGCTATCAGGCTTGCTTTGGTTTCCTTTCTTTCTTTCTTTCTTTCTTTCTTTTTTTCCCCCCTAAGGGATCTGTTGTTGCTTTCCAACCCGATTGCTTTTTTTTGCGCGCCCGCAGATGTATGCGGCCGGAGCCAGGGTATAGATCCCATTCCCACACAAGTCATCCACAGCTCTCAGCTCGCTCCTGCACATCTAACGTACGGAAGAAATGGTCGCACTTCCGTCAAGTATGTACGTACCATCACTGCTGACAATTCCGGGAGAGAACGGGGGAAAGGGGTGAGGGAGCAAGCTGACTCCTGCAGCTGTGCAGCTGTTGAGGGACTGGCCACGATTCTATCCTTACAACATGCATCAACTTTTCTTATGCGCACCGTAGACCTTACTACGACTACTCCGTACTTACTACTACCTTTCTACTAGAAGTAGTAATATCTCCAGCTTTTACGGACTGCGCTGGACTGTACGAGGCAGTAATCGACCCAATGAAACAATGAAATCGTGCGCGATCAATTGATCGGACCCTTGTCCCCTTCCTCGGCCGGGGGTTTTTTTAAGTGTCCTCAAACTATACTAGAAATCCGTACATACACAGTAATAACAATAGCAATAGCAGCAGCAGCAGCAACAACAACAACAACAACAAGAACAACAACAATGATAATAATGTTTCTATCTATTTATCTAGACTGTAGACAAGACATTGCGATGATTGATTGAAGGCCATTCGGGGCTGACCCCACTCAGCGCCGTGCATCCACCAGCCCAGCATCCCACTCGAGGCTGCATCGCCATCGTGGCCAGTAGATACCGCCACTAACAATGGCGTCGGGACGGGCTTCTCCCTTCTGTCTCTGCTTCTCGTTGGCTTCCATCTCGGTCATTGGCTGGGAAAAATCCCTCGTGCAAATGGATCTCAACGCCATCCTCCTGCGACACTACGATGCAGACAAGGCAGGCATGGGTTGGCTTGGAGGCCCTTCATGTCCCACAACTGACTGGGTAAGGTTGACTGGAAGCTAAGAGTAGTACTTACCTGGGAGTCTCTAGTAACCCCGTCGGCCCTCCAGGTCAAACATCTACCCATCTAGAAGATACTACCTACTAGATACTAGATAGATACTTACAAGCCAAGCAACGCACCTGCACTCTGCAGGCTCTCATCTCGGTGCCCCAACCCTAGCATCGTCGCGTGGGGATTGGATCCACCCGGTGTCTAACCCTAGCAATAGCGGATGGCATGTGTCTTGTATTATTTTCGCTTTCCCCCTAGTGGTACAAATCCGAACCCCGCCCCATCGCTATCTTACAGACTCACGGACTTGGGGAGCACAGCAACTGCCGTTATCTAATATCCATCGATCCATTTATCTATCTGGCTTCCTTGGGTGGAGGAACTGAAGGGATGTCCGGACCAGCTCTGCCGGCGATATGGGGTACTATGGTTATCAGCAGGATCTCCGCAAATCAACCACCCTAGTAGAACCTCCTCCCTCCCACGTCGCACCCCCGTCACTAGGTAGATAGATTCGTCTTCTCCAAGTCCGTCAGCCTACTCCAGACTAGCTCTCCTCGTTAGTCTGAGCCGAGGTCCGGCGCAGGTGCTTTCGCTTTAAAGTGTACACGGTACACCCCGTGGCTGATTTGACGGCGAGCCCACGTCATTATTCGCAAGGCCCGATCCAGTCAGTGCTAGGAGCAGTGTGTTGGTGGATATCACCGTGTTGAGCCGGAGCACACGCGACGAGGACGCACGTTGATTCATCCGGATATAGTAATAGGAGAGGGTGTTTGTTCGACACACGAATGGCCGCAAAGGATAGCGCTGCAGATGATTATCCTGCGTTCTTGGGATGCCAATGATAGAAATGCTCGGCGTGAGCAATGACCGCCAGACGGCTCGAGAGTTGCTCGACTTGCATCCTATAGCTGCTTGTTTAAAAGTGCTTGGGGGTACGAGAGGCGGCGGACGCCGACTTGGCCTGCCTGCTTGTCGGTCTGCCTTCCTGCTGTGACTCTGTCGTCGCTGGTCCTCAACCAAGCTCGTCCGTCCAGAAAAGAAGGTCAAATTGGATAACTCACGACGCCTGTTCATCCTGATTTTTCACACCTGCTGACCCCGACACCCGGATCCTCGAGACACTGAACCCCGAACGGGGCGTGTGCATGAAGGAAAGTTGCCTCCATCTCAAACCAACCCCATCCTCCAGTGGAATGGACAGAGGACGATGGGGCCATGATCTGATCACAGGCTAGGACCGGATGTCAAAAGTAAGGAGGAAGGGGGGGGGGGGGGAGCTCAGAGGATCGAGGAGAAGGCGTGCGAGAGCCAGACTCATAACCATCCAGTGCCCTCGCCGCGACGTCGACGGTCGTTGGGGGGAGGTTCATGCAACAGTTTTCGTGATTGACGTGTGAGGGTTCCACGACAGATGGGATGTGGTATATCGCTGCTGCCCGAGGGATGTTAAACCCCTTCCCCATACAGACATACAGGGTCCAGTTGACATTATTGGGCTAGCTGGTAGCAAGGAGTATGGATGTACTCCGTCGATGGCCAAAGACTCTGCAGGCTCGCATGAAATAAGCAGGCCCGACATGGACGCCGGTAGGCAGACAAGATACTATGCTTGGCAGGTAAGCAGTGACTGGTGGATGCCGAGTCCCTTCGGTCCCTCCCTTAGGTGCCTACTACTACTACTACTACTACTACTACTACTACTACTACTACCTAGTAGTAGTCTAAGGTCTAAGGTAGTAAAGTAAGTACTAGTAGGGGTTTACCCCTCATGCGGGTAGCATGACATGCCAGTCTAGATACTACTAGTAGATAGAAACGGAGCCCTCCGTAGTCCGTACTACATACATTTTTTTATTTTTCGGTTTCTATCTAGTATCGGTCAGTGTTGAACTTCTGTCTGACCAGTCGCGAGCCCTCCCAAAGCCATCGGCTCCCCATCCATGATGTGCGGGCCCCGCGGACCCGAAGGTTTGATTGAGGCTGTGCGGCCCCTGCAGTATTATGATCCGAATTTTAAGGTCGCGACGAGGAACACTCGAGTCGCGTAAACGTCATTTTGGGGGAATGTGCGAGACCAAGCGAGACCAAGCGTGGAGTCTCTCCGCGGCCACGGAGGCGAACGTCATCCGACTGATTTTCGTGAACGAAATGAGGGGAAGTTGCTGGACAACCACAATAACGATAATAAGAATGAATGGGTGAAGAATGGGATATGGCTGTGCGTAAACGAGGCAGCTGGATTTGTTACTACTCCTACTTAGTAGGTAGCAGTAGAAGGAGTATCTGCTGCTGTTGCTACCACCACAGTATCAAGTACTAAGTATCGAGGAATCCTACAAAGTGAATGCGGAAGAGGACCCCATTTCGGAAGATTATTACTAGCCATCTTCCCTTAAGTTGTTCTTTCTTACTTACTTACTTACTTACTTACTTAGAGTGACAAACAGGGTTTAGTACAGCTGCGCAGCATGCCAAAGGTGACTACTACTAGCAGTAGCTACTAACTAGTAGTTAGTAGTAAGGTACTACTAGGTAACATGTACGGCTGGAGTGACGGATGCCCGCGCCACTTTGGTATGGGCAGGTACCTAGGTACCAGTAGTTAGTTAGCGACGATTGCGGATTCACTCTTACCTAAGATACCTAAGATACCTAGTAAGTACCTTACGGAGTAGTACGAACCTCTATAAAAAACCTCGTTTACCAAGTACCCGGGCAGTCATCGTTCATCGTTATATCTACCGAGTCATAAAATCTGACAACGACCTCAGGATCGGAGCTACCAGGAGGTACTTACTACCTAAGGTACTACCTTACCTAGTAGGTATACTACCTTACGTCGTAGGACCGACCTCAGGCGTGGTGATCAGTGGTGTGGCTGCAACCTGTACAATACCATACCGTTCCAGTACCGGAGAGACAACGCAGAGGGAGGGAGGCGCTGCCCGTGCTTCCACATCCGGTAACAACACGAAAAGTCCCTCATCTTTGTATGTAGTAGTAAGTAGTACTACGGAGTCGCCTCCACAGTGTACGCAGCCATTACGAGTGCGAAGCCGTAAGTTGGTAAGTGGAAGAGGGGGACCCTCCGTGACAGTACATTCACCGCACAGGTTCAACACTGGTTCCCACTTCCCACACACTGCTGAGATTAATAAGACCATCCTATCGAGGAAAAGGACTCGTTGCTAGAAACTGCCAACCAGCCAACCAGCCAACCAGCCAACCAGCCCACTCTTCTCTTCTCCCCCCCCCTCCCCCTCCCCCTGTCTCCCCCCTCTCCCCCAATAATGAATAACCCCCATAGGAATTTCCCTACTCCGTACTGACTGGTATACCATCTCATCCCTAAGTGGACTGACTGTTCGGTGGGTGGGTGGTGGTGGTGGTAGTATCTAGTAGTTAGTTAGTCGTAGGTTAGCTAGCTTACCACACCTGCGACGTCCGCGGCGTACTACTGTACCCGTTAAGGTATTTCAACCTCGCCCCCCCGTAGCCAGGCCGCCCACTGCAACTGAAGAGGTCCGTCGTCTTCCTCCCTCCGTACAACAACACCTTTTCCTGGGGTAAATCATTAGGTTTCATCAGCTCAGCTGTGCCTCACTGCCTCACCTCACCTCATCTCATCTCTACCTCTACCTCTCTTCAACCTCGCTTCATCTCACCTCACCCACCTCCCTGACTACAAGAAAGAAAAAAGAAGAAGAATAATAATAATAACATACTGGAATTCGCAAGGCAACAAGCCCAGTCTGCTTAGTTATCTACATTCCAGGCCTGGAGGCGCCGTGTGCTTTTTGCTCGCTTTTCTTTTCTTTTTCTGTTTCTGGTTTCTTTATTTGCAATTTCCACCACCCGCGGTCCCTTCCGTCACTACCACCACCTAGACCCCGGCGCCTCAGGCCACTACCGCGACCACGCCCGGCTGGGGCCACCGCAACTTTTTTTTGTCTTCTCTTCTTCTCCTCCCCTCCCTCCTCTCCCTCTCCTCCCCCTCTCCCCCGCCGGTTCTCTCAGCTTTCCTCTTCGGCTCTCAATATCCCTCATAAGCCATTGTCTTTGGCCTCTGCAGCTTCGTGCTGTAGGCTTGCACTTCCCCACCTGGTCACGGGGGCAGTCTTGTTCCTCTTAACCCTCCGTGCACATACCCTTTCACACTACCGCACATGACTCCACAATCAGCTTCACCTGTACCTTCCGCAGTCTCCTCCACCGCCGCCTCCCAGATCTCACACGATTCTCGAGATGGAGAGCCCCAGGTAACACGTGCCTTCGCGGGCATGAACCTGTCCGCCATGAACGGGGAGGTCCTCCCCGTTCCCCCCTCCAACAAGTCCTCTCGACCGACCATGGCCAATCGTATCTCTCGCATGTTCTCCAACACGGGGAAGTCGACCACCCCGAAGGAGCCGGAATCACATCGCGACTTTTCCGATAGCAGTACCGAGAGTATCAAAGCGCCCTCCAACAATGGTAGCATCAAGCAATCCAAGCCCTCCTCGAAACCTTCCTCCAAGCCGTCGTCGAAGCCCTCCTCCCGAGCTCCCTCCCGGCAGGCCTCGACCAAAGAAGAGAATGAAAGAAAGGCGAAGCCCGGGAATGGCAAAGAGCATAAAGAAACGCCCGCCGTTCACAAGCGCTTTGAGGTGCCTGCGGATGGCCCTCACACCCATCACCTCAGAAGCGCAAGGCGACAAGAGAAGCTAACCGATCTGCTGCGAGACATGCTAGGTGGTGGCAGGAAGAAGGATGATCATGTTGAAGAGCAACAGCTGTCCTTGATGTCCACCTGGATCGACCAATTCAAGAATGAACGGGATAAGTTAGCCGCGGACAAGAAAGGTGGTCCCAACGCCACGGCTTCGCTGGTGGACAAATATGGCAAATGCCAGGAGATCGTGGGCCGTGGCGCCTTCGGTATTGTCCGGATATCCCACAAGGTGGATCCGAAAGATTCGAAGGTTGAGCAGCTATACGCAGTGAAGGAGTTTCGCCGGCGTCCCCAAGAAACCACAAAGAAGTATCAGAAACGGTTGACCTCTGAATTCTGCATTTCCTCCTCCCTTCGTCACCCCAACGTCATCCACACTCTTGACCTTTTGCAAGACGCAAAGGGGGACTACTGTGAAGTCATGGAGTACTGCGCTGGCGGCGACCTTTACACACTGGTGCTGGCAGCTGGGAAACTGGAAGTTTCCGAGGCGGATTGCTTTTTCAAGCAGCTCATGCGTGGCGTTGAATACATGCACGAGATGGGCGTGGCTCACCGCGATCTTAAGCCCGAGAATTTGCTTTTAACCACTCACGGGGCCCTCAAAATTACCGATTTCGGCAATGGCGAATGTTTCCGTATGGCTTGGGAGAAAGAAGCTCACATGACGGCGGGACTCTGTGGTTCAGCCCCTTACATCGCGCCCGAAGAATATGTCGAGAGGGAATTCGACCCACGAGCCGTTGATCTTTGGGCGACGGGCGTTATCTACATGGCTATGAGGACTGGGCGCCATCTCTGGCGGGTGGCCCGGAAGGATGAAGACGAATTCTACCAGCGGTACTTGGAGGGTCGCAAGCACGAGGATGGTTATGCGCCCATCGAAACCTTGCATCGGGTAAGAGCGGCCCCCCTGCCATCGAATTACAGGACGCATCAGCTTACAAGTCCCACAGGCCCGTTGTCGCAACGTGATCTATTCCATTCTTGATCCGAATCCTTCCCGCCGCATTAATGCCTCGCAGGTCTTGAAATCCGAATGGGTTCGCGAGATCAAGCTGTGCAAGGCTGGCGAGGAAGGATACTGATCCCGATGTGATGTGCCGTGAGGTCTCTCGAGGGCTCAGCCGGCGTATCCGAGAGGGAGACATGGTCTCAGCGGGCTGATCTGGAGTTGTTCCGGGCTGTGTATCCCTGGTGGTGACCTGCTTCTCTCTGCCCGTTGTGACTGTGTCAAAAAACCATAAACCCGGGCGGTTCGTGTGTTTCTCCCGTTTCTTTTTTTGGGGTGGTTCGATCCTTCTTTGCCGACTGTTCTATAGAAGGAGGCACCTTTGATTTCTACACTACTATACCGGCGCATGTTTTCTGTCTTGATTTCCTTTTCTCTTTTTTCCCCTTCTTGCCTACTAGCTCGTGGGCTTAGTTTGGTCGTCATGTTTTCATGCCAATGCAACGAAGTGTCATGACCTATGAGCCACATTTCCGTTTTCCAGCTTTTTCATATTAACGTTCCATCACTCTCCCCAGTTCAGGCACCCCCGATCATGTTTTCCTCTATGTTTCTGGGGCCTTTCCGGAGGGTTGGAGGGAGATGGTCCTTGGCGGGGACTGCCGTGCGACTCGGGTGTCTTCCATCGCGCTGACTGCCGTATACTTTCTTTAGCCAAGGCGCGATTCTTTCGGGGCTGACTGTGTTTTCTTTTCTCCTTGGACGGTGTTTATTTCTGATGGTTTCTGTGGGATGTAGGGTTCCGGGAAACTGTATCAATATGGGTGGGGTGAATTTCTTGGGATACCCCTTTGCAGCATCTGTTCCAATATGACCATCCTTGTCATGATTCTCTTATGTACTTTTTTGATATTTTTCCTTCCCCCCCTTTTCTCCTTGTGAGCATGTCGAGAAGCCTATGCATAGCGTTGTGTTTGGGGGCATTTGTGCGTCATGTGCGCTGTCGACCTTTACACCGCAGGGGTGTGCCGGTCATCGACCCAGTCTCAGCATTAACTGCACAATGGTCCATACCGAGTCAGCATGTAGTACTCTGTACATACAAAGTATATCCAACATTATTATGCTGTCTCCCCCACGGGCTTGTTGTCTCCATGGTAGTCACCCCATGGACGGGAATCCCATGTTCCATGCCGACTGGGTCGGTAGGAAAATTTTAGTGGGCCACCTCCTGGCCTCGATCGAACGCGGAAAAAAAAACTCGTACAGGATTATCTACATTCCGACAGCCACCAACAAACAACATTACTGTTTAGTTTGTGTAAGTATGATGGGGTCCAACCTAATGTCTTGGCTTCTTATAGTGCATGCATCGTATGGAGGAGAACCTAGGGTTTAGGGGCCTACTATCCTTGTTTCCTGGCCCGCCAAGACTCCCGGCATTCGCCCACTCACTCTCACTCTCAGCCCGCATGCCAGACCCAGGTCTGGACTGGAACTGTGGCCAGTCTTCTGCGGCATATTGTGCATGCAGCAGTGCCAGGTAGTAGTAGATACTCCCTACTTATGCATCAGACGCCTCAGGGAGATCGGCTGTCCAATGAAGCCGGGTGCTGGCGACAGACCGTTTCCGTCCGGGCCTGCAAACGGAGGATACGCCGGAACGCGAGATCAAGCTTGCTTGGCGCATCATGCAGCCCCAGAAGGAGCCCGAGCCATTAGTAGTACTAGTCAATAGGAAGCGATCCTCGGAGGGGCCCTACAGCAGGACGGAAGACTTTTACATAGGTACGGTGGCTCGGGATGGTGGATGGGTGGAGATCGACAACAGCTCAGCAGCTGAGGGTCGGTCCTCACCGTATGGCCGGCCATGTAAGTACGAAGTAGATATAGGTAGGTATGATTTTCTGGTTGAGTGCGCACAGTACTCCGTACATCAAATTCTTTGGTCCTGACTCTTTGCCCTTTCGAGACACGGTCCAATCCCATCGTGGAATATCAGCCCTATGCAGCTCGGCTCGTCCAGCTCCAGATGGAACGATAGGCAGCTTGATGATTATGGGCACTACCCTGTACTGTATGTCCAGTAACTATCCCGTAGCACGCAACCTACCTACCTTACCATCTGGCCCCCGTCCATATCAGTATTGTTGGACAGAATCCATCCACCGAGGGTCAACCACGATGTACCAACCGTGATCAATACTAGGTCAAAGGGCTGATCGATCCTTCCTAGGGTTTAGGGACGTGGTCCGATAAGCCTCATTATCCAAAATGACTGCTCTGGAGTTCGTCGAACAAGGGATCAAGGGAAAGAAAGACCTTCTAGAAGGAGGGTGGTTGTTTGGATTGGGCTGCGGCTAAGGGGAAGTACTATAAAGTACTACACTTGAAGTACGGAGTGATAACTAAAAGGCCATGACGTCTCCAGCGACTCAGGTACCGCTGTGTGCAACTGACTGACATCACGATCGTTTGTAGTTGGAAGTCGGAAGACGGAAGACGGAAGGCAGACGGCTGTATGACGTCAGCGGACGAGGGGAGGGTTCAGTTGAAGTACCGGTTACGGTATGTACCGTATTGTCTAAGTTACTTACTTACCACCTCCTACTTACCTTCCGCTGGGAGCCTGGGACGAGCTCGACACCGCCACGGGGGCACAGCCACCCCGAGCCCTCCATCGGGCATCGCCATGCCATGTCTGTATACCCTCCGCCTGTTCCCCTTCTCCGTCCCCACAACCATCCTCTCCGGCTCTCTCATTGAGCATCTCTCTCGTCTGCTACCTCGCCCTGACAAACATTCAGACCTTCGAAACTCTCCTCCTTCTAGAACCACCACTCGATTCATCCCACCGCTAGTTGCCAGCCATCATGTCCTGGGCAGGTCCGCAGAATCCCCCCTCTCCCCCCCCCCCCGAATTCTTGCGCCCAAAAGGGTTCTGACAGGTCACTATGGAAATTACAGGATTCAAGAAAAATGTCAACCGCGCTACCACGCAGGTGATGATGAAGACGGGTACGTTGCTCGTCTCCCCCCTCCTTCCCCATGCCCCGCCATCATCTCCCCGCTTGAGCCGAACCGGTGATCAAGCATGAGGAATTCGACCCGATGCGACGACAGATACTGACATACGGCGCCGGTCGGAACAGGGCATGTCGAACGTACCAACGATCGCGACTATGAGATTGAAGAACGGTATGGTGTCTCACGGGCGCATTGATCGATGCCTTGGTAACTAACGGGCATGCACGCAGTCGGTATCGGACCATGGAAGCCGCCGCCAATCGGCTACAGAAAGAGGCGAAGGGATATCTGGACTCTCTGCGAGGTATGCTGGTTTGACGTCCACTCCTCGGGTTTAGGTCGGCATGGTGGTGCTATGGATACTGATTCGTGGACGATGAACAGCCATGACGGCCTCCCAGATGCGCATTGCTGAGACCATCGATGCATTCTACGGCGATGCGGGAACCCGCGATGGGGTGAGTCGGAGCTACAAGCAGGCCGTCGAAGATTTGGATGCCGAAACGATTAAGGCTTTGGATGGACCGTACCGGTATGTTGGTTCGATCTCGGATGGGTGGATTTGGGTCCGCCGGACGCCGACTAACTTGACCGCCTAGATCAACCGTGCTGGAGCCCATTTCCCGGTTCTGCGCATACTTCCCCGATATCAATGAATGCATTAAGAAGCGCAACCACAAGTTACTCGATTACGATTCGATGCGCGCCAAGGTGAAGAAGCTGGTTGAGAAGCCCGACAAGGATGTCACGAAGCTCCCTCGGATGGAACGCGAGACCGAGATCGCCAAGCAAGCATATGAGCAGCTGAACGAACAACTCTTTAATGAACTGCCACAGCTGATCGATCTGCGCGTGCCGTACCTGGACCCCAGTTTCGAGGCTCTGGTGAAGATCCAATTGCGGTTCTGCGCGGAGGCATATTCGCGCATGGCCCAAGTACAGCAGTATCTGGATGCGGAGACGAGAGATCAATACGCCCGGGGCGATCTGGATAATCGGGTTGAAGAGGTGTTGCAAGAGATTCGGGATTTGAGCATAGCGGGAACTGTCTGATCTTTCTGTATTGCTGTGGGGTGGTTTTATTTTAGTGCTTGTTCTATTACCCTGTGTGCTGACTCCTTTTTTTTTGATAGCCGCTCTAATTACTTTTTTTTTTGGCTTCCGCATTCAGATAGCCCCTGGTATCTCATTGTTAATATTGCTCCTCTTGGTGATCTATTCCAACCAAGAGCTATGTCTCCGTGAGGCGTATGGAGAAGGGGAGGAGGGGGGGGGGGGGGTCCAAATGCTCAATTACATGGGTATCTACAATTCACCGGTATAATCATCTATGTAGTGATCCACGCTCCATTCCATTGTCCCAACCACTACTGTCACGAACCGCCCCCGTCCCGGTAGAGCTCATCGGCCAGCGCCTCCATGACGGGCGCCGCAGCGGCACGCACTGCAGCCAACTCTTTGGGATTCATATCCGCGAGAACATAGTCGGACACGTCCCCGCGGTTTCTCGTTTCGGGACGACCGATGCCCACCCCGATGCGCAACACGGAGAGATCACTGGACGCTCCCTTGGGGGGCCACAGGCCTTTACCGCGCAGACTCTCGAAGGCACTGATGAGACCTCGATGGCCACGCAGACTGGCTGCCTCGGGTCCGCCCCTCCTCACCCGGACCTTTCCCAGCGGGGCCTCCAACTCATCATGGAGAATGACGAGCGTCGGCCCGAAGTGTCGCAGGGAGAGGGGATCGACGCCGCAGACCTGCCATTCTGTCTTCTCGGGACGGGCAATGTCGGTGGCGGTCCGGACATGGCCGCGCTGGACGAGGGATTTGAACGTCTCGGACTGGGTGGAGGAGAGCCAGGATTGGAACTGGCGGACCAGTTTGGGACCGGACTCGTTCATGTAGGCCGGACTGTGCCAGGTTTTGTAGAAGAGGGGGCCATTGGCCGCGATGGAGGAGACCAGAGGCGCCCTGGCTGGAAGGAGGGGGATTATCGCATCGAGGAGGATGTGGCCGGCGCTGTGGCGGGTTTGACGATAGGGACGGGGATTGCCGATGGAGGCGATGAAGAGGAATCGTCGCGGGGTTTTGAGGGTCGAAAGGGCGGAGGCGGAGGAGGAAGGGGTGGTAGGTGACATTGGAGGAGAGAGGAGAGAAGAGAAGAGAAGAGAAGAGGAGGAGGAAGAGGAGGAAGGAGAGTAGTGGAGAGACAGAAGGGGGGGGGGAGGAGGAGGAATAACAATGAGGCCGTTTACTTTTTCTTTCGCGACGGGGAGAACTTAACACTGACTTTACCCCACTCATCTACTACTCATCCTCCTTGGAAATAATATTCGCATCGCATTGTCGACAAAATCAACACACAGGCTTTCGAACCCCGGAAGATCATCTAGATATCTAGGTACAAGACAGTCCGTTAGATTTCTCTGCCACTGCCTATTTGCGACACATCCACATCGCGACTGCCACTGGTCGGTCAATCGGTCGATCAGTCAATCAATCAACCTGACTCCCCTCATTTCTTCAAAAACCTACACCCACTGGCGCACCAGATAGACGCCCATCTCTCGGGACCCCAGGGTACGCCTGGCTATCAGACCCAGGAACCAGGATCGAGACGAGGAACGGAGGAAACATCGGCCCCGATCTGTCAAGTCCAGCTCCCCAGAACGGGTCTCTGGCAAGTCGCATGGGGTCGAGTGCTGCACCGATGGGTCTGGCGATACCTCTCAGCCTCTCAGTAAGCAGCATGCGCGTTGCAGGAACTAGCTAGCCTCCTCCAGCCTCCGTGATGTTATCGCTGCCCTCCTTACCCATATTCCGGCCCTCTTCTTCCCTTTCCCCTGACAGCTGGCGAGATGTCTGGCACGGAGCCAGCGTGAACTCTACCCATCCAGGCTAGCCACTCTACTCTGCTGCCCCTCTCACCTTAAAGAGCCCGGTTGTTATCAGGAAGTATTCGTGTTGATCGCCCACAGCCTGGCCCACTGCGTCCTTCTCGAAGGACTCCGCTTTTCTTTGCTTTTCCCTCCTTTTTGACCGACCAAGAGCCATGGACAGTGCATCTCCCACGTGTCTGTGAAGCTCGACTGCAGGTTCGTGGCTCATGCTCGACGAGCCCGCCTGATTGTGTGCCCTGCTTGTCGCGAGTTTGCGGCTTTCTACGGGCACGAAGCAGTGACACGAAGTGTGGCTTCTGAAGTGGTCGGGCGCGCGTGCATTCGCTCCCCATCAACCGTCCTCTATAAACACCGAGCTTGATGCACCATTCTCTTCACCGACCCGCCAATTCCGTCATGTCATGGAGGAGCAAGACGTCCAGCCGTCGGGACAAGATGTGCCTATCGTAGAGGAGAGCAAGGACGAGCGTGCGCCGAAGGGAACATGGGAAATGCATCGCCTGTACCCGGCGTCGGAATCAGGCTCGGATTCCCAGCCTGGCTCCGACGAGAGGTCTTCATGTAAGCCCAGACCCCGTCAGCCGAACAGACAAGATCGTGATCCGGAGTGCTTGCTAATCGTCACGTTGGAACTTCTAGCACCTCCATGATTGCCGTTCTTGAGAATGGCCGGCGATACTGTAACGGCACCTATTTCATGCCCAACGATGGGCCCGAGCAAACCCGTCTGAACGTCATCCATCAGATCTACCTTATCCTACTGGACGGCCGTCTGACCGCCGCCCCCGTCGCCTTGGATACACCGCGGATGCGCATCCTCGATGTCGGCACCGGCCCGGGCGACTGGGCTATCGAAATGGGCACCGCCTACCCCGACGCCGCTATAACCGCCTCGGAAATCGGCGTCTTCGAGCACGGCCTCGGTCACGTCGGCCTCCCCAACGTGTACTTTCAATTGGATGACGCTCGTGACGAGTGGGCATACACCGACGGCCCGTTCGATCTGATTCACTTGCGCGGCCTCGCTGGCGCCTTCCCGGACTGGCCCTTCGTCTGTTGGCAGGCCTTTCGGCACCTCGCTCCTGGGGGCTATGTCGGGAATGCCGACACCGACTTCTCTGCAGATGCCGTGACCTCCATCTCGGCCAATTCCTACCTGCGCCTCTTCTCCGCCCTGCGCTCCGCCACTGACTCAACCGGATATCCGTGGGATATGAGCCATCTCGGGTCCACGGTGCTGAGTGCGGAAGGTTTCGTCGATGTCGATGTCTATGAATACACGTTTCCCCTTGGCCTGGGGCCCGATACCCCTCGCGAACGGACCTTGGGGAAGAAGGCCCTAGTTGCTCTCCTGGAGGGCCTGGAGGCCTTCAGCATCCGCCCGCTTACGGCAACATATGGCTGAGTGGCGGAGGAGGTCCGAGATCCTTGTGACCAAGTTAAGACGGAGCTGCTCAGGGGAGGTCTTCAGGTGACCGCACGGGTACGCATTGTCACGGGTAGGAAGCCCCCAGCCCTGTAGCTGGAATGTTGGACGAAATGGATAAATACTCTGGATTGCTTCACGCTGCCAGTTGACATATTAAAGTACGTGGATGTACCGGGCAACTCCCGTGTCTATTTTTGAAGATTGACGTTCGGGTTGAAGGGGACCAGGTATGAATCCCTCTCGAGGGAGACCAGACCAGATCGTGATGTTTATATTTCTATACACAAAACCAGATAGTTGTGATATCTCCATACCATGGCAGACAGGCAAGCTATACACGCGAGAAGAAAAAAAATGATAAAAAAAACCAGTCAACCAATGAATCAATCCCTTTTTTTCTCATCCAAACTCCGTCCGAACCCAATGCTGTCGAACCAGGCGAAAGGCTAGAAACAAATGAAGTACGTAAAGACCTAAATCCACAGACACCGACTATAGTTGAAACTTCGTCCGCGTCTTCTCCATGCCTCCCTTCCACTCCCATTCCTGGCCACTGGCCCGTTGGATCCCCTTATCAACGCGACGCAGCTTGAGGGTAAAGCGGGGTCCCAGCTCCTGCATACCGGCCCGGATGCCCTCGGCGCCCTTCATTTCTTTCCCGTCGGCGCCGACGACAGCCTTCTCAGTCTCACGCTTCTCCCGGAACACGTACCGGTGCCGGCGGAAGAAGAGATAGTCGCGACTGTTGAGGACGGTGACGACCTGGCGGCCCTCAATGTCGGGCTGCGCGGGGAACAGGGTGCGGAAGAGATGGGCAGTCAGCAGACCCAGCGGGGTGCGGAAGTTGTTCAGGATGAGTTCGGGCCAGTGTTCCGTGGCGTTACCGTGGCCGGGGATGCGCTTTCCCTCGACCCAATTGTTCAAGGAGAAATGGAACATGGGCCCCGTAGGCAGGTGAACGATGTCCAAGCCCGCGGGCTTCTTCTGGTCTTCGCGCAGGATGACCACGGCTGTGTAGTTGCGGTTGGAGGCGAACTTGGAAATCTCGCGGATGGAGAACTGGTGGGCAAAGCGGTGCCGCGTGCGACGGACATAATGCGAGTTCGGGAACAGGTCCGTCAGCAGCTGGGCTTCCTGGTGGAGGGTCGAGTTGAGAGAGGTAGTGATCAGGATCTTGGGAGCGGGCGGCTTTTCGGTGTTGAAGAGGGAGGGGAATTTGGCGGCCAGGGATTCGGGAACGAGGCTCAGGTTGGTGCTCTTGGTCGATTGCGACGGGCTGGTCGCACGCTCGGTAGCCGATGGAAGCGTCGATTTCCGGCCGCGACTGTCGTTCGCGTCCTTCTTGCTCTTCTTCTTGCCGCTGTCACTGTCACTGTCGTCACCGTCCTCGTCGTCCTCATCCACATCCTCCTCATCACTGCTGGCAAGCATACTGTCCACCTCGTCGGCGTCGTCATCATCGTCATCCGACTCCTCGTCTGCAGATTGCTCCGGGCCCTTCAGTGGACGATTCAGCTCATCCTCCTCCTCCTGCTTGCGCCGCTTGATACGCTCGACGTCAACGCTCAGTCCTAGCCCATCCTCAACGTCACTGTCGGCATCGTCCCAGACACGCTTGCGGTCGATGGTCAGAGGAATATTGCGCCTCAGACGCTCTTCCTTCAACTTGGGATTCTTGGCTTCTTCCTTCTTGAAGGCGTATCGTTCGGCGCGGCGCGTCGAGTCCTTGGCGCGCTTCCGCTTAATATGGAGGAGTTGGCGTTGGATTTTGTTGCGGGGTTTGACGTCGAAGCCCGCATCGGGCGGAGGCCGGGTCATGGACTTCCTGGAGCCCATTTTGGTATGTATGTTGGGGGGGGGTTGTTGTTGTTGGGGAGAGGGGTCTGCAACTCGACTACGAAGAGAAAGATGCCAGAAAAATCTGGCGGAATAACCACTGGGCCGGCGGTGAGCGTCAGCGCTGCGCGGTCATGTGACGTCACGTGCGTCCGGAGCGTTGGCCTGGCGGAGGGGGCAGCAACAGCAGCAGCAGCAACAGCAGCAACAGCAACAATGCAATAATAATGCAAAGTGGTCCCTCTCCCCTCTCCCGGACCAAGTCAATCTTTCGAGTTTCTCTCTAGACCGTGGAGGGTGCGTGAGTGCGCACGAAGTCGGATGGGAGGGCGGATGACTCACGCGGTACTGCGTCGAGTGCGAGTGCCAGTAACTTTGCCAACTGCGCCAGTTCTGCGACGCCGACGCTCTTTTCTCCCCCGCCATCAACCGCAACTTCTTCTCTCCCTCCCCCACCACGCCTGTGCCCTCACATCGCCGGCTTCCCCCCCCCAACGATCCTTTTCAACCTCGCCCTCGGCCTCAAATCCCCCCACCTCTTTGATTCCGCCCGGTGAAAAAACCAAGAAGTCGCCGCCGCCGCACAAAATGGCTTCCCTGACCACCAAGACCGGCCAGGTCGTCGACCGGCTTGTCTTGGACTCCATGCTGCGTCGCCGTCTCTTCTACACCCCCTCCTTCGAGATTTACGGCGGTGTGTCTGGCCTCTACGACTACGGCCCACCCGGGTGCGCCATCCTGAACAACATCGTCGATCTGTGGCGCAAGCATTTCGTCCTGGAGGAGGACATGCTTGAGGTCGACTGCTCGATGCTCACCCCCCACGAGATCCTGAAGACCAGTGGCCATGTCGATAAGTTCGCCGACTGGATGTGCAAGGATCCCAAGACCGGCGAGATCTTCCGCGCCGACCACCTGGTTGAGGAGGTGCTCGAGAGCCGCCTCAAGGGCGACAAGGAGGCCCGTGGCCAGAAGGTCGAGGTGGACGAGGAGAAGGAGGCCAAGAAGAAGAAGAAGGTCAAGCAGACCAAGGTGGTCAAGCTCGACGATGCTGTCGTTAAGGAATACGAGGAGATCCTGGCGCAGATCGACAACTTCGACGGGCCCGACCTCGAGAAGATCATCGCCAAGTACGACATCCGCAACCCCGCCACCGATGGCAACCTCCTCCCCCCCGTGGCCTTCAACCTGATGTTCCAGACCTCCATCGGCCCCAGCAGCAACATGCCCGGCTACCTGCGCCCGGAGACCGCCCAGGGTCAGTTCCTCAACTTCCAGAAGCTGCTGGATTTCAACCAGCAGTCCATGCCGTTCGCCTCCGCCTCCATTGGTAAGTCATTCCGCAACGAGATCTCGCCCCGCGCCGGTCTGCTGCGGGTCCGTGAGTTCCTCATGGCCGAGATCGAGCACTTCGTCGACCCCGAGGGCGGCAAGAAGCACTCCCGGTTCGCCGAGGTCAAGGACGTTGAAATGACCCTGCTCAACCGTCACGTGCAGCTGTCCGGCAGCACTCAGACGGAGCAGATGACGATTGGCAAGGCGGTTGAGACCGGGCTGGTGGACAACGAGACCTTGGGCTACTTTTTGGCCCGGATCCAGCTGTTCTTGACCAAGCTGGGCGTGGACCCCAAGAGGCTGCGCTTCCGCCAACACATGGCCAATGAGATGGCGCACTACGCCACCGACTGCTGGGATGCCGAGTTGCAGACCAGTTACGGCTGGATCGAGTGTGTCGGCTGTGCCGACCGCAGTGCTTACGACCTGACGGTGCACAAGAACAAGACCGGCGCTGCCCTGGTTGTCCGGGAGACACGCGCCGAGCCCCTCAAGGTCGAGGAATGGCAAATCGATCTGGACAAGAAGAAGTTCGGCCCCCGCTTCAAGAAGGATGGCAAGACCGTCACGGCCGCCATTGAGGCGCTGTCCCAGGAGCTGCGCGAGAAGCTGTCGCTTGACCTGGAGCAGACCGGCAAGATTGAGGTGGCCGTGGAGGGCGTCCCCTCCGGCAAGGTCGAGCTGGACAAGGAGCTGATCAAGATCGAGAAGCGCACCCGCGTGGAGAACGTGCGCGAGTATACGCCCAATGTGATCGAGCCGTCCTTCGGCATTGGCCGTATCCTGTACAGCATGATCGAGCAGGTCTACTGGACCCGTGAAGGCGACGAGGCGCGTGGTGTACGTAGCTCCCCGACATCTCCCCGATCATCTTCTTTCTGGTCTGACATGACGCTAACGCATTCGTCCGCAGGTTCTATCCTTCCCCCCGGCCATTGCCCCGACCAAGGTTCTGATTGTTCCCTTGTCGACGCATCAATCGTTCGCTCCCCTGGTGCAGCGCCTGACGACCAAGCTGCGCCGGATGGGGGTTTCCAACCGGGTGGACGACTCATCGGCCAGTATCGGCAAGCGATACGCTCGCAACGACGAGCTGGGTACCCCGTTCGGAGTGACAGTGGACTTCCAGTCCGTCAAGGACGACACATTCACCCTGCGCGACCGCGACTCGACGAAGCAGGTGCGAGCCAGCGAGGACGAGATCGCGCAGGCGATCAAGGCGCTGGTGGAGGGCGAGGAGACGTGGGAGGATGTGCGCAAGCGCCTGCCGGAATTCACTGGGCAGGAGGTCGAGTAGACGACGAACACGGGCAGAACAAAACGGGGGCGAGGGGGAGCGCATATAGACCGTCCAATACTACTACTTCCTTACCGTGTTCTACACGTCGTCTCTTTTCTTCTCTCCTCTTCTTTCCTCTTCTCCTTCTCCTCGTGAGGTGGAGTATGGTATGGGTATGGGTATTAGTCCCGTGCTGGTTGGAATTTTGAATGCGTACTGAGATGGTAGAATATTACCAAGCTACATGGTTTAAGTACTGCCATTTATGCATAAGTAAGTATTTCCGTCGAAGGATATGTTGATATAAGTTGGAGATTAGTAGTAGTAGTAGTAGTAGGAGGAGGAGGAGGAGGAGAAGGAGGATCGCCAAGAGATCGCGGGAACGTCACATGCTGGCTTCTTGTTGCTTCTTGTCTACGGAGTACATCCTCTCTACTCTCTACATCCTCTCCCTCTCCCTCTCCCTCTCCCTCTCCTTCTTTCTTCTCCTCCTCGTCACCACAACCTGTTTCATTGATACCTATTCTAATTCTTATCATTTTGCAGTCAATGGCTCCCACCATCCCCTCCGCCAAGCTAACCCTGTCATGCCCTCTATTTGCTGCCGACTTCGACCCGCGCAACCCGGGCCTCCTGCTAGTCGCCGGTGGTGGAGGTGAAGGCCGCAGTGGTGTCGGAAACAAGATCGCAAGTCATGCCCTCGTCCCCTACTGTTGCCCTGGCCGGCTGAGCCTTGGACCCTAACCGCGCACCATTTGTCATCTAACAGGCCCTCCTTAACACCGCCAAACGGCACGAGATCTCCGAGGTCGTCGACATTCATTTATCGCGCGATGAGGACTCTGTCACCTCCCTGGCCTCTGCCCAGACCACGGATGACTCCATAGTCGCCCTGGCTGGCATCAACAGCTCCGTGGCGGAGCAGAAGCGCGACAACAACCAACATCTGCGGTCCTTTCGCATCGATTATCCTCCTCGAAAATCCATCGCCGCATCCGCCGCAGAGCAAGGAGGAGAAGAAAAACAAGAGGAAGAGACGAAGAAGAAGAACAAGAAGAGCCCTTCGTCTGTCTCACTGTCTGCCGGCAAAACCACGCCGTTGTCGCGTGCGTCTCTCTTTCGAACACTCGAGGGCACCAAGTCCTCCGACACTTACCAGCGCATCCTACGCCTGTCCCCATGGAAAGCAGACACGGGCTTTTCTCGAGTTGCAGCCATTACAACTGGTCTCGCTCCCGCAGGTGAGATCGTCTTCTTCGGCGTCACCACCACTCCCAGTGCATCCGACGTTATCGGGCGAATCCGTCTGAACAGCGATGAGGAGGCTGAAGATGTCGACATCACCGACCTGCCCGAGCAGGGCAAGTTTCGCGTCGCCTACACCAATGGCGTCGATGTCTTTGTCTGCGAGATCTCATCTGATACCCGGTCCAATGCCTCGCCCGACGTACAATGCGTCTACACCACGCCCTTACCCGATAAAGGGTCCCGAGCCCGGCCCAAATTCCGGGCGCTACGTTTCCTCTCCCCGACAGTCCTGCTGCTTCTTCAGAACGCCCCAGGCCGCACAGGCTGCGAGCTCGTGCTTCTTGGTCTACACCCCTCGACAGGCTCCGAGAAGAGCACCACGACAGGAAAGGCTTCAATCATCCGCCGCAAGAAGCTCCGCACCACTATGAAAATTGGTCTAGGCTTGGACATCTGCAACTTGGGCCCCGGTTCCGACTCAGACAACCAACAACAGCAGGCTGCCATCGCCATCTCCGGCAGCGACCAGTCCATCGAGATCCTGATGTTAGAGTTCAATCCTAACGCCAGCCGGAACGGCTGCGGCCCTCTAAGGCGCTTCACCACTCTGCGCGACGTGCACCCCTTCGCCATGACCAAGCTCTGCTTCTCCTCCTTCCACCCGCCATCCCACCCCGTCGCTCCTGAAACGCCCCCGCAATACATCAAACTTGCCTCCGTCAGCATGGGCAACACTGTCGTCGTGCATACTCTCCCCCTCTCACCCTGTCCACCCGCCAGCCGCTATCCACGCTACGTCCTCTCCATGCCCGGCGAATCGGAAACCTGGACCAACCTCACCAGCAGCGTCGCCGCCATCTTCTCCATCCTCACCGTCTGCATCGTTCTTCAGGCCTTCACTGAAATTCGCGGCGCCACGCCCCCCTACCTCGGCGCCACGGACTGGCTACCCCCCAACATTCGCGATGCTATTGCCCGCCCATACTATGCTCCGCTGCCTGTCCTCTCACCCCACTTATCACCGAACCCCAAAGCGGATCCGCCCCGAGGCTGGGCCCAGTCCCTGCGCGATCAAGTCACGTCGGATCATACTATCCTCATCCATTGCAACCCAGACACGAACACCCTCCTAGTCGACTCAGCTGACCAGGCTACACTACAGGGGCAGATTGAGCCTGGCCCTAGACGCTGGGAAGAGCTCTCGGAAGAGAATCGCTTCGAGTGGATCCAGCAGCTTACACATGCCGGCTACGAGCCACTCGAGCCCGACTCCGACCCAGAGTCAATCTTGGATGGCGTTTTGCTCGGTGAGATGTGCCATCAGTTGCCCATTGAGGAGATCCCCTGATTTCACATGCATATACCCTTCCCCTCCTCTTCCCCCTCATCCTAGATGGTATGAGTTCGTTACTTGTATGTTACGTGTGTATGCAATCGGGGTTCATGATGCCCGGACGGGGAATGAGTTGGTTCTCATGCTTGTTTTGTCACGTGTTGGGATGGTTGGTTATGTCTTCCTCACGCTACACTGCACTGCACTTGGTGACTTGGGATGCAATCTCAGGCGTACGGGTCATACCGTATCACAACTTTCTATATACCTACGATTATATGCTGCTATGCACCGGTTCACATTCAAATGTACTATTATCCCCAACCTTTGGCTGGCTGTTATTATTCTCAAATAAATTATTCTTTTGTCTAAACCCCTCTGGCTCCAAGTACCGCATGATCAATCAACAGCTCCTGTGAGCCAGATCGGCGGACGGTCGATTACTTTTCTCTCAGCCGCTCGCTATGAACAAGGATTCCATCGTGGACTCGTCAATCGAAACAGACATGTGCAGCACGTACATCTGGAAATCAAAATATTTCAATCAATGCGGGTCCATGTCGAAGCGTCGCAACTCATTATCTGCCTTCAGCTGATCCTCTCCTTTGCTGGTGGATCTATTTTTCCCCTCAGTCTCGCTCTTCGATTCTCCTAGTATGGCCAAAGAAACCAACCGTACGCATCACCAGGCGTGGTTTCGCTTCGCTGAGAATGTGGGGAAGCAGCCTCAGATAGAACCGCATTGTAGAAGAGGATTGGGTAATAAGATTATGCACGAATGTAAGAGGACATCGCAAAAAGGAAGGGGGTGGGAATAGACACCAAGACGAACGCCGAATTATCCATGCCGAGTCCGCGGACGATAAAGCTGTGCAGCGAAGATATCACAAGAAGAGATCGGATTGCGATGGAGGTCGTTAGGGGGCAGCAAAATCAACCGCAGGCGCGTAAATGTGACCCATATGTGCGTGAGAACAAGATCTGGTGTAAATCATGAGAGTGAAAGAGTACGGAAGGCGAGTGACGTGTCGCGATCAATGAGGACCAACGCACGCACCCCCCGCGATGGCTAGTCACTGTCCGCTGTTCTTCTTCCAACGAAGCAGCTCTGCCAGGCTCGCAAGGCTGCAGCCCAGCTTGAGGAAGTCGTGGGCCAGCAGTTCATCAGCGGTGGCACGGTTGGGCACGGAAACACATAGACAGACACTCAAGAAGGATTTTAGTTCCTTGCTCAGCTTCTCCGGCTTCTTGAGGCGAGGAGTGCCGTTGGTCGCGATAAGATACAGGGCTTTGAGGGGCTCTTCGTTCAAATAAGGAGGCTCCGATTCGATCATCTCGATAGCCATGATACCCAATGACCAGCAATCTACCTTGGGGCCGTACTCCTTCTGCTTCACCACTTCGGGCGCCATCCAGTACGGAGTACCGACCATGGTGGCGCGCTTGCTCTTCGACTCGGTAAGCTTGGCGCAAAATCCGAAATCGGCTGAAGAGAGTATGTTAGCAGGGCTTGCTCGTCATTGTCGACATAACGTCGAGGCAGCTACTCACTAATCTTGACGTGACCCGCCCGGTCCAGAAGGACATTGTCACTCTTGATATCACGATGGATAATGTTCTGGTCGTGCAGATGAGCCAGTCCCCTGCAGGTCTAATAACGACCTCAAGTTAGCATCATTCTCCGAGGATCGACTCGCGCGTTTATGCTTAATGCACGTACCTCCAAACAGATCGTGGCAATCTGGTCTTCCTGGATCACCGGGTTGTTGTCGATGACATCCGTGAGAGCACCTCCCTCCATGAATTCCATTACGACCCACAGCTCATTGCTCTGCTCCTGCAGGAACGAGTCCAGGAAATTGACAATGTTGGCGTGTTGGCTGTCCTTCATGACAATGATCTCGTTGACAATGAGCTCCTTTCGTGGCTGGCTACGCAAATCCATCTGTTTGATTGCCACTTGAGTTCGTGGACCATATTGCCGGTAAAGCTCACGTGCGACATGGGACGTGGCATGCTCCTTCACTCGTGCCACATAGACGGATCCAGAGGCACCTTGTCCGATCTTGCGCTGCTTGCTATAGGACTCCGCTGGGTTATCTTTGGAGACAACAGACCTCAGCCGATCCATGACCTCATTCTCACTCATGTTTGACATGCGCACCTCCCTCTGCCGTGGCTCCGCCTTCTTCGAGAGCGCGGCCTCGGCCTGGCGAACACCATCAGGAACATTGGCCTTGCTGGTTGCCTGCTTGTTCGCGATATTGAGGGGCTTCACGGGCTGGACTGGAGCAGGCAGCTTGCTGGGGGGCGGACCCTGAGCCGGCTGCGCTTTGGATCCACTGTTTTGAGCCCGCGCCGCGGGAGATTGGCCCTGAGGTGGGTAGCGGGAGCTCGGTGAAGACTGCTCGTCACCCCGCGCCCTGGTGGAGCCATTGGCGTAGTCTCCTGGTCGCTGTCCAGCGGTTGGGGGAGACGGCGCAGGGCGCTGTGCAGTGAGTTGACGCGAAGGGTCTTGACGGGACGAACCCGGGGCCTGCGGGGCCGGGCGGCTCGGCTTGTAGCGGTCATCCGATGCTCCGCTGTAACCACCGAGCTCCTGCTTAGCCATCGGGACGCGAGTCTTGGGCAGTGACGCGTTGTACGCCTCCTGGTCAACTCGGCTCTGCTCCTCGTCCCGCTGACGGGCGCGACGAGATTCTTCTTCCACGCGACGACGTTCTTGGTCCGCCAGCTCGTTCATTCTTTCCAACTGATGCTGTTGCTCCAAGGCACGATCGAAGTCCGGCTTGGCATGGGACTGCGCCGGCGACGAGGTGGCCGAGCGACCACTACTGCTGTCCAGACGTTGCGCGGGACCTGGGGGCGGTGGTCTCGGGGGCGCGATCGAACTTCCCACAGAATTGCCGCTGAAGGGCTTGGGTTGCTGGTTGGGCGGCGAGGCCAGGCCAGCGTAATACTGCGGGTTCTGTTCACGCATCTTGATGTCGGAGTAGAATTCCAGGACTTCGATGACCGCCTGGGGGTTCTTTTTGTAGTCTTCCTTGGTGATGGCGGACGCAGTTAAGAGCTTCTCCCACTCCGGTGGCAGACCCACGAAGGCGCCTGTGCGCGGGTCGAATCCGACATGCACGCGATGGCTGAAGTTCGTGGGGTTACTCACCCCTCCCATACCGGGGCAGCGTTCGTAGATCTTGTCAATCCAGTCGTAGATCTCGTCGTCGCTTTTGACTTCGCAGGTGATACTCTTGGTGGGGACATCGCGGGTGATCACGGCGGCTTTGGAGGTCACATCCTTCGGGTTAGCGAGACGAATGATCTCGAACGCCATCCGAGTATCCTCCGAACGAGAGACACCGGTCACCGCGGTCAGCGGTATAGAAAGCACAATCTTGCCGGTCTCGTTTTTCAGAAAATCCAGGCGGAATTCACGTAGGATTAGGTATCGTTGGTTCCAGGTGGCCAGGAACTTGTCTTCCTTGCAGCGAACATACCCCTCTTTGATGACGGCGACACCTCCCCCAGCCGACTGCTCGGTCTTGGTGCGCGTGAGCGTAGGGGTGCTCGTATTGGGGAACAGGGAGAGATTGGCCGGTCCGGGCGTGCTTGGAGAGTTCAAGCCCATTTGGCCGAACGAGGTCGCCACGCTGGAGGGGTTTGAAGGTAGAGTGAGCTTTGGGCGGTCGGCTGGCGGGCGGGGGCAGGCCCCGGATTCATAAACTGATCTGGGGAATACATACTGCAGCCGTGTCAGCAGCGCGCCCGGAAGAATCACAGGCGTCGAATACCTCGGGGTGGGAGAATGTTAGAAAGAAGACAAGGATAGCTCACTTTTCGTAGGAGGCCATGTAGCCGGGCCGGAGTGGAAACCGAGACGCAGGACTTCCGAGGGGAGGAGGTTGGCTTCCTCAGGGGCGAGGGAAGACGGAGGACGGGAGGGAGGGACTGGGGGGGGTGGATTGTGAAAGGGCGGACCCGGCAACAGCACCAGGGCTGCTGTACACTCGTCACTGCAGGAAGGTCAGCAACAACAACCCCATCACATGCGCAAGGCTGGGAAATGGGAAGAGAAGAGAAGGGGAGGAGAGGGAGGGGGGGAGGAATCTGTCATGCTGCGACCCCTGGTAATAGCCCCCCCTGGAAATAATAGATACAGAATCTACTCCGTAGCAACGAGCCCGTCTCGCCGGAACAGACAGGGCGGCGAGGCGGGCGGTTGTTCCAGATTGTGGTCGCAATTTGGGGACCCATTGCGCGTACCTTAATGTACCTTAATGACACGAGTCGTCAGGTTTCTCCGACCCAAGGGAGGCCTGGCGCTGGCGAGGGAAGCTTCGAGCGTGAAGGACACACGTCTCGAAGTTGGCAGCCCCGTTGGCCAGGCGCGGTGAAACCAACGAACAGTACTAACTACCACCGAGCTGGGGCAGAAGTAAGCAGGAAAGATGCAATGCAGGGGAGGTGCAGGAGGGTGCAGAAGGGAGAGGGAGGAAAGGAATGGAGAAGGGGGGGGGGGGGAGTGGGGGGAGGCGGGAGGTGGGGGGAGTGAAGGAGGTAATAAGACGAGTAAATTGATGAGAAGGAGGGAGGGGGAGAAAAAAAAGTGGGAGTGGAAGCAAAATAAGCAAGAAAAAAAGTAGAAGAAGCAGAAGCAAAAAAAGAGGAGGAAGAAGAGGAAGATGAACAAGAACAAGAAGAAGAAGAAGAAGAAGAAGAGGGGGCGCAAAAAGGGAAGGCCGGCCGTCGAAGAAAGTCAGTCGAGGTTTCACCAACAGCGGCTCCCCAGGGGGGCGCACGCGGGTCTCTCTCTCTCTCTCTCTCTCTCTCTCTCTCTCTCTCTCTCTGTTCGCAACAGAGTTCTCCATTGAAAACGGAGACTTGCCCTCCTGCTCTTCTCGCGGCGAGAGACAAGTGTGAGCCATGGTGGTAATGGCGACAGTAGCAGGGGTGGTGAATAGTGGATGGGGAATGGGGAATAATGGGGATGGCAGATGGTCTATAGTAGTGTATTGTAAGTATAACCCCCCCCCCTTATAAGAGGTACAGCATCGTCTTGGAGGAGGTTTCATATCCAAAGCTAAATTCCAGATGATCTCAGGATCGTACCATCGATCCATCGATCTATCGATACTATCGAGTATCTCTACGGAGTACAGCTCCATCCCCAGGCATATGCGACTCGCCCCCTTCCGGGAACAACAGCAAGATGCAGTGGAGTGCACCACTCACTCCTATGTACCGAATCTATCCTTCTCCTCCATAGTTTAGATGGAAAACGTCGTGGCATGTCGCAGCGACACATGGCAGATTAAGGGGGGGCCGAAAGCCAGAATCAAATTGATTAACCGGACGGATATCCTACTTATTTAGATACTCCGTCTTTCAATAAAGATAAAGATATTAATAACTATCCCCTCCAAGGATCGGAGGGACCGACCCACGGGTCGATGGAAACTCTGGGTTAAACCCGATCCCCCCCCCTCGCGGCTCTTCCCTGGCATCTGGCATCTATCTAGATAGATAGATAAATAGATACGTTGGTATTGATTGATATATTATATTACTTCCAACTACAACTTATTACGCATCAACGCTCCTCTCCAAACGGGTGGTTGAACTTCAGCAATCCATTCAGACCTCCCACCCATCCATCATGCGCCTCTCCTCCGGTGATCCGTCGCATCACACACGGTACCCCCCCTTGCCATTCATTCTTACCATGCCGCATCTCCTCATCCCATACCCGCGCCTCCATGCCCGCCGTCAGTCCCTGCCCGATGTTCACCCCGTCAATGCTGACCTCCAGCTCCCGGCTCCGGTTTTTCGCGCTGAGTCGGAGGGTGATCGGGGTGCTGGACGGCAGCACCAGAGGCCGGAAGCTCAGGCTTCGCGCACAGATCGGCGTGAGCAGGACCGCAGGCACGAGGGGGTGCACAATGCTGCCACCACTACTCAGGCTGTATGCCGTACTACCTGTCGGTGTTGATATGATGATTCCATCGGCTACCGCCTCCGTCAGGAACCGGCCTCCAACATAGACGTCCAACACGGCCAGATGGGGTTCCTTCCCCCGATGCAGAAGCACCTCGTTCATCACATACATCCCCTGCCCGTCCAAGGTGTTCGGCATGGAAACCGATTTCGCTTCCCGTGGAACGGGGCTTCCGTCTGCGGTGAAAAGTCCAACCTTCAGTCGGTTGCGCATCAAGATCCGGGCCCCACGCGTCAAGCCCATGGACTTGCCCCGCACGGACGACCATCCCGTAGGCCCTGCGCCGAGTTCAGGCGACTCATCCTCAGATCCCGGCTTGGGATCACCCAGCACGCTCGCGCGATCCCCGACCCCCGCCCCCGACATATACACCTCGCGGAATGCGCGCTTGTACTCGGCCAGCTTCCATTCGCTCAGAAAGCCCAGGGTCCCCATGCTGAACGACAACACGGGGGGGACGTTGCAGCATGTGGCAAACAGTGACGAGGCATGTAGGATGGTTCCATCGCCCCCAAGAGTAACGGTGAGATCCACCTTGTCGTGCAGGGCCGGCCGTAGTCGATCCAACGTGGCGGAGTATACGGGCGATTGAAGCGACGAATGCACTTCCTCGGCGACGCTGGGCTCTAGGATAATCGCGGTGGACGGATAGGTCGACGTCGCGTGACTAGAAGGACCATTTGAAATGACATTAGCGCATGCTGCCCGTCCCTCACTCGCCCCCCAGGCCGGTCTTCGTACTTGGCAAACTCAACAAGTGATGCAGTAACGGCGGCGGAATGGTCCTTTTTCACGACGAGGATGTTGCGCGGGGGCGCCGGCCATTGTAGGGAAAGTAGATCACCCACTTGGGATTCTGCGCGGGGACGTACGAGCCGGTCAGTATCCTGCTGAAGAAGAAAGGGGGGGTTGCAGGGGCGTTGACGCACACCTTGATATCGGGGGATCAACCGTGGGGGGAGGATGTCAATGTTTCGAATCTCCGCACGGCGCGAAGAGAAGGAGAAGCCTCGCGTCCCGGGTATCATCCGTGCAGCGGAGCGGAGTCGCACGGTCGCGGGCTGCATTGTAGGATTGGGGAGGAGGGGCCGAAAGTCGGGCCATGAGGCATGGAGAAAAGATTACTATTGCTGAGTAGTAGTAACTAGTAGTTGTAGTAGTCGTAGTAACGGAAGGAGGGGGTTTGACCGCCCGCCCAAGGCGGACAGGACAGACTGACTGACGTAGGCTGCGGAGCGCGTCATCTTTGTTGTCCGATCATGCGCCCACACAGCAAGAATATCATATAACTCAAGTACTACAGTTAGTGCGGACGGAGTCCTCCACACTAGCTTCCCCTGCCTTGTACATACTACTTCCTTCTTTCATGGCCTAGATACTTCTTCGATCGTTAACCCATACTACTCTGTCTCGCCGCCCTGGGCTCCCCAGTCCCCTCATTATCATTACACCGCTTTCTCACCTCCAGTGCGTGCTACCTCTGGTCTATCTACCTGCAGAACAGGACAGGGAAAGCTAGACACCTAAGCTAACGTGTGCTCGATCTAGCCTTGTTGTCTCGAGAGTCTGAATCTCGGATATCGATCTGCCAGGTCTCCGTATACCTATATCTATACAGTACACATAGATAGGTAATCATCATGGATGATACCTCCGGGCTCCGACCCCGGAAGCAGGACCCCCAACTAGCCTTGTCCAAGGAGCAGCTCCCAACCCCCCCAGATGAGACGCCTCGTCTGAAACATGGCCTTGCAATGCAGCTCCTCCGCTCCATTTTGCTGGCGACATGGTTCAACTGCTGCTGCGTTGCCATTCTAGCGACCCAGGTTATCGGTTCCCCATTGTACGTGGTCAACAAGGACTACTACTACTCGTACATGGCATACACAAAGCAGTCTTTTGGGCTGGTTATCACCGCTCTCACACAGTGGGGGTGCCCGACATTCGTCCGCGTCAGCGGGGACAGGAGTATACGCGGTCAGGTCCATATCGCCGCGGATGGGCGCTTGAAGACACAATTTCCGGAGCGCCTGGTGCTGATCGCGAATCACCAGGTGTATACGGATTGGATCTACCTTTGGTGGGTGGCCTATACCAATGCAATGCACGGCCGCATCTTTATCATACTCAAAGAATCCCTCAAGTATATCCCGATCATCGGGCAGGGCATGACCTTCTACGGGTTTATCTTCATGGCTCGGAAATGGCTGTCCGACAAGCCGCGGCTGCAGCACCGCCTGAAGAAGCTGAAGATCCAGCACACCGGATCTCAGTCCGTGTCCCCTCGGTATGACCCCATGTGGCTCTTGATCTTCCCCGAGGGGACCAATCTCTCCATCAACACCAAGCGACGGAGCAAAGCGTACGGAGAGAAGCAGGGAATCCCATCCCTGAATCACGAGCTTATTCCACGCTCCACCGGTCTGTTCTTCTGCCTCCAGCAGCTGCGAGGCACGGTGGAATGGGTCTATGACTGCACGGTAGCTTACGAGGGGCCTCCGTAAGTATTGAGCACGCTCCCCTGCGATACATGCTGAACCCACCGCTGACCCTTGCGATCCTTCCCAATAGAAAGGGCAGCTTGCCCGACAAGTACTTTACTCTCCGGTCGACTTACCTGCAAGGCCGACCGCCCACATCCGTCAACATGCACTGGCGGCGCTTTGCTATGTCGGGGATTCCTTTAGATGACCAGGATGAGTTTGACTCATGGCTCCGAGAACGCTGGACCGAGAAGGACCAGTTGCTTGGCGAGTACTATGAAACAGGGAGATTCCCGTCCGAGTTGGCCGGCTCCATTGATGTCGGTCTTAAGTCTGAAGAGCGGGAAACTGCCGCCGCCGCCGGGTATGCCGAGACTTACGTACGACTGGAACACTGGGCTGAGGTTGGTCGGATCTTTATGGTGCTGGTAGGCGTGGTGGTGCTCTGCAAGATTCCCAAGCTCTTGGGGCTCTGATCGGATAAGAAGACCATCCCTACGATAGGGCTGGTCTGGAACTATTACGTGCTATGACCGATCCTCATATCCAACCGTTCTATGACCTGGGAGATGGCGCTTGGAGTAGGTATCATTGTGGTTATTTCTACCCTACCATTTAGTTGCCTAATGTCCTGTCTGCAGTCGTGTCACGGCCACGACTATCTCACATGACCGGTTAGATGTACAATGGAAGATACAGTAGGACTATTATAATAGTAGTGGTGGTGGTGGTGGTCGTCGTCGTCGTATTCTACTGCGCCACGGCGGGTGGCGGTGCAACACTCGGCCCGGAAAGCCTCAGGCAGAGCGAGCGCCAAAGTAACACTCACCGTCGCGGCCACCAGCGACCTCAACCTTTTGTCGTCCCTTCGCCTCTGCTGCAACCCCCCGAGAGTTCTTCTTGTTCGTCTCATCCGCAAGAAGAATCTCGTTCCCGTTTCCCTCCCTACCAATCCTCTACAATCTATCTCAGGTCTCACCCGATCATGAGTTGAGAGCTGAGAGCTGAACCACCAGCCACTTAAGCTCCTTTCACCTCCGAACAGGCGCATCTCAAGCCTGTCTACCGATAATTACTTCAAGTGAAGCTCGCACAAGCCATGGCTGCTCTTCAGAATGGCCACGCCAATGGCACGAACGGCGATTCTCTTCCAACGGATAACCTTCGTTTTTCTGACATTCCCTCCGCCATCGACATCCCCGCGTCCACCCTCGACAGCGAAGTCGAAGTCAGTCTGGAGATCCTACCGGACGACCCGACCGAACTCTGTACCCTGTTGGAGAATGAAAAAGCGGCCAAGAATTTCTGGGTGACCATTGCGCTGGCATACGCCAAACAGAAACAACTGGACCACGCCATCGACATCCTAAACAAAGGCCTCGCCTCGGTCGCTCATGGGGCGACTAAGGAGAAACTCGGGCTACTGGGATGGATTTGTTGGTTGCTGATGCTCAAGAGCCGACAAGCCCCCCGTGTCGCGCCAGAAGGGGAGTTGTACACGGAAGCCAAGACGAAAGACCACTATCTTCAACTTGCAACGTCAACGCTGAATGAGGCGTCGCGGTTGAACCCGGCCTTCCCTCCTCTCTTCCTGGCGCGTGGTGTCCTGTCGCTTCTCCGCTCTTCGCTACACCCGCCGCGACCCGTTCGTCCCGGGACTGTTGATACCTCCGAGCGAGTGGAGTCGCTGCGGCAGGCGCTCAAGTGCTTCGATGAGTCGTCCAAGGCCTTCGGTGGTCGGAACGTAATGGCCATTCTTGGTCGCGCCAGAACGCAATACCTACTAGGACGATACGCAGAGGCATTGGAGGGCTATCAAAAAGCGTTGATGAAGATGCCTGGTTTGACAGACCCTGACCCGCGCATTGGTATCGGAAGTTGTTTGTGGCAGCTAGGATTCAAGGACCAGGCCAAGGCTGCTTGGGAGCGGGCGCTAGCATTGGTGAGTTGGTCGCTGGCTTATTTTTCATCTTCATATTACTGACTGTTTGCTCCCGCGCGGTAGAACCCTGACTCGAAAGTTGCCAACATCCTCCTTGCCGTGTATTACCTCTACGACAGCTCGCGACATGCCACAACAGATCCAGCCTTTGGCTCGTTGTACAAGGTGGCTATGACCCAGTACACGCAGAAAGCCTTCAAGGTCGACAAAGAGTACCCCATGACGTGCGCTTTGTTTGGCAGCTATTTCCTCTTGAGGAAATCATATTCCACAGTCGAGACACTAGCCCGCAAGGCAATTGAACACACGGATGTGATGCAAATTGCTAGTGACGGATGGTATCTGCTCGGTCGGAAATCACATTACGAAGGCGACTTGACGCGTGCGGCGGAGTACTACAACCGGTCGGACCAGGCTCGAGGCGGTGGTGAAAAGGGGTATCTCCCCGCTAAATTCGGCGCCGTACAAATGCAAGTGTCTAGCAAGGACTACGATGGGGCTAAATTCCGTTTGGACAAGATTATCCAACAGACCAAAAATGCCGAATGCATGGTACTGCTTGGCGCGCTCCACGCCGAGGAAGTTTTCGCAGCACAGCAAAATGGCAGTAAGGAGGACAAGTCGGCCGATATCAAAAAGGCCATCAGTCTTCTGGAGTCGGTCCGCGCGCTTTGGAGGGATGAAAACAAGAAGATTTCCCCCGACGAGTCAGTTTTGGTATACCTATCCCGCCTGTACGAGCAGACGGCTCCCGAAAAGAGCATGCAGTGCCTCGCCCAGCTCGAAGAGATGCAGTTGGCAGAGGTCGCAGAGGAGGAGCGCCCTGAAGGCCTAGAGGACACGGAGCAGATCAAGGCGACCCTTCGTGTACACCTCCCTCCGCAGTTGCTCAATAACATGGGGTGCTTCTTGTATCAGGCGGAGAAGATTGAACGAGCCCGGGCCATGTTCCAGGCAGCCCTAGACGCTTGCGTTCGATCGAAGGAGAAGGAGAGCGATCTTGACACTGATGCTCTTGTGACCACCATCAGCTTCAACCTGGGTCGTACCTACGAGGCCGCCGATATGCCAGAAGAGGCAAAGAAGGTGTATCAGGGTCTCCTGGAGCGCCACGCCGACTACACGGAAGCCAATGCAAGGTTGACTTACATTGCCCTTCGCCAGAGCCCTACAGATGAGGGGCCCAAGAAAATGGCTAAGCTCTATGAAGCTGATTCGACCAACCTCGAAGTCCGCGCACTGTTTGGTTGGTATCTCAGCAAGTCGAAGAAACGTGCCGCGAATTTAGCTGAGGATCACGAACAACGGCACTATAAACATACCCTCCAATACTACGACAAGCACGATCGGTACTCGTTGACCGGTATGGGCAACATCCACCTGTCGACCGCGCGCGATATGCGCCGTGATAGCGACCAAGACAAAGAGAAACGTCGCAAGATGTACGAGCGGGCGGTGGAATTCTTCGATAAGGCCCTCCAGCTGGACCCCCGCAATGCGTACGCCGCACAAGGCATTGCAATTGCGTTAGTGGACGACAAGAAGGACCACGCCTCGGCGGTACACATCTTCTCTAAGATCCGGGATACATTGCGCGATGCCAGCGTCTACCTGAATCTAGGTCACGTCTACGCGGAGTTGAGACAGTACACGCGGTCCATTGAGCACTATGAGGCTGCACTGTCTAAAGACCGGGCTCGCGACGCGCAAATTCTGGCTTGTCTGGGCCGAGTCTGGCTGCTCAAGGGCAAGCAGGAGATGAACCTGCCAGCCATGAAGACCGCCTTGGACTACGCGCAGCGTGCACATGCGGTTGCCCCCGGGCAAGCCCACCTCGAGTTTAACGTTGCGTTCGTGCAGAACCAGATTGCCTCCCTCACGTACGGTCTCCCAGAAACGCAGAGGACGGTTCAAGATGTGCAGGAGGCGGCCGATGGGCTTCATCAAGCGGTGGAGACGTTCGGTCGTGTGTCTCTGGCCAAGAACCCGCCCTACCCGGCTAGCGCACTGGAGCAGCGCGCGAACATGGGCCGAACGATCATTAAACAACTCGAACGCGCATTGCAAAGCCAGAAGGACTACGAGGAAAAGAATGCAGCCAAGCTCCGGGAGGCGCGGGAGGCCCGCGAAGCGGAGATACGTCGGCGGGAGGACGAAGTCCGCAAAGCGCAAGAAGCCGAGCGCGAGCGAAAGCAACGCGTGGCGGAGGAGCGGCAGAGAATGATCGAAGAGGCGCAACGGCTCGCGGAGCAGCGGGCAGACGAGGAGCGCGCGCGTGAGGAAGCAGAGATGACGACGGAGTCAGAGACGGGCGCCAAGGTCAAGCGGAAGAAGAAGACGTCCAAGCGCAAGAAGAAGCGCACCGAAGACGACTTTATCAACGATGGCGAATCACCCAGCAAGGCGAGGAGCGAGGAGCCGGACAGCGAGGGCGACACGGCCCCGAAGAAGCGCCGGCGCCTGGAGCGTCGGGCGGGCGGCAAAACGCAGAGCAAGTACAAGAGCAGTGAAATGGTGGTGGACTCGGACGATGAAGACGAGGCAGACTCCCGGTCAACGCCAGCGGCCCGATCCGACAACGAGGACCAAGAGATGCACTACCATGGGGCGGATGACGACCAGGAGGAAGAGGTTGTGCGGCGGCGGCGAGCCAAGGTGACCCGGCGCGTGGCTGATGACGAGGACGAGGACGAGGACGATGGCGAGGAGACCGCGGCCGTGGCTGGAGGGGGCGCAGGAACTGGGGCTGAGAACGAGGGGGCGACGACAGCTGGGGGCGAGAATGGAGGTGAGGATGGGGTCGGCGAAGAGGAGGATGATGGACTGTTCAATGACGATGGCGATGATACGGAGATGAAGGAAAATGAGGAGTGATTGGGATGGATGGAAGGATGGGTCGGCTGTTGGGTGGATGGGTTTCGCAGGCCAATTGTAGTTTTACTGACTGTGACTTTTGCTCTACTGCTTCCATTCGATTGTGTATTTGAAAAGAAGGCGTTGAGAGGGAGGGGCCAACAACCCCCATTGGGGCCATTAGTATAGGAGCGAGCCATGAATGAATGGGATGGATATAGGTGCGTACAGGTAATGCAGTAGGTACCCAGTCAGTATGCGAGATGTGGCCAAAGTTGATGAAGGTCAAGTCTACTACCTCTGCCCCCTAAACCATATCAGTTGATCCTATACTTACTTTCAAACCACGTACTACATGTAGATAGTACTTGTGAAGAAGTGCGAAGTGCGTGCTGTACCTAGGTAGGTAGGTGAGGTGATACCCTCTCATACCATCAATACAGTAATATATCCGTACATGTATTATCTGGTACCTTACCCTAGTATTACCCAGGTACCAATTGGGGGGGGGGGGGGGGGGAGAGAGAAAGAAAAAGGGAAACCTGCCCCCGATTTGGCCGACAGCCCAGCCAAGTACTACGACAGTATCTACTACTGCCGGACTAAACCAACGACCCCCACCATAATTAACTGCGACGGGTCCTAGTATCTGGCCAGGAGCCGGTCTAGACACCAGGGATCGTCAGGAGTTCGAACGATGGAGAAGTTGGGGGCGCCGAAGGGGTGATGGTGCCATGATGCTACACGCTAGGGGAGAGGACGATGGGACCGGAGGGCTGGGAAAGAGGCCCGTCGGATCAGACGTAGAGACTACTACTTACTACCTTAGTAGATAGATACCTAGGTAGAAAGGGGGTGGTTCTATATTTTAAAGTTGACACTGAGACAGTGGTGTGGCAGAAACCGTGAGCTGTGTGGCTGGACCTGTTGATGACCAAGTGAGGATGTTGTGCTGACTGCTGAGGATGGGGGTTGGCAGTTAGAACTCGGGAGGGGGGGAAGGGGGCTTGGTGGGGGCTTAAGGGCTTGAGGGCTTGAGGGCTTGCGGCCTTGGGGGCTTCGGGGCCTTGGGGGCCTTGGGGGCCTTGGGGGCTTCGGGGCTTGGAGGCCCCTTGGGGTTCTTGGGAGGGGTAAAGATGTGTGGAGGAGGGGTTCGATGGGAGAGAGTGTGTGCAACCGTACCGAATATCTCCTCCTACCTTACTCTTACTCAGGTACCTACCGGTACCTACCTACCGTATTTAGTTACCTTAGGTACTGGTACTTACCTACTGTACCTACTACCTTAGTAGGTAAGATGTACTAATCCGTAACACCGACGGAACAGTATGTGGATCGGGAGCCTCAGGAGCGGCAAGTGACGGAGAACCATTCTTACTTACACGCTGTCAGTCAGACCGCTGCCTGCCGGTCAGAAAAAAAAGCAACAAGCCCGGAGGAACAAGGAAGAAGAACGTGACGGCTGCACGAGAGATGCAGGTACGTACATGCACGAGATCCAGCCGGTGCTACGGAGTATCTACGGAGTAGATACTAACATACATTGGCGGTGTGGTACCTACCTTAGGGGTTTCAGGTCTCGATGACCTGATCGGAGAGAGATCTGTATGACTGACTGACTCAACCAAATGTAGGTAGATTTACAGAGTATCCAGTATCAAGCCCATCTCATATCCACGGTCACCGCAGACGGACAGCCCTGGCTTTTCCAACTGCCGAGACTGGGCATAGGCACGAGTTTTCTTCCCTCGGGTCCGAGGCACGAGCCGATCGACCCAAAAACAATAATAACAACGCGTCCTGCCATGACGAGGGCCGATATTATTATTAGACCGTCCTCCAGCACGGAGTACGGACCACCTGCTTGGTACGCACCGAAAGTGTGCTTGTCTAGGTAGGTACTCCGTACTATATGTATGTATCTATCTAGTATCCATCTAGTATCTACGGAGTACTCCCGCCGTATAATAAATACTAATGGGTCCATCTGGGTTCGGACATCCTGGTCACTGCATGAATCTACGATTTGGGGGGGGGGGGGGGCCAACCAGGATGGTCGCGTGTCGATTTAATATGATGAGTCGATTTCACCATGTTGAGTGGAACCCGTTGCAACTCAGCCAGACACTCCAGATAGATAGATGGAATCTTCCACAATATCTCCGTCAGACGGAAGATATCTAGACACTAGATAGATAGATACTTTCATCATCTACTACTAGACTAGATACTACATACACTACTACCACTAGACGTGAACTGTCCCCCAAATTCCCGGAACCATGGTTACACCCTTCCTCGCAGACGCTCATCCGTGGATTCACTGTCTTCCCCCCTTAAAGTCTATCTATCCGTCCAGAATATCCCGATTCTCGACACCACTCAGGATCCGCTCGGCGTTCACAAAGTTCAGCCAGGCCGAAAAGCTCCCGTCGGGCGTCCAGTCAAGAGCCTGGAAAGGTTAGGGCTAGCACGACTCCGGTGGTCGGTGGAGAGGACGTTGGACTTAAGCGAATGTAGATCCGGTGGTGCCTGACTTGACATCTCGTATTGTCGGCCCAGGGGAGGAAGGATGTATTCCCAGGCTGTTCTGGATGCAACTTATGTAAATCTGCTGTTGCTGCTGCTAGAAATACGCACGTTTGGTCCAAACTATCAAGTACCCAAAGTAGCTAGTGTACTGTGCTTCCATGTATTTGCAGGTTGATTGTGGGCTGCATGCAGGCATGTGTGCTGTGTACAGAGGACTTGAGTAGGTATCTAGTAAGCACATACAAGGTAAGTACGTATGCATGCCCACAATCAACCAATCCATCAATCAATTGCTCGCTATGGAGTAGATATGGGGGTCTTTCCCAGACAAACGCGCGATTATTTATCACTGTCGGGTGGGAGTTAGTAGGACAGAGTGCCGAGGTAACCTGCAATCTGTTGTACGGTGTATTATTATTCCTGTTAGTATTACATTTATTATTGCAGCTCCATGCATTATTCTCCCCTTTCTCGTCGCCTATCAGCCCTCCTGTCTTCTATCTACTTGCCCAGCCCAACGGACCTCCCCGTGGGATCGATCATCGCTGCTGGCCGAGGGCTGAGAGCTGAAGGGGGGGGAGGGGTTCGACAGGAGGGACCTGCTTTGATCAGTGCAATTAATCAAGTGAATACAGAATACAGTCATATCATAGTACCTTAGTACAGTACCTAAGGTAGGTACAGTACAGTAGGTGCCGGGAGTACGGCGGTGTACCACCTTACGTCAGTAACTGTGTAGTAGTTAACTACCTTAGTTAAGTTAACCAGTTAACTAGTCCTAGTTGGTTAAGTAAGCAGCTGGGACACTTAATCATCGGGGCGTAAGCAACCATGTTTTACTAGTATCTACCAACTAACCAGATAGTATTCTGGTGGTATCTGCTCCGTCACCACCCACCCCTGTGTACACGCTGTGGGTTATAATGTCATCTTATAGGTCATGAGGTTGACAAAACCTTTGTTCCAGATACAATCCCTGCCGGTCATCTAATCCAAGGGGGGGGGGATTGTATCCACGGACATCCATGTACAGAGTACTTACTTACTTACATAGTATATATATAGCCCAACCTGTGGAAGTGGGATTATCACAAAGGCATTGTTCAACAATGCCCCAGATAGGCAAAAGCCGATTGATCCGCCCAGTCACTTATGTATCTGATATACGGAAGAGCGGAATGAAAGAGAAAACAACTGTACTCTGTACCTCGCGAGCACTATTCTATCTATAGACCATCGATCTAGATCCTTGAAGCGAACCGGGGAGCACTGTAGAAGGCAGAGATAATAGAGTGTTCATCAGCATCAGACAAGGCCATCAACGTCTGCGCGAAAGGAGTGAGGGCCATGTCATCTCTCTTGCTCACTTTCTCTGTCTGTGAATCGTTGTTATTACATGTCCTTTCTTCCTTCACTGATTGCATCGCCCGTCTCCACAGAACATGGTCTACTTTGTATCTCGGACGAACAGCCTCGGGGAGGAATCGTCTAATCATAGTCGTCGTACGGAGTGCCCCGTGGCTTCTTCGGGGTTCACACCTGTTCCTCCCCTGCTGTCACTTGAATCTGGTATGTTTGTTGCTTTCGAAAGGAGTTATCCACTCGGCCCTGTGTGTAAATAGCTGCTCCCCGGTCCTACCTGGGGGCTGGGGGGGTAAGCACAACAGCATTCGGGTGGGATGTGGACTGGATCTGTTATCCGGAGAATACCCCCGTCGTGGTTACTGTTGCATCCCAGCCTCCAGCTTAGGGGACTAAGCACTAGGACCCCAGGATATAGGTAGTTATAGGTAGTACCTACTTAGTATCTAGTCGACGAGTCGTACTCCGTACATGGCGGCTGGGCCAGGCGGTCACTAAGAAAGACGCTAGCCATGGAGGAATTCCTGACCTTGGGAATAGATTACTTACTTTTCATCCTCCCTGAAGAGGCCCAATGATCGATAAGAATAATAATAACTCGGCTGGTCAGATTAAGAAGAGAAGAGAAAAGAAGAGAAGGTTTCAACGTCCGCCCACCTTGGTGTGAGCTGGGGGGCAGTACTTACCCTCCTTACCTTAGGTTACTTCGTACCATACTGTTTGACATACGGTACCTTACCTTACTTTTGCGTACCGGTACCGGTATGGGTGGATACCTATGTAGGTACCAGGTACCGTAGTAGTACTACTGGACTGGCCGCTCTCGTGGTACTTCGTACATACATGTAGTTTCTTTGATTCATATTTGATGATGCTCGTTTCTCGCTCCTTTCCCATCCCTCTCTCACTCTTTCTCTCTCTCTCTCTCTCTCCCTTTCTCTTCCTCGCCCCTCCTTCGTCGTAGTTCTTCCCTAGTTTCACTGATGATCGCTCTTGCTATTTCCTATTCTTCCCTCATTTCCCCAGGATTTAATCAATTCGTGTGCTATTCTTGTTTCTTACCCAGCCCGACCCATTCCGTTCATTGGTACTGCCGTGACTAGTGCCGCAACTACCACTATCAACAACACCGTACACTCACTCACTCACTGAGTACTGCTGCTACTCTTTTACTCCATCCTTTCCCACACTTGACTCCGTATCTTCAACAGCTCCCTCTCTCCCTCTCTCCCTCCCCCCTCTCCCTCTCCCCGCCTCCCTCCATCCCTTCTCCTTGGACAATTGATCGATCAATCTTTTGGTTTGCTTTCTGTGACCCTTGTTGTCGCCTCATTCCTTCTGCATATAACACACACACACACACACACACACACACACACACACACACACACACACACACACACGTCGTGACCAATTTTTTGGATGTTCTTCTCGCATTCGTTTCAACCCTCAACCTAAAACACTCGAGAAACCTTCCCGCTGCCACTCACTAGTACTGCACGACACGGGGCATGCTTTCCCAACCCCGATCTTGAAAACCGTCCGCTTGGCCTGCTCCGTCTTTATCGACCCCCTATCACCCCCAGGTCTTCTGCGCGCGCGATCTTCCTCCTACCATGGTCCTGTCTAGGTCCATACCATCACAATTGGAGGCTTAACGGTCGCTCTCTTGCTCTGCCTGCTTATTTGGCCCCCGAAATTCCCCCCCCCCCAAAAAAAACCCCCAAAACCCCAACATATATAGGTCCGGTTCCCCTTCTACCCCCTACCCAAATCCGGTCTCAAACCCCCCGGCGCACTAAATACTCCTCACCTGGTAGCGTCGTCGACTCGCACCATGTCCCAGCAGGATCTGGACCGTTCATATGCCAGAGCGTCGAATAACGAATCGCCCGAACAATATTCAGTCCACTCACGCTCCCGGTCAACCGCAAATGCTCCTAGCCCTAAGCGATTGTCGGTTTTCAGTGGCCGTTCGCGCAGCAACACCACCAACTCCACTACATCCTCGCGCCGTTCACCTGCCTCATCCATGACCTCTACAGATGCAGCATCGCTGCCCTTACATGAGGACCGGGCAGGTTCTGTATCCGGAGTCCGCCACGAACGCCCTGAGAGTGTGACCAAGTCGCTTCTCTCGCGGGGAAGCCGCATTCTTCGGCGTCAAGGAAGTAAATTCCATATTGTCTCCACGCTGGACGAGGAGGACGAAGTGGAACGTGAAAAGCCTCGCTTTGAGGTCTCGGATATTTTCGGCCGTCATAACAAGCCCCGTCCGAGTGATGCCCGTAAGTTTCTCCTTGTTATTCTTGTACTCCTTTGTCATTGCCCATTGGCTCGCATGCAATACTCATACAAAGGACCTCGATAGATGACCAGCTGAAGAGTCTCATTTCGGACCCCTTTGACTTTCACCATCTGACTCACACGAGCCCATCTCAATTCCAGTCGCTGGAGAAGGCCCGGGAAACCGATCTGGTTACCGAGTTCTCTGCCATCCGTGCCTCCCAGAGGCCCGTCGCTAATCTGAAAGGCATCCGTGCTCAGGATCTGCATTTTCGGGGATTTTCCGCTGAGGATCTCACTCAGTGTAAAACGACTAATGACAATGATGGCCACATGGGTCCCTCGGCAAGCCCGCCAGCGTCGCCGGGTGGTTCCTCGTCAGTGAGCCCAAAGCAGCGCGACGTCAAAGCATCAAGAGAACCGCGCGTCTTCGAAAACTTCTCACGACCTGTCCCAAGAATCCCCAAAACGGGAACAACCACCCCGCCACCGAGAGCCTCGTCCCCGAGATTGGCGTGCTCACCAGAGCTGCCCGAGCCAGCTCCTCGAGCCATTGACGAAATCCTGGGTCTGTCTACCCAGCCGACGTACCCAGAGCATGTGTATTCCCATGTGGACGATATCGATCCTAGCACTTCCTGGTCCCAAATGCATATGGAGGATATGTTCCCGGCTTCCTCGGGCTATGCACTTACCACTGGCGGCAGCAACGACATAGATACCGCTCGCACTTCTTCGATGTCTTTGCCAACTCTATCGTCGGACTTGGAAGACGTCCCGGAAGAAGAGGAGACTACCCCTTGGCACGATGACTCCGAGCTCCATACTAGCGAGATCTCCCCCCGCGCACTTGTACGGGTGAGCCGATCAGATTCAGTCGAGGTACAGTCCGCTTCCATGGCTGGACCCAAGTCTGACTTGTCCATCTACGTGGCCGAGGACTTGTCGAGGAAGTTTGCTGAGGCACTCGGTTCCCCCACCCTCCCTCAACATCGTTTATTGGCGGCGGCAATAACATCACCTCCAGGGCCTCCGACTCGAGAACCAGCACAGACACAGTTCTCCGTCAACAAGACAGCCATCCATGAGTCCACCTATGAGTCTTGGGATGCAGACATAGATTATTGCTATGAGCATGCCGCCGAGTCAAACTCCAACTTTGACTGGACTCGGACTTCGTTCGATGAGCCTCGGCAAGAAGATGCCGGCGTTACTGTCACTGTCCCGGATGAGAGCCATGGCTTTTTTGAATCAGCGCATCTGACTGCCTCAGAACTGTCCATTGACTTGGACCCGAATTCCTCACAGTTGGCACCTAGCTCGCATGTGGTATCTCGGTACACCTTGGACGATGATGTTAGACTCGCCGTTACGCAGAGGGACAGCGATTACTTTCGGCCTGTTAGGTTCGCACCAACGTTGGGTAAACACATCAATACGGATTCACTCTACGAGGACTATCTGACGGCGGACGCCGAGTCAGATCGACACTTCTCTTTCTATTCGCAGACGGGTGTGATACAGCCCATGGAGCAATCGGTGTCCCCGCGAAGTAGCTTTTCCCCTATCAGCAAATGTAACTCGCAGGAAAGCTTAATCCTATCCCGTGCTGCGTCCATCGTGCGCAAACACCGATCGTCCGTCTCGACTGCCAGTGTACCTGAACTCGTACACAGTCTAGCAAGCAGTCGAGAGTTGCATCCATCCGAGCAGAGACTATCAGGCGAACATTCCGGGATGACACGCCCTGACTCCTCTCACCATCGGCAAACCAAGAGTTTAGCACGCGAACTTGAAGCCCAGATTCTATATCGGGCCGACGATTCAAGCCACGAGCTTGCAGGACAAGCATCAACCGTAGGCCCCTCCATCTACGATCGGGCCAGGTCCACTACGGAAGTGGAAGCGGCCCCGTTGATCGCCAGGGCCATCAAGAATGATACTGCGTTTAGGGCCGCACCTCGCCGGAAAGGCAGGGCGTCTTACTCCCTCTTCCCTACCCCAGCAGCCAATTGAGTCGCGATCAACCCGAAGACGACTGTCATCTCTGAAAGGAAATCATACAGACCCTTTGTCGATTGTCCTTATGATCCATTCCTTTCATTCTTCATTCGCCCACCTATAGAACTTCTCCGATGACTTGATGATTTGTTTCCTATTTTTGCGTGGTCTTGTTCATTTTCTTGGTCCTAATTTTTGCTGTGATAAATCCTTGAACAATCCTTCGGCCGATTTCGTGCAGGCTATGGGCTCATGTTTTCTTTGTCACCTGCTGTACACTTGAGTTTCTTAACTGGCATTGTCTCGTGCATTTCTCAGCGGCTGTAATTTCCTAGGGAAGAAAAAAGGTTGGGTGTTTTACTAGCATAGAGGGTTGGGAAAAGGCAGTGAAACGGGGGTTCAGTCGGACAAGATTTGCTCGGCTTCTGTTTGCTCGTTCTCTTCCTTTTTCTCCCCTCCCCCCCCCCCCCCCCCCTCCTTTTTACGGGAGTGTTCTGTCTTTCTTTTTTTGTTCTTGTTGCTGTTGCTGGCCGATTCCAGGTATGTCTCAATATAGAGAGCCGGAAGGCATCAATGGGTCGGATTTGTTTGATACGAAGTTGATGCGTGGGCCCCCAGCCCAAAGGAAAAGTGATGAATACCATACAATGTTGGCCATTATCGAGACTCCATAGTCCTATAGATAGTAGCAGCTCATATGATATCATCGGATCACGGGACAGCCACTCACCACTGACAAGGCGGGGCTGATTCTGCCGGGTCCTGCCGCCTTCCTCCTCTTGCTTCCTTCCTCATACTTTCTCTCCCTTCCTCTTTCTTGCTCTCGCCTCTTCATCCCTCCTCTTACCGTGCCCTCTCGTCGGTGTCACCCGCCAGCATGCCCTTCTCATCGGTGGTCTTCACCTAGAAGCTGTTCCCGTCACCATTCCCCCATTTCATCCCTATCTATCCCATCCATCCCATCATATCACTTCACTGTGCTAGCGTTCGTCAGCCATGTCCGCCCGATCGCAAGCTTTGACCACGCGTCACAACGATGCTACTCTGATGCCCCCGCCCCCGCCCCCGAAACGCATCAAACGCCCGGCTAGCGTACTCGACGAGGATGTCTATACCAATGCTCTATCGGAGATTATTGCGCGAGACTATTTCCCGGGTCTTCTCGAGGCACAGGTCAAGCAGGAATACTTGGATGCGCTTGAGTCAAAGGATAAGGAGTGGATAGCTGGTTCTAAGAAGAAACTGGCCGAGCTCCTGAAGACGTCCGGACGAGCCCGATCGTCCCGTCCTGGATCGGCCAATAAGACTTCGCGATTCACCAATGCTGAGCGCTTGGGAGATACTCCAATGGGTTGGGGAGGTGACACCCCCACGTCCGTCATATCAGCAGTCTCGTCGGCAATGCCAAACAAGAGTCTCGTCTCGATCCCGGATGTATCCGGTCTGGGACTACTGGAATTCCAAGCCAAATACACCAGCGAAGACAACGAGTCTTTCAATACAGTGCTTGATAAACAGAATACCAAGCGTCGTGAGAGGTATGCTTGGCTCTGGGGCGGGAACAAAATCCCAACCGCACGGCAGATAGCGCACCGCCGGCAAGAAGCCAAACGGATTGAGGCGCAGGGAGGCAACCCAGATCAAAACAGGCAAGTGGTCATCAAGACAGATCTAGATGCCCGGCCCGCGAACCCCGACACATGGAAGGCTCGGCCGGAGAATTCGCTCATGTTTGCGCCCTCGTCCATAGAGGATTCGTATGAGACTATTCAGCAGAAGGCGGAAGCATTGTCACGGGCAGGACCCAAACGGGTTGTATATCAAAACACGCGGTTGCCGGACGAGAGTCTCCCCACATCCTCTGACTATGGGAGTGCACCTCCACCCTCGCCATCAATATCGGCGATCAATGATGCCATTGCTGGACGTCCACGCCGAACCGAGTCCGAAGAAGGATACACAGGAGGCGAGACACCCCGAATCAACGGGTATGCTTTTGTAGATGAAGATGAGCCCGAATACTCTCTCACATCGAAAGACAATAATGACCATGCGACCTCATCAGATGACCTCCATATCCTTGGGAGCAGCGACGCGACGCCGAACCCGTTCCAGATCAAGGGTAATCGGAGACGAGAGGATCTTCACCATCGTATGGTGGACCGTGCGGCACGAACACGACGGGCTGAAAAAGCCGCCCGTGAGACCAAAACTCCCGTGACGCCGCGATTTGCCAGCAGCCCTCGGCTTGACTTTGGGCTTCACACACCGGGCGCGGTAACACAAGGAGGGAGAGCAAGCAAGACGTTAACACCCGCAGCACAGAATCTGCTTCGTCAAGTGGGCAGTACTCCTCGACAGGGGTTCACATCAGCGTCGTTGTCATCATCGTCTTATTTGAGAAACAGCTGGACGCCGACCCCGAAAAGGGGTAAATAAGAGACATCCTATGGCTCACTTCCTTGCGTTGTCGCTGTCTTTTTTGTCATTTGAAGCGTATAATATGATATTTTAGATACCACGGGTTCACAATGGCGTTCGACAGGGGATCGATGGTGGAGAAGTTTTGGCGTATCTCTATGTCTTGGTAGCCGGTTAGCATTTGTTTTGGCGATGATACTATCTATTTCTAGAGAATATTAAAGAATTCATCATGTATGCACTTGTATGATATATGAGCTTTATGCTCACCAGCCGGCTTAATGCCCTGCCTCGCCCTGGGAGCATCTGCATTGTCCCCAAGACGGTGGTATCATCTTAGTAACAAGATAAAACATTGGGTAACTATCTCAGCGAAGGATTAGTTACGTTATGCTCAGTCATAATTATTTTGTGCCAAGCATCAGTAATGGAATGTTCGCTATTTCACATCAAACCACAAAGTAAGAAAGGCGAGAAGGGGAGGTGGTGAGGGATGTGGGATCTGAAGTTACTACTTGAGCACCCAGAACAAGCACCAGGTACCGATCACCGCATATATAGTCATCCAGATGCTCTCATGCAGGCTAGAGACTGCATTCAGATAATACGCTGCTCCCAGGTAACTGCAGGTGATGTCGCCGTTAGGGTCTCGCACGCCGTACGAGGCATTGGCCCATTGGCCCACCGGGCAACTGAACCCTAGAGCAGACGGGCAGTTTCGGACCAAGCTGTGGCAGACTGACTGACACGGGAGAATCTCTTTGTATGGTCCCGGGCGGATCTCACTATCTATTAGAGGGTTTCGAGATTTATTTGTCGCGGGATTGTCCAACAGTGTCGAGTTAGTTATCGAGGTGCCGTTCAAGAAAGGTTGGCCTGCATTTCTAATCTGGAGGAAAGAGTCGTTGCTGGAAAAATCCGCACATCGGGGAATCGTCACGGCACAGAGCCACTGCTTATACGCCTCTGCGCAGGTATCGCATGACACTGCAAGTGAGAACATGGTCTCGCTTGATGTGTTGCACTGGATTTGTTGTAGGGAATAGTTAAATCCTTGGTACAGAGAGGATGCGTTCTGGTCGTATATTTTGCGAAGGTCTGCCATGCTCAGTGACGGATTTGATGGCACCGCATAGGCGATCTCGGAGCAAAATGGCAAGTCATACACGACAGCACAGTTGTCATCTATAGGCGTAAGTCACTCCATAGGACAGAATAGAGAAGTAGGAAGGGCAAAGAGGTTGAAGTAGAATTGCTCACCTTTTTTGGTTGTGAAGTTCATGGGTTTCCAGACCTTCCCACCGCCTCCGATGATTCCATTTCCTGCACTAGTCGAATTGCCATACTGGGCCATAATCCCGAGATAAGTAGAGCTCTTGTTGAGACCGGTAACATAAAACTGCTCCGTTGGCCTCATCACCGCACCTCGGGTAGTCATGCTCGTGTCAACGTCGGCTTTTCCAATCTGCGCAAGCTGGTTGAGAGCGCAGAATGACCGCTCCAGGCCCGATATGGCGGTATTGTTGAGGTTGTTTGCAAACATTGTGTAAGGAGGCGTCATGTTCATCCAGTAACTATAGTTCTGTGAGGTAAGATCCGTTCCAGTGAGGTTTTTGGTTGTTAGAAGGGCTGCGCCAGTGTCCGAATCGACCAGATACAGAAGCCGATCGGTATCGTCGACGCTGTGGAAGAACGCATCCGTTGAGGCCGCAATCTGATAGGTAAACGATCCGGAATACTCCGTGTCATTAGGAGCTGTCACTCCGATGTAGACATCATCGTCCACTAACAAAGTGGTTCCCATGTAGCCCTCCGCCGCCACATGTACAGTCTGGTCTGCACCATCTTTGTCTGGCCCAGGCTTATCCACGGACTCAGACAAGTAGACTTTCAGCTGCGGTACGGCAATTGCGCTAGTAGAGCCTGTTTTGTTAAGACTGGGTTTCGAGCAGGCGGTTAGGGACAGGTAAACGGTTGTCGAGCGCTTTGAGTAATCACGACTCTGGATTTCAGAGGTGTTGCTGGAATTCACTCCACTGACCGGGAAATACCACCACTGCGTTTCTCCCATCTTTAAAGTACCCTCTTGGTACTGGTTATTCCCTAGGGACGAAACACCAGCGGAGGCCCGACGGACTAGATCTAGCCCACGCGCATCACCCTCATCGACATCTTCGAATTCCAGACCATTATATGACGCAAGGGGAAATAAAAATGGCGGGCTAGAATCGCCGAGAATAAAATGGCCGTGGCTGCCGGATGCGAGAGCCGTGGGATCGAGGGTGTCCGCTGAGACAGAGCCTGCGCACAAGGCGACAACAGCGCTGCAAAAAACCGTGCGAAAAGTTGCACCCATGAAGCCCTGAAGGTGTGGCGGCACAAACTGGGCGAACATTCAGACAGGCCGATGGAGGGTGGGCTTTGGGAAGAAGACCATGAAGGACCGAGACACACTCTCCTGTTGCTAGAAATGTTGCAACAAGTTCCTCCGTGCACGGCGGAGGCCAGGCCAGGGGATTTGAGAGCAGATCAGTCCAGGGGATGGGAATGGAGTTGGAGCTACCCTACAAGTAGCATTCGTCCTGTGGGGAGAGAATGATGAATGAGAATGAATGAGAGCTGAGGCAGATGGAAGTGTGGCTGGATCTATAAGGTACCGCCTCCGCTACCGCCTCAGCCACCGCGGGACAAACTATGCCGTATGCCGTATGCCGTACGGAGTACGTAGTACACGGGGTGAATACTACTTAATACAGGTCGACAGAGTTACTAATAACGTACCGAGTACAGAAGGGTCAATACCGTCCCTACCTACCTAGGTAGGTAGATCCTATGTAAGTTAGGTGCTATTAAGAGGTACTACCTCGGGTTTCTATTAAAGTATGTACCTTACGAGTCAATCGAATGCATGCCAACAATCAGACAGAGAACAAGAAGCAAACAGGTTGCCCGTCGCTTAAGTCAACCTACACAAGCTTGTAGCAGCGAGCTGCCACCCCGCTGAGAACGATGATGGCCGCGATAACGCCCAGAATCCCGAAAAACCACCCCAACCCTTCAGCATCCTCTCCAGGAACATGAACGTTCATGCCGAACAGACCGCAGATGAGGTTCATGGGGACCAGCATGGTGGCAATGAGCGTCACCTTGCTCAGGACCTTGTTGACATGGTTTCCCAGCATCAGGTTAGTGACGTTCAGCTGCGCAAGGTAGTTGGTGTGGGAGCGACTGAGCATCTTCTCAAAATGAGCTAGGTTGGACATCATGGTCACAACATGATCCTGAATATCGCCCAGATATAGACCAATATCCCCACGCGGCGTCACCGAGTACTGTTCGTTGCAACGCTTGGAGAAGCCCCGAATGACGTCCGCCTTACCACCAAGGAGGCGCATCAAGCTCATGACCTTCTTACGCAGGCCACCGATGCGCGGTAGGAAAGACTCGAAATCATCCATACGCGCGATGAACACTAAATCCTCAATGGCCTCGGACTCAACCTCAATCTCGCGAATGACGGGACCAAAGCTATCCACAATGTCGTCACTGTTGTCACAAGGCAGTATTAGCAGTTGAAGTTGATATTGACAGACAACTGAGAGGCTTGGCTTACATCATGGCGTAACAAATCCAATCACTGCTCAGAGACACATAGTCACGGAGCTTTCCGATTCTCCTCCGGACATTAGCTGCATGGGGATTCTCGGTGAATGAGAATGACAACACCCCATCACGGAAGACGACCATATAGAAATTGACGGGTTCCATAAATTGCTCGCTTGTCTTGTCAACCTGATAGAACGTCCGGAAACAGACAAAATAATATTGTTTGAAAAGCTCGACCTTCTCGCGAGCTTCCTGGGTCAAGATGTCCTCGGTTGTCAACGGGTGAATGGAAAAAGCTCTGGATAAAGCGCCCACTTCATCCTCTGTAGGGTTCAGGACATCGAGCCACCAGACACCCCCTTCTGGACCAAGCTGGAAGAGGTCCCGGAAGGTGTCTCCTGGTAGCACCAGATCGCCCAGCTCTGCAGCGTGCACAGTGCTTTGTGATTCGGACGAGAAGAAGCCAAAACGGGTGGGTTCGTTCTCGTTCTTCAAATTCTCCAGTAGTCCTTTTTCGTCCACAGCGTCCGCGTCAATTTTCTCATTCTTCGTCGATGTCGCATCCGAAATCTCATCCGAGGAACGCTCCGTGCTCGAAGAGCACTTCACTTCATCCTCGGATTTCTGAGTCCCCGGACGCAGGTCGTAAAAGACTCGCGGCTGATTGCTTTGCGAACTAAGGCTGTGCTTACGCCAATTTGCTGCGGGCTTTTCCTTCTGGCTGAGAGCGACAAACTCCTCCAGCTCTTCATAGTCAATCACCGGAATTCTACCGGGCTGCTCAAATGTTGGAAGACAAGCATCATCGGTCGGGTCCAACTGTACGTCTCCGGGCTGTGGTCTTATGACACTCGCATTACTAAAAGTCGGGCGTCGAGGATGCGTGCCGCCCGATACCGTACGTTGAAGGATAGCCTCTAGATCCGGGGCTCCGTGGCTTTCTAAAGTGTTTGCACGTTCCCGGCGACGTGGGTCTGCGAATGCCTCAACAGAGTTAGGTGGGGATGTTGACCTAGCAGACACAGATGACTCGCACGACAAATTTGCAAGATCCTGATGCGCGCGGCTATAGGTGCGGCCGTGACGGATGTTCACTGTGGGGTCAACGGAAAAACGACGCCCCATAGCATTGAAGTCATTTCCTGATCGATCATCGTCGACAATCACTTGTTCAAAATCACGCGAGAGAGAGCCGGCTTCCCGAAGCGCATCTTGGATATTAAGCAAGTCTGGGCGTTGAGGGGTCTCGGGGTTGAAGCCCTGTGGAGCGGTGTTTTGCGGACTGAGAGGTATGTCGGGGGAGGCTTCAAAGCGCGGCGGATCCAATTGGAATCGATGGTCATCCAGTTCAGGCACGGGAGTGCTGTACCTGGTCAGGCACATATATTTCTCGGATTTCGGCGACTCGGACATTGTGACTCAATCAAATCTTTCGGATCAAGGTAAATAGCAAGCCAGTATGTTAGTATTGTTGATATCAGTCTGAACGCATATGATCAATGATCCAGTGTTGTTGACTTCTTATTTTTTTGTCGGTTTATTCGCTCTATGTTCAAATACGCGACGTCGGAAGTTGTAGACCGGATGAAAAAAAGGTCCCAGGGCGATTGCTCCTCCATCCATTAGCCAGACCCCTCGCAAGGGCCTGGCATTACCGGTGCGCGTCCGTGTGCCAGCTTCAATGTTGCTGAAGGAATTTTTATTAGGGGGGTCTGGTGTCGCCCCCGCAAAAGACCCTGAACTTGGGGCCTAGAAGAGGGTGGAGGAGAGAGGACTGGTTGTAGCGAAGGCCCGCCAACTTGACTGAGTAGAGCGAAGGGAGCGCCGTCGCTCCGAGGGTGCAGGGGAAAGACGCGTCAAGGTAGAGAACTTCTGTACAAAGTTCTCGCAGTTCACCACTGATGTTGACGCCCAACCTGGTCTGAGTGGATGAACAGTGGACGAGAAATAGGCCAATCGGGCAACAGCGTAAGATAGGATTTCCGGCCGTGTTCCAACAATATGATGTTCTCAATGTAGCACGGACTGTGGTGGATTTTGGTTGTTTTGAGCGATGATCGAGTCCTCCTCGAGAGGGCGTGGTGGAAGGTGGTGGGTGATGTTGCGGGGGATGCCGGACACAGCACAGTCGGAAAAAAGACCCCGTGGCTAGGCACAATGCATCCAACCACGAGGGATGGGATTAAATGTGGGAAGATCGGAAGGCCAAGAAAAGATTCCCCGAAGATTCAAGATATCAGGTTTAATAATAAGTCCAAATTCACCTAAGGAGGTGGTGATGTGAGAGAGTCGTCTCGACAGAGAGGAGAGAACCAAGAATTCCGGGAAACGAGTGGTGGATGCAACGACTTACCTACCTTATAAAATACGAAGGGCGGGCAGAAATTTCCGCTTCGAGGGAGCTGAAGAGCCTGGGATTTGATTTTTAGTAGGGACGCCGCGTCGGCAAAAGGCCCGAGGCGGGTTTAGTTGGGGTGACTGGCCAATCACGCGGGGGTCGGGACCCGGGAGGCCTTTCAAGTTTCAAGAATCAGGTGGTCACCAGCTCCTAGGATATGTATAGGCACTCAACAGTGCTACGGAGTATACTCCGGAGATATATATACTAGTAGTATATACGGAGATATATACGATACAGTGAGGTACTCTTGACGGAGCATGTCTAGCATAATGACCTGATAATCAGGTCTTTGCCGGGTAAGAAACCCCCGCCCCTTGAAGCCTCTCCTTCACTTACATTCAGTCGGACAAGTCAAGGTAGTGATGGTAAAACATCCACATCACAGGGGTAAGCGCATACAGTGTAGATACACGCAGGCCAAGTCCAACAGGGACATGCCATACCTCGGAGCCGATCTAAGTATCCACCTGGTGTGCGTTGGCCTATCTCGTCCTTTGCTACGGAGTACTCCGTACTCTGTAATAAGATACAGTACTACCTCCCCAAGATAAAGAAAGAGACTACTATGTACTTAAGGTGTTATCTAGATAGCCAATACTGAGTACGTACCTCTCATTAGTGTAATACTATCTGTTTCTACGGAGTACCTAAGTGGGCACGGAGAACCTAGGTACTGTTATACTTATGGGCGGTAAGGATGGTTGAAACGCTTTGATTCGCTGCAGGGAGGCAGCCCTCTTGTCTTGCTAAACCTAGTAATGCTGAAGCTATCCGCAGATAGCAAAGACTGATAAACGATAGTTGTATTGTTCTAACTAGGTGGAGGGTCTCCAGGTGAAGTTATCTAGGTTGGTAGCGACCGTAGGTGGCAACTACTTATTCAGGAAGGATCCCCTCTCCTTCACCGCCTAGCCCGGCAGTACCTAGGTAAGGTACTTAGGTACGCAATATTTAGGTACTACCTACCGTAGGCATATCAATATGTACTGCCGAAGGCGGCGAAGAGGGGGCGAGTCGTACTTGCCGCAACGGGTAGTTGCCACTCGCAGCCGTTAGTAGCATAGATAACCTCACCTCATCTCATCGCCTTACCTCCTAGCTAGTTTTTGCAATACAATCATCTGTTACTCGTTTGCTAGCTATTTGCGAATAGCTTCATTGGATGATCAATACTTAAGACAAGAGCTGCCTACCTGCAGCATAGCAAGTTCACCCATTCTTACAGGTTAAGACCTAATCAGTACCTTAGTAAGCAGTACTCCTGTACAGCAGGTAATTTTAGTAATTTTGTCATGCTTGTAGATATAGCAGGTACTTCTGTATCTAGATATGGCATGTTTTGTCTCTGCCCTTTGTAAGAATTGAGCTATTAGTTATACTCATGGCATGGAGTACGGAGTAGGAACTATCTAATGACAAAGAAATTCTCCTGGATGAATATGATAAATACCTACACAGTACCTATGTGCTGTGAGGTACAGGTTACATTGATACTACTAGTACCTTGTCCTTACCGGACAAGGGGGGGCTTGTGGTTTGGTATATATGTAGTATTTTAATAAAAATAAGTATTTTTCAATTTATATTTTATATATAATATATATATATTTAAGAAATTAATCTTTTTTTCTTATATATATTTGCAAGAAAGTATCTAGTAATTTTAGTAAGAATAGTCTAGTGATTAGTAATTATAATATAAATTATATAATTAATAGTCAAGGGTTTGAATCCCAGCAAGCACATTAAAATAATTAAATAAATAATTAGTAGTCACTAGTCAGTGTAGTCACATAATATAATATAAGTGTGATAGGATCTACTTGTCAGGATAGAAAGCCTGTCGACTAGGTAAGGAATCAACCATGAAACACTGTGTATTTGTTTGATAATAATAAAGATAGTCTATATTCACAAGATAGACTGATTCTTAAAGAATCAGTAGCTTCTTACAGAGAGATCGATATCTTATAGATACCGGAGAGATATAGAATCACTATTAATAATCTTATAACTCTTATAATTACTATAATATATTATCCCAATAATCTTTATCCCAATAGCTGGATTATTCTATTATAAATAGCGCCCTCCTCCGCTGGGACGAGCCACCTGGCTCGGGTGTTGAGGATAGTCTTATTGGATTAATTATAGATCTCTGTGTTCTTCTTCTGAAGTCTACTTTCCCTGTAAATATTCCTGAGTTATAATAAAAAGACCTGATTATTATTGTTGTTTGTTTTATAAATAGATAATAGATATAACTAAATATATTTAAATATCTTCTGCTGTTTTATAACAGGATGATTTTATATTTATTAATATATTTAATCCGCGATAATATAATTAATAAGAAATATTAAGAGATTGATATTCTTATAGCTTATTTCTTAAGAATATAAAGTAATTTATTAGTGATTATTTTCTGTCTTTTTAATATATAGTATTTTTTATAATATTTTCAGTATTACTTTATAGCTTCGGATATATTTTTTATATTTTTACTAGAAATTTATTAATTATACTCACTTAGTTATTCTTTCTACTTGATTAGATAGTAATTCTGATTATTATAGTATTAATAATTTTTAATTTCTTTAACTTTTTATTTATCTTTATTATCTAGCTCAGATATTAAAAGCAGTTTTTTATAATCTCTTTCAGTATTCTATAATTTTAATAAGAAGATATAGAATATATTATAGATTTATTTATATTTCTCAGATAAATATAATTAATATATCTAAGATTTAATATATTTAAGAATCTAAAAAGATTCTATAAACTTCGGAGCCAGCTTTCTTAGTTCTTTAAGTTATAAGTTCTGAGTTAATAGCTTAATTAGATTTTTTTCTTTGAAATAAAATAGTTTTCTATATTTATTATAATATTTCTTTTACTTTTTTATAGCTATTTATTATATCTTTTATAGCTATTCTCTTATTTCTCTAAGTTTTTTAATTTTATTTTATACCGCTGGGACTTCTTGCTGCTGAGAATTAATCTTAATTTTAATATAAAAGTTTAATAAAAAACTATAAAAAATATTATAAGATAATTAGTCTATAATTATATTATCTATATTATTACAGGCGAATTAAGTACTTAAAAAAATTAATAGCTAGTTAATATTATACTAGCTAAAATAGTATCAGAGATAGTATTCAAGTATTTAATTTATTTATTCTGTTTAATTATTAATTTAAGAATAAAATATAATCAAAAGCTTTAAGATTATATAACTATTATAGACTAAATTTAATCAGAATTTACTAATAAAAATTAATTTTTAATCAGATATAATCTTATTTAAGAATCCGAAGATTAATTTAATCTATTTATAGAATAGTTCGGCAAGATCTGGGGCAGTTATTATAAATAGAATAGTAAAAAAAAAACAGTATTTTAAGAATTAATTAATAATAACTAGAATAATATTAATAGTTTTTCTATATTAAATAATAGAGGGCAGTCCTGTAATAAAATCTATTATTAATTTAATAAAAAGATATAATAAAATTAGTAATAATTTAAGACTGCTATATAATTAATACTTTAAAGCAATAATTTCTTAATATATTAAATAAGTTTAGATATATTTAACTATATTATATTATAATCTGTTTCAGTGAAACTTTCTATATAATAGTACTTTTATTCAGATCTTTCTGAAGTATCTTACTAATAGATTATTATAATATAGCTTAATAAGTATCTGATATAATATCTCAGAAGAGAGAATATAATATTAATTTTTAAAATAGATATAATCAGTTATTTTAATAATCTAATATTTTTAATTTAATTACTTTTATTAAACAGCAGTCTTTTATTATTATATCTCTGAATTATTATTCTATAAATATAAGATTATTTCTTGAAGTTTAGAATTATATATATCTAAGTATAAAACTTCCGCGGTATATATTTATAATACTATAAATTAGAAAATAAATCTTTTTTAAGATAAGTTCTTTTAAGCAGTCTAGTCAGCTGTCTCTATATTAGTTTAATTATTAGAATTTTTTAAGCTTAATATAATATAGATATTAAATTTAGAATAATCCTATATATCTTAAGATTTAAACTAGGTTTTTTTTTTAATAAAATCTCTTATTATCAGAAATAATATATTTATAAATTATACTTAAATTAAGATCAATAGTTTTTCTTAAGAAGCAGATTTTACTTAAGATCTAGAAGATATTCTAAAAAGTTTATTTACTAAATTTAATTTCTCTGTTCTATATTTAATAATAAAATTATAAAAAATTAGATTTATAAGCTATTAAGCTTATCTTCTGTTAATCCAGATTTAATATATAAAAGATTATAAGTTTAAATAATCTAATAGAATCTTAATTATTTAAGAAGCATCTTCTAAATATTATTGCTATTATTTAAAAGAATAAATAATAATAAATAGCTCTTAATCTGGAGTATTATAGTTTAGCTTAATATCAAAGAATTTATAGAATTAAAATACAACTGAATAAAATATATTTTTAATATTAAATTAGAATAGAATACTATTTATTTTTTTTTTTAATATATCAGTTTCTAAACAGCGGGATTTTATAGAATTAAAATATATTAATAAAGATACTTATTAAAAGACAGTAATAAGACAGTAAAAAGTAGTTTATTTAATTAAAATTAGATAGATCTTTTCTGACTTCTACTTATTAATTATTTTATAAAGCAAAAAAATAAGAGATAAGATAATATAAGAGTAGTCTTAAATAAATTATTAATAAAAGTTATAAAATCTAAGAAAGATCTGGATATTATAATAATTTTTAAGAATTAGTTATAAAATAATATTATTTATCTATTAAAAATCTATAGATATTCTATCAGAGTTAATAATATATCTCAGAAATTTAACTTAGAATTAATAGAATAAATATTTTAATAATTTTATATAAAGCTGAGCTTCTTGAAGTCTCTTTAAAATTTAATAAATATACTTTATATAAGATTTCTTATCTAATAAAAAGATAAGAATATTATTCAGATATATTATATAAAAATTATCAAGAAGTTCTTGAAGTATAATATATATATAGTTTTAGAAAGTTGCTGAAGTATTAGTTAATTTAAATAATATAACTATATATTTAAAATAGCTGTATTAGATATAAAATACTGTTTTTTATTTATTATTTTTCTTAATATAGATTTAATAGTATATATTCTTAATATTAATTTTTGAAAAATAAATACTTCCCGAAATTCTGTTAAAAATCTTTAAAATAAGAGATAAGAAATAGTAATTTTTAATAGAAATCTTATTAAGATTTCTATAGTCTATATAAAAATATAAGCTATTATTTTTTTTAAATATAAAGAGAATAGAGGCTTCAGCAGGGCTCTTTAAAGATTAAATTTAGTTTAGTTTCAGATTCTCTTTAATATATTCTTATAGAATCTTAAGTTTGGCTTTAAATAAGAGATATATTAGATTATAAGAGAGTATTTTATTAAATTTAATATTAATAATATAATCCGCAGGGCTATAAGAAAATAGCTGTTAAAAGAAATTTATAGAGAATATATCTTAAAATTACTTAAGTTCAACAGAAATTATCTTAGGATTTAATAATAAATCGCGAGGTTCTTCTTCTAATAGTCAGATATTTTTAAGAAGCTTAATAATAATATATACTCTTGCTGAGTTTTAAGTTGCTTTAGTAAATTAAGTAATAAAAAATAATAAAATAGATAATATACTAAATTATTACTGGCGATTTTATACTGATAAGATAATATATAAATTATAAAGTATAGTTATTAAAAATAGTACAGAATTATCTTTTAGTCAGAAATCTTAATTAATCTCTATATAATATTATTTAAAAGTATAGATATCTTCTCGCGAATTAATAGCAGTAATAGGAACTTTCTATATATTATAGATAGAAGTAATAATTTAATTAATAGCTTTAATCTTTGGCGCAGTAATTAAAATATATTAAAGATTATAAACTTTAATAAATTAATAACTAATAATATCTACTTCAGCGCAGCTATTCAGATCTGTAAAGATTTTAAGACTATTTTAAATATAAATAAAAATATAAAAATAATATATAATTTCTACTATAGATAAAGAAATTAAAATTATAAGATTTATTCTAATTTCTCTATTTTTTTCTCTGAATTTAATAAGGATTAATAAATTCTAATAGATTAAACTTTTTTATTTTTAATAAAGTATTGATTTATAAGATATTAAGTATTTTTATATATAAAGTATTATAATTAATTACTATTCTTTCTAATAAGGTTTTTTCTGTGATTCGGGATATCTTTCTTAATAATTTTATTAGTAATTTCTTAGAAGCGCTTGTATAATTTATAATTACTAAATTAGTTATTATTTTGCTTATATTTTTCTCTATTTTCTTATAGTTTATAATAATAAATAACAATAGCTATTATTTTATTCTGTTTCTTTAATAAATAGAGAATATACTCTTAAATATAATAATTTAGATTTAATAATAGCTTAATAAAATAAAATAAGACTCTTTTCTTTTCTGCTTAATAAGAAAAGTATTACTTTAAGATATTAAGATAAGTATAGAACTCTTGCAGATTCTGGCTGTATTATTAATAAATCTGTTTAAGTTAGATTATAATATTTAATTAAAAAATAACAGTGTTCTAAATTAGTATAAGAGTCTAATCTTTAAATTAAAATTATAATTTCTTGAGAAATTATCTCTCTTCTGAACTCTTATTATTTATAAAACAGTATTATCTCTATCTATATATTAGATTTATATAGCTGATAGCAGTAAGAATCTTATATTTTTTTAATAAATATTTCTTGGATATATCTCTAAATATATATTTTAAATTAATAATTTATTCTTAATATTTTTAAAAATTAAAATTCAGAATAAAGTAAGAAATATCTTTAAACTTAATTTTTTTCTTATTTTTTTTTAATTCAGAAAAAAATTAGTAGTATCTCGAGAAGATTTTACTCAGAGAGCTATTTTTTTAAAAATAAGCTATTCTTCACTATAAGTTAATAGCTTATTTTAATTAATAAATATAATCTTCTAGCTATTAAATCTCTTTAATAGTAAGAATAATATTTAGCAAGAATTCTGGATTAATTTAATTACTAAGTGCTTTTATTTCTTTATTATCTTTAATAAATAATATCTTTCTTAGATAGTCAAAAAAAGAAGAATCAGAATATAATAGAATCTATTTATTAGAATAAAAAGCCTATTAACTAGATAAGAAATTAACTATAAAATACTATATATTTATTTAATAATAATAAAGATAGTCTATATTTATAAAATAGACTAATTCTTAAAAAATCAGTAGCTCCTTACAGAGAGATTAATATTTTATAGATATCGGAGAGATATAGAACTACTATCAATAATCTTATGACTCTCACAATCACTATAACATATCATCCCGATGACCTTTATCCTGATAGCTGGGTTATTCTATCACAATAAGTGAGATCACATTCACATGATTTATAGTCACATGACATTGAATTATATATATATTTATATATATCATTATTATTATAAATTATTATTAATCATTTTTAATTGTTAAAATATGTGTTTTAATTTTTATAGAGTGGGCGTTTTACTTCAAATGCGTGTTTTTCTTAAATAGTACATATTTTTCTGAAATGTCTGTTTGAATATATATTGATTTATATATATATATATGTTTAAAAATATGGTATATTATATATAAGTTTTCAATGTACATATAAGTGCTAAAACATGTTTATAAGAAAATTTCATAGAGATATAATAGATCTACAGTAGATATACCATATGTGGAACCCCCCCCCCCCCCCAGAACGGGTAGGTAGGTATAGAATTTTTTTTCTAGTACAGAGTAATACAGAGCATACCTTACTAGGGTGGTAGATACCAGGTACCAGGTACTGTAGGTAAGTACCTTATGTATCTACAGTAATTTACTGTTACCTTATCTATGTGGTGTCCCGTACGGAGTACGGAGTAGGTAGTAGTTATCATTATTGTGTTCTCCACCTCCCCGAAGTCGGCCCTCCTCTACTCTTCTCTCTCTCTTTTTTTTTTTTTTTCTGCCCTTCCCTTACTTGGGAGGAGGGGTTAACCGGGAACGCCAAGAAACAAAGAGTCACAACCCTGAGAAGCAGAGCCATAGTTCTTAACCCCATTGTAACCGTCAAGTCATTTACACTAACTATTTATCCACATCTTCCCCCCTCCTCAAGACTTCTACCTTTTTCCATTTGTTCCTTTGCAATGGCTACGACTTCCTTTGTGATCAGAACACCCTGCTCTTCCGCCAATATCGGGCCTGGATTCGACGTGATCGGCCTGGCATTGTCACTGCATCTGGAGCTCCATGTCACAATTGACACCTCTAAGTCATCGTCCCAAGAGCCGCTCAACTGTGTGATCACATATGACGACCAAAGCAACAGCACCGAGAAGATCAGCCTGGACCCGGAGGTGAACCTGATCACCCGCGTAGCACTATATGTACTTAGATGCCATGACCAGAGGGCATTCCCTGCTGAGACCCGTGTGCACATTGTAAATCCGATTCCTTTGGGCCGGGGTCTCGGTTCATCTGGCACTGCTGTCGTGGCCGGTGTAATGTTGGGAAATGAGGTAGGTCGCCTTGGACTCAGCAAGGATCGGTTATTGGATTATTGTTTGATGATCGGTGAGTCCCACATCCACCATGTCTTTCTATCCCGGGGTAAAAAATGATGCATGCAATTGATCCCCATCTCCTTTGCTGGCAATAGCTCACTCACTGTTCTCCAGAACGCCACCCCGACAATGTTGCTGCCTCACTTTTTGGAGGCTTTGTCGGCACCTACCTGAACGAACTCAAGCCCGAAGATGTAGCACGCAAGGAGATCCCTCTCAGCGAAGTTCTGCCTGCCCCGGCTGGTGGTATTGACACCGGCTTCAGGCCGCCAGAGCCACCTCTCGGAATTGGTCACTACAGGAAATTCCAATGGGCCAAGGAAATCAAGGCCATTGCCATCATCCCAGACTTTGTCGTGCCAACAGCCAATGCACGGAATGTTTTGCCTGCTTCATATTCCCGAGCGGACGTTGTAAGCTTGCCCTAGCTGTCGCCAAGTCCTGAGGTCTGGACGACATGATGAGGTGCGCCGGCTAATACTATTTTCTCCCCTCATAGGTCTTCAACCTCCAACGTGCTGCCTTGCTTCCTGCAGCATTGGGCAGTTCCCCGCCGGACCCAGATATGATCTATCTGGCCATGCAAGATAAAGTCCATCAACCCTACCGGAAAACTCTCATCCCTGGCCTGACGGAGACTCTCCAATCGATGAACCCGCGAACACAACCAGGACTCCTTGGGATTTGTCTGTCGGGTGCCGGGCCGACCATCTTGGCTCTAGCGACAGACCGATTCGAGGAGATTGCAGAGCGCATCATCTCTCGCTTTGCTTCCAATAACATCACCTGCCAGTGGAAGTTGCTTGAGCCTGCCCAAGAAGGTGCCACTGTGCAGTATTGAGAATCTTGTATACGTCTGATATATGTTGTTTTGAAATATGAGCATCCGGATAAACAAGGGGATGGAAACGAAACAACGCCAAGGATGACTGACCCTGCTGATGGCTACAGACCTCTCATAGACAAAAGCTCTGGAGGTTGATTCTCTTTTCAGTGAGGGTAATATGAAGGTGACCTCTAACAAGCTCTTTTCCATGACCTCAGTCATGGAAGCATAGAAAGATGTACCTACCTATATTAGTCATCAAAGTAACCTTCAAGACATGGCTTTCTATACACATACGCGAACAGGCTGAAAGCACGAGCATTTAGTAGAATGAAAGCCGACCTTGAAGCACTTGTATGCAATACATCATAGGCACTTGGCGCCGAGTTGCGTTGTACCGAGTAATCATAGGATGTACGGGTCTTCAGAGAGAGTTTAAGGTACGGGGGTGATTACTACGATTCGGTCGGGGTTTCATACTTACCTTACACTCCCCGGTAATAATACCCGTACAACCATCCTCTCGAGGCGGTGGAGATGCAACTGACCTGAGCTCTCTATCAGCCCAAGCCCCCTTCGAACAGTCGAACGGCGACTGGCCAGACCATACTCCAAACAACTCCCCACAGAGAATATATTTCCATCATGGACGGTCTATTGGTACCCATCCAGCATGCGTTGGAAGGGCAAATAGTAAGTTCTCCTCCTTTTGAGTTATAGCAATGGGCTGTGACTGCTGGAATGCGATTACAGCCACCTATGCATTTACACCTTTCGGATGGTAACCTCAGTCACCATCTAGGACTTCCATGGCCAACGCATTGCAGAACTGCTTTCTACCGTCCTTCTCGTTATCTCGGGGGTAAGGTCCTCCTGTGGTTGTCGTGATTTCATTCCGCTTGCTTACAATCACCGCTTCCAAAGGCCCTTGCTTTCCTTGTCGGATACATATTCCAAGACATCCACCTGACGCTTTGGGTTGGGTTGACGGGCACATTAGTAACCGGGTTAGCCGTGATTCCTCCTTGGCCTATGTACAATAAAACCCCCGAAGATTGGCTTGTCCCCATTACGGCGAGCGTGGAGGGTGCAGGGGTCGTGGTAGACGGGGTCAGGGTTGCGTGAGATACAGTCAGGGAAGTTGAAATTGTCATTTTGGTAACCTGAATCGATCACACATAACTTATTGCCTCGCATGTATGAACCCCAAGTTTACATGGAGTTGTTATGAAGCCGCTTCTGAGAACTGCTAAACGAACCAAAAACGCCATGAAGATCCCTCACTTCCGCTTCTATCATATGTGAAAAGCGTAAAACAACCACGACTTTCTCATGATCGAACCTGCAATCTTCGACCCACGTTTACCGGCCGTACTTCTGGAACTCCCAGTCTCTGTTATCAAGGGGACACACTTGGCGGGTTTTCAACCACCGCGAGATGCAGTGGAAATGGAATGCATGCTAAGGGCGGAGAAGAGAAGCACACTTTAGTAACTAAATCGGGGGTGGCTGACCAGGGGGGTAGACGTACGTTACAAATTCCCCAAGCAACCGTACACTCCTCTGTAGTGGACGATCCCTGGTTTGCCTGGCATTCGATGCCTAAAGATGTTAAAACCCCGTATGGCAATGGGGTATAAGGATAGGGCGTACATAGGTCCATGATGTGATTACGGCAAATCGCACAGTTGTCGACAACGATATCCCACGCCCACAAAGCCACCGCGTTCCACTAGATAGCGAGGTTAGATTAAGTAGTGCTCGAGCCGGGGGCACACGCTCCTTGTTAGTATACCTTTTTGACCTCGAACTTCTTCTTGCCATCACTCGCGCATTCGGAAGCCTTGGACGAGCCCTTCGCCTTTGCTGGGGCTCCAGAGCCAGCCTCTTTCATTTCAACGTCGGCCATTCTGCTGGTCGGTGTGTCTTCTCCCTTTGTTTTTTTGAGTCGGAGGAGGAAAAGGATGGCAAGATGGGATGTGCCTGGAGGAGGGGCACCCACTTAGACTGATTACGTAGGTTGAACTGAACAAACAGGTGAGGGTACGGAGTAGTACGGAGTATCTATCCCAGAAACAACTAGTTAGCTGATAGATAGCCCCAGTATGGTGTAGACGGAGAGGGGGGGCTCCCTGTGATGGAAAATGGACTTATTAACCTTGGCAAGAGAAGTATTCCGTGTCTTTGGAGGAAGATTTCACGGGAGGAGACACCTAGTACATGCTTTGGGTACCTTGAGTGAATAATCAATGAGGTACAGGTAGGTAGAGAGCTCAGTACGGAGTACTCCGTACTAACTCCGTACTAAAGGTGAGTTGGGACATTTGTTTTGTTCTGTTTGCAACCTAAGGTACGTACGTAGTAGTAACCGCCTACCTACTGTACCCAGCACCTAGGTACTAGTAGGTACCTTACTGCGTAGTACGTAACTGTATGTATAGACCAACCGTGACATTATTGCCAACAAGGGAAGGTCAAATCTATACCTCGTATACGACTACCTAGGTAGGTACTACTGATATTGCTTAGTAGTAGTCACAATAGCACCTACTAAAGTAGTTAAGAGTCATGTAGTACTAGTAGACCGGCTTTGCTCGCTGGCTGAGTCATCGCCGATCCCCGCTTGGGTTGCCCCAGCCTTCTTTCGCCCGCTCTTCCCAAGCCAGTCCCGCGACCGCTCTCTTTATTACGATTCCTACTAATACCTTACTACTTACTACCACACCTCGTCCGGCAATGCCCCTCAGCTTGCTTTGCTTCCCACGTCTTCATTTGCCTATCTAGATGCGAGCATGCCTAGGAGTCCTGGATTCTTGCTTTCACTGCGATACGTTTGATTCTGATAGTATATGAATTTTGCTACGTCTTCGCTAATCCCGACGTCCCTCGATCGCAGACCAACTGGTTGGGCCATCGGCTCTCACAGCGTCAGCACCTCACGACTGCGATATCGTATCTCCCCGACATCTAGCGCTCCGGTACAGGCTGCTGGGCAGTGCTTCGTACTACGGCCGACTTGTGACTGGCGTTCGAGTCGCCTTTATTCTTATTGTTTTCGTTCCTGATATCATCTCGATTCCATTTCAGCTTCTCTTCAAAGGCTGTCTATTTATTAAGCCTACTCATTCACAATGTCCTCTCAGTCTTCCACTCCTCCAACACCCAAAGGCCCGCGGAACAACAACCGGCGCAACTCAAAGAGAAACATGACCCCATCTACTCAGAAAGTTGCCATATTGGCAACCCCTCCATCATCACCGCCAAGAAACATGAGCCCTGGCGGGACCACCACCGATTCCTCAGTTAACGTCAACGGGTCGAAGAAGAAGCCTGGTCGGTCAAGTAAAAAGCCACGAGAGGTATCGAAAGCGTCCCCAGCTCCCAAGGGTCATCGCCACACGTCTTCGCAGCCAAGCAACATTGCCACACCTCAGGCGAAGGATAGCTCCCATTATGCAGGTCCGACTTTCCATGCATCCCCAGCGCCGTCGGCACTCCCGATCCCCAGTTTCTTCTCAAAGTCTCTACCTGAGTCAGACCTTGCCCCCGCTTTGGATCCCGAAAGTGACAATCTCGATGTCGAACCGGATCTTGAATATACACCCTCGAAACCGAAGTCGCGCCCCCAGGCGCAGGAAGAAGAACGTCAATCGACCCCATTGGACTTCCTTTTCAAAGCCGCAGTCGAGGCCAGGAATTTACAGAACCAGCGCAGTCCCGAATCGAACATTGGAATCCAGTCGCCGCAGACTGATTTTAAAACCCTTCAACACCGTAATAAGCCAAATGGCACTGCCGGTGAGCTGTTCCGCATGGAGATGGAAGATCCAGATTCATATAACTCTCGGATTGGGCCTTCTTTTGCCACCCCATATAAAGAGCGCATGAATGCATTACGTTCAGCCAGTTCGCCTTCGCCACCTATGATTGAGCTTGATGAGCAACAGAAAAGAGCCAAAACCGAAGCATTGAAAACTTTGTTACTCAATCCTCGTCCACAAAGGCCTTCATCGTCAATTGTCATTTCAGAGCAAGCCAACAGAGCTACGGAGCGACCAGCTGCAGACTCCAACGTACCCCACTTTGCAACGCCGTTGAGAACAACTTCGGGACCGCCAGCGCCTCTCTCTTACGGCATGTCGCGTGATCAGAAGCAATCATTCACTGGGAATGGATTCCATTTATCATCACCACCACACATACACTCGACTGCTTTTCAACAGTACCAGCCTCAGAACTCTCCGCTGAGACAAGAAATCCTCTCGCCGAAGGTCGAAAACTTACCGGGCGTTCCTGCAGAAGCGTACTACCCCCCAACCGCTATTTACGAACAGCCAAAATCTCCACCCAAGTATGCGCAGTATCCCTTGTATTACCCTCCTGTCCAGCACCAATCACCAGCTTCACGAAGTGTGTCAACGAGTACGAATGCCCAGGCCTACGACGCGAAAAAAATGGAGGATGATCTCCGAAGGATTTTGAAACTTGACGTCAACCCCGGGTTGCCAACGAGCGGCATCCAGAGCTCCTTCGCCTGACGCAAATTAACATGACGCTTCAGTATCCGTGGGGTTCTTTCTTTGTGCGCCTTTGTTTCAAAATATCGATCCACCACGACGGTTATTTCTGGCTGAACTGTGCTTGAGTGCACACCTCTGAAATTCGACTTAACCATCCGAAGCATGCCTGATTCCTATTGCGCTCTTTCAACATCCGTTTCAGATCCCCATATATCGCTTTCATTGCCCACACTCCTCATATCGTCAGATGACTAAATCGTCATCTTTGTACCTTCCCAAAGGTATCTTTCTGGTTTACTCCGCGGTTCCCTGTTGGTAGCGGCTATCGTTGTGGCCCACAGGGCTTATATATCCCTCTTGGGGTGTCCCTATACCTCTATTTGCATTGAACCCGGAGTCGGGCTGCCTTTTGAATATTACTTTCGGTGGTGTTGGTTTGGTGAATTATTTCGACGACTACAAAGATGCGCGGTGCCACTCGTTGATCCCTTCATTTATTTTCTCTCATCCTGCTTCGTGTCTACCCTCATTATTAACTTTCTACTCCTATCACCTCCAATTTCATCTGTTGCTTCTCAGTCCGCCTGACCAGTCTCTGTCTGACCAAGAATGTGGAACAATTACTGCTCTACTCTTAGTTAGACCGTATTTGGTGTCCTATATGGGAAACGTGAAGCTTAATCCGAGAGTGGTCGCTCCCAGTTCTCCCCATTCTTATGCAACCTGTATGTACGCTTCTTTGGAAGCCTTCCATCCTTTACTGTGCAATTGCCTGTCCCATATAATGGACCTCCATTAGGTGGCTACCAAACCCATTATTCTTCAGCTGGATGTCGCCCTCCCCCCCGTCTTCCCCCTTTTTTCCAAATTCTGTCTTCCTGGTTTCCCTTCCCCTTCCCCTTTTCGTTGATGCGCATGCGCACGAAAATATTTGTGATCGTGTCCAGTCGTAATATATTTGGCGAGAATATATCTCCACAGGTACCTGATATAAATACCAAGTATCTGGGCTATCAGGGACTCCTGGTACATTGTACCATCATCCTACATAGTGCCGCGGATTCTATTTAAACCACATCGTTCTCCCAATTGGTACCAGGGACCATCACCTACTCAGTACCCCCCCCGCCCCGCCCTGCTGCGTACCCGTAGTAAGTATGAATTGCAATGTCCATACAAGAGAGGGGGTATCTAGTATCCGGCAGGCCAACGGAGTCCAGAACCTGGAGGAATCAGTATACGGAGTAGGTAGTAGTCCTTGGTAGTGGCGGCAAGCCCAGCCCCAACGGCGAATGGGGAGTTCCCGAAGGGGTCCACCACCTCTCGCCCCCACTCTGTACTGCAAATTACGCAACTTACTAGGCTCGGGTGAGCTTCCAGGAGCTTCAGGAGAGGGGACGGAAGTTCATGCCTTCATGGAAGCAACCTCTAGCCTAGTACTATTGTTCTAGGGCCAGGGAGGGATACCCTACCCATCGAGCCACCAAGCCTGGCGAGTCCGGCGTTGGCGAAGTCCGGTAGATCTCGTCAATTTTTGGGTGTCGGCTGTTGTCATGCGCTCCGTCAGGAGCAAGAACCGGGTATCCAAATAATGGTCTTTCCATCGAACCAAAGCAAATGGCCTCGTGCCAGATAAGAAGCCACCGTGCAGTGTGGACTCTTGCAACAATGTTAGGGAAAGCGTGTTTTTAGAGTTAGTGTCAACATGGAACATCCGGAGTAAAAGTGGCTGTACGTACGGGGTACTGTACGTACCTCTTGAAGAATGTAGTACGGAGTACGGAGTACCTACCTACCTATATATATATAGTACGTATATAGGTACTTACCTGTACTTATATACTTACTGTATTTATATAGTACCTATATATCTAGGTATCTAAGTAGTACTAGGTAGGTAGGCACTTACAGGTGAGTAGGTACCTAGTAGTACTCCATATATATCTACTATGGAAATTTCATCCTGCATTACTAGGTACCCAGGTAGATATGTACCTGAGGCACAAAGAAAGTAAGGTGCTGTAGGTAGGTAGGTACTAATGATGTAATGATAATACACCGGAACCAGCCCGTACTGTAAGTGACGGAACGCAGGCCCCATCTTGTCACTGGTTCCGGGAGCCTGCCTTCCCAGGGGGTTGAGAAGGACAAATCGTGGATGCCAACGTCGCCCTGAAAAAAAAATAAAATAAAATAAAAATCAGGCAAAGGCCAAGGTAAGAATGAGAAAAAGAGAACAAAGAAAGAGGAAGGAAGAGGAAAGAAAAGAGAGCCCACGCCCTTTCTACACACGCTGCTGAATTGCTTGAGAGGAGAACAAGAGACGGCAGCAGCAGCAGCAGCAGCAGCAGCAGAGGAGGAATCCATCCTGACTTACCAAGCGCTAGAAATTATTGCACGGTGCTCGAATTCGAAGGACCAAAAAGGGAGCAAGCAAGTCGGTGGCAGCGGCCCAGTCGAACGCAGAAGGCCTGCTGCCCTAGGGGCCTTTACTTCTGTCCGTTTTCTTCATTTCCTCCCTCGAATCGGTCTCATTCCCCCCGTGTCCAACCCAACCCCATCGCATCGCTCCCTCTCTTTGGTACTGGCGCCATTCCGCATCTTCCTTTTCTCGGCCTCCTCCAGTCCCTCTCTCCCCTCCTCTCTCTCTCCTCTCCCTCCCTCTCCTCCCTCTCCCTCTCCCTCTCCCTCTCTCCCTCCCTCTCCCCTTCTTCCCTCCCTTCCTTCCTTTCCATCTACCCCCATCTTCTTGTATTCCTCTCCATCCGATCGCTTTCCTCCCCGCGGTTTCTCTCAGAAGCTCCCCAGCGGCTCGCCTACTCCATTCGCAGCCTTCCCGGTCTTTGTCCCTATTCCCGCGATACCGGGTCCCAGGCCTGGTTCCTCAATGCTCTTCATTGCATCCCCGTAAGAGAATCCCAGTTAAAAAGAGAAAAGAGAGAAAAAACAAACAACAACGACAACAACCCGAAAGAAGGACGGAAAGAACGGATCCCGGGCGCAGATTTAGTTCGTTCGCCTTCGAACATCATTTTATCTGGTCTAAATTTCCATCATGGCGAATGCGTGAGTATCTATCTCCCTTTGGCATAGTGACGCGGACACGTTTCCAAACTCATACCAGTGGCCGATTTCGCTGACTATCCGCAGCATCGGCTCAGCATGGCGGTCCTTCTGGCATACAATGACTTCTTATGATCGCCATGCATCCCACGACTCCCCATATCGCACGGGTCAACATGTGCCTCTTAGCCAAAGCCGACACGAGCCTCTCACATCCATTGCAACAAGCGCCATTGAATCTCGACCAGATCTGACTACCCCGTACGAGGATGACCAACCCAAAGGCTCGACAAGCTCGAATGGCTGGATCGGCTCTCCTACCGGCGCCGGCTCACCCAACCGCCCTTACTCCCCGGGTATGCGATCGCTATCATCTCAGAAGCGGCAATCCACCGACCCTGGAGCAGAAGGTACCGCCGAAATCCAGATGCAAAGTTTCCATGATGGCGCCCCCCCGCCTCCGCCGATAGCTCATTCGTGGAGGAAAATTGAGAGATGGTTGGAAAGTAATTATGAAGAGCTTCATGACAATCTGTGCGAGGGTTGTACTCAGAATGATATCAATGAACTGGAGCATGAGTTAGACTGCAGCCTGCCGCTAGAATTGCGGGAGTCCTTGATGATCCATGATGGCCAGGAGCGCCCAGGATTACCCACCGGGGTCATCTTTGGTTGCATGCTCCTGGACTGCGAAGAGATTGTTCAGGAGTGGAGAAATTGGCGGACAGTCAACGAGGAATTCCTCACCTCATCTATGATGGATCCTTCCTTCCCGAAGGGATCAACCAGCTCTTCATCTGCCGCGCCGCCTGCCCAGGGTACCAATCCCATGTGGAGACAAGATTTGCTCGAGCGACAGGACTCGCAGCCTCCTGGTGCTGTTCAGAAGGCGTATGCCCACCCTGCTTGGATCCCTATGGCACGCGACTGGGGCGGGAACCACATCGCCATTGACTTGGCTCCAGGGCCTGCCGGGAAATGGGGCCAAGTGATCATTTTTGGCCGGGATTACGATTGCAAATACGTCATTGCTCGGTCTTGGGCTGCCTTTCTCGCCGTGTTAGCCGATGATATCTGCAGCGGCAAAGTCTCCGTGGATGAAGAGACGAGTGAACTCAAACTTTTGGAGTTCAAGTCGCAAAACGTCGAACCTCCCTACCTGGAGATCCTGAGGTGGAGAACCGATCAAAAGTATGGCAGGAGAGCGCCTAGACGCAAGGGTCCGAGTGGCCTCGGTTTAAGCACCGGAAGTAAGTCTGGCAAGGAGTCACCCTATGGCAGTCCTACAACCAGTGAAGAGCGGGGAAGATCGCCGCACCGCTTTCCAAATCGCGGGTCTACTCAGAGTCCCAAGACTCAGTTTGGCATTTCAAGTCCTCTGGCTCGCGTCACGGAAGAGGCGCCGAGTCCCGTGCACACAGTTGTAGAGGCGACCGAACTACCCGAGCAGGTTTCTGAAGAACACGAGGAGGCGCCTCAGTCTGAAGACCTGATGGAGGTAGCAACTCCCCGGATTTCCGGGCAAGAGAACGATGGAATTTCCAAGAACGAGGAAGATCCGCAGGCGACGGAAACGGACAGAAAGCGTGAATCGAATCAAATGTCTTCGCCCGCCGGCTTGGACACTGAGGTCCTGGGCGAAATGAAAAATGTTGCGATCTAGACCTCGTTCTGAGCTTCAACATTTTCCCTGTTCCCCATTTCCTTCTCTTCATTTCGTCATTGTCATGAGCACCCTGCTTTCGCGTTCCTAATGAGGAGTTTTGTGATCTTGTCTCCTTTCAGTCAATGTGTACCAGGCGCAGTATGAAGTGGATGGATTTGTGTGAACCTTCTTCTGACCCACATGTATAAATTCCTAGCATTGCCATCCTCCGCGGTTCTAGTGGCCTCTTATTTTTCTTTCTCTCGTCCTCTAACTTCGAACGTCTCTTGTTTTGCCTTTTACTTGGGACCATCACTGCGATTTGTTTTCACACTGCTGTCTGTAACTTTATCTCAATGATGATGTGTTGATCATTCGTTTCAAGTTATTTCCAGCCTTGTCCTGGCAGTCACCGGCCAACTCCAGCTTAACTTACTCTGATTTAGGACTACTTCAGCCCACTGGTGCACTCCTTACTTGGTTTTTGATCCTAAGCCTACTGGTCTATTCTGTACAAATGCTAGATTTGATCCGCCATAGATGACCGCATCGACCTTGGCTTTGTCAATATTTTTGCATGAGACCAACTTCCTGTACCAACGGGCATCGAATAACAGCAAGTCGGATCCAGAGCCTCGCAGACAACACCTGAAGTTGAGGCGTTTCGTTGAATCATGTCTGGGAACAATTATAGTGCAGACAGTCTAGTGCCATCGCACACTAACTGCACCCATGTGCTGGATTTTCGATTTCAATTCAAAGGTCTTGTGTTCTATTCCAGCTTGGACGGACTCTTCAACCTCACGGCGCATCCCGTGGTTGAGAACGGGTTCGTGTTTGCGAAACCGCAAGACCGTAATGTCATAGCCGTTCGGTTCAATCCCAGTCGTCGTCGTCGTCGCTGTCTTTATAGTAGTTCCTGGCATTCCCACTCCGGATTGCTCGTCTCCCTTGAATTTGCCCTCGGCTGTCCCCACGGTCGCTATCTTCTTCCGACTCCGAGGCATCACCTCCACCCTCGAACTTTTCCTGGGCTAGAATTCCCTTCCAAATGAGCCTTTTCTCAAGAGTTGCGGTACTGAACCTGTCGGTCCCATCCCGTCCCCCGGATCCAAGGCCTTCGAACCCAGTAATGCGCTCGACCCCTACACCATCCTTGAAGCCGATCACGCAAGGAAGTACCCTGACCTTAAGCTTATCCACCACAAATGGAGTATCCCGCACATCCACCCGTGCAAACCGCACCTCGTAGTGCCGCACCGCCAACGCTCGAATGTGCTCATCCATGGTACCGCAGCGCGCGAAATCCGGGTGCGCAAAGTGAATCACACACCTGTGAGTATGGGTGGTGAAGTCCAAAAGGGCTTGGTCGCTTGTGAGGGTCGGATAGGGGGTGTCCTGGACAACGGCGGTCGTGGGTGCAGAAGTGTTGCGGGCTCTGCTATTTTGAGTTGAGGAAAATTCAGCATTCAGCTGCTCGATACGGTGCGCTCGATAGGCGGCATCATCTTCATTCTCCAGGGCCTCAAATAAGGCGTCGTCATCAGCACTGGTGTCGCCCCGGTCTCTTGCAGGGTGGTTGCCCTCGACGTCTCGGTCCATAGAAGTGAATGCGCTAGGCGGGAGCTGGGCGACGCGGCTCCTAGTCGACTGGCGCGTGTGCGAGACTGATTGGATTATGCCTTGCGATGGGAGATGAATGGCAAAAAGGGGGTTGGGGGGTTGGGGAGTTGAAAGGTAGGTAGAAGAAGAATTGAAATGCAATGCTGGGAAGAGAGACTGGAGGGGCAAGGGAAAGTGTACTCCGTGGGCCAGAAGGAAGTGGGCCAGAAGAGGAGTGGGCCAGAAGAGGAGTGGGGGGGGGAAGGGGGGTGAAACCAATGTTGAGGCCAGCCAAAACAGACACTCAACTCCAAAGTCACTCACTCTCACTGTATGATGAGTAGTAGTAACTAACAGCAATTTGGGAAGGCCGCTGAGGAACTTCTTTATATTGTAGTATTGAACACGGAGTACGGAGTACCACCTTAGGTAGTGAGTGCCAAGGGCGGTGAAGAGCAAAGGGCCGTAGTGGGTAGTTGCCACATGCGGTCATTAGTAGCCTAGATAACCTCGTCTCCTGTATCCTCACCTTCTAGTCTAGTTAGCAAGAATATCATCAGTTTACTAGTGATCTGTTATTTGCGAATAACCTTCAGTATCATCATCGGATGGCAAGCGCTGCCTTCCTGCAGCAACCATAGCATACGAAACATCCCCTACCGCCCGGATACACAACAGTAGCTACGATCTCACCAAGGATGGTAGGTACTGTACTGTATCCGTCATGTATGGTATATAACATGGAGCGTATCAAGGTTTTTTATTCTTGTTTATTTTTGAAAAGAAAAATAAAAAAAAAACTGAGTGGATTGCCGCTTCCGGAAGAGGCGGGCGTGCAGCCCGAGTTGAAAGCCTCTTCATTTCCAGCTCGTTCCCCCCATACATTATTATTATTATTATCGACTCTCTCTCTCTCTCTCCCTCCTCTCTCTCGGCCAGCCTCCCTGTCCTCCCCCCCCTCTCTCCTCACCCATCTTTTTCATCTTCTTTTTATGTGACCACTGCTTTATAGCCTGACCCTTTTGAAGCCTGAGGTTTTAATTCAGTCCTATCTTCTTTTCGACCCTTATTCGATCATACTTCAACTAGAGTCTGCAACTACAATCTACCTCTCCCCGTCCCATCTCGTGTTTCCCGCAACTTGTCACTCGTATCTGTGAACATCTTCATTCATTTCCTTTTTTGGATCTCTACAGTCTTCGCATACACGTCTATCACATCCAAGCAACATGGCGGAGGGCAAAAAGACAGATGATTATACGATCCAGATGGGCACGATAGACCAGGGGAATAAGAGTTTCGAGGCGCCGCCGCCGCCGCAGACTAGGAGTCCGCCGTCCGGCTCCATGTCCAACAGTCCTATTCTGCCCGTCCTGGCGTATTGCGGATCGTCGATTTTGATGACCGTTATGAACAAATATGTCCTGTCCGGCACCGATTTCAACCTCAACTTCTTCCTCCTCTGTATTCAGGTATGTTGGTGAATCTGGGAGCTTATGGGAGTCATTTGAGCAAAAGTTGACGAAGGCTGACCCACCGCTGGCTTCGCATTGCAGTCTCTCGTTTGCATTATTGCGATCCAGACCTGTAAAGCATGTGGGTTGATTACCTATCGCGATTTCAGCACGGATGAGGCTAGAAAGTGTAGGTTTTCCAAGCAAACTCTTTTCAACTTTGAGCCCTCGACTGATTTATCCTCGCCCATGACCAGGGTTCCCGATCACTCTCCTTTTGATCGGCATGATTTACACGGGCTCCAAGGCACTGCAGTTTCTCTCAATTCCTGTGTACACTATCTTCAAGAACCTGACCATCATCCTCATTGCTTACGGAGAGGTGCTGTGGTTCGGCGGTTCTGTCACCGGGCTAACATTGTTTTCATTCGGACTCATGGTTTTGAGCTCCATCGTTGCCGCATGGGCCGACATTAAGCACGCCGTCGAAAGCAGCACGGATGCGACCGCCAAGGTCTCTACTCTCAACGCCGGCTATATCTGGATGTTGATCAATTGTCTCTGCACGTCGTCGTACGTGTTGGGCATGCGCAAGAGAATTAAGTTGACCAATTTTAAGGACTTTGACAGTATGTATTCTGCCCCACATCGTCATGGTCTGGATTGATCACATTTGCTGATTTACTATCTATCTAGCGATGTTCTACAACAACCTTCTATCCATCCCCGTTCTCGTCGTGCTCTCCGGGTTTCTGGAAGATTGGTCGTCCGCGAATGTCAACCGCAACTTCCCTCCAACGGACCGCAATAGTATCATGTTTGCCATGATCCTCTCAGGCCTATCGTCCGTATTCATCTCCTACACCTCCGCTTGGTGCGTTCGCGTAACGTCATCCACTACCTACTCCATGGTGGGAGCCCTCAATAAGCTGCCCATCGCCATTTCGGGTCTTGTTTTCTTTGATGCCCCAGTTACCTTCCCCAGTGTTTCGGCCATTGTTGTGGGATTCGTCAGCGGTATCGTTTACGCCATTGCCAAGATCAAGCAAAACGCCAAGCCAAAGACCGGCGTCCTGCCTACCGCCAATCCCCCTGTCAGCGCCAGCAGCCAAAGTATGAGGGACTCGCTGCGATCCTAAGCGGAGTCGCTGGAAAGCAGCAAAATAGCCAGGTTCCATAGTGAATGACCGATTGGGCTTCGCGAGTCCACATCACCCAGCACGAGAAGTGTACCCGGTCCTGGCATTGTAACATGTGATCATTGTTTCCTTGTAGCCGTGGGTATCCCTATAGGCCTGCAAGGTCCGCCGCCAGCTCTAATCAAGCAGGTATTGTTGGTTCTGCATTCTATTACTCCATGTGGACCTACCTGCCCGAAAGGCCCTCCCTTGTTCGTCCTCGGCTTCATCGGCTTTGCTGTTCCGTGTGTACCGAGACCATGCTCTTTCCCATTTCTTTCGAGTCGCGCAGATGGCTTCTATCCCAAGTATCATCTAGTAATGTCGTGGGTTGGTCCGATTCGTTATCTTTCCTCGTGGAGACGTGCTCTGTCGTGTCCTCCATGCCGATGCCTGATAGTGGTTAGGGATCTACGGAAAGGAAGAAATTTCTTGGTATTCCAGCCTGTATATAAGAGGGGGTTCTTTATGTCTTTTAATACCTTCATAGAAAGCGTGCTTTGAATGTCAGCCCAGATTTGTGGGGATGTAGTTCATCGTAATGTCATGCAAGCTCAAAAGGCAAAAGTCATTTATCTGCTGTACTAGGTACGGAGGATCTACGGAGTACTCCGTACGTACTCCGTAATATCTACTCCGTACTTTGTAGGTATATATATACCGCCCACTCGACTCGCTGCTCTCATTGGAGAATACGACTTGGTACCGTCGGGTAATTCGTATAGTAGGTGGCTTAAGGTACCGTACAGTAGTACTTTGTACTCCGGTACGGAACGGAGTACTGAAAACATGCCTACTGACTTCCCCAAGTCTCTTTTCCCTTTCCTATCTCTCTCTCTTTCTCCCTCCCTGTCGCTCTCTGAAGCCACCGTCCCAGTGCCTCCTTCCCGGTGACCTCGGTCAGCCTGTTTCCCCCAGGCATCCTGCCCAGAGGTATCGAACCATGCCCAGATTCAAAAAAGGAGGCAAGGCGTCCGCAGCGGCGCCTCCCCCCAATCCGCATCCCAGGAAACACCGCAAAATGCATACATTTTCTAAGCTCTCGACCGCCACCCAGGGTCCTCATGGTCCGCCCGGCCACTCTGCCGCCAACAAGGACCGGAAGAAACCTCACCCGCAGCAGCGACGGCCCATTGTGCCCTTTGGGAGGAAGGACCGTATCCTCATGGTTGGGGAAGGTGAGTCGGCCGCTTCTGTTTTGTTTTTGTATTGCCGTCCTGCATGACCTCTTATGCTCGTTCCTGGTTGGTTTTTGGCGGCCGCGTCGAAGTGGGTTTGCTAGCTACGCATGATGTTCTCTCTTCGTCTACTCACGGGCATTGCCGGTGCCCTATGGAATCGAATGAGTGTACGTTCCGGGGGCTGTTTTGAACGCCGGGCGTGGGCTGTTGATATCTGGTGGATCTATATCTAGAGCACATGTGTTTACTAGTTCAAGGCTGCATTGGCCCTGTCCTGCACCCTTCGGTCTCATTTCAAGACATGAACACGCTACAACATCAGGGCAACGGCTTGCTATGTTGTATTAGGTTTTAACTAATCTTCTGTAGGTGATTTTTCCTTTGCTCGCTCATTGATCCTTCAACATCGCTGCAGACATGTCATGGCTACTTGCTACGACTCCAGAGAGGCGCTCTACAGCAAGTACCCAAAGGCTGAGCATAATATCTACGACATCCTTGAGCCCCCCCACAAGACAACGAACAGCGATGTTCTTGATATCAAGAGCCAGTTGTCCGAAGGACAGAACAGCAAATGCGATGTTGGCAAGCATGATGATGCACATGACTCTTATGAAAATCAGACACAGCATCGTGGACCAAAAGTACTTTATTCGGTCGACGCTCGGAAACTAGGGCTTCTAGCAGGCGGGGGGAAGGAGGTCCGCATAGGCTTTCCACGCCGGGAGCGTAAACGTCCTGCATGGCAGGAGGCAAAGGATGACGCTCCATCTTCTGTACCTAAGGGCGGACCCTGGGACGTAGTCTGCTTTAACTTCCCTCACGTGGGCGGCCTCTCAACGGACGTCAATCGGCAGGTGCGTGCCAATCAAGAACTCTTAGTAGCCTTCTTCAAAGCGTGCGTGCCCTTATTGTCGCATGCACCTAAATCTACAGCTGGTGAATATGAGGATGATTGGAGTGACTGGGAGGACTCCGAATCTGAATCTGATGACGATGATCAAACCGATGAGGGTAACCGTAACCCCTTGCGATCAGCAAATACTACCGGTAGAGCGACGTGCCAACATAGGGTCGAAGCCGGTCAGATTCTAGTGACAATGTTCGAGGGGGAGCCATATACCCTGTGGAATATCAAGGACCTTGCACGGCATGCCGGCCTGCGAGTGGTCACCAGTTTTAGGTTTCCATGGGCTTGCTATAACGAGTACTCTCACGCACGTACCCTCGGCGATATTGAAGGGAGAAATGGAGGGAAAGGTGGCTGGCGAGGCGAAGATAGGGACGCGAGAATGTTCGTATTTGAGGTTAAGCAGGAGGATCATCCAGGACCCAGGAGAGACGCGATAGTCCACAAACCCCAGCCTAATGCGAGAAAAAAGAGGCTCAGAGACGCGTCCGATAGTGACGATAGTGAATAGAAACCATGGGCCAAATTATCCTTTCCAGGATTTCGGCCCATAATGCATTCCAACATGAATTAGAGTATTAAGGGGAGAAATTGGCCGTCGATCTTTGTGGGCGTCCATAGCTACATAATATAAACCTTTTTCATTTCACTCTCGTCAAAAATTTCGCCGGTTGTAGGATCCTTTACTTTGCCTGCCTCAACGCACCCGACCTTCTTGCTCATTTCTAGCAGCCGATGTTGACCATATATCCTGCCATTTGGCAAGACAATGGGGTCACTCTCGACGTAGCTTTTCGTGTGATGGGCATACGGCATATTGCGAGCAAGCTCATTCAGTTCAGTTGAACAGATCGGACAAACAGAAGTCGTCGTGGATAACGAGTTGGAACTGGAGGATGTATAGGCTGAATGGCAGGAAGGTGTCTTGAGAGCCGACAATCCTGCGGACAGGGCAATGTGTAGCAAGGGGCGGGATGACAATGATAGGAGCTCATGATGAGTGCGAACAAATAGAGCCGAAAGATATGTCCATCTGTCGAGAGCGTACATGGACTACACCTCCAGTTAGTCGCAATTTTCACATATCGGGAATCTTCCCCATATTACCTTGTAGGGTTCGGCTTTGGTATCAGGGAGGAAGGCGAGGAGCCCTGCAGCTCGATGGATTTCCAAAGACTGTGTCTCAATATAAGGAGCAAGATATTTTTTGGCATGGATCATTGCATCAGTAAATTTCTCCTTGTTTCCCGCTCTGACCATCTCGATGTACTGCTGCAATCGTAATTCGAATTCTAGGTTATACTATGTGCGAGATGTCAGGCTTCGAAGTTGGAAAAGGAAACCCAATGACAGCGATAGAATTGTAAACAGACCTGGCTCCTCTTTAACGCTGCTTTATTTTCACCACACCATTGCAAGGCATCTTTTGTCTCCCCGCAGCGAAGACTTTCTGCAATCCGCTGGCATTGCACAAAGACATTAAGATCCACGAGATCATCAATTCCGTTCTCACTAGCTAATTGCTGGGCACTCTCTGTATATCCTGAACGAAGCATATGGTCTACTATGAGCCTATCCAGGCGGACTCTCGACCACTGGTCATATTTAACGTCGGCCAGGCTAGGAATCTGGTGAAGCCTTTCCAAGTGCTGGATGCGCTTTCGAGATTGCTCTTGGATCTTCTTCTCCTCCTGATGCAGGTTCGCCATTTTCCGCTTCAGACCTTGCATCCTAGAAATCATGGCGGCGAGAACGGCAAGAGCTTGCTCGGGCGTTTGATCATTCGACAGAGAGGCATTGGCGGTCTCTTTAAGCGAGGGGAGGACATATTCCTTCTCTCGCTCGACAAGCCGCTGAACGGACTTGAAATTTCGTCGTGCAAGCTCGTGTGGCAATCGAAGGAGAGGTTGGTCCTGCAAGAAACATGGTAGGTCAATCTCCAGACTCGACTGTACGTTGGGAGGGTGAGGGGAGAGGAGAGGCAAGCGAGTGGATTACCAAGAGCAGATGGTTCTCCGCATTCAAACGGGTGGATGTAAGTTCCGCAGCCATAGCGATGCAGGGGGATGGATGGTGGTCGGCAGCCAGAGGCTTCTTACGGAATGAATGAATTGTAGAAGAGCCGAAATGGCTGCCTTGCTCAGTGCTTGCTGTGTACTCCGTGGAACAGATGGCACGGCCTGAAGTCGTGCGTGTGAAGACACCGCCCGCGTCACGGGCCCCAAGGTCACGGGGCGCAGCACCCCTACGCAACTTAAAGTACAGAGTATCTAGGCAGTACAGGCAGATACTCGAACTCAATTGAAAAAAAGGAATGAAGGAAAAAAATTAGAGATTGAAACAACAAACTTCCGACAGCCAAAACCACGACAAACATTTGTTTAGTAAAATTGATTCCCTTTTCAAATCCCAGACTCCGACACAAAGAAACAAGTATGTTACAGGAACCATACCCAGGCGACGCACCGACAAGCGGAGGCAGAAGAAAGAAGATGCAGTACGGAGTAGCAGTGTGGCCAAGGAAGGATTCCCGGTCTGAGGTAGGCAGGGGCCTCTCCGAATGTGCTTAATCACTATCATCACTTTCGTCCTTCTCCTGCTTGGACTTCCTCCGCTCCTTCTTCTCCTTCTTCTCCTTCTTCTTGCGCTTACGTTCGGCTCGTTCCTCGGGTGTTTCGCCCTCATGGCGCTTGCGCTTCTTCTTTTCGTCATCATTGGAGTCGTCCACCTCCATTTTGGTCTCCGGCGATGATGGCACTTCGGTAGGCTTGGCAGGAGTAGCGGCGGTAGGCTTGGCAGGAGTAGCGGCGGTAGTCTCTTCGCTAGCAGGCTCAGCTCCTGCTTGGGTAGCTTCTTCGGGTGCGTTGTAGTCTTTGTAGTCATTCTTCCATTTGGAGGGAGTGGCCTCATTAGTCCGACCATATTTCTGCAATAAATGTCAGCCGAACAAGCACACCAATGACCATTGAATACGGCGGGAAACATACGTCCAACTTTCCCGCGGACTTGAGCTTTTTCTTCTCCAAAGCCACAGGTCCCAAGCCCCAACGGCGAGGGTACAGGTCGCGCTCCATGATACAACGCTTTACCTTGGCGACAACGCCATGATCACAGGTAGACAGCTCAACGGTTGACATTTGAGCAATACCAATCGCAATGGCCTCACCCTTGGTAGTCATGAGCACGACCTCCTCGTTGACCTCGATACCCGCCTCTGCATCATAGTCAGCAACCACCCTGGATGATGGGCAGATGACATCTTACCGAAGCGTAAAAGTCCAGGAACCATGAGTTTAGCGCCGTAACAGACTGCATTAACAGCACTGTCCTTGACCACAATACGTTTGTAGGTCGTAAGGAGAGTCTCCAACGGCCTGATGACTTTCCTCAGGTAAGACTCGTCCCGCTGGTTGTCGTACATCCATTGCGCATCCAGCACGTCGTGCAAGGTAACCATCCCGCTATTCTCATCCATAGCACCGCTTCTAACACGGCGGAGTTCTTGCATGTGTGCACCGACACCGAGCAAGAGTCCCAGGTGAACACAGAGCGTTCTGATGTAGGTTCCAGCTTCACAGCTGACCCAGAAAACACCGAGATGCCTCTCATTGTCAAACTCGTAAAGTTTACTCTCGTGAATTGTTCGAATTCGAAGTTGGCGTTTGACGGCAGAGATCAGTGGCGGCCGCTGGAAAAGAGCACCGGTCAATGTCTCAAGGGCCCGCTTGAATTGGGCCTCCCCGCCGGGAATCTTATCGTGGAGGCGAATCACACAGACATATTCTTTTCCGGCACCCTGTTGCGACTTGACCAAGCGGGTGGCGCGGTCAATGCAGACGATCAAGCAGCCAGTGACCTTGGGGTCAAGGGTTCCACTGTGGCCGGTCTTCTCCGCCCTTTTAAAGAAAAGAGTCTCAGTAACATCTATATAGTAAGAAATAAGTAGATATTACCTGAGAATCCTCTTCATCCAAGCAACGACCTCATGGCTCGAGGGGTTCGAAGGCTTGTCAAGGTTGATAACACCAGAGTTGATGTACGACTTCAGGTCACGCTTGAGAGGCGAGGAACCCGCAGGGATGGGTGTGAAGTGCCCAGTCCTGACAAGGACTAAGATATGAAAAAGAATCAGCACCAGCTACATTGATCTGAGATATAACCTCAAAGTGAACGTACGCTTGTCATAATTTTTGAGAAGAAGCGGCCACTCCGACGTATCGATGTTAGAGGCACTTGCCTCGGGCTTGATTGTGTAATCCATCTCCTCCTTAGCCACAGCGACCGCCATTTTGCACAGGCTGGCTTGAAGGGTGCAGAGATAGGCAGGTGAGTACACGCGTTGACAAAAGGCGCAAGAAAAATTGCACTCTCCGAGCTAAAGTTTTGTTCCCGCGCTAGCGAGGAAGAAAGCCTGGGAAATTTTCAAGTGCGGCGAAAGACGGCTCCTTCAACTAATCGGGTTTAGTACAGCAGCCTTTACCCACTGAGCCAGGATCACGTGACTTTGGTGAAATTATTCCTCGGATACGGTGTACCCAGGTACTAGTATACACCAAGGTACTGAGTACTGTATCAATATTTTAACAAGGCATACTGTAAGTATTAGAGACCTTCTGCAACAGCCATTTATTATTAATATTTTAATTCAAAATCGGGTATAGCGGCCCGCCCCTAGTAATCAGCTATGAAGTTATTTGAAAAATATTTATTTTACCGCCTCAGCAGGCAGAAAACATTCTACTTGAAATTACTGCAGTATTATAAGAATAGTAATTCTTATAATCCTTGTGATATACTATAATATAAGGAATATTTACACTGCAGAGACAGTTTCTTATAAAATAATTATATTAATATAATATATAATTTACAGAATTCTTATAGATATAGTTATTTATAAAAAGAATTAGATAAAAAACTAGTAATAATATTTTAAATAATATAAATATTATCTTAATTTTATAATAAATATTTTTTTTATATTATCTTAATATATACTCTTATAATCTTATTATTTAAAATTTATAAAATAATCTATTAAAATTATATAATTATATTTATATAAAATATTAAATATTATATTTAGAGTGGATTTTGGTTGAAAAACAGATTAAAAACCAAGCTTTTAAAATCTATATTTAAATAAATATTTTACTATATATTAATATTTTTAAAATATAATTAAATTTAAATCTTATTTATATTGATATTTTATATTTTAAATATAGTCTAATATAACTAGATTATATTTAATATATAATTAATCAGTTTTACAATATTTTAATTAGTTAATTTTTAACTATTAAGTAATATAATATATTAATAATATATTAGATAATAAAAATATATATATAATATAGATTTTATATTTAATAATATAAATTATAATATATAAAATTATATAAAAATTTATATAATATTTTATCTTTATATTTATATCTATATTTTTTAATAGTTTTGCTTAAAATGGTTAACTGTTAGGTTGAAAAAATCCACTCTAATTATATTTATAAAAATTCTTTTAGTCTTCTAAAAGCTAATTATAAAATTATTATTAAAAAAATAATTAAAATAAATATAATTTTATTATTTTTTAAAAAATTTTATAAATAATTAAATATATTTTAATAAATTATAGAATTAGAGCAGAGACTTAAAATGTTTATAAATAATAAAAAAACTTATAAATCTTTAAATAATTTTAATATTTTATTTATAAAATTAAAGAAGATTAATATATATATATATATTTTTTATAAAATAATAAATATTATAATGTTTATAAATTATAATTATATTATTTTCTAATTATTTATTATTTAATATGAGTCTATTATAGAAATTAATAATTAAAATATAAATTAATAAATATAAATTATAATAATCTATCTAGATTATATATTTAATAATTTATAAAAAATAAAATTATAAAGCTTTTTTAAGAAAAGAATTAAATAAATCTTTATAAATTTTTTAAGATATAATTAAATAATCTAAAAAATTATAAATAAAAAATATAATTATAAAATTGAAAAATAATCTTTTATAAAAAAAAGTTTTTTATATATTAATAATATTAATAAAAGATAAAAACAAAGCTAGATTATAAAATATAAAAATTAAATATTATATAATTATATTTATTTTTTAAATTATTTTTATAAAATATTAAATAAAAAATCTATAAATAGCTAGAATCTAGATTCTTTTATTATTAAATAAGATTTAATTATATTATTTATAAAACTAAGATTAAGTATTGATTAATAAAATAAAAAAATTATTTATTTATAAAAAAGATTATTATTATTTATAAATTAAATAAAATAATCTAATAGCTAGAATTATTATAAGAAATTTTTATATAAAAATATTATATAACTAAATATATTAAAAATATTTATGTTATAAGATTTTATATCAGTATTCACAGAAATAATAAAATATTTTAATTATAAAAAATAAAATTATATAATAAAAAATTATTACTAATATAAAAATAAAAATTCTAAAAAATAATTTATAATTTAAATAAATTATAAAAAATTAATAAATATATTTTTTATAATATATTTTATTTTAAGATTATAAAAATAATTACTTATATAAAATAAGACTAATCTATTTAAAAAAATAATATTTTAATTAATATAAATATAAAAATAAATCTAATATTTATAATATTAATAAAAATTATAAAATAATTAATAATATTTATAAAGATTTTTATAAGATTATTAAATAATAATTATATTTAATTAGAAAAAACTATAATATTTAAAATAAATCTTATAAATATAAAAAATAATTATAAGATTTATAAAAAGATTATTATTATAATATCTAATATAAAAAAGATTATATTAAATATATTATAAATCTAGATAAAGATTTTTATTACAGAGTTTAATTAGAGTGGATTTTGGTTGAAAAACAGGTTAAAAACCAAGCTTTTAAAATCTATATTTAAATAAATATTTTACTATATATTAATATTTTTAAAATATAATTAAACTTAAGTCTTATTTATATTTATATTTTATATTTTTAGTATAGTCTAGTATAATTAAATTATATTTAATATATAATTAATCAGTTTTAGAATATTTTAATTAATTAATTTTTAATTATTAAATAATATAATATATTAATAATATATTAGATAATAAAAATATATATATAATATAAATTTTATATTTAATAATATAAATTATAATATATAAAATTATATAGAGATTTATATAATATTTTATCTTTATATTTATATCTGTATTTTTTAACTGTTTTGCTTAAAACAGTTAATCATCAGGTTAAAAAAATCCACTCTAAGTTTAATTAATATTATTTAAAATTTTATAAAAAATAATAAATTAAAATATAATATATTATTAAAATAAAGCTTTTTATAAAAAAAATAAAAATTAAATAATTATAAGTTATAATAATTAGATTTATTTATAAAGAAATAAATCTAAAAATATTTTTAACATAATTTTATAAATTTAAAATAATATTTATAAAAAATAAAATAATAAATTATTTATCTTTATAATTGAATATTAATCTAAAGATTAATCTAAAAGAAGATTATAAATTACAAATAAAATTAATTTATAAAATATTATTTATAAAATAAAAAATACTCTGAAAATATTTATAAGAATATTTTATATATAAATAAATTTAATATTTAGAATTATTTATCAGAATATTAATTCTCTTTATAAAAAAAATAAAAGCTTATAAATATATATTAATTATTATAAATTAAATAAATAAATTATTAAAAATAAATATTTATTATTATAAATTAATAGTTATATTAATTAGCTTATAAAAATATTATAATTTATATAATTTAATTTTTATAAAATTTATTATAAAATAAGAATTATAGCAGGCTATAAATAAAAAGCAATTTTTTAAATAAAATATAATTTATTTAAATATTTAATTATATTATTTAAATTAATTAATATATCTATAAGACTTTAAGATTTTATAAATCTTTTATTTATAAAGTACTTAAATAATTTTATAATTATTTATTTTAATAATATTATAATATATTTGTAAGATCTAAAGATATATAAGAAATAAATTTATAAAATTATATAAATCTTAGTTAAAATAGATTTATATATAAAGCTAAATAAATATTACTTTATATAAATAAAGATTAATTTTCTTAATTTTATTATTAAATCTAAAAATATATAGATAAAATTAGAATAGATTATAATAATTTATAAATAATAAGAATTATAAAATATAAAGAATATATTATAATTTATAAAATTTATATATTAATATTAATAATTTATTTAAAAATATTTATAAATAATAATCTTACTTAGAGTGGCTAACAGCCAGATCAGATCAGATTAATTAAAATTTTTATATCTAACTGCCAGATTATAATTAGATTAAGAAAATTTTTATATTTAATTATAATATAACTAAAAATCAGATAGTTAATTATTTTAATTATTCTTAATATTAAGATTTATCTGCTATATCTTTTTAAGCTTTAGTATAATTAAAATATACTTAGATTAAATAATTATTAATCTAATTATTTTTATTATTATCTAAAATATATAAAAAGAAGCTTTTTAAATTAAAAAAATATAATTAAAAAGAAATTAATATCTTTTTTATTATTATTTATTAAAAATAATAAGAAAATTCTAGTTATATTAATAAAATTCAGCTTTTTATAAAATTATTATTTTTATAATAAAAAATATATATAAAAATATATAATTACTGCTTTATTTTAGCTATATATTTTAATTATATTATAAAATACTAGAAAAATTATATATTAATTATTAATTAAAATACTAAAAATAAATATACTACTTCTATTTTATTA